ACCTGGCGAACACATCAATTGCCCTTCCTCATACGCGGATTCTGGAGCCTGCGGACATCCCGACGAGGGCTCGTGGCTTCATCCATGCTGACGCAGCGGGCCTTCCGTGCTTTCACTTCCGTTAGCTTTTATTAGTTTTAATTTTATTTCACCGCTTTGTTACTTCTCTAGCCTTGTACCAAACTTTGCAGAACTACGTATGGCTTGATCTCGATTGAGTACGTAGGCAGCTCCTTGAGCCCAGCCAAAAAAAAAACCCTAAAACCTAAACCCTAAACCCTAACCCTAACCCTAAACCCTAAACCCGCTCAATCAAAAGAGAAACCGCCAGAGTCGCTAAGGCATCCAAAACACGATTTTCTTCTCTATATATATGAGATATCTGCCAAGTCGCATCTCTAAACCCTAAATCCAAAACCCTAAACCCTAAACCCTAAACCCCGCTAGAGGGACGGTTTTCCTGCGTTGTAGTTTTGGACGGATTTTGATCGGGGGTATATCTACCGCATCCGGCGGCAATACAGTGGTGCGAGTAATCTAGTTAGGGGTTTTTCGGACTGATGAAGACAATGGCGATAGTGTGGTGGCCGGAAAGTGGTTGGATCAATGGGTAGCTTAATGGAAGTTTTGATTGGAAAATGGCAAAGTGGGGAACAACAGTGGTGAGGTCGAGGTTAGGGTTTCGGTGGCTGGGATATGGGTGGATGGTTTAAGGTTTAGGGTTTAGGGGTTTTTTGCTAAAAACTATATAATAATGGCTGCACCCATAATGGGTTGTCTATGTACCCAAACGGGATCAAGCCATACGTAGTTATGTTGATACAGCCTACACAGTCCAAGTAAAACAAAACAGACCATACAAGCCTAGTTAGTCTAAGTATCAAAGGCCAAAGGCAACATGCCTAAGGCATCACCATCAACCAACCAATACTAAGCCTATCAAGTATATGTAATATCAATACTATGTGTGCCAAAAAAAAGGTAAAATGGTGAAGTCTGCTACCTGAAACGGAAAGTCAAGAGACCATCTGCATCCGCTTGAATGAGACTTTTGATTGACGAAGGTATATTTGTTGGGAGAAAACTCTGCTCAATCAAAAGAGAAACCGCTAGAGTCGCTACTCATCCGCAACACGGTTTTCTTCCCTATATATATGAGATATCTGCCAAGTCGCATCTCTAAACCCTAAATCCAAAACCGTAAACCGTAAACCCTAAACCCGGCTAGAGGGGCAATTTTCCTGCAATGCAATTTTGGACGGATTTTGATCGGGGGTATATCAGGAGCATCCAGCCGCGATACAGCGGTGCGAGTAAACAAGTTAGGGGTTTTTTAGGCTAACAAAGACAATGGAGATGGTGTGGTGGCCGGAAAATGGTTGGATCAATGAGTAGCTTAATGGAAGTTTTGATCGGAAAATGGCGATGTTGTGGAACAGTAATGGCGAGGTTGGGGTTAGGGTTTTCGGTGGCTTGGATGTGGGTGGATGGTTTAAGGTTTAGGGTTTATGGGATTTTTGTAATAACTATATAGCAATGGCTGCACCTAAAGTGGGTTGCCTACATACCCAAACGGGATCAAGCCATACGTAGTTCTGCTGATACAAGCTATACAGGCCAAGTCAAACGAAACAGACCAGACATACCTAGGTAGTCTAAGTATCAAATGCCAAAGGCAACATGCCTAAGGCATCAGCACCAACCAACCAATACTAAATCTATCAAGTGTAAGTAATATTAACACTAAGTGTTCCAAAAAACTAGTAAGAGGGTGAAGCCTTCTACCTGAAACGGAAAGTCGGGAGACCATCTGTATCTGCTCGAAGGAGATGTTTGATCGATGAAGGGATATTTGTCGGGAGAAATTTCCGCTCAATCGAAAAAGAAACCACCAAAGATGCGAAGGCATCCGCAGCACAGTTTTTTTCCCTATATATATGAGATATCTGCCAAGTCGTATCTCTAAACCCTAAACCCGGTCAGATGAGCAGTTTTCCGGCAATGCAGTTGTGGACGGATTTTGATTGGGGGTATTTCCAGCACCTCCGGCAGTGATACGGTGTTACGAGTAACTAGATTGAAGGTTTTTTGGGCTGATGAAAACAATGGTTGTAGTGTTGTGCCCAGAAAATTGTTGGATCAACAAGTAACTTAATGGGGATTTTGATTAGAAAATGGCGAAGTGGTGGAACATAAGTGGCCAGGTATGGGTTAGGGTTTCCGATGGCTGAGAACTCGATCGATGGTTTAGGGTTTCAGGTTTAGGGCTTTCTTTGGTAAAAACTAAATAGTAATGGTTGCATCCAAAATGAGTTGCCTATGTACCCACACGAGATCAAGCTATATGTAGTTCTGTTGATACAGGCTATACATTTCAAGTCAAACAAAACAAACCAAACAAGCCTAGGTAGTCTAAGTATTAAAGGCCAAAGGCAACATGCCTAAGGCATCAACACCAACAAACCAATTCTAAGTCTATCAAGTCTAAGTAATATCAACACTAAGTATCACAAAAAACAAGTAAAAGGGTAAAGCATGCTACCTGAAATTGAAAGTCGGGAGACCATCTGCATCCGCTCGAATAAGACTTTTGATCGACGAAGGGATATCTGTCGGGAGAAGTGTCATCTTAATCGAAAGAGAAACCGCCAGAGCCGCTAAGGCATCCGTGACACGATTCTCTTCCCTATATATATGAAATATCTACCAAATTGCATTTCTAAACCCTAAACCCTAAACCCTAAACTCCACCAGATGAGCAGTTTTCTGGTGATGCAGTTTTGGACAGATTTTGATCGGCGGTATTTCTGGCGCCTCCGGCGGTGATACGGCGGTACAAGTAATTAGGTTTGGGGTTTTTCGGGCTTATGAAGACAATAGCGGTAGTGCGGTGGCCGGAAAATGGCTAGATCAACTGGTAGCTTAATGGCAGTTTTGATCGGAAAATAGCAAAGTGGTGGAACAGTAGTGGCGAGATCGGGGTTAGGGTTTCCGGTTGCTGGGAAGTCGGTGGATGGTTTAAGGTTTAGGGTTTAGGGGCTTTTTTGTCAAAACTATGTAGCAATGGCTGCACCCAAAGTGGGTTGCCTACGTACCCAAACGGGATCAAGCCATACGTAGTTCTGTTGATACAAGCTATACAGTCCAAGTCAAACAAAACAGACCAAAAAAGCCTAGGTAGTCTAAGTATCAAAGGTCAAAGGCAACATGCCTAAGGCAACATGCCTAAGGCATCAACAAAAACCAAGCAATACTAAGCCTATCAAGTCTAAGTAATATCAACGCTAAGTATCCTAAGAAACAAGTAAGAGGGTGAAGCATGCTACCTGAAATGAAAAGTCGGGGGACCATCTGCATCCGCTCGACTAAGACTTTTGATTTACGAATGGATATTTATCGGGAGAAGTGTCATCTCAATCGAAGGAGAAACCGCCAGAGTCGCTAAAGCATCCGTAACACGGTTCCCTTCCCTATATATATGAATTAATAATCAAATTGCATCTATAAACCTTAAATTCTTAACCCTAAACCCCGCCAGATGGACAGTTTTCCGGCGATATAGTTTTAGACGGATTTTAATCGAGGGTATTTCTAGCGCCTCCGGCGGCGATACGGCGGTGCGAGTAACCAGGTTGGAAGTTTTTCGGACTAATGAAGATAATGGCAGTTGTGCGGTGGCCGGAAAATGACTAGATCAACGGGTAGCTTAATGGCGATTTTGATCAGAAAATAGCGAAGTGGTGGAATAGTAGTGGCAAGGTCGGAGTTAGGGTTTCCGATGGCTGGGAAGTCGATGAATGGTTTAAGGTTTAGGGTTTAGAGTTTAGGGTTTAGGAGTTTTTTTTTGGTAAAAACTATATAGCAATGGCTGCACCCAAAATGGGTTGCCTACGTACCCAAATGGGATCAAGCCATACGTAGTTCTGCTGATACAAGCTATACAGTTCAAGTCAAACAAAACAGACCAGACAAGCCTAGGTAGTCTAGGTATCAAAGGCTTCAATTATATTTTTATAGATAAAAAAAATACAGGGTGAATAATTGTAATTTTTATTTAAAATGATGGGATTTTTATATTAGATATAGAAAATTTGATTGATAATATAAAAAATAATATTTTGTATTAAATTATTGATTTATGAGTTGATAAATTATATATTGTATTAATGTATACACATTAAATTTTCTAAATGATTTTTATGAAAATACTACTCACTCAAAAAATTAAATGTTTCTTTTGAAAAAAAATTGGTTTTAGTTTGATATTAAAATAATTTATGATAAGATGTTTTATGAGAGAAAAAAATGTATTTTTTCGATAAACGCATAATCTAAATAGTAAAAACTTGAAATTTTGGGCAAAAGAAACATACCCTAAACAACAAATTCAATATATAAATTTAGTTAACAATAAAAAATAATATAATTAGCCAAATAAAAAGAAATATTCATTTTGTCCGTCAAAATTATATAACTATTATTTTTTATGTTAAATTTATGCACAATTATTAACAGTGAATAATATTTTATATATTCGTAATTTTATTATTTTTACGTTTTTTTTTTATCATAGTACGTATGTGTGCTTTGAAGTTATAATTTTTGTCTTGATAATTTTTTTGGTAAGACGAGAATCCGCGAAAGTTTACTAGTAAACTTTAGGTCGAATTCAATATTTTGTAAACTAAGTTTATCAAGGTAAGTCACATCAGACGAAACATGTGTAATATGTTAGACGTAAAGGCATTGATATTTGAACCCATCATACGGTTGACTATAATCGATTTTTTTGTTTAATCAAATTCAATATTCTGCAAACTAAGCTTATCAAAGTAAATTATATTAGACAAATCATGTATAATAGCTTAGAGCTGAAAGCGTCGATATTTGAAGCCATCATCTGGCCGACTATAATCGTTCTTTTGTTTGGATGCAAGCGGAGAATGATGTAAAAATTATTTAAACTGGCCACAGAATGACAGAAGATTTTTTATGAGCTTGGAACCTGGACGAGTCATTGCGTGTCATGAACATAAGAGGACTTTCAAAATTTTAATGAGTTGAAGTAAAAAAATCTAAAAATAAGCTTTTTTTTTTTTTTTTTTTTTTTATACTGTAATTGCTCTAATGTCAAATAGGATAATTGTACCATCCGTACATGCACCCAATTACAAATGTGGTGTTCATCCTCACTCCTTAATTAATACTAGAAGACTAGGTAGTTGTTCGTCGGGAATTCTATAGGGAGTATAATTATACCATATTCTGCAAGCTAGCTGTATGTATATCTAAACTAGTTAGCTAGCTAGTACCATCGGAATTTTGTTTCTCTAGGTCTTGATCTACCCGTAGTTGTAGTTTACGAGATGGAGGTGGAGGAGTACTAGTTGGTGATACAGATGGGTTGTAAGAATACCATCTCGACCAAAAGAGATAGTTGAAGAAGTTGATGAAGCTGAGTGAAGCTAGCAACCAGTAAAACAGGTCTAACCTATCTCTGTTGAGGTCGTTCTGGCTGAGCCAACCTCCTCCTCCTCCCCCTCCAGCGGTGGTCCAAGTTACTCTGTTCACCAGAGACACTAGAAGGGAGCTCAGATAAAACCCGAAGGAGTAGGAACAGTACGTCATGGCGGTCAAGAAGGATTGCATCCCTTGTATGGATTGCTTATAAAAAAATTCGATGAGTCCTACCGCTGTGAACATCTCCGACAGGCCAAAGATTAGAAACTGGGGAGCTATCCAGAGAATGGAAAGCGTTTTGTTAAATTTCAAGGCAGCTTGTCTTCTCCTGTGCTCGATAACTGCAGCCGAGACCATGGAGAATGTGGCGATGAAGAGGCCAATCCCGACTCTCTGGAGAGGAGAGATTCCAGAGTCCTTACGTGTGACTCGCCGTGCAAGAGGAACGAAGACAGTCTCGTAAAGGGGGACTACAAGAACGAGCATCATGTAGGGAATTGACTGGAGAGACGCGGGAGGGATGCGGAAGTTGGGGGTGAGACGAGTGTTCATACAAGTGCCCTGCTGGACGGAGAACGTCTGGAGCTGAGCCAAGATGGTGTTGAATATGATGGTGCAAGCAAAAATGGGGACTACTGACAGGAGTATCTTCACTTGCTCCACTTGTGAGACGCTGCACAGCTTCCATGGGCTTTCCCCCATTCCATTGCCGCCGTTGTTTTCGACTTTTATGCAGGCTTTGTCAAGGAACCTGATCGATTGATGGAGCGTCATCAATGTGATTTTGACTGATTGGTTAAGTAAATTAAATTAAGTTCTCTATCAATAGTAGTCGTTCTTGGCAGGCAGCCACTCATTGGCTGGCATATATATTAAATCCACACAGAGACACACAGGCATACATATATATATATATATATATGTGTGTGGGGGTATTGTTCATGTTCAGCCATCATATATATACATATATATATACATATACATATACATATATCCAACCTGAACTTGTTCGTGTGAATGAGTGTGACATTGGTGGAAGAAGGCGTCCCACCCGGGGTAGCACCTGACCTTCGATGTGGAATAAGGACATCGCTTTGGTGCAGCATCTCTGCATTGGACGGGCAGATTTGCTTTCTCTTTGATATGGCTGCCACGAAAACCTTTTCAAGAAACCACCAAAAATGAAAAATAGAATCACAACAGCGGCAGCACTATCTAATTTATAATTATATGTATATATATATATATATACACATAGTTAGCTAGTTAGTTTATGAATAAATTAAGTTGGATTGGAGAGTGAGTTTTGATGAGCTGAGACAACGGGTGGAATAAGCAGGAAACAAGCTACCTAGCTAGCTCGCTGGATTGAAAATGGAAACCGATCATGTAATAACTTAAACCTGGGCAATGGGCGTGAATATGCTTCCATGGGGTGGGCTGTTTCTGTAAACCAAGGATCCAGAAATGAGACTAATCAATCCGACGGCCATAGCAGCAGCAGAAACTCCAAAGCCAATATCCATCCCGGAATGGGTTTGAATCCACACGAAAAGGGTGAGGGCGACGAGCTCACCGGAGCAGAAGGCGAAATATGCGAAGTTGAAGAAAGTGGAGAGCTTGGTCGACTGCTTGGGAAACTGATCTGCTCCATGGGCAATAATGTTGGGCTTTAAGCACCCACTCCCCAAGGCCACCAGGTAGAGCGCCCCATAGAATATCCAGGCCTTGTACCCGCTCGCTTCCTCACACTTAGTGCTACCACCATCTCTGCACTTTGCTGGCCGCAGTTCCCCAACATGAGCTTGAACTGACAGCAGTATGAATCCCTGCATGCACGCCCACAGGCCATAGTCATTAGAATTTAGATGTATTCCTAGGTAGCACATATGTATATGTATGTATGAATAGCTCATCGAATTCCTCTCATGATGGAATTAATTAGGATTTTGATCCCCAACACAGCCGGTCGGAAGGCCACTGTAACGCAATGCAATAAAACTAATGATCATGTCTCGGTGGCGTGTGATTATAATTAAATTTAGTTAGTTCACGATATATCAGAAACGTACAGAAAGCTCCACGAAACCGAATATAAGCATGGTCCAGAAGCTCCCCAGATACGAATCGGATAGGAACCCACCAAGTAGGGATAGCAAGAAAACAGTCCCAACAAAATTTGTGACTGTGTTTGCTGACTTTGGCAGAGAGAAGTGCATCTCGTTCAACACATAGGTTATCAGGTTATTCCCAACAGCCGCAATTGCCATCATTTCAAAAGCTTGAAGTCCTGCCATCATTTCACCAGCCAACCACAGCAATAACATTTTACTTTATAAATCACACCTTGGGAATTTGAAAAGATTAAAAAAAAAAAAACAAAGGTGACCTAATAGTTACTAAATAATACCCACCCACACACACACACATACTATGGATGGATTTGAAATGCAATGATCGAGCACTGACAAGTTCATATCATGAGATATATATGTGTATATGTATATATGTATAACCGCCGATCCTGCTCTCGACTGTAAGTAACTAGACTACTCCGGCTGCACTAAAATTCTCTGCAGCTCTTCATGTGTTAACACAAATTAATTTATCATATACACAGCAGACCCACAGATCATGTAAAACGGGAGAGATGTGTAGCTGCACGCACGCGTGTTTAATTAATTCGATTCCACGATCGAGATATAGATAATTGTAGATAATATATATGTGTCGAAATTGAATATGTTTCTGACACGGCCCTATCCGCCGATCAAAATACAGTGAGTCAAATGCATGAGTGAAGCAACTAAAGTCATAATTAATAATTAACTTAGCGTGCAGATATAATTATATGTCGGGCTGTATGCATATGATATCTTATATGTGTGTGTGCGAGAAAGGACTCTATAAAGTGCGTGTCATTGGAGAATCCCAGGCTACGTGTGAATAAGAAGAATTGATGGAAAGATATGGTGGAAGAGGAGATTGATGATTAGAGGTGTTGTAACTTGTATAAGAGACCTAAAATAAAACCAGCAGCAGTCATTCCCCCATGTTTACTAGGCCTGCATGACTTCCCTCTCCAATCCACGGACATGTGACCATCGGATTCTGATCCCCTTTGATCTTCCCTTGCATCTGTGCTTTCCATGTTATACCTACACTCTGCAACAGATTAAAACTCAATTATTAATGATCTTCAGTTGCATAGATTCAAATGTCAAACTAACCCAAACCTGCTGCGCTGCACGCGCGTACATACGGGTATCCTAATTCCTTATCATTATTATTATTATTATTATTATTATATATGCAGGCAGGCAGGAAGGTTAGAAACTAAAGTTCAAGAATCAAAAATACTAACCTAGCAAGCTACAGATAAGATCGAGCAGCTCTTTCCCGTTTTCTTCATAAAGCCACTGATTGAGTCTTTCCTGAGACACACGATTTTGGCTGGCTGGGTATTTATAAAATCCTCTTTGCTTAATTAATTGATTAATAATTTCCATCTATTCGCCCATCTTCCACTTACTTGTTCACTCACCCGATCGAGTTGACTTTGCTGTAGTGGACTGGCTGGCCCATCTACCACAATATTCATCAAAGTACTCGATTGGTCTCAGGGAGGCCCGCCACGATATGATGATCATCATTCATCACCAAGAACGTATTTGTATTTACCGTATTAATTAATTATGGGAATATATGTATGTTTGCTATTCAATCAGTCCTTCATATCGTGTAGTATGCATCATATATATAATATATATATCAATTCCTGTGATCGAGCTAGCTAGCTGCTTATAGCATGTACCTAGCTCGCTGCAGGTCGAGATCCAAATTAAAGTCCAAGCACCACAAAGCTGCATTGCGTTGTCTGAGGAACCACCATGCAACACTTGTCACTGTCCCCCAATTGCAGCACCTGGTGCAAACACCACCCATCAAGCTGAGCATCGATTATCAATAGTGCTCGGCCTGTGTTTAAGAAGTGAAATTTTGAGTCTTAAATCAATTGGTTATAGGTAAACCAGTTTTCAATCTTGTAAACCAAGGGAGTTCCACGGCATATCAATATTCAATATATCTCAAAACTCCATACAGGATGAATACACTCTGATAGCATGTTAAAAAGAGCACCACTGATAATGTAGTTTCACATATACATGCATATATATATATTTTTTATGTTGTTGTGGGGCACGGCCAATATTATTGCCCGGGCAGTGGAGCATCAAATTTCAATTACCACTCCCTCATCACTCCCACTTTTCATTTTAATTTCTTCCTTCTGTACTTGTGATCATCGACTTGTTGAAAAATGTTCTCCGGCTGCAATTGCTAACCTACTTTCACTCCCTTCCGCTGCAAATACTCTCTTCAGAATGGGTCATTTTCATGCACTCGACCTATACATCATTCTTCCTCCACTGTCGGAATTGATTACTGCAAAATTATTGTGCTGAATTATACATGTCTGCCGAATCCCGAGAGATTTATATTCAAGCAAAAACAACATTAATTATTCATAATTCAAAGAGTCTAGTTAACAGAGAAAAATTGAAAAAAAATATCTTGTAAGTTTCATTATTTTTTTTTTTCCTTTTTTTGACATTTTGTTTGCATTTTTTCAATAAAAAACAATAAGTCATTCCGAAATTTTAAAATTGTCCTCAACACCGAAAAAATCACGCGCTTATGATCTAACCGACATTTGGGTGAACTCTCTGGACATTTGCGTGAGCTCTCCTGAACCAATGCGGTATACGACATGGCCTCGCCTCCCCTCCGGCTGTTGATGTGGAAATTTGCAATCTAGAACAATTTATCAACTCAAGGTTTTATTTTAGTTCTCTGGCCTCAAAACGCATGTGATAGGTATGTGTACCTACGTGGCCTTGGACATTGCCAGGGTTTGTCATTTGTCAATGGCTTGACGGTGAAAATTTATTTTTTTAAAAAAATATATATATAATTTTTTTAATTTCAATTTGTTATTCGCAATTAACATTGAATTCAGACCTAAATGGATCTGAACTCACCTAAAACATACTCTATTCAATTTAAGTCAATGCTTACATCAACATAGACAGATACATATATACACATACATATATATACCCCTTAGCAATCATCATCATCCATTAATAAATTTCAGGGCACAATTTTTCATTGTCTTCCCAGGGTAGGCAAACAACAACTTTGGGGATCTTTTGAGGTCGAAGATCATTGAATTTGAGGTGGGATAGGAAGAGCGTGCATAGGCTTAAATCGAACGGCTGGAGTATGATTTAGATGAGTTGGGATTGAGTTAGGTATAAATTGGATGTATTTCGTATTAATTGCAAATAATACACTGAAATTAAGAAAAAATGAATTTTCACGCCGTGCCGCCAACAATCCATGTCGTGCGACAATGCAGTTCTAACAAGGTCTCTGCAGCAGGGAGGAGGTCACGTGCACGTGTCTATCACATACGTTTTGTATTGGACTTTAGCAACGGAATGTACGGATAGATCAAATCCATCGCGATAAAGTTTTGCACTCCTTTAAAGGTTTTCGTCAGTATTTGAGATAGAGTGGTAATACAGAATAATTATGTCAATAAAAGCCACGGAATTGACCGCAAATCCTTCACACATCTCTTTTGGTGAAGGCATAAATTTTTGTTGTTATTATCGACAAAAATATGGACGAAATTTAACATTTATACTTATTACTTGTGATTTTTCATATCAAACTCAAGAACTTTAAATCATGATATGAAATTAGAAGAATACTCACATGTGATTCTAGCTGAACGAAGAATGAAGTAAGAGCTTGCTTGAGCGAGAAAACAATAAAAATAGTTATCTAAACAAAACAATAAAGTGCGCAAAACGGTGGTTTCCGGGAGGTGAGTGGGGTGAGAATGAGAGTGAGCGAAGCGAAGTAGCTATGAGTGAGCGGTATATGTATAAATGAAAAAAATGAACGGGTGATGGATGTTGAGCGAAGATGAGTAGAGCGGTAGTATATGTGATGGTAGGGTAAAATGATATGCTTTGTAAGTAAATTGTATATTCCTAAATGGTTAGATAATTTTTGAATGAAATGAGCTAATGAGACGATGGTGAATTAATGGAATAGTAATATATATATACTACGAATACGATAGGAATAAAGTGTATGATCATACTTATTCATTTAAATCAAATTTTTTATGATCTTGGGGAATTTATAATAAGTCTTTAACGTCGTTAATAACATTAGTTAAAAGAAAAGTTATTATTACTGGACATTTTTTTGACTTGATAAGCAAGTGTTTATGTCTAATAAATTATTACTTGTACTATTTCGATAGTAGTTCTACCTTTATGATACCTCTTTAATCGGATTAAATTCAAATCATAATTAATTAAGTCAACAAGGCTCTCGAATACTTAATTTCTATGAACTATCTACTTTCTATTATTGCGATGCGATATAGGTTTAATTGGTTGATCATTCTCTCGGCCTTCTTCGATTTTATCAAAATTAAGACTTAAATAATCAAATACAAACATAAATTTTTTAAGTGAATATAGAAGTTAAGAAGAAAGTAATATTTCAATAATCTACTTGAAAACTATAATTCTACATTATTGAAGCAGTATAGAAAATATAAAACAAAAGCAATAAAATTGTCTATAAAGGCTGATACATTGTGGAAAAAACTTCACTGATTTTTTATTCTATACTAAACTAAAGAGAACTTCTTACCTCATTATATGGTATACATAGGTTTGTTGCGCATAAGGGACGGCTGGCTTGAGTTTTTTGGACTAGGCCCCAGGCATATCAGCTTTTGACACGTTACAGATGGTATCAATTTGAAATTCTAAAAATAGAATAACAGCAATCCACTAAACACTATGAGGTTAATGTATTTATCATATTCAGTATGAGATATTTGACTCTATTTATAGAGAAATCAGAGATAACAATTGAACAATTGAAAGCAGTTGAGATGTTACGAGTTTTTTTGCAATTGTTGGACAGTTATGCAGTTAAATTGTTACAATCTGTTGGAACTATCATAACCCTCAGCTCAATCACTTCACCGCATCTAGTAATTTTGCGCACAAATCTTCCTCCTCGCTCGCTCTAACGGAAGGAGGTATCGACGTCACTCAAACAGAGTTGACTTTCTTTGTCTGTCGGAATATGAATGATTGTACTGTTGTGAGATCTACTTTGCTCAAACAAATAAGAATTTTGTTTTGGTCTCGCTGCAGCGGTAGAAATTCACTAACCTCTAAGACTTAGGCTTAAGCGGAATTCAAAGTACATGTCTGTGTCGCTTTGCTCAAAATCAATCATGTTGGCCTGAATTTCGTTCAAATTAGACTAAAAAATTAGTAAATCTTAACTGAAGATAATTGAATTATATCAACCGAAAAAAATCAATAAAGTATGCTATAATTCAAATGTATAAAAAAATATATTTATGTATATCAAATCGTATAAAAATGTGAAGAATCACAAATGCATATGCACACACATATTATATATATATATATAATACACTCACAAAAATATCTATTGTAATTTCACAATAACACAATATTTCTTACTAATACGACATTTCTTAAATTTTGCACCAAAAAGAAAGTTGATTAATTCCACGAAATAAAGAGTATAAAATATCATATAGAATATTTAAAATATTAAGGGTTTATTTAGTTTTGGTTTGAATTTGAGTTTTCTTGTTTTAGTTTGATTAAAATATTTTTTTCATATAATATATGATAAATAGAAAACAATGTATTATTTTTTATTGAAACTCAGTTCGGAAATAATAGTATTTTTGGATTGAAACAAAAATAAATAAACATTAAAAGGTGATGGATTGGGAATTCACAATTAGTTGTGAAATTTTGAAATTATCCACTTTACCAAGGTGCATTTGTTTTATATATTATTTGAGATATTTTTTATGTTAGATATTCTCACCATCCCATAAATAAATATCCGAATATTTTTTCAAATTTTATGAATATTAGTATTATATTAATATATAGTAAGAATAAAGTTTAAAAGACAAAAATAATTTTATTAGTATTGTATAATATAAATGTAATGATACTTGTATAATATATTGTAAGTTTATTTATAACGTTAAGTGAACAATACATTTAGTAAAAATAAATAAATACTTAAGTCAGACAAAAATAGAAAAATAAATGATTTGTTAATAAACGAAAAAAAATATAATAAACATATTGATATATATTTTATTTAAATATATGTATATTATATCTATTTAATATTAAGCATAAAGTACCAAAAGTTTCTTTAAACAAACCAATGAACTTTAATAATGATTATGATTGTAGTTATTAATCATATAGTCATATATGATAAAAATAAATAAATAAATAAAAATATCATCTATTTAATTAATTCATTAAAATTAATATTTATTTAATCAATTCATTCAAATTACCGTTATATTCTAACAAAAATAACTATTTAAAAACAATGAATATCTTAAAAAAAATTACAACTTTGCTCTTTTTAATAACATTTTAATTTTTCTATTTTATATTTTGGTTAAAAAGTATACAAGTACAAAATAAATAACTTATTTGAAATTTTATTTTTCAAATCATTTGCCTATTTAATATTTTATTTGGTTTTAAGTAATTTTTACGGTTGTTGGATTAGATTAAAATATTTCTAGTCCGTCAAATTTAATTAAATAACCTATTTGAAAATTTATTTTTCAAATCATTTGTCTATTTAATATTTTATTTGATTTTAGATAATTTTTACTATTTTTAAATTAGATTAAAATATTTCTAATCCATCAAACTTAATTCTAAAGAACAAAAATCAATCGAGGCAACAAAAAAAAATAAAAAAGAGATATTTTGCCCCTTTACTGATTGTATACAAACATAATACTCTCTCTTAATTTAAAATATTTTTTTATTATTTTCTTTTATCTCACTAAAAAATATTCATTAATCTTTTACACATATACAATTATATATATAATAATTTTATACATAAAATTAAAAAATATTATATTTTTTTAAATAATAAAATATTATTATTTTTTAATTTACAGCAAAACTTCAAAAAGATAAATTGAAATAAGACAAAGGAAATATTAAACTTTTAAGAAGAAAAAAATATAATGATAATTTGGGTGAATTGATTAAACAAATGCTAAAAATAAGAATAGTCGATTTGAAGCGTTAATATGATATATCATTAATAAGGTTAGAAGAATTTATTAATTTTTGTGTACTTAATAGTTTATGCATAAATTAATATTTTGAAATTTAAATAATTATTAAAATAATATACCCTCCGTCCCAAATTGGATGTCTTGATTAATGTAGACACCAAAATTTATGATAAATATAATTAGTAGATAATTAATAATATATTACTAAAAATAAATAACTAATAAGGTTAATTTAGTTTTTTTACCTTTATTTATACTTTATCCTAATATAATATTAATATTTCTAAAACTTCGTGATATATAAATATGAGACGGAGTAAATATTTTAATCAATATTTAAAATTATACATCTTTTATAAAAATTAGTTCATATTAATTATAAATAGTATTTTTATTTAAATTTCTTTATCTACAAAATATTCATATTGCATATATATATTTTTTATTGTATTCTAATTTTTAAAATATTTAAAAAATATATTCTCATTTTTTAATTATATATATTAAATTTATTTTAAAAAAATTATTAATTATTAATAAAATAATATTATAATTTATTATTATTACCTAATTAAATATTGTTACCTTAAATCTATATCCTTCGTTAAAAAGAATTTATAGATAGAAAAAAATATATGTTTATTGATAATATTGAAAATGTAATAACAATTATTAATCTGATTTATTCATTTATTAGGTGTTATTTTATTAGGGTGTGTTTGTTTGAAGGATTTTGGAGGATTTCTACTATTCATCTAATTTTTTCCTCCAAAAACATCAAATCAAACACCTATTTTTTATTTTTATATTATACTAAAAATCAATTTTACATTCAAAACATCACATCAAACCCTATTTATATCACATCATACAACTATTCAAATTTAAAGTTTATACTATTCAAATCCCAATCCAAAATCCAAACCCCCAAACAAACACACCCTTAATGTAAAAATTGTATACATTTTATGTCATAATGCCAAGTGGTTAAAAATGTGATGAGTAATCACATTTCTTAAAGCCTATTTAAAGACATTTGCAAATTGAACTAATGCTTTACTCTCTCTCTCTAATGCTCTACTCTCTCTCTCTAAATTCAATCTCACCATTTCTCTATTTCTCTCTCTAAAATAAATATACATTTTTACATATATTTATACATCTATACATATACTATATATATATTACATATCATATATTTTACACACCATATATATATATATTTTATCAAACTATAATTATATATATTTGTTATATTTTATAACATAATCAAGCATAATTGTATTATTCACCAATTTATTCTTGTAAGTTAATTATTATTTTTATTTAAATTTTTATATATACATTCTTATTTAAAATATAATCAAATATATTTATAGAAATCAAATAAGGCTCTACCAGATTTATTTTTAATAATTATTATATTAAAAACATATAAATAACAAAAACATTTTTATTAATTCTTATAATATTAATATGAGAAAAAAATTTTGGTCCCAATATAACCAAAATTCATCGATTTTAGTCTCAATATAAAAATTTTAGCAATTTTGATCTGAATATAACCAAAACTCATCATTCTTGGTCATAATATAAAATTTTTATCAATTTTAGTCTCAATATAACAAAAACTCATCATATTTTGTTCTAAAATAATCAAATTTTATCTTTTTTTTATCCCACCGTCAACAAACCGACGAAAAATACTGACGTGGACTTGCAAGATTGTACAATTTCTTCAAATATAAATATAAGGTTTGATTTCTTTTCACGTCAGCATTTTTCGTCAGTTTGTTGACGGTGAGATAAAAAAATAAGGTTTGATTATATTATGACAAAAAATGATGAGTTTTTGTTATATTGAGACTAAAATTGATAAAAAATTTTATATTGTGACAAAAAATGATGAGTTTTGGTTATATTATGACAAAAAAATAATGAGTTTTGGTTATATTGGAATTAAAATTGATAAGATTTTTACAAAATTGATGAATTTTGATTACATTGGGACTACAAATAATTTTTTTCTATTAATATAATATAATAAAATTTGTAAAATATTATACTATTTTTATTCAATTTTGTAGAATTTATCTATGAAATAATTAAAAAATATATTTTTTCTTAAATAAAATATAAAATCTGGAATATATAATTTAATAATAATAAATATTTTTATAGTATATTGTTTTTTAAAATAATATATTTTTGAAAAATTATATATATTTTTACAGAAAAAACAATCAAGCAACTTTTCTAATCCAAAACCAATTTCAAAGCACCCAAAGTTACAGATTGATACCCAATTTGCGCTCACACACGCTGCCAGGGTAGTGGGGTGGCTGCCGAAGTGTCGAGTCCGATGCCAATGTATTATTATGGGGACCACACACACATATATATATAATAAAATGCTATCATGTATTGGGTTGCCTTCTGCTACTCCTGTGTCTTGTTTTCTCTTCCTTCCATCCTCTTTTATTATTATTATTATTATTTTTTCTAATGTTTTATTTTATTTTATTTTTAAATACTATATATATATATATATATTTTTTTTTTCACCCTTTTCCCCTCCCTGCAACCTCTGACCTAATTGTCTCGGCATCCAAACACCACCCACACCCTTCTGCCCTTCCCCCACCTCACCTTCCACGATCTCCTCTCCCGCCCCGGCACTGCCCCTCCGATCAACTAAAGATCGCTACAAATCTGGTGAGTTCTGTATTCTTCAAACACCTCATCGTCTGGATCTGCTTTGGATCGATTCTTAAAAGGCTAATCTATAGCACTATCTGAACACGCGCACACACATATGTATATACGACTCTGTAGTCTTCAGATAAGGTCTCCAAAGATGACACCGGCAAAAGTCGCAGGACAGTTCGGAGACACGACTTACACAAAGGTATTTGTTGGTGGTCTAGCGTGGGAGACTCAGAAGGACACCATGAGGAAGTATTTTGAACAATTTGGTGAAATACTGGAGGCAGTGGTCATCACCGACAAGATTACTGGAAGATCAAAAGGCTATGGATTTGTATGTTTCTGTACAACCATTTCCTTCATTTTTACTCCCCCCTCCTATTATATTTAGTACATTGTTTCATTTACTATCAAATGAACGGGTATCTACCTCAACACGCGCGCGCTCACACACAACGCACATATACATTTGCACACTGCCGATCTGATGTGTGTTTCTCCGCAGAGAAAGAAATATAATCGTGTACGGCTATGTTTATGTAGTTTCTCACCGTAATGAGTAAAAGATCCGACGAGATGAAGTCCATACATTTATATATGTTTCACAATTATAGGCTTAAGTGTGGCGGATCGCGGGAGCTACCAATTTTGGTTTTGCATAAAAGTAGTGTGATAAAATTAGGTTAAAAACTAACTAGAACGATCTCTCGCCTGCAAAAACATGCAGGTAACCTTTCGGGACCCAGATGCGGCCATGAGAGCCTGTGTTGATGCCGCTCCTGTAATTGATGGAAGGAGGGCTAATTGCAATCTTGCTTCTTTGGGTGTTCAAAGATCTAAGCCTTCTACCCCCAAGCATGGTACATATGCTTTCTGAATTATGTATTTGCATATTAGCTAATTTTACGATACTCGTTGGTTTTTATTTCCACTAGCTGATTGCACTATATATAACTAGTCTCAGCAAGTTCATGGTTATATCTTATGCACAATACCCCGAATAAATAACATCCTGACAGTACATGATAAAACAAACGGAGGCCCTCCCTTGGCTTCGTTATATATAAGCTATCAGCTAATTAGCTTTGCCACCCAATAATTATCGTAACATTAATTCAAAATATTGAAAATGAGAAAGTTCCTCGCTTGGCTTCTTTATATATAAAGCTAGGTTTGAATGAATAAAACTGGGTTGAGTCCCCTTTACAACCACAAGAAGGGTGTGGTTGGCCACACCACGGCGCTGGATATATTTTTGGAAAAAGCAAGCATGACAGCTCATTTCTCCTGTGCAGGACGTACACTTATCTGCTTTTATGCTGCGTGGTAGATTTCAGGCTTTTCTTTTGTGTTACTTTAATTTGTTATAACTTTCCTTGTTGAGATCGTCAATGACATGATTAACAAGAGACCACTAATTGATCCTGTTTAACATTAAATAACACTGATCGTATGCATACACACCTAACCGAGGCACTACAAGCTGACCTGAAGATGATGGTTTAAAATGGCATGACAATGATCAGGAGGAGGAAGGAACATAAGGGTGATAGGCGGAGGCTTGCACCAGGGAGGATTTCAGGCAGCTGCTGCAGCAGCAGCAGCATTCGCTTCGGCAGCAGCCTTCCCTCATTATTCCATTCAGCAAGGCATACCTTACAATCTTTATGGGTATGTATTGTTGCGCTTTATTGTGGAATTGCTTCTGACCGGGTGCACTGCCTTTTTCTTTTAAAACTCCAGGCGCGCCATTGAAAGGCCTGGCAAGCATGCTTCATGTTCACACTTTAGTTTTAGTGTGTATATATATATATATATAATATATTTAACAAGCTTCTTATTTGAAGTCCACATACTTACTTTTGAACTCACACACACTCTCTCTCTCTCTCTCACACACACACGCACAGTTGGCAATTAATAATACAGCCAGCGATTAACACCCATCTTGTGGAGTACCAATGCCTTGCATCATTTTGCATTCTTCCAATTTCAGATAAAAATGTGCACTTGCCCGGATATGCAGTTGTACCGCAGCTTGCAGCTGCATTATATTTACGGTTTTGTGGTGGCCATATCCTTGACCAACTTTATTGAATCTCTATAGTTCTTCCTTTTAGAATTCTATTCTCTCTTGTTTAATTTCTGAACAACAAAATAAACTTATCAGTCAAATCTGTGGTAATCATTGATGAATATCGTGGACAAAGGCAATTTGATTAGTTAGGTCTTCATAGTAAGATGATATAATTCGTTAGCAGAAGTGGGGTGTTGAGTTTATCTTCAACTTTGGTGTACATGAATACACACCCACAAAATTTGTGTTTTTGGTGTTATCGTTTGTTTTTCTTGATTGAACTCTTGATACTGACTTTTTTTGCTTTGAAAAATCTCAGGTATCCTCCGTACTCCACTGAATATGCTTTCCCTGCGGTTAGTACACTGACCTCTTGATTACACTATCATATATATTTCCAGTTTGATCCATTTAAAAATCACAAAGTACATACATAAACAAATGTTCGTGGTACTCAATGTGTATGTATATTTTTGCATTAAATATTTCAATGATTTGTTTACCATTGAGCTTTTAACCTACCATGAAGTGTGACAATGAATGGCCCTTGTTAAGTAGCTTCTATCTGCACATAGAGTTCATGATACTGGAATGTGCCTCCCCTGTCACATTGCTTAAAACAACTGCACATTTTTATTCAAATTCATTTTTGAAACTTTTAACAAAGCACTCTTTTGCTCGTTTCAAGGATCTGAAAAAAAAGAAAGAAAGAAAAAACGGAGCTGTTCATTTAAGAAATATTTATTCAAAATTATATATTCCCAGGTCAAGGTGGAAACTGCGTTGTAGCTCTAATGAAATCACAGGGAACTTAAAAATGGAGAGTTAACATCTTTGATAGGGACACTATCTCTTGGCTTTGAAATTTCAAGTAATGATACGTAATGGTTTGTTGGATTGCACGTCAATCCCGTGTCTAATAATGAATCAGTTTATGCATATAGAACTTATCAGTGTGACATATGTATATGTGCATGTGTATTTGCACGGCATTTGTGTAGAGCTACTACGGTGTGTACGGAGGAGGGTGCGCACCGTATCCATTGTACGGGTGTGGAAGCAGCAGCAGTGGTGGTTACTTTTCTTACGTAAATTTGAATGAGGGGACAAACTCAACTGGGTACACTGGCAGCCATCAGCAGCAGCAGCAGCAGCAGCAGGGCTATGGTGTTCAGTATCCCAACCATGGCCTCTTCCACTATTCTCCTATTACCTCAGCTCCCATTTACTCTCCGCATTATGCTGGTGCTGCTACCCCTCTCTCACTTGCTCCCTCAACACCACTCCAACCCGCAGGTGATTTATTGTTTCCTAGATGTCTGCCTGCATAATTAGCTAGTTTAATCCCTGAATACAAAATTATATGATTACATAGGTTTCTTCCTATACTATCTGGTACAATACGTGTATACATACATATATATATATATATATAAATATATTGATGTAGACGGGACCTGAGCACTAATATCCTTGACAGTTTGCTTTGCTGTGACGCAGGCGTGACCATGGCTCTGCATACGCCAATCACCCAACGTTGAGAGAGAATACCAGTGGTGCGAAGTTGATTGATACGCACTCGCCGGCATATGTGCGTATGGCCTTACCATGGAGTTCATCTTTCTATTTCTCACTTTTCTGCAGGCCATGCCTCTAGCATTTGGCCGTACATCCCAGGGCCCCCTCCCAAAAGGAGAGGACTACGCCGTCCAACCACATATACCTACACCTTAGATGATTCTCTCTGTACGAATGGTTCCTACAAGAGAATTGCATTTGCATGAGCATCTCAATCCCCGCTCAGGAAAAAGCTGGGACTAGTTGGCCTTGCTTTTTGTCTCCCTTCAGCCGAGGAAAGGCTGCTACTAAAAGCAAGAGGCTACAGATGTCGCCTGGTCCTCCAAGGCCATGAAAGAATAGACAGTTCTTTCTTGTCATGATATCATTTCTACTTGCATGGTAAAATCACATCGGTCTTCTCGGTGCAGCAAACAAGGAAAAACACATTGGATATGCTAGTGGCTGATATCCTTTCGATGGTAGAAGCTTTTAGCTAATGGTAGTAGATGATTAGGGAAAATCAGGACAGAGGATGTACCTGATGAACTTGGTCTCAGGATTTTAGAAACTGCGACTGGGGTTTTTCTTTGTTTTTATATATATATATATATATATATTCCAAATGCCAAGTTTAAAAACTGGCATTTGGGTGGATCGCCTCTTCTTGGGAAAGGGGAGGTGAGACGTAGTTTTTAAATGGTTTATGTTTTAGTTCTTTCTTCGTTGAATCAAGGTGGGGCAGAACTTTTGGAGTTGGTGCCCTAGCTAGATAGCGGTTTGACATAACATAAGGGAACTCCTCGGTATAGGTCTTTGATCTCTCTCTCTCACTCCCTTTTAATTTCAATTAAGAAGTTCCATCAAATGGGTTGTGGAATTCACGTGCACAGTAAGTATACTTTGGATTTGATTTTATTTGTCCTACTGGCTACTCTCCTTGTAACAGCCGTACAGACGTGCCAACCATGGTTAGGGCTCAGGTGCTGGCTGGCCGTCATCACCTTTGCTGCCATCCATGGCCCTCTGTCTCTCTCTCTCTCTCTCATAACTGTTTTATGCTCAATGTATGGGAACCCTAGGAAATACTTGTTTTTTTATTGGTCCTATGGTTTGTAACTTTTTTATCTTGCGAGGAAGCTTATTTCGCTTTTAGTTGATCAGAGCGGCTTCTTAACGGTGACTGCTTTGCTTCTTGTGAGTGAATGAATGTTACCTGGTGTCAAGAATGCCTGCCTGCAGCTTCTCTGTCTCTCTCTCTCTATATTTATATATATAGGCATGTTTGTGTATCATACATCTGTTTGTGTATCATACATCTGTTGAAGCCATTGGCGTTGCTATTCTGGGCAGGGGTCATTCAACACCCTCCGATGAAGCCACCACCAAGCATTGGGATTTTTCGTGCCAATTGAGCCCGCTAGTGCCACGACCCATTTCACCGACAACCCGACCCCTCAGGTTCTCAAGAAAGCTTAGGACTCCCCCACCCCCAGAGCCGATACTCTGATCAACTGTCGCAAAATACACGTGCCCATCCATCCACCATCCATCAAGTTCTCTCATCTCCAAGCAGAGTGCAGCTCTCCCTGGTTAGACGTGTACAACAGCCGAGCATCCTTCCAATTCCATGCACAGCAGTAGCCAATAAGAGTAGTTTTCAGAGAGTCAAGCGTCCATGGAAAACAAGAGCCCAACCCACAGAGGTCATCCGTCCGTCCGTCAAAACCAATTCCGAAACGCAGAAAGTTTCTTCTCTATTCTAAGCAATCGTCATCAACCTTTGCCAGTTCAAGGCCCAACGAACAATTTCATAGAGTCAGATCAGATCAGATGGGCTTCTTTCCGCAAACGCAAAAAGGTTAGTTACCACAGAGGGTTTATTTCCTCACAAGTAAAGAGGAAAGGGTGCACCGCCTCAGGCCGGCCCACCGGTTCAAGTAATCCGTTCACCAGGGAGAGGAGGAGCGTTTGACCATTGCATCCAGCGTTGCGTTTGCATTCCCCCTGCCCTTGACATTAATTGGGTGCGTGGGTGGGCTGAAAACAACCGTCATGGGCATGGACCAAGCCACTTCAATTTACCCGCTCACCTCATTTTACACACTCTCTCTCTCTCTCTTCGAGCATCAATCCGCAGGCTTTTGTTGAAATGGCCAACAAGTTCTATATATATATATATATATATTACTATATTAGTTGAGTGATATACTGATATATGTGTATATATATATATATACACACACACACACACGTAATGTGACCCAAAAATGGGTGAGGATTGTCCTATCGGTGTAGTGTGGATGGATGGCATTATATACCCGACTCTGATAATCATCAGCTCCTCTTGGCTTAGGCTTGATCTTTAAGCATGGGGGGGAGCTCTGCTGGTGTTCGCACAGCACAACTAAGACATACTGTGTAAGCGCATAATAAAGTGCACTTGTCATATTGATGATGGTCGATACTACAGGAGCAGAAGAACCTACTGCTACATTAATCAAAACCTAGCCAACCTATAAAATACATTTATATATATATATATATGTGTGTGTTTATGCAACAGGTCGGACATTCATCCTGCATGCATGCATTCTCCCTCCCATGCACCAATCTTTTTTCCAACTCCGCCATACCCACCATCTCCATCTCCATCTCCATCGCAGGTATAGTACTTATGGTTGGTCCGGTCCATCCATCAACAACTACTCTCTCTCCTGAGAGTTGGAGACAGCAGCAGCCTGTTGACTTGTTTGAGGGACCTCGTCGGTACCGTAACCATGTTGATCATGAGACTGCAAAGCTCCCTCCTCTTCGCCACCAGAGGATCTGATGATACTGGCTTCAACCTGACCATCTTCGGCACACGGAGGAGCTTTAGTAGAGGGAAGGAGTGACTGGCGGCAAATCGGACAAGTTGTGTGTGCAGCTAGCCAGAGGTCGATGCAATCCATGTGGAATGTATGCCTGCACGCTGGTATCTGCTGAAGCCTATCCTCCGCTTGGTAATCACCAAGACACACAGAGCATCTAACCTCAATCAAGGCAAAAAGGAAAACGGGGTTAGTTTTAATAATGCCTTCCTTCTCTGTCTAACGTGACCTCAAGTTCTATCATCATCAATTCTTGTAAAGAGGGGAAACGACAGACAGAGACAAGCCTCAATTTGCTAACCATAACCCAATTAATACTCCCCAAGCCCATTTCTTAGTAACCTCATTTCCTCACCCAAGCCAAAGTGTTGGAAGAAGCTAAACCACAAGCATGCAAAAAAGTTATGCGCACAGTGCAGCCTCGTTATATTATTATTATTAGTAGTAGTAGTAGTAGTAAGCAAGATCCTACCGCATGAGGGGCGTGCAGTGTTTTTCCTTTCCTACACAGCCTAACTCTGGATAAAACTCACATAAAAGACATGGCGTTCACTATCTAATCCAGCTAGGGGAGAGGAGGGGGCACACATGTTCAAGTGATCATGGTTAAAGCTGCTACAATCAGTTTTTTAGGAAACCCCCTCGCCATCTTTCTTGATAAATAATCAATCGCATCCAGAATCCAAAACCTGCCTCTTCACTAAAAACTAGTTAGTTAACCTCTCAGCCTTCATTTCCCTTACCTCGAGGTGACTACATCTTTACTACCACTGAGTTTGAAAAATCTTCATCATCATTAAAGTCTTTATAACAGCATGTGAGTTGGATATTGGATATGTTAATCATGATTGATATTGCATCAGATCAAGAAAAAAGTGTTCTATAAGACATTTAAATATTGCTTGCACTCTTGTAGTATCTTTCCAAATTCTTCCTAAAACATTACCTTTCCACCCTTTAATATGAACAAAATAGGATCTATTTTATGTTTGTGGTTACATGACTGACTTCTGGAGGTTTTCTTTCTATACATGACCAAACCATTTTAAACATATATCTTAACCACATATTGGGCATTTATCATCTACTGATCCTGCCTCTACTCAACAACATACGCATTCTTCACTACTTAATCTACTCTGCTGCAACGTGCACATCCATCTCAACACTCAAATTTCATATATGCTACAATTTTGTTCGCATTCACATCCAATCACCAACATTTGGGTATGTAGGGCATGCCTGAATTTATTTATTTATTTTTATTTTTTATAGAAAACTACGAAAGTTGCATTTTATAGAAAATAGGGGTGTCTGGTAGTCAGAATATACATCAGTAACCCCAGGAGACTAAACTGAACTAGTTAATTTGGCCACCCAGTTCTAGACTTGATCAAATGCGTGGTACCGACTTTCCAGGTGAAATCTGGTACTGTATGCATATCTAAGGAACTCAAACCCACCCCCCAACCTAATTTGTGAGACATTGTAAAATGATTGAAGGGAGGACTGAGACGCCGTGCCCATGCGAGAAGGGGGGTTTGGGGAAATTAAAACGAAACGAGAAACTTACTGTGCGTCTCTGACAGAGAAACTCTCCTTGAATACTATAATAGGCAGCATCTCCCGCAGCTCCTTCTTCACGCCCAATTCACACTATAAATAAATCCAGGGACAAAATACATAAATAAATAGTAAGGTGCACGGGTGCATGAGCGAGCAAGGTACTCGGCGTAAATCGGTTTGTGGATATAGAGGGAAGAATAGAATAGCAAACAAAATATACCATACCATACCCACCCTGGATACATCATCATCGTTGCCGCTCTCAGAAGTGGGAATGGAGGTGGCAGTCCTCATTCTGAGGGAAGACCAATCTACCCTTCGCCGACGGAGATAGAACAAGTAAAACAAGAAGAGAAGAATGAAAGTGAAGAAAATTGGCACGGAAAAGATGAAGGCTTGGTACAGTTTCAACTCGGATGAAGCTCTGGAGCAGCAGCTGGCAGCAGAACTGGAACCATTATTGGCTGTTTCTTGGTCTGAAATGCTGCTTTTGACGCTGTAAGACATCAGAAGCACAAGGTGGTTTTTTAAGTGTAGGATCCCACGAATAGATCACATCAATCAATCCGGATTTGGAATTGAGAGGAGGAATGAATGAATCAATGAATCGCAAAGCAATAGTGGATTTTTTATTATTATTTTTTTTCCCAATCTTTTTTTTAGCTGAACCTGAACGGATGGATCTAAAACAAGAATTGGTTGGTATGGAAGGGAGCCGAAACGGAAGCTCTGAAGAGGGAGTGTAAAAATGGGTTTGGTCTTGAGACACCAAGCAGACATCTGAGATCCAGAAAATTTACCACGCTGGAGTTGGGGCGCAGGAGGTTAGGTTTGGCTTGGCTTGGTTTTGGACTGGGGAGACACACCACACCTGACACCACGCCACCCAATAATAATAATAATAAAAATAAAAGTGAGTGAGGAGGGAGGAGGCACAACTAAATTCACAGCAGCCCATGAGGGGGCGGGCCAGGCCGTGTCGTGTCGTGTCGTGCTGTGCTGTTGGTTGGTTGATTTGTTGTCCTCAGCATTTTCCTTCTGTTCGGTGGCCTTCTGGGTGTTCACTGTACAGGCAGGCCGGATGAAGAAGAGCGAGCGAGCGATCATTAACCTGACGAGTTTGGACGCACGCACACTCTTTGTTCCCCCCTCACACTCCTTTGGAGTAAAAGAATCCCAGCGATGCCAGCAGGCAGACGTAGCAAGCAGAATCCAGCGGCTGTCCATTCATATTTGTCTTCCCTCGTAAGGGAGTGGAGCCAGTGCCAGAGGGAACAGGAAAGAAATTGAGTATAAAGATGAATCAATTGCCTCTAAAATACCTCTTTTTATGTATCAAAGACGTTGGATTCAGTATTTTTTTAAAAATATCCACAGAGCCACACGCATATGTATACAAGAAGCAGTAGTATAGTATAAATTAATATCAGGAATTTGCTATAGTTTGGCTTGTTCCCACAGGCCACAACGTAACTGCTAATTCCAATACAGTTTCAACAACGTGCTTCACTCACAATTACATGCACTCGTCCGACAAGATATTTACACTATATATATATATATATATAATTGGAGTGTAGAGTGTGGGCCTGTTCTGTCACACATCCCTGACTTTTAGCCTTACCTCAGAAGGAGAATTCCCTGGTTTTCTAGGGCTCGAGATGGAGTTGGGTACCGTCTTCTTTGGGCTTGACGCAACTGCACCAAATTTAAGAACTAGAATCTTGAAACATGGTAAAGTCAACAGATAGAGAGCTCCTAAGATTAGGGGCGCTGCGACCACCCATCCCAACAACTGCAAGCATACCAACACAACTCATTAAGGCAAGCTGGACTTCCACCAAATAATAAGGGACTTCTCAAGGATCACAAACACAACAAGACACCCAGCCTCACAAAAGTATAGGAACAACTGTTAATTCTAATATTGCTATACTGTATCACAGTATCTAGTATTTACACGTGCAATTAATCAATCTTGCTTCAACATACATACATACCCGACCCACCAACATTAAGTTCATGTAAAGTATTTATAAGAAAATCCGGTGTTTCTGATCAGTGATTTTGCCAATATTTGTAATATGAATTTTCACTCCACCTAATTACTATATTCCACATATGATGGACTGCTACCATCTCGAGCAATTGTCGTAAACAACTTTCAATTTGCACGGAGAAAGAAATGCTTCAGGTAACTGAGACTTCAATCAAGACATCTCACCACATCACATGCATGCTTAAAAAATATTCTGATGTTTGCATGGCGCATTGGCATTCAAATCAGGAAGATATTGTTTGTCGTTAAAAGTTTCAATACAATAGCACAAGATATTGCAAATTGGTAACATACCGCACAGAGGATGCTCTGCAAGACTCCCTGTGAAGCTTGACCAGTCAAGACCTTCTTAAAAGCATCAGAAGTTAAAGCAAAATGAGGCCAACCAGTGACAAATTCACCAAATCGTAGAAATGGAACCATCAAACTACACATTGAAGAACCCAAAAAAAAAAAAATAATAAGATCAGGATTCTGATGTTAATAAAATCAACTGTATTGGAACATAACAGCTATCTCGGATGCTTGAACCAACAATCACGCAACTTAACATCACCCGAATGGAACACCAACCCAATAATTCAGACTAATCAAAGGAAAATTTTACAAAACAGACAATTGGTTATATGCTGGGGAGGTGAACCTGGTTTCCAGAACATATAGAACCATTCATTGATATGCTAAATCTTGTGTGTACCCAAAAGCCAAGTCTTCACAAGAATTGCACTCGCATTTGGTTAGGCAAAGCCAATGAAGTTAAGGATTGTAGTGACCAAGTATGTGAGCTTTCATCAACATGTGAGCTGTCTAAGGAAATTCATTGCACAGTGGGTGAAAAAAGAGTTAGTTGCCTTGTGCGGGGGAAGGAATTACCTTAGTTCAATGGGAGTAGCAACAAAATTAGCCAGCATTACAGTCGGAGCATGACAGACGGGTCCAAGTACGGCAATAGCGATCCCGCATAGAAACACGGTAACACCTAGTCAACAACATTATAAACTCCAAAAATAAGAAGATTGTTGGTCAGATAATTCAAACGATTGTGGTTTCAACAGGGACACGTACATCCCATCCCATGACCTAGCAATTATAAATTACAGTAGCAAATAGTTGTTGGAAATGACTCTCTGATTACTATTATATCGAAACGACAGAATGCTAAATTAGCATATACCACAGACGGGGAAAATTCCTAAGGTGATCCCCAGCGCAGCGGAGAACGCCAACTTCTTCGGCTCAGTTCCCCTGATGAATCGCTTTAAAAACTTTCAGTACATTACTACGGCCAAAATCGTGGCAGTGACGTCCAAAAAATAAACGCGATAAGATAGAGAGTGAAACTAACCGGCGGAGGATTTGCAGAAGAGGGTCGACGAACTTGATGCGCCACCACGAGGCCAGCGCGAATCCGAAGCGTTCGAGCATGGGGATTGGAAAAGGACGAGGCAAACCTGAATCTTGGAATTTGAATGCACTTGTCTTTGTGACGGTGGTACTGGAGGAAAAAAGGGTACTGAATCGTTAAGAACAACAAGGGATCGCGAAGATTTCGTCGAACCTAGAAATTATGTCGGGATGCGTGGAGGCTGGTGGTGAAATCAATGAGGATTGAGTCGTGTGATCCAGACCTGGTTGTTATTGCTCCTGATCCTTAGTCAGCCACCTACCTGCTCTCCTCCTCCTTCACGGGCACATGACACCGCCGTCGCCCTGCCTGCCTATCCCGGTTTTTCGTACCACTGCTTTCCACTTTTATCTCTCCTTTATATTATTATTATATTATTATTATTATTATTAAATACTAAAGGTCAGTGTTTCGTTTGGGTTCGCCTCCCTGCTGCTGGTGGTGGTGGAATGATTTGGCCTAATAAACCCATCAGACATTCATTCCCCTCCACCCACGAATTTATAAATCATCATTTTACACGTTCGTTTCTTCACTTTTATCAAATTTTAGTTGCGCCTGTCCAAAACAGCAATGCGCGGTTACCTCACAATATAGTTTGCAATTCGCAATTCAAGAAATACTTTTTTTATTTTCAACCATTTTACCATATATGACTCAATTTTATATAACTCCTCCTCCTCCTCCAGCTCCTCCTCTCAATTGTTCTCAATTCTTTCTTCCTCTTTCTTCAAGGAAAGGACGAGTCACCTGGTGTTGTATTTAGGCATAACAGATTTATGTTTTTCCCTCACCTGCCATGCACAAACAAACCAACAAACGAACAGCTAGAAACATCAACCAACAATTCCCAGACAGCGGCAGGCACTTGGTCTTGGCCCTTTTTCTCAACTGAAAGACATTCCATACTGGATATTATTGTTATTATTTCTGTATAAGCCAGTCCAGACGATGGATTTCCCACAAGAAGAAGATGGTCGGTCCATGCATTCGTATTGTCTGTGTCTGTCTGTCAGTCATGAAGGCAGCAAATAACCTCCTTCAAAGCATTGCGTCCTCGCATCTTCCATAACACGCTGTAGCAGTGTAGGATTGCCTGTGACCACGCCATCCACACGCTCCAACAGCATTTTCTGCATGTCAGCCTCCTCATCAACCGTCCATGCATATACCTTCTTATTCCTCCTGTCATCACAGTGCACACACTAGCAACAATTGTAATGCAATCAAGACACTGACGGAAATTCCGAGTGTGGTGCCACCATACCTGTGGAGGATTGTCACCAGTTGTTCGTCAATCAAAGGATAGTACACACCAACCACATCAGCACCTCTCATCCTCAATAGTTTGCTCCTAGTTCCAGTTGAAGGATCCATCATTACTATGTACCCCACCTTCATATATCAGTGTCATCAACAGGAATGAAATTAGCTATAGTTATGTACCGCTGAATGAGACACAAGAAGTTTCCAACTGATCATGATGGAATATAATCAAGCTGCAGCAAAGAAATTGGAGAAATAATGAAGTCTCTCTTTTAACAAGCACCACTTACAGCCTGAAGCACTTAGCTGCTCACCCTCCAAAAAACTTGAGAGAGAGAGAGAGAGAGACACTAGAAATGGAATTTACCGTTGTATGGGTGGATAATTTAATTGCATCCCTTGCTAGACTGTCACTTTTTGCCCATATAAGGCAATTCTTACAACTTGTCCTTTCAACCTGCCAAAGTTTGGTAATGAGCTTAATATGACTTCATATTTACATACAATAAAACATAACTACCATAATGATATATAGAACTTATGTTTACATGGTGGTATCAGTGTTTGAGAATAGGATAAGCATGGGATTCATTCCCATTTACTGTAGCCCGCCCATTAGAAAGTCTGGCAAAACTTGATTCTTAAGTGTCAATTTTCTTTTTCAATTACAATCAGATGATACTTGTTTTAATTGGAGAATGATTGATAAAATCAAGGTCATAAGCATGCAGCCCTAATTGGACCTTCTGTCACTCGGCGTCAACAGGAAAAAAAACTCACTTTATCATTTAGATAAAAACACGCAAACAGAAGGTTCCTGATAACCAAAGGGGGCTTTCCTGGCACTTTGCCTAAAGCTTATGCTCTTTTGGATCCTTCTTGATTTATGACCGATCAACTTTCAGTCAGAGATTAGATGCTGCTTTTCATATAATAAGGAACGGAAGAAAAGGTAGCAATGACTGAAAATATACAAAGTGCCTTAGTTGGTCTAGTTCTTCACCAGGGCAAAAGCAAAGATTAAGTCCTCAACCGCATTTCCAAGGATATCCCACTTCTCCAGTGATCTCAAGTGGAGTAGGAAGCATTTGAAATTTTGGAGTTCTACAGGTTATTTAAAATAGATTAGATATGAACATATGAAGTAAGGCTTTAATTCAGAAGGTGAAGGAAGGAAGGAAAGAGGGAGCAGTTCTGTAGGGTTTCTAGTGGGTTCGAGGCAATCACTCGATGCCAAACTCACACTTTCTGGGAGGCTCATCAGGGTCTGCTTGTACTATCTTCTGATAATTTACACTTACGGCTATATAAGAGTTCTTTCTCTGAGCACCACTTGATGCATGTAAGAGGGCTAGTTTGGAACATTTTGTAGGTGCTAAGATAGGCAAAGAAACTGAAAACACATAAAAAAATATAAGCCATCCCTTACTGCTTTACTTATATATATATACATACACATATATATATATATGTAAGAGACCAAAAACAATCCTCCTGGGATGTGAAAATGTGAGCCGAATAATAGGCTCAAAGAACATTTTACAACACTAGAACTTGGCTACAGACCACCTTTATTCTGCATATATATATATATATATATATATTTATGTGTGTGTGTATTTCTGATATTCTCATTGACCTATATAGTTAAGCAATATTATTTATTAAATACAACGCAATAAAAAAAAAAAAACATAAAATTGGAATACTAAGACAATTAACTAATATCACAGTTATACTAAACTAGTAGAAACGAAAAAATAAATAGAATATGGTTTATGGAACCAAGATTTTATATGGATTATGGAAAAATAATAAACTATGTGTACGTTCAAGAGGATACTGGGAAATATGGTGAAAAGAAAGGACAGACAACAAAAAATAAAATATAGAGTTTCAAAAGATTATGTAATATGCCCCAGAAAAATGAGGACATTATATTCAATCTCACTACTCAGTAGATAATAAAATGAAATTTCCTAAATTTTAGACTCTGACAAATTTGTGCCAATATTAAAACATTAACATAGATATCCATCTACCGAAAAGTGGGTGAAATTAAAAGCTTCCATTGTTTAATGGAATAACATAATGAAAATGAAACCCCTTGATCCAGCAGTAAGAGATTGCCATTCCAACAGGGTTTGGCATCATTAAGGCCATGGCTTTTCCATCTCTCTAAGAACCATAACTATCATATTGAGCCAAGCAAACCACCAATTGAAATGTAGAAGCAAACGAAAGTAATTTCTCAACCATTTACTTGAACACTATATATGTAAATGGATTAAAAGTTCTAAAATAAGTTAACTCTCTATTCTCTAATAATACAACGGCATATTCAAACCAAAATTCAAGAGCAAAATTAGTAGTAGAAGAAAAGGACAAAAGCTCTTCAGCAACAAATAAATAAACCTACCAGAGAGAGAATATCCTTGGCAAATCCTTTCTCATATAGTGGAGGGCCAACTTTAGCATCAAGAATCACCTGCCTAACAGAACCTGCTACCAACTGTAACACAATAAAGAGTCAAGCCTTTGTAAATCAAGTGTCAGTAAAAAAAAAAAAAAAAAAAAAAAAAAAAAAAAAGGAAAAAAACTGTTACAATAAAGAAAACTTTAGAATATATGCAACCATATATTCCCATGGTATTCGGCTTGTGTAAATTCCATACATGATAAAAAAAAAAAAATTCGAACTTCAACCCATCATAATTACTGTAAATTATTTTAATATAGCTGTAACCTAAGATTGACTCCATCAGGATCTAAAACCACCTGTTATTGTCTCATTGTAAAATGAAAAACATAGGGTGCGTTCGTTTGGGAGTTTTGATTTAATTCTTACTATTAAAAAAAAAAGAATCCCTTTAATAATATCAAATCAAATATTTATTTTTTATTTTTTATATTACACTGAAAATCAATTTTACATTAAAAAATCATATCAATTCCTATTTATGTAACATCAAACAACAATTCAATCAAAACTCATAATCAAAAACACCCAAACAAACAAACCCATAATGTTACTTATTGATTCTGAAACATATTAATGGCTTTGCATAAAAAGAAAGCAACCAAGAGAATCAAAGGGAGGAAGCATACCTTTACTGCATCTTCAATTGTTAGAATATTTATAGCATGAGTCAGATATGCGATCTACAGCGCCAACATCCAAGGTTTCAATCAGTTTCCAAATATATTGACAGATGCAAACTTAATACAATTCAACCAACCTCTTTCATGCTTAAATAACCAACTTTAGAAGAACTATTCCCAGAAATTCGTTGTAGATCCCTGGCTGCAATGTGTGAGAATCAACATTCCAGGAAATTTCTACAGCAATTCACAACATGATCAATGGAACTCCACAAAGTGAGAAATAAACCTCCCATCCTTTCATCTTGCAATATGCATTAAAAAACTTAGAAATTCAAGTGGGGATGAATCAATATGACTATGCCTCACATAATCAAGTTAATCATCACCATGTTTTATGTCCAGCAATATCATTGATGAAGGCTTTGAACCAATTTGCAATGAGCTCATTTAATAGTCCTTAGTGCTCTTCCATTGGTCGCTTCTAAATTAGACAAAGCAGATTTCAATGGCTATTTTAATCTTGAGCATCGTATTACTGTATCACCCTGTATCCATTTTCAGATAGGACTCTACTACAGCCACCTAGCTAGATACCACCTTTTTTAAGTGTTTACGCTGTCTTTTCTCTTTAAGCTTCAATAATATATATTCCACCATATAGATAATGGTCAAATGGATCTGATAGACTAAACAGTCCTACAGAACATTTTGCACTATCATTACAAAGGTTGCATGTGCTATTAATAGACAAGAAACTGAGTAAAATAGAGGTCCATTGGATGGTCAAGAGCGTGCTAGTTTCAGAATTAATTTTTACAATAGAAGAAATCAAATTTCGATAAGAGAGTAGTTAAGCAAGAAGCCAGTGAATACCATTATCAACTCAAATGAATGTTTAGTGATACCTGTCATGAAGAGCAAACAAAACCCCATCTGAGGAACGAGATACGTCAATCTCAATGCAATCTACTTGAGAACTCAAAGCAATATTAAATGCATCCATCTGTCACAAGAAAAAAGGAATTGGAGATGAAGTTAATAGAAGCAGTCGAGGCCAGTAATTCTGCTGCACTTTTGGGTTCTCCCCTAACCAATCTCCCCCCACCTTGTGCTTCCTTATTTTTTATGTAGTTCTTATGGCAGAAAACGAAGCAAGAGATATATAGGAATATCAATGCTACTTGATAAATATAATGGGTATACACAGCTATACTGACACATCAATTTACAGGTATGCAATGAATCAATTTCTGTCTTAGGAAATGAATCAAGAGGTTTGACCAAGAAGGAAGGCCAACTCATGCATACTAGCAGGACCCAACCACGCACCCATGGACAAACCCCAATCCTCAAAGATACATTTTGAACTTCTGAGTCGTTTCAATTTGCATCAGAGTGATGGCATGAATTCTGGACAGGATATGGGGGAAATAAATGTATTAGGCAGCTACATATAAGATACCTACTGTATTTGGGAGGGCCTTGGTTGAGTCACCCCCATGGGCGCACACAAGAGGAGGCCTCTGCATCCAATCGCACTTTTTTGATTGAATCTGCAGAAAGATGGCAGAAAACGAAGCCATAAACTAGGCACGCATCATATAGACTATAATAGTCGTGAAAAATCATAGTAAATCAAGAACAAGACTTGTCAGGATGATGCAAATATACAATACTAAGAGCATAGGTACAAACTGCCTGCAGCACACACATGCTTGAGCGGGGTGGGGTGGGATTTGAAAGGAGAAATAGGGAAGAGATAGGCGGACCTGATGGAAGCGACGAAGGCTCAAGTGGAAGAAAAGAGGAGGAAGGATGGCAATAGTTGCGAGAGCAATAAGAAGGAAGCGCAAAAGTCTTCTCCTGGAGAAGGAGAAGGAGAAGCTACGCCTTTGGAGGCGGAGGCGCCGGTGGTGCCGATCCCAATTGGATATCACCGTTGCCATTGCTGGTTGGCTGGCTGGCTGTTGGATGGATCTTTCAATTGGAGATCACCGGTGGCGGGCGGGGGCGGGTTAGGGCCAACACCCAACAGGCATGGTTAGTCTGAGCCGTCTGATAGGTGGATGGTGGATGGTGGCTAGCTGGCTCCAGGCTCCAGCTATAGTGGAACCGTCATCGAGTTTACTGTAGACTATTTATTTACAAAATTGCCCCTAAAGGAAACGATACATGTAGTAGTTACATTTATACTACTACCATACTCTAGTGATGCCTGTATGCCTTGTACACAGCTATAATAATGCAGTGCAGGCAAGGACTGTACGATGCAGCTAGCTAGCTAGCGAGAGAACGAACAAGTGAATGACAGAATGAATGGGAATTTTCAGTTCATCCTCCTCCATGCTCACTCCGCCTCTAGGACTGGGGCTGGGCGGGCCATATAAAAATCAATCTCTCTCTCTCACACACACACACCGCCGTCCCTAGGCCCGTGGCCGAAGGGCGCCCGCCAGACCCAATTTAAATTGGGTCATTATTTAATTATATTATACGTATTCTTAATTTTTGTTGTAAAATTGTTAATAATATTTTATGTAAAAATTTTAGAAAAAAAATTATTTTATTTAATAATTTATATTCGTAAAAAAAAATCGAAATAAATTTTTTATATATTTAAAAATCTTTTTTATTTTAATTATTTTTTGGCAATAAAAAGATAATAAAGATTAGATAAAATTATTATTATTATTAAGCAAAATTATTAAGATTTTGAAATTCATTTTTATATTTTTTTTAAATAAAAATATTATTTTTTATCTATATTTTTGGCCAGGCAAAAATTTATATGGCATTTGTTAAATTTTATTAAAAAAATATTTTTTCTTATTTATATTTTATTATGATAAAAAATATTATATATATATATATATATTCAGGACCATATCAGTTCCATACTCTCCCTCTCCCTGCCCGTCATCGCTCACGCTACGCTCGGTATCTTCAATCAATCAAACATTCAACATTGATTCATTGTGCATTAGGTCGGTTTCATCTCTCTGATATTTCTTTCAATTGGGTGCCATACTCCTCTAACTCTAGGTTCGTATTGCAACCTTTGCCAATGGAGGAGTTATTTCAGTACATGAAGACACTCCGCTCTCAGATCAACGGTGTGTCTGTGAACCAAATTCTAAAATCGTTTATGATAAAGCTTTTCTTATTGAATCGTGATCAATAGGCTCTTCTCGCCAATCCTTGAGTTTTATGAGTACAAGGAGATGTGATGTGGCCCGAGTTTCCGCTGAATACAAATTTGAAAAACTTTTAAACCACGCTTGTCTGAATTGCAGATGTGGCTGATCAAGCAGCAAAGATATCTGTTGAAGAGCACATGCAGTCCACCACTATTCGAACTCTTCAGAAGGATATTGATTTAGGTTATAAGAATAACGTTTTCATTAACTTGTTTTCTTATTCTAATTCTATCAAGACCGCCATTTTTGTTTATGCTAGTGTTGTACATTACTATTGCACTCTTTTACTTCAGTTTCTTAATTATGCCCTTAATGTATCTACAGTCTAGAAATAGCTAAGATAGTTCATGGATAGTATTGCATCTGGCTTTGAAGTTCTTTTCTCAGACAGGGACTTGTGATGGCTGAAATTTAGTGCATCCCATGAATGCATCTTCTTACTTAACATGAGTGCAGTGAATAAAGAAACTCAGCAAGTCAAAGAGGAAACTGTGAAGATGTTCAAAGCAAAGGAGCAGATTTGTTCTCAGATTCTGGAAAAACAGAGGAAATTCACTTCTTTGGAATCTGATTCTTTCACCCGAAGTCAGGTTAGAGATTTTGCCTCGTTTTATCTCATACTTTGACAGATTTGGACCAGTATTCTCTTATGTTAGAAGGAACTAGCTTGTATTAAAAAATTAATTGATTTGCCAAGAAACTGTTTTTGGTTTACATTGCCCACATTTTATGTTGGACTGCTGGACATACCAACGAGAAGCAGAATGTTAAAAAAGCTTTGGTGTGAAAGAGTCCAAAGCAGGGTGGTCTAACCTCTTGTTCTTTACATGCGTTCTATGTCTGAACTGGGTTCAGCATCTATTTATTCCAAGTTAACTTTCTGCTTGTATCATATTCTATATTTTGCTCCAAATGAGGACATGGTGTCAATAATGGGGTTTCCATTGAACATGGTTGCTTTTTGCATTATTTCTCCAGCAGGTAGTTGTGTCAAAACCATGGTGGGAACTACTCTAGGACAATATCATGTATTAAATTTATGCTAATTCTAGAGCAATGAAAGAAATCTTCCAGACATGCCTGAGAGTATGGTTGGGTCTTGAATTCTTTAGCTGGCAGTGTTCTATTCTCGTTTTATTTTCTCCTGAAATGCAGATACTGGAACTTGTGCAACAAGAAAGCCTAACCCTAGCACAAAAACTTGTGGATCAAAGGTAATGGTGGATAACATATTGAAGCCAAGCAATATTATCTAACAGCCTATTTCATTTTTGTGCCAGTGCATACTATAAGAAAGTAGATGAGGACATCAATGAACAACTTAAACAACATCAGGTGTGAACTCTGTTTTACAACCATTCCAATTGTGAATGCACTATCACTACTAATATAATTGAAATTAAACGATGCAGGAGTGGATCAAAACTCACAATTTTGATTCCAATATCAGAGAGAACCAGGTATGTCTGCAACAAACATTTTTATGAGTTCATAATAAAGATGTTAGTGTTCCTTTTATAATGCATCACAAAAAACGAAGTGTTCATCTGTTGCATCTAAAATAATATCACTATTTAAACTGCAATAATGTTCTTTGCATGTAAAGAAAACACTAATTGCTTTCCATGTTTAACAAGAAAAGCTAGTAAAAGATCATACTTGAGATAAATTCAAAAAAAAAAAGAAAAGAAAAAAAAAAGAAGAAAGTATGGACTCTATTACTACTTGATACATCACTCTTGAACCAAAACTTTGAAGTGAGGTATTCATTTTTAGGCCCTACTTTCCACATCGGCTTTCACTTTTGTTCTTCAGCTTCTTGCTTGAATCTACACAAAATAATTAGGTGTAAGTATGTTGGAACAGACTTTATAGCGTAGTTAATTAAGTATACATGTGTCTGTTTGATTGTTATAACATGCATGTTACCTTTATCTTGAATTAGTCTCTTCCGAAACAAAACAATTATCTAGAATACTTTGGCATCCTAAATTCAAGATTTCATTTAGAAGATATGCAAGACTAGGATTACCAATTTCTATTATCCTGTCATTTTGTCTTCCATAAGCTTGGTGCATTTTCAATCTATATTTGATTAACCATGCAGGTAAGTGAGAAAACGGGTGAAATAAAAGGTTAGAAGTTACACTATCATTGTCATTTCCAGTATGTAAAATCTTTTTTTTTTTCCCTTGTACATGGCTTTTTGTGAGACTAACCGACCAATACGATATTACTTGTTTGACACTGAATATATACTTACACATTAAAGCCATTAGTTTCACTTAGAATTTGATAGTTTAGGTGGATTACTAAAAATTCTCAGAGATGAGATGTGCTTTCCCTCCCGCTGACTTCTAATAAACTGAATTATATAGGAACTAGGAAGACAAATTCATGTTTATATGATCTGTTGGCACAACCTCAGAGCACATCTCCCCTTCCACTCGATGATATGCTTTGGAAAGAATAAGGTAGACCTAAAACATATAGCTGGGCTGTCTCCAAGGTGTATAACTTGAATTAGCTCACAGAAGAAGTGATAGGCAAACCTTAATTGTTCAGTTGAGCTGCCTTCAAGGTGTCTAACTTGAATTAGCTCACAGAAGAAGCTATAGGCAAACCTTAATTGTTCAATTGAGCTGCCTCCAAGTTGTCTAACTTGAATTAGCTCACAGAAGAAGCGATAGAGAAACCTTAATAGATCATTTCCCAAATCTTGGGATATGTCTATTAAAAAGTTGTCGATGTAGCAAAGCACTACTTTTCATACTGTGAATTTAACCCACTGACAACATCTGCAAAGAACTTCTGGAGATATACGGAAAATTATGCAACCCATATGGGTGAACACTATCTTGTGCATATGGAATATTTCTAATTTGCTATCCTTGGGAATTTCCAGACTTTCATGGCAATGTAAGTAATGATATGATGAGGGATATTCAAGCTGTTCAGGGAAAATTTGATAAGACAGAACAATTGAAATCAAATTTTGTCATGGAGAATGCGAAGGTTTGTCTATTACCTTCAGCAATCTTTATTTTCATTTACAGATTCCAAATTACTTTTTCAGAAGGGATACTTGGTATAGGAAAATGTGGTAGAAAAATAAAAATGAAGTTATTTCCCTTGTTTGTTTGCAAACTGGAATTGAAAATTGAGAAATAATTTATTTTTGCATTCTCTATTTTCAATTCTCTTCTATTTTATATATGGAGAAATAGAGAAAATTGAATTTATGGGATAAAAAAATACTCCTTCCATCCCGGGTCAGATGATCCTTTTGGTTAGGGATACGATAATTTTAGGTGGTGTAGATTAATGTGTTATTAATAATAAGATATGATACTATTTTTTATATGAGTAGTATTATTAGTATTTTAAATATTTTTACCATTATATCTCAATAAAATATATATAATATGGATATCGTTTTGTATAGAGAATAAAATTTTATAAAATACAAATGAATAAAAAAATATTTATTTATTTATCATTACTATCAATTAGTTTTATTAAAAAAATGGAAAGTTTTAAAAGGTAGATAAAAAATTTGTTAATTGAAAATATAGATAGAAATAAAAATGTTTTGAGTGGGTCTTACTTGTTATAGATTATAAATTTAATTAAATTGATTTATATTTGTTATATATGTTAAAGATTGATAGATTTACCATAGAAATAGGTCATCTTTTGTGAGAGAGACGAAAAAAAGGAAAAAATGTGATCTATGGCGGAACGGAGAAAGTACAATTTGTCTCAAATCCTATTCGTGTATTCGTTCAGCATAAGAAAACCATTTTAATTACTTCTTCGCACAAATTTTTTTCTCCATCTCCTTCGCCGTCATTGAAGGGTTCTATGTATGCATACACAAATAAATAATGCTCTCTCTGGCTCACAAAAAGGTGCTCAAAATTTTTCGGCATGAGTTTTAATTTGTAGAATTTTGATTGATACTTTTCGTTACTTTTTTACCATTTATAGTAAAAATATATAAAAAATTGTATTTTTTTTACTAGAAACGAAAACATTTCTACAAACTAATTCTTTTTCTTTTTAATTTTATTTTCTATTATCATTTCTATGCAATTTTATTTATGTACAAAATGCATTCTAAGATCCATAGCAGAAAATGAATACTGATTACTAACTGAAGCATTTTTATTGTCATTCATTCTAGAACTATAAAAAATACTTGTTGCGTTGTCATTTATATAAATATTTTGATTTACAGCTGAGGCAGTGCATTGAGCAAGTAAAGACTAAAATGAGTGGCATCAAGGTGACTTGTAACTGTTACTTATCTATGCCTTCTATTTTATATGCACCGCAATTATTTTTTCTGACAAAACTCATGGTTTTTGTAGCCAATTATTTGCTACCTCCATGCATGAAATCAGCTGTTTATTTTTTACATGCTAGCCGAAAGATGAAGCAAAAAAAGGATGCTAGCTGTTTATGCTTCCATCACTAACTTATGTCTATTAACAAAAGATTGTAACAGTTGCAGCCAGAACTTCGTGATATCGATGATCTGAACTTAGAAGAGGAACTCCACGCTGCCTTATCTGACAAAGCTGGAGAATATGAATATATGCAATCTCTTCCGACACAGATTATGAGATTTAAAGTGAGTTTGCCACTTCTTTTGCTATGAGTCAAAAGAAATTATCATTTTGCTTTCATGCTTAATTGTCAAATATCCTTTTCTGAATAATAGTAAAGAACTAGAATACCAGTTCATGAATCACAATTCAAGTTCAAGGTTATCCATCTTCTCCTTCTCTCATATCATTTATTTATTTATTATTTTATTTTTTTCCCAGGAAATATCCAACAGGTTTAGGTGTTCCTGTGATAACGAATAAATTGACACTGGATCAATGTGCTTAGGCACTTGGCAGTGATCAATCCAAGTTCATAGCCATCTATTTCTGGTGCTATTAGTTGCGTGTATTTTGCAAGGTTGGTCAAAGCAAAACCTTGTCAAGCTTTATTTTTTCTTATTGCTGTTCTCTCATATTTTAATTGTACTCTATTGCATGATGGCAACAGATCGATGTAAAAAAAAAAATTGGCTTACTGCATGTGCAATCATAATGCGGCTTTTGTTTCCATAATATTTTTAAAATTTTGACACTATTTAATTTTTTAAAAAATATTACATTAAATATATTTTTACTTTCATAAAATATCACTAAATACTTTTTTCATAAAAAATTATACCCATATGATTGGATAAAAGTCTTAATAAAGATGAGTAAAAATAATTATTTTTTTCTTTTATAGTAAACAAAGAAAATATAAAAGTGAGTTTTTTACTTAAAAAAAAATGAAAATATATTTTTAGATAACAAGAAAAATAAAAAAATACATAATTATAAATTTAAACGAAAAAAAAAAAAAAAAGACGACTACTCAAGTCATTTGTTCCTATTACCAAAATTTTCAAGTACATTTGGTCTTAAATAGAGCCTAAGTTCCCCGGGAACAAGAAGTTTCCAGAATCTACACAGGATCTATCAACTAGTAATTATGTTTAATCTTGCATAAATTTTTACACGTACTGTTGATCGAACCATATAATTAGTTATTTAATAGAGCATGTGCAAATAAATAAATTATATGCAATTCATTCATCTGTTATCTTCTTCCCTTTTTTTTTTCTAGAAAAGAAGAAAAAGAAAATTAGAGCCAAATAAATTAATAGAACGCGAATTTCTTTTTGTAATTGAATTTCCAGTTAATGTAAAAAAATATCAGGCCATCATCTGATATGAGGCATGGGCTGGACGCCTCCAAACTCCTCGTCATCAGTATTATATTATATAAAACACCACTCTGTTAAATTGCATTATAAAGAAATCACATCATTTTACCATAGTAAAGAAATCGCACAAAACTTATACTCTTTCTCAGCGCAATCAAAACAGGATAGTATATAATAGAGAGGAGCACAGTTCAGCTCCACAAGACACATTCATTCATGTTCCAGCCTTCCATCTTACTTCCATCATCTCTCACCCACATGTTCCATGCTCAAACCTTGATGTTGAAGTAATCAGCATCAAAATGATGCAGCCTCACGTATCCATCTTCACCTCCACTCGAGAAACTACCAACAATAAATAGCACACACCAAGATAAGCCATCATATCCATCACAAACCCATCACATAGAGACACAATTCGCTCAAAAACAACATATGAAGCGACATTGAATAAAATGGCAACATGCAGAAGAGTACACTAGGATGGCCATCTTTCAAATGCTTCTGGAATCTCGTAAGCAACCTCAAGCTAACTTCTAGCATCCCACAATGAATTTGAGGGGGTGTTAGAATAATTTTAGAAGTTAATTTAAGCATATTACTATATTCTTTCCTTTCTTTGGGACTTCATAGTCCTGTATATATAGGAGATTCATTGCGTGCTATATGTGAAATTCAAGGGCTTTTCAATGATCTTCCAACATGAACATTTAACACTATTCAAGGCAAACCAAGTCCTTGCATGAAATCGATGAGAATTTACAAGCTAGTATAATCAAAATGCACATAGGAATCAATCTCACCTTTTCCCATCAGGATTAAATGCCAAGGCATTTATTGGTCCGAAGTGTCCTTTTACACCTCCTATTTCCTCTGTAAGAATCTATACACGAAATGACATAATAGAACAATGATAATCAATTTCTTATATCAAAGAAGCATCATAGTATCTTGATTTAACTTGTGCACATATCTACCTTGTCATAGAATTTAGCTTCGAATTTTCCAGCACGATGATCAGTTGTGGTAACAGCTGATGCATCCTGACCACCTCCAAGAACCACCTACAAACATAATAAAACCATGAGAGCTAGCAATAAAAATATAATAGACAAATGCAACTCAATAACCAGACAAAACATAACTGGCAATAAAGCTGAAGATAAATGCAGTATAGTAATTGTTTGGCACATACATGGTCAAGAAGAGGAGACATTGCAACCGCATTTACTGGTCGTTCTGTCACATACGTCTTGATAAGTTTCAGTGTCCTTGTGTCCCAGAGCTGATGACATTATGAGAGATCATTCGATAATGTCACATTCGTCTTGATAAATTGATATTCACTCCTTAAAAAATAGAAACACTCGGATATTAGATAGAACAAAAAACTACCTTTGCAGATTTGTCCAAAGAACCAGTGAGAAAATGTGAACAATCTGATGATTTCGCCAGTGATGTGATCGGCTTTTTATGACCATCTTCCTTTACAGATTCTTTGAGTAATTTACCGGTCTGCAGTTTGAAGTTAGAAAGATAAAATATCAAGCATACAGCAACTAGGTCATCACAAAAACAAAATGCTATTTCAATTGCCACTGATATCTTCAGAAAAATCCTTTCCAAGCCTCACAAATCAATAGAAAAAAGCTACTCAATGCAGTAAGCACCAACTCAAAAAGGTACTAGCCTCAGTATCCCATATTCGAATCACTGAGTCTTCACCCGCACTAATAACAGTCTTGTTTAGAGGCCCCCATACTGCCCTGTTAATTCTTCCTTGTGGCCCCTTGATATTTAGAACAGACTCACCACTCTCTGGAATTACCATACAAAAAAGCTCAGCAATGGAAGTAAAAATTGGATTCACAGACTATCTAAAAAAGCAGAGTAATTTTGATACAATACACCAACACCAAAATGAAAAATATCAAAGTTCATTTCCAACAACAGCATCAAAGTGCAACTGATATACTTGCACCATGAGCATCTACATTCTAGATGCCTCATTCGATACCCTACGACACACTCAACCACCATAAGAGTTTGTCAATCAAGATATGAAGTTGTGTTAAATATAACGTGGAAACATCAATTTAAACTTTGATTAAATTAAAAAGAAGAACATGTCTTAACCACAAAGCAAACACACTCTCGAACCCAAACTTACCATGGATAATAAATTCTGAATGACATTGACTACCTGTCATAATGTCACCTTGGTTCAATATGCAATTTGCTAAAGTTCTATCTTAATGTTTCATGATATGAGACACTAGTACCCATCATATAGCAGTGGTTAACTTCCATGGCATATTTCCTATATCGTTCACAGTTTTTCCACATAAATAAACTTAGCATTATGTACGTAGTAAAAATAGGCATAGTGCTCAAAGGAAAAAACAGTCACTGCACAAAGTAGCATGCGTACACAGATAGCTATGAATTACTTACGGTCATCCACATCTCGGGCAATATGTTTGATGTGAATAGCAGAAGGCAAACCCATGAAAGGGTCTGTGGTTATAACAGCAAGCTTATCACCAACTGCAAAGTCAACAGACCTCGCTGGAGAATCAAAATTAAATGTATAAAGAGGGGTTCCGGTTTTGACGTCCCATATCTTTGCAGTCTGATCCGCGCTTCCTGTTATAAGCCTCGTGGAATCCCCTACAAAGTCCAATTGAATTGTATTTGTATTCCAACAAAACAAAACAAAACTAAATATCGATCCTCCTTCATGTTATAAATGTCCAGTCCGGCGGAGACAATACTTATAAAAACCAAAAGGGGAGGGGAGCTCTTACTTGAAATATCGCAGGACCAAACAGCGCCGTTATGGCCACGGTATGTGCCGAGACGCTCTCCGTTGTCTGCGAACCAGACAGTGGGATTATGGTCTTTGGCGCATGAAAAGAGCAGATCCCCGTCTCGATTGTATTTGAGAAACGTAAGCGGCCTCTCATGCCCTTTCATCAATATCGGCCTCATCTTTTCCGACCTCTGAATGGGCGATGTGAAATGCCTGCATCCGAATCAATATAATAGCTATCCGATATTAAACGATTTACACCGAGAAACTGCTGAAACAGCAAACACTCAGCGATGTCTTTTTATACGACTAACAAATATGAAAACACGCTGCAAATGCTTGAATGAATGTTACACTTGCTGTTCGTCATAGCCATTAAAGAAGGGAAGGACTGAACTTACGAATTTCCCTGCCGATACTTACGCCGGCTGATGAAGACGCGTAGACGCCGGTGGCTTTAGGGCTTGCTTTTATTTTTAATAATAATAATAATAATTTAGCTTAGGAGGAGGGAGACAATAGGGGTGGGTGGGATTTAGTTCGAGTGTTTTGTAAGTGGGATAGAAAGAATACCTAAGTGTGTACTTTGGCAAAAAAATAAATAATAATAATAAATAATACTATTGAAATATGAAAAATTATCAAATTCTGTTTTAAAATAAAAAAGGAAAAAGTTTTCATTTTTATCTTAATATAATCAAATTTATCAATTTTGGTTTTAATATAAAAATTTTATCAATTTTGGTCTTAATATACCAAAAATTCATCATTTTTGTCTCGATATAATCAAAACTCATTATTCTTGATTTCAATATAAAACTTTTATCAATTTTAGTCCAAATATAATCAAAACTCATCATTTTTTTTTCCAATATAATCAAACTTTTTTTTTTCTCACCATCAACAAACAGATAGAAAAGGCTGACGTGGACTTGCAAGATTGTGCAATTTCTTCGAATATAAATATAATGTTTGATTTCTTTTCGCATCAACATTTTCCGTCGGTTTGTTGACGGTAAGACCAAAAAAATAAGGTTTGATTATATTGGAAAAAAAATGATGAGTTTTGGTTATATTGAGACTAAAATTAATAAAATAAAATAAAAAATTATATTGGGACAAAAAAAAATGATGAGTTTTGGTTATATTGAGACCGAAATTGATAAAATTTTTATATTTGAACTAAAATTGATGAATTTTGATTATATTTGGATTAAAAATATTTTTTTCCCAATAAAAAATTATTAATTTCAATTTTAGTAAATATAATCTTCATTAATTTTGATATAACAAATACAACACACATGATCTAGTTCAAACAAGTAAAAAAATACAATTGATATTTTAGGCATGCAGTATATACGATAGGGTTTTAGTATTAGTCACTTACTATAATAAATATTTTTACAATTTAGAATTTTTAGACTCTTTTTTAATTTTACATTGCTTATAATCTTTTATTTTTTAAGTATATCTTTTTGTTTATATCTTGTATTATATATGTTTAATTATTTTACTTCTTTTGAAAATAAATATATATAAAACATGTATAAGTTGTAAAAAGCATATTATTAATTGATCCGATATGTTATGCTATTTTTTGTACGTAAATAAAATATATTACTTGTAAAAATGAAAATTGCAAATAATGTAGTTATTGGTGAGACTTGTTTATATAATTCAAATTTTATTGCCACAACAATTGAAGAATTATCTCAAATAAGTAATATTTCGAGCACAAAAATTTTCATTAGGTGCTCATATCAAAGTTAACGATATCTATTTATTATAATTGATCTTTATATAAAAAAATATTTTTGAGTAAAATATGATTTTTTATGAAATAGACGAGAAAAAAAGAAATTATACCCTAAGATAATACGTTCAACTTTTAGCATTTTTTTATGACGTAGAAACCCATCGTCGCTACCTGAAAATACGCACTGGGTAAACCTCTGGCCAAACTAGTGTTAGTTGGACATATACTTACATTATTTTTTCCTATGGAAAAAGATTGTGTTGGATATAACATGTTAGAAATTATATATTGACTCAATTTTGGTTGCTTTTATTGTCATTTCATTCGCACAAAAAGAAAAATTGAACACTGAGTTGTATTTTGACCTGTGTTTAAATTTATCAAACTTTCAGAGAAATATGCGTCTGTATTAAAAAACTTTGAACTTTCCAAGAATTATATGGCCATACATTCGATAAACATGGTCTTATTTAAATTTGTTAAAAATTCTCAAATTAACAACAGTGAAATATGACCGTATTTCAAGAATATATTACAAAAGATAATAGGGTTAGATACACAATCAAAAGACGTATTCTACGATGTCACAAGTCACGCATAGACTGTTCTTAGCCGGAGCAGAGTTAGTACGGCTGGCTCAGGACCTGTCATAATTTAAAAATATTATTCCATTATTATTTTTAAAATTTAAAATTAAATTATAATTTTTTTAACTTGAATTTTAAATTTTAATTATACATTTTTTTAATCTTTTCTTTCTAATCTAATCATGTTGCTTCCACCCACCTAGACCAAATATGCCTCCTCTTTATTTTTCTCCACTTGCATGGATATGCTTTATAAATTTAGTTTTTGTTCTTAATTTAAGGGAATGACATTAAAGAAGAAATGTAAGGTTAAGAGAACCCGAATTGATGCAAATGCAAGTTCATCGGCACCTATTTCTTGGTTTGAGCTGAAGTTGTAAATTTTAGTGAATTAAATTATGTAGAATGATATGAAAATTTGAAGAATCGACAATTCTCAAAAGGTATATGCTAGGGTGTTCTGTCTGTTCTTGGGATAAATGAAGATGTGGAGACGCTGGTTTCAATAGGAACGTTGAGTTTTTTATTTGTCAACTCTCTCCTACAACTGGATGAACTATCACGTATATATTATGGAGAAGGATGTTTTAAATAGCACTGCCGATTAATCAGTACTATTGGATTTACAATCGTGAGTCTGTAGATTCTGATGACTTCTAAAACTTAACCTATTTTTATTCCTATTTCATATGTCTTGTCTTGGCCGAGGATAAGTATAAAGAGGTGGTAAAATTCTAAACATTCCAAGGCATCTACTTTTGGTACTTTCCACTAAAATATATATACCATATATTGACTCATTCACTTACTCGATGTGGTGAAAGCACATGGATAGTCTCAAATAAGGAATTATGTTATCTTTTTAGCATATTTGTTGAGCGCTAGGCTATCGATTTGAATTTTATACCTGCTCAATTTATGATACATAAGGTTGAAGAGAGCCATCTCGGAAATGAGTTTTGGGTATTTGAGGAAGACATTGAGGATCCTTATTGTTTTATAGATTTCGGACACTACGGATCCGGTTACGAGCCAGGAGGAGAGAGAGATATATATATATATATATATATACATATATATTGGCTGATAGAACTGGTGAGCCAATGAATGAGGGTGACCGGTCCCCCAGTGATGAAGCGAGCAGGTGGTGATACAGTTCAAGATACCATACCAGATTGACAGTTTAACCAACCATTGAGAGTTTATGCATAAAGATGCATCGCCTATGCAATTGAAAATGAGAGCCATTGTCCGCCTTGTGTGTTCTATCTATGTGCTACATTGTTCCCCGGAGTGCATGCACACGGTACATAATACAACAAAAGAGAAAGAATGTTCCTAAAACATTGAAGATAAGATAACAGCAGCAGCAGCAATTCATTCATCCAGAAGCAACTTAAGTTTTAACCAAAGCAAAAGCATCGTCATAGCATCCGATAAGCATCAGAAGCGTACCCGCAAGACGGACAGACAATCAACCCAACATGGCCCCGCGACCACCACCAGCAACCCCTTTCTCTTTCTCTCTCTCTTTCCCTTTCCCTTTCCCTCCCTCGCAGCTCAACTCAAATTATAACTCATTCCACAACACAAAATTTGCTGTCACCAGCGTATTATGTACTCCATAATATAATATATTAACAAACAAAACTAACAGCAACCAATAGAAATGAACTTACATACGGCCAACAACAACACATTCTGCACTGCACGCACGCGCACAGCCAAACTGTCACTCTACAGCAAATCAGGCAGTAGAGAGGAAGGCTGCTCTCGCTCTCTTTGGGGTTTCATGTTTTTGGAGTGCAGCTCCCCTTGACTGCCAGCACTACCCCCCCTCCCCCGCCCCCTAGCCGGCCTACCAACAGCAGTTGTTGGAGGTGGTGCGAGCCTGGGTGCAGCAGCTGCTATTTGCTCGCTCTTGTTGGGACCAGGGGCAAAGATTGATCCTAAATTTGATGGTGCTGCCGCTGCCGCTGCCGCTGCCTTCTGGGAGGAATAGCCGAGAGTTGATGAAATGCCTGAGTAAGGCTGCTGCTGCTGCTGCTTCAAATAACCAAGAGCATTCTGTGAACCGATGCCACCAGCATTTAAGGATGACCCCTGGCTCTTGGATTCGCTGGAAGTTTGCATGCTCATGGGCCATGATGTGGATTGAAAGGTTGATCCATTGGAGGCAGTTGCAGCGCTACTGGGGCCGAATTTGTTAACTGATGGAACAACTCCAGTGCCATTGTTGGCAGAGGAGCTGGAAACACTAGGCCGTGGTGGCCAGTTAGCAAAAGGATCGATATCATTCAACCCCAAATCTAATGTCCCCTTGTTTCCATTTAGGGTTTTCAAGTCATCAAATTGAGTTGCCGCACCACCAGATACAGATCGGGGAGGCCACTCAATGTCAACTGGAGGACATGAGGAAGGCATCTGTTGAGAAGACGACGCAGATGATGTTACTGACATGGAGAATACAGGGGTGCCGCCTTGACTAGCCTGACTTGGTACTGCAGGCTGAGAGGTCGATGCTGCAGTTGAAGACTGGAGTTTTGTCGGTGCAATCCTTGAAGGTACCCAATCATCATCCCATGACGAGCTTCGTTTGGGAACGGATGGAACAGCTGACACAGCCTTATTTGCCTGTCCTGACATGTCGCCCTCAAGGGGAGGTGATTTCATCTCAGAAAACCCGGAATCTGACAAAGTTACCCCCCTCTTTTCTTCAATTTTCCTTGAAGTGAGTAGAAAAAGCAATATTATCAAGTGCCGGCTGCATGAACGTACTAGGCAAAAATACAAGTCTGGCAAAATATGTCAAATAAGAATAGGAGAAGAGAACAAGAAATGTATGGCATTCCTACCTTAAAACATCCTTGACAAATAGCATATACTTTGCGAACTGCTGAACATTTAATTGTTGGGTGATGAGAAGTGGTATGAGTAGCGGAAGAACATGCTCTGCCACAAATTCAATGCCATACTGATAAAAGATACAGAAACAACCATGGTGAGCTGACAGCGGCTTTGATAACTAAAGCATGGATTTGCCAACATTAAAAATTGAACACCTGCTTCAAAATTGAGGTCGCAACCCCAAGGGTACACATGAGAGTTGGGGCAGAATGATCTACAGCAGTACATCGTTGGATAGTTTTCAATATATCTAAAACAGCAGTCTTATCCAATATGTGAACCAAGTCTCCCAAGCATAAGAGAGCATTCACTCTGACCTGCCAAACAAAGAAGATCCTGGCATTTAAGTGTATCCAGAGAAAGAAGAGGAGAGGAATGGATAGGATGGTGTAAACATCCACAATACTCATATAAACCACATTCACCACCTATTCTTCACAAATCTTGCAGGTACATACCAATTTAATAGGAAGGAAAAAAAGTAATATACACTAATGGCCTGTCAATACAGTGTCACAGGCTATTAAAAACTATACCATTGTTGGTTCAGACAAAAAACTGCAAGATAACATACCGCAGCAACAGTTGTTTTAAGGGCCAATCCATGAACACGAGGCAAAACAGTCTGCTTGACTAACTGCAAGGAGGAAATAAGAAAAACATATATGGAGGACAAAATATTGACTTTGAGCCAAGATAAGATATACAAAGTAGAAAACAAATATGCTTTTGCCAAAATCTCAAAGGAAGGGGACAGATATCTTGGATAATCTTGCAGTTGTAGGTTGACAGTAAAGGAGTGAAGGTACATATATCTCCAATGAAATTCCAGTTTCCTACAAATCCATTAAATAACTAAAATACATCCTTGCAAGAAATAAGCAATCAGTGCTATTAAGGAAGAAATAAATACATTGATTATTCAGCGACAATCAGATGGAATCCAAGAAGTAGAGACATGGCTGTTTAATGCACATACTGTGAGTTTTTCATAAAATGACATTTGGCTTCATTAAGTCACCCCATGCCGTGCAGAATGACTTTTTGAATGTTTTTGCCACATGGACAGCATGATGCACCATTCACACACATGATCAAATGGAAAAGACACATAAGAACCTCTAAGTGAACAATATGCAAATTTAGTCCACCAGAATGCAAGTAACAATCACCTGAACATCCAACTGCTTTGCAAGAATAATGGTCTTTTTGAGAACTTCCTCTTGTAAGCGAGCATCAGTATCATCATAAGCGCGAACAATCATGGGAAGAACATGCAAAATAAGGTGATCCTGACTAGCCTGCAAAAGGAAGAAGGAAATCATGTCATCAAAAAGGTTAATTGAAAAGTTGCATTGTCATCCTAGCATCTATTTCTGTGAAGACCATTTCACATCTATGAACACGTGTACAAGGAAAAATGTTAGCATCTCAATCATCCTTTCAACTGGTGCATTATTCAGCTTTCACCCTGGCACCTCCCCAGCATCATATTGCTGCTTCGGTTTTCAAGGTATTCCACAGAGCTGCTCTCCCAACCCCACGTCCAATGCATCTCAGCACATCCGATTCTGCACCTTCTGTTCCACCATGTTCTCTACTAATTTACCAAACCATCGTTGCCATGACATCCTCTCATCCCCAATTTGTCTGCATCCCCACTCCACCCCCCACTAAAAAAAAACTACATCTTACCCACCTACAAGGAAAAATGTTAGCATCTCAATCATCCTTTCAACTGGTGCATTATTCAGCTTTCACCCTGGCACCTCCCCAACATCATATTGCTTCTTCGTTTTTCAAGGTATTCCACAGAGCTGCTCTCCCAACCCCAAGTCCACTGCATCTCAGCACATCCGATTCTGCACCTTCTGTTCCACCATGTTCTCTACTAAATTACCAAACCATCATTGCCATGACATCCTCCCATCCCCAATTTGTTTGCATCCCCACCCCACCCCCACCAAAAAAAACTACATCTTAATCACCTACCACATGGAAAGCCATCCAGCCAACTGCTGTACAACTAGTCCCATGTCATTGTGTTCATTCTTATTTTTTTCGCTTTTGTGTTTTTGTTTTAATTTGGTGAGGTCAAATAATTGTTGAATGTGAAGTTTTGTATGAAAAATGGGCGTTGTAAGTAATGTTTTTGGAAGGAAATTAAGAGATTGAATAGTAAAAAACTATTAAAAAGAAAATTTCTAAGTAAACAAACCCAAAGGGTGTGTTTGTTTCTGGGGTTTTTGGGTTGGATTTTACTATTTCAAATTTTTTTCTCCTAAAAAACATCAAATCAATTCAAAATTTTACTATTCAAAACTCAAATCCAAAGTTAAAACCCCATAAACCAACACAACCTAAGGATGTCTTGCCCATAGATAAATTTACCAGAAAAACAATAATACCTAACACTAACAGAAAATCCAATTACCTTGCTGATAATAAGTTCAGCATGTTTCAATAGTAGTAATAATGTCTCTCCAGCAGCTGAATTGAAGACAGGAACTAGAGCTGGTAGTGTTGACAGTTCAAAATCATTTTTGTCCTGAAGACCATAAAACTGCAATTAACCCAAGGAGCTGATATTTAATGTGAATTAACAAGCATGGATTATAGAAAGAAAAGGTTGCGTTCCATCAGGTGCTATTTTGTCCTGAGACTTTTAGTGGTTGACCATCTCATGTACTAAAGAAAGCAGCAATATCTTCAATTGACTTCATTTTCTAATATAACATCAACTGGAAATGCAAAGGCACCAAGAAGCACCCTGATGTAGCAAACAAATACTTTTTGATGAAGTGAATATGTTAACACATATTTGTCACATAACCCACCAGGCCACCATGGTATGTTTTTCAAAAGATCATCAAAACAAAAACAAAAACTCACTTTTTTGCAATAGTATGTATTAACATAAAAGGGAAACAGGAGACAGTGCTGAACTGATTGATACCTGGGATTCTGCTATTGTCAGAACCATAGGTAATATTAAAGGTTGCATCACCAAATTCCTGAGCTCAGCACAAAGTGGGGGGAGAACCTGCATGCAGCATGTCAAATTAACAGTTCATTTTACATAAACTTTTAAAGGGTAATCAATAATTTAATCACAGTGGTATAATGAAAACTCATGAATGTAATTTCCACAAAATGATGATACAAAATTAAAACTAGAAATGCATTATTTGTAATCCAGAAATCCAAACCTTATACCGCAAAACGCGAGAGTCAAAATCTTTCCACATGTCTGACAATGCTTTCAGAAATTCAGATTTTTGCATGTTATCTCTCTCCTGTAGGAAATCAGCATGATCAGATTTAAACTTCATAGAATTGTGTTCTGTGAGACTGAATAACTATTCAAAACTGAGCCAAGAGATGATATGCATACAAGCATATGATCCAAGAAGCGAAGAGCACGCAACCTAGTGTCAGCCCGGAAAAATGATGACCCTGAAATTTGGTAACAGAAACTAAGATAATGCTTTCACATGTAATTCTGCATATCTGATAGGCGTTCATAAAAGAAAATTTACACGTCCAGTGACTGCAAACAAGATTAATAAGGGCTACAAACAAAAAGAACAATTCCGACCTGTGAACTCTATTGCTGTTGGCCTCAAACCCTCATTAGCAGAGATCATCCTTTGCAAATCTGGAACTAGTTCACTTGGAATGGTGGAAAATGCCCCACTTGTAAGGTAAGTCAGACTATTCATATACTGCCCAAAAAAAAACAAAGGGTGACGGTTTGTATGCTTCTTGAGGTTTTTAGCTTCAGACTTTACCCTCTAACCTTAAGTGCCATACTGTAGTGTTTACAAGTGTCAGTAGAAACTTCTGAAAACGAAAGAACAAAAGGGGTAAAACTTATTGTTAAACTAGATCCCTGAAAATCTCAAACTTGGAAAAAGACCAGTGAAATGTTTTGGAAAAACAGATAGTCTTATTATTTATATAGGAATATGCCCATGATATTGTAGAACAACAAACATATTAGAATTCAAAAGCTTAAGCCTCATAAGCCCTGCTTAGAGTTAGTGTGATGTGAGCTTAAATAGTCTTACGATGAACAATTAAGGGATAAATTTCAACATCAGATCATGTTACTGAGCACTTAATAGATAAAAATGAGATCTACAAGTTATACACTATATTACATTTAAATCTATGGCAGCTTCAAGTTTTGGGCATTCAATCACCCTCCAACCGCAACACCTCACCTATGAAGAGTACCCAATACAAGAGTTCTAACACATCTACACTTCAGGTATTGTGCACACATGTAAGTGTGAAACAAACAGCAAACTGTCTAACTTGTCTCTCAATTACCTAGGGCAGTTACTTGATAATCAAATAAATTGAAACTGACACAGTGCACGTACGAGAAGAACTTTACGATGTCTGTAGCATTATTGGATAATAAGGTGGGAGTCAGCCTGATATGTAAGTTGGTTAAGGACACCCAAACTATAAAAGCTTTCATGCAATATAACCAAAACTCTGGACTATCTCTCTTCAAGCATTCAGCCAAAAAGATGAAGAGGTCAAAGTCAAAGGTAACAAACAAAACTAGACTATATCTTATACTAAAGATAGCAGCTTCACGGATATAATAGAATTCACCAGTGATAGTGATACAACTACAAGTCAGCCACTGCTCGAGTTTGTGAGGAGCATCTCAGTAGCTCACATTTTGTGTTTCATCATGTCCCTATCAAATAGAATTCATTTTGTGTTTCATCTGGTGTTTATAATACCATCTCTTGAGAAACTAATTGTAAATTGAATTCATTTTACGGCTCATCAATGGAAGACACAAATTTCTGCATCAATATTGTGCTGGATTCTATCAAATAGAACTGTGACAAAAAAGTGGCTGAAGAAAGACATTTTCTCTGCATGGAAACTGAAATATATATTGGGTGAAGAAATCTATTGGATGAATTTTTCAACAACTTGGACAATTCTTGATAATATTGTTGACACATATCAATATCACAACAGAGATATAAAAGTTCAAAAGATTGGCTTAAAGGGGAACTACAATATCTGGTCGAGTGAGATAATACATGAATGGTTCAAAAGATGTTTTTCTAACATTACACAACAAGACCAGAGAGTATGGATGATAACATAATATTAATTTTATAAACCATACCAATAGACTCTTACAAACTGTGGACTCTGTTTGGTTGCATTCCCAATCCAAGTCTCAAATATTTCCAATTTTTTTTAAAATGAGACCTACTTATAATCTTCTATATTTATCTCTGCTAAATAAACAAATATATTTATAGACATTCAAAACACATATTTTAAATTTATTATAATCAAATATATTATACATCGTAAATCAAACATTAATAGAACATTTCATCCAACCCAACTTCCAACCAACAACCAAACACACAATATATGCCCAATCCCAAGCTATACTAGAAGTCTAAAAATCCATATGGCTTTCCCTGTCTCGCTAAAATCCAAAGAAAAAAGCTAGATAAAAATTAGAATACACTCCCTCCATCCGCCAAATTACTATCACTTTCCTTTTTAGAATGTCCGCTAAATTTAACTATTGTCCTCCATTCAACACTTATTTACAACAAATGTCACTGCTTTTATTACTTTCTCTCTCTTCATTTTCTTTAATTTTCTAGCTAAATTTTCAAAAATACCCCAAACTACTTTTTTACTTTTATCATGCATTTTTCTTAATCTCCGTGTTTAACTCAAATGTTCTAAATTTACAGGACAGAGGGAGTATGTTAATAACACACCCACAAGGCAAAAAATCACCCCCAAAATAGAAAGCTCAAGGAAAATGAAAAAGAAAAAAAATTACCATCTTTGCATTGTTGTGGCAATCAAACAAAGGTTTACGTGCTACCAAGTGATACGCAAGGCATCCCATACTGAAAACATCAGCAGCAGACCCAACCGAGGATGTTTTACTCCGAACCAATTCAGGAGCAGTGTAGTTTATTGATGGTTGCAAAGGCATGATTGAATCTTCTACATCATAATCCTATCAAGAAAAGCCATGTCGAATCTATTCTTATATATAAGTCATATTTGCTTCAATACAGATTGTTTCACTTATCAATAAGAACAGAAAACTAGGACGGAAACACTAGTAAACTATACAGAAGTGTTTACCAAAATCAATAATTTTATTACTCACGGCATAATGGAAGGCCTGCATGCTGGCAGAACCATCTGAGGACTGATCCGTTGATGTAGCAAAACCAAAACCACCAAGCTTCCAAGCTCCATTAGATGTAATTAGAACAGTCTGCCGCAGCAAAGATGAAGATAGGGTCAATCAGAAAAAAAAACGTGCACTCAAAAGCTGAATGGAAAACAATACAGAGAATGCAGAGAGATTTTCATATAGGGACATCACTCTAGGTATATAACCTCTGGCGATATAGCCCTATGAATAAGGCGGGCATTATTATGAATAAAGTCCAATGTCTCTGCAATCTGAAGCAGACCATGCTTCACCTCCAACAACCCCATTTCCTGCAGCATCATATAGTCAGCAGCTCAGAACTTTCTGGGATAATAAAAATATGACATAGAAAAAAGAATTTAAAAAGAAAAAAAGGAAAGCAAAGAAAAGAAAAGCAAAGCCGCCCACCCAAATAAAGTTGAAATTTAGCATATGAAACACAAATGGTAATTGTGGTGCTTCTAATCTCCAAATTACAACGCAGTAACTTTATCCTTCCATTCACTATTTGATTTAGTTCAACCACTAGGTCCTTATATAGCAATGTCACTGTGTCAATAATCCCATTCCTTCCCCAAGTCACACAAAAGTTTATACAAAGAAAGTCTCAATTGTCTTCCCTCCGCTCCACTGAACGACACCCGCCCGCCAATATTCATCACTTTTATATGGATAGTCCAGCAAACATTTATTATTGAACTTGAAATCAATCGAAAGCCCACAATTTACTGCCGACACCAATAAATTAAGAGAAAACCTAAATTGAAATTGGAAGATGGAGGCATACCATTCCCTTGAGCTCCTTAGGCACCCTCGGAATGTTCTCTACGTTACCCAGCGCATTTGCCACCGAGGCAAAGAGTGGCTCGGTGACCATTGCCATGGCGTTCTTACTCTCGTCTAGCGCTTGGACCACGTGGACCACGCCGGGGTGCCTCAGCCTGACAAGTCGGGAGGCGTCAGCTCGAATCACATCCAAGAAAGCATCTTCGGCTGCCTTGGAGAGGCCGGCGCGCTGCCTTACCTCGGACAATGCTTTCTTATCCAAGACCCAAACGCAGACGGTGGGGTAGACATGGGCATCGCGGGACTTGGCAGAGTACAATTTCCAGGCGAGACCGGGGCCGGCGGAGCCGATCTGATCGATGAGGTCATAGTCTTGCATGTGGCGAGGAAGGCCGGTGACTTCTTGGACGGTAGTCTGGACGGTCTTCTCGATGACGGCCGATGCCTTGGCGAAGGCCTGTGACAAGGTTTTCATGTTGAGGGACATGGTTTATATGGGAATGGATCTCGGAGCAGGTGGGGAGGGTGCCGGCGGGCGGCGGTGGGAGGAGAATGGGGAATTGAATTCAGAGATGATCGGAGGAGATGGAGATCCCGCACCTTATTCTCTCTCTCTCTCTCTGGCAGTAAATTAATAGAAATTTCTGTCAGTCTAAAAATCGTTAGTTAAATTCAAACAAACGGCACGTCGGGAGAGAATTCGTTACTTTTGGGTTGGGTTGGGTTGGGCTGGTCAGTTCTGTTTTAGGCCGGGCCGGGCCGATGCCCATCGGTAAACGCAAATGCATCTACAACGACTACAAAGTCTGAAAGATGTATTATTATTATTATTATTAACTGATTTGTTGGAGGATGGGAGGGGAGGGTCCAGTCCAATTCCAAGAGAAGGGATGGAATGAACTTGCAGGAAAGAAAGTCAATACAGTGCAATCAAATTTGACGGTCAAAGAAAGCGCGTGAGTGAGCGGATGAGCGAGTGAGTGAGTGGACTGGGCACCTATTTATTATTATTATGTATGCACTTGATCGCTCGATCGATCAACTTTTGCACTCGACAAATAATAATGGAATGAATAATGGCGATCTAACCACCACCAGCAGCAGCAGCAACTTAAAAGCACAATCATAATCATGCATCCCCTCCTCATCATCATCCCCATCCTCCTTGCCTCTTCCTCGGCGGCGGCGGCACAATGCCATCCCGACGACGAAGCCGGTTTACTGGGCTTCAAGTCGGGCATCCTGTCCGACCCCTCCGGCATGCTGTCCTCTTGGAAAAAGGGCTCCGACTGCTGCAAATGGTTGGGCATCACTTGCCTCTCCGGTACCCGCGTCACCGCCCTCTACCTCTCCGGCCAGCCCAACAACCGCACCACCGCCTTGTCCGGCACCATCTCGCCCTCCCTCTCCAAGCTCTCCCACCTCGGCGGCCTCTATCTCCTGGATCTCATCCATCTCTCCGGCCCCTTCCCCACCCTCCTCTTTGCCCTGCCTGCGCTGCAGTACGTCTACATCAACAACAACAACCTCTCTGGCCCCTTGCCCCCAGACATCGGCGACAAGCTCGCCCGACTGGACGTGCTTAGCCTGGAGGCCAACCACTTCTCCGGCCCGATACCCGCTTCCGTCGGTCGTCGGATGGCTAACTTGACCCGCCTCCAACTCGGGGGCAACCGCCTCACCGGCGCCATCCCCGCCACCATTCAACAGCTCAGGAACCTCAACCAGCTGCGGTTGGAGCGCAACCAGCTGTCGGGGCCGGTACCGGATTTCTTTGCCCACCTAACCCAGCTGGGATGGATCAACCTGTCCCACAACAGGCTCACGGGCAGCATCCCGCCCAGCATCTCAGCACTAGCCTCGACGCTGAGCTATCTGGAGATGGGGCACAACTCCCTGACGGGCCAGATCCCAGAATTTCTGGGGAAATTCCGCGCCCTGGACACGCTGGAGCTGTCGTGGAACCGCCTCTCGGGAGCCGTCCCCAAAAGCTTTGCCAACCTCACCAAGATCTTCAACCTGGATCTGTCTCACAACCAGCTGGTGGACCCCTTCCCGCAGATGTACGTCAGGGGCATCGAATCACTGGATCTGTCGCACAACCGGTTCCACCTGGGGAGCATCCCCCGGTGGGTCACAGCCTCCCCGATCATCTACTCTCTGAAGTTGGCCGGATGCGGAATCAAGATGAGGCTGGAGGAGTGGAAGCCTGCCGAGACCTACTTCTACGACTACATCGATCTGTCGGAGAACGAGATCACAGGGAGCCCGGTGCAGCTGGTCAACAGAACGGAGTATCTAGTGGGGTTCTACGCATCCAAGAACAAGCTGAGGTTCGACTTTGAGAGCATGAGGCGATTCCCCAAGAGCTTGAAGGAGCTGGATTTGTCGCACAACTTGGTGTTCGGAAAGGTGCCCGGGGCGGCTTCGGCTCCAGGACTGGCAAAGCTGAATGTCAGCTACAATCATCTGTGCGGGCAGCTGCCCCCAACGAGATTTCCAAGCAGTGCATTCGCCGGGAATGATTGCCTGTGTGGCCCTCCGTTGCCAAAATGTATGTAGCAATAGTCGGGGGCGGACTAGGCTATGGTCGAGCGGCTGGACTGGACTGGACTGCTCTGCACTGCACTATCTATATATGAATATATAAATAAAGACGAGAAATAAGTCCCGCATTGCTGGCTGATTCGGACTCGGATTGATTGATGCATCCGGCCCAGACCAGACAAGACAGACAGATAGAGATGATGATAACTGTACTGCGGGTTTCTTGCTTGTTGAAGGGAGGGACGGATTGTTTCCAACTAACTTACATCAGTAATTATGAATGGATTCCCCGTTCAGATGCACAGTTACATCCATCAACCACAACAGCCTGGTTTCATATGCTGCTAACCAAAAATATGCCCACTAATAAAAGAAAGATCCATCCATCCATCCACCCACCCACCCACCCATCATCACAACTAAAATGAACGGGCGTAAGAAAGACCATATGAATATGTCTTTTTCATCAACATAGTTAATTATACAAAGAAGAGTAGAATGAAACACCACACCCACATCCAACTTGAAAATAGGTGGTCCAAGGGGCATATACAAGTAAGCATTCATCACATCCAACCAATGAAGAAAAACTTACTAATTTAACTGTAAAGACAAATCCTAAGGTAAACTATAACCTTATCACAGAGGTATATATGTATATAAGAAGAGTCAACACACAGTCTTGTAAACCCCACCCCCGCGGCCCGCCATGCATAACCATTGTCGCGCCTATCTCAAGCTCGCGATAGGCCACGTAGCAGATGTGCCAACGGCAGGCAGTGAAGGCCGGATCACAGGGACCCTTCTCACGATTGAGAAAGCATCATTAAGTCGACTTGCATGGTTCATCACCTGAGTTATGTTCTGCAAAATCATAGCTTGTAAATGAGGACCAACTGATAAAAAGGAGTTGTAAAGTGAAGCCACAAAAAAAGGAAATCCACAAAGGACCTATTCAGATTCTGTGCTTAAGATGTAACACTGCATCATATTTCAAGAGTTTGTTTAGATCTTCAAAATAAGATAAGAGTAGAAGAACCATGTAAACTCCACTGCAATACAGATATACCCACGGCCATTTGCCTGAATTAAGGTAATAAATTCATGAATAAGCTCAGAAAGCAATCAACTCTTGCAATATTCTGCAATGTGATTCTTCTAGACAATAGTTGATTATCTTAACAAATGCAGATATATATATTCAAAGTCAATGAAAGTAGAACAGGTCTTTAATGTGCGTTGAAGTTTCAGACAGGCCAAACCAAAATGTAAGGTCTTCTAAAGCTACTATAAATTGTATGGCATATCGAACATATCTTCCAAAAAGACCAAAACAGTTCCAGGGACAGATACAACTATACAAGAGGATGGACTTTTCCTGGCATATGTCAAAATGCCTTGAACACCAGCTTTGATTCAACCAACTAAATGGAATTATCATATCCTCCCAAATTAGAATCAACTCATTCAGCTATCATACCAACTATACCAACCCATTCCCACAGTTGCAACTGAAACGGTTAATCAGAAAATTACCAACACCTACCCACATTCCATCAGAATACTGCCATCATAGGTCAAGGGTGCATCATCAACAATGATTGTCTCAGATGCACTCAATGTTGATACACTACACAATTAACTCTCTAACCACCCTCACAAGTCTGAATCAAGTTTCAAACTCACTGTCTGTTGCATAAAGAATAAAAGAATCCGTCTAGAGCTTGAAGGATCTGCTTAGATGGGAGAGGGGGTGCAAGGTGGAGTTTCTAGTGTGAACTAGGTGGCATGAAAAATATAGTTCTTGTTTACTTCAGGTATCAGATGTCCCTAGAGGAATATAGGCTAAAACTTCACAGATTTACACAATTCTCACATACACAAGGCATTTCTCCCTGCAATGGGGGAAATAGTTACTGCTGTACTAACATAACTCGGAGTGGGTGTTGGCCAAAATCTTTTGAAATCCAACCCAATGATATTAAAGGAAGGCAAGGCAATAAATCACGGATGAGAGATCACTGACCTTATCACCAACAATCAACTTGATCTCCAGCGCCCTAGTCTTCTTCTTCTTCATCCTGTACAACTTGCGGCCCAAAATCACGAACCCCATGACAGCAGCAGCCACAGAGACGGCCCACACAGGACTCATTTTGAAGGCACAGTATTTGAGAATCTCGCTTGGCATCCTCCACCAGATGACGCTCCTCTTCCCAAGATCACCGTTTATCTTGTTTCCAGCGCCGTCAGCAAACTTGCCTCCGCCGGCTGAGTCGAGGGTTTCATCCTTCTCTTCACCAAGAACCTGCGACGGTCTATCCGCACGAGAATTGTTCTCCACAGAGGCATCATCAACTTCACCGAATCCAGTGGAATCCAATGGGAAAAGACTCAAGCCCTCACCGTTATCTGTTTTTTCCTCTGGGATTTTCCCATTCCCCCGGGGACGCGCTGCGTCATTTTCAAAAACATCCAATCCATTCCTCCCAACCAGATCCGCAGAATTTCGATCTTGGGAACGTTCGCTGCTGGAATCGGACCAAAATCCTCCGGGGTCCTTGTGAAGGTAGCGGGTAGGGTTGTCATCCAACCCGGGATCAATCCAGCTTGGATTGTCCGAAGCGGCGGATTTATCGTCATCAGGATCCCCAGCAGCAGCGAAACGCTTGCGAGAGTCTAGCGAGAAATAATTGGGCTCGAGTAAAGCACCCTCAGCAGAATCGATTATTTCATGGAAGGAGGTATTGGGTGCGGGAGGGCTGCTGCTGACGGGGGCCAGGGGCGACTGGGGTAGGGGCAGGAGGAGCTCCCAATCTTGGAAGTCGTTGGACGGGTCGGCGATATCATCCATATGGGGGGGGTGGGGGGGGTGGGTTTATGAAGGAGGAGGAGCGAAGGGAGCGAGGGGGAGGAGGAATCTATGGATGGAAGAGGAAACCTTTGAAAAAGGAAAGAAGAATAGAACAAACAAACAAAGAAAGAACTGACAAAGAGAAGGAAAGAAAATGTGTGATAATGATTTGAGGGGAGGAGATGGAAGGCAAGGGCAGGGAACGGGAGATGCCCCTTTGTTTGTTTAACATTTATTTATTTACATGATAATTAACCAGGCGTTTGAAACTGAGTATTGAGCGAAGGAGAAGTCACTAAACAGTCCTCATCCTCCTCCACCACCAGTCAGTCCAGTCCACCCTCGCTCCCTCAGCCCCAGTTCAAAGTCCAGTCCACTGCCTCTCTTCTTAGCCTCCACTGCACTAGTATCTTCCCATTCTATGTTTACGCACGGGAAGGGATCCTCGGCCCCAACCCCTCCCAGCTCCAATGTGCCCCATCACACACCCATATTTATGCACTTTATATAGATACACGTCCATGTATCTCTGTACATGGGTGTGGGTGTGTGTAGCCCGTTTATACACTATCATATCATGTATGGCATTATATTGCACTACTGTCTAGGGTTTGGCAAAATTAATCCAATCTGATAACCCGATTCGAACCTGACCTAAAATAGTTGGATTTGTATTGAGATTTTTTACTCAATTAATAATTGGGTCAAAACCCGTTTAACTTATTCAATTAAATAGGTCAGCTTAAGTTCTATATTTTCGTCATGAAAATAACCGGTCTAACCTGATTAATTAATATTATTTTAAATTTAAATATATTTTTAAATTTTTATTAATACAATTCAATAGTTATGGCCAATTTTATAAAAATAAACAATAAAAAATAAAGGATTGTGTTGTGTACTGTTATGTAGCATTTGTTAATTCAATTCTTAGATATCGGTTTCATGATATGAATAAATAATTTTTTTTAATATATATATTATGCATTTAAAAATTTTGTTAGTATAAATTGTAATTTTAAATTAAAATTTAAAAATTTCAGCTTTAAACGGGTTACATAAGTCAGGTGGACCCAATTAATAAAAGATCATGTTGCAAATATCAACCTATTTAATTAAATGAATCAGGTTCAGGTCAAGAGTTTTGTAATCAGTTTAAGCTGACTCGAACCTGAACCCGACCCGACATGATCCGTTTGCCAGCCCTACTCCTGTCTATTGTGTCTGTGGGTGGGCCTGGACCTCACGTCTGTTTCTACCCCTGCCAACCTGCCACCCTATGTTATGTGCATTGGCCTCAGTCATCGGTCAAAGAATGATTTAGAAATCTTAACACTCGGAACAGTTTTTAAAATTACTATATTTATAAATTATAAGAGTTTTCAAAACTATTATATGTAAAATAATAGAAGTTTTGAAAACACCCAAAATACTAAAGATTTTTGAAAATTTTATTTTCTCTTCCAATTGCGCCGTACCGTGTTGAATGTCATCAATATATGAGAATTATTTTCTCAAAACTCCTATAATTGGTAATTTAGGAGTTTTGAAAAAAATTTCATATAAATTACTTATGAGAACCTTATATATTTTTATTATAGGAATTTTGATTACTTCTATATTTTTTGTTTTAACTTTTAAACTACCTTATTCCAAATTTTGTGTATCACGTGTTCATTTTTAAGCAAATTTTCTCTTCAAATATCCAATTTCCAAATATTATTTTTTTTATTAAATTATTTTGTAATTTTTATACAATATTTTGTTTTATATTGTATATAAAATAAATAATTAATACCAAAATAAGCAATATAAAAAAATAATATTATAAAAAATTCACATAAATGCATTATACATTTAAATAATACAATAAATATAAACTTAGAAATTATAGCAAAATAAACAATAAGATATTACAATACAATATACAAATACTAAACAACTAACTTATTAAAACTAAAGCCAAAATAAATATCAAATAAAAATAATATTTTAATCAAACAAAATAGCTTACTAACAATACAAAACAAAAATATTGTATAAAGATTATAAAATAATTTAGTCCAAAAAGTAATATCCTGATGTATGATTTTTTTAAAAAAAAATCCACTTAAAAAATGAAAGACATGCCACATATAAATATTTGAAATACAACAAAATTATTTATGAAAGTTTAAAGGGTAAATCATAAAACACCCCGGAAGTGTTTTATCTATTAATGTACAATTTGCACGAAACACAATTTTCGTCCAAAATTGATATTTGATTATAAATATGAACTTAATAATGTAAGTTTTATACAAATAAAAACGATAAAATATCTTAAATATTTTTTTGAATAAAATAAATATATAAATAATTTATTCATCCTTCATTTTATAGTTTTTTGAGACAAATTTTTACAAGATTATAAAAATAAATAATTGATCAATTATTTATCTATTTATTTATTTTATTCAAAAAAAATATTTAAATTATTTTAGGTATTTTATTCGTGTAAAACTTGCATAATTTAAGTATTTATTTACAACTAACATCAGCTTGAGGGTGTTTTGTACAAATTTTAAATTAAGACAAAGAGATATCATCCAATAAATAAAATATAAAGTGTTTTGTGCATTTTTACTAGAAAAAACACAAGAGACAAGAGAGTGTTATAAAATTTAAGTAAGATGAAATTGAAATTAAAAGTGTAGGAGTTCTCAAAATTCCTATAATTAAAAATACAAGAGTTTTTAAAATTATTTTAAACAAAAAAGTATAATTCCAGTATGATATATTTTAAAAACTCATATCTTTAATATTTTAAGTGTTTTCAAAATTCTTATATTTTTATATTTAAGAGTTTTGAAAACCTTTACATTTTATAAATATAGGAATTTTCAAAATTTCTTTCAAATACTTATATTTTTAAAGCAATGTTTGACTGAGGCATTTTTTTTAGAAAAACCCCGGCAGCGTACACGTACAGTACAGGTACCACCGTGGAATTGGATGGATGGCCATCGATTGATTGATTTTTACAAGACCATTTGCATCTATCAGTATTATTATTTATTTATTCCAATTTGCGTGAAATTAGTTTGATTCATTCTAGATAAAAATTACTCCACATGCTTAATAGCATATGTTCCATCATGTAATTAATAAATTGTGTTAAGTATATATATTAACTGCAGTAGAATACTATTTTGTAGGAATTTTTTATTTTTTATTTTCCTGAGTCCAAAAGATCATGAAATGGTCCGGAAAGGATGTTGCTTGGGATCATTCTGAGGAAATGGCCAAGAAGTTTTTTCTATTTTTTTGGTTAAATATCAAATTTGGAATGGGGACACAGTCAATTACCAAAAACCCATAAAGAATCTTTAAAAAAAAAAATTGTCTAGGTGAAGCTGCTATTAAGGGAGGGTTTGATGAGGTTTTATGATAAGGATTGATGAAAGTTTGATGAGAAAGAATTGCAAGTGAGATTTTTTTAATGATTTGAGGTTACATAAAATTAGAAAGCAGTTAAAAAGCAATGATTGGTGAAGTTAGGAATCGATAAAGAATGTGACATAAAAAGGGGAAAAATAAAAGGAGAAATCAAGAAGGAAGGAGGAGTCTTTCACAGCACAAAAAACTCTATCGTCCTTCATCTTATTTTTGTCGTTAGTTTATTTTTCAACATTTCTTGTATTTCAGTGTTTTGTTCCTTTTAAATTTACGCCATTTATCTTATTTTGCCTTACTTTCAATTTTTACCAAATATATTACTTCTTGTACTATATAAAAAGAAGGACTGTTATATAGTATATTACCATATAAATGTTATATAGCAGTATGTAATATTTATAATATAAATATGGTTGTATTTTACGAGAGAGATGACTAATGAATTGTGATGAATTTCTCCTCAATGAATTAATGGACATACAATGACCTATTTATAGGCGAGATTGAAAAACATCCCCGTGGACTCCACTCCATGTGTGGTTTACGTTCTTGACAAGGTAATAATTATTATGTATTTTTATCAAAATTCATACTTAAATATTTGAATATACAGTAAAGTATTAAGTATTTTGAAATGGGAGTAGGCTTGTAGGAATTAGCGAGAGAAGGGAATCGTCGATTCGGCGTCATCTAATTGTAAATTGAGTGGGGAAGGGCCGGCCCATCCAGTAGTAATCGGGCGGACTTGGCCCAGATCGAAGCCCGTTCACAGTCATCACCACCACTAGCTATCAATCACATATGTACGCTACACAACACTACAAACTAAACTAATTTTATTTTATTATTGATGACTGTAATAGTATAATATTATTATTAGCAATATTAATCACAGTCCGTCAGGCAGGCGCTGAGGGGGCGAGAGAGAGAGACAGAGGCAGGTCAGCCCATCACCGACCGCGAGCTCGCCGCCACTCCGCTCCACTTCCACTTCCGCTTACCATTCCCACTCCAGCGCAGCACAAAACAATCTACTCTTCTTCTTCTTCTTCTCGATGCTGCCGGCGGCGATGGCCTTTTCGTCTTCCATATCCCCTTCCTATTCCTCCCTCCTTTCCAAATCCCCCAGGCCCAGCATCTGCAACTACAAACACAAACTCCCCTCCACATTCATCAAGATGCGTCCTTCCTTTCCGCTTCCCCTACTACACCTTCCCATCTCCAGGTTTGTCTGTCATATATAGCATTGATAGCACTGCAATTATTTGCTTCTCTTCTCAACTAACTAACTAACTACTATATATGCTTCCTTCCTTCATTCCTTCTCCTCTGCATTGTTGTTATTTATATTAATATTATTGTGTGACCACCCACTCTCCAAAATTGTTCTGTGTTGTTTGCCTTTTCCTCTTTCCCCATCTCTTGTACACTCGGTCTGAATATATTCATATATCAATTCATCCACCCCTCTTTCTCTCAATCGCAGATTAGGTTGGAGTTTATTGCATCAAGAGAGGGATTCCTTCAAGTCTAATCTTTTTTCTTCAGTTACTAGCGCAGGTCTGTTTTCATTTGCTACTTAGTTAGTAATTGTGTAAGTACTCTCCGCTGCCTACATCTTCTGGTTGGTTATATCACCTGCGGGCTATTATCCATCAATCTGCAGATAGCTCACTAGATGAAGCTGTTCAGGGAGCTCAGCTCCCCAAGGGGGACTCTTGGTCCATTCATAAGTTTGGCGGCACCTGTGTTGGGACTTCTGAAAGGATACGCAACGTTGCCAACATTGTAGTCAAGGACGAGTCAGAGAGAAAGCTAGTGGTTGTGTCAGCAATGTCAAAGGTGACCGATATGATGTATGATCTTGTACACAAGGCACAAGCCCGGGATGATTCTTACATAGAAGCATTAGATGCTGTTTTCGAAAAGCACAAAGCAACGGCACATGACCTAATAGCTGGGGATGATCTCTCTAGTTTCTTAGAGAGATTGCAGGAGGACATTAATAATCTTAAGGCAATGTTACGCGCAATATTCATTGGTACGTGCATGCACTGGGTCATTCACAATAATTGTTTAGTTTCGTTATTATCTCCTGGTGGTATTATTTTCCTGGCATTTGGACTTGCTCCATCCTTTGGAAGCTTGTTCCCCTAAACTTTGTAGAACATGCTTAAATATGAATTTTGTGCTTGACTTTATTCATGAACTTGAATCACTGAATTTCATACCTGTTTGCTGCAGCTGGCCATGTGACTGAGTCCTTTTCTGACTTTGTGGTTGGACATGGGGAATTATGGTCTGCTCAATTGCTCTCGGCTGTTGTCAGAAAGGTGTTCAGATATCAGGAGGCCTTTTATTCTATAGGTTCAAGCTACATGTGTGAAGGTTATTATTAAAATTCTTATCCTGCTATTTGCAGAGTGGGGTCAAATGTGCGTGCATGGATACCAGAGATGTTCTTATTGTGAATCCTACAAGTTCTAATCAAGTTGACCCAGATTATTTGGAGTCGGGGCGAAGACTTGAGAAGTGGTACTCAGAAAATTCATGCGACACAGTTGTGGCAACTGGGTTTATTGCTAGTACACCTCAGAATATTCCGACGACTTTGAAGAGAGATGGAAGTGACTTTTCAGCTGCAATTATGGGTGCTTTGTTCAAAGCTCGTCAAGTTACAATCTGGACTGATGTCAATGGTGTGTACAGTGCAGATCCTAGGAAAGGTTTGTTCTTCTCATTCTTGTGCAGTAGCCTAATATATTGCAATATTTCTCTCTAATGTCATGGCAATAGTACATTGTCAGCTGGTAAATGGTGGGTATGTCATATATTTTCATTTCTAATTATCTTTGGCAGTTAGTGAGGCTGTGATATTAAAGAAATTGTCGTATCAGGAGGCATGGGAAATGGTAACTTGCTTTTACTTTTAAAAACTAATTATAGGCTTTGTTATCAGTACCTGTAGTACTAAAGTCACCAGTCACTTGTGTGTCTGTGCAGTCATATTTTGGGGCCAATGTCTTACATCCTAGAACAATTATCCCTGTCATGAAATATGACATTCCGATTGTTATAAGAAATATTTTCAATCTATCTGCACCGGGGACAACAATCTGCCGATCTACTGGTTTTGAAAATGAAGATGCCCAGAGAGTGGATGCACCTGTCAAAGGATTCGCAACAATTGATAATTTGGCCCTTGTAAATGTTGAAGGGTGGGGTTCTAATTCCTAGCATGATGACGCCTGCTTATGTTTTATCATTTTTCCTTTACCATGATTGAGCACTAAATTCTGATTTTTTTGCAGAACTGGAATGGCAGGTGTTCCTGGAACTGCTAGTGCTATTTTTGGTGCTGTAAAGGATGTCGGAGCTAATGTAATTATGATATCCCAGGTATGTTTATTTTCTATCCAATCAATGATTAATTTGACAGTTCATAGTTCATACTGAACCTTATGGATTTACTCTAACACAGGCTAGCAGCGAGCATTCTGTATGTTTTGCTGTACCTGAGAAGGAAGTAAAATTTGTAGCTGCAGCCTTAGAGTCTAGATTTCGTCAGGCCTTGGATGCAGGTCGTCTTTCTCAGGTAGTTCAGTTTTTTTTTTTTTTTTTTTTTTCAAAAACAAATAAATAAATATATAAATGCATGTGCAAGTGTTTGACATGGCTGTTGTTTGTTTAAGATTTCTGAAACCTTGAATCATTCAGAGATGCATTACTTTTTTTCCCCTTTAAAACCTTCAATCAAATTCTTAATTTTCATTTAAAATATTATATCAAAAATTTATTTTCAATTCAATGCATAACATCAAACACTTATCTACATCACATCAAAAACCTATTTCAATTCAAAATTCTACTATTTCCGAACCCCAAGCCCCCATCCAAACATCTAAATATTTGGAAGAGTTTCCATGTGGCCCAAATAAATTATGTTTTAAGTATGAAGTCTTGGACTCTAAGTCTTGGCTTAGAAGATAGCTGATGTTCCATTCTTTATTCGATGTTTTCATAAGAAACTTTAAATGTGCATCAATCGGTTTCACTTCATATTCATTGCTACAATCAGATGTGATTGTTCAATAGTTGATCGTATTTAAAATTTCTGGATGATCGACTTATATTTTGTTTTGATAGAGAACTATCAATTTTTTATTTTCATTTTCTAAGGTTTTTTTGGTACTGCATCTTCAAGCTGATGAATGTGTTTAATTAACTGCCTTCTCCATTGCTAAACTGAATTGGTGGATAAATTTCTTTTATGAGTTGCAATGCATTAATAATTATATAGTTTCTTTTTTATCTCTCTAGATCGCAGTTATTCCCAACTGTAGCATCTTGGCTGCAGTTGGCCAGAAAATGGCGAGCACTCCCGGAGTCAGTGCTACACTTTTTGATGCACTTGCCAAGGTTGGGAATCTTGCAGATGTTCAAAATTTATTATTTTGGAGAAGGATTCAGTCATAGATATTCCAAGTCTCAGTGATGTGGTTTAAGAAAATCGCCTCTCATAAGCCTCAAAGCAAACAAATCTATTGTTGCTTGTTATACTGAATATCTTATTCATAAATCAAATATGTAGATTCTTATAAATGTCCTTGTACAGGCTAACATAAATATACGTGCTATAGCTCAAGGCTGCTCTGAATATAATATCACTGTTGTTCTCAAACGAGAAGATTGTGTAAAAGCATTACGAGCTGTGCACTCAAGATTTTATCTGTCAAGAACTACAATAGCAATGGGTATAATTGGGCCAGGACTGATAGGCAGTACATTGCTGGACCAACTCAGGGACCAGGTACTGTTTAAATGATATTTTCAATTATTTTGCTTAATGCCCCTGGGATACTGCTATTTTCATTTTAGTGATGTAACAATATCTCACTTGGCAATAACACTTGCCACTGAGTTGGTAAATGGAGCATTCACATTTCAGCCAGGAATTGCAGTGTCCCTTCGCTTGAATAATCTTCAATTTTGGGAATTCTGCAAACAAAATGTGTGTGTGTGTGTGTGTGTGGGGGGGGGGGGGGGGGGGGGGGGTGGTAGATCGCTTCTGAACCATTTTCTTTCTTCTGTTTATGATAAATTTATCATCTGAAAAGTACAAATATTCTTTTATGCTTGATTCTTGCCGGATTTAACTTGGTGAGTGTATGGTTTGGAAGATGATGTAATAGGGATGAGTGGCGTGGTTTGCTTTCTTAAATTAATGTTGCCTCCCATTTTTTAACACATGAATGCAAATAATATAGTCAACTTTGTTACTTAGTCCAAGTAGAAGCTACCAGCAGCTGCTCAAAACAGGAGTTTTTTTAATCAATATTAGTTTATGCCAAGAGTCATTCTACCAATTTATGTGAGATTATGTAACTGTTAGGGGAAAAGAGGGCAAGTGATTCAAATTCATAAACTTGTCTGTATGTGGTTCAGATACAGATTTCCATTATTCTGGAATTCTGTAACTGTATGTTTAATTCTTTTGTTGAGTTTTGCTCATCACAGCTTTCTTAAATTTATGTTGCCTCACATTTTTTAACACATGAATGCAAATAATATTAGTCAACTTTGTTAGTTAGGCCAAGTAGAAGCTACACAGCAGCTGCTCAAAACATGAAGAATTCTTCATCAATATTAATTTATGACAAGAGTCACTCTATCAATTTATGTGAGATTATGTAACTGTTAGGGAAAAGAGGGCAAGTGATTTGTATTTATAAACTTATCTTTATGTGGTTCAGGTACAGATTTCCATTATTCTGGAATTCTCTAACTGTATGTTTAATTCTTTTGTTGAGTTTTGCTCATCACAGCTTTTATTACAATGGCTTTTTATTTAAAGGTGTTTATCTTGTGCTCTAAGTTCTTTTGTCTGCATTTTGGTTTTGAGTGCTTGTTAGCAACTCTTACAGATTGATGAAAGCCATACTTCATCATAAGCTTACTTATATCCTGTTACATGTTAAAAAACTGTTCAGGCAGCTGTCCTCAAGGAAAACTTCAACATTGATTTGCGTGTGCTGGGTATTACTGGATCAAAAACCATGGTGTTGAGTGATACGTAAGTATTCTGATTCAAGGAATGTGTTGCATACAATCATAGTGCATAAATGGTTCAGTGATTTAGTCTTGTGATTGATAGGCACTTCTTGCGCAAGCTGCTTCTACCAGCATGCAGCTAGATTCTAGTATTATTGTATTCTTTATGAGATAGTAGTTTTGAAAAAGTTCATGAAATCAAAATATGATAGTAGCTGCATCGTAGTATCTCTTGGGAATCACGCTTATCTCTACTAAAATGAAATTCAAGTGGTTTGGTATCCAGAAGCTTGAATAATCTGAATGTTTGAGCTTCCAAATTTTCCTATAATAGTATTTAGCTTCATGTATCTGGCTGGACATGCATAGTGTTGTGTTTGACAAACTTAATTCTTCCACTTGATTCTTCAAGAGGAATTGACTTGTCACTGTGGAGAGATCTCCTAAAGGAAAACGGAAAAGTGGCAGATCTGCAGAAGTTTGTTCAACACGTGCATGGGAATCATTTTATCCCCAACACAGCAATTGTAGATTGCACAGCCGACGCCTCTATTGCAAGCCATTACTATGACTGGTTGCGCAGAGGGATCCACGTGATTACACCAAATAAGAAAGCAAATTCAGGACCCCTTGAGCAGGTAATACTCAACTCAACTCTGAACTAGTAACTAGTTGAATCTCATTACAATAAAATAAATGAACTTTTTTATTCTTGCTAAGAAGATGATGTTATTCTCTTTATACCCTCATAGATGCATTTCCTTTGGGCTTTGGCTTTCATATATTGGCATTAATTTTAGTTATGTGCCTTCAATTGCATTACTAACAATATTCTATGCTCGTCAATTGATGTCTTTTCTTTTAACCAATATGTCTGCTTATTGTTTATTTCTCCTTGATGTAGTATTTGAAGTTGAGAACTCTTCAGCGGCAGTCCTATACACATTACTTTTATGAAGCAACGGTTGGAGCTGGTTTACCAATTGTTAAAACTTTGCAAGGCCTCCTTGAAACTGGGGATAAAATATTGCAAATCGAAGGGGTATTTAGGTTGGTATATTTTTATGTAAAACACCTATAACTTGTAAGGTTTCTATTCATTGATTTCTCGTAACTGTGTTCTGCAGTGGGACCTTAAGCTACATATTTAACAACTTTGTGGGTGGCCAGACTTTTAGTAAAGTGGTGAAGGAGGCAAAAGAGGCAGGTTTCACTGAGCCAGATCCCAGAGATGATCTATCTGGAATGGATGTTGCTAGGAAGGTATCATCTGTTAAGCTTTTATTAATTATGCTTTGTTGTTAATGCTGTATGTGTAAGGCTTTACATTTAGACTGCTTGAAAGCCACACAAGCAGGTCAAAGTGCCCCATCAAGTTGCTCTCAGAACCATGCTCCGAGATTTTTCAATCAAATTAGCATGCTCCATATCTGTCCTCTTGCAACCTTATAAATCCAAACATTATTCTGTCGAATGCTATAGGTTGTAGTCGAAGTGTTTTTCCGGTATATGTATATAATATTTCTTTGTTTGATTTCTATCTTGGGAGGTACCAAATGGTGTGTATCTCTTCCGCCATAAAATAACTATTGTCTATCTTTTTGCATTGCATGGTGCAGGTGATAATACTTGCTAGAGAGTGTGGGTTGAAGCTAGAATTGTCAGATATTCCTGTCAAAAGTCTAGTGCCAGACCAATTAAAGGTAACAACAGAGTCCCTATTAATGTGGCAATCGTCCACTTGGAATCATGCATCATGTTTCTCTTGAGTCATTATCTGATACTTGGACAGGATTGCCCCTCTGCTGAGGAGTTCCTGCTGCAGCTCCCTCAGTATGATGAAGACTTGGCAAAACAAAGGCACCAGGCTGAAGCTGCTGGTGAAGTAAGCAAATCTAACAAACTGAGATGATTAATATAGCCTAATTTGGGTGCTATTTACAACTGACAATAAAATTAGGCCTGCGCCAAGAGAAAGCCTGAGGCCCAAAATATATCTTAGATATGTAGACAGGCAGGTGATCTAATGTTGGTGTTTTTCCAGGGGAAATGTAGGATATATAGTAGTAGCGGGTAGATCCTAGGATATGAGGTGGAATGTTTGTGCTTGACCAACCCATCCCATCCCTCATAGTAATCATGTGCTTGACATAATGAAAAAGCACCAAGCTAATTTCATGAACTAATGGGTTGTTAAATCTTATATATGAAGGTGTTGAGATACGTTGGGGTGGTGGATGTTGTGAACCAGAAAGGAACAGTGGAACTGCGCAGATATAGAAAAGAGCATCCTTTTGCCCAACTTTCAGGATCAGATAATATAATAGCATTCTCAACCCAGAGGTACGAGAAGCAGCCCTTGATTGTCCGTGGTCCAGGCGCCGGGGCAGAGGTCACTGCCGGGGGAGTATTCAGCGACATATTGCGGCTTGCATCATATCTTGGTGCACCATCCTAAACTGCTGCTTCCCAGCTCACCCATTAGTTTATGGTAATAATTGGGTTATTCATGTTTGCAGTTTTGCAGTTTTAGATGATTTAGTCGGATATTGTAATTGGTAAGTCTGACATGCAGCCACATTCTGTTGTTGATGTCCGTCCGGGGTAGTCTGTGTTGTGTTGTTTTTGTTTTTGCCACTTGCCAATGGTAAGAAAACTGTGCAACCAGATTTATGGATTGCATCGGAAATTGGGTTTGGGGGAGATATTTACTAAGCATAAACCACCTCTTTGTGCATTCTCGAGATATTTTTCCTGGTATTTATTCCTGAAAGTCATTCAAAACAGTTACAATGTTATGAAAGTGTTCATATGTTAGATCCTGGGGCCGAGGTAATACTTTCGGTCTCTGAAAAGTCGCTTTATGGTCTCGGCTTTCTCGCTTGAAAGATCAGTAGTCTCCAAGATGTACTCCTTTGAGGCTTTGGCTACTGCTTCAATGGAACCAACTGCTTGATTGAGCTGCATTCAGGCAGGAGGCAGAATCAGGCTTCCAAGGTATTTTTCATGTGGGCTGGCAATGATATAAATTTTCCAAATTGGTGTGCAGCAATGGTTATGAGTACCTACCGCATTTGTGTCGTGGCTATCAATGCCGGGCATGGATGTAATCACTTTGATATAGACGTCCATGGATTGCACCGACTTTTCTCTCTGGGTGCATACCAACAGATAGTTGTGACCTGCCTGCAGTACTTTATGAAGTAACGAGATCTTGAACAATCAAAACGCTCGGTAGACAAACCTCAACTCTCAATTTTGCTATTGCATCCTGCCTCTTACAAACTGCAGCGCAGGAGTAGGGGGGTTAATTCCAAACGATAACTCTGCATAATCAGACGAAAGAGAAAGCCTTACCTCCATGAGCATGTGCAACCTTTACAATCTTCTCAAATCCCATCTCCAAATCTTGTACAGGAATGAAAGTTGGTCGCCCTAGATCTATGCCATGTCTTCAATAAATCACGTGTTAGCTAAAGCGTGCAGTGGTCCATAAAACGGCTACGTGTAGATATGATTGGAAGAAATTTTGATGGATATTAGCAAAAACATAAAAGTTTGAAACAAAAAAGTAAACAGAGAATAATTAACTTGAAATAAGAACGTATGAAATCATCATTTTGATCCTTGGTTGGGAGAGTAACAACCACGTAGAAATGTGCAAACTGTCCCTTCAACCGTTGAGTTCTACATCAAGTGAAGAAACGTAAGTCGGAAGGAACAAATGATAAATGTTGGGAGATCGAGCTTTATTGGTCAAAGCAGTATCAATTACTTGCTGAAGAAGGATGCACAGTCCTTGGTATACCAGTTGGTCACAAATATGAAAGCTACAGACAGACCTCCACAGTTAAAGATGAAATCCTGCAACGAGTTTACCTTATCAAATCAAAAAGAGTTCATTAAGACCAAAATTCTAGTATTTAAAAGGCATGCAAAAGGCACACTGAATTTGAAAACTGGCTGGGAACGGTAAATACTGGAGCAATTGGCACGAAGTTCAGTCTATAGGAATTTGCATGGAGGAAAGTAGAGATGAAGCTGATGAAGGATGGATGCTGATCATCTTTCCATGCTGTGCTCATAATACAAACTCCATTGTTACCTGTTCCAGAGTCGTGTTGTTGATAGAAACATATGTTTTAACAGGCGGTATGATGGAATATAGCAACGTGAAAAGAAGATCTGCATAGACTTGAAACAAGCGTAATTGGATGTAATTATGAAATCTTAAGTTGAAGAAGGTATTGAAACAAAATCAGATATATATATATATATGTGTGTGTGTGTGTGTGTGTGAGTTGATTATTATGATTATAGTAAGAGTAAAAAGCAAGCACCTGTAGTTGATGAAATGGAAGGTGTTGTCTCTCTGCAATGACGTGCAGAGTTCATGCTGGCTGAAAAGAGCTGCGTGATTGTTTACAGAATGGAGCTATCTAGAGGCAGTCACGGTGAGGACCGTGAGGTGAGGTTGTACTTGTATATATAGAGGAGGAGGAGGAGGAGGAAGAAGAAGAAGAAGGAGAAGATCGACCGTCCCTGCCCTGCGACTGCTCCCCCGTCCGCTTCGCTTCTGAAAAGACGGGAATTGGGTTTACAGATAGCATTATAATAATGCATGCAATGGAAGATTAGCACGGTATTTTGTGTATTTTTTACTAGTATATAATTTACCTTAAATAAAAAGAGAAAAGGGGGTGGGTTAAACCTTTAAAAAGCGGTTAGTTAGACTAGCGACTTTGGTTTGGTGCCACTGGCAATTGGCAGCGACTTTATTCTGAAGGATCTATCTATAATCTATTATTGCAGAAAGAAAGAAGAATTATTGGCTCATCAGGCTCCGGCAGGCGAATTACAATGGCATCTCCATCCACTCCTTCCAAGCGCCTCCTCCTATTCGACCGTCGATATGGTTGGGTGTAAGCTCTTTCCGCTTCTTACTCACCAATCGATTCATGTATGTATTGACACCACTATTGATCAGTGCCTTGGGTTTGATTGCAGCCTGGATGAATGGAAAGAACCATCCCAAGAAGCCTTATCCGGCGGCCGCGGAATGTATATACAATGTTTTTTGCTCTTTTTCATATTCTTGTCTGCTCGACTGTTTGAAGCAATAACAGCTTACAGATATTTGAAATTCGACTCTCTCTCTCTCTCTCTCTTTTTTTTCACGGCTAAACTTTCTATTGCGGCGTACTTGTGAACCTTTGCCAATTCTCTAATATTTCCGTCCTTTTCAGGTTCTGCGTTATCCCTCTAGCAAATGCAACTCTTAAGAAGGCCTCTGAATTGGTATCGAATTATTTTACATATTCCGTAGCTCTCACTTGATAAGATCGTCTTTACGATTCTATAATTCTATGCTAGTTTCAATTCAAAGGACTCAAGTTAGAATGGTTTTTTCATTATTGTAATTTAAACTAGCTCTCTTCCCAAACCTTGAACTTTTTGAGTGGTGAAGGGCGGTTTTCTTTTTCACATTTTCCTTTGGTCTTAATTAACATTCATAAAAGAAGGGGGAGGGGGGTTGATTTTACACTTTCCACTAGTTTATGATTGTTGGACATTAAACTTAATTAGTAGAAAATCTTCTTCTAAGAACCTAGAAAATGCAAGAAGGTGAAAAACCATGAAAAAAAGAAGAATTTTAGAAGATGAAAACTCTAAAGACATGAAGAAGACTAGGATAATAATTGTATATGATCTAGAAACTTCTAATCTACATTATATCACACTTGTAACCAACTGAGCCAGAGTTAGCGAGTTAGAAAAGCAAGCGTATGAGCTAGTGTGATTAAGAGTGTAAGAGAAATAGTCAAAGACAGTCTTGAGTAAGGTGTAGTTTCAAATAACACAATTCTCACTTGTATATTATTTTGGAACCATACAGATACAACAATTAGTTAGCTAAATTATAGGAATTAATTAGCTAAATTACAGAAAATTAACTAGCTATAAAATAGAAATGAAAACTAATTAAAACATGAATTAAACCTAAATTAATACTAAATAATGACTCTAACTTACAGCCGTTTTATTTTGACCACCTAAATATACCTTTTCTACATAATGAAATCCTTACTTTATAACTTGTTGTAAATGAATGAATTTAGATTAGCCTTTGTATGGCTTTGCTTGCAAGTTGCAATTATGCCTTGAAATTTTGTACGGTAGTAAGAGATAAGGCAGATAATTGTTTTAGATTATCTTATACCCTTTTTTTTTGGATTGGATATCTTATACCTCTTTTAAATGTATGAGTAAATGACTACTCCACTTATTTGTAGAGGAAATGAGATTTATGTGTTTTGTGTTTGGTTTTATTTGTTTATTTTTTATGCTAGACATCATTCTATGTATATATATATATCTGTTTGAAGTTTGTTTTAGTGGCTAGAGTGAAGCTGTGATTGGCGTAGGGATGGGGGAATTGCTCTATTAATTTAGTCCATCACTCAGGCAGTCAGACTCTGCTCCAGATTTCCTCTTCCTTCTTATTTTTTATTATTTTTTTTCTTCATATTTTATTGATTGTACCATATAAACTTGCTTATGATGTGTCTAAGCAGAGGGAGGGGATGTATGCTTCATAAGTAATCAAGAGTGTGTGTTTTGGCCCCGCTCTCATGGCAAGATTCTTGTAGCTGGAAGTTGATTAATGTCTGACATCTCTCTCTCTCTCTGCTCCTTGTAAGATGCATTACGTTGCGAGTTCCACAATGAATGCTGTTGAGGCTGCTCCTCCCAATTTCACACGGATTCGTGAAGCTTGATGCTTCTCTGAGTGATGAGATGAAGAGGAGAGGATGGGAGGAATGGATCAAGATATATGCAGTGGAAGTCATGTGGATGCTTGCCATTTTCACCTCCCCATCAACTCGATTCGTTGTTACAGAATTTCATAACTTCCGTAAAGGCGATAAGCCAACTTCAACTAGATGGGAGTCTCGCTATTTTGGTTGAAATTCTTTCCTGACAGAATGATCTTCTTCAGCCTTTACATCTGTAGCCATTGGATCTATTGATCAAAGAACTTTCTTTTGTTCCAGGTGATGCTCATGTATCGATTCCAGTTGGTTACTGGGTAGATTCTTGCTTAGAGTATATACTAGTATATTGGATTGATTTTGTTGTGTTGGTTTTAAGTTCCCTGGATGAATTGGCTACATAGTGAATGCTCCCAAATAGAAACCAATAAGATAAATAAGACAACCAGAGCTGTGAAAATCACTCTGGCTGCAAGATGAATTCTTGCTTGGAAACTTAACGGGGTTGAAAATCCAAGTGACAAATCACTTTCTTTACATTGAGCATTTACTTGAGCGAGATCAGCTGAAGAGTCCAATGCCATACGTTGTAGGGTTGTCATGCACAAGTGGGTCCGACTAAAATTAATTAATCTTATTAGTGTAGTGGCATGCAATGTAATAATATTCGATGGTGAATCATTTGGGCGTGAATGGTTGTAAACTTGATTGAGCTGTATACTCTAGCAGTTATGCTATTAAAGATGAGAGGAATGTGTGGTGCTGTGATGTCGTTGGTGCTAATTGAGCATGAGTTGAGTTCATTGATGAATATGCATGCATATTAGCATGTATCTTCTAGATGTTTGTGGTTTGTGAAGGAAGAAGGTCTTAGGATTATTAGAAAGGATGAATGTGGTGTGGTGGGGGCGTTTGTGATTGTGATTAATGGGATGGGGGATGAAGGGGATAGGAGAAAGGTATTGTGAAAAGGATAGGATAGGATAGGATGGGGATACATATAATGTGATACTATACTATACTCACAAAATATATTTGAAGGAAAGGAAAGGAAAGAGGCAAGGCAAGCCGACCTAGAGAGAGAGAGAGAGAGAGAGAGAGAGAGAGTTATCCGAATGGGAGGATGTGTTGGGTTGGGGAGATATGGATTTTGGACCTGATGACACCTGATTCAGGGAATCTCCTCCTTTTTGATGAGTGAGGTGGAGAATGAGGAGGATATGCATGCACATACATCTATCAATCTCTCTCTCTCTGTCTCTGTGTGGGTGGGTGGGTGGGTGTTGGTACTACATAACATAAATATATTTATATACAAATGGTGCTTAGCTAATTAGCTTGCTGTGTTGAGGACGTTGGACCGCGCGCAGAGGTCCCCAGGCTGGCTGGCTGGCTCTCATTCCCACTCCCCGCCTTCCTCTTCCTCTTCCTCTTCCTCTTCCTCCACCAGGCAGCTAATTAATTAATTAATTAAGCTACTAATTAGTTGTTGTGTTGATCATGTTGGGAATGCAGATGATCACGTACAATCAACAACGGGAATGGGAATGGAATGGATTGGATCGGATTGGATGGTGAGAGAGAGAGAGAGAGAGAGAGAGAGAGAGAATAAAATGGAATAGAATAGAATAGAATTCAATGGATGAGGGGAAGGACCATGAGGCCACCCATTGTCCATGTGATGGACATGTGTGTGTGAGAGAGAGAGAGAGAGCATCACTTGCACTTGCACTCACTCCTCTTCTCTTCTCCTGCTGCTGTGCCTCCGTTGCCATTGCCATTGCCATTGCCGTATACAGTCAAATCAATCAATCAAACAAACAAACAAACTGCCTGTGGTCATCCTATATTATATTCTTTGACTCTAACATGCCCACACTTGTGTAGTTGGGTGGATCTGAACTGTACTCGCACACACACATGTATCTTGATTCTCTACTTGTGGGTGGGGGTGATTCTTATCCCTCTCATTTCAATTCAGATATGCCGACCCAGTGCCCGTACCTCTCTCTCTCTCTCTCTCTCGAATGCGCGCGCGTACACACACACACACACTATATATATATATATATGTAACTGAGGTTGTGTGGGGGCGCGCACGTGATTAAGTGGGCACAAGGTAAGAATAAATGTTGGTTTGGTGCATAGGTTCACGAGGTCGACAACAGATACTACTGCTGCTGGGCTGAGATTCTGCAACAGATCAATCAGCTGACCAGATTAGATCGTCCCTAGTCCCTACATGCATACATACATAGATGCGGCATATGTAATTAATGTATGCATGCATGTATCAGTAGCAGTAGCAGTAGTAATAGTTGTCAGTTGAATGACTCTGATGTGTGTCATGAGTCAATCCCGCCCTCACCCTGCCCGCCTTTTAACTTTCATCTCTCTCTCTCTCTCTCTCTCTCTCTCATCCTTCCATGATCCACTGCTATAAAACCTCCTCACTCTCCCCAACCCAGTACTAACTACTTCATCATCATCGTCGTCGCCTTCAATCCGAAAACCCAACTCCCAGCAGTTACCAATCGATTGATCGATCAATACCCTCGTCACTTCTCCCTCTAGATCTCCTAATTCCGCCTACTATCTCCACCATCCATCCATCATACTCTAGCCAGATAGCCAGCCAATTACAGCTTACTACTACTACTACTACTATTACCATTTCAACAGACGACGGCATTGAGCAATAATATCTCCATCCACCGAATCTCATCAATCAATTAATTAATTAATCAAGTGGGGTGGGTCGACCATGTCGGGCGTCTGGGTATTCAAGAACAATGGAGTGATGCAGCTAATGGAGAACGAGCCGCCGTCGGGGCAGGGGCAGATGGTGTCGCCGTCGTCGTCGTCGCGGTCGCGGAAGGTGCTGGTGCACCTGCCGACGGAGCAGGTGGTGTCGTCGTACTCGTTCCTGGAGCAGGTGCTGCGGGGGCTGGGGTGGGAGCGCTACTACGGCGGCGACCCGGAGCTGTTCCAGTTCCACAAGCACTCCACCATCGACCTCATCTCCCTCCCCAGGGACTTCTCCAGGTTCAGCTCCATCTACATGTACGACATCGTCGTCAAGAACCCCAACATCTTCCATGTCCGCGACACCTCCGCCTTCCTCTAGCTGCCATCCATCCATCGTATCTGCTCTTTATTAATTTGTAAATTAATCATTTTATCTCCCCGCCCTGCGATGCGTGCATTAATTATATGTATCATTAGTTTCCTCTTCGTCGTCTGCTGCGCTAGCTGCTTGTAGCCTCTATGTATGTATGTATGTACGTACCCTCCACTCTATATATACATGCTGAGAGAGAGAGAGAGAGAGAGAGAGAGAGTTTGTACATCAGTGTGTGCGCGTGCGTGCGTGCATGCATGTTTGTAATTGATGTGTGGAAATTAATTTCTTGATTTCTAGTGTGATTCAACAATATAATTTTCCTGGCTAGCTGTCTCTTAACTTCATACATACATGCGTATTTTTATATACGTGCGGGCTAGCTGCATATATAAATTCCGCCTGCAAGAAAAAATTAATTAATTAATTAATTAATTACGCATATATATATATATATATACACACACACACATTTGCTGCAAACTAAGCGAAATGATCAAATATATATTACACACATAGTGAATAATAATTAGTTGGTACGTTACTCCGTTAGGCTATGGATATAATGATTGTTGCACTCATGATTTATGAATAATTTCAGACTACAAATTTATTTCGTTTACATTGAGACGACCATTCAACTATATATATATATCATCTATCCAAAAAGTAAATCCTCTATACACATAATATATATACATACACACGTGTGTGTATAGTAATTATTATATCAGCAGCTAGTAATCAATACTTGTAGAGCGATACTATAATGTGTTTGTTTGAAATATTTGGTAAATTTATATTATTCAATAAAAAAAGTCATATTGGAAAGAATCTTCAAGATGTCATCGAATTCATAGTCAAAGTTATTATAAAAAACGTCATGTTAAACATTCCCAAAATAACAAATCAAATATTTTTTTATATTAATTGTACTAATCAAATCTAAATTCAAAACCCCAACTATATTATAGCGTGTTCGCATTGTAGGTAAGGTGTTGGTTCCGTTGATTGTAACTAGCTATTTATTAGACAAGTGAAGTCATAATTGACTTGTTCCTTATCCGGCCATTATAATTATTTTCCCATTCCCGCTAGCTATTTTTTTGTGGCTTCGGATCAATTATTATTCAGTTCAATCGTTGTATTTAAAAGGATGGCAATGTCATCCAATCCATCAATGCCAATTAATTCTTCTCGACTGATTCGGTTCAAACTCAGTCCTCGTCCTCGTCCTCGTCCTCGTGTCGTTGGGCAGGGCAGGGCTGGGCCGGGACTTGGCTTTCTTGAGTCAGCCCAGTTTCCAAAGCCCAGCCTAACTAACTAATTAATCGATTAATCATCGCCCAATGCCAAATCCATCCTTCATATCCAGATCCAGATCCAGATTCAGATTGCTGCTGCTGCTGCTCACTTCCATTTTACACCCGTACCACCATCACAAACCCTAGGTTCCTCTTCAACCTCACCCAATCCCCACGGTTCCGCAAGCTATGGCGGACGAGCAAGTCGCTGCGTCGCCGGAACCCACCTCTGCTCCCCTTGACACTCACAAGAGAAAGCTTGACGACTTGGAGCTCAACAACGCATCCGAACCTCCTCCTCACCATGTTTCCGATCTACTCTCCGAGATTAATGGGGCGCAGCAGCAACAGCCGCACGAAGACAAAGAGGAGGAAAAGGAAGGGAATGAATGTACAGATGAATCTGATGCTAAACGCCAGCGGCGCGAGACCAATGGCGATAACGGTAGCGAAAACGAGCCCGGTAATTTACTCATTTCCCCTTGCGTTTCGTCGCATGTTTTTTCTATAGATCTTTCGGCGTTCTCCTTCTACTTATTGGTGGTATACTGGATTATACCTGCCCGGGGCAGGACATATATTGAAAATTTTAAGCAACTTAGCATTTCGATTTTTGATGGTGATACTACTGATGTCCAAAATTTTTGCGGCGCCCTTAGCTGGTCTTATTCCCGCTCCTACTATATGTCATGCGACCTGGATAGCAATCTTGCCATCAGTAATTCTCTTAAGTTGAATGCCACATAAATACCCTTTTTCGTTCCATGTATGAAATATAACATATTCGTAAGAATACCTGTTGTTTTATTTTCTTGTGCAAACCTGTTCCTTTGTAAGCCAATTGTATCGGCTTCACTCACCCAATGCAGTGTTTTAAAAATGAGACAGAGGGATACATTTTCTTATGATTACTGTTTAACTTCATTTGCAGTTCAAAGAAATGGACACCAGGATGATGAGAAAGAAGATAATCCAAAACCAGACGAAGCAGAGCAGCCCAGACCTGCTGATGACAATGCAAAGTCTGTGGAAGTTCAAGAAACCTTGAAAGAAGGTGTGGAGGTTTCTAATAAAGAACTTGCATCTGATGAGAATTATAATGTGGGGATTGGCAGTGGTGTTGAACCTTGTAAACCAAATGAAGCAGTTGAGAAGCCTTCGGAAGAGATTCCTAGAGAGGGAGATGTTCCAGTTCCATCTATTGAAAGGCACACAGGTTCAGGCACCCAACTACTGTCACGCAAGATTGAGGTTCCCAATGATAAGGTAAACTAACTGCAGAATTGTTAACCTTGGTTTTGAAAGTACTTGGATGGTTGATCTTGTTTTTATTTTTTATTATTGTTATTATTTAATGTTTTCTTTCTGTTGAATGACTTTGAAAAAAGTGGTCCTATTGTCCCCTTTATCTCAATTCTCAAAGGGCTTTACAGTGGTTGGAATTAATTTGAAACTTGATATCCTTCAATTGATTACTTTGTCATGAATCTGGATGCACTACTGTTATTTAGGGAATTCCATCTTAATTATTTTTTTGTAGGAACCTAGGTTCGCATATGCTTGTACATGATGGATTGAGGAAAAGGATAGCATAATGAGTAGAGAGTTTTAACTATTAATATTTATATGGCTTTATGTGAATTTATTACACATCAGGATTAATTTTAAAATGTGATTTGCTCATGTAGGTTGGTGTCCTTATTGGAAAGGCAGGAGATACTATCCGTTCTCTACAGGACAACTCAGGTGCCAAAATTCAGATTATGAGGGATGCTGATGCTGATCCGCGGTCAGCCACCAGGCCTTTGGAACTAGTTGGAACCTTGGAAAGTATAAACAAGGCTGAGAAGTTGATAAAGGATGTAATTGCTGAGGCAGGGTGTTTGTTATGTCTTTATTCTTCTAATGGCCACTTCGTTGTTATTCTTATTATTATTATTATTATTATTATTATTATTATTGTTTTTGTTGTTTGTTGTTACTGTTATTGTGGTGTACTGCTGCTTCACCATGGTCTTAATGATCCAACTGAAATTGTTGGTTTGTTGGTAGGCTGATGCTGGAGGTTCTCCTTCGCTTGTTGCTCGGGGATTCAGCACCGTCCAGGCTGCCAGTGGTGGTGAACAACTTGAGCTAAAGGTCCCAATAGAAAAGGTTTGTTCATTTTCTTCACATATTGCTTCATGGTGCTTTAAGCAAGTTAATGAGTTTTGTTGTTAATTTGTCAATTACTTTAGGTTGGTTTGATTATTGGCAAGGGTGGAGAAACAATCAGAAACTTGCAGACAAGATCAGGGGCACGCATTCAGGTTTGATTTTCTCATTTTAAATTACTGTTATATAGGTGGATATTCTGTAGTATCTGATGCATATATTATTATTATTATTTTTTTTCGTTCCATAGTTGATCCAACAAAATCCAGCTGCTGATGGTGAACAAACTAGGGAGAGGACTGTCAGAGTGACTGGTATTGGCGCACAGATTGAGGCTGCTAGAGAAATGATTCAAGATGTTATGAATCAGGTTTGTTAGTTGATCCCGTACCTTGATTTAAAATTTGGCCTGTAGTGCATGTCCTATACAAATATATCAAGGTTTTGATTATTGAATATTTGAATGGGCAGGTGCAGGTGTTTGTTTTTTCTGTTTTGCTTCTTAATTGAGTGGCTTACATCTTTATTGTCATAATATTGAGTGCACTTTCTCGTTATTCGTCTCTGAGATTTTTGTTGCAGCATTTTTGTATGTCGCTATGCTTGTTCGCTTAGTATCCTTTATTTTGATTCCATCCAATTTTGTTTCTTAATAGCATGCTGATCTAAGAACCATGTTGGTCTTGAGCTGTCTACATTCTGTTTACTGCATCCTGAGTTAGTCAGATGTTTCTGTTCTTAAAGGCTTACTAGTGTATATAAGCTTACATATGTTATGGGGTATATTTGAAGCAAGTTATATTTAATTTTCGTATTATAATTCAGAATTTCAGATTATGCTACTGTGGCTATCATGTAAAACTTCTGTTCTGGTATGTTGGCAATGTCGTGCATTTGTCAGTTACCCATGTATACAATATGGAGCTTAGAAGAATTATCTAGGATATACCAATATCTGATGTTATGCATTTGGTTTTGAATTTGATGCCAAAAGAACTTTTAACTAGATCTTTAGATTAGGATTATAATATTTCTCTTGTATTGATGTTACATAGCATTATTAATTGATCATGAAGGCACCATCACTTGGTTTACTTGATCCTCATGTAGTTTGCTTGTGAGGATTGCTTCCATGTGTATACTCAACTGAGGGAATCTATATGTTGAGGATATGTAGTTCTGATTCCACCTGAAATTGTGAGGTGCATGCTCCTAAATACAGTCGATTAAGCATGCTTAGCAAGATATCTTGAATGCTGCTAGGAAAATCTTATACTCAAATAAGATTTTGGTTGCGATGATTTATCTGTCTTGAAGGTGCCAATTTCGAATTGGTTAACTTTAAAAATGCAGATTTGGCTTTTCCTTTCTTTTCCAGTTCGCATTGCCTTCTTGGTGTATCAATAGACAACCACTATTCCCTTGCACCACGTGAAGAGAGGTATCAAGCATTAAACCTCGACATTGCAGGATGTTGATAGTTGGTAAGATTGCTTGAGACTTAGAAACTGATAGTGATACTACTAATGAGGCTATGTGGCATGCCTGATCATATTTTGAGGCGTATTGGAAAAAGGTTCCTTGCGTGGTCAAATCATCTTCATGAAGTAGACTTTTGATGAATTAGTCAACTCAATTCTAGTTGGTAGGTTGGACAATATGTTAGCTCTTATTTTGACATATGCATCTGGTGACTGGTTACTTTAAATTATCCAATAACTTTTGAACTATTCACGCTCACATTTTCTAGTAATCAAATCAATAACTTTATACTGAATTACATACCTGATTTTTTAAATTATTGAGCATTCTTTCAAGAGGTGATTGCATGCTTAATGTTCCTCTAATAATTCATGGTGAAGTTCAATTGTTGCCCTTTGCATGTGCATACCCTTTATCTGTCTGAATAATCTTTCCTCTGGTATGGATTAAGCCTTGAGGTTGTATGCTGGAAGGTCAGAGTTCTAATAGCACTCTTAGAGAAATGCAGAGGATTTCTACTTAATATCTATGCGATGAGAAATGACTATTAAGTAATGCTCCCATTGCGTCTATGATTGCATTTCTTCTACTAATGGTGTACAGTTCTGAATTTACTGTATATCTTGCTTATCCTTAATTGATTGTGTACCTAAACATTTTCTATTCTTTGCATATTTCCTGAATTGTGATATCGATACTTGTATATGTGTACTGGAACACATTAATCATCTTGTTTTAATTCTTAGCAGTTTGTCGTTTGAGTGGGAAATTATGACATTCCATGACCAGTTTTGAGCGTCTGCAATTTCAAGCTCTGTGTCAATGCTTGATTATATATGATGTTGATAGAGTGCCTGTTTGAAGCCATGCGATTCTACCTCAGTCAATGATATGATTCTCTATACTTCAGTAGATGTCGTAATTGTTGGCTACGTCCTCATATGCTTCGATATAGCCCTTTAAATCATTTTATGCTCTCTTATTTAGCATTCTTTTATTTACTCTCACCTACTTTCTAATTTTAGACTGCAAGGCCGTCACCGCTTTCTGGAGGATACAACCAGCAGAGTTATCGTCCACGCGGACCTTCAGGTCCACAATGGGGACCTCGTGGTCCTCATCATGCACAATTCTCTGGTTATGATTATCCACAAAGAGGTCCATTTCCTTCACCAAATTCACAATACCCACCTCTGCCGTATGGTAATTATCCTCCATCACAAGGTCAAAGGAGCAATTTTGGTCCAAGTTGGGAGCAAAGGCCTCCCCCATCATATCATGGACCCTCACCTCAGGTTGGTTTGGTTATTAGTGTGTTACTGGCTACATTTGGTTAGAATGGTTGTATGGATAGACAAATATAATCATTGGCGCCTTTCTTCAGCAGGGTAATTATAACTATGGACAGCAACATGGTCCAGAATATGGCCATCCACCACCCCCTTATTCTCAAGCTTCCGCACAACCCTATGGTCATAGCTATGAGGTGAAATATGATCACCATCCGTCGTCACAGCATTTTGGCCCCATGGGATCACAGCCAGCACCATATGCTCACGGGGCCCCACATTATGGTCCACAGGACCCGTACGGTAATAAACCACCCCTGTATGGCATGCCGCCGCAGCCGCAGGTTCAAGCACCTCATCATCAACCCTATGGTCAGCCTAGGCCTAATCAGCCAGGAGAAATGCCTTATCAGGGTCAAGGTTCATCAGCTCAGGTATATGGTCGAAACATGGCATCTCAACAGCCTTATCCGCCCTATGCTTCAAGTGGTGTGATGCAGCAGCAGCAGCAGCAGAGTTATCCCTCTTATGGTACTGCTCTGGGTACAGAAGCATATGGTGGCCACACAGCAGCAGCAGCAGCTCCTGGTTATGGTCCCCAAGGTGGGCAGCCTGTTGTCGGGTATGGGCAGTCGGCAACACAACAGCCCCCTTTGTATCCCCAGACAGGAGGTTATGGATCATATCCACCGACCCAGCCTGGTTATGCTGAGCAACCTACTACTGCCGACAATGCAGGATACGGTTATCAAACAGACCCAGCTTATGGCACTGCCCAGGCTGCAGCTGCTGCTGCTGCTTATCCTTCCGCTGCTCCTGGTCAGGGCGGTTACGCCCAGTCATCTCAGACCCAGCAGCAGCCTACTTATGAACAGCAGGCAGCTAGTTATGGAACTGTACCAGGTGGCGGTGCGGCGCCCACTGGCTATGGTAAAAGTGCATCGCCTCAACCTCCTGTTGCAGCAGCAGCTACGGCATACCCCCAGTATGATTCTAGTCAGGTTTACGGTGGTGGACACCGCTGATCTTAAACCATCCTTTCCATTATAATAGTAGAGCTATTATATATTATACATATATAGCTAGTTTATAGCGGTTGCATCTTGCGGTTGTTGAGCTCTCTCTCCCCCTCGCTCTGATTACTGTGACTCTGTACCAAGAGACGACTTTGTAAGGACGATCATAATTGTGCTGTTTGGATTATTTGGTAGTTAAAAAGACCACCCTCGCCGGCGCCGAAGCTGTTGCTGGGTGTTGCGTGCTCTGTCGCTCTCGCTCTCCCTCTCTCACTCTCTTTCATTGGAGACATGTCAATTGAGCGTTGTTTCTATCAAGATTTGTCCCAACTGTCCCCTCAACTTGGAAGAGAATAAATGATACTACCTCCGTCCATATAACCGTGCAACGTTAAAAAAATGAGATTAAAGTGTAATTATTTTTTTTAAAAAAAAAAGTGACAATATGACACGTGGGAGAGGGAGTAATAAAATCAATAAATAAACAGATTATGGTATTTTCCAACGCTGATGACTGATGGATGGATGGTGCAGCGGTGGTGGGAATCTGTAGCAATCATTCTTGGACTTCTTAACAATAATAATCATCAAAATAACTTCCATTGGATTGGGTTTGTCAACTGACTGAATGAATACAAGCAGTATAGAAGTGGGCCGGCCGGCCCAAAAGCCCATTTCACTTACACTTTTGCTTTCTGTCTTCATTGTTGCCACAAATCAATAAATGCTATGATCACCGGCCCCTCCTGTTAAAATCAAAACCCTAGCCGCTCAAACGCCCTCTCGTCAGCGCTGCTATGGCTACTACGTACTCGGATGGCAACTAGAGCTGCTTCTGAGCTGTTCGTAAGCAGTATGTTATGTACTCTTGCTCCACTCTCATTTTATTCTTAAGGTTTTGGGTTTATTTATGTAATTCACGCACTACGCTTCATCGCTAACTTTTGCACTGCACTCCACTTTCCGTTGCTTTTGACTTCTGTTCTTATCCTTCTCATTCCGTCTCTCCGATTCCGGTATTAGGGTTATCATTCTACATCACTACTGGAGAGTTGAAGAGGTTATTCTCTCCATTTGGTTTGGTCGAACAAGGTGCAATTTATCATTTGTGGATCGTTCTCTTGTTCCATCAAGCTACGTCCCATCGTTCCTTACGTATTCCATATCCTCAACTGTTGCAGTGAGGCTAATCAAAGATTCTGAAACTCGAAGGCCTAAGGGTTTTGCCTTTGTGAAGTTTTCATCCGAGGTAGATGCTCAGAATGCATTGAAGGCTATGAATGGCAAGGTAGCACCTGCTTTGCACTGTTATTTGTGTGGATTCCCTTGGGCTGACGTAGGCTGTACTATATTTTATTAGTTTGGATGCTCCATTCATTACGAGTATGAACTTATTTATATTTAAAAGCTTTCTACTGTTATGCAGAACCTATGCTTTATAGATTCTACTTGCATGCTTTAGCATTTGACAGTGGTTTCGTTGTGTATGGTTTTATGGATGCAGGTTTGCTTGTTTCTTTTTGACTCTGTTACCACATTTTGTATTACTCGCTATGATTTCTGATTTCATATTGGGTTACTTAAATGTTGACGGTATCACAAAGTGGTATATTCAGGAAGTTTTGGATGCGTTCCTAGCACCATCACAATCAAGCTTGACCTCTTTTTTGTGCTCCTTGTCACCCATCCCAAACCCATTTCTTAAATTTCTCCAATCTACAGTTATATCACTCTTATAATATTTGGGGGCTATTTTATTCAATCTTGGGATATTCTGTGCTGTGATGTTCTAATTGCCAGGCAACCCATGACAGCCTTTGGCAATGTGTGATTCAAGGCTGAGGCAGCCTTTACTGCTGGCAACATAGAGGCACCAATCTCCGCCATGCTTATCTTCATCCGATTGCCTTCTTCTTGTTGTATCTGTTGCAACTGTCATTTACAATCCTTTCTGATGAGTACAAGAGCAAACAACAGAGGACATCAGTTCAGGGCCAAATGCTTTTCATAATTTTGTCTTGAGTACAGACTGATAACTATGGTTTTGAGTGACTTTGGTTTTATGGGGTACACCACTATGATGCAGTTGACATTGATGCCTGCCTAATTATAGCATTGGTGGAGTAGATGGTGGTCTGAAATACGTATTTTATTTTCCAGTGAGAATGGTGAAAGCTTACACAGTATGACATTGCAGTGTTTTGGGGTGATCTAATTTTGTAGAATGAGGTGTCAATAGTGTAGAGACTACTGGAACAACTAACGCAATGCATTACTGGGCATATTAGCAAAGAGGCAAATATTGTTGGTGCAATGCTATTGTAGTGAATGTTGCAGAGATGCGGTTTTGCATGCTACATTGTTGATAATACTGTAGGGATTGTGATGGAAAGCACCATTTTTTGCACTTGTTCATTATTTTTATGACCTTGTTTTTCTTTTTTATAATATATAAATGCAATAGTTATGTTGATATTTATATAGACATATCTAATTCTTATACTTGATTAAAGCTGCAGATAGTGCAAGGGAGGCTGATTTTTGTGGAATTTGTAGAGAGCATTACACCTGGGAAGAGAGTTTAGAGTGGAGAAAGTTTCTTCCTGCCTCAGTAATTTAGATCCAAAGCATGGGAGAAATCTCGACTTTTTTGCAATGCTCATTGTTGATGCTCTCTCAGCCTCAACATCGCATTTCAAGGCAGAGACATCTTGCAATCAGTCGTAGCCAATCATCATTTTCCATGGCTTCAACTTTGTGTTCTTTTTCAGCATCCCGGATGCCCTTTCCCTCTTTTACCGGTCAAAAGGAATGCTACTGGAAGACTAGAGCAGGTGTTGTTTCAGACTCAAAGGTGCCTACTACCTTTACTGTTGATTCAGCTGGGGAGGGCATTGATGTTCTGCCAGACTCCGGGGGATCTGATGACAATTTAGGTGGGGCGGGTGGAGGAGGTGGAGGCGGAGGCGGTGACGGTGGTAATCACAATGACAATGACAATGAAGAGGGAATGGGGGGGGATGGAGATCAGAATGGGAGTCATAAGAAGCAGCCGGGCATGCTGATGTCCCAGAAAGTGACATTGGCGTATGCAGCCTTGGTTGGAGTGGGTGGAGTGATGGGGTATCTGAAGGGTGGAAGCCGCAAGTCGCTGATTGCTGGTGGAGGGTCGGCGTGTCTGCTGTATTGCGTCTTTACCCTACTTCCCTCCCACGCCGCAGTGGCATCATCTATCGGTCTTGCTTTGTCCGCTACACTTGTTGGGGTGATGGGGTCTCGGTTCAAGAGGTCGGGGAAGATATTTCCAGCTGGTGTCGTGTCGCTGGTGTCGCTGGTCATGAGCGGTGGGTACTTGCATGGAATTTTACGTGGTCTGCATTGATTGATCCGTCAGAGTAAGCAAGCAAGAGTTGGGCAGTTGTGTGTGATATGTGGGTGGGTCTCCTGGAGATCTGATTCTGCTCTGCTGCATTCAGGGATTGAGACTAGTAGTGTCTGGGGTTAGTAGTTTTGACGTGGATGTGTATGGATTATTACTATTATTATTATTATGGTGAATAAGCGGGAGTGTGCTTGTAGAGATGAAAGCTAGTTTGCTTGCTTGCTTGCTTGCCGGTGGTTTTGATGTTTGGTGTTCTGTGTGTCCTAACCTGATTGTCATCCGGAGTGAGATGAGATGAGATGAGAATCATGTGTTGAGACGAGGCAATCTCTCTCTCTCTCTCTCTCTCCCTCCCGCAATCTCTTAATCGTTGTTTGTTCCCTTTCTTTCCATCGTTGTTTGCCATCATCATCATCATCACTACCAATTATTTCGATGTGGTGATGGACGGACTGTCTGTCTGTCTGTCTGTTTTTCTATCTTTGTTTATTTGTATTATATGTTAATATAATACAAATAAATACATAATACATCACTCCCCTAGTTAGTGTTATGCACATTATTATAGTGTACATATACACATGCATGAAAATGTAACTAGGGTTATGCCCATGATTATAATGTACATATATACATGCATGGAAATGTGAAATGTGAAATAGGCAGGATGGGACCAACCTAAATCTTGAATCTGAACTCCCAACCTAAAGGCGTAGGCCGAAGGTTAAGTGAGGACTACAACTTCATTCCCACTAAATGTTGAATGTTGACTACTATTTTGTTAAACTGCATTTGTTTGTTATAATTTTTAAAATTTATATTTATTTTTTGCATGTGAATAGATATAATAGCGTAAAAGCTTAAGTATTTTTTAAATTTAAATATATTAGAGCATCTGTTATAGTTATTAATGCTATTCCATTAATTTATTTATTTATCTTTCTCATCCACGTTATATTTATCACAATTTTTAAATTATTTTATTTACGACTCATTATAGTAAATTATTTTCAACCTACAACCTTATTATAAAATACTACCCACAATTTATGTCTATATATTTTTATATAAGGTAATGAATACATAATAATTATTTGATCGGCCATGAGTTCAATTAGAGTGAATAATATTTTATAAAGTATGTAATAATTTTCTATTAAAAAAATATATACATTGAACTACTAGAGGGTAATAACTACTCCATTGGTTCCATTCTAAAGGATCCTCTACAATTTTGTAATAAATTGAAAAAAAATAAAGATGTATTGGTCTGTGTAAAATATTTTGATATATAAATTAATTATATGTATAATTTTTATAAAAATTAAAAATATTTTAATATTAATATATAATTATTTTTTTGTAAATAAGAAAGGAATATTTTTAAAGGGGACGAGAGTATTTATTATGCCTTAAACTCCTCCCATGCTCTTCTTGATCTTAGGTCGAATCCAGTGCGAAGTACAAATGTGTGTATTCAACATCAGCTAAAATAGGATCGGGCCCAACCCATTATATCAAAAACCCAACCCATGATCCATCTCCTTCCTTTCCTTCCTCCTCCGGATTCATTCACACGTTCGCTCGCGTTCCTTTCACACCGAGATCAAGATCAAAAGCAGTAGCAGAAGCAGAAACAGAGGCAAGCTAATGGAGCAGAACCTGTCCAACCTAAACTCCGTTCCTGAACACCAATACGAAGATGATGATTCCACCCAATCGGCTTTCGCGTCTAGACCTCATCGTCCTCCAGCGCAGTATATTTAAGCCCCTCTAAATTATTAATTATTTATGATTCAATATGTATCTCTGCTCTGCTCTGCTCTGCACTGCACATTCTTGTTCATGCCACAGCGCTACAAATTACTCATGTGTGATCGATCAGTTGTTTGTTCCAAATGGATGGATGAAACTGAAAGTGGCGTAACCTATTTAGCTATCTTTTATCACCAATTTACCTCAAACTGCCTGTGTATTTTGTGTGTGTGTGTGTTTTTTTTTTTTCCAAGTATTTATTTACTTTTTCAATTCAATCTCATTCTCCTTATTATATGTTTCTTTCTTTTTTAATTGTTATTACCAACAAACTGTCTCCTACTAGTACCTGCTGTATTGATCTTTATTTGTTATTCGCTTAGGATTTCATCACAAAAATATGCACCTTTAGATTGGTCGGGCTACTTTGACCAGGAAGATGACGTTCACATCCCAGGCTCAGACGATGTAAATGACCAAATCTTTTCAATACATCTCTCACTCCTATACTGCAAAGCCTACACTTACTTTGTCTTTGGTCCGAAATTCAGGTTTTTCACATTTATAAAGCTGGGACTGATGGTCCAGTTGTTTTCTGTCTCCATGGTGGGGGATATTCGGGGTAGGCTGACTTCTGCCTACAAGACTACATCATATATTTTCCTACATGATTCTAGCCTCTGACCATGGACAATGTGTTTCAAACTATACGGCATGATGTAGCTTTAAGTTCTAGTTTACGTATTTATCGGCTGGAACTATTTATCAATTGGATCCACTGATTGTTATACATTACCACAAACGCTGCAGTCAAAAGTCCTTGCAAATCTTAATTGAGAGAAAGGAGTTTAGCTAAGATATCATCCAATTAACTTACCTTAAAACTTTGATTCTTCTGTTTCCACAGGATTGATATGAATATATGGTCCTAAAGATTTTTGATTAATTTTCTAGAATACCTAAAGTTTTCTCTTTTATGTGATATCAAACTTTCATGTTGTTTGAACTCCTTAATTCACAGTTGAAGTGTTGAACAAATATTAGCCATGTACATTGTGATAAGCAATGCTTGGACACAAATAATATGTCTTTAATTCATAAATGAAAAGTCGGTGAAATTAATAGGTTTATAATTCATCTTTTTTGAAGCTGAACCTTGGAAAACATACCCTTTGTTGAAGAATCTTTGGTTGTGTATCTGCAGATTATAATTGATTACTTTTTCCAGGCTCTCATTTGCTTTGTCAGCAAGTAAAATAAAAGAAAAGGCTCGGATAGTAGCCTTGGATTTTAGGGGACATGGAAAGTCTACTACTGAGAAAGATCTAGATCTATCAATTGAGGTATGTGTCTGAAAGATTACAAAAGACTGGAAGTTTTTGTTTTCTGAATCTGTTAGTTGTCTTTTGTGTGATCATTAATGTATTTGCTGCTGCACATGGTCGTTATTGACGCCTCGACAATAATTTCAGACACTATGCAATGATGTGGTTGCTGTCATTAAGGCAATGTATGGGGATTCTCCTCCAGCAATTGTGATCATTGGCCACAGGTTTGTGTCTTAATAAAGCAATACTGACTACATAAACTAATGGACCTAGCCTTTTATTCTACTGAAATTATATGAATCTGATAGTGATGACTAATCTTTGCAAATTCTAGTACCCTTTCCATCTTAAAGCATTGAATTTTTATACTTATACTAATGAGCTTGGCATTTTAAAGTTTGATAGAAGATCAATATTTTAGTTCCTGTTAGTTGATTGGTTTTCATCTAATGAGTTTTTTGTCAGGTTTATACCTTTATGCATTCATATGAAAGGTTTTTCTTATGCTAACTTTATATTTTACCAGTTTTCTGCCAAATCTTGGTGGATTTCAAAGCACAGTAATCTTCCATGAAATGTTTAAATAAATCTTTTTATTATTTAGCAGTTACTATAGGAATTGCATGATTTTTTTATCTTTGTAATGCAGTATGGGAGGCTCAGTTGCTGTTCATATTGCTGCAAAGAAGCTGCTTCCTAGTTTGGCGGGGCTGGTTGTTGTGGATGTTGTAGAGGTTTGCTTTGATAAATGGAATCCTTTTTTCATTTGTGATAAGAAAATCTTGATGCAATATGGTGACCAATGCTTGTTTATTTCTATTGATAGCTTTGTAGAATTTCAGGGAACAGCAATGGCTTCATTGATTCATATGCAGAAGATTTTATCAAACAGAATGCAGCATTTTTCAACTGTTGAGAAAGCGGTAATATTTCTGCATGCACATAGCTGATCCATACTCTCCATTTGCTGGGTTACTGTGGTTTCTTTGATGCTGTAAACCTAAATATTGAAAGAATTATGCGTATAACTGAAATTTAGGTTTTATACTTAATATAAATATTATGGAGAACGAATTATGATACTGGGTCGATGTTTGATTCTTCATTATCACTCTGTGACAAAAAAGAGATCAACATATAGATTGCTTGTGAAAGGTATGTGAAAAATTAAACTATGATTAAGGGATGACATCCTATATCTGATAAATAAATAAATGTTGACTAATTTAAATTGCAGTGCTTACCTACAAGTCTGAATTTTAAGGTTTTTGGGACCATGTGCCGCTAATACTACTATGCATTGTCCACCAATTAATCATAACCACATAGCATTCCTGTGCCTATTATTATGACAATCAACAACTTATGCTAATTACATAGGCAAGATACCCTCAAACCTGCAACATATATTCCTGATTTCTAACTTGCTACAGGTATAATTGACACATACCCACCTTTATTAGTATGTGTCTCACTTAATGTTGATCTTTAGATTTTGTGTGTAGAAATGTCTTGCGAAGTTTCCATTGAACCTCAACAAATTTACAGATAATTAGACACAATATGGAGAGCATCTTAATTATCACATGACTACATGAGAACTTTTTCTGGGAGATCTAGTGCGCAGTCAACATGTTATAGGAGCTATCATATCTATACCAACAAACAAAACCGCACATTGTGTGATTTTGTAATCTCCCTCAAAATCAATAGTAGCATGCTACTTTAGAGTGGCCATATTTACCATAAAACAATCCCCACCTTCGAACCCCTTAAAAACTTTCAAAAGCAATGATAATATACTATTACTGTTAAATAAATTTTAACTTTCCAACAAGCCTCCAATACCTTTCACGTTCGTGAAATGGTCCATGGTTGTATTTTTCTACTATAACTTGGAGTGATTGTGGTGCTGCAAGGTTGATGCCTTGATATTCCCTTCTCCTTGAATAAATAATACAATAAAAAAAAAAAGGTAATTTTAAACATTCAGCTTAGCAAAAAATGTAGCTCATATTTTGATAACGTGTTGATTGTGCTTATAACATTTACGTAGCCACACTGGTAACACTCCTCATTGTTGAAAATAAGTCCATGGTTTACACCAAAATTATCTTGCTTGAGTGGAAAATTCATCTACTGCATTTAGGGAGCCTTACCCCGTGCAAAAATAATAACTTTTGTCACCGAGAAGCATAGGTGTAATGGTGTGCACTGTGCAGAAACTGATACTATCAACCTTCCAATTTATAATGTGTATGTATGCATGTATGATTGGAAGGAACATCCATGAGAAGAGAAATTTTCGGCAAGACCATACTGATCTTGGTGTAGTGTTTTATGAATAGCGCTGTAGAATGTCTTTCCTATTTAGGAGCCTTAATATGTTGAACTAACTCTAGCTGGCTGAGATTTTTGTAAGAATGATTTGTTTTGAATGCTGAATTCTTTATGATACACAGAAGATACTGGAGATAAGTTTCTTATTGCATGCAAAAATTTAGTTTACCTATATCTATGTAGTCCTGGCCATATCTATACTGTCAACTTGTGAGTTACTCAAGTTTTGGATTAAGTGAAAGTGATGCATGTATAATTGTTTGATAGATTGAATGGAGTGTTAGAGGAGGCTCTCTGAGAAACATTGAATCAGCTCGTGTCTCTATTCCCAGCACATTAATATATGATGATTCAAGGAAGTGGTGAGTATTGTAGCAGTAGTTGCTATCTTTAATTTGTTTTTTATTCTTAAATGCTGGTTGGTTTATCAACTTGATTTGTGGATTCAAATCATTACGAGAAGCCTATTGAACCAGCAATATATCTAACGTATTTATGTTAACTTCTAATTTCACCTAACTTTTGCTACATATGGGTGGATCTTCAGTTATACACATCGTGCTAGATTGGAAGAAACTGAACAGTATTGGAGAGGATGGTACATATCTTTTTTCCATTTACACTAGGGCTAACTTAGTACCTTCTCTGAATTGCAATATGTCGAACTTCCTTTTGAACCTTTTTATGGGATTCACATATAAGAAACTTCCTGTCAGTATCTTTATAAGAGACCTTAACTAAGAAATTATCTGTTTCAGGTATGAAGGCCTTTCGGAAAATTTTTTGTCATCTCCTGTACCAAAGCTTTTGCTTTTGGCAGGGACTGATCGACTGGACAGGTTATTCCTTGAAATTTATGCGAACAAGTTAATACAGCTTCACAATATAATATAATTCTTAATGTTGTGTATATATCTGTTGCCTTATTTATTATAGACATGTAGAATGTTTCTTCTTTATAGTTGCCAACATTGTGCATTGTTTTTTGGTTTTCTATGCCTGACTTCAGTCGCACTGATCTATGAATTGCAACTATGAGATACCTTTAGTTGAAGTTCCCAGTACAATAGTTGTTCTCATGTTCTAACTCCACATGTACAAAGTTATAAAGACTGACCATAGCCATAAGGTCTTACATTCTTATATGATTATATGCCACACACAGAATCAGTGTCTTTTTTATGTAACTATTGAATGTTCTGCTGTTCATGTGATTGGAGAGCAAGCTATTGTAGTAACTTATAATGATATTGAGTTCTTGATACATATTGAGGATGATAGGCTTGGAGAGATCATAAGTGTCCCTGTCCAGTCTTATTTTTCTACTCATCTGTTGCACCGGGGTAATGTGGTTTGCTTTACAGGACCTACGGACCTGTTTCACAAAAATATTTATTATGTGTCTTAAAAGATTACTTTATGAGTCCGAATGTTAAAAGCTCAAATTTATTATGTGGCTTAAAAGATTACTTTATGAGTCCGAATGTTAAAAGCTCAAATTATGCAAGCATAGGTTTTGTGCTATTTGATCATTCTTTGTCGTTGATTACATAGGCCTTTTCTTTCTTTCTTTCTTTTTTTTAAAAAAAAATCTTTGCACTGCCACAGAACTCTGACTATAGGTCAAATGCAAGGAAAGTTCCAAATGGTGGTTGTTCGCCATACAGGACATGCCATACAGGTCTGTTTTAGATTGCCCAAACCTTCTGTGGTTTGACTGATATTGTTGTAAGCTGAACAGCTGTTGACTTGAACCTTACAGGAGGATGCACCGGATGAATTTGCCGATCTGATCCTGAACTTCATATCACGCAACAGAATAGGCCCTCATGGAATAGAGGTGGCATTCTGCGTTTCATTTAATGCTAATACCAATCAAATTCTTGCCTTTTGTGTTAACACTCTTACGACAAATTAATCGAACCATGGTGGTGATTCCCTAGCTCGTACATTTTTAGATCTTTGCAATGCAGAGAAAATTCAACTCCCCCTAAGAAATAAGCAAGATGTGTATATATTTATCCAATGGCATGCATGGGGTGGGGTGGGGTTTCATTACTTGGGAGTGGTGCAAGGGTTTGATTGTGTAGGTGGTGCCTGTCCGTCCTTGAATTTTTGAGTCTGCCTTGATGGGTTTAGGGAAAGGTAGGCAAGCAACATAGATTGATGGTTGATTTATTTGTTGCAGATCCCAGTAGGAATTCGACGCCCCCCAACTTCAACGGAAGCTTGAGAGATGGGAAATAAAGGACAAGTGCCTGTTTGTGCGTGCGCGTAGAAGTGGTGTATCCACCCTACAGAACAAGCAACAGGTGTTTGTTATATGATGGTGATGTAAACTTGCTAACTGGTGTCTTTATGGAATGGAATAAGAGGAGGTTGCAGCAGATTTGGTTTGGTAGTGGGGGATGGTGGGGTTAAGTTGGTGTAAATTAGTTGTGGAGGATGAATTCGAGAGAGAGAGAGTGAGTGAGACCATGGAGAGATGATATATAATTTGTTTACTGTTAATTGCTCTTCGTCGTCGTTCCCCTGTGGAAGGGGTTACAGTGTTCATTGCCCCACCCAGTCACTCACTCCCTAAGCAGCAGCCAGCCCAGAGAGATAGAGAGATTTCAGACCAGACGTAGTGGGGCCAGGCAAGGCAAGGGTAGACTAGGCCTGAATCCAATCCTCACTCATCACAGTCTATACACATCCCTGAATCCAACCCTGAACCCACCCCTACCGGTCCTGCTCTATGAATATAAATAAATAAATGCGTTCCTTCCTCATTCATTGTTGCTTGCTCTGCAGCAGCAGCAGCAGCTGCTGCTTTGGCCCATTCTACTCTACAAGCAGCAACCAAAGCAGAGCAAGTACAAAGTATAAACAAAATAAATGGCAACTTTCTCCTCTTCCTCCTTATCAGTCGGTCAAGTCGGCGGGTCGCTGTCTTTGTCCCTTACAGATTCGCAGTTGCTATTTGGTGACTGTGTTTGGGTAAATTTTCTAATAGTTTTTCAAACTAAATTTGATAAAACAAGTTGATTAGGTAAATTATATGTTGTACAAAATGTTCAAATTTATAATTTCAGGGTTACGAGTTCTATCTGGTCATCCTCTACGACCGCACTTTTCCTATCTTTCTTTCTTCCTGCCCCGACTTGATTTGACTCGACCCGCATGTGTGTGCTTGTTTGTTTGTTGTTATGTGGATTGTGGAGTATCTAGTACTAGAATTATTAGTCTTGCTACTATTATGTAGCACCGGCAGGTCCAATTTATCACTACTCGTTGAATTTATTTTCTCAAAAGTATAAATAGTCTTTCATACTTAGTTTGACTAAAAGAATAATAATAATAATACTTATTATTATTAGTATTTAATTATTATTATTATTACCATTATTTAGGAGCACATATTGTCATTATTACAGGTCACTCTTATTTTCTTCGACTATCTTTATAATTTTATCAATAAAATAAAATATTCATTTATCCTGTCCAGCCCAGAGGGTTACACGAAAGAGGGAGGGAGGGAGGGAGGAGGGTCTATCAAAGATCGTCGTCGGTCGCTCCTCGCCGTCGGCTTCAGTTGAGTTCAGGTGCTAGCTATTATTATTATTATTATTGTTGTTGTTGTTGTTGTTTTATCATTTCGCCGACGACGGCAGGCAGGCACATCTGTTTCTCTGCTTCTCCACTCCCTTTTTGCAGTTGCACTTACAATTGCCTATGGCCAACCATCGTTTTCCCTTCCACCCTCGTTTATCTTGGTTCCGCATATTTCTTCTACACACGACCCACTCTTCTTTTCCTATTCCTATTCCTCTGCGTGGCCGCTTCTGCGGCTGTCCCAATTCATCCCATCATTCTGGAAACGCACTTGGATCATTCACCACTTCCCTCTCCTCCTCCTCCATTCACACATTTATTCCCAAGTTATGTTCTCATCAACGGGGGCTAGAGCAGCAGCCCCCTTCTTTGCGTAATTTTGTCTTTGAAATCGTTGATATCGTTACCAAGGATGGAGATGACATGGAGTCTCGCTTAAGTCTGCTCGCTTCAAACTTCTCTGTCTGCTCAATAACCCATGTTTTCAAGGCTTTGAATTCTCTGACCTTATCGGGATCAAGGCTCTTTGAGTGGATATGGAATACAGATCGTCAGCTGCGCAGGAATCCTCTACTTTGTAGTTTGCTTATTGACAATGTAGGAAGGTTACATGATTATGAGACAATGCATCTGTGGTTACGCAAGTTCACATCTGAAAATATTTATCTTACTTTTGAGGCCTTCACATTTTTGGCCTCCACCAATTCCTCCAGCAGAGAATCATCCACTGCAAGAGTGGTGAATCTACTCAATCAAGTTGGGGGATCTTCTCAAAATTCTGGTGTCCCTGCAATGCTGGAGATGTTTTCTAAAGCCAACTTGTTTGAAATGGCAAGGTATGTCATCAAAATCACAAAGAGCAAAGGGTCGTATTATTGTCTTTTGATTCGTGACAGGTGCAGAAGAGGTCTAATACAAGATGCTTATGATTTAATCAGAGAGATGAGAAATGACAACTGTCTCGATAACCAAAGAGCGTATAACTACCTCCTTGGTAGTCTGTGGAAGACAGGTGGTGGGATGGGCGAACCTTCTGCACTGCTTAAGGAAATGGAGGAAGATGGTATCCTTCCAGATGCAATAACTTATGAGATTCTGATAAATCATGGATGCAAATCAGGCAAGATGGATTTTGTGCTCCAGCTTCTTGATCGGATGAAGTCTCAGGGAATTGAACCTCGGCTAGAAACACTTGCTCTCATTGTCAAGGCGTATTTTGCTGCAGAAAAATATGAAGCGGCCCACAAGTATGCTGTTGATTTATGTACTGAATCTAAGAACACTTCAAGAAATTTTATGTACAGCTTAATGGCAAAGCTTTATTGGAAAAAAGGTGATATCATGAGTGCCCGGAATACTCTTATTGAAATGATGGAGAAGGGTCTTAAGCCAGATTTTAAAATTTACATGAAAATTGCGAGACAAGTTAGAGGAATTGGAATGGAAGATTTAGCAGGGGAGTTGGAAAGTATGTACTCCAAGTTGTAATCTAATGATGTGCATATCATTGCTGAGTTGATTGCTGAAACAGGTAAAATTTTACTTTTACTCTTATAGTTAATGTATCTAGTTTAGCATTTTAATTCTGCCTATTTAAATTCAGGAAATATGAAGTGTGTTGATCAGTGATCTTTGTTTGACATTGCATTTTTGGAAGACATGGGAATAATATATGAACAGATTTAAACTTGATTAACTTAACGCTTTGGAACTTTATATCTAAGTACTGAAAGGTGCTGATACCTGTGACATTGAATGCTATGACTTTGAACTGCTTCTTCACTTGAATTATATAGTATAATGCTTATGAAACTCTAAAAACTATGCAAACATAGAAAATGATAGGCCAGTATTTCAAAATTAATGATTTTTTTTACCTATTTTATTTTGTTAGCTAAGGGTGGAGATGTAGTTGCACTGCAAATTGGGGATGACAATGGCTATCTTAATCCTCTTGCTTGCCATTATTATACTTGTCAGTGAATCTAAACTTGCACTCATATGTTATTATACTAGTCAGCGAATCTAAACTTGCACTCATATGTTTCCCAATTTTTGCTTGTTCCAACTTATATTTACCCTTGTTGTTACATATTTATTCCAGATTATTGAATTTACCATTTTCTGTTTCGGTAGTGTGCTTTGAAGAAATTAAATGTTAGAAAGATTACCTGGTTGTGCTTCCCTGAAACCATGGAGCTTTGAAATTGCTATTTGGTGGTTGCTACTTTTTCAAATATTCTTAATAGGAAGTGCAATGGATGAATTACAATTTACATGTAGGGTCATGCATGATCTTTGTCCAGCATATGTAAAACAACCTGATGATTAATTTTTGAAGTCATAGCAATACAAGACATTCAAAGCTTTAGCATTGGCCTAAAAGTTGCCATAGAAACAAATACTGAATTGTATAGTAATATGGATTTCATAGATATGGAGTGGTCAGGTTGCAAACTCTTCCATTTTCAGTAACAAGGAGAGTTTCTTCATGCTAAGAATTATCACTAGATAGAAATAGATGTGACCCATTAGTAATTTAAGAGTCATGCTAGGGTGACATACCTCGGTCAATCCCAAATGGACTAAAGTCTGTTTCATCCCACTCATCCATTTGAGAGTCATCAAAATTGAAAGATTCTCCTGCCACTGATGGTCCTCCCATATCCATCCACATTTCGGGTGTGTCAAGTGGCGATTCATATATAGCTTGAATGTGGCCAGGCGACAGCACCACTCTTGCTGGGAGGTTGCCAGCACTGGAGCCTGCACCAACGTCTTCTGACTGCTCCCCCCTGCCCCTCAGCTGCATAGCTGCTTGTTGAGCAGCTTGACGGATGTCATCAGCATTATTGGTGGGTGGCATGGGATGAGTGTTTACCAATTCTGGGAAGTTGACGCGTGCATGGGAGCCTTTGAGGTACCATGCAGCTGCATCATAGGCCACAGCAGCCATCTCAGGTGTATCGAAGCTCCCCAGCCAAATCCGATTCTTTGTGCCTGGCTCACGGATTTCTGACACCCACCTTCCCCATTTTCTTTTCCTGACTCCTATGTAGGGGGAGGGGGTGCTTTCATTGCTACCCTGTCTTCTCATGGTTAGACTAGATAGAGGAGCTCGGATGAGTTAGTTAGTTAGTTAGTGAGTTGTATGGGCAAAGAGAATGGCTGGTATTTATAGGTCGTGGGAGGAGGAGTGTGTGATCGGAGCTAGTAAAAAAGCAGGGCACATAAGCAGTAGAAATGGGTGTTGTTGGGTGAAGCTTCCTCATAGTTGCATGAATGAAACTGATTTTGAACTTGATTCTCTCTATATAGCAATCGATCCCTGGTTAGTAGTAGTTGTGCCTGGTTTTGTATGCATGTATGTGTGTGGGATGGGTGCTCCACCTGAATGAATCCGTCATGCTGTAGTATAGCAGTATTTCACTGTTATTCAGTATACAAACATTTTTGGTTTGGTTTGGTTTAATAGATGGAGATTTCTGTTGTATTGTATTTGTATAGGAGTGGTGGTGCTAGCAGTATATGCGTCATTTATATGTATGATTGTTTTTTTTTTTTTTTTTCTTTTGTGATATGTATGATTGTTGTGATAGTAGTGTTGCTGCAAACAGAGTTGATCGGATTCATCCTGAATTCGCAGCAATCAAAATTCCAAAATCTGTTTCAGTACTCATCCTATCATAAGCATCAATATTGTAGTTGTAGCCTTGTAGGGTATGTGTGTATGCATGCGTGAGTGCTAGTATAGTATGGTATGGTATGGTATATTATGGATGGATATGTCTCCAGCAGGGCAGGACGTGAGGAACAGCTGGATGCGTCTTATGTTTATGTGATTCACTCGCTGACTATCTATCTCTCCATTCACACACTCCACCTCTGTTAGTTTGCCTGCCTGCTCATCATTTTCAGTTTTCAATTAAGGTGGACCACCACCGTCTGTATGAGTATGACTCCTGCTATTCTATTAGTTGTGGTTGACGACAACAATACATATATTAGAGTTGGGTTGGGTTGAGTTGGTGGGTGGGTGGGTGGGTGTAATATAATACTACTATATATTCTATTTGGTTCCAACATATAGATATAGATGATATTGATGATACATGCATGCACGCGACTTCGCTTATGCATTGGATTGGATTTGGATTTGGATTTGCATTTGGAGGAGACGCGTCTTACCCTCCTTTACTACTTCGCTTTCCTTTCACTTTCCAAACTGTGATTTGCCGGTTATTATTGTTATTCTGTGTAGTCACCCATCTCTCTCTCTCTCTCTCTCTCTCTATATCTGTGTCTGTGACTGTATCTCTCAGCCAGCCGACGGAGCAATGAGAGGCCCGGACTTGCTTCACAGCCACAGAAATGTGCGTGGTAAAAGAGCTGTAATTCCTTCGGCCCATTTCTTTGAAGCCCACACATCCACAAGTAATATTCAATTGACCCAGCTCAGCCCAGCCCTTCCCTGCTTAGGCTAGGGTTTTGCCTTCCTTCCTTCCTCGCTATTTTGCTGCGTGCTTAAATAGCGCAAGTAGTCGAGTAGTATATTACCGTTTACCGAATAATTAATTATTTATTTCTATTCACTCGTTTCCTTCTTCAGCGATCGTCCGCCCCCACGGCCGCGAAGTAACCCCGCCCATTTGGAAGCCCGGAGGAGTATCACCAGATCACAAATGGCTTCACTTACTGAGGAAGATAATAAGATCCACAGCGATGTCATGCTCTTCAACCGTTGGTCCTACGACGGCGTTGAGGTTGCTCCCTCCCCTTCCTCCTCTCTCTCCCTTTTCCCTGCGCTATTTTACTGTCACCGGCGATGTTATCGTATAGACCTTCAAATTGGGCGTGCTTACACATATTTTTGGAATACTTTCGGTGATTTTGGTTGATTTGGGAATGGAAAAAGTTTTAATGGAAAATCCTACAAGTGTTTGATGAGATATAGGTCTATGGTGGGGTATAATAGTTGGCGGTTTGATGCTTTGGAAGACAGAGAGCAGGTTTTTGATGGATGGATTAATGGAATACAGATGCTAGATGGATGTGATATATTTTAGGCTGAACAATTTTAATGAATAATGTTAATTCAATCTTAAATATCCAAGTAAATAGAAACCTTCTTTAGAATTTGGAACAAAGCATTTTCCTCCCGTAATGTCCTTTTCCTCTACTCATGCAACTTGTACCCAAAGCTGTTAAGGGGTTTTATACAAAATTTTATGCCAGTTTAATCCCTCCATTTTCAGTACGTCAGTTGAAGTAAGTGCATTATTAACCTTCTGGCTAGTGATGTGAACAATGTCGAAATTTCAATCTTAAGCACCTTACCCTATGGGAGTTACTTAGACCCTAACCCTAGACGGCATGACTGTATAATGAATGACACCATGATGAGTGGATTTTAATCATTGAGGAAAAAAAAAATAAGGAAAAAGCCTTTGCTTAGATTTGTTTTTGGAACTATTTTTGGGTTTTGAAAAAAAAAAAAGGTGTTGAAATTGATGTAAATAGTCATTTGAGGTGATGTTTGTAAGGGGAAATTTTTTTATGAATAGTATCATATATATATATATAATTCTTGCTTTCTCCTGATAGGTGAGTGACATTTCTGTTGAGGACTACATTACTGCAACTGCTGCAAAACGCCCTGTCTACATGCCCCATACTGCTGGTAGGTACCAAGCAAAGCGATTCAGGAAGGCTCAGTGCCACATTGTTGAAAGGCTGACCAACTCACTCATGATGCATGGCCGCAACAATGGAAAAAAGTTGATGGCTGTGCGCATTGTCAAGCATGCTATGGAAATAATCCACTTGTTGACTGATCAAAACCCAATTCAAGTTATAGTGGATGCTGTGATCAACAGGTATATGCAACTTTTCTGCTTTTGAAATGCCTTCATTGAATTTGGAGTACATAAAGATTCTCTATGGCTGATCCTGTTACCCTTGATGTTTTTACTGAGTTTTACCTCTTATCTTAAAATCTCGGATGCAACACTAGTAATTCCTATCAGTGGAATGATCTGATAGTTATCTGATTGAACTTGTACGGGACCTTAGTTTGTTTAATTTCTGTGACATTTGAGAGAAATTGGTTGGTGGGGGGTGATGATGTTTGTTTTAGTTTATATTTGATATTTTTCTTGAAGTATAATTGAGTACATTATAATTGTATTGCACTTGGTTTAACAAAATCTTCTGTTGTTTGTTCAGTGGGCCAAGAGAAGATGCAACTAGGATTGGTTCTGCAGGTGTTGTGAGGCGTCAAGCTGTTGATATCTCACCTCTCCGTCGAGTAAATCAGGCGCTGTATCTCCTGACAACTGGCGCGAGGGAGAGTGCTTTCAGGAATATCAAAAGCATAGCTGAATGTCTTGCGGATGAACTCATAAATGCAGCAAAAGGTTCATCCAACAGGTAATCATCCGTTGTACAGTAATAACTAACTGCTGCATGTATGGGTACTGTTTTACTTGAGTTTGATGTCTATCTGATTGGTCTGGTCTAATTCTAAATCTAAATAGAGGCTTTCTTGTTGTTGTGTGGTCCCTGAATATGCAGCTATGCTATCAAGAAGAAGGACGAGATTGAGAGGGTGGCAAAAGCCAACCGTTGAAGAGTCAAGTGCCCTGTTGGTCGCACATATATCCCTTTTATTCATTCTCTTTCTAATTTTCATGATGATGGACTTGGTTCATTTTTGTGATACATACCCCAGTTACCAATACCATAAGTTTGTTCACTTTCATGGCTTGGTTATTAAATAAAAGTCGGCATTCATGGTTTGGTGGAGCTTAACATGTACATAATACAAGTGCAGTTTCAGTGGCCAGTTAGTTGTGTGCACTGCGTAAATATCTCCTGGGACAAAAGTCGACGTCGTGCTGGCCAACATTGTGAGTGGTAAGAAGTAGTAGTAGTTGCATAGCAGCGTGGAGGGATGTCTCACTCAACCTATGCTGCTGCTGCTGCTGCTGCATATATAGCAGGCAGGGAGGGAGGCGCTGGGAGAGGGGTGAGGGCCGTATACTTGAATGAATGTCTTATCTATTCGCAAAATAAAATTTCAAGTAGATGGTCCAGGAGGAGGAGGCATTCATAGCACTAAAAACAACACCAACACCCATTGAAAGGGAGGGTAGGAAAGGGAAGGGACAGACTGCTGCTAACACCTACTGATGACGGCGACGACGATCATCGTTAACGGTGCTTGCTCCTCCTCCAATCCCAAATTGGGGCCAGGGTGGCGGTGGTTTCATCCCTGCCACACGCACACTGCTGCCCAGGCCCAGGCCCAGCTCCATACAAATCCCCCACCCCCTCCCCCTCCCGCCATTACTGCTAGCCCCCCCTCCCTGAATTACTCTTCCACTCAGACCCGCTTCTGCCTCCTCATTCCATTTCCACCGGGGTGTGGGCCAAATGTCAACCGCTGCCACCGCCTCCGCCTGTCGATGTCGCTCACCAATCATAGTTCCTCCGCCACGCCCGACCAATCATCTCAAATCGTCAGCAAATTCTATGACGCCATCAACCGCCGTGATTTCGCCGCCTTGGAGGATCTCATTGCCCTCAATTGCGTCTACGAGGACCTTGTCTTCCCCCGACCCTTCGTCGGTCGCCAGGTGAGACTACGCTTTATTTCTATAAATAAGTGCTCTTAAATCTTAATTCGATCGGAGTAAGCGACGAGTCTTACTGCTCTCTTATCATAATAATAATAATAATAATAATAATAGTAATGTTGTTACTAGTGCACTGGTTGGTTATCTTTATCTTATCGTCTTTGTCTTTGTGGGATAATTGAGAAAACATAATCTAAGAACAAGAAGAGACATGAGCGGAACTTTTGTCTGCATGTTCTTATTAAAACCAATAGAATAGAGAGCCTTTTTTATACAATTGCAGCAGCAAAAATTGAGCCAGCTTAATTCGAGATTCAGTCTACACCCTCTATCACAATACACATCACAAAATCACCACCCTTTGATCATAACAGCAACTAGAATATTCTATAACACAATTTTGAGAATCTTGACACCAAGCACAAGCACTCTGCTTCAATTCCGTAAGCTTCATCTCCTTCTGCATACTCTTCATACCCCGTCAAACTGGACATGATGATAATCAACTTGCAGTCTGATGAAATGACAATCCACATCCACATGTATGGTACGTTCATGATGAATTGGATTCTGTGCCAATTGGATGGCTGCCAAATTATCACATAATATAGGAATAGTATCATGTATATTGATATGGAAATCTTGAAGTAAATAGAAAATCCACAATATCACAGTAGTTGTATGAACTAGTGCTCTGTACTCTGCTACTGCTGAGGATTTAGCCACTCTGTGGTATGTTTCTTGGACTTGTATGCGATCAGACATTCACCGAAATACATGCTGTAACCAAAGATAGATTTCTTGGTCGGAGACAGCTGCCCCAATCTGTATCTAAGAATACTGTTAACTTCTGAGCCGAACCGTGAGGATAGAACAACTTAAATGATTTTGTACCATTATGGTATTTGAGCAACCTTTGAGCCAATTTCAAATGAACAGTGTTGGTTGGTTTAGACTTGAACTGAGAGAGCTTCTGCACTGCAAACATTATGTCAGGTCTGGACATTGTGAAATATAAAAGTCTGCCCACCAACCGTCTGTAATGATCCGGGTTAGATAAGGAGGAAAGAGAGTAGCACATCCTTTAGACTCAATAATATTTTCTTCCTTAATTATGTCACACAAGTAATGCTGTTGAGAAATGAGAGACCCTTTGCAGTATTTTCAATTTGCAAGCCAAGGAGCAAATCAATGTCTTCAAAAACCTTAATTATAAACTCGTGGTGTAAGAACCCCTTCAGAGAGTCAATATGCGGATGATTATTGTCTGCAATCAATATGTCATCAACATACAATACCAAAGCTGTGAAGATAAAATCAGAGGAGTATATGAATAAACCGTGATCATACTCTTTAAATCCAAACTGAACCATCTTGGAGTGAAATTCCTTTAACTTATGTCTGAGAGCTTGCTTAAGCCCATACAAAGACTTCAATAGCTTACAAACTTTTCCTTAATGATGTTGATATCCCAGTGGTGGTGTCATGAAAATCTCTTCCCCCAAATGTCCATGTAGAAATGCATTATTAATATCTAGTTGTACTATCTTCAATTGATTTGAAGCACCGATGGAGAGAAATAATCTCACCGGAACCATCTTGGCTACAGATTCAGGTCATCATATCATTCTAATGCAAGCAAGCATGCATGCATATTCACTCATGTGCTTCTCTTTCTTTCTTTTTTTTTTTTTTTTTGATTGGACATGTGCTTCTCCTTCTTGTTTGTGCTTTTTGTTGTTTTTCTAATTATGTGTGGATCGCTACTCCTGCAGGCTATCTTAATGTTCTTCAAGCAGTTTATGGATTCCATCAACGCAGATCTGCAGTTTTCTATTGATGACATATCGTCTGAGGAGGAGGATAGCTCTGCGGTTGGAGTAACCTGGCACTTAGGTTGGCTTGGCTATGCTATATGATTGATTGTGTCTCAACTGCCTGCCTCTTGTTATAGTTTTTGACAGTTGCTCATCTCATCATCAAGAACAATGAATTAATTCTGTGTTGCAGAATGGAGAGGAAAGCCTTTTCCTTTCAGCAAAGGATGCAGTTTTTATCGGTTGGAAATGGTGGACGGGCAGAAGCAAATAGTGTGAGTGGTTCTTGTTGTTGGTTTGGTTGCACTTGAGTTGCAGGAGTCAGGAGAGTGAGTGAGTGAGTCTTGCTTGCTTTTGTATTTATATTTGTTTCTAAAATGAAATGCATAACAAAAAGGATACGGAAGTTGTTATTTGTCAAAGGACTGGGCAAGAGTGGTGAGTTGAGAGCTCTTCTTGTCTTGTTGAAGGAGTAGAAGGGAATAGTTTATTTCTTCTTCTTTGTAGAAGTGAAGTGAAGTGTCTATGTGCTGTTTGAACATGAAAGAGGGTTGTTGATTTGGTGGATGAGGAAGAAGACAGAGAGTAGAGTAGAGTAGAGTAGTCATTGAGTACAATAATAATATAACTAGAAGAATGGGGTAAGTTATAGTTTGAAATGTTGGATGTTGCATTGAGTAGAGTGAGTTGGTTATAAAGTGGGGTTTGACTTTAACATTGATGATGGCGGGACACAGGTACGGAAGAGATTGTGTGGAACCAGCCATCAAGCCCGGAGAGGCAGCTTTGGTAAGTGTATATGTATATGTAGGTACTTGTATTTGTATTTGTATGACATGATATGATCTCCATCCATCCATCCATCCCCATTTGGGTTGGCTGCAGGTGGCTATCAGAGCCGTGACTTGGCTGCTGCAGAAATTTCCTTCCCTGGCTGGTTGATGAATCTGATCGATGATGACTGCTGGCTCTTGCACTCGCACTTACATTTGCTCCATCGAATGTGCAAGCACACAGGGAACACACACATTCAAAGTCCCACCCAACTTTAGCACTATGACATTTGTATTGGCTACTACTGCTAAGCTAAGCTATATATTATTATAGATGATGATTGGTATATACACACATTTATGTTTGGCCTCTTTCGTCCCTTGTAGCGAAGAATGCATATAGGAACTGGGAACTGGGAACTGGAATCCTATCATATACGGGGTGGAGGAGTTCCTTCTTTCCTCCCGGAAGGAAAACCAAAACCAAAATCAAAACCAGCACACAAGTAAAGAAGACTGCATTTTTTTATTTCTGTTGTGATTTAGGGCACGCACAGCACAGGCCATCCCCACCAATCACCATGTCCATGTCCATGTCCATGTCCCAAGTACTCAGGTCATATGTATTATGTATGAATCCCGTGCCCCCACCAGATCTCTTCCCTTCCCTTCCGGTGATTTATTTAGGAGAGGAGAGGAGAGGAGTGGAGAGGAGAGGAGAGGAGAGTTCGTCCGTTGGTTCCTTCGTGATTTAATGCTAATTTAATTTAGCTCCTCCTCCTTCCTCTGAGACAAGGCTCGGTCCACTTCGGGCAAGGTCAACGCCAAGGCAAGTGTATAATTATTATAATAATAATTTTCCAAAATAAAAAAAGCGAGCGAGCGAGAGAGAGAGGGAGAGAGGGTTGGGTTGGTTTGTCTGGCGGAGACGCCGAGGCTGAAAAAGACAGACAGAGAGAGAGGGAGAGAGAGCTCTCCTCCCCTCCCCTCCTCCTCCTCCTCCTCCTCCTCCCCTCGCTGCTCATTCATTCTTCCTTCTTTTCTTGCCTTTACCCTTGATGTTTCTCCCTCTTTCCTTCCTCCGCCGCCCAATTCTTGACAAATGTCGGTTCTTTCCACTTTCTCCCACCGCCATTCCGATCTTCCTTTCTCTTTCACCTCCTCCATTAATCACCGCCCCCGCCCCTGCCCCTGCCCCTGCCCCTGCCCCTGCCCCTGCCCCCTCAAACTCAACACTTCCCGGCCTTCTTCTGCCCACGTAATTCCTCTTTCTTTTCACCACCGCCAATCGTTCTCTTTTCTCTTCCTTTTTTTTTTTTTTTGGTTTTTTCCTCTAAATTTTCTTCTTCATATAGATACACATACATACTGTTTGTATTAAGAACCAAATCAATTTTTGTTTTTTCTTGCATGCAGTCCTTCATTCAGACCTCTTTAAATCATCGTTTTCATCAACGCTTTCGTGAAAATTTAATGAAATTTATATATCCTTTCACCAGACAGTTTGGCTGTTGCTTTTAGTCTCTTGTATTTGGAAAGGAAACAACAAATGCAATCAAAACATTTAAAAAAATAAAATAAAATTTGTGTTACATTGCTCGGACAACTTCCTCTTTTGCAACATGGATTGGATGATAATATAAATGTGCTTGTGCTGATTTTTTTCATGCAACCCATCTACCAGGTTGCTTTGAGTCGCTTGCGAAGGGTATCCATCCGTCGGGGTACCTCCATGACAATGCTAGATGAGAGGATAGCAGATAGGAGCATTGTGGTGAACCCTGCTGATATTTTGGTCCGTTATTTACAGAATCGTTTAATATATGCCATGATATGGTTTAATCTCTGCTTATTTGTTTCAGATGCAGTTTATTGATAACATTACGTCTCTATGCAATGCAGGCATATGATCTTGTTCAAGGAGCAGATGTGAGTACATTGTTGTCATTCATCCTTTAGAGATTCTGTTATTATGCTGTACTCATTCTCATAATTCACTTTCCTCTTAATTTGAGACATATACATTTAAATGTGGTAACTCATTAAAGCTCACCCTTTGTAAGTGTCTGCTTCATCAATAAATGAAGAGGTTTTCTTTCTTTCAAATCTTGATGGGCTGTTATTTATGAAGTTTGATGCATGCCATGAAGGGTGTATTCTGCCTCTAAAGAGAAAATATGACTATTTACCGTGACTGTGCACAAGCACACGCCGTTTTTAAAACTCATCAGAGGAATTGTCGTGTGCCCTGCAATAAAACTATGGTTAGCAGTTTACTAGAATGCATGTGCTACCTTCTTTGCTAATGTTTCAGAAAATGTAAATTTTCTGCAAATTTGTGGATTATTTCCAGAACACGAGTGTGTGATTTGTTATAATTGATTCTATTGATAGTACGGAGACTAGGTGACTCATGGACCCGATTCAGTTCAGTGGGGTCTTTCATTCACATTTTATTTGTACTTGAGATTTAAACTAAGAACAAATTGGCTGCCTAATACAATCTCTCAGTTGGTTAGTCTTTCCTTCATGGTATGTGCCTAAGTTAACCTCCTGCCTGTTATGCGACATAAGTTTAACTTGCCCACCAGACTGCAAGAAAGATGTTTTCTCCTGATGGATATCTATACCTTCAATCATTAAAATGTAAAAACAAAATCCTGGATCAATTTTTTGAAACTAGGTGCATGAATATCATGGTTATTTTAATGTTGTGTCAAATATATACATAACTTTGTCCTTCAATTTTAATCACAGGTGACCTGGAGTTACATCTTGGACAAAACCGCACCCCAGCCCCCAACTGCAGTTCTTTTACATGGTATTCTAGGTAGCCGAAAAAATTGGGGTGAGTAGACAAATAATTATTTACTAAACTTATCATACTGATTCTCTTTTTCTTATTTTTATGAAAATTGTTGAAAAGTGATGTGAACTTGGCTTTTTTATGTATAATACATTTAGCTTCTTGAACTGGTAGTAATTATGAGTTTTTTATTTTTTTTAACAGGAACTTTTGCCAGGAGATTGGCCAAAGAGTTTCCTAAATGGCAGGTAAATCAATGAAGGACTTGTTTCTATTATTTTAGTTTTCTTAAAAGTAAATTAAACCCCAAACAGTACTTTTACTCTATTGTTTCTTTCGAAGGTTTCAAAACTATGTTTACATTCAATACACTCTTATTACATCAACTATATTTGATGTCACTGCACTTATTCTGAATATGCATGTCATTTTACTTAATAACATGCACTTTATTAGCAATGTTGAACTGAAGCTTACTCTTTCTTCGTTGACATAGTTTCTCCTTGTAGACCTGCGGTGCCATGGTGATTCAGCGTCTCTAAGAAGGAAAGGGCCTCATACTGTTGCATCAGCTGCTCTTGATGTTTTAAAGCTAGTATGTGTTTCCTCCCTCTCCTTTTTGTTTGGCATACAGCTATTCTTGTCTTCCGGCATTTTTTTCTCCTACCACTTCTACTTTTCTTCGCAGTTGAGATTGGAATTTTCAATATAAATCGGGTGCTGCTTTATGTCTTCAGATTGTTTGCTGCTCAGATAGCCATGCTAAGTTTGTAATGATCAAGGATATCCACTCCTTTGTGAGTGGTGGGGACTACAAGAACAGCGAAATCTATTATTTTTGCCTGTTCTCCATTTTTTTTCCCTTAAAAATAGTTTCGGCCACACCCTATGCTTGTGTTGGTTCCCTCACTCAACTAGGCATTACATAATCTTCCATCCACAGTGGTTTGAACCACATGTGACCTCCTTCCAGCTGCTAATCCTCTTGTGCTGCTTGTGTGTCTGCAGCATTCAGCAATTTACCCCCCCGCATGCACCACATCCACTTAATTAAACTTCATTACAAAATGCAGCATGTACCTAATTAGTATGCATGCTCAATCATATGTGGTTTAACTTTCCTCGGTTGTCTGGCCTATACTAGATTCAGTATCTATATTTGCAGGGTGATAATGCAATGGTCTTGTGTTGCTTGTTATTCTTTTATCTAACAATACATTTATCTTCCTTGACTAGCTTGGCGTGCTGAAGTTAACCCCTCGTGTGGTAATTGGTCACAGCTTTGGTGGTAAAGGTAACTTAGTCATTGATTTTTTCGTAGATTCAGTTTCTGTTTTTTTGGCTATGAATAATTATCATAGGGACATTTATTTTTTATCAGTTTTCCTATATCACTTTAATTTTCCTTGTAGTTGCCTTGAGCATGGTGGATCAAGTTGCAAAGCCCCTTGCTCGACCTGTTAGAGTAAGTGTGAAATTCTTCCGGTATTAGTTCATGATCCCTCCATCCCGATAAAGTGTCCAGATTACTTACCGTAGATACACAAAATTAGAAAGATTATAATTAATGTGTATTGTAAAAATAATAATGGTATAATATGAATAATTGTAGGTTAAGATTAAATAATTGAATAATTTAATTAAGATTAAAAAAATTATGGGTTATGAAATTTACAATGTGATTAAAATGTAATCATTTTTTTTTAAAAAAGGACAAACTATGTGGACGAACCGAAATGAAAATATTGGACACTTTATATGAGATGGAGAGAGTATTAGTTATATTTTTTAGATGAAAAATATGGCAGTAGTTTATGACAGTTGATTGTACTTGGTCAGCATATTGAAATCTAATGAATGATAGAACAAGAAGGAATTGAAAATGTGTTCAGATGCTGAATATTTGTTTTACTACATTCTAGGTCTTTAAAGAAAAGCTAGCTATATACTTCATGTTCAAAGTATGATATAAAACTAATGTGCTGATGAGTGGAAAATTATTATCAACTTTTTTGTTGAAAGCCATTCAACGGCGAAAGATTGAGAAAGCAAACAAAGGTTGCAGAATTTTGTGATCCATTACTGTAATTTTGAGTGAGCAAATGAACCTGTATGTCATTATGATCAAATGAAAAAATAGTTTACTCTAGTCATAGAATTTCTGTCGAGATGTTTGGCATATCCTAATTTTCGAACATCTCCGAACCCAAACAAATATTTGATTTGATATCAATAATAAAGATCAGTTCCTATCTTGAATATGCTTGTTCTTCACCGATTGGCATTTAAGGTCTGGGTTTTAGATGCTACCCCTGGAAATGTTCGGGCTGGAGCAGATGGAGATGACCATCCTGCTGAGCTTATATCATTCTTAAGTACATTCCCAAAAGAGGTATGCTATAATGTTTGGCAACTGCTTGATGCTTCTTTTTCTCTTTTTTCTTTTACTTTTTTTTTTTCCCATTATCATTGTGCTCAAAGTTTGTCTTCTATGAAGATTTCTTCAAAACGGGATGTCATGGAAGCTCTTATTCAACATGGGTTTTCGAAGGATGTGGCACAAGTAAGTTTTAAACTAGAAAGTACTGTATCACATTGATTTATGGGCATATACAAATTTTTTTTCAAAATCTTACCTTGCAGTTTTGACTTTTCCTACTTGGTTACATATTTTAAACTGGATGAGTTCTTCTAAGTGTTAATGGTGGTGGTGCTGTTATTGTCATTCATGTAGTGGGTGGTCACTAATCTTCGGCAGATTGAGGTTAATGGTGCGTCGTCATCAAGTTTACATTGGGTGTTTGATCTCAATGGTATTTCAGATATGTACCAGTCATATGAGGAAACAAATATGTGGTAAGTAAACAAATTGTAACATTTCTAAGATTTCCTGGGAACCTTTTTCGCCACATCTCTCTCCTGAGGTGGAAACAAATGGTTTGCAAGAACAAAAGGAGCCTCCTTAAAACTTATAAAAAAAGTAAAGAGGTCTGAGTCGTTCGTTTTGTCTGGAGTTGGCATGGCATATTGTTTGGCATTTGAGGTGGGGGGGAGTGAAGAAGTTACAATTGTGGTGCATGCAGGAAGGTCGTGGAAGATGTTCCTCGAGGAGTTCATATTGATTTTCTGAAAGCAGAGAGGAGTTTGCATAGATGGGCAGTAGAGGACATTGAGAGAATCCACATTGCTGAGGAGCAAGCTGTCGAAGAGGGAGGTGGAGTTGAGATGCATGTCCTGGAAGATGCAGGCCACTGGGTATGTAAATGTAAACAAACATTTTTGACATAGTAGTAGTAGTAGTAGTTGGTTGGTTGATGGATTGAGCTTGACTACTTGGCATAGAGCATAGTGAGTTTGCTACCAACTCTTAAAGACTGAGGCTTGATGATTGTTTGTTTGTGATGCTGTTTCACCAGGTCCATGCGGACAACCCAGACGGGCTCTTCAGAATCTTATCATTCTCATTCCAAGGGTTCTGAATCTGATGGACCTGATAATCGGTTGCATCTTTCACCTGCACAAGGAAAGCAGGGATGTCCGGCGGCTTCACACCGTAGAATATTGCACAAGGTAGTAGGTGTGTTGTGCTGCTGCCGCTGCTACTTCTGACTCGTGATGGATGGATGTGTTATGATTATTATTTTTGTTCTGTGTGCGGTGATGATATAGAGTGTTGTGGGGATGATTGTTCTGTAGCAGTGGAATTTTGGAAGTTTATTTATGCATGCATACATACATATGTAGTCAATCTCAACTATAACTCAAGCCATGAATTGGAGGGTGTAAAATTAGATGGGGAGAGGAGGAGTTTTGGAAGATGTGAAAGACTAGTACACGAACGAACGAACAAACGACTGTGTGTCAGTGTGTGTGTGTGTGTGTGTGTGTGATCCAGTAGAGAAGAGCCAGTGGGGTAGTTGAGTGAAGGACTAGAAGAGTACAGGCAGGCAGGCAGGCTACGGCTACAGCTACATTTATGCTTATTTTATTTTGGTTGTCTCAAGAAATTACATTACATGTTTTTTTCTTCATATAAAAATAAAAATAAAAATAATACAAGAAAATGAACGGAGTATTATCAAAACTATAATCCTACACTATTTTTCTATTATATTCTTTTCTATTAATTCAATTCAAACGGTGGAGAATAAATAAATTATTACTATTATTATTAATCAATAAATTATCTATTCCTTTTTTCTTTTTTTGGTTTTTTTCTGTGGACATGGAATTCCTTCTTCCTGCCGTGCCGTGCCGTCATCTCTCTCTCTTCCTCGGCCACAGCAACAGCCGCTCAACCCCCCCTAAGCTAATTGCGTAACCTGGCTAGCCGGCTCATGGCCGTCGCAGCTGCGCCCGCCTCTCTTCATCTCTCATCGCGCTCCCTCCGCTGCAACAAACCACCGCCCAACAACCCCCCGCCCTTGCTCTTGCGCTTTCCCTCACCTAACACTACTAGTAGTGTAATTATCTCTCACCGCCCTCGCCCTCGCCCTCGCTCTAGGAGGGTAATCAAATGCAAGGCCACGGATGTATCACCCCCATCCTCCTCGCCTGTAGCGGCTGAAGAAGATGGGAAGAATTGGGTTCCGGTGGTGCCTCTGGCGGCGCTCCCCAAGGGCGAGAGGCGCGTCATCATACAGGATGGAGAGACTATACTGCTGCTGTGGTATAAACAGGACGTCTTTGCAATTGAGAACAGGTCTCCTGCTGAGGGTGCGTACAGCGAAGGCTTGCTCAATGCTAAGCTCACTCAGGTACTACTTCGCAATGCAATGCAATGCATCCATGCATCTCTCTCTCTCGCTCTCTCTCTGTTTCATTTTACTGGCTGGCTGGCTGCACGGTTATGAAATCCTTACGTTATAGTTACTATATGACTGAATCTCTAGGCATGGTCAATGAATCCTGGAATGATTTGTCACATGATTTGATCTTCGTGCCCGCTTAGAGGTAGTAGATGGATTGGATTGTTTGTTAAGTTTTTTGTGTCGAAGAGAATTAATTCTCCGTAAAATTCTATTTCACACAGTGGGAATCAAGTCGAATAACTCACATCACAGGTGTTTGAAAAATAAACCTTCTGCACTGAAAGCTAGACAGTAACAAGCAACATAATTGTAGTTTCTCAACAGAACATTTGAGTCTGAAATCTTGTAAGTTGGAACCACGATTTTCTTTGTTTTTCGCTATATGGAAATTAGTCCTTGGGTTGGTCCTAGGATATTGAAATGTAATGTTGGCTCGGATGTTTGGGGTGTGAGTAATATCTATATAGTCTACCCATAACACGTAGTTAGATTGCTCTGCATGCAATTTGAGCCTAGTTGGATTATATTATTCCCAATGGGCATCAGCCTGCTGTTTTTCAACACTGGAGCCAGTGAATCATTTCTGAGTTAAATAATACTCTGATAACTTAACTTAATTGCTTCTTGGGGGCAAGATATGAAGCTGGAGATTGGATTTTAAAGTTTTTGCGTCCACAACCAGACTGAATGTGAAACAACACGTGCACGAGTCAAGAACTTTCTTTGTTCTGTGCTTGCTTGCTTGCTAGCTAAAAGAACTTGCCGTCATCCATCTCATTTGTCGATGAGACATGAGGAGGTTGAATTTTCTTTAAATGGTCTCAAGGTTTCATTTCCCATGCACTTGATAGTTGAGTGGTGCAGGATGGATGTATTGTGTGCCCTACCACGGATAGCACATTTGACCTGAAAACTGGGGAGATTAGAGAGTGGTATCCAAAGAATCCAGTGCTGAGAGTGCTCACTCCACCACTTAGATCTCTGTTTGTGTATCCTGTAAAAGTTGATGGTGAGAATATCTACATAAGCATAAGAAGAGATGCGGAAGTGGATGATGCATCTACAGAGATTGTGTTCAGTGGGAAGGCTCAGCCTGGTGTAACGGCTACAGATGTCAACGTGGACGAGGTATTGGCGTGCACAGGGCGTATATAGTTCCTTGACTTGCCCGAAGAAAGAGTGAATGAATGAATGATTATATCATGTTCTATATAATGAATGAAATATATATGGGTGTACAGGTGCGGATGATTGTGGATGAAGAACAGGGAGGGTTCGGATTCACAGGGAAGAATGAAGTGATAAACGGGAGGGCAGCCATGATTGGGTTCCTGTTGCTTCTGGATTTTGAGCTGTTGACTGGGAAAGGGCTGCTGAAGGGAACAGGTTTCTTGGACTTCATATATTCAGTTGGGAATGCTCTGAACTGATTAGATCAAATGTAAGAAGTGCATATTTGTTGTTTATTATCCTCGGACATGGACATGTGCTTGCTTGTTGTTAATTTATGTGGTTGAAGTGAAGCATGGCATTTTGCATGGCATGGCATGATCGAGAGAGGCTAGTTAGTTAGTTATAGGGAATTAAGCAGAAGAGGGAGGGAGGGAGGGAGGGAGGATGGCAGCATTGGCAAGAATGAATGTATTGTTGTAAATTGTAATGGAAGATCCGTTCTCACTTCTTGGAGAAAAAGAAAGGCAGGGAGGGAGGGAGGGACACACAATAGAATAGAATAGAATAGTGTAGTATAGTATTATAGTATAGTATAGAATATACTTAGTATAATATAATAGAATTGAATAGAGTGAGGAAAAGGGTGGAGTGACGTTGGCCGTGGCGATCTTTGAACTCAAATTCCAATTGGAATCCCAAATCGGTGGTGGTTTGGGTTTGGTCCCTTCAAATATTGAAGATGTATGAATGGATAGTTATAATGTTGCCTTTTGACCTATGACCCGTTGTGATTGTGATTGTGATCGTGATCGTGATCGTGATCGTGATCACAGAGGATTATTGGTCGCTGCTCAGCCCTCCCCTCACCACTTACTCCTACTATGATAATGCCTTAAAGGTGCTGGGTGTCAACGGTGTCCACACTGACACATGCCATTTAGCAAAGCACGTGCTGGATCTATAAATCCTCTATTTATTTATTCAGCAATCCAAATTCAAAAAAGCAGTCGGTGGGGGCGGAGACCCGGTCATCCCTTGACCGCCTCTCTCCTTCTCTTTCACTCACAACAATCTCACGTTAAATATTTATATACACTTGATACTATTTTATTTATTACATACTTTAATTTTATACTCACAAACTGGGGAAGTACTTTATTATATAATAATGCTCAACGTAAGGGCATTATATGTAGGTCGGTGGTCCGCTGCTCTTCCATCATCATCATCGTGATGGTGTGTGTTATGTCATCTGTGTCTGTCCTTCCTTCCGTCCGTATGAACGATGATTTTTGACCCTTTCTAGTTTTGGAATTTTCCCTATCATTTTATTTATATTTGTTGACTGACTTCACCCAGACAGAGAGCCGGAATGGGAAACACATTTATCGTGTACATAGATATTAGTAATATCTTATTTAAAAAAGGAAAAAGGCACCGCTCTTGTTGTTTGGCTAGAGTTTGACCTTTGAATGAATTAATTAATTAATTAAAAAGTTTTGGCTCTGACTTGCCCGTTATTCAACTTATATAAGGCCCCTTCCTCCTCCTCCTCCTCAACTCAACTCAAGGGACGACCAACATACATGAAATTACGAGTCCGAGTATGAGCATGAGCAGCAGCAGCAGGAGGTATAAAGGCGTCCGGCGCCGCAAGTGGGGCAAGTGGGTCTCAGAAATCAGAGTCCCGGGCTCCTCCCAGCGCCTCTGGTTAGGATCCTACACTACCCCGGAGGCCGCCGCCGTCGCCCACGACGTCGCTCTCTACTGCCTCCGTCCGGACTCCTCCCCCCGCACCCTCAATTTCCCCACCATAACAGCAGCCACCCGACCCCTGCCCCTGCCCCTGCACCTGCCCGCCGGAGCTATGTCGCCCCACTCTGTGCAGCGGGCCGCCTCCGACGCCGGACTCGCCATTGACGCCCAATACTTGGATTCCAGGGACCCGCTAGTGGATGATGGCAATAATAAGAGACCAGAGGACGATGATGAAGAAGAAGACGACGACGACGACAATGCTGCTGCTGATGAAGGCAATAAATCAAAGTGTGGGGGAGGAGGGGGGCAATCGAAGAGGAGCGCCAATCACATTCACCATCATAGAGGAGGAGGACGAGAATTCCTCAGCATTTCTGTGGAAGATTATCTCCCACTCTAGTCTGGTCTGGTCTAGTCAGGTCTACACGGCAGAATGAATGAATGACTACACAATCAAAACGAACACGGACGCGTAGAGAATAACAATAACAATAATAAGAGCGAGGGGGGGGGGAGGAGGAATTAATTGGGTGTCAATGCAAGGGGGCAGGCCATGTATTGTGTATTGTATTGTATTGTCTTTTGTATTGGTATTGTAGGCTTGGGTCCGTTCCGTTGGAGGAGGAGGACTCTATCCTCCATTCATCCATCCATCCTACATACCTACCTGTCTCTCTGTTTGCTTTCGTACTACTGCTGCTGCTGCTACCAAGACTACTTACTACTAGTCCAAAGTCCAAAGTCCAACCAATAATAATACCATCTATTCCCCACTCCACCACAACGATGCAATGCTGCTGGGCTGGGGATGATTCAGTTATAATAATTGCGGAGAGGAGACGAGAGGAGAGGAAACAAGCTGCTGCATTGCATTGCAATGCAACACAAGGGGGTGCAGTGCGCTACTGCCTGATTCTGCTTATCTTATTCATTCAGTTCTCCTGCTCATTGCATCTCAACATCATCATCAACAACAACAATTCTCTCTCTCTCCCTCTCTCTACTGCCATTGCCATGGTCGTATCCTCCTGCTCCTCAACACACACACCCTAAACACAGTAAACAACATCGATCCCATCACTCACTCATTTTTGAGTGCGTGATGAAAGGTCAAGGATGACCCAGCAGGGCTGCCAAGAAGCCTATCACTTCTACTACTAATACTGCTGCCTGCTGCCCCAGGAGAGGAAGTGGGAGATGGAGACATGGTGGTGGTGGATGATTCTTCTTCATCCACTGGGACTGGGACTACCCTTAATGTGGATGCGGCCATGGGCATGGGCTCCTCCACAAGGGGCCTCCCTGTGCCCACTAAAGATGTTCTCCTTCTTCTCCCCATTGCCCCGCCGCCGTTGGCCAGGAGGAGTCGGAATGTCCAGTAGAGGACTTTAGGTGCAAATACCCTGTACAAGAAGAATATGTCATACCAGCTTGGATACTTCACATACGGATCCCCTCTGCACGCCCCTGATACCACCGCCTTCGCAAACTCCTCCACCTGCCCCCCGCTCGCATCCACCTGCATCATCATCATCATCAATTCATCACACATCACACTAGCTAGTTGCCTGGCTAGCTAGCTACTTGCTTGTTAAGGCATTCTGCAATCTGCAACTAACTAACTAACTTACTTCCCTTTCCTCCTTCCACTGCATCTCAGTGCCCTCCTCCATCATAAACTTCCCTCTGCTCATCTCTGCTCCTATCCAACCATGTGTCGCAACAGTTATCCCAACCTCACTCTTCACCTCAAATCTCAGTGTCTCGTAGAAGTTTATCAGTGCGGATTTCGCAGCCTACACAATCACAAACACAACCGCATCCCAATTAACCTCCTGTGCTGACACTGACAGACCACTAATGATCTGCTGATACGATATATGCACATTATCAATTAATGTGTGTACAGCTCATCAGCTCCTGCATTTTACAAGTAGTCAGTCAGTCGGTCAGTCGTTCTACTACTTACAGAGTACAAGCTCATCCTCGGCAAAGGAAGCCAATTCTCAACCGAGGCATTCACCACAATGCGGCCGTTGCTTTCCCGCAGATAAGGAAGCGCCACATGCGTTGGATATACATTGCCCCAAAAGTTTATGTCCTGATCAATCAATCAATCAACCAAACAAACAAACATAGTCAATCAAATATACTATACGCATTCTTAATCTCCAAAAGAGCAACCATAAAGTATTTACTCTTTCGTTCACACAACACCGGACCGGACCAGACCAGACCAGATAGTAAGTGCGTACCATTAAAATGGGAAACACGTTCGTGTCCGTAGCTTCTTCAAAGTAGAAAGTGTGGCCCAAGCTGACTGTATTCACCAGATGATCCACTGCAAGAGGGAAACCAACACACACACAATATATGCATTTAGGTATGTATGGTTGTGTGTGCCTCTATCTAGCTTATAATGTTCTTATCGTAGATTGATTGCTTGAACCAACAACCTCTTTGCGGTTAACACACACATGCATTTGTACGAGGGGAGTGCAAGGGTGGTTTGATCAACGTAACAGCAGGGTAAATAAATCAATCAAGCAAGCAATGATGAGCGTACTTAATTAATTTACCTACCGCGTCCGTAGTAGCTGATTGTTTGATTGATAAACCTGTGGCAATCATCCTTCTTGACAACATCGGCAGCAATTATCACCACACTCGGCGCACCCAACCTTATTGCATTCTCCCTAATTCCAAACAGCCTCTGTTCCCTTCGTGCCACCAACACGAGGTTTGCCCCTCTCTTCGCATATTGATAAGCAATTTGCTGCAGCACACATATCTCTGTTTGTATAAATAAAATTGAGGTAGCGAGGTAGTTTAGTTCGTGTGATTGTTTGTAATAGCGACCTACCTCTCCAATACCAGAGGAAGCGCCGGTGATGACGACCACCTTATGGTGCATGTCCTCGGCGGCGAAAAGAGTGGTGTAAAGCCAGTCGCAGAGGGTGATGAAACAGAGGGAGGGCCAGGCGAAGGCGAGGATGAGTAGGCAAGACGGCGGCACAAAGAGGTTGAGGAGGGCGTTGATGAGATCCATGATTGATCGGCTCGGAATATAGTACTAGTACTGGTAGTAGTGTATCAGTTAGTTAATTAATTTTGGGGTTGGGGGACTAGCGTGGGTGAGGATATTGAGGAGGGGGAGGATGGTATAAAGACGAAGGCGAAGGTGGGAGGAGGATGAGGATGATGATGCATGGAGAGAGGCAACCACGTGTTGATGTGCAGAGGAGAGGAGACGCACGCTGTGTATATGTGTGTGGGCTGCTCTCACTGGGCGACGAGACGACAGAAGCTACTGAGCTAATTTAAGCCGTTTGGGTTTGGGTTTGGGTTTGGGTTTGGGTTGCCGCCCTGCCCTACAATTAAAACGAACATTACAACCTAACCCCTTCCTTCCTTCCTGATTCATTGACATTATTATTATTATTATTATTATTATTATTATTATTTATTACTATTATTATTATTGGTAAAAGTTAGTCAGCAAGGCAAGTCAGACGGTAGATAGGAACACGGATCGCAAGATTGCGCAGCCACGTGGCGTCGTGGGGGGGTGACGTAGCCATAGTGGGAGGCACGCCCCCTCTCTCTCCTCTACGTGAACGTGAGAGACAGACAGACAGACAGACAGACAGGCAGAGGTGCAATGTTAATCAGTTAATGTTAATGTAGACTCCAAAGTATGTCAGCCAGTGAGTCAGTCGGTCGGTCAGGCAGCCCTCCAACGATCCAACCATCCATCTCTCTCTCTCTCTCTCAATCAATCAATGAAACTGCTGCCACTACAAACAAGCTGGCTTCTATCAGTCAGTTGGTTCCATGCCACCATCTATCTATCTATCTATCTATCTATCAATCTATCTATCATCCATGAATATGAATATGATCGATCTATTCCCATCTCTTCGCTTCTCTTGTATTGTACGCATCTTGACTTCCCAGTCCCTCCCACAACCACCACCCGAGAGAGAGAGAGAGAGAGAGAGAGAGAACGAAAGAACAGAGAGAGACAGAGAGCATGCATGCATTGTGTTTGGGATGGATGGCAGCTGATACAATATGTGAATACAATCAAATTACTATTACTATTACATCATCAGCTGTTGCTCGCTCGCTTTCTTTTTAGCTTTCTTTCCTTTATCACCATTTTCATTCATTCAATGTGAATGAGAGGAGGAGTAGGAACAAGGGAGGAGGGAGGAGGGCAGGGCAACATACATAATTACTACGTACATATACATACATATATATATTATTATATATTTTTACAGAAATTAATAGTATCATATAATATATACATCTACTTGGTTAATTTGTAATTCCCAACAGCCCAGAATTTCAAGACAGGAGAATAAGAAGAGGCATAATTCGATTCTGGAACCCACCCAAAATCTCCCTCCCTCCCTCCCGTTAGGCATTAGGCAGGCAGGCTCTGCAGCCCCCCACCCTCACCTTGGACCAGAAACCCTCTGCATAATCATAATATCATATCACTTCATACTATTATTCATCTGCATTCTTCCGATCCTCACAATGAGGATAATAATAATAATAATGACGCATATACGTCGTCTTTTTCTACGCCTCCCCTGATTCATCATCATCATTCGTACATGAGCACTGCTACATTCTGGTCTGGGTTTTTCACACTCGTCTCCTTTTCTTCCCCATCAATCAATTTCGTGTGTGTGCGTGTTTAAGCTTGTTTCAATTGAATCTCTATCTATATTACCGGATCATTGATCTTCTTTCTTCCCTGTATCTTAACATTATATACTAGATGCTGCTTTGATCGTTTGCTCAGTATCATTCATGCCTTTGGTTTGGGGATTCGGAGAGCCATTGGATTCAATTCCCGTTGATCCCTCCCTGTGCCTTTGAATTCAAGATTTTCCAATAACCATCCTTCAAGGGGCAATTCTTTATTTATTTTTTTGTTTTTTAATTTTTTTTTGGTGGGGAGGGGGAGAGGAACCACTCGCATGAGAATAGGATTCTTTCCTTTTGGTCTGATTCGGGCCAGCCATGAAATGTCGTAAAGCTTCATACCAGAAGGGCTGATTGTGCACGTTGGTGGGGGAGAATATATACATACATATATATATATATATATGAAAGGATGGGCAGCCTCTGTTCAAGAGAATCAAATGGAAATGATTATGATGGCCAAAGTTGCAACAAGGGAAAGGAGGATCATGGAACAAAATATTCAGTGCAGATGATGTTTATGGTTGCTCCCTCCAAAGAAGACGTCAAAGGCCAGCAGGATGATTCAAAGAATGAAGCCTCTTCTCGTCAACACCACAAGAATGCACCAATTCCAAATGCCGGTGACAACATCAATGCCAGCACCAAAATCGTGGAAAGGCGCGGTTGTTCCATGGAATTAAGCAGAGCTCATCAAGGAACGCAGAGGATGGCCAGCATGCCGCATGGAGCGAAAGCTGAACAGGTTGCTGCCGGGTGGCCGCCATGGCTAACCTCAGTGGCTGGGGAGGCTGTTAAAGGTTGGACTCCTCGGAGGACAGACTCGTATGAGAAACTGAGCAAAGTCAGTTGAATTTGATTTAATTTAGTTTATCTTCCATGCAATGCACTGATGAGTCAATGAGTTAGTTTGGTGCATTTACTTGGTTACTTCTCTGCAACACAAGACAACTTTAATAGTAGTAATTATAATAAAGTGTAATGTAATGTAATGTATGGTGTATGTGTTTCAGATTGGGCAGGGAACGTATAGCAGTGTTTACATGGCCCGTGATCTAACCAACAACAAAACTGTGGCGATGAAAAAGGTAAGATTTGTTAATATGGACCCAGAGAGCGTCCGCTTCATGGCAAGAGAGGTTTGTATCCTACGCAGATTAGACCACCACCCCAATGTCATGAAGCTTGATGCCCTGGTCCTATCAAGGGTATCGGGAAGCTTCTATCTCGTTTTCGATTACATGGAACACGATCTTGCTGGACTTTTAGCATCGCCGGATGTGCCCAAATTTACTGAACCACAGGTGCACGCCATTCTCTCTTCTTTCAAAATGTATAATCGATTTGGTCTGGTCTGGTCTTGTCTGCTCTGGTCTATGATTTGAAGTAGTAATACAATGACTAATTAATGGCTGGCTGGCATTGTTTGCGTATTTGGAGCCCAGCCCACCCTTCGCATAATGCTTTGGTTTTTTAATCATGTATGCGATGTGGCTGCAGATCAAATGTTTCATGAAGCAAATTTTATGTGGGTTAGAACACTGCCATAGCTGCGGCATCCTTCATCGAGACATCAAAGGTGCAAATCTGCTAGTTGACAGTAAGGGAAATCTGAAGATTGGAGACTTCGGGTTGGCCAACTTCCAGAAGCAACCATTGACAAGCCGCGTGGTTACTTTGTGGTATAGAGCACCTGAGCTGTTGCTAGGAGCGAAAGAGTACGGACCGGCGATTGATTTATGGAGCGTTGGCTGTATTCTGGCTGAATTGTTTATTGGGAAGCCTATCATGCCCGGGAGAACAGAGGTAATTGCTACTGCTGCTGAGTTTCTAGAATGTTGTTGTTACTTGCTCCTTTTTTTTTTCTCTTTCGTTTATAAATGAGGCGTTTTGTTGGTGTTGAGCTCATCTTTATGTATACCACATCAATGATCTATCTATGTGTCTATCTATGAATGCTGTGATAGGTGGAGCAAATGCACAAGATCTTCAAGCTATGTGGTTCTCCTACAGAGGAGTATTGGACCAAAGCAAAATTCCCTCATGCTAGTAGTTTTAAATCACAGCGCGCTTACAAGCGACGCCTGTCTGATGTATTCAGAGAATTCCCTCCGTCGGCCTTGGCTCTGCTGGAAGTACTCTTGTCCATAGATCCCGAGGGAAGGGGGACTGCTGCTTCTGCACTCAAAAGCCAGGTATGCATGCATGCTTGCTTGCTCGCTTATGTGGATGTGTATGTGTATGTATATGTATATATTGGCTGCCTGGCTCTTTTGGGTTTTGATTTGATTTGATTTGATGCTACTGTACTGCTAATTGCTGGCTGCTCTATGACAGAGACAGAGGTAGAGTAGTAATGAAATGCTGTTTGTTTCCAATCCATTATCATATTCTTGTCTGTTCCTGCCAGTTCTTCGTGACAAACCCTCTCCCCTGCGATCCATCCAGCCTACCTAAATATCCTCCCAGCAAAGAATTTGATGCCAGGCTCAGAGAAGAAGCAAGAAGGTAACCTTGAGCTGCATCCAGAAGGAAATGATGAATGTATCTTAGTTCTAAAATACTTCGTTACTTATATATATACATGGTCTATGTAATTGGATGTCCAGGAAAAGGCAGAGGGAAATGGAAATGGGAATGGGAATGGATGAGAGTGCAAAAGGCTGTGAAGCTGAATATGCCAAGAACAACTCCACAGTGCAGAAGCCCCTTCCACAAGTACTTTCAAAGATACTTCCCATTTATGAATTATGATCATCCCTTCTACTGTGCATACCATCAATCAATCTTTCTTCATTACAACTAAGATTGAGGAATTTTGCAACAGGAGCAACTAAACAGGGGATCCACTTACGTGTTCAATCAACAGGAGGAGGAAAGGCAAAGGCGCCCAATTGGAGATCTGAAAGCCGGCCTTAATCACTCAAGCTCAATGATCCACCCTACTATTGTGGGAGGATATTCTTGGGGTGGTAACAAGATCAATGGTGATCCGGGTTTAGTCTCAGCGCGTACCTTGAGTTCTTCCCAACATGGAAATGGCTTTCAAGTGCTTCCATCACTACAAGACCCATCAGATTATCACTCCAAGGACACCTCTGCCTTGTCTTCGTCCAATAACTTGATGGTATGTTGTTCAAACTAGCTGCATTTCCATTTGTCCCTTTACTATCATTTGCTACTATTATATTAATTAGTCTGCAAACTGTTCCATTTATGTTACAGGGGGGGTATGCACCAAAGAGAAGCAGGATACACTTCTCCGGGCCACTGATGCCACCGGGGGGCAACATGGAAGACATGCTGAAAGAGCATGAGAGACAGATCCAAGAGGCAGTGCGCAAGACACGGATGGGTAAACCAAGGCCAGAATAGAAGATCCTGTTAGGATTGCTTCATTCTTTCATTTCAAACATTATCTGTCTATCTCACCAGGATGCAGCAGCAAAACCTTAAAACACAAACACCACAGCAACAACAAGATGGATAGAGAAGGAAAGTGCCAAGGCTGCTACTGATTATATCATATCATATCAATCATGTTGTGCTGTTTGTGTGAGAAGGGAAGGGAAGCATATGTAAGTTGTAAATTTGCTTGGCAAGTAATGGACAGGAACACTTTCGGGGGGAGGGGGTATTATTGAAATTGATTTGTGTACACACTGTTCCCAAATTTAGAAACTATCCTATCATACCCTATCCTAACAGAAAATATACAAACATAATATGCCTCGTTCTTTCTCAAACGCAACGCACACATAGGTAACAGCAGGACCTAGTACTCCTTAGGAAGCTTGGGTTCAACCATATATTGAAGATTATATTCTTGACCTAGTGATAATTTTAAGTAGATGAGGAAATTTGTAAATGTATCGAATAGTACACCTCAATGTAATTACACCCACACCACACCATACATGCATAAAACAGCGGATGTTATATAGAATAGAATCATTTATCACATATATATATATATATATGTAGTGAGAGAGAGAGAGAGAGAGATGCTACATCAAAGGAGGAGCAGCAGCAGCAAAACTGCTACCTCTAAACTGAAGAGTTTCAACACTGTACATTTGAGCCAGAACTAAAGATCTTGCTTAGGCTTGCGGCTCAGATCAGAATAGTGACCCCCCATTAGTTGCAGAATCTCTCCCCACAAACCTTCAGAGGAGGAGGACGAAGAATTTTGTGCAGAAACCCCAGATAACAAGTTTGCGCTGCAGGCGGCAACATACCAATAGTTGGACTCCACCTCGTCCAACAGTTGGTCCAGCTGCCACCCAGCATATCCCATGAAGAATTTGAAATCCTGAGGCCTAAGCTGCCCCTTCTTTATCAATGCTGAGGCTTCATCCAGAGTATTTCGGGAGCCAAAATATATACCAGGAATCACCTCTTCAAATCCGGCAAGGCCTCCGTTATCTCCAGCTCTCAACAAGAACATGCTTGCATCAAGAGGTCCGCCAAAATGCAAAGAACAATCAGCAAATGTAGTTGCCAGCTCTGCATTAGCAGGACTCATGTGTCTCATTCTTTTGTGCAGTGGGCGATTGATTACAACCCCAAATGGACCCTCATATGGATTCCTTGTTCCAGATCGCAGGAGTAGGACTACAGTCCTCTCAAAGGTGCGAACTCCATCAAGCTTTTCCGTAGCCACAAGGAGGCAACCATTCTCAGGCGCTGAAATGGGGTGTGCCCACTTGAGGGGAAGCGACTTTGACCCAGGCGAAGTTCTATCTTGATTGTCAGCAGCATCTGCAGTTTCAGCCTGTGACAAAATTTTAGCACAGATCCTACACTTTCTTTGCACTATTTTGATAGTTCAACCATTGTGTTTTTTACACTTGCAACAAAGCAACCAAATGTAACAGTAAATTCAAGCATGCCAAATCAGAATCTAGTTCGTGGAGAGAGAAGGATGTTTCAGTAGTGAGGGTATCAGCATGAATATCAATCCATAAACCTCAATAGCAAATGCCTTCAAGAAAGAAATACCTGCTCCTGCAGGTAGAGCAATGCTCTAAACTCTCTCCAGTTCAAAGGTTTATAATTAGACTTCTGCACACCGGCGGCATCGCCAGACATATCACTTCCGGGAGGATCATTGCTTCGCTTAACTCCATCTCCTCTAGCTTTCAAATCATCGTGGTCTCCTGCAAATGCAAAAACATCCACACAAAATGAATTTCAAGCCTCAAGCCCCAATTCAAATGTCATGGCTGGACGCCCCCTCCTACATTTAACATCACCATCAACGTTACCAAAACTCTCAAAAGACATTCGAATGCAAGTAGACTCTGAGGTCACTGGGCTTAACTATTCTTGGACATAAGTTTATGAGAACAAATTAGATAGATGCATTAGCATTCTGACCTCCAACAGTCATATGCTATACCCTTCTTATATATCCAGGTTAAACCTCATAATGTGTCTGAAATTTCCTTTCATGATTTTCACCAAGCTGCTATACACGAAAGGGCACACAGACAGAACCATCAAAAGCTCCAACCTTTGATCATTTAGGCATAGGACGTCATACAACAACGATCATCGTGAACATCATAAGAAATATCACACTACTATAAAATGTTCACCTACTAGGTGTGTGTAAGGTTCTGTACAAAACAAAACACGTCCAAAGTTTGGGAAATTTCTTTCAGCAAGCAATGGGCTAACAGGCTACTCGGTCTCCCTATCCCTATCCCTATACCACCTAGGCATCACAAATCAACAAGTTCACAGAAGATTCTTCTTTTCGGGTGAAGACAAGAAAAAAAGGAAGGGTGGAAGGAATATTCACCAGAATTGGCAGAGTAGGAGTCCGAACTAGAATTTCCATTGTTTTTTTTACCCGTAGCCCTGAGCGAAACCGATCGATGCCGACGATAGCCAAGAGAAGATTCCTTCCTCGACAACCTAACTTGCCATCCAATTGATTGATTATTTCTCAAGTTCCAGTAAAGGGGCCTATCAGAAAACGAATTTCCGAGGAGAAATCCATTGCTTTCGGCATGCAGGCACCATAGATCCATCGATCAAACTCCCCTCCAAAGTAAAAATATATATAAATATATCTAGAGAGAGAGAGAGAGAATGTTCCTCCTGTTCCCCAATTTACCTAAAGAAGGGTGATTTAATGATGACTCGAGGAAGGGAAAGGCAGGTGAGGTGAGTTGCAAAAGGGCCGAAGGGAGAGAGGGAGAATATGCTGAAATGCTGCGTCATTTTCGATTTAATGATAAGGGAAACGAGGGGGAAGATAGATAAATGAGTAGATGACAGTCAGTCGTCGATACGCTCCGTGCTTGGAGAGGGAGAGCGGTGCAGTTTAGTTGGGCCAGGGGTGGACACGCTATATTACGCCGCTTAAAGCTAGCTCTCTACTGAGTCCTGGACCTGACCTAAACCTACTGCTTTTCTTCAGTGATTCACCGTTACAATTGCAATTACAATTATAATTATTATTATTATCGTCGTCATTAATTAACAATAATATCTAACCCGGTAGCTAGCTAGCTAGCTATCGATCTATCTATCCACCGCTGCCATTCTTGACTGCTGCTAGCAAGCAAGCGCTAATCACTGTGCAGCTGTAACGCTACTCTTCATTTTCTTCCTCAATGTCAATCCCATCTTCCATATTCTTTCCATCCTCCGCCTGCAACTGCAATTGCAATTGCAATTCTAATACTCTCACTTCTACTTGTCGTGCAATCTCTCGGATCCCCCTCACCATCAACCTCTCAACTCACCCCCTGTGCAAGAGAAACCGCTCCTATTCCAGAAATTCTCTGAATCAAGAAAAGATTATTAATTCCACAGAGAAAGAAGAAGAAGATGCTGTCGACGGAACCACCGTTGCTCCATCCACAAGTTTCCTGTCTTTCCTCTGTCCCTTGCTTAAACTAGTCTCCGTGCGTAATCCTGTTGCTCCGATTGCTTCTCGGTTGTGTTTTGAGTAATTAAATGACTTAGGGCTTGAGTAATATGTAAGCATGCTGCGCTTCTCATGCTTCGACTGTCTCGCAGGCTGGAGATCCCTCTGGAGAAAGAAACTATGTGCTCGAGGTTTTGAACGCTTCTTCTTCTCTTCTATTCTATGTTGTTAGTAGGAGGTTATATACAATACTCCATAATGCTGTTATATTGTCGAATGCGGATGGGATAATCTTCTCTCCATTCCACGTTCTTTGGGCATTTCTCTATTTATCCGTGTTTGTGTTTATGCATGTCTTTGCATATTTGATCTCATTTTTCTTTCTTTTTAAATTCTGCTAGGAGGCTACCTCTTCCTTGTCTAGCATAGCAAGGTTCCCTTGGGGGTCTAGATCGATATCTGATGATTTAAACAACCAGCAGGAAACAGGGCCTCCCCTACGTCTCCAGCTTTTTGAATTTGGTAAGTTCTTCCAGTTCACGATACATGGAAGAAGTATGTTATCACTCTTTTGCAATACATGCAGTAAATTATCTGACCTCAGACTAACTGACAAGTATTGAACTTGTAAACAGAGGCATGCCCCTTCTGCCGTCGGGTTCGAGAGGCTATAACTGAGCTTGATTTATCTGTGGAGGTGCTCAAGAGAAATTTTTGAAGTGCATAATTTACTTAGGGTGCCCCTAAGTTAATAAATTTAATTTATCAATGTCCTCTCAGACTAGCAATCATACTGCACTTTCAACTAAATTTTCTGCCTCTTACAGAATTTTTTAGGGCAGTTGTAATTGATTCTTGAAAACAACCCTTTGTTTGTGCAGATATTTCCATGTCCAAAAGGGTCAATAAGACACAGGCCAATGCTTAAAACACTTGGTGGCAGGGAACAGTATGCTATTATACTTCACATATCATTGAAGCTACATCCTATTTCTCTGCAAGGAAACAATCATTTCGTTTTTATTTTATCAGTTATGACAGTTGCTGTTGGAACCATATGCAGTACCAGTGAACTGTTAGTTAAGATGACGATTGAAAGGATGGTGTTCATCCTACTAATGAGAATTTCTAATGGTTGAAGGCATCCTGTTTGCTCATATTAATGATAATCCGAATAGGTCACACACCCGAAAAGTTGATTGCAAGTGTTCTTTGATTATCTGTTTTCAATGTTAGCAATCCTGGAATTTAAGGTTCAAGTTTTTGTATTTAAATTAGTGTGATTTATGATTATGTAAATGCATTATAGTGAATTCGAAGTCTCTCAAACAGTCAATGATCTTTCTGCCTCACTTTGCAAAGAATAAATACTTGTGTCAATGACTCATGGACCAGACATAGTGGAATAAGCGCATAGGGGGTTGTGGTGATGATGAGGATAATAGTCTTTAAACTCTGAATACATTCACCTTGTTTCTATATTTAAAAGGATCCTCAAATTTTTTATGGCTGGATGGCTTCATTGGATTATTACTTACTAAATTTATCCTTTTGCAGGTTCCCTTTCCTTGTTGACCCCAATACTGGAACTGTGATGTATGAAAGCAGTAAGGCTTTCAGACAAATATATCTTCACATATGAAATGATTTGTGTTGTACTTGCGTCCATATTAAGATATCCCATAGCCCCTTCACAAGTTAGTGAAATATTGGATTGTTATATTGTTGCGACATGTCTTAGCTCCTGCTTGTAGTGGTACTACCACTTACTAAAATCTCTATTTGTTTTCAAATGTGTCATATTTTTACAATGCCTATGAAAGATCTGTAGTTTTCCTCATGATTTTTAACAGATTTTACGGTAAATTCAGATTGTGGACATGATTTTCTTAACAGCCTCTTTTGACTTTTATCTTGCCCAGGCTTTCAACTTTTGGGTTTTCTATTTTATTGTTGATTAGGTGACATTGTAAAGTACTTATTTCAGCAGTATGGTGGAAACAAGAACCCCTCATTTGGATTGTTGGAGAGGTAATTACATAGTAATTTCTGCTTTTTAGATTTGCTTTAGAGCATGGGTTATTCGTTATGCCACGTTGATGCACTTAGCTGGATCTCATTGTCTTAATTAATTTGTTTAAACCCTTGTGTTCTTTTGTAATTTTACCATAGGTTTTTACTATTCAGATATTTTTTCTCTTAAAAAATATCGCATCAAACAATTATTTTTTATTTTATTATTTTATATTATATTACAAATTTATTTTATATTCAAAACATCACATCAAACAACTATTCAAATTCAATTTTTTACTATTCAAAAATCAAACCCAAAAACTAAAACCCACAAACAAACACACTTAAAATTTCTGTTGTAAGATTTGCATTTTGGCATCCTTAAAAATTGTTTTCATCCATGAAAATACATGCTAATTGGACAGCAAGCTTTTGAAATCAGGAAAGGGTATTCCAGTTCTTTGTCAGCTTTGGTTCTTCAGCCCATATGATGTCATGGTGTGCTTTATTATTATTATTATTATTTAGATCTTCCAGTAAGTATTAACAGCTTTATTAGATTAGAAAGTATGTGGATTACATATTTCAACTTTTGGACCATCATGCCTGTTCTGCAGCACGCCCCTCACTGGATGGGTACCAACACTTCTTCGAGCAGGCAGAGGCATGACATTATGGAAGAATTCCATTAAAGAACCACCTCCCCACAAACTGGAACTTTTCTCCTACGAAAACAATCCTGTAAGTACAGAAGAAGCTATCCATGGGGTTTCACTTTCTTGCTTCAGAGTTATTGTTTCTTGTATTTGCCCTTTCTGACTTGCATTAGCACAGTTTTATTTTATTTTTATTTTTCACACTAATTAGCACAAAGTTGTGCTAGGTGAATTTGAAGGTTTAATAATATCTTTCCTAGTGATTAGAGACATAGGAGGAGTTAAGAGGTGTCCTTGAGTACTTTTGAAGCATTAGTGGGATCAAAATCACATTAGCATAGCGACATTTAGAATTTTGCATGGCGGAATGATAACAAGCCTTAGGCTAAGAAGTCCATGGATGAATTCATGAATTGTATGAAGATGTAATTGCTCTGAGTGCAGTATGCTCGGATTGTTCGCGAAGCCCTTTGTGAACTGGAACTTGCTTACATTCTTGAGAGTGTGGGCAGGGGGTCAAAACGAGCAGAGTTGCTGTATGAGTTGTCTGGATCTGAAGAGGTGAAGTATTCTTTCATTACTAATACTAATTTAAATTCATGTATCTGGAGGAGAATTTGAAGGTGCAAGTGAAATGGTGGGCAGGTGCCTTACCTTGTGGATCCTAACACAGGCATGGGCATTGGCGGGGAGGGGGGTTACAAGAAAATCCTATCATACTTGTTCCAGACATATGCTGTTGCTGCTGCAACTGCGACATCCACGTAGTCAGGCAGGTAGCCACAACATTGCAATGTTTGTTGTATATAGGTAGCGGGCTCTTCAGCTTCGTCTTCGTCTTCATCTTCTTGGGGGCATCGAGGCAGTTGAGTTGGGCAAACGTGGATGAATCATTCAAATGTAGTAGCGGTAGGAGGGACTTCCAGATGATCATTAGTAGTAGTAGTATTCAAAGCTTTTGACAGTGTCAAAGGAACCGACATTGATAAATTAGCTAGCTAGCTAGCTAGCTTGTCATAAAAGTCAAATGGTCATATACATAGAGACACTTGTTACATGTGCATGCATGTATGCATCATTGCACCATAATACTATATGTATATATGTTTCAATTAATTGCCGCGTTTAATATGTAGTAGTAATAAGAATAATCAATGAAAGCCAACGTATGACTGATGACGCACCTCCTTGAAGAAAATTATATGGAATTGTTAATAAGAAGAGTAAGGTGATTATCGATTGACCATTGTATGTTTGTAATTGTAATTCTTGATTCGACCCATCAAACAGAAATTGTTTTGTAGTAAAAATTAACCACAGAAAGGAAGAAGAAGAAGAAAAGAGTGGGATGGAATGACCGAGTTGAGTTGAGCGGGCTCCGATACCAAACCCGGCCTTCATCCTCAACCCCTCACCGTTTTATTTACACTCCCAACAATAATTTAAACTCAAATTCAAATTCATTTGTACTTATTGCTACTTTTTTTTTCTGTTTTTTATTTTTTATTTTTAATTACTTGTCACCTTTTCCCATCACGCCGCACGCTCGCACACATACATACGACAGCAGCAGCAGGTGCAGAGCGGCAAGGCAAGGGTCGGGTGGGTCGGTTCGGTCCGGTTGGGTTCGGTGCACGGACAACTCCTTCCTTTATTTCTTCCCTTGATAAACAAAACAAAAACACAATTGAAAAATCAAAATCCTTCCCCGACGCGACGGCCTCTCCTCCCTCTCGGCTCTCCCTTTCCCCTTCCTCCACCCCTCCTCAAATCTTCCATTTCTCTTCCCGATTCATTGATCCTCTGCCCATCCCCTCCAACCCTATAATCCCTCTCCACTCGATCTCGTGCCCGCCGATTGGATCTGCGCTTCTTCGTGCTTCGATCCAGTGGGTTTCCCTATATATACACCTCCCGCCCTCTCCTTTCAGGGGACTTCAAGACTCCTCCAGATCATGGATGCTATCGAGGATTTGTCTCAGCTCTCCGATGCGATGCTTCAGGCGTCGGCGGTGCTTGCAGATGAGGATGTCGACGACACCACGCCCTCCAAGCGCTCCTCCACCTTCCTCAATGTCGTTGCTCTCGGGAACACAGTCAGTTTCATCCTTCTCACCCTCGCCTTAACTTTCTTGTTTTCTCTTTTCCCCAATTTCCAGTTTCTGGGCTCTAAATCCCGCTTCCGGCTCATTTCTGGATCTGGATTGTCCGATCATTTTGAAATGACTATCGATTTGATCTCCGTGTGATTTGTTTGTAGATTATTCTTTTTTTTGGGACAATTCCCTCCGCATTTACCCTTGCCTGTACTCGATTATAAACACCGACATAGATCATGACATTTCATCATTCTCTAGCTTGATTTCTGGTTTTCGTCAAGTAGAGCTGATTCACAATATAGTTTATGTGGGCTTTATGATTTGCTTCTTTAGAATAGATAGCTGAATAAAATACAATGAGCTTAGATCATATTTGGCTAAGAAGTCCTAGCTTTCATAGTGATTGTGAGCAGTGCAATAAAATAGCAATATGAACTTTTTATTTCCATGTAATTTATTATTCACTGTTCTCCCAGCTGCTCAGTGAATTTTCCAGTAATTTCATCCACCAACGGTAGGTGTGCATTGTAGCTCTCAAAGTGCGCTGAATACTTTTTCTAAATTCCATAGTTTGTGCTACTTTATGAACTTGTATGCTACGTGTTAAAATTTTCACTCTCATATTTTAAACATATTTGGATTAATCTTCTTCACACAAAAATAGGCACCCAGGGTCATAAAATTCTAACCCAGAGAGCCATTATATTATATTTGTTGGCAGAGTTTAGTGATTGCAGGCTTGATTGAGTCTTAGCATGCTATTTATATGAATTCTTTTGGATTGTTACATCTTTGCAACTTCTGCACATTAGCTGTAGGCATCTTGAGGCATTGATTCTGTTCCTTCCTTCGATTCTTACAATGTTATGCTGCAGTTTGGAAATTTGTTGTTTCCCTTATAGACTCTTTCATCCTCACTGTCTTAAGATATAGCAGTATCAAAATTTTGTTGTCGGTTACTTTTGCATATTGTCCTGGTGTGATGCATTTATTTGCAGCACCCAAAACATGTCATACATGTTGGTTTTCAGTGAAGACAAGTATGATGTGCTGTGGCTGCTGCTTTTTCTGATGTAGCCTTCTTATTGGAGATTTGGCATTTTCTATGGTCTTTCTTTTTTCCAGTAGCTTCTCAATGGGGAGTTTTAGTAACCGTAGCGTATATCTCTGTTATACTAGATTATTCAATAGTGATAGTATGCATATTTTGAGTTATTTTTTGTGAGCATGCATTTAATAATCTCTTAATAATCATCTTGTATGGAATATGGATTGGTCATTCTTATTGATTTCTTTTTCTTCAGGGTGCTGGTAAGTCTGCAGTATTGAATAGTCTAATTGGCCATCCAGCATTGGTAAGCATGCCACTTTATAACACAGTTTCGGTTATTTTGGTCTGACAATTTTTCTTAAGTAAACAACATCGGTGAGTTTTCCCTTTAATTTGCAGCCAACTGGTGAAGGTGGTGCAACACGTGCTCCAATATGTGTTGATTTAATAAGGGATGGTTCGTTAAGCAGCAAATCCATTATGCTGCAAATCGATAGTAAATCACAACCGGTTTCTGCAAGTGAGGACTTTAACTGAACTTAAATCCTTACAGAAACTATAGGAACCAATGCAGGCTTTCTGATTCATGCATGTGTGTGAGTTTCATAGGTGCACTTCGACATTCATTACAAGATAGATTGAGCAAAATATTGGCCAAGAGTCGTGATGAAATATATTTGAAGCTTCGTACAAGTACAGGTATATCTGCTTAAAACTTGTTGTGATATTTGTAATTTGTTGACAGCATATGGGCTTTAAGGGTCTGTTTGTTTTGGGTCTTTACAGGTTTTTTACTATTCAGTCCCCATATTCCCCATCTAATATACACTATTTTCTATTTTCTCATTACCTGACAAACCAAGATTCTTGGAAGCTTCTCTAAGAAAGTGGGGGGTTTTCTTTTATGTAGTATGATGTATAAATTTTGGGTTGATTGTATTGTAATTTCATAAATCTGTTTCACTATGCCTATGTGTTCAAATTGTATTCATCTTTCAAGTAGATTTGGGCTTGTGCTTTTGTGTTCTTAGAATTGGATAGGGTACTTAGAGATGTAATCAGTATCTTTTGGCTATACCAAGCTTCCAAACAAATTATCCCATTTGTTGTTTAGCATTGAGGACTATGGCATTTTAATCCTTTGTGTACCCTAAATCATTTGGTTATTTCATCCTAAAAAAAAAGAAGCTTTATTTGGTTAATTTACATCTGTGTAATTTCTTGGAATTTTTTATTCATATTTTATGTCGTTATTCTGCAGCTCCTCCATTGAAATTGATTGATTTACCTGGAGTGGATAAAGGCAGTATTGATGATTCATTGGTGAGTGGCTTCTATACAGCCTCTGTGAAAATGTTTACAACTAATGTATAATGATATAAATAATGTATCTGAAAGTTGCACATAATAGGCTACAGGGAACTAGTTTTAAAAATTTAAAAGGTGCATGGTTTGGCTTGGTTTGGAGAATTATAGAACTTGCTTCAAACTCAGTTTTAACTAAATTCATGCTGAAAAGGTTTTTTTGTGACTGAATGATCGAGGGAAAATGAAACTAAATCTTAAAATATATATATGTAAAAATATTTCTTTTTATTAGCTTGTTCGATGGTCCATCTTTGCTTGCTATCATGTTGTTATATTGACCATAATCTAATAATAGTGCTTATTTTTTTTGGCATTCATGGCAAAACATATATTTAATTCTCTGCAGTGTGCTAATGTTTATCTCCATTACAGAGTCAGTATGCTGAACGTAGTGATGCAATATTACTGGTTGTCATACCTGCCACCCAGGCACCGGAAGTGGCTTCAGCCAAAGCTATCAGAATTGCTAAGGAGCTTGATGGAGAATGTGGGTTTTCAATATAATTTAATTGTCAATTTATGGTTTCTGAACAAAAATGGATTGCTGCAGACTTTTATTTGTTTCAACTAATTTGGATATGTTGTTACCTAGGTACAAGAACTGTTGGAGTAATTAGCAAGATAGATCAAGTATCCTCCGAACCAAAAACCCTCGCTGCAGTGCAGGCTCTTTTATTGAATCAAGGGCCTCGAAGTACCGCTGACATTCCATGGGTTGCTTTGATTGGCCAATCTGTGTCTATAGCATCTGCTCAATCAGGAAGTGTTGGAGCTGAAAATTCTTTAGAAACTGCATGGCGAGCAGAAAGTGAAAGCCTGAAATCAATACTGACTGGTGCTCCTCAAAGTAAGCTTGGGAGACTAGCTTTGGTGGAGACCCTTGCTCAGCAGATCCGGAATCGCATGAAAGTGAGGTTGCCAAATCTCCTATCAGGGTATGCTACTCCCTTAATCATCGATTTATTTAGCTTTCGACAACTATATGGAAGGATTTTTTCCTAACTGGATATTTATTTCCTTTATGTTGTTTGTCTCTTCTTTTTATTTTTTATTTTTATATTTTTTTCTGTACGTTGATTTCTGACACTGCTATAAAAACCAACCTGGATATGGATGTAATCTGCCTGAACTTTTGCTAATAAATTACTGGAATTGTAAAGATGAATAACTTCATCTTGGTGAAGAGAAATTTATTTTTGTTTTTTCCTAAATTTATTTTGGTGTCACTGGATAACCAGCCTCTGGGAAAATTGCATCGTGCATAAATAGTTTGCAAAGTGCTGTCTGCTACTGCAATTCATGTTTGCATCTTTAATATTTTATTGGGCTCCCTCTTCCTGTAAGTGAACAACAATATGTGGCCATACTGCTTTGGGTGGTTATATTTATCAGTTTGCTTCTATAATCAGTACTTCTGTTAGTCGTTGATATGCTGTCTCTGGAACATGTGAAGGCTTCAAGGCAAGTCCCAAGTCGTCCAAGATGAACTTTTCAGGCTTGGTGAGCAAATGGTCCAGAGTTCTGAAGGTACAAGAGCTTTGGCGTTGGAACTTTGTCGTGAATTTGAGGACAAGTTCCTCCAGCATATCACAACAGGAGAGGTGATTTTCTGAACATACGGAGTGACATCATACAGACTATTATCATTTTTATTGATGTTTATTTATTCAATGTCCCATTGCAAACTAAAGGAATCTAGAAATAAGTTTTTCAGAATAATTATTGAAACGTGAAATGACAGAAAGTAAGGAAGTAGAAATTCAGGAGAAAAAATTATTGAGAGAGAAACCAACATTGCCCATTGCAAGACAAAGGAAATTGCATGGAGAGGAAAGAAACAAAGGACTTTGAGACTAGAGATTTCTTTCGTGTGACGATTTTTTCAGTAAAAAAGTATGAGGGTGTGTTTGGATTTGATTTGAGTTTTGATTTGAGTTTTAGATTTGGTTTAAATAGTATTTTGGTGTGATGTTGTGTGAGAGGAAATAGTGTATTTTTATTGGGAACCGTGTTTTGAATAGTATAAAATTGTGTTTGATATAAAAAACAAACGAACCCTATAACAGAAGTTTGTCATCTCTGTATGGTCTGGTGATGTTTAGGGTGTGCCTGAGGAGCTACAATTCATGTTTTTTTGCCACATGTGTCATTTCAAATAAATACACTAATATGTTTCTTACTCTATAATATCATTTTTTATGATTTTTCCTTCCTGTTGGTTGCAAGGAATCTCTTGTTTTATCCTCATGATTTATTATATTTTTAATGCTTTAGCTGCAATTATTGTGGTCCATATGCTCTTCCTATGATACTCAATGGTTCTCTTCTGGAGATCTTTTTATTGTTGAAGAAATGGTTTTCCCCAAATTTCTTAATTCTTTCGTTTGTATGTCACTGTTAACACCCAATTCCTTGATATTAGTTTCAAATGGATATGTCAAATGGATATGCTTTCTTGTATTATGTTGGTGGTTGGTGTACTTTTTATCTTTTATTGAACTTTGTTTTTCTTGGCTATTGTTCTTTTCCAGGGTAGTGGATGGAAAGTGGTTGCTAGTTTTGAAGGCAATTTTCCTAATCGAATTAAGCAACTTCCTTTGGATAGACATTTTGACATCAATAATGTTAAAAGGGTAGGTGATCTCTAGATTATGGTATCTATACTTCTTAAAATCTAAATGTTATTCTCTATACATGTTCATGCCTTTGAGTTTGTTTCCAGATTGTGCTTGAAGCAGATGGTTATCAACCTTATCTTATTTCTCCTGAAAAAGGGTTGAGATCATTGATTAAGGGTGTTTTAGAGTTGGCGAAAGAACCGTCACGTCTTTGTGTTGATGAGGTAATCTTGTGTTATTGGCGATGATGTATATTGCGTCTTTCTTCTTGTTAGTATTTCTGATTAACTATTTCAACATTTCTTTGGCAGGTGCACCGGGTGCTTGTTGATATTGTCTCTGGTGCTGCTAATGCTACACCAGGCCTTGGAAGATATCCTCCTTTTAAGAGAGAAGTAAAAATCAATATGGCTTTGGGTTCAACTTTTGGAGCCTTGTTTTCTCTGTTTATATCTTTTCCTTCCTGAGGATCTTCATGGAGTATTTTACATATAATTTACTTAGGTTATAGCTATTGCTACCACTGCCTTGGAGGGATTCAAGAATGAAGCTCGGAATATGGTGGTTGCACTGGTGGACATGGAGCGCGCTTTTGTGCCTCCGCAACATTTTATACGTTTGGTGCAGAGAAGGTATATTAAATAATTGATCTTGTTTTACATGAAGTCATGAACTGCCATTTTTTCCACAGTTGATCTAAAAAATTTTCATGGGTTGCTATTGAAATTCGAGGTATTTTCATGGGAAAATTTCACTTGTTCACTTTGTTTTGTAATTTGAGTAAACTAAACAGTTTTTGCTGGTATATTTTGTATATCCATTTAAGTTATAATTTTCGGGTCTTTCTCTAGGATGGATAGACAGAGGCGTGAGGAGGAACTGAAAGGTAGATCTTCGAAAAAAGCTTCTGATGCAGAGCAGTCCATGTTGAACCGGGTATGGAATATCATTTAGTTGGTTAAATTTGATCTGGCTTTTATGTATTGATGGAACATGGAATTAGCCTTGACTTATCAAAGTTATCCTTTATTTGACTGCGGAATCTATTTATGTTTTTATCATGCATGGAGAACATATTACTAAGTGGGATAATGTTCATTTAATGATGTTATTTACTATGAACCTGCACTTTGTGCACTTGAGTAACATCACAGTTTGCTTCCACTACTCCTTGCAGGTGTGTCTGCTTTTTCACGCATGCATGCATGTAGTGACATTTTTTCCTTTTTGTAATTATACTGTTTTCAATCACTGTTTTGTTCCTTCATGCAGGCATCCAGTCCACAAACTGGAAGCCAACCGAGTGGATGGAGCCTAAAATCACTAAGGGAAAACAAATCAAATCAGCAAGATACAGATAAGGACAAAGACAAAGATAAGGATAAAGAGGCGCAGGAAGGATCATCACTGAAGACTGCTGGTCCAGAAGGGGAAATTACTGCAGGTTTGTACCTAACTGTGTTGTTACATGTGTTGTAGGTAGTGCTAAGTAAATGTGTTCTTGCTTGGCACAGTAGATCTGGTCACAGATCTTTTTGTCACCTGGTGTATGTGTTTGCTTCATTATCTACTGGGTTTGGTTGCATGTAAGAAGAAGTTGAAGTCTATACTTCAGTTATTAAAACCATAGGTTTTGGGTTCTTCTACCCACAAACTTTACTTTTTTTGCTGTGGATCTAAACCATCGTCAGAATGCATTTGGTTATAATGTTTGCTGATTGCTACTCACTGGTGCTTGGTTGCTAGCCTATGTCCTACATGCTCCCCAAATCCTGACTTTTAATGCTAAATATTGTGAATTGCATTTCTGATATATGCTGTTAGTAGGGGGAGAAGTAATTTCATCCAACTTCCTGACAATTTCTTTTAGATATGATTCTATTTGACTCAGAGAAGGAATACATATGATACTCTGTATATTTTACCTGCATAGATTGATATTGTTTTTATACTTAACTTTGTGTGTGAAGGTTTCTTATTGAAGAGAAGTGCCAAAAAAGATGGTTGGAGCAAAAGATGGTTTGTCTTAAATGAGAAAACAGGAAAAGTAAGTGGCATCAAAGTGCTTTCTTTGCTAGAGTGGAACTACATGGACACATGCGCGCGCGCGCACACACACACACATATTTATATATATATATTTGTATGTGTGTTTTTTATTTCAGCAAGTTTGCACTTCAGCTTTTGTTTACTCTTGTACACTGTAGATAGTCTCTTATTTATTAATGACATAGGAATTAACATGCCGGCAAAAAGAAATTGAATTTCCTGAAATCACTCATATATGATAAAAAGAAAAGTAATTTTGTTCTATGTTTTCTCTGTTTGTTGCTAATTTGGCCTGAAATATTATGGCTACTGCAGCTTGGATACACAAAGAAGCAAGAAGAGAGGCATTTTCGTGGTGTCATCACTTTGGAGGTATATTGTCAGCATAGTGTTAAAGCCTTCATGCATGGAGACTGTTTAGTTGCCCTTACTTATTTGATGGATATTTCTTCTGTCTCTTCATTTCATAGTTAGCTCTTTATTCACATACTAAATATTTGTATGTTATGACTTTATCTTGCACATGGGGGGTGTGGCCATGGTTGTATAAGAAGTCAATGATATGATCACTACCCTATGTCTGATGCAAACCAAATTCAAAGCATCTTTGGTGCTTTGTTGGTTGATTTTATTTCTGTTGATATTAGTATAGCATTCTTTGTATGTCTAAAGTTGCACTTTTTAGTCCAACTAGTCTCTTAACTTGCTTTTGCTTATCAGGAATGTAATCTGGAGGAGGTTCCAGAGGATGATGAAGCTCCTCCTCCTCCAAAGAGTTCTAAAGATAAAAAAGCTAACGGTCCAGATGCAGCCAAAGGACCTAGTCTTGTGTTCAAGATAACAAGCAGGGTCCCCTATAAGACTGTTCTTAAGGGTAGATGCTTGCTCATTCCCTTGCTAGATGAAAATGATTTGAATTTTAATTTGAAGACCAACCTAAAGTAATATTTCCTGATTCCTGCAGCCAATAGTGCTGTTGTTTTGAAGGCTGAGAGTGCGGCAGATAAGACAGAGTGGTTGAATAAATTGCGAACTGTCATCAGTTCTAAGGGTGGGCAAGTGAAGGGTGAATCTGTTCCCCCAGTGCGGCAAAGTCTCTCAGATGGATCTCTTGTAAATTCACGAACTTCTTTCCTACTCACTCTGCATATAATTCATTTACAACTTCATGTGTTCAGCTCTTCTATCATTTGCAATGTAGCCCTTTGGATTTCTATTATATTTGCTAAGTTCAAATGCCAAAGTCATTAATTTATGAAAGTGATAACACATTATGTAGCATCTTGCAAATTGTTTGTTGGTTTGTAGTGCCATGTTGCTCTGATACGCCTAACCGATGGGTATTTCTTTCTTTTTGCAAATAAAGACTTGCATGGATGCTTCTCACTTTATATAGCTGTACAGGATACAATGGCCAGACGACCAGTTGATCCAGAAGAAGAACTTAGATGGATGGCGCAGGAAGTGCGTGGTTATGTTGAAGCTGTTCTTAATAGTCTTGCTGCCAATGTCCCAAAGGTCAAATTCAATTGAAACAGTTTTTTGACTTTTTTAAATTTAAGCTATCTTTTTCATCTGGATGTTCCATATTACAGGCAGTTGTTCTTTGCCAAGTGGAGAAGGCAAAAGAAGATATGCTTAATAAACTATACAGTTCTATCAGGTTAGCTTTGTTTGGTTCATATATGGCGATAGCATGGGCCTGGTTTTCCTTCGTGTAGTTAGTTCCTTTTTTAGTTATATAGATATGATCACTACCCTATTCCAAGCAGAATATTATTTTGTTCTAATTTCCCTTTTTGTGTACATGTTAACTCTGGAATGATAGCGCACAAAGCATGGCTCGAATAGAAGAGCTACTCCAAGAGGACCAGAATGTAAAGCGCAGGAGAGAGCGTTATCAGAAACAGTCCTCTATTCTTTCCAAGCTTACACGAGTGCTGAGCATTCATGACAACCGGGCAGCTGCTGCTGCCTCTGGATTCTCAAATGGTGGCGGCGCAGGTAGTGATTATTTTGCAATCTAAGGTGCTATTTTGTGTGTGTGTGTGTGTTAAGAACTGCTACCACTCCTTGGGCTCTATTTTCTTGTCTTGGATGATGATGGTTGCTTCACCCTTGAGCGAGCTTAAATTCTGTTATTTGGATGCAATCAATCAATTAATTATGGCTCTTACCTTTCATCCCTACGTAATGGTTTGTTTGTTTGTTTGTTGGTTCCCTTGGTTAATTGAGCAGAAAGTAGTCCAACAGCTGCTGGTTCATCTGGTGATGACTGGAGATCTGCATTTGATGCTGCTGCTAATGGCCCTAGTGATTCTTTTAGGCGGTCTCGCTCGAATGGTCACAGCCGCCAGAACAGTGATCCTACCCAGAATGGTGACATAAGCTCTGGGGCAAACACTGGCAGCCGGCGCACTCCTACTCGTTTGCCACCTGCTCCTCCATCATCATCATCATCTGGGTCGGGCTATAGGTTTTAGAGGGTAGAGATGGATGGATAATTTTGCTGATTGATTCTTGCAATGATTCTTGTATTGTCTTGTTGTGGCGGGCCGAACAGTTTATTGAGCTTGAAATCTTTTTATAATAGCGCCATCAGTATGTAGTAGAGGATTGAGAGAGAAAGAGAGATAAGAACGCCCATGTAGATAAAATGATATCCATTCATCACCATCACCTCCTTTTTTTTGTTGCATTTGCGTTTTCAACTTGGTTGTTGTGTCTTTTGAATCATACGTTACATGACATACCACTGTACTCTGCCTGCGTAATTTTGTGTACTATATTATGTAAGGGATAATTTGATATTGCAATGGTCGTTGTTCTTGTGTTGTGCAGTGATGGTATCTACCGTGACAGTTTTCATCTATCTAATCTATCCCTATCCCTAACCCTATTACCTAATAATACCCATTTGGGAGAGAGAGAGAGAGAGAGAGGGAGAGAGATTGATCATTGAGATGGGAATTGTTATAATAACAGTGATCCCAATGTTTGTTGCACACAAGGCCTGAGAGTGGCGCCGGTGGGTTATACAAAGCAGCGTTCCGGACGGGCCATCCCAATAATCCTTCCTTTCCTGGTTGAGAGAGAAGAGTTAGTTATAGTTAGTTAGTATTGGATTGCTGGCTCGATTGGTTAGGTGGGTAAATGCTTGCTTCATAGTTGTTCCTACTTCTCTTCTGGCCTAAGCCAATCAATCATTGATATTGAGTTGAGTTGAGGAGGAGCATGTCTTTGCCCTATCATTGATATTCACTGACACGACATGATTCTCCAACAACCTTGTTTGCTTCCTTTAGGGCTTAGGCTTGCTCGCTCGCCCACCCAATTGGTTATCTCTGTCTGTGTGCGATATGTGAGTGACACCCACGTTCATCCCATTATTACCCAACCTCGTAGCAGTATTCTAAAAAGAGTTCAGCACACACCTCCCCCTCTCTCTAACAACTCAACAACAACAATCTTAATAATCTTGCCTCCAGTCTCCATCCAACTCATCTTGTTTGTTGGGTTTGGCACCTAATTGTATTTGTATTATTATTATTATTATTATTATTATTGTAGCTTGTGTCATACTTACACCACCCACTCCCACCTAGCAATTGTGTCATACTTACACCACCCACTCCCACCTAGCAACTGTTTTTTACTCGGACAGACAAATTCAAGCCAAATGTTACTCCTTCCTTCCTTCCAATCCCCTCCTGCACTGCACGACTGATGGGCCCCATCAAACAAACACTATCACTATCACCATCACCACCACCACCATCTCCTCCTTCGTCTTCCTCCTTACCTTCCCCACTACTCCGACCCAATACAGCCTCCTCCTCCACAAACATTGATATTATTAATGCTCCGGCCTCCCATTCCTTCTTCTTCTGCATTCCCTTTTCCCCTTTTCAATTTTGAAACTCACTTGGTTCATCCCATCCCATCCCAAGAAAATAAACATGAGAGCTAAACTTCAATACCCCCCCTTCAGTCTCAAGGCCATCCCCATCTGTTCCTTGCTTCTGTTCCTCGTGTTTCTGATACTCAGATCCACTTTCTCCTATTACCCCCCTCCCCATCCCCATCCCCAGGCACCTACTACCACCATGCTCGCTTCCACTTCCAGTTCCAGCTCAGCATCGGCATCGGACTGCCCAACGACGCCGCTGCCCACGTGCACCAAAATCCCACCTTCCTTGGCGCACGCCCTCGTTCACTATGCGACCTCCAACATCACCCCTCAACAGACCCTCAATGAAATCTCCGTCTCCCTCAACGTCCTCCTCGCAAAGTCCCCCTGCAACTTCTTGGTCTTCGGGTTGGGCCGCGACAGCCTCATGTGGACCTCCCTCAACCACGGCGGCCGCACCGTCTTCCTCGAGGAGGACGAGTCCTGGATTCAGCAAATCCAGAGCCAGGTCCCCTCCTTGGAATCCTACCACGTCGTCTACGACACCAAGGTCACGCAAGCCGACCAGCTCCTCCTGGAAATGAGCGACGAGGCGGCGTGCCAGTCCGTGGTCGATCCCAGGTTCTCCAAGTGCCGGCTTGCACTCAAGGGCCTGCCTAACGAGGTGTACGATGTGGAATGGGACGTGATCATGGTGGACGCCCCCACCGGCTACTTTGACGGCGCCCCGGGACGGATGAGCGCCATATACACGGCCGGCTTGATGGCCAGGAATAGGGAGAGCGGCGAGACGGATGTGTTCGTGCACGACGTCGACAGGGCGGTGGAGGACAGGTTCTCCAGGGAATTGCTGTGTCAAGGCTACCTCACCCAGCAGGAAGGCAGGATTCGGCATTTTACAATCCCGAGTCACAGAGCTCGTTCCGGCAAGCCATTCTGCCCCCCACAATGAATAATACTGTAGTACTAGTAGATCAATTAAACAGACACACAGAGAGAAAGAGAGAGATATTGATTAATTAATGCTCTATCTATATTCATTATTGAGTTTACAGACAGACAGACGGTCATCTTCATCTGCTGCCGTGCAGTTCTGTGCTGGGACTCTCTCATATTCTTTTCTTATTAGGCAGGTGTTGGCGTTGGCGTTGGCTTTGGTGTTGGTTCTTGATTTTGTCTTTGTAATAAACAACAGGTGGTGAGTCAGTGAGGAAAACAATTCTTATTCTATTTGGATTTTGAATTTTCTTGGTTTCCGAATTATCCCTTCTCAAGTCTCTAATCCTCCTGCAAAATTAATACTGCAAATGGTTTAGTTTCCTTCGAGGAAGACGACGAGGCGATTATATATATACATATAGCTGGGGGTATTCTAATAATTTAAACGGAATGAGGGGTCCTATTTGCAAAAGAAAGAAAGCCCTACGACGTCGTAACGCACATCCGATTCCAATAGTCCAATGTGATCTAATCCACGAGCCCAAGCTCCCGTCTTTTTACTTCATTTTATCTTCAACCCTCCGAACAAAGGAACCTCGAACCAATCCCAATTCCCAGCCATGGTGAAAACGAAGAAAGAGCTTCTGGCATCAGCGCCATGGAGAGCCGACCCTCAAGAAAGGGATGAGAAATTCAAAGACGCACGGCTGAAGGTGACGTCACAGCCAGGTTCAACACCCACAATGCACGTCCCTGGAAAGAAGAAGTTTAACTCCAACAATGCTAACGTTGGAGAAGAAGATTCCCTCACTGAAATCGACCCGGAGCTGCGTTACAGCTTTCAGCGTAATTTCCAGGTACATCGGTTCTGGGGAATTCCTTAGTGGCATGCTTTTTGTTGATTTCCTTTCTGTTTTTATCTGTCCTAAATTATCGACATAATTTAATAATCGCTCGGTCGAAAGTCGTTACTATTTGTGTCCCCGGTGATTTTCACTTGTCAGTCTTAAGACGAAAGCTGCGCCGTGCTCTTGATAGAGGTTTGAGCGATAAATTGTTGCTCCATCTTCAGTTTGGAACAATGTTAGATGTTTTCTGTTACGAATAATTTGGGATGAAATGTTCCACTTGAATTGCAGCTCTTCTGGTTTCTCTGGGTGAATAAAAGAAACAAAATCTGGCCCTGCTTACAATTGGCTGTGTATCCATACTTATGGATTGTCTTGGCTATGGATTATGTTAGATGTGTGTGTGTGTGTGTGTGATATGAGGCTGAGGATGCAGTTCTTTTGATGTTGTTGCAGTTCCTTCAACGTGTATTTAGCATCGATACCATTGTCAAGCCTCTTCCACCTGCAATGGCATACAATGTTTCCCGGAATTTGACCTTTTTCACAAGGATCTTCACACAGTTCTTTGGTAAGTTAGAACCCTTACATGTGTACACCCTCTGTATTCATTCTCCTTAAAAATCCCACCAATGGACTAAATTTAAACAAGAAAGTGAAGGAAATTGTTTGACTTTGTTGGGTTTCTGGGCAGATCCGGAAGGTATAGCTGCTGCGCAAAAATCTCTTGGACTGGGTCAGGAAGACAAAGTCCGGAATGTCCGCTAATTTTTGGTTGATCTGGAGGTGATGTGAACTGTTTTCCTTAAAAAAGAACTTAGCGATCATTATGATTGCTGTTAGTGTGTCCTGCTTGCACACCCATACCTTTTGTGATTATGATAGGCTTTTCATGATACCTGAAGTCCAAAACTATGCAATGTTATGTTCCTGATAATGTTGAGAAAGCCCTGGAACGGGAATAGTCACTTCACTTTAGGTGACTTTGGCTTTTCCAGTGCATGAACATTTTCTCTGAGATGATTATTTCCTTATGATGGTAAATAGCTGTGGCTTTCAGGGAGTAGCTTGACTACTATTTCAATGAAATTTCAGCTTTGCAAGTTTGCACAAACTTAATCATCAGTAAACGTGTTTTTGTAGTGTTGCATGAAAACCATTTTGTTTCCTATGAAGGAGCTCTTCATGGACCTTTACTTTCTACCCAAAAAAATAAAAAAATTAAGCCTGACAGTTCTGAATAAACAGTGTAGAATGCCAAAGATTGGGATGCTGTTGTGGTCTTCAGTGAGCATCCAATCTATGCTATTTGCCTCGTTTATTATTCCATATTCTGAAAAGAGCTACTGACTGTCATTTTCAAGTTTGATTTAAGCGTTGAGATGTGTCTAGAAATGCTAGTGTTTCCTGGCTCTCAGAATTCACTCCTGCTGTACAAAATTATGATGTTATAGATGGGTGTAAAGATATCAAGCTTTTATTTCATGTAGTGAACAAGAAGCATACAAACGGAGATATGTATATTTAGTTGGTCATGACCAAAATAACAAGCATGGAGAGCAACAGGATGTGTAGGACCAAATTATAGTGTTGTGGTTGGGGGAGTGAGCCTGAAGAAAGTTAAAAAAAAAAAAAAGAAATTGAAGATGAGAGAGAGAGAGAGATCGACATGGACTGGTTCGGATCCAAAATCTCTGTTGTGCCATCCCATGGATTAATTAGGATGAGGGAGATGCACTCCTCCAAGGAGAAGGAAGGGATGAATGGAAGGAGTGTACAAGTGGTTGTTAAATGGGAATCAAATACAATCCAATGCAATGCAATGCAATACAGGAGTAGATGCTGCTTTGCTCCATCTTCATCTTACTCCCACGCGAGTGTTGCTTGGCGGGCTCTTGAAATTTCAAATAGTCAGTTATTTAGATTGTCTGGACTGGGCATGGATCAATCTTGGACTGACAACAATGTAGTCTTGAATTGCCTGCCTTGATCTTCTTCTTCACTTGGATTGGGTTTCCTAAAAGTGGTGGAGGGGAAAGCGCCATTAAATGCTCTGTTCTTGTGGATTGGTGCCGGCCTAAAGAGACGGCGTTGTCATTGTCATGTGAAAAAGTGGATTGGATCAGAGGGTATTCCAAAAGTACAAACAAGAAGACTATGCATGTATGATATACATTTCATTACGTAGTTACCACCACCAGTTCCAGATCCAGCAGATCGGTGGCCTTAATGACCCACCCCCAGTCTCCCTACTACCATACCAAGTGAATGAATGAGCTCCTCTTTTTTGTCTTTACTCTTCAGGGGAGTGTGTTATAAGATATGTATTGAATAATGGATACAGAGGGAGGGAGGGAGGTAGCCAAGCCAGCTCTCTCTCACTCACGAGATACAAGCAGCAGCAGGTGTCTTCTCCCCACCGCTGCTGATTAACTAACTGAACCCCCAAATAGGCAATAACAGCATAGATAGATAGATAGATAGATAGCACAACTAAAAAGAGTATTCCAACCATCTCCCTTAATTTTCATCACATGAACCCCTTCCTTCCCTTCCCTTCCCTCTCCTTACCTATTGAACTCATTTATTCAAAGCACAAGCACATTTTGAATCCTATAAAGCACCTCCTCTCCAAGGCAACCTTGCTATCCTATCCTAATGGTACCCTGTGCTGACTTGAGAATGGGAAGGAGTAGCAGTGCCTTCCTTCTCTTTTGTTTGATTTTGATAGGCTGCGGTAGCAGCATGGCCAAGAGGGATTGCCCGCCTCCCACCGATCAGATCCAGAGGCCCCAAGTCCCCTGCTTTTTCATATTCGGAGATTCACTAGTCGATAATGGCAACAACAACAACATCCTCACCCTTGCCAGGGCTAACTACAGACCTTACGGCATCGACTTCCCAGAAGGGGCCACCGGACGTTTCACCAATGGCCGTACCTTTGTCGACATTTTAGGTTTCTTTCAATCACTCCACTCCTATCCTACTGATGTCTGTGTTCCACTCTAATGCACTTTAACATGCTTTAACTCCATGTTTATCCTCTTGTTTCTTTTCAGCTCAGTTATTAGGCTTTCCCAACTACATTCCACCCTATGCCAGGGTTCAGGGCCGAGCATTACTTCAGGGAGCCAATTATGCATCAGGAGCTTCTGGAATCCGCGACGAGACTGGGAACAATTTGGTATCCATTTACATACATACATACATACATACATATATATGTCTGATAGCCATGCTTATTCATGTCTGTAATTTTCTTGTTAGGGAGCCCATACGTCGATGAACCAACAGGTTGAAAGCTTTGCCAGGACGGTGCAGCAGCTGCGTAGGTACTTTAGAGGAGAGACTAATGGCCTGGGCAACTATCTAAGCAAGTGCATATTCTACTCAGGATTAGGGAGCAACGACTACCTCAACAATTACTTCATGCGCGATTACTACTCAACCAGTTCTCAGTATACTCCTCAAGCTTACGCTGCTTCCCTCCTCCAAGATTATTCCAGACAGCTTACGGTGAACTGATTTCTATCACAACTCATTAAGTTCTTGCACGCATGAATGATCCTACAATTGCAATTCATTATCCAGGAGCTGTACAACTTGGGAGCCAGAAAAGTAGTTGTGACAGCAGTTGGACAAATAGGGTGCATACCGTATGAGCTGGCACGATACAGTGGTAATGGCAGCAGGTGCAACGAGGAGATCAACGCTGCTATTACTCTCTTCAACACAGGCCTCAAAAGATTGGTCGTCAGATTCAACAGGGGGGAGCTTCCGGGGGCAAAGTTTGTGTACCTGGATTCGTTCAAGAGCAGCCAAGATCTTGTCAACAATGCAAGAAGTTATGGTATGTAAAACATAGTAGCAAATGGTAATAGATTGAATTTGTGTCCTCAGTACTGCTGTGTGGTGGACAGGATTTGAAGTGGCGGATAGGGGATGCTGTGGTGTAGGGCGAAACAACGGGCAGATAACGTGCCTCCCCCTCCAAATGCCCTGCGAGAACCGCAACAAATACATATTCTGGGATGCATTTCATCCGACCGAATTCGCCAACATTCTGCTTGCAAGGAGAGCATACAGTTCCACGTCCAAATCATATGCGTACCCGATTAACATACAGCAGCTAACAACGCTCTAATATCTACTGTGGAATTTTCGAGAATTAACAGGTGGAGTTTGATTTTCAGACATTTAATGGTGCGGTAAGTGGCAGATGTACTCCACACTTCACACTTACTTTTATCCATCTAATAATAATAAAGGATGGTAGTAACCAGCTTGCATCATTGCCTTCTTTCTCATGCAAATCTTCCATTCATTCATCAGAACACCACATGCCATTTAATGCCAAGCATATAATATGTTGTAGAAGATGCCATTCAAAAATAGGTCAAAAACCAGTTGGCCAGGTTTCTACATTTTTGGTTCACAATGCAAAATCTCAATATAAAAATTAAAACATGCTACAAAATAATATGACGATCCTGTTCAGGAAGGATAATAGTAATAATAATATATAAATGATAGAATCAGTGCAGCGGGTCTAGCTAAGTTGATCACAAAAAGACCCATTTCGATCTATTCACTTGAAGCACTTGGCATCCAACAAAGGAGCACCCTCAAAAGGCTCAGCATCTTCAATCATCTGATTTACACGCTCCTTTTGAGCTTCATCGCTGATATCAACCTTTGACCATTCATACAGCTCCATGTCATAGCATTCATCAAGCACAAACTGAGGTATCTCTGCACCCCGAAAGAGCCACAAGCCCTTCACCTTAAATGGAGGCTCGGAACCAATAATCAGCATCTTTCCAAATGCATACTTGCGTGCCAAGTCCATTCGCTGGAGAAAACCACTCACCTTGTTTAAGGTGACAAAAGAAACTGTGTTCTCATCGTTGTATTTATACTCACAGAACCAAAGAGAGTATCCTTCGGGATCATACATGTCCCAGAATCCTGCATATCACAAAATGCTTTAGCCTTTGATCATAACGAAACAATTGCATCTTGCAAACATAACTAAAATACGCAAGAATAATTTCTTGATTATTTGTTTTACTAATGTGGTAACTCAGCCAACATTCGATCCAATAATTCTCCTATGAAATCCATAACCCCCTCCCCACCCCCCATAAGAACAAAGGATCTCTCAGCAAGTCATCAAGTAAACAGGTAGTTTAATGAATATCAATCATGACCATAACATAAATAACAGAATACAAGTACCTTTGATGGCAACCTCACGGAAGTTGGTCTTGGTGTTAGAGTAAAGCCTCTTCCATTCATCAAGAATCATCTTGCTAGGGGGTAAAAGATCCAAAGGATTCTTTGCCTTGGGTTTAGGTGCTTCTTCTTCCTCTATTACTTCTTTGGGCTTAGCCTCTTCTTTCTTAGCCTCTTTTTTCTTTTCTTCCTTTGGTTTAGATTTAGTAGCAGGCTCCTTCACCTGTGCAGGTTTCTTTGACGCAACAGGTGGAACAGACTCTGCTTGTATAACATCACCCCATATCTTCTTAAAATTGGGCTGATTAATTATAGTCCAGAAGTACCTCTCAACATTCGGGAACTCTGAGGTGAAGCTCTTTGTCAAGATTGACTTGATTCCATAAGCCAAATTACAAACCATAACAATGTCAGCAAGTGTGACACCGTGTCCCACCAAGTAGGTGCTGGAAGCAAGATGGAGGTTCAGAGCTCCAAGAGCTCTCTTCAGCGAAGAAATTGCAACTTCCTCACTCTACACATATAACGAGAGATCATTTAAGTAGCTAACTAGGACAATAGCACACAAAGACACCCACAAACACACCGCATTTAATATACCTGAGGCACATACACACGAAAACCTAGTCGTGGATACAACCAACCACCAATATTGGCATCAATCTCAGTTGCAGAAAAATCCAGCCATTGCTCAATGTGAGCCTGACAAAGAAACGCAACATCCAAACATCCAAATATAAGCTCAATACTCACAAACTTTAGCCATTATATTGAAACACTAAAACATGAATTTAGTTACTAGAAGCTTAATAGTTCCTTACATAATCAATCAAAGAAGAGCCATAAATGGAACTATCAGGATTTCTCCGAGCCACTACACAAATACATAAATCATATTAGAAGAATGGCATTGCAAAGCATCAGGACACAAACATATACAGATGCTTTACCGTAACGAGCAATGGCATTGCTTTCAAATATTGGACCATCCGGTGTTTCAAGCACAGGAACCTACATACAAACCCAAAGTTAGTGTGCATGGACAAGATCAATTTTACAATAGAAATACTATGTTATTTATAAATAAAACCTTTCCAAGAGGATTCATCTTGATGAATCCAGGAGTCTTGTTTGACACACCCATCTCAAAATTTTTCACCAACTCCACTTTTACACCGCTGTATTCTGCTGTAACAAGAGCCTTGAAAGCATTTTTGTTTGGAGTGCTATGCAAAACCTGAATACCATAGATCAGATAAGATCAATAATATCAATGTGACCCATTGTACACAAACATAGCAGTCCCATTCTTACAGATCAATTAAAGGTTTCCATATTAAGCCATACAAATCCAAACTAATTTAAAGTGACAAAAAGGAATAATGCCAACCGATCGGCCGGCTTTGTTCTTTGAACAAAAATTTTCAACATATTTCCCAAAAATATATTACACACACTTTATTCTTATATTCTACACAATTCTCCATAAATTCTCCATATCTCACGTCTAAAAAAATATCAAGACACAAAACAAACACACCCAAATCAATTTTTATTTCGATAGCAAGCGAATATATCTGTGGCATGACAAACGAAACAAAGATTACTTTGAATCTTGTATACAGATCACAACAGAAGAAGAACATTGATTCCATTCCTTACAAAAACCCAATTAGAGAAAACTTAACAATTAAGTTCCTATTGTCTACTCTGAAATGAGCATCATATAAATCTGAAAAAAGTTTACTCACCAGAGCCATGGCTTATCGAAATCTTTAAATCTCTAAGAGACCTGAAAAACTCAATAACAAAAAAAAGGTAATCTTCAATCAACGTGAAAAATGCAGATCGAATGGATGCCGAAGAGGATTACGAGGATTTAGCAAACCTGTGCGAAGCTGAATCTGAAGCAAGAGAACACGCCGACCCCAAGTGAGAGTGAAGATTTTTTTAGGGTTTCTTCGTGGGATGATGGTTTATTATTTATAGTACATAAAGTTTAGGGGTACCGTTGTCGTGGGTAGAGAATATGGCAGATCCATCTCAAGGGCATTTGAGGGATTCCATTAGCAAAAATATATGATTTATTTTATTCTTTTTACTCGATTTCAAAATATTTGGTGCACCCATCAAATGGAGAGAGAAAGAAAAGGATAGAATCTCCTTCAAAATTTAACAAATTAGAAAACCGAAAAATAGGTAAAAAAATCAATGAACAATATAAAGAAGAAGGTGGGTTTATTTCCTGAAATTGTTGGAAGAAAAAATTATAGTGAAACATATTATAAAAGAATGATAAAATAATAAATATTTATAATGTATTAATTTATTTTTTAAAGAAAAAAATTATAGAAAGAATTTCTTCATTATGATTGTTGCCTTCCAAATGTTTTGGATTCACTCAGCCCAGCCCAGCCCAGCCCAGCCCAGAATCAAATCCTGTATCCAAAGCAGTATAGGAGGAGGAATTAATAAGAGGAAATGGGGCACTAGAGTAGAGGAGGGGTAAAAATAGGTTTTGTTTAGACAATAAATTTATTATTTAATATAATGTTTTGTAAAAATATATATATATATATATTAATATAAAAATATTTTTAAAATTATTCAAATAGTATTAGACAAAAAAAAACAATGTTTAAACAAACTAATATATTTCCCAGCAGTTGGCAACGTTGATTTCTCCTTTCTCATTCTATAGGCTATCCCAAAAATTTCATTCATGTCAAAATAAATTTACACTTACTCAATTCATGCTTATCATTGTTTGATCACTTATAAAAAAAATTTGGTGGATTCTAAATCAATCTATACCTATACACTATACGGTGACTAACTCAAGACCTCAGCCCCGTGTTTTTAGCCACTTAAACGCTTCATTCTCGAATGAATCTCAAGCAATATTTTTTAATAAGCACAACACTCTATATATCATATAATTCACTCCGCAATGGAATAATGTAATTAGATCATCATTCAGTGGTGCTGTTCAATCAAGGTTAATCTTCCGGGGGGCAATAAAATTAGTTGTTCAAAATCTACATGGAAAGGTTTTCTTTCTTAGGTTATTCTTCTAGCTCACTCTTAGCAGTGAACCCTCTAAAAATGGAGTTATATAATTGATATATACCTACAAAATGTGTATCTAATTAAATTACAAAACCAAATAACCTTTCTCTCCAGATGGCATGGCATGGCAGGATAGAAGAGAGGGTTTGTTGAAATTGTACCAAGAAGAAATATTGGCTTTGCACCTCCACCTCCACCTCCAAAATCGCGAGCCATTACCAATTTACCATAGATACATAGAGAGCGCATTCAAAGCTTTGATGTTTTGGTAACAAATTAAATTGATAATTTCTATATTGTCTGTCGTCTAAATGCCCTTTCTGCATCACATATGTAGTGTAACCTATACAAATACAATACAATACAATACAGTGATTAATGTTCCTTCGTTCTTTGGTTGTAGTTAGTACGTACAAGAGTAGAGTAGTGTCTTGTTAATTAATTGATTTACTCTCACTCTCGATCTAGCTACTTGAGTCTTGAGCAGAGCAGCTGCAACATTTAAATGTAATAATTATGTATGTTTGTATATATGAGGCAGGCGGAAGAGTGATGCTTGCTTGGTGGGCAATGGGCAACGGGCATGGCATATATACTTATGAAGAAGCTAAGGTAAATAAGTAAAGCACAGAGAAGAGAAGGAATAATAGTATTGTATTGTATTGTATTGTATCGTATCGTATCGTATCGTATTGGGCTGAGAGAGAAAGGAAAGAGAGAGAGGTGCAGAAGAGCAGTGCAGTTATTGAAAGTGAAGTTTTGAAAGCTATGTCTGGATTCAGCAGTGCAGTAGAGAGAGAGAGAGAGAGAGAGAGAGAGAGAGGAGGACCACAACACACACACATACATACATAAATACATCTGTACAGATGTCGCTCTCGGCTCCCATTTATAGGAAATTACAGTGATGCAAGTAATTCCTTGCCTAGTTGGAATAATAATACTATGAATTATTATTACCATCATATCCATTTATTTATAATAATTATTATTATTATAATTAAAGCAGAGGTTGAGGTTGAGATCTGAGACCAATTAATCAAATTACTTGTTCGTTTTCACATTTCCAAACCCTAGTTCGTGTTCCGATCCGGCATAGGCATACGGGTGGGTCACCTCACCTTTTGAATATTAAAACAACCATATCTCATTCATTCTCAACCTCTGGTGTTGAATATATCACCATCCATCCATCCATCACCTACTTCTACTTCTACTTCATCATCGAATATAATCGCGCGATTGAGATCACTTTACTTATATATGATCCATTGGCCACGAAGAAAAGACAAGTTTTAGATTCCTGAAATTTTAGAGGCCATCGTCTCTGTCTGTCTGTCTGCCTAAATATATATCTACAATTCAACTTGTACATGAATTAATTATATATAATTCCACAAAATTAATGAATTATTTATTTATGCAATAATTTAACAAGTAGAGTCGGTAGTATATCTAAATTCAACAGCTGAATTTCGTTTTAAATATGAGCGTAGAAACACATATATATTGTCGATTTCTCCGAATCAAATGATCAGTACGTACAATGAATTAATGAATCTCAAGGCTCGCTCAAGATTTCTTTAATTTTTCTTATACATGCAATGTACCCATGTATGTATGCACATTTACATTACCATTGGATTAGTTCATGTTTGGAATTGGATGGACAATCGTAATCATTGTGCTGCTAGCCCAGCCTAGCCTAGCCTAGCCTAGCCTAGCCTAGGTAGCTATATATATAATTATTGACAAGCTAAGACAGACATATCTTATTATAATTATATATATATTTCTGTTTTTGAAGTGGCAGGCAGTCCTTACAAATTAAAATGAAGTGTCTCTTAACTCTCAAAGCATCATCATATATAAATCTATGATATTATTATTATATAACATGACCCTCCACTCCAGCAACTTCAAGGGAATATGCATATTTATATACATATTTTTATCATCCTACATACATACATACATACTCACTTGAAATCAAAATATATCTTGCTATTTCTTTCTTTCTTTCTTTGTTTTTTCTTTTAATCCAGGGCGCATGCACAACCAATATATACATACATATATATGTATGTATGTATTCTCGATCTAGTGTTGTCCTTTTTCTAAAACTTCATAAAACGTGTGTCGTACATTTCAATAACTTAATTCCACTTGTACTCAATTATATTAGTTTGTTACAGACGGATCGAGTCTCTTCTCTGGTTGATCATATATATATATATATGAAGTGAGTTTACTCGGAATTGTGGACCTAAAAATGACCCCTTCATCAAACTGCATAAATGATTGTGACATAATCAAATTGTTTGCATTTTCATCTACCTGATTATGTTTTTTTATCTTTTGACCAAGGAATCCTAAGTGGGCCATTATAATTTTTTTAGCTTTTTTCTTGGGAACGATAGCCCTAACTTTCTGTGGTGGAAAATTAGACATATATATATATATATATATTTACTGGTTTCAACTATTTAGAGCATCGCAAAACTACAATTTGTACCATATTATTATTTTGATATTTTAATTTACCCTAACATTTTGCTGAAAATGAATACATGGGTGTATGGATATATATATATATATATATGCATAATATGGGATCAATTGTTGCTTTCCTTTTCACAATGGAAAACTCTCAATTAATTAACGTCCAAACCCTAATTACATATAGTTAATTAATTTCATCGGCTCTTCAAGCCTGTTCTGGTATATATAAATATATATATATATTTCTTGTTCGTAAGGGATAGTCTGGTGGTGATGTAGGCGTTGGACTTGTGACTTTTCTATCGCACCTGGTTTGCAGGGTATTAGATTTGGCCGCGGTTTACCCAGTGCATAAGGGATGGGTGATATGTTGTGGGTATGATAAATGATTCCAAATTAAGATTTAAGCAGTCCAAGCAAGTGCTATAAAGTGTCTGTGGATGAAATTAAAATAAATTGTTTATTAAGTGTAAGAAGAGATATCATGGAAACACTTTAGCCTCTAATATATGTATAAAATATCATTATTAGAAAAAAGAAGATTAATTTTAGTTTATAGAAATTACGATTCTAATTTTATAGTCCATATGCTAGTTAATTAAATATTAATTGCAAGTTAGAAAAACAAGAAGATGAATTTCTCAAGTAAATATTAATTAATTACAAGTAAGAAAAACAATATCTCATCATCAGTAGTGATGAAGTTGCTTTATTCGGTTACATTTAAAAAAGGGAAAGAAAAACACACACCCATCCACTACATAAAACATATTTTATCTCAACAAATTACATTATACACACACATTCCTTTCATTAGGATGCTGAGACTTTATGCTAATTGTTCTCATCATTATATAAAATGCTATAAATAATATAATAAACAATACATATTCTATTGTATATGTATACTGTAAATTTATATTTAATGTATTGTTTGGCATGTAATTATATCCTATACGGTGACATATATATATATATATGTACATTCATCCACAAGGAACACAATTCATTCATTGGATAGGGTAACTGAAGCAATCCCTTTGTATAGTCATATTTCAAACAAATAATTAACAGGCATTTCAACAAGTAATGGGAGAGAGAGAGAGAGAGCTAAAGCTAAGGGTCTCCTCACCCTCCTCTCATGAAGTGCACCAAACCCTAATCATATGCAATTGTGGTCAAAACAATGAAAAATACTTCACTTCACCCCTAATTTATATGATATCGTCATTACTGTGCATACAGTAACTGGAATATATATATATATATACACATACACACATACATCGATGTCTGGGTGTGGTAACATTATCCCTGAACAAATTAAAATGAAATTTTAGTCTAGTAAAATTTGATATATATATATATATATATAATGAATAAAAGGTTAGCTAGCTAGCTAGCTAGTTAGGGGCATTGCTGTTTATGGGAAGCAGAGTGTCACAGCAGTGCTCCTAATAATCACTATCCCAAAAGCTCACGCTTGGTTTAAATCTGGTAAACATGTCATTTTCTTACAGCTCTCTCTCTCTCTCTCTCTCTCTCTCTCAATACGTACATGTATGTATGGGTGTATGTATGTATGCATAGACACACGTATATGCCAAGTCTATACTCCAATGCACTATATGCTGGCTGGGATTAATTAATTCATTAATTAATGTACAAAGAAAGAAAGACGTACATGTAATATATGAGAGAGGGCAGCTAGCTAGCTAGCTAGCTACGGCATAAAATATACACATACATCTACATCTACATCTATATCTATATCTATATGGCTGTGTGTGTATAACATGATATGGTTGATTGAATATATGAGAGAGGTGAGGTGAGGTGAGGTGCCTGTGGCTGGCTGATGAGTTGAAGTATTATTATTATAAAGGCAAACCCCAACCTTTGAAGGGTTTCTTGGGAATTCGTGTTGCTTTCCGGGAAAGGGTTTCTACTCGCCGGAAAATAGCAATCTTTTCCGAAGAAGCCAGGTTCGTGTGTCATACTGAGCGCCCGATCCACTCAAATTAATCAATTCATTTTGGAAACGTCGCCTATTTATTATAGAGCTTAATTTGCCTTGCTTTAATTTGATTTGATTTGATTTTCCAATTTTAATTTTTGTTTTCTTCTCCCCCCCATGCATTTGGGCGCAGTTCCATCTCTAATCTCTTAATGTTTTCAATTTTTAGCTAATTTTCCTATATTCATCCCGCTTGGATCTGCTGCTATTTGCGTCTCTCTCATAAAATCAAATCTTGTTTTTGAACTTTGATCTCAGAAATTTCTCATTTTCGCTTGATTAATTTTTCTGTTTCCTAGTTTTTGTCCTTCTCTGACAGGAAGGTGTCTCTTCCCGATAAAATGCTTCAAAGTTCAAATCCTTTCTTCAATATGAAGAGCTCACCATACTGAAAACAATTATTATAATAATAATTACAGCTGAACTTGTTCTTGTTCGATAGAAGAAGCTCATGGATTCTTTCAGAGCTACCGCAGTTCATCTTTTTTCTGTGATGGATTATTTGGTTTTCAACGACGGTCTCCCAAATTTTACTCTTTTCTTCCCACTGATGTTTTCAAACCCTTGTTTCTTCTCCTCTCAATAAATTTCATCTTGTTTTCAGTTTCTTATCAATTAGAAATCTTCTTTTCCTTCTTCTCCTCCTTCATTTTGTAGACAATCTCACAGCCTTCTTCATGTACTTTCAGTTTTGTGTTTGACAAGTACAGAAATTCGTTTCTCTTATGCAGAATTGTCCAGCCCTATTAATTATTTATAAGTGTCTGCAACTTCCAAACGCGGTGGGAACTTCTTTTTTCTTCTTCCCATGTATGTGCAAAGAATGGTTTTCAGCAGTTGGTTTTCCCATATTTTCTCATTTAAAGACGACAAGCTAAGATCTGAGCAATTATTAATTAGATTATTTGTTGGCGTCGAAGTTATGCCAGATATGACACCAAACATATATATTTCTAACCACCAAAAAATTTCGTTTTGAAGGACTACGCTATATAAGCCAGGAAGATAGGGTTTGGAACTGCCAAGATGGGAAGAGGGAAAATCGAGATCAAGCGGATCGAGAACAACACAAATCGACAGGTAACGTTTTGCAAGAGAAGAAATGGGCTGTTGAAGAAGGCCTATGAGCTCTCAGTTCTGTGTGATGCAGAAGTTGCACTCATTGTCTTCTCCAGCCGAGGCCGTGTCTATGAATATGCCAACAACAAGTAAATCTTCTCCACCTCATTACTGATCCTAATTTCATTCAAATTAATTAAGTTTAATTCTTCTGGATGTCTTATATATAGATATAGATATATAAGCTAGCATAATAATCTCATTATTCATAGCTGTGGATATTAGTATTATATATGTAATGTCAAGCTAGATTGGTAGGATCTGCAGAACATGTTTATGAGAGAAAACTAAAAGATATATATAGTGAAGTTTCATTGAATATCTAAGTGGCTAGTAAAGCTTGCTCTTGGCCTCTGTGTGTGTATTATCCATCTGTGCATACATATATGAATTAATACTGATTACTGCAAAACCTAATTTCTTAGTGGGCTACCTAGGTTAATCTTGATCTTGATTCATTGTTTAGAGAATTTTAAGAGCTAGTACTGACAAATTACAATGTTTAAGGATACATGCATATATGCGAGCATGTGTGTATTTATTTATACATGCCATTTGTGTGTAACATATTAAATGTTTAGAAAAATGTAGTATATGCTAACAGTACGAAAAGTGCCACACACATACAACATATATAGTAAATTAAAGGACCTGTTGCAGCCACACCATATGATGTTAGAATGGACACAGTTATTTAGAACAGCAGTGAAAAGATCAGCAGACTCTGATTCTTTCACAAATTTGTTGCTTGAGACTTGCAGTTGGCTTTGATGTGCGGGTTTCCAATGTTATCCTATTCTGCATTATATAATGCTTCTCAATCTTCAGTTCATGATTTCAAACAGACAGTCCTTCCTTCCCCACCCTACGCTACCCTGCTGCCCCCCCTGTGGCCTTTTTTCAAGACGAGAGTTAAATTTGTTAAACATTCATTTGTGTCTTGGATTCTTTCTATTTCCAATTCTATATAAATAGGATGCCAAAGGTACAAAAGGACTGTATAAAAATATCAAGCAAAATGCGAACTTTTCTTTAGGAAAAAAAAAAAAAAAAAATTGAGATAAAACTTGAAACTGCTGTTTACATACATATATATATATATATATGTCGTGTGTTCGTGTGTGTTGAGGGTGTAAATTTAGGGTTTCTTTTCCGGATGTGATTTGCATGTATGTATCTATAGAGCTGAATTTATGATTATTTAGTTTTATTTATGGATATTGTGCAGCATTAGAACAACCATAGACAGGTACAAAAAGGCTACAGCAGAAAGTTCCAACGCATACACTACCCAAGAGATCAACGCTCAGGTAATAATTATGTAATTAAACACATTGCATGGGCATGGCACCCTATTGATTGTTATATATACATACATATATAGAATTAATAAAGAAGTTGGCAAGAACACTACTTAAGCACATTGCATAAACAAGCTATATATCCTTCGTTTTCAAATAATTAATTAATGGTGGGATATATTGAATGTAGTTTTATCAGCAAGAGTCAAAGAAGCTGCGTCAGCAGATTCAGATGCTCCAGAACTCCAACAGGTAGTCAATATTAATTAATTACTATATTCTTAATTAGCTAGCTAGGTCATATGATATGTATACCAATTGAAGTTAAGAAAGAATATCATTCATTAATTAGTTCATTGAAATGAAATGAAGAGATGGATGGATGTAGTGACGACGTGCTTGTGTTTGTTGGGAGGAAAATCTATAAGTATGGTATCAATAAATAAGTAATTAGTGTGGTCAGGTTTGTATTGTATTGTATTATATTATATGTAGTATATTACAATGCAGGCATCTGATAGGTGAGGGGTTGAGCTCTCTAACTGTGAAGGAGCTGAAGCAGCTGGAGACGAGGCTCGAGAGAGGGATCGCAAGAATCCGGGGCAAGAAGGTATGTGTGTGTGTGTATGTCTCTAAGGAATTCCAATTTAGTCCACCATATCCATGATCGATCATGGTATCTTTTCTTTTAATTCATTGTTTGTGTTTCGTCCTACTGACAGCATGAAATGATACTTGCGGAGACTGAGAACATGCAGAAGAGGGTGATATTCTTAATGATTAAACTGGTTTCATTGATTAGTTGGGCATGAATATAAGTTGCAAATAATACGTATGTATGTATGTAATCATATGGTCGGACAGGAAATTCAGCTGGAGCAGGAAAACGCCTGCCTCCGAGCAAAGGTAATTACTTACTTGATAGAGTTATAAGATGATTAATAATTAATAATTGTACGTATATATGATGTGTGCAATCCCGATGGATGGGAATGTCAGATACAGGAAAGCGAGAAGCTGCAGCAGCTGAGCATGATGCCGGGTGCAGGAGGGGGGCAGGACTTTGCATTTCAGGCTTATTTGGCCCGCAACATGCTCCAACTCAACATGATGGACCACGATCAGGCAGCCGCCGCCGCCGCCGTAGAAGTAGAACAGCACCACCACCACCACCATCATCATCATCATCAGGAAGAAGATCCCTACGCTGTTTCTCACGACAAGAAGCAGCAGCAGCAGCACCACGCACTCCATCTTGGGTATGTCATCTTTAGCTCTCTACACCTACCTACCTGCATGCATGCTAATTAGTTAATGATCGATGTCCGTCCTGGTGATAGATAGGTTTCTCTCTCTCTCTCTCTCTCTCTCTGTTCACCGTGATCGATATCAATATATAACTGTTGCAGATAATCAGTTTGCCGCGCGCCCGCCGTCCCAGAGAAATTAAAGACGACCTATCTATCTATCTATCTATCTATGTCTGCTATATAGCTTGGTAACTAAAGATAATATATGAACATCCTAATTAATTATCTCAACTATTATGATCTACAGATACATATATAGCTAGACGATACATATTAGTGTTTGTTTAACAATTCCCTTAATTCCTAGCATTACTTACTAATTACTGTGGCTGGCTTCTCAAGGGACCCCAAATCCATGCACGCTGTCGTTTATGTTTTATATACATTAACTATACATATTCTGGAGTATTATTTTCTCTATTCTGCATGCCTTCATCTAATTTTTTCAATTCTGCATACCCAATTTGGATCACAACACACACACACACACATCCATTCGTACGTAATTAGCTATACATAGACGATATGTGGATTTGATTGATTGATTGATTGATAGACAACAAGAAAAAACTCAGCCAGGTGACGAGTTGATATGATGATGATGATGATGATGATGCTATGAAAGGAATCAATCCCTCAAGCTCAAAACCCAATGCCAATAATTCTAGCTACAGCTATATGTATATATATATATATATTGATTGGAATCATCAACCTATATTTTACTACTGTGGAGGAGGGGGAGTGATATAACATATCATAGTGGTAATTATATCAATTAATTTATTTGTGCTAGTAACAGCCTTAGCTTACTTAATTTATAACCAGACTCATCTTAATTAATTATAAGTTGATGATTTGTCCAATAATCTTTATATTGGTTAATAACATAAATTCAATGTCTAATATATATGTTTATAAATGTAACAGTGGTAGGGTACTGATTAATATATAATGACATATTGTTTTCTCGTGGAGTCCTTATCTTAATTTAGTGATATTTTGTTAAAAATGACAAAAATATATCATTCAAAATTTAACGTACTTGTACTTTTTTTTAAAAATATATATATATATATATATACTGTCAAATCTAGCTACATCGTACCGTGATTTCAATCAAAATGATGTGATCTAACACAATAATGTAGCTAGCCTAGGCCTAGCCACAACCATAGGAGTATTAATTAAATTGGGCTTACTGTGCGTTTGGTATGAATAAATTACTATTAATTACTCCCTCTGTCTAATTGTTCATTTATTTTTGTCTTTTCTATATAATTTATTTTTTTTCGTTTTTTTGAAATATAATTATATATTTTAATTTAATTTTAAATTTTATAATTTTAAAATTTTAATTAAAGTATAAAATAATTATTTTTATTAATGTACTTTATAATTATTCATTAATTACATTTTATTTAAATTATCGTATTTATCCTAACAAGCAGATATTATACGGGACAGAGGGAAGGGAGTAATATGCAATCTTTATCAAGAGAAAATTAAGTGCGCTATGTTTATTTGGCCGAACGTTATAATATACTATAGCCCTATATGTCTGCGCATTGTCTTTATTTTACAAATTGCGTGTAAATCAAGGTATTTTATTAAAAGAAATCCCATTTAATAACAAGAAGCCCTGCCTTCGATTCCACCAAGTCTCGAAATTGTTAATTAAAAGATCCTCGGGAGAAAGAAAAAAAAAGCCCCACCAATTCTTCGTCAAATCCCAAATTCAATGAAGAAGAAAGCCGAGACGGAAATTCACGCAAATTTCTTAATTATAAATTCGATCTGCAACCTTGATGTATAGCTAATAATGAAATGCTATAGAAATATTCTTGAGATTAATGTTATTATTATTAGTAGTAGTAGTAGTAGTACGCAAGGGAGGGTCTACCACGTGCGTGATTCCATGATTATGGTACGCACTGACACAATAAGCAGCGTATATGCACGTGTAAATTGCAAATTCAGCAGTGTAGTGTAGCCTAGCTATCATTCAACGATTCCGTCCGTGTGTTGACCTGAGCGCTCGTGCCGTGCCGTGAGTGCGTATAAATAAATGGAAAGCAACGTAGAAGGAGATGCCCAAGTCCAACAACGCAACGCATATATACATACATATATCTCCCGCACGCCGTCCAATGGGGAGGGGGAGCCAGATCACCGGGGGCGGGGAGAGGAAGCTCAGGCTGTTGTGCCTCCATGGCTTCCGAACCAGCGGCGAAATCATCAAGAAACAGGTCACCGGAAAATGGCCCGACTCCGTGCTTCAGAAACTAGATCTTGTTTTTGTGGACGCCCCCTTTCCGTCCCAGGGGAAATCCGATGTTGAGGGAATATTCGATCCTCCCTATTACGAGTGGTTCCAATTCAACAAGGTAGGTTTAATTTGATTGAGACCTTCTTCTTCTTGCTTATGCGCTTATGCATGTGTTTTTGGTTCTCTGTTCAGGAATTCACTGAATACCAGAATCTTGATCAGTGTTTGGCTTACATAGAAGATTGCATGATAAAGAACGGCCCATTTGATGGTCTTCTTGGCTTTTCACAGGTTGGATTTATCCTCTCATGAATTAATGATCAGATTTAGGATGCTAGTACCTTTTCTGCTAGTCCAGATTGTTTGATTGATTAAATTTTCAAGTCTGTGTTTTCATAGCATGTTGCTGTATTTTTAAATCAATTTAATCGCTAGCTACTTCCAATATATACCTACCTCTTCTTCCCCTTCACATCACAGGTCATTTATTCATTAGCTGGCTGATCCATTTTTCATTCATAAACTAAATTTAATGTAATGATCTGATTTGGGATTTGTATATGATTTTGAGTGAAGGGGGCAATTTTATCAGCTGGGATTGCTGGATTACAAGCGAATGTAAGTGGCGCTGAAATTATAGTATCCTTGATTGCTGCTGTTGTTGTTGTTGATTGTTGCCTGCAATATTATAGTATGATTTGACATGAGATGGATGATGATTGGACTTGGTGGTGGTGCACTGCAGGGAGTGGCTCTAACTAAGGTACCAAAGATAAAAGTGTTGGTGATAATCGGGGGAGCAAAATTCAGGGCGCCCTCTGTGGTTGAGAAGGCATATTCGTCGCCAATTCGATGCGCTTCTGTGCACTTCTTAGGTAGGTGATAATCCCAATGCAATGCTACTTTCTTGCTGTCCGTTTACTACTTGTCACAATATTTCCTGTGTTGAATGCCTGCCTGCCAAATGCTAGTACTATTAACTACTGGTAATAATAACTCTTGGTCTTGGGTGGTGCTGCTGCTGCTGCTTGTCATTTAATTTCATTGGGTGTCCTAGTCCTAGTCCTAGTCCTTGTGTAGGGGATTGATTGATTAACTGACCTAGTTGCAGCTTCAGATTTTATTTGAAACCAAACAAATTCTATAAATAAATGAATGTCTCTCGGTTCATTAAGCTTTGGGGGGACTCAAGTCGGTCATGTGTGGTGTGACAGACAAGACAAGTGTGGCACAGCATAGCATAGCATAGCATAGCATGGGTAGCAGTAACAATGCTATATTTATATATAAACATCATTTTATCTGTGAGACCTGATACATACATACAATTACAAACAAAATAACAAACAGGAGATCAAGACTTCTTGAAGCAGTATGGCACACAACTCCTAGAATCTTTTGTGGATCCCCTCGTCATTCGGCATCCCAAGGGCCATACAATCCCGCGATTTGGTACGTGATATTGATCCATTACCTGCCTGCTACTTCCACTTTCTTGCATCATCATCATCATCATCATTCATTATCAATATATCATGTGGCATGGAATTATGGAAATTAATTAATCAATTGGATGTTGTTTGTTTGCCTGTCCTGTGTTGTGTGCTGTCCAGACGAGAAGGGGTTGGAGAGCATGCTTGGGTTCATCCAAAGGGTGCAAGCGGATATTCTTGCCCAGGAGAAAGAACAAGAAAAAGAGAAAGAGGAGGAACAACAACAGATGTTTTTGGCAGCAGCAGATTAATTAAATTGTTTCCTACCATTCCATTTTGGAATTTACTACTACTAGTATTTATTTATTTGGTTGTTTAGATGAAGATATGATACGATATGTTTCGACTTTCAAAAGAATATTTGCAGAATTCAATTATGTTTATATAGCAGCAGATTTTGGTGCCCCAAATATCAATTTTGGGAAATGCGCCACGACTGGACGAAGATGTGTAGCTTTTATATGCTGACCCGTTTAATCTATATCTGTCTATCTACCTGTGTCAGGAGGAGGAGGGGGAGGAGGAGGAGATTTCATCAAACGTCACGTCACCCTCACGCCCAAATTACGATTTTATATTTTATTAATAATAATAATGGAGTACTAACATGGTGATGATTAGTGGAGCAAGTAAATAAATTCGAAATAGTACCTGCACAGACCAGACCAGACCAGGCCTGAGTGGTAGTTGGGGTTGGGATTAGGATTATGATTAAGGGCATGGGAGGGAAGGCTCATCAGTACAGTACAGTACAGTACAGCTTGCTTATTGGAAATTAATTACCCTTTGACCGAGAATCCCATCAATCATATTCATACACTCACCAATACCAATACAGATATCGAGCACTGTAGCTAAGCTAGCTCTAACAAACCAGAGGGAGGGGAGGCTCGCTGGCCTGGCTGGCTGGCTGGCTGGCTGGCAGGGTTGAAAATAGAAGACACAAGGGAAGGGCTGGTTCCATAAAAAATTAATTCGATCCTGTTGGAGGAGGAGGAGGATAAGATGAGATGAGCAGCAGAGAGAGAAAACATTTCGTCAAATCAGAGGTGGAATCCATGAGTGAGTATATGTCGCCTCTCCCTCTCTCCCTCTTTTCCTGCTCTGCGTGTGTCTTCAGTGCTTCTTCCATTTGAGGTTAATAGCTGAAGGGTATAAAAATATATACGTTGAAAAGCAGCGCATTAAATTGGTTGCTTACATTTGCAGTTGAGCTGGTTTTGTTGTATTGTGAGTGGTGTTTGTTCCCACACAGCCTTCCTCCTTTTTCTCCATATTTTCGTGCCCACGATTAATAAATTTATTCACATCCTCTGTCTGTAACCACCCACCCCTTCTCCACCACCACCGCCTCTCTCTCCTACACCCCCCAAATCTGATTTGCGACTGAAAATCGAGTCTTTTGTGGGTGAAGTAAAGATGGGGAATAAGTTCATCTGCATGACTAAGAAGGATACCAAGAATGGTGGGATTGGATCAAGGAGTAAAAGGGGCGGTTCAATGTCAAGGAGGAGGACTTCCCTGGAAGAAGAGCTTCTGCACAAACAAGCACTGGCTATGGCAATTCAGCAGCATCAGCTTTCCCAGAGATTTGACAACGGTTCCATGTCTCGGAGGATTGGATCCACCTCCTCCCGCCGCCGCAACACTGGTTTATTAGACCCTTTGCATAGTACCGGTGATAACACCAAACAGGTGGAGTTTTCACACTTTACTTATTTATTTATTTATTGTTTTTTAAATCGATTTCCCTTTCTGATGTTGGTGGTGGTGCCTTTAATTCTTGTGGAGATGGCTTCATCGGTTTTTGTTTTCAACTTGGTGCTTCTGTTGGGATTGCAGAATTGGATCTACAGACGAAAAGGTTGTGGTGGTTAATTATAATTTTTTTTTGCTCTGTATGTGTGTGTGTGGGGTGGGGTGGGGAAAGGTAGGATTGCTGTTTGTTCATTAGTGTTTTAGATAGTGCTGCGACTTGATGAAAAGTGTAATTGAGCTTCATGATGCTGGTGAAAAGGTGAGGAATAAACAAAGTTGTTTAGGGCTTTTTTCTGAAGGAAAGTGAAAAGAAGCTCTTTTTCAGAGACAGTGAGGGGTCCATTTTATGCAAGCAACGAAATGAGCCTTTGTGCAGAGATGGTTGGATTTTGTATTGGCTTTCGTGTGAAGTCAAAGAAGATGAAGCACAAAGAGATAATCCTACACACCACCACACCACCACACACATACGATTCACAATCTCTTGGACTTAGCAGGCTGAAAAGGATTTCTGTAAGCAACGAAACATAGAGAATCCAACAATTCGATTCGACACATGATGAATATGTTGAAAGTTCACCTCAAAGCTGAATTCAGTAAGAAGCACACTTGGATGAGAGTATTGATTACGATGGAGGATCTGTTTCTTTGCTTTTAAATTTATGCAATTACTGTTAAGCTGTCTCTTCTGTTAATGAAGCATTCCTGTTTTATAGTTGCCAGAATTTCTGGAGAGCATCAAAACAAAGAAATTTGTGTTGGTTCACGGCGAAGGATTTGGGGCTTGGTGTTGGTATAAAAGTATTGCTCTACTTGAAGAATCAGGATTACATCCAGTTGCCTTGGATCTAGCTGGATCTGGCATTGACCTAACAGATACGAAAAATATCACAACATTGGCAGAGTATTCGAAACCATTGATTGATTATCTGCAGAAATTACCCGAGGATGACAAGGTAAGGAAATGGTTGGCATTTGTGTAAACTATCTTTCGTGTTTATCTGTCTGATCCTTGTCTCTCCAGGTAATCTTGGTTGGTCATAGTAGCGGAGGAGCTTGCATTTCCTATGCTTTGGAGCAACTCCCTCAAAAGATCTCAAAGGCTGTTTACCTCTGTGCTACTATGATAACTGATGGGCAGAAGCCCTTTGATGTTTTTGACCAAGAGGTGCGTGTACTATTCAGATATTTCTTCTCTTTAGAAAGAATAGATCTTATGGCCATGCCAAGCATATCTTTGATCAATAGACTAAGAAACTGTTTACATTCGACCACATGAGAGTTGCTAGAGAATTATTGGTATCTATTCTGAGAAATGACTCCAATCTGACCTGTCTGCATATGTAAGGAAGGTTGTCCTCTTTTAAAGCCTATACACATCCATCGGGTCTACCCAAATGGGAGCACATATAACCTCTCTTGTTTTTATGTGACAATATTAGTCTCTTGTTGCAGCTTGGTTCTGCAGAACTTTTCTCATCTGATTCTAAATTTCTGGTCTACGGCAATGGGAAGGACAACCCCCCAACAGGATTCATGTTTGAGAAGCAGCATCTGCATGGATTATACTTCAATCAATCTCCGACTAAGGTACCCTGAGAAACTAAACTAAAATGTGCATTGATTTCTACAGCTTGCAGATGTCCTTCCCGTCAATCTTCATATAGGGAGCACCATCGCCCTTCTTTGTATTATTCACAGCCTGCTAATTTTATGGTAATGTTGTTGCTGCTGATGCATTGGTACTTCAATTCCAGGATGTTGCTTTAGCAGCGGTCTCTATGAGACCTTTCCCTCTCGCTCCAATGATGGAGAAACTGTCGCTATCTGAAGAAAAACACGGATCTGGCAGGCGATTCTACATTCAGACGCTTGATGACCATGCGCTGTCGCCAGATGTCCAAGAAAAGCTTGTGAGGGAAAACCCACCGGAAGGAGTCTTCAAGATAAAAGGCAGTGACCATTGCCCTTTCTTCTCAAAGCCTCAGTCATTACATAAAATTTTGCTTGAAATAGCTCAAATTCCCTAGCTAACCAGCAGCATTGCACACCTCTTCTATGAAGATTTCCGGTGAATTATTTGCTGTAGTTAGGATGTATAATATCCTTATGCACTTGGCCGTACAATATACAGAAATTGGGGTAATCTAAGTATTTATTTTATTTGGCAGTTCTATCTTTCACATATCTTTCTGGCACTTCCGTTTGGCCTCATTTGGTTCCTAGGACATCAGTAAAATCTTTGGTGGCTATCTATCTGCCTACAAAAGATGATTAAAAGAAAACAACTGCCGAATGCCCCCCACTTCAGCTACTCTCCACGCTCTTGTAACAAAAGAACAAAGAAGATTGCTTTATTTACACAAAAAACAACTCACAGGGTGTGGGGAACGACTGTACAATGTATTTTTCGATCACATGCATCTGTCATACTACACTTACAATTTACAAATGCTCGAATGGGAATGAATTCTTGTCCTCAAGACCCCCCTTGTGAATCTCAACTTTACAACGAATGCTCTGCAAAGAATCCTGTCAATGTTGAGCACCTCCCTGCCGATCCAGTAAAACTGCTCTATATATAGCAGCAATATGCATGAAGCTTATAAACAAGACAAACATATCATCCATAAAACCAAATATTCCTAGCAGCCCTGCACATGGAGAAATTGTGCTAAGCGTTGGTTGAAATCTACAGACAAAGAAGAGTATAGAAGAAAGAATATTAGAATCTAGACAGCACCATCGGGAATTATATCCAGTGGATAAAGGAAATATGCTGCAGTAGCAAACACCTGCATTGTTGTTGGAACACAAAATCAAATAATCAGCTTGGTACTTCCCATATTTATGTTCCTAAATAGGACTGTAGTCATTTATGGGTTACTTTGCAATGAAATAGTTGAATACATAGTAGTAGGACGTGCCGGAAAAAACTAAATGTCATCACAATTAAGCTAAGAAGAATAAGTGATCATGGCCCTAGAGTGTCCTCAACTAATACAGCGAGCAGGGTGGACAAATATGACAAGAAAGGGTATGATGCTTTGATGAATATGTGAAGGGAATGAAAACTTAACTGCCAAATAAACTCGTGCCCTGATGGCAAGTGGAAGTGATCTGCGGGAATCCATTATGTCTCGCAACAACCGCTTAAGCAGAAATGGAAGCTCTTGCATTCTCTGTAAACAAGAAGATTTATGATGTAATTGTTAAGAGCAAACTTTCTCAGATACGGAAACCATAAAGAACAAGCACATTACCAAAGAAGAAACATGCTTTCATACTTAGCGGCACATTACCAATAGTTACCTGGCGCCCTATGATTTCCTCAGTAAGAGTCCACACTTGAAAAGAAGCATTATAACAGAGACTTAACTTTTCTACTTATGGATGGTAATTCTAATTTTGTTAGATAAAGATGTTCAAAAGGAAAGATGAAAATGCAGACATAGTGCTCTAGCAAATGGCACACAGCCTATACAACCATTAAGGAGCGAATCAGAGTGATTATAACTTAGTAACCTGCATGAGACCACTTGGGAAGCCACTATACAGACGGTTATATCTCTCTATTCTCTCCAAAATATCAGCAACATCAGCCGAATGGTGCTGCCTTGATGATGCTCCACTAGGAACCAGTAAGCTAATCTCCCTTCTGCACAAGGGGCATTTACAAGGGTGAAGAGCATCCCCATGATCCCAAAGTTGTAGCATACAGCTACCTGAAACGAACAGCATATCGCGTATTACAGAACTACCCTAGAGCTAAATAAGAAGATTTCCGTGCTATATGATTTCACATCTTAGAAGGAAATAATTGAAGGGGCAAAAACTCAGCCCTGATTCCTTAATCAAGAAAGCATTTTTACTTGTAATGGCACCAAGTTCTTGAACAAGATAGCAAATGTAAACTCAATGCCTAGCGCCATTATCTGCAAGATGAATGCTATATTAATCTTAACAACCAAAGACCATAATTTATACCAAAAAATACATTTCGTTCGTATAACTTGCAAGATGAGAACACCAAGGATATCCAACAAGTGAAGAACTCTGGGCAACCCAATGGCAATAAATGAAAAAATATACAAACCAAAACCAACAGAAGAACCACAATCTTTCCAATATCTCTAGTCTCATGCAAGTAAATCACCATTAAGAATCTACAATCATAAATCATCTTTCAGAAAAAGGTCACTGATTTCAAATGCACAGCACACAGAATTCCGCCACCCGAATGATCATAGCGTGAGTACGTACCGCAGAACCAATGGCTGCAATTAGCTTGGCATGGAATTCGAAAATTGTTATGGCATATGGAACAGACATCAATCTCCGGTGGCCCATCCATTTTCTCCCAATCAAGAACCCAGTGAATTTCGCTTATTTTCCGTTTCTCAACGGATCAACTGCTACTGTACCATTATAACTAGGGGCTGGGATTTTGGGTTCCGACCCTCGCCCCTCGAGTTACATACTCGACAAGGTTTGGAATTGGATGCGCTGCCAACGCCTTGGGGCTTAGCGAGACAATTTAATGAATTTCAGGGGGGGTGTGTAGCACCATTTAGATATATATGGTGGAGTTTGCGGAAAATAACTACACATAGAAGGGCCACATTGCAAATTCGTTAAGAGGAAGGAAGTTGAAGAGTCGCACGGCATCGTTAAACTGTAGTAGGCTGGGTGAGGGTGAGGGTGAGGGTGAGGGTGACTGGCGCGGGCTCAGACTCAGACTCAGGCTCAGGAGCGAGCGGCATGGCATGGGATACATTTATGAAGATGAATAGTTGGCCACTGTAACAAGGCAAAGACTCCCGGTGAGATTATTGATACTACCTGCCTTAATGATTACTCAAATCCCCATGCCATCGACATTAAATTCTTTAGTAACCCCTTCATTATGTATTGCCCATCCACCAACCTTCTCATTTTCTCCGCCTATCACTTCCTCGTTACCGTTCACATTGCCCTCGCCCTCTAGACGCCGCTGTTTCCGTTTTCAGGCGTCATCTTCTTTAGTTGTCCCGCTTCTTCCCGTCTCAATCCATCAGGTGATTTGCTTTTGCGTCTGTTTCTTCTCCTATTTATTTATTTCTTATTGTTTGGGTTATGGATTCTAAATCTGAAAAGTTTTATTTCGACGAAGTGTTGATACCCTCCATTTTGTGGTTAATGACCTGTGTTTGTGTTGGTCGAAAATATCAGGTGTTATTTATATCTTTATTATGGTGTTTAACCACATGGATTGTAGGGGCTTTTTGAATGAATACAAATGAAAACGGCATGGAATTAGATGTAATATGACCATCAGAAATCGGATGGGTTTGTTGGGTATATATCGATTAACAAGGATAAAGGAGCATAAAAAGCTTGTCTTCATGCTAGAGTTTTGTCACTCGAGAAACATCTTGCTCTATCTCACGCTTGATGCCAATTTCAAAAGTAGGGCACTCTTGGATTCACGTATACCAGGCTGTAAATTAACGTAGCTTAATTTAACCTTGCCCTTGGGACACATTCCTATGGAATGTAGAAGCGGATACCTTTTCTTCGGATCATAAATTGCCTCATTTCCTGGTTATTTAATATTATGTGTTGTTTGTTGTTTAGGTGCTTATTCCATCCGAGGCTAAAACTCTTCATCTATATGAAGCAAGGTATATAGCATTGCTGGAGGAGGTATGGAAAGATGTGATTGAAGTTCTGGTCAATGGTTATAATGAATAGTGATGTCACAGTGCCCTTTAAAGATAGTCCAAGTTTCAATTTATTTGCAGTCAGTCTTTCCATTTAAATAATGAGAGTTACAGGGGCTAAATAGTACATACCTTGCTTTTGGATAATTTAGAGATGGTTCTACATTAAATCTGGCCTACTGCAGACTTTGCTTGTATAAGATATGAGGGAATGATGGATTTAATTTTTCTTTTGTTTTTTTTTAATGCAGCTGTTACTTAAAAAGGACAAGTTGCTGGTGCATTTTGTGTTGGATCAAATTGATTTTAGAAGTACATCAGTGGAAGCATCATTTGTTGCTAACTATGGTTGTTTGGCCATAATAGAGAAAGTGAGATTCTGTTCTGTAACTTCTTTGTCATAATTAGGTTATAAAATTCCCTAATATATCATGTGCATGCAGGTTGAACATCGAGATGTTGGAGCATTAATCTCCTTAAGGGGTGTAGGACGAGTAAAAATATTACATATTTGTCAGGTGAGTGATCATGAACATTGCTGTTCTTTAAATAATTCTTGTTCGTTATCCTGCTCATTTCCTCTTCAAATATTTGTGTGGACCTTAGCTTATATTTTTAGAAGTTACTTATTGTGGCAATATAATAGGATTTCTCATATTTTTTTGGTAGTGAACTAAAAGTGGGAATATTAAAAACATCTACTTAAATTCATAGGAATATTGGAAATGCATTACTGTGTTGGGTTACATTCTTTGTTGACATGAGATAATTTTGGGTTTTGGTCTATGTTAAAGCACATGGTGGTTCGAAAGTAGTTATTTGATTAAGGCGGTTGTCTCGAGAATTAAAGGGATTGCAAACACACAGATGGAAACAACAATAAGTGTTGTATACCTAAAATTCACCTTGCTTTTTTTGAGTTCTTATTTCTAATTGGCACGGGTGTTTATGACTTGTTACCTAAAGTATCAGATTATAGATATGTTTCTACGTGATATATGTTGAATCTTGTTAGACTCGTGTTATGCATCTCTTGCATGATATAGAAATATTATGTAACAACACTTGGAGCAAAATCAGAATTTGAGGCGGTAGAATGGTTGGATTGGGGTACAACCTTTGGCATCTTTAAATCCTCTCTTTCAATTATTGTGAAATATTTGTTAGATTGAGGCTTGTGAAGGGTAAATGCAACAAAAATTCACATTCTTTGTTTCAAGTATTATTCTTAGGGCTCATAAAATTATTTATTAAGGTAATGGAATTTGTTTGTATATAGAGTTATTTTGGCCACATTGTTTAGTGGATCATTATTGAACCTACTTCCAATAATGATGCATGCTAGATAAATACACCTTGCATTGTAAAAAACCACTCAACTGGGCTTTGTCTATGCATTAATGCAACTAGGATTGGGGTTTGTAAAAGTTGGTCAATAATGATAGTAAACTCTAACATTCAATGTAGGTAGTACTAGCATAAATGTTCATCGCATATATATTATCTTGCCTGCTGTGTTTATTCTTTCCTTGAACTTATGGTAAATTACGTAAGCTTGAACTTTGATTGCCTTTTGTAGCTTTATTAATTTTTACCATGGTTCGGGCAAAAATCCGATATGAGTTAATTGCTGATGAACGTACAAGACGAGAGACCTTCAGAAAGAGGAAGTCGGGTCTATTCAAAAAATTGGATGAGCTGCAAACACTCTGCAATGTCGAAGTCTGTGGGATAGTCATTAATGGAGATGGAACTCAATCAGATGTTTGGCCTTCACCTCAAGAGGCATACCGAATAGTTGAAAAGTTCAACAATTTGTCTTCTTCCCAGTCTAACAACACAGTAGATCAGACTGGGTTTCTTAGGCAAAATTTGTCTAGGATATCCAAAAATTTGGACAAAGAGGTTAAAAAAGTTGAGTCTTTAGAGAAGGAGCTATTCATATCTGAGTCTATAGCCAAAGAAGAGGTGAATTTGAGCAATTCAAGTGCATTACGTGAAATGCTCAGTGTATTGGAGAAGAAGATTAGACTGGTTGATCGGAGGATTGCCAGTATCGAATCCTCTTCTTCAAATAGGGTTTTAAGTGCACAAGAGCACAACAACTACCCTTGTCATGGAAAGGGAAAGCAACCCATTTGAAGATTCACTTTAGAGCCCGTTGTTCGTTTAAGTTATTACTGGGTAAGTCTTTGTTTTTGAATTTTATAGATACAAATATTTGAACTCGTGATACTTATCTCATTCTCTTATATGCATTATTTTTCTTCTTTCTTCTTTTCTTTTTTATATTTTAATATCATATGTTACTAACTTAAACATATATTTTTTATATTCAAAATTGTGTCAAGTGTTGCTCAATTTTATCTATTATATATATATATATATTTCATATGAGCTTACAAATAGATTAGAATATGGTATACATTATAAAGGCACATTTCTAATTCAAAATTTTAGTTATTAGAATTTTTCATGGTTTATTTCCTTTGTGATTGTTTTTTTCCTCCATTTTATGGTTTTGTTGTTTCTTGGGGTAAAAATAGTTGTTGGATGTAGTTGTATGTAAAATGAGCCTTGAATATGATATATTTTTAGAGAAAATTCAAAACTGAATAGTAACAACTAGAGGAAAGAACACAGTAAATGTAATGCTGAATGTAAATTTAACGCTATTCAATGCGCATAGTTCTCGATAAAAATACATTATTTATTTTCACAAAGTATCATATAAGAGTATTATTCAAACTAATATTCAAAAAAAAAAAAAAATTCAAACCAAAACCAAACAAACTTATAATTTTTATGCACCACAAGATGAAGTTTATTATGATAAAGATTTCCATTTTGAAAATGATACATTTTATGAAACCAAGGTAACAAAAATGGAAGAAAATGAGATTGGAAGTCTTGCGAAAATTTTTATGTGTTGCGATATAATAAATGGTTTAGATTTGTGTAAGTGGTTTGAGTTTTGTGTAATAGTGGTCAGAGGGATGTTTTGTAAGAGAAAATAATACTTCCTCCGTCCCACTTAATTTGTCTATTTTTTTTTTATTTCCGTTATTTTTTCTATTTTCGTCCGTTCCATATAATTTGTCTTTTCTTTTTTTAGAAATGCAATTATAGATTTTAATCACATTTTAAAATTCATAATTTATTATATTTTTTATTTTAATTAAACTATTTAGTCATCTTAATCTATAATTATTTTTATTAAACTATAATTATTCTTACTAATACATTTCTTAATTACTTATTAATTACACAATACCTAAAACTTCGTGCTTAAGCTAAATGAGACAAAATAAATGGGATGGAGGGAATATGTTTTTATTACAAAATGTGCGTAAGATATTTTATTGAAAATGGTAAAATGCTTAAACGAAACACAGCCAAAGATTTTCATTTTTTAAAATAATATATATGGAGGTCGGAAAGAATTGGAAGTTTTGGTCTATAATTAGTATTATTACAATTATTATTGAAAGAAAAAGAAGTTCTATAGATACGAGAAAATAGAAGAATATAAGGAAGAAATTTAAAAGATACATGGAATTAGGGTGATTAACAAAACACATCACAACTAAACTATAAGATTGGCATGCTCTTGAGCACCACATTTTGCCAAAAAGGTCCGGTGTTTTGTTCGCACATTGAGGCATGAGCTCAAAGGAATTAGAAGGGCATCTAGTATAAGATGTTTATTGATCTTTAAATTTTACGTTGAAGGGGGGTTAGACTTGAGGATCCAACGAAGAGCATATTTAAAGTCATTTTTAATGCAAATGGGGGGTAGAAGGCTCTTCTGATGGCTAAGATTTTTGTGGTACCAATGTGCTGAGATAGGATGAAAATAGGTGGCCACGATGATCTCAAATGATAACACTGGATATCCGGTGGTATTGGTTTGCTGAAAGCTGAGTCATGTCTGCATACCTATACATGATGGTTTAGGATTTGACATATACTGATGATTCATGTAAAGAATGTCATGATGCAAAGATTTCGGAACAAATTTGTTTTTTATTTAGTTATCTTCCCTAATTAGACTCAAATTGTACTATTTGAAGAAGGAAATTGTAGAATATTTCAGTTTTAGATTACAATCTAAATTCTTCAATACTATCTCCACGGTTGTTCAATAATGTGTTTTGGCACAAAGTGTTGAATGTTGATTATAGAAACATAGTTCTTTAGATTCGTGGTCTAGGACCTTTTGAAGATATGCTCCTTAAACAAAAGCCTTCGTACCTTTTTCAAAAGTGAGGCACAAAATTGGAATAGTGCATATCCCAAAAATAATATAGGCGTGAAATGTATTTCAATTAGACATTGTGCTCAAGCTAGTCCAACTATCTGGTGGCGGCAGTGGGACTCGAACACGGGATCTGTCGCGTTGATACCATGTTAAATGGCACTCTATATTTTTTCCCTTAAAATTATTAGATCCAACATCATTCTTTCATTTAGAGTATTACATTTAGAAGTTATTAACTATTCAAAATTTCATATTTAATATATATTATATTAAAAAGATCATATCAAAGTTCCATTTTTCATTCAAATAATTTTAATATTCCAAAACACCCCCAAAAAGGCAAGCAAGCAAACCTTAATGTCTTATCATTCTCACAGTATATTGCTTAATCAAAAGCTATATAATTTTATATTAAAATACTCGCAGAGTGCATTTCAACTTTTCCTATAAAAAGATATGTATATATATTACACTATATGGGATCTAAATGTTATTTAATTTATTATATTATTTAACATCAATACTTCACACCTTGCGCCATGTGCCGTATGACAGCAATTTCCTTAAGATGAATGGATGAGTATGGATGTTTCTTGATTATGTGATTGAATAAGATAAATGCAGCAAAATGAAATACATTTGTATGATACAATTTGTTCTCCGTAGTGACTTGCTCGAAGTTTCTTGTATGGAGCACCATTGGATTTTCTTGCTCCATTTTGTGTGTTAGTTGAAAATAACTCTATGTGGTTGCAATCACCACAAATATACTTTGGAGGGTTCAACACAATCATTGAATTTGGGTTGCAACAATGTCTTGTTGATTATTCAGTTTTCTACCTTTGCACTAATGCTCGGAAAATTCTTTTATTTGTCTACATCAATGATATTGTAATTATTGGTGATACATTGTTGGATCCAATTATTGAAGTCCTTTCGTCATACCAAGCTTGAAACGATGGAATTTTTATCCCTCGTACAATTTTTGGTATTGAAGTTACACACAATCAAAGATAAGAATTTTCTTATAAGGCTATTAGGGGGATAACTAATACATAGTTTTGCGGGACCAAATGTTAAATTCGATGCAGAAAAAGGGTGAATGCTTAAAGATTTGAAAAGGCCTCGAAGGCTTGTTGGCAAAATAAATTGTGTCACTCGGATATTTTTGCTACTAGTGTAGTTAGTGAATTTATTACATTAACTTGAACAATTCATTGGGTTTAGAAATGTACTTGATCGTCAAGCCAACTTCAGGATATGCAAATGCAGATTGAGTAGGATCATACGATCAAAACTCAACTTCAGGTTATTGCATGTTTCTTGGCGGACATCTTAAATCTTGGAAAGCTAAAAGTAGATGTTGTTTGCCTATTCTAGCATAGAATCAAAGTATAGTCTTAACATAGGCAACTCGTAAACTTATATGGTAAAAATTCTTATAGAAATTGATTATCAGCATACATCTCACATGGAACTGATTCATGCCTTACATATTGCCTCTAGTCCATTCTTTCACGAAAGAATTAAACTCATCGGGATGGATTGTCACTTTGTGTGTGAAAAACTTCAAGGTCTCCAGGTGTTTACGGCTACTAGTGGGATATGTATGTCGCAAACTTGGAGCTTATGGTAAGTATGCTCTAATTTGAGGGGAATAATAGATTTTAACATTGTCTTTTCAATTCTTCTTTCATGTCTGTTTTGTTTCTCTCATCTTATCATGTTTTTCAGGTTGTTTATAAATAATGTACTATTGTTATAAAGTTTCAATTCCAGATAACCTTATCTCTTTTTACATTTACGTTGATAATGCAATGCCTCGCATTCAAGATTGAGCGATGTCATGAAATGGTTAAGTGCCAAACATGCCGGCATATGTAATAACTAATATGAACATATTCCAAACAAAAATGTACATGGATATTGCTGGAATGGCAAGATGCTGCATATTTCATAGGCAATTGATCTTTCTGTTAGTCTCAAATTTTGTGTGTAAAAGTAAGGAAGTACTATGTCAGAAAGAAAGATTTGGATTGGTTCTATTGCTTACATCTAAATGTGATTTCAGGCACTACCTTACATGACAGGTCTAGTTATACCACTTCAAGATAATGTTTATAACAAAATGGCAGATCTAAACTCCAAAGTTAGTGAATTGAAGAAAGTTCTTTGCAGTTTGAATAGCTTGGAGATAAAGTTGAAGGTACTCTCTCTCTCTCTCTACATGCATGCTTGCAAGGGTAATTCAGGCATTCAATTGTTTTCTTACATGTTTTTAGGTGACAGCCTGGAGGATGTAGATTGAGTTAAATGCTTTTCATGGACTGGAATCTTCTGTAGCATAGATCTGTTTACTTTGAATAGTCCAAATTGTTATGATGTCAGATATATCCCATGTTATTTCCACTTTATGGTTGGACCACTATTTTAAAATCCTATGAACTTTGTTTTCGCAGCAAAATTTACCACGTTTGCTAAGAGCAGACAACCATTCTTATTTCACTTTTACACACTGAATGTACTTGTTTGAGTTGTTTAACCGTGAATAATAGGGAACTTGCTTTCTAAACATGTCAATTGATAAATTGCTCTAATTGGCGGCAAATGCTTTTTTTTTTTTTTTTTTTTTATCATATTATAGTTTTCATGAGAAAAAGAGAGCTTAATATTGACTAAGGGTGATATTCAATTGATATTCATGAGGCAACCTGCTGTCCCAAAATTCAGTTTCCTTTCAAGTTTTTGTCAGAATGTCTTTTGCAACCACGGTGGTTGGATATAGAAATCTGACATTATTGTGGCATGAGATCTGTGCTTAGAAAGGCATGAGATTAACCAAAATAATCAACTTATTTTCTTTCATTTAACCATATAACTGCTCAGTGAAAAGCTTAAATTATGAATAGTGTTTTATTTTCAGGTTCTTCATAAACTACCTAGACAATTGGTAGAAATCTCAATCAAATTTGTCTGTTTATTTGCGCAGTCAATTTAACCACAATAGATATTGCATTTGGGAGACATGCCCTTCTTTGTGTCGGTGCTTGGTGGCAAATAAATTCTTTCGTGCAACTGAATTGTTCTTGTGAAAGCATAACAGGCCCCAGGGGAAGCAATGTTGCAAACACAAACTATGAGTTCTCTTGTTTGGGCTGAAAGGCAACTGTCTTTGGATTGTGATCATGCCCCCTCTTTCATTCCACCTTTGGCCGAAAGAGTTTCTTTTGCAGCACTTCAACCTATTTCAGGTAAAATGAGGGTTTCTTTGGCAGCACATACAGCGTAACTTCTCTGTTTTGTGTTTGCCTCTTATCAAGGCAAGTGTATCCTATTTCCTGTGCTGTGACTGAGGTATAAATTTGGAAGCATGAAATTGTGTCTAATATATTTGGTCGAGCACAGAGCTGAAACAGAAATTTCCTCATGGTTGCTGAGAAGGAATCATTTTGGTTTCATAAGATTCTGGCATCTTCAAATTTACAATTGATCTGAATAGACCTTCATTAGGCAAATGCTCCTAATATATAATCCTAATTGCTCTTTCAAACGGCATTGGCAGGTGCAAACCCTGCTGAAATGTTTGCATTACAGAGAGAGAAATTGATAGTAATGGAGATCTCAGATACGCTAGAAAGATTGGAGAAATCAGTCAATCTAGCTAGAAAAAATATCGCCGTTGTAGCTGCCAAGCTTGCTATTCAATCTCTTGGGACACTTTAAGGTGTGAAAATTCATGCTCGTGTGATTATGTGAAATTCAACACCAAGTGCCCTGGTCTGGAGGTGTGTAACCATTAGGTGTGATACTTGGAGGTGCAGGCTCTTAAACTTACACGGTTTACTTGCACATCCTAGTAAACTTTTCTAAAACAATGAGCAGTACGGAAAAGAATAAATACTAGTGTTCCTTCAATTTTCCTTAGATCTGTGTATAGAATATGATGTTGGTTTTGCTGTTTCCGGACAGGGCGAGCCAATAGAAACCAAGCTTGAGGATGCCGTGGAAACCTTGAAATTGCCAAGAGCAAGAAACTGTTGATCTCATAGAAGAACAAGAAGATGGGCTAGTTTACTTCATCAACCACTACATCATGTTTTGTAAACGTATGCTACAAAATCTAGACTCCAACTAATTCTACTGGGTTTTTTAAGCAGGGTGTGCATATAGCAAATTTAATAGAGAGCATTTGTTTACTTTAATTTTTCTTCACTGAGCATTTGTTTACCACAACTCAAATATGCAATTTGATAAAAACTCCACTAGCAGCAAGAAGAACTCCAACAATTTCGGGCAACATTTAACAACCTCAAAATTTTGGCAGGGACTACGCAAATATGTTGCAGCATAAATTATAAATTGAATTCATTGTGAAGAGATCACCCAAACCATGAGTGTTCACAGCAAAACTTGAATCTATATTTAGGGAAATGAGTACTTAATGCAACAGCTTATATAAGGGGTTTTATAAAAAGATGGGAGTGCAAATTTAAGTTCAAAATCAGATCTCAAAATTTAAAACAAGTCCTCTAAAACACGAGCTCATGAGGTTTCATGCCAGCCTTGAGTGAAAATCTGGCACCCAAGTAAGCCTTCAAGTCTGGGACAGATTCAAGGGCTTTGAGCAGTGGTGCATCAACAGCTTTCTGATCTTCTTTCTTCTCTGCAGGCAGTGTATTCTTCTCCTAAATGCAAAACAAATATCATGAGGGGAGAAAAACATATGTATAACCATGGGATGACAGAGAATACTCATTTAAAGAAATACTAACCTGTTTCTCGGCTTCAAAGAATTCATTTTCGCCCTTCTTCTTCTTCTTCTCAGCTTTCTTAGCAAAGTACTTATCATCAATTTTATCCACGTTCACACCGGAAATATCGACCTTTGTAGAAGTTCCAATCACATATGATTGGTTAACTCTTCTTAGAGGAACACCATTGACTTTGTAAGGACCTGTGGAGCATGGTAGAAAATTTTTTTATACAATAATAACACATGAAAGTACAACATACAGGCCTCTGTTTGGCTTGTAATTGATTAATATTTATGCTATAATTTACAATAAGAACAAAAATAACATGAATATTATTAAGTAAACCTAAAGCCGCCATTTAACAGGCAGCAAATAAAAGGTCATGGAAGTGCTAAACAGAAATCACATTCCCATGGCCAACACCAACACCATGGGTCACACAACTATAGCAAACAACTTAGAGTTGACCTAATAGGATGTTAGCTCACAACATTGCAAAAAGTGTTTAATTTTTTATGAAATGCAATCATTTGGTCACGCAAGAACTAGATATATATTCCCATTCAACAATAGAGCCGCCAAAGCAGAGAAGGAATCCTAGGCCAGAGTCAGGTTCTAAAGGGAGATGCAAGCAGAAGCAAAACATAAAAGTGAAGGAAATTATAATTCATAAGCAAAAGCTATTTGTTCTCAAACATACAAAGACCAGAACTGCAAGACATTAAATTTATGTAGGGAGAACAATTCGCAATTAAGCATTAAGACTAGGATAAAAATAAATAAATAAAAATGGATAATCTGGCACGCATTACCAATTCCAATCATTATGACTAAATATAATGCCTAAGCTAACCACAACTGCATCTTAATCTCACAGTCGTACCAATCAAACAAATTTCTGTAGCATCCATGATCCATCGCCAATTCAACTTTTATGAAAGGATTACAAAAGATAAAAAGAAAAGGCGACACCAACCACATTTGCCACAAAAACATTATTAAAGAACAAATTAAACTAGTCAGATCAAAGAAAACCATCTCACCGGTGACAAGAAGCAGTCCAGAAGAAAGCTGCTTCAAGAAGACGACCCTCTTTCCTTTAAACCTTCCGGTTAATATTATCAGCACAGTCCCAGGAGAGATGCTCGCCCTGCCAAAAAACGATAGTGTAATAGTAAATCAGAACAATAACAGAGAAACTAAAATCCTGCAATGAAATTTAATAAATAAAAACCTGAGTTTGGTGGGTTTAGGCTTCCTCGTATTCGACAGCGGCTTCTTAACATCGTCCGCCGGGTAAAATTTTGGGGCTTTCTCTACAGCAGGAGCCGCCGCGGCGGCCTTCTCGTGCTGGGGGAATTTGCCACCGTTCTTCGCTTTGATTGCCCATAGACCACGCTTGTGGTACATGGCAGAACGGGAGACCTTTCGAATGCCAGGGATTAGCTCCGGGTTGCGAGTTCTCTGCTTCGGCGCCATGAGAGCTGCTGAGTTTCGTTGGTACGTGATGTCTACAGAGGGGTGAAAACCCTAGATCCAATTGGCAATATATAGCTACCAAAACCTAAATGATTGTTTATTTGGGCTTCGGCCCACGTGCTAATTAAGAGGAGTTACTATTATTGAACACAGTTTTGGGCTCCAAATGGGCTGTCGTGTTGTTTAAACAAAATAATTGAATATACATTTAATTAAATAAATTCTTGAGTACTTTCATTTATTTATAATAATATTATTTCAAATAGAAAATAAATAAATAATATAGGAGTACTATATTTCATAGGAAAAAAATTATTGAAGGTAGTGCTTTGAATAAAAAAAATCTTATTTCTCTTTCTCTTTCTCTCTGGCCATTTGATACTTACCTTCTCCGTACGATCTACGTTGGGCCGTAATTGTGGTCCCAATTAAATAATTGGAGTTAACTGGGCCTTTATGATTTAACTTGGACCGAAAGAAATTCCAGCCCACAATGTTATGTGGCTGCGAGAAACTTCACCGTCGGCGCACACACGTGCTGACCTGAACGCTCTCCACGTGTGCAACAAACTATACAAATCTGTATCATTCTCTGTTGTACTGGAACTGGATTGAAGAGACATCGGATACCCATCCATCCCACGCCATAATACGCTTTCTTAATTTGTAGTATAATACTTGTCTTTTTTAAGGTTTTTCTTATTTTTTAATTCCAAATGCAGCTTTTAAGTGTTGAAAAGCCAACGCTACGTTTGTTATTTATCGTTCCTTCTCGTAAAGCAGTGCACAGTCCTTCAGCAAACACTAAACATGGCAGACGAAACCCTTCACACTCTTACACCGCCGTCCGCCGTGGAAGAACTACCGGAGTCTGTTTCTGAGCCGCCGCTTGCGTCGGTGGCGCTTGAACTTCAGAAAGAGGCACCTCCCCCATCAGCAGATGAAGACAAGCTGAAAGAGGCAGTTACTGTTGTGGAGAAAGAAGCGCCGTTGGGCCCACAGCCACCGGAAGAACCGCTGGCAGAAGATCACGTTACAGTCACCACCGGCAGCACGGAAAAGGACGCCGCACCGCCAGCGTCGCGGCCGCTGGCTGCTGCATTGGCGGTGCCTCAAGAATCTGAATCACCAAAAACTGAATCGAAGGAAGTGATAGAACAAGCGGGCGAGAAATCGGCGGAAAAGAAAAAGGCGCCGGAATCATATGCTTCATTTAAGGAGGAAAGCAATAAACTTTCAGATCTCTCAAAGGTTGAGCTGAAAGCATTGGAAGAGTTCAAACATTTGGTTCGAGAAGCAGTTGATGAAGGGATCTTCACGGCGGCCTCGGCCTCGCCTTCAGACACCGCAAGTGTAGCTGAAGAAGAAGTATCAATATGGGGCGTGCCTTTGTTGAAAGACGAAAGGAGCGATGTGATTCTGCTCAAGTTTCTACGAGCTCGTGATTTCAAAGTTAAGGATTCATTCGACATGCTTAAGAACACAATCAAATGGAGAAGGGAATTCAATGTTGATGAGTTGCTGAAGGAGGATTTGGGGGATGATCTTGAAAAGGTTGTCTTTATGCAGGGGCACGACAAGGAGGGGCACCCTGTGTGTTACAATGTTTACGGCGAGTTTCAGAACAAGAAATTGTATGCCGAGACATTTTCTGATGAGGAGAAAAGGAGGAGGTTTTTAAGGTGGAGAATTCAGTTTTTGGAGAAAAGCATAAGGAAGCTGGATTTTAGCCCCGGTGGTGTTAATACTATCTTTCAGGTTAGTGATCTGAAGAATTCTCCTGGACCTGGGAAAAGGGATCTGCGAATTGCTACCAAACAGGCCTTGCATGTTCTTCAGGATAATTATCCCGAATTCGTTGCCAAGCAGGTTAGTCTGTAATAAAGTTTGGAGCTTGCATATTTTAGAGATGTCATAGTGTAGTCTTGATGCTGCGAAGTGAGATAATGCTAGACCACTTAAAGAGTTTAATCTTAGATTCAGACACACTTTGTTTTGGATGCAATTAAGGTATAAAACTCCATTGCTATGTGTTTTGGAAGCGCCTTATACACAGTTGGATGGGAGCTGTTTTCTAATGTAGCCTCTAGGAGCTTCTGATTGCTTTAATTTGCTATGTTTTGGCCGGAGGGGCTTAATTTTGATGTACTACACCTTAACTGTTGTGTAATGGTTAATCTTTTTGTTGCTTTTAGGTTTTCATCAATGTTCCATGGTGGTATTTAGCTTTCTACACGATGATGAGCCCCTTCTTGACTCAACGCACGAAAAGCAAATTTGTATTTGCTGGCCCTACAAGAACTGCTGAAACCCTTTTCAAGTTTGTACATGTTTATATTGCTTTATAGTTAGATTCAATCTTTCGTAGATTTTAAGACGTTCAGTTCTCATCGTAACTCTGGGTTCACTTCTTGCTTAAGTACAGATACATATCACCAGAACAAGTGCCAACTCAGTATGGCGGTCTGAATGTAGATTTCTGCAACTGCAACCCAGAGTTCACTGTAGATGATCCTGCCACGGAGATAACCATAAAACCTGCTACTAAGCAAACTGTTGAAATTATAGTAAATGAGGTTTGTGTTGCAAGCATTAGCGTTCAATGTCAAGTTGGTTGTAATCTAGCTTTGCATCTAATTTCTTGTTAGTGACATATTTCCCACACGGTGACTGAATATTTGATCAAATGCAGAGATGCACACTTGTTTGGGAGCTCAGAGTAGTGGGCTGGGAAGTGAGCTACAGCGCCGAATACGTGCCAAATACAGAACACGGCTACACTGTACTCATACAAAAGACTCGAAAGATATTTGCAGCGGATGAGCCTGTTGTAACAGGAAGTTTCACCATCACCGAACTGGGCAAGGTACTACTCACCATCGACAACTCCACTGCGAAGAAGAAGAAGCTACTCTATCGATTCAAGGTGCTGCCTTAATCCCACCTATAATAAGCTTTTATTTTGATCAAAGAAACATGTTGGATCAGACAGCAGTTTGTTCTTCTTCATCTATTTATGTGTCAGAACCTTCTTGTTGTTGGTATAAATCTTTTCAATATACTGTATAACTTAAATGTAACATCTGAGACATGACCTTTGGTGATGATTGCTGGTTGACATTCGGAACTAAGTAGTTAGAGCTTTCAGTAATCAGTGTCTGTTGTTGCACCTTCCACTGGGTGCTGTTTTTTCAAAACTGAATGCTGATGAAAGTGAGGTTATTGGGCCCTGCTTCAGGGAAGCTATAGTGTGTCTGATGGTGATGACTGATGATGATGTTTTAGGAAAGAAGAGGATAAGCCTTGAGCAGACAGAACATCCTTCAATTTTTCCATTCTAGACTAGGCAACAAACATGTATAATCCAATGTCCAATTTTCACAACATACAGATAGATGACCAGTCAGTCAGTCATTCCAAATTTCTTCCATTCCAACCTATCTCATGCTTTTGTCATCTTGCTTGTAATAATAATTGAAGCAACCATCGTGGGGAATATAAGCACTTAGTGAGCAATTTCGTCAACTCAATCATATATCCATCCTTGTGCATAAACAAAAAGGAACCAACCCCGTTGAGAAGTTTGATAACAGGTTCAGATTGTAAGGTGCATGCATGCATTATTGGTGGGGTCTAATTGTTTCTGGGATTCCTTTCGTGATGTGGGCAGCAACTCCAGCCGTTGATTGATGATGATGGAAAGTGCCATTTAATTAGTTGGGTGGGTTGGGAAGAATATCATATCATGATTAGAGGACACAGCCTAGCTAGCTAACTAACTTTAGGACAAGCTAGCTTTGTGTACATGTAAAGGCCCTCTTAAGAATCTTGCCATGATATGAAGAGATCAAAGATTCACACATCTGGCAATGATGTTTAAAAAAATACTGTTTGTCAACTGCTTTCCTGTAAAGTGCTCTGCTGAATCCCTTCAGATATTATACCCAAGATATGCTTTCCACATTGAAATAAATTTGCCAGGCCAGTTTATTGCCATAATCCTGAATTTCCCAATATCAGGTAACTGTTGATTTTGTGGCTTCAATAAAAATAGCAGCAATTCAAGTAGCACATATGTTAATTTATACTCATCTGCAGTATGTATAACAAGAAGAGAGGAACAGCTGACATTTATATGTTTGAATTTCACACACTACCAAACCAATCAATCCCTTGTATACATAATAACATAAATAAACAGGTGCTTATCATAAGCATGTGTATGCGCCCATTTTCTTACAACAGCAAAACTTCAATTCAATAAAACACAACAGATATACATCATATATATAGAATAAATAAAGACGGCGCAAATTGAGAAAATAAGAATAATGTTGTGAATGAACAAAGGAGTGTCTGTCTTCTTGGTGGTTGTCATTTGTGTCTTTACTTTGGTCCAGAGAGCTTGGTCTTGGACCTGGACAGAAGTTGCTTCTTCTTAGTAGTTTGGTTGTCGAATGTGAGAACCACCTTGCCAGTTTCGCCAACCGGGAAGCTGCAGCTGATCACTTGCTCGTCAGCTGGACCAATCTTCCGGGACTTCTGCACAACCAAAGTGTACGCGCCCTCAGCGCTTGGGATGAACTCAGCCCCATATGTAATGTCCCAGCCTATCACTCTCACCTCCCATACCAATGTGCAGGCCTGCAAAAATGGCATAACCAATACATCAATGCAGTTTATTACAACGACTAATCATCAAAATAGATTTTGGAAGAACAAGGGAGGGAAACCTCAGTAATTGGCAATTCAATGATGTGTTTGCTGGTCGGCTTGATAACTTGTAATGTGGCACTATCAGCAGGGGTGAATTCTTGGTCGCCCTCTTTGCTAAGGCCACCATATCGAACTGGCACATGCTCGGGTGCAATGTATCTGATACAAATAGAATTTCATGTTAGAAACATCCAACTTAGTGCAACCAAAGAAAGGAAAACGATTTGAGCAGATACAGACTTGAAGAGTGCTTCAGTGGTCTTGGTAGGGCCTGCAAACACAAACTTGCTCTTGGTTCTCTGCGTCAAGAATGGACTGATCATCCTATTGTATGCCACATACCACCATGGGACATTGATGAACACCTTCATAGTTAACACCACAAACAACAATCAATAATGAATCGATGATCTGCAAGCAATCCATGAGAATCCCTCCTGAATGAATTACCTCTTTGGCGACGAATTCAGGATAGTTATCCTGAAGCAGTTGGAAGGCCTGATTGGTGGCCTGGCGGAAGTCTTTCTTGAACAAGATGAGGCCTGGTGAATCCTTGAGGTCGACGACCTGAACAATGGTGCACACACCATCGGGGGTGAAGTCCAGCTTCCTGATGTTCCTCTCTAAGAACTGGATATACCATCTCAAAAACTTGCCTCTCTTCTCAGCATCAGCAAAAGCTCTGCTGTACAGCTCCCTGTCCTGGAACTCACCCAAGGCATTGTAAGAGACAGGGTGCCCCTCTTTGTCCACTCCATGGATATACACAACCTTCTCGAGGCCCTCGATGATACCTTCCTCTTCCAACAGCTCATCAATCTTGAACTGTTTTCTCCAGGCCACCACGTTTTTGAGCATGGCAAAAGCATCCTTCACCTTGAAATCCCTGGCGCGCAAGAACTTGAGGAGAATCACGTCGCTCCTTTCATCTGCAAGGAGAGGGACTCCCCAGATTGAAACCTCCTCCGGCGACGACGGAGGTGTTTCCTCCTTCACCTCCACCTCCACCTCCACGGTGGCCTCACTTGGCGGTTGGACTTGGTGAACAATAGTTTCTTTGACCTCTTCCACAGGCTCCGCCTTTTCTTTAGCTTTCTCTGCCGTTGTTTCAGACGATTCTGCTGCTGCAGGGATTGCTTTTTCCTCAACCTCAACCTCCACCGTTTCGGTTTCCTTTTTCTCCTCTGTCTTTGGCTGATCGCCCTCCTTTGTCTCCTCAGGCTTTGGCTCTTCTTTTTCTGCTTCTTTTTCTTTTTCTTCCTGTTTGGCTGCTGCTTCGTCTTCTTTCTTCTTCTCCTCAGCCTCAGGCTTTGGTTCTTCGACAACCTTGGCAGGGGCCGGCGGAGCAGTGAATTCATGCTTGTTGAGTGCCTCACGAATCAGCTCTTTGAATTCATCCAAAGCCTTCTTCTCCGGATCTACGAGATCCTCAACCTTGTTGCTCTCCTCCTTAACCGGTGCAGACTCTTCTTCCACCTTCTTCTCGCCTTCGCCTTCGCCTTCGCCTTCCCCTTGGGGTTCTTCGTCTTTCCCCTTCTCCGCCTTCTCTTCAGCCTCCGGCTTCTCAACCTTGTCGACGACCGCAGTCGTTTCCTTCTCCACCACCGCCTCGGGGGCCGTCTTCGTCGTCTCCTCCGCCATGGCACAAAAGAATATCAGAGCGATTCAACAAACACAAACAATCAATTTCTGTGAGTGTATAGAAGAGAAGAAATAACGGGTTTGTATCTATCTGTATCTGGTTTGTGTTTGAATCATCAATCAAGATTCATTCACGGTCATCATCATCATCATCACAAGCAGCGGAGTCTGGCTGTCTGTATAATATGAATGAGTGAATGAAGAGGGAAGAGAACACATATATCTGTGGGGTGTGCGTGAATAGGAACAGTCTGTCAACGTCTATGAAATTTGCCAGCTGTGTCCACTGGGGCCTACCTCTCCTCCTCCCTCCCTTCAAATCCAACGGCCATAACGTTGGTATTGTTTTTTCCTTCTCTGATGAATTATCAAATTTTAATTAATTGACTTTTGACCGACTCGAATGGGGTAATTATAATATAATATTCTTGCTGAAATTAAATATTTTTGGTAACAATTAAAATGCGTGGAAAATAAAAAAGAGGAAGGCAGTAAAAGTAAAATTTGTTCTTTTCTAACAGTAACAGTAGTAATATTGGTATATTTGAAGTTTATACCAATATTGATTTGATTGTTTCTAGAAAAAGGGCATGTTGAAAATACATAGGAGTTAATTTTGATTGAATATGTCAGATTTAGATAAGGTCGAAGGTACTAATGTCGTTTCTTATCCTTTTTCATTAGTTTTGCATAAAAAAGAAGTGAACACACTAATATTGTCGCTGTCACTGTATCGATTCACCAAGATAGAAATGAGATATGAATTTGGACCTTGTGAATTGTTTATTTACCAAAAAAATATTCATCACCTCTTCTCTTCTAATACGCAATCTCATTTATTTACTTTTATGACATTGGCTGGCTGGTGATTACATCATCATCATCATCCCACTATTAATCAAATAAGATATTTAAACCATGGGGATTTACAGAATTAATACTAGTGTATATATACTAATATATTTATTATATTATATACATGAAATTGGCCTCCTAATGATGATAATCAAACACATGGGGACAGCTCAGGTCATACCAACAATACTACACTAATAATAATAATAATCAAATCAAAAGCTAAGGTTGTCCAAGGATATGAAAATAAAGCCGGCAAAGCAAATAAATAAATAAATGCACATTGAATTAATAGAAATTTTAAATTCCAGACATTCATTCTCTCTGTAATGAATCAATCATCAAAACAACATTCCATTCGATTCACCCGCTGTAACCCCTCATTATAAATTTATAATCAATCACCACCTTAATTTAAATTACTTAATTATTGAGTTAACACTTTAATTTGAATACTATACTATAAAACCTTGGGTTTGTCGCCTTTATAAAATTTTGAATTTTAATTTAACTAAACAGAATTGATATTTATATATTAATAATAAGAAAAACACACCATTAATTTAATTTCAAGGCGAGTGAGGTGTCGTGTTGGGTAGGACAAGCGACTAACGTACTCTTCTTCTTATAACGTTACAAGACATGTCACTCTGTCCGAACCGTTGGCCAATTTATCATCTCATTATTATTATTATTATTATTATTTTAATTATACCAAAGTCCATCCAGGAAAGATATACTACAACATATAAAAAACGACATGTGGACGTTTCCTAATCTTACGAGCAATTAAATCACTTTCAGGCAATCAATCCCAACCCCAGAAACAAGAACAAGAACAAGAACAAGAACAAGAAGACGACGATGATGATGATTATTACTACTATTATTGACTCAACGTTACCTTGAGATCTTCTGCACCAACGGATTTCAGTCTCTCCTATTTCTAGTTGCAATGACGAAAACCCTGCCAATGCTCACAAAGGGGTTGATTTCATCGACTTGGATGGTAAATCGATAGGTCCTGGAACAAAGCAAAAACACCAAGTAGAGCAAGACACATAGTGATGCAAGAGATTCCATAACTGAGTCTCCAACTCAGGTTGTCCTGAATGTAGTGCCAACCAATATGCTTGCACTGATGCCAAAATGGCACCAGTTGAAGAACCAGCTTTTTGCTTTGCTCTCCTTTCCATCTTCCTCATCAAACTGGTCAGCACCAAAAGCATGGATAATGGCTTATGTCCTCCTTGGGCTAATGCAAGCATATACAGGGAGACATAGAAGACGATTACATGAAACTGAGGGGCACAACATCTTGTCTTGATCAGAGTGTTGCTGATAGGGACAAGAATCCTAGTGCCTGCCATCCAACGTCGTACAAATGAAGGAAGATAAGGAACATCATCCATCAGCATCACACTACATTTATCATACAAATCCAGAACCAGTTGATTTGAGCAACGCCAACGCCAATCACTGGATGGATCGATAGCCATGGATAGAGCTTCAACGGAAATTCCTGGTTAAAACACTAACCAAGATGAAGAGCAGAGACGAAAGGACTATCACTCTGTATCTGCCCAAATACGAATCAGCGACGAAAGCCCCTACAAGGGGCAAAAACGCCGCCGTGGCGGTGGATTGGCACAACGGCCCCGTCAAATAGTTCACAAGGTTCGAGCTTACGCCGTAATAATTTAACCTATCCGCGATCTCAACACCTAAAATATCAGAAAAAAACGAATTAAAAAAGGAACAAATGCACGGCACTGGATTCTCTTCATGAACGTGGATGATACCTATGATAAAGAAGGCAGATTTCCAGCCGCCTGAGCTTGAACGGACCGAGGGTCGACCATGGAAGTCAACACGCAGTCTGACAACATAGTTCGGCAGTAGAGCCTCGGCGACAGCGACCGAGATCTCACCCTCCGAGACAGACATCGCACTTGCCACTTTGTCACCACCGCAAGACCCATACCTCCGAAACCCTAAAGTATGATAGCAGCATGAAGGAAGAGTGACAGGCAATAAACTAATATTCTTTTCAAAATAGATCCAACAACTGCGTTCATCAATCCAAATATTAGTGGATAAAATGGTTGAGAAAAGATTCTACAAATGATTTGCTGACGGACTGAGTTCAATCTCATGATATCAAAGGCATTGGATAATCCACCATTTTGGTGAAGATTCTTCATATAGTACTATTAAACAAGCAAAGAAGTGCTTACATGAAAGATGATGCATATACGCATGAATGGATGTATACAATCGGAATAAATGTTTTAATCGAATTCGAGGCATTAATTTACAGTTACCCAACAATCTCTTTCTTGTTGTAAACGTAGGTGCTTGCAAAGTATGCAAAAGCAGCCATTGTAGGAGCGCTAAGGCCAGCCAGTAGCCAATAAAAGTAGTCAAGATGTGCCCGATTCAAATTGTCGGAAAACCAGCTGTCTCGCCCATCTCCACCGGTCGCCTTCTCGATCACAGATATCAGAAAGCTGCTCAAGAAGCTGCCTGCGCCAAATATACTAAGATACAAAGCAAGGCCAATGCTTTTCAGCTCATTGGGAATTTGATCATAGAAGAACTCCTGGAGACCAACCATTGTGAATAAATCAGCAATGCCCATGAGCACGTACTGGGGCACCAACCACCATATGCTCATCGGCACTGTTTCCATTGGTTCGTCCACAATCCCATATTTCACCGCCGTTGCAAGGCGCCGCTTCTCAATAAGCGCTGCAGCTACCATTGAAAGAAAGCCAAAAAATATGCCTGTTCCGATTCGCTGGAGCATCGATATGCCTGCAGCTTTCTTGGTTACAGCTCGAGCAATTGGGACCAAAACAAGGTCGTATATGGGAGCGAGGATGACAATGGATAAGCAAATAAAGGCCTGCAGTGAAGCTGCAGGGATTTGAAACCCAGGGGTGATGTATCGTTCCATTGTAGAACCTTGTTTGGTGAACAGAGTCGAACCTTGGGAGTAGACAAGGGCGTATCCTAAGCAACACAGCCATATTGGAACAAATCTAAGAAGAACCTTAGCATCCTCAACGTCTTGTATGCTACATTCATTTGTTTCTTTGTAGGAGCCATCAGGTGCAACCAATGCTTTGTCCAGAAACCTGTTATAAACACATTCGACAATACATGAAACAGCTTCCCTACTAAACATAAATCCAGGCGCTTGGAAGAACTTACTCGAATTTGGTCCCTACATGAGGTTGACTTGGAGCCTTCCAATTTCTTGCAGCTTTCACAAACACCGAACCAATTCTAACAAACGGATTCCTTTCATCATTATTGATACGAAAGCGGTAACTCTTGGAGCCAAGTAGGAAGGTAAACAATGCAAAACACATGAAAATGCAGGGGATCCCAAAGCCAAGCTCCCAACTGAGGTTTTCTTGAATGTAAATCAAAATCAACGTAGCTGCTAATATACCTCCATTCATCGAAAAATACCACCAATTGAAGAATGAGCTCTTGGCCTTACACTCAATTCTGTCATTCTCATCAAACTGATCAGCACCAAAGGCTTGTACACAAGGCTTATGCCCTCCCTGTGCAAAGGCAACCAGATACAAAGAGGAAAAGAAGACGAAGACTTCTGGAAAAGGAGGGGAACATTCTGAGTCAACGCCATTGCAACGGGAAGTATTTGATGAATGAAATGCAGCTGACAGAGTCAAGCAACCAAGACCCTGCAAATTCATGAATCCATTTCAAGAATTGAACAGAAGTCAAATTACCCTTGCCCAAAGAAACAATCCCACGCACCCTTACTCACCAAGACGTAGAGCAGAGAGGCAATGATGATGGTACGGTATCGCCCTAGAAAAGAGTCGGCGACGAAAGCGCCGAGCAGCGGCAGAAGCGTCGATGCTCCGTTCCACACATTGACGTTCTCCGCCGCGGTGGCCATCGACTGCCCCAACGGCCCCGTCAAGTAGCTTATCAAATTCATACTTATTCCGTAATAAGCAAATCTCTCAGCCACTTCAACGCCTACAAAATCACAAACCGAATTGAATCGCGACTTGCAACACAAGCAAGCAGCAATGCAATCACATTAGCAGTACAGTACCTATGATAAAAGAAGCGGATTTCCAGCTGCCGGACTTTGACCGTTCAGATGGGAGGCCATTGAAGTTAACACAGCCCCGCACGACGTCGTCCAGGAACGGAGTTTCAGCGTCCACTTCGCCGTCGCCGGAGACTGCCATTCCCTCCCTCGGTGGTCGATGATGCTCGAAAGTGGACCAGTGACAACTACCGATTCAAGGCGCTGCGTGACGCTAAAGTCAAAACATGTATGTGGATTGGATGGCTTCAATTTAGGAAAAGACGTAACTCGATCACACAATCAAATCTAATCGACTAAAATAATACTCCGCTGCCTATACCTGATGCTGATAGATCCAACTCGTCATTTATTTTGCGCCAATACATTCATGGTCCATTTTTGTGGGCCGAGGTCCCGATTTTGAATTGTTCTATATTAATTTTTCAAAGTTAGAAATAATATTCAAGGTTTTAGAAAGTAACATATAAATAAAATATATCATTATGCGGTATCACCAAAATCTTACAGCAATATCTTGCAAGCAACAGCAAGAAACGATTATTGTGAGACAGACAGGAGACAGGTAGAGAGGGGTGCTAGGTCGTTCTTGAATACGACTTAGCAAAGTAAATGTAGAAAGCAAATGAAAATGCACTGAGTGCAGACAACACCCAGTAAAAGTAATCAAGATGTGCCCTGTTCAGGTTGTCCGAGAACCACCCCCCTTCACCACCATTACTGACCCCCCTGCTCACCTTATCCACAACATACACCAGGAGGCTGCTCAGTAAGCTTCCTACCCCCATAATGCTCATGTCCAGTGCAACACCTATACTCTTCATTTCACTGGGGACTTGATCGTAGAAGAATTGCTCCAGTCCAACCATCGTGAAAACATCACCCAGTCCCGACAGCATGTATTGCGGCGCCAGCCACCACACGCTCATCGGGATCACCGCATCAGGCCTGTCCATAAGCCCGTGTTCGCGTGCCGTAGCAAGGCGCTTCCTCTCTACAACTGCTGCGATCACTATGGATATGAAGGAGAGGCAGAGTCCAATTCCTATTCTTTGGAGCATCGGCAGACCGGATGGCCTTTTGGTTACGGCTTTGGCAATGGGAGCAAGAATGCGATCGTAGATTGGGATAAATACCATCATCGGGGTGATGATCCAAAGCTGAAGGGACGCAGCCGGTAGCTCGTAATTGGATCCGATGCGCCGGTCTAATGTAGCTCCTTGCTTAGTGAAGAGCGTTGACGGCTGCGCAAACACGATGGAGTATCCTAAACATGTGCACCATATAGGGATGAGCTTAAAAACTGCCTTGGCTCGTTCCATAACCTTGCCAAATACCTTTGCTGTATCATCATGGCGGCACAGGAGTAATCCTTTCCTCAAAGACCTAATTAATAAGAACAAAAAAGTGAGATAGGGCAATGCATGCATATATTAATAGAACATGAGCATTACACTAGGCGGCGAGACATTTACTCGAATTCAACTTGTTCCTGAGGCACAAATTGCTGAGCTTCGAGCTCATCAGATGCTGCTGCAATTGCAATTGTGGGCTTTGTAATGAATCGGTAAGTCATAGTTCCGAGCAAGAAAACAATGAGCGCAATACACATGGATAAAGTAGGGATTCCGAAACCGACTTCCCAGCTTAGATACTCTTGAATGGAATTGACAACCAAAAGCACCAACAGAATGCCCAGACAAGTGAACCAGTAGAGCCAGTTGAAGAAAGAGCTTTGTGCTTGCAACTCCTTTTCATCCTCTTTGTCGAACTGGTCGGCCCCGAGAGCAGTTATGCTAGGCTTAAGACCACCTTGAGCAAAGGCAACCAAATACAAAGACACGAAGAAGAATACTGTCCGAAACGAAGGCTGAGAACACGACAGGGACAGATGAGTGCACGCAAATGAGTCCGATGAAGAAGTAAGTGCAGCTGACACTGTCAGGAAACCAAGCCCCTGTTTTCAATGAGAAACGTTTTCAGTTAGTGATGTGACTGCAAATGGAAAAAAGGCAGAAACATTGATTCAATAATTACTGGCACAACTAACCAATATATAAAGCAGAGATGACCAGACAGTTGTCCAGTACCGGCCGAGAAATGAGTCGGCGAGGAAACCACCGAGAATAGGCGTAAGAGAAGCCGTTCCATACCACGCATTCAAATTCGCCGCCGCTGCGGCGGTGGTTTGCCCTAACTCCCCCGTTAAATAGCTCAGCATGTTGGAACTTATTCCGTAGTAAGCAGTTCTCTCAGCCATTTCAACCACTGCAAAAATTCACAGTAACGTAATTGGAATTGGAATTGCAATTGCAATTAATTGACGCTCATAAATTTCATGAGTGTACCTAAGATGAAGAAAGCCGCTCTCCAGCAACCGGATTTGGAGCGGACGGAGGGGCGGCCTTTGAAGTCGAGGGAGGCTGGAACGACATCAGCGTCGAGCAGCGGCATTTCAGCTTCGTTGATATGATGTCGGTTGGGAGGCATGTCGGGTCTTAGATCTGCGGTGCCGGTGCCGGTGCCGGTGCCGTGGCTCTGTTGAGATGATAGGACCGAACGGTTTTGGCATTCACAATAGCGACGCGCAGATTGCATATATAACATTATCAGGTGCTGACGCTACACCAGCACTACTGTTCAAGTTCATGTTCATGTTCAAGTTCTATTGTTCTTATTATTTACTTATTTTGGGCCAAATTTCATCATCATAAGATTTTATTTGATTTGGCGCACTAACTATATATTAAAAACCAATTTACTTGTGATAAATAAGCATCTTTCTTGCTCTTTTTCACCCTCACTTGTTGTCAACGTCAACATATCTAACATTTTTGTTTTGTGAAATTAATAATAATATATCCACAAAAAAATGATGATAAATGCTTTTTGTGGTCATTATTTATTAATATTTTGTTGTAAATCTTGTTGCATAGATTTAGTTTAGTGATGCATATTCGGCAAGGGATAGGCACTCTAGACTTGTTGTTACCGTTTTCAAGCAAACATAATTGTTATATCATAGTGTAGCAATACCAAGTTTGATTTGATTTGATTTGGTATGACAATCAAGTATGCCTGCCTACAATCCAATTTTCCCGGAAGGACAAACAAGATTCAGATTCGAGAAGGTCCGAGTTGAAAAGAAAAGAGTCTCTTCAAATATTTGCAAGTTTGAAATGACATTATGGATGGATAAAAGAGAGTGATACAAGAGGCACTCGCTGTGGTCCAAAGAATCGGAGCAGTTGTTATTAATATAATATTATCATAGGTAACCAAAGTAGTTGACATAAATATCCAGGTAGGTTTTGGCAAGTCCACATAAACCCTTACCGTGTAAGATTCTCCAAATCTACTAGGTACGTTGTGTTTAACATAATCATATTTTTTTTAATAGCCAATAAAAAATAATACTATAATTTATATCACATAAAAATATGTACAAACAAGCACACCCAAGCAACTATAAAAATTCAAGTTCCAGTGCCACAAAAGATCGGCACTTACAATCAAACTTCAATGTCCTATAAGAAAACGTAAAAGTATCTGGTCCTAACATATTACTCCACAATTGTAGAATCCAGGGAGGTCAGCACCAACCAAAAAACCATGGCTGCCACCTTAATTAGAAGAAGAAGAAGATGATGATGATGATAACAGTAGAGTAGTATAAATCAACCAATCCTGTTTAATGGATTGATCAAGAATTAGTCACTGTGTTTCCTTCCCTTTGCGCCTGTAAACATAAAAGTACTTGGCGTAGAAAAGGAAGAGGACAAATCCAGCGGCGCAAATGGCCGTCAGCACCCAATAGAAGTAATCCAGATGAGCCCTGTTAAGGTTGTCGGAGAACCACCCACCCTCGCCGTTCCACCGCGTCGCATTCTGTATGGTCGACACCATGGCGCTGCTCAGCAGGCTCCCCACGCCCAGTATGCTCGCGTACAGCGCCAGCCCGATGCTCTTCAGCTCCGCCGGCACTTCCTCGTAGAAGAACTCCTGCAGCCCCACCATTGCAAACACGTCCGCCACCCCCGACACCACGTACTGCGGCGCCAGCCACCAGAACCCCATCGGCACCACCGCATCCGGCATGTCCGCCATTCCGTGCTCCCGGGCCACCGCCAGCCGCCGCCTCTCCACCACCGCGGCAAACACCATAGAGATTAGAGATAGAGTCAGCCCGACCCCGATCCGCTGCAGCGTCGTGATGCCTGATGGCTTCTTTGTGATCGCCCTGGCCATCGGGACGAACACGCGGTCGTAGATTGGGAGCATTATGGCAATGGAGAGACCCGTGAAGCAATTCTGCAGCGACGCTGCCGGCAGCTGCAACGACGAGAAGATGACGCGGTCCAACGTGGTGGCTTGCTTGGTGAAGAGAGTCGAAGGCTGAGCGTAGACAATGGAGTATCCCAAACAGGCAAACCAGACCGGAATCAGCCGGAGAATACCCTTAGCATCCTCTACATCGTCGACACTGACGGCGCCGTGCTTTTCGTCCTGGTCCGGCGCCAGCAAAGCCTTGTCAAGAAACCTGACAGACAGACAGCATGATCACAAAACGAGCAACAGAGAATTTCAAGGCAATGAGTAAACCAGCATGCACTCACTTGAATTGAGAACCTTGGCGAGGCAGAATTGGCAGTCCATCTTCTTCAACAGAAGCAGGGGAAGGGGCAGGGGAAGCCTTCCAGTTTTTGACTGCCTGGACGAAAACCCGATGGATTCGGAGAAAGGGATTAGTGGTGTTCTTGGCTGATTGGAATCGATAAGTGGGGATTCCGAAGAAGAAGAGGGCGAGGGCAAAGCACATGACGACGGCGGAGATGGCGAAGCCGAGCACCCAACTGACATTGTCCTGAATGTAGTTGACAATGGTGAGAGGCACCAAAATGCCGCCGACGAGGGCGCAGTACCACCAGTTGAAGTAGGAACTTTTTGCGGTGCCCTCGTATTCGTCGGCGTCGTCGAATTGATCGGCCCCGAATGCTTGCACGCAGGGCGTGAATCCTCCTTGCGCCAACGAGACCAAGTATAGCGAGGAGAAGAAGAAGATGAGCACCACCTGGTCTGGATGGCATGCACTAGTGAGGACTCCCACAGGTTGGCATTTTGAGGGATCGTATGTGTTGAGCGAAGCCGACACCACCAACAGCGTAAGCCCCTGCAATCAGATCAGATCAGATCAGATCGATCAATCCCATATGTGTTTAATAAGTCAATTGACAATTGACATTGTTCTTGGAACAATAAACTTGTAGCTACTAAAACACGACTATTACAATATCGTGTGTTGGCTATTGTGTCAATTTTTTTATTCCTGCTTAACCGACCTTACTTTATCATATTCGCATCTCTCCTTTAGAAAAGGGTAAAAGAGCCATCTGTCCATTAACTATTTGGTAAACAATTACTGCAGCCAGATCAAAGATAGATATACCGTATACGTGTCTAAAGCGAGATACAAAAAAAATACTCCATGCGATAATATCGATATCTGCAATAACATGTAGTAAAAAATAAAAAATCAAACTTACCGAAACGTAAAGCACACACGAAGCAATAATCATCCGGAAGCGGCCGGTGAAGGAGTCGGCCAACAGTGCTCCGACGACCGGCAAAAGCGACGACACTCCGAACCACGCGTTCATCATGGCCGCCGCCGTCGCCGTCGGCTGCCCCAACTTCCCCGTCAAATAGCTCACCAGATTCCCACTCACTCCGAAGTAGGAAAATCTCTCCGCCACTCCAACTCCTACGAACAAACCATCCAAACACACGCGCGATTAATTGAATCCAGAATCAATATCTAATCACCCGATCCAAACGATCGAATTCGAATTCATACCTATAACGAAAGGAGACGACTTCCAGCACCCGGACTTGGAGCGGACGGAAGGCCGGCCCTTATAGTCCACAGATCCCGAAACGACGTCGTGGCAATCGAGAAGCGGCGCCTCCGCCTCTCCGGTTCCGGCGACTTCATAGATAGTCATATAGCTACTCTCTCTGTTCCGTTGCTTTCCGTCTCAATATCGACACTTGTGTTTTCTTTGTTATTTCGCCACTCGACTGATTATTTTCTGTCGTAGATGGCATGGCAATTTATTGGCGGCTGCACCCCACCCTCCCCCACCCCATCCTGCTGGTCACCTAAATATTTTAGTATTATATATAAAAATAAAGTGGATTTTTAAATAATGTAGAAGTTTAAATTCAATGAATTTAAGACGTGAAAGTTATCCTTAGGGACTTACCAATTTTTGACCTGATTAATTTATTTAAGTCTACTTAATTATAAAAAGCAAACCTAGAGAAAGAAGAGTAAAACAAACGTGTATACACACCCATCAAATAGTCTTTGTATTTCTTTATACTATTACTTATTGTACTCGATTACCCAGCCGTCCAAAACCATGACATACTAAACAGTATTTTCTTTTTTTATTCCATTATTTTATTTTAGTATTAAAGTGGGGAAACATTGCATTGCATCCTTGGAACTCGATAACGTAGCCCTAATTAATTATACTTGATTTTGACTGTGGGGGAAAAAATTGCAACTGTTCCTCCTTTGCTGCTGGTGATGAAACATCAATTTGCGCGTATGCAGCAGACCTACGGTCACGGATGGGCCGATCAGTTAATGGGTGATCGCAGCCGTTGAAGAGAAAATAGTTGTTTTGCTATTTATAGGATGGATATTCAGTTGGATCTGATCAACCAATCAAAACAATAGTATAGCAGTAGTAAGTTGGCGGGCACACAAAACTAGTCACTTAGCTGTTTCGGTTTTGCACAGGATTCGATGATATTAAAATCTAAATATTCATATAAATAAAATTTGATATAATATTAAAATTTAGGGAAAGTTGGATCAAAATTTCTGTCAGACAAATATACTCCCAATTCAGTTTTTATTAGAAATTAGTTAGTTTGCAGTCCCTACTTTATGAATTAGGTTTGTTATAGCTCCCTCAATCACCGTTATATACGCAACATGTACTCGAAATAAGTTGATCAATACTTCAAATTTTGTAATATATACCTATATTACTTCCCGCTCTACCTCTATTGTAACCTTATATACTTCTAGTTAGAAATCGCATACCTTTTCATTTTGTGAATTTAAAAAAACAATTAATTCACGATTTAATAAGGGTAAAGGCAGAAAACCTCTCATAACTCCCCTCACACCGATTTTAAACCCTTTTTCTTCAATCTCTAGGCAAACCGATGCTCTTGAACCTCCGACAATTAAGTAACAACCGATTCGGTGAAAAAATGTGAAGAAAACAGCCGACCGCTCCCATCCCAAGATAAGCTCGAAGAAGTAAGTGCCAGGTTGGACCTTTTTTAAGTTTTGATTTGTTGACCTTGATATTATACCGTAGTTCGTTCGATTATTTGAGGTGTAAGTCTTGGTCCCGTATTTGTATGCATTGGTTTGGTGTTGAGAAGCCCTAAGTGATCGGTGTAGTTTTATTTGTTAATCGGATTTGAAATCGTTCGTATATTTGCCCAGACATACCAAGTTGAGTGTTTTATTTTGGCACCGATTTTGGATTATTTTATTTATTTAATTTGTGATTTTTGTTAATTTTGTAGATATACATTTTGTTTAGTTATCCGAAGTTGCATATTTTAGTTTTTTTTTATTGTTCGAGTAATGTGAACTGGTGGTATTTATTTACAAACCGGGGAAAGAATACAAATAGGTTATCATCCGATTTGCAGTACCATGTTTTCATAACGAGGTGGAGAAAATGAATAAATGCATATTGGATGAACATATTAGAGCCATTAAAATGACTCAATTCGGCCATTTTCTGGACTGCCCAAAGATAAGGTTGTAGTGGCACCGCCTGCTTGCCTTGATTAATAACTTTAGCCCGGAGCCCACGTCATTCAACATCGGAGCTGACATTATGGAAACAACATGATATTATTTTTACCATTTGTTCCCACATGTTAGCATCACCAGATAGCTCATTCCATTACCAACATGCTTGCAGAATACATATATATACATGTAATATTAACGTATATAACTTTATAATAGCAATGTAGTTGTATGGGATGTGGAAATTTGGTGTTTAGTTGTGCTATATAGGTAATGGTTGTACTTAGCAACAACAACGGGTTTTAATCAGCTATTAGAATTCCAAATGATTACTCAATAATAAAATTCAAATACCATGGAAATAACATGATATTATATTTATCATTCGTCCTTACAGAGTTGCATTATCACATACCTCAGTATATTATTAATATACCTGCAGAATATATTTATAAACCTCTACTATTTCATTATATACTTGTGTAATAGAGTTACATACCACTTACTACAATAAAATATACCAGCAGATCCAACCGGTTATATCCTATTGACGCATAAAGTAATTATATTACACCCATTGAATAACGTTACATGCTTTGTAATCACGCTATTGAAAAATATGGGATAAGTTGTTGAATGTAAATGTATCATGCCCAAACCTTTCCACCAAGTATATATGCCCTGGTAACTTGTGTTTCAGAAACCGACCGTTCTTTGTTTGAAACATTCAATTATTGTCGGTAATCAGGGATGAATGTATCATTATAGTATTCCCGTGAATCCCAGAAATCTACGTAATGAATAAACAATACATATTTACCGTAGATGACTGAACAAGTCATAAAGGACTTAGTTAAACTATGTTGGTTGTTACTTGTACATGCTTTATTATCTTGCCATTGAAAAGTGTGGGCATGTGTTGTCGAATGTAAATGTACTATGCCCAAATTTTTCCATTGGGGTTGGGAGAAGAAGTACTCACACCGAGTTCGTGAATTGGCCCTTCCATAAAAGGATCAACTGCAATCAAACACATTCATGGATACTTGCTACTACACAGATAATACCTAAGAAACCATTATTTATACCTTAAATATCGGTGTTTGTACCCGGAGCACATACTAACATACCTGCATCAAATACCGATATGCCCTAGCGCAGATCTTACGTACCGATAAAGTTGGTATCACATGCTTCAATATCGGGTATATATACCCTGGTAACTTGTGCTTAGGTAACCAACCATTTTCGGTTCAAAATATTCACTTATTGTTGGTAATCAGGGATGAATTCATTGTAATAGTATTTCTATAACACTCTGAATTATATAAAGAGATAAACAACATATTTACTATAGATGACTAAACAAGTAAAAAATGACTTAATTATATTGTATGATGTATGTAGAATTATACTCTAACCTCCACTTGTAGATGGCTAAACAAGTTATAAATGACTAAGTTAAACTATATTGGTTGTTAGAATACATAATTTATGTCACGAATTGAAAATCTTTAGACTCATTACATAGCAATCTACATCGTAGAACACAACAATATTCAAGTGAACACGCTATTCGTAATCTACTATTAGGACTTCAAGTGTTTTTTGCGTAATAGGACAAACACATCTTGTCTAAAATATTTTGACCCATGACATAATAATCCAAACTACTGCACACTTATAAACTCAATATCAATTAGCCAGAAACATTTCAAAGAAGTATAACTTAGTTTAGCTGGTAAGTACTTCAGCATGGCTCCGATGTACCCCCTATTGATTTTAATGTACCAGTACCAATTCTTATCAAATTATGTACCCGGGCTCTGCTTTCATGTAAATAAAAAATATAACATTATGACATAGGTGGGTAATTGTGTACCTACATATTTTAAATGAATGCCCAAAGTGTATGAAACGGTAATCAACACATATTTACTATAGATTGTTAAACAAGTAATAAGTGACTAGGGTAAGTTATGTTGATTGTTACTCATATATCACTGTTCCTATGGATTGATTGGTTATTTAGACCTATTACCTAGTAATACACACCGTAGCACACAAAACAATCTTTGGTCTATAAAAGTAGAGAGAGGAAGTACTCTCACCGAGTTCGCGCATTGGACCCTCTGCATGGGATTGACTAAAATAAACTACATTTGAAGATACCTGGTACTATAAATCTAAAGCCTATGATATCATTATTTATATCTCTTATATTGAGGTTTATACTCGGCTCACATGATTACATACCAGAATCATAAATGTAGATACCCTATATAAGATATTACGTACCTACAATAACAATCAAATATACTTCAGTTACGATTATATATGCTCTGGTAACCTATAGCGGGAGAACATGCATTTTTGCTTAAAATATTCACTAAATGATAGTAACCATGAATGAATTCAACCATGGTAGTATTTCTCGTAACACCCCAAAGTGTATAGAAAGATAAACAATACATATTTACTATTAATGGTTAAGCAAATCATAAATAATTAGTTAATTTGTATGATAATATTCCAACCTTCACTTGTAAATGACTAAACAAGTCATGAGTAAGTAAATTAAATTATGTTGGTTGTTAGTATAAATGACTGATGTCATAAATTGAAATTCATTAGACTTATTATGATTAATCCACATTGTTTTATACACAACAGCATTGGGTGAGGAACATACTTGCATAGCGCATGACTCAACTAGATAGGCAAATGTTCCAGAGCGGGCCTTCCATACCCCCAAACTCGCATGGTGTACAAAATCCTAGTAATTGTGTACATTCTGTAGTCTAACGTGTAACTGAACAACGTAATCTTATGGCAAGGTTTTCGAATTGTGTACTTTCATGGCTCCATTTAATGCCTGTAAGGATTTAGCATATAACCTTTATAGATTCCGAAACAGATTAAGACTTAATCCTCATTTGTATGTTTCTAACGGATGTGACATGATCAACACAGTATGTTTGTGTACTTTATGTAACTGCGATTATTAATTATCAAGACCACACTGATATTGTTGGGACAGTAATACGCTACCACCAGATGTGCTTCGATAGATCAACTAAATACTCCTTCAGATAATTCATGTGTCTCTGTTCATTTATTTGAAACCTTGTGTCATTGAATTATCATACACAAAGGAGAACTGTCACATACCCGTTGTTCATGTTCATATACCATCAGAATATCAAAATTACAACAACAGTTCTATTCTTGCTATTGTATATTTACCTTCCACATTACATTTTTATCAATTATGTTAAATGTAATTACACACCAAAAAGGACATTTTAAACAAAAACGAAAATTACACTTCAAAAGGCCTACGGTACCGCAGCTTTACAATTTCTTTTGTCGTGCCCGAGACGACCACAACGTCCACATTTTCGTGACTATTTTATTTGCTGTGAGTCATAGCATCATTTTTTCAATTCACATTACAATATGTCTTTTCCTTGGAAACAAAATCATGGATAATTCTATCGAGCTACATCTCGATGTCTTCTCAACATTCTGCCAACTCATCGCCTTTCAAACCTCTGCGCCTAGCTGTGTCTCCCCACCGCTGCATAAACATTAGGAAGATAACACATACGTTCATTATTCCATTCCAATGTCACAACACCCGCTCCACCACCACCTCCCTGTCGCCACAACACCCGCTCATCAATGCCCTCCAACTCCCCGCCTTTTCCGACCTCAATGGCATCATTTGAATCAATTTTTTTCCCTATCCGACAAGCCCCACCCGGCTTTAAAAAATTGACAATGCATCCAAAATGCTCGATCCTGGGCACGACGCCATACACATTTCGCAAAGTCCTCACCAAATCCAATCCTTTAATCGTCATATCCAAATAAACACATGCCACGAGAGAAAAAGTAAACGTCACCTGATCGAGATGAATTCCCGAGTCCTCCATCCTCGAAAACAAATTGACATCCTTTTTTTCCTGCAACATTGCAAGCCTGTAGATCATAGCGTTCCGTGTTATTATATCTCGTTCAGACATTTCGTCGAACATCTTCTCAGCAGAACAATTGCTTGAAAAATCAAATATTCACAAATATATTTTGAATATATTTACAGATGGATATGTTTGAAAGTTTGTTAAATGTGAGTAAGTATCATCGAGCAGGGCATTATAATTTCTCACAAAATACCCTGATTTTACCCCTAATCGATATATAGTTACTAACCTAAAAAAAAATTGAGGTTTGTCGATTTGAATGCGGAGCAATGGGTGTTCGAGATTGACAACCGGCGAATGAATAAGTGATGAAGATGAAACGAGTGTGAGCGATCAGCACGGCGGGTTCAATTTTGTAGTTGCCGGTGTTTCTTCGTGGATTTTGCGATCGAAAAATAATTGCAGAGGTTTCTTTTTCGTTGGGCGGAGAAGAGATTGAAAATGGAGGGAAAAATAAATAATATAAAAAAGGAGGGAGTGCAGCTCAAGTTTTATGAAACAGGGACTGAATGTAAATAATTTTTGGCAGGGATTTAAATCCAATTCTACCTAAAATTAAATTGTAAATATAGTATAACAAAATAAAAAATTGAATAAACAGTGAATGAAGTTATCAGAAGCTATTTCAATTACTACTCCTGCTGCAGCTATTGCCCGTATTGTATGTCTCTGTTGAATAAACACTTGTTTATTCCATCGATACTTTATTATTATTATTATACTGGGTAACAACTTGATCTGCCATAATTGAAGCAGGGGCATGTTTTCCAATGTATGTCACCACAAAAAAGTGTAAAGATTAAAAGAAAAATGGTAAATAAGATCGGATTGGACGGGGATGGTGGAAATGGGAGGGAAGGAATGAAAAGTTGGCAGGTGCCATTTCTGTCTACCTCAACAGTGGGCACAAGTGGAACTGAAACGTACCATTCAATACTCTAATCTGTTGGCCCATTACTTTTGATTTTTCTTTGTTCTCATAGTATTGTTCAATTATTGATAATTTTGATTATAATTTATTAAAATAAAATAATATATTTTGACTAAAAGGATAGATAGAATAAATAGTGAAATTTTTTATTTAAATGAAGAAATAAACAACACTCATATTTTTTTATGCAACGCAAGCAAACCCTAAAAACACTTTTTCCTATTATTTATTAAGTGTTTATTCTTTTATAATTTCAAAATCAAATCAATTATATTTACTTCCACATAATTTTATATAAATTTACAAAACATGTGAATTTTTTTTGAAAAATGAAAGAGTCATCAAAATTTGAGTTATAATTGAGTTCAATAGGAGTACAAAAGTTTCAATTCCATAATGTGGGAGTTAAGTAAGTTCAACAGGAGTTTCATATAAGCTGCAACTTTGTATCTCAGTTTTGGCTTTTTTAGTAGTCAATGAAGTTGGAGACACATTCATTCATTCATTCCATTAGCCATTGTGATCTATGAATTGAAGCAAAGATGGTTGGTTTCCATTGCAGTGACATAATACAGTACAGTACAGTACAATACAATACAAGGTTGTTCATCAGACACTAACCTTCTTCTTATAGATATAAGTCCCTGCGAAATACAGGTAGGCAGCCAGCGCCACCGCGCTCATCCCCGCCAGCAGCCAGTAGAAGTAATCGAGATGTGCCCGGTTCAAGTTGTTGTCGAACCAGCTGTGCCCGCGGGTGGCGCTCTCGATCACGGCAATCAGGGCGCTGCTCAGAAAACTCCCGATCCCGAATATGCTCAGGTACAGAGCAAGCCCCACGCTTCTCAACTCGGTCGGGACCTGGTCGTAGAAGAACTCCTGCAGACCCACCATGGTCAGCGAATCCGACACCCCAAACAGCACGTAAGAAGGCAGTATCCACCACATGCTCATTGGCACCGTCTCATTCGGCTTGTCCACGAGCCCGTATTCAGCAGCTATTGCGAGGCGCTTCATTTCAACTATGGCTGCAATCACCATGGAAATCATTGACAGAAACATCCCTGCACCAATTCTTTGCAGCATTGATATCCCTGATGATGTCCCGGTTAAGGACCGTGCTATTGGGATAATGACACGGTCGTAGATGGGCACGAAGATGATGATGGATATGCTTATGATAGTTTGGAGTGCAGCAGCCGGGACTTGAAAATTTGGAGTGATGCGCCGATCCATTGTGACACTTTGCTTGTTGAAGAAAGTGCTCGCCTGCGCAAACACTATGGCGTAGACCAAACATGTTGTCCATATCGGGACAAGCCTCAGAACCGCCTTGGCTTCTTCAACATCGCTTATGCTGCTGCAAACTTGGGACGATTCTTGCTTTGATCCATTAGGCGGCGCAAGCAACGCTTTGTTAAGAAATCTACAAACATCATCATCATCAAGAACTGAATGTCAATCCCCAAAACACTTTAATAACAACAAATAGAAAGCACAAGGCAATAGTAAGCCATCTCACTTATATTGTTCAAAGCTTTTGGAAGTGATCATTCCCTGAGCCTCAGCTTCTGAGGACGCAGCAAAAGTGTCGGCCTGCCAATTTCCAGCTGCTCTGACGAACACGAGACCGATCCGAACAAAAGGGCTCTTCTCACCAGTGGGCAACCGGAATCGATAAGTAAAGGATCCAAGCAAAAACAGGATCAATGCGAGGCACATGACGATGCATGGAATGCCGAAGCCGAGGCCCCAACTCAAATTGTCTTGAATGTAGCTCAAAACAAGTAGAGCCACCAGGACGCCGCCGGTGAATGAAAAGTACCACCAGTTAAAGAAAGAGCTCTTGGCCTTGCATTCCTTTGGATCTTGCTCGTCGAACTGATCAGCTCCGAAGGCCTGGACGCAAGGCTTGTGCCCACCCTGAGCCAACGCGACCAGGTACAGAGAGAAGAAGAACAGAATGACCTGAGCACTAGGTGGAGAACAGGACGTGCCACTGCCGGTTTGGCAATCGGGAGAATACATAACAGCTGATAGAGATAACAATCCCAGTCCCTGCAATCGATACATAGAAAGATAGACAAACTCAAATTGAATGTCTAAATTAATTAGGGCAGGAAAATCCTTGATTGATTTATTCATCACTGACCAGCATGTAGAGAAAGGAGGCGACGACAATCATCCTATAGCGACCCACAAATGAGTCCGCCAAAAACCCGCCCAACAGTGGCAAGAGCGATGCCGTTCCCGACCACACATTCACGTTCTCCGCCGCCTTGGCCGTCGACTGCCCCAAAGGCCCCGTCAAATAGTTAATCAGATTCGAACTTATTCCATAGTAAGAGAACCTCTCCGCAACCTCGACGCCTAATCGAACACCAAGAAACGAAATTTCACAGCGACAAGAAAGAGGTATTTGAAGTGCAATTGCGGGGAAGTAGACCTACCTATGATGAAAACAGCGGATCTCCAGCCACCGGATTTTGATCGGGAAACAGGGCGGCCTTTGAAGTCAACCGATCCCTCGACGATTTGGTCGAGCAGAGGAGCTTCCGCATCTGAAATGGAGGGCGTAGCGATGGCCATGGGTAGTCCGTCCGGGGCGCTGTAAGAGACTATGAGAGTGTAGCTCCTTTTCGTTCGCTCATCCTCAGAATGACCAAACCAAACCCCCTTTGGCATTGTCTGCACTGTACTGTGTCATGTTTGTGTTGCGTGGCGGCTTTCCTTACACCTACCTCTCTGGTTAGTTGGATTCCGTCCATTTTTTTACTGCAAGCAAATAACGTCTTCTCCGGTGAATTGGACAGTAATAAATAATTGGTGGCTGGATCAAACCAATAATATCAAGATGGAATCTTGGCTGGATATTTGCAGCCCTTCCTTTCCTTCCAATCACGTCACCATTACTCCCCCCACCCACCCGCTTCTGAAAGTAACCATACAAACCGCGAAATAAACCCTGATCGGATGGAAGTAATTGGAACAATAAATAATCGGTCGTGCGGCGCAGTGCAGTTCAGTTCTCAATTTACTGAACACACATCTAACGACACCGTATGGTCCAACTTTTTGTTTCCCTATGGGAGAGCCCGATTGACCTATGGGCTGGACGGACAACTGAATAATAGCTGTTTGGGTCAAAGACCAATAAAGCCTCATAAGCCCATTTCGATACAGGCCTGCTGCAACGATACTCAAGCTGAAGGTTGTGGAATAGTTTGATAGTACGACGCCGCTTCTGCTAATTTCTTTTTCAATTTTTAATTTAGCAAGTGAAGCAGAAAGGAGTCAAAAAATAAATAGTGCGTGCGTTGGTTCACAAAAATGAAATGAAATGTAATTTAACCTCAAAAGATTTTTCCATGTGATGTAATAATGTAACGCCCAAAATTTCAAGGGATTAGCAATTAATCAATTATATGTGTGTATATATAATTAATAAGTTGGCCTTGGCAGTAGTAACCCGCGCCGACTGACTGAGTCACTGTGTGTATGAACGAGCCATTATCATCAACATGTGCGCTCTTCATTCCTCGCAATTTCTTGAGATTTCTTGAAAAACAGCAACGGAGATTGAATCGCGACCGAGATCACCAAGGTGCGCGACTGCTTGGGGACTCCGTGTCTCTTGAGATCGGAACTGCCGCGACAACGATCGAACCAGATCAAACGCGGATTTGTCATTCTCCGTCAAATTTTCGATCTTGTGGGGTTTCTTGATTCAGATCCGAAAAATTTTTTTCACATCCAGAGGCGATGTGGTCCGCCGTACGATTTTTCTGCTTCTTCGTTGTTGTTTTCTCACTTCTCATCCCCGACGCGCTGGCCAAGGTAATTTATCAGTTTTTACCTCATTCAACTTTTGGGGGTCGTTTATACATTTAGTGCGTGGTGTTGATCTTGTTGTAATCTGAATTTTATTTTAGACTTTGTGCTTTGATTTGATTTCACTTGAGCCCTTTCGATGCACATTTTGGTAAATCATATCTGGAATATTCTTGTTGTGTGATTTCTGTGTAATTTGTAACGATCCTAGCTGGACAAGGTATGCTCGTGTGTTATAGCTTTTTATGCGATAAATAGTGTAGAATATTATTTGAGATTGTATTGACCTTTGAATTGTGTATGGGCTTGGTAAAATGGAGAAGGATGATCCAATAATGTTGCTCCATTTTCTTCCATTGTTTTGCTAGTTGGAGTATGAAAGGGTGTTTGCCCCAGAATTTGAAATGCTTCTTACAATTTTGATAACCAGCTAGTACAAGATCTTTGCTTTTGGTGGTTACCAACGAATCAAGAAAATTTGTGTATCCTAATGCATATGTGTTATCGTTTTCCTTCTTTCTTTTGCTAGTTTTCTGACACATCTCTAAGTAATCTGCAGTATCAAGATGGTGAGACTGTCACTCTGTGGGTAAACAAGGTTGGGCCATACAATAATCCACAAGAAACGTACAACTATTACAGCCTCCCATTTTGCCATCCAGGCGGTAATGCAGCTCACAAGTGGGGTGGGCTTGGTGAGGTGCTTGGAGGAAATGAGCTTATTGACAGCCAAATTGAAATAAAATTTAAAAGTAATCTCATCTAACTACAATTCTTTTTGCCGCACATTTTCAATTGCTTACAACTTAGACAATGACGCATGAATGATCTCTTATGGCAGGAGATGTGGAGAAGACCAAGGTATGTGAAATTGAACTAGAAGCAGATAAGGTTAAGCAGTTTAAGGATGCAATTGAAAACTCCTACTGGTTTGAATTTTTTATGGGTATGTTTCATAACTTATGCCCTTAGATTATTACTGCAAAAACTATCTATACAGTTGTAAATATATCAATTCCTTCTTAACTCTTGTCTTTTTTGTGCATGTTTTTGTGTCCTGCAATCAGATGATTTGCCATTGTGGGGTATGTATTGCGCATGATTTAATATGATATATTGTCAGAAAATTTTGAAGTTTTATTGAGTTGACAATTTATTTGTGAAGGTTTTATTGGTGAGACAATTCCTGATAAATCGAGTGATAAAAAGCATGTGCTTTGGACTCACAAGAATCTTGTCATTAAGTACAATGGAAACCAGGTGGGCTTTTGAGTAGACGTCTTCTGAAAGTATTTTATTCCAGTGAAAAATATAGCATATTGTTCATCTATATATGAAATTTTTACTCGCAGATTATCCATGTTAATCTTACACAAGAAATCCCCAAGCCAGTAGAAGAGGGGCGATCGTTAGATATGACTTACTCTGTTAAATGGATTGAGACTAACATTACATTTGCACGTCGCTTTGATGTTTATCTCGATTACCCTTTTTTCGAGCATCAGGTACATTTGGCTAACATATTCAGTTTTTTCTCAGAGTATGAACTATTGTACTGTCGTATTGTAGTTGGCAGAATATTTGTTTTGCTACTATTGATTCCAATTCTTGGATTTTCAAAGTGCTTTCTTTTTGCAGATTCACTGGTTCTCTGTGTTTAATTCTTTCATGATGGTAATCTTCCTTACTGGTTTGGTGTCCATGATATTGATGCGGACCCTTCGCAATGACTATGCTAAGTATGCTCGAGAAGATGATGATCTGGAAACTCTGGTAATATATTCTAAATATTTTTCATTAAATGTAAACAACACTGTCTCACTTTCCTTCTGCTTTTCAGCCCATTTCCATGGAATTTGTATAATAGAAACTCTTTAATCAGTTGTCTTCTAATTTGATAATATTAAACTTCTGATGTTTAGGAAAGGGATGTTAGCGAGGAATCTGGTTGGAAGCTTGTCCATGGGGATGTGTTTCGGCCTCCCCAGAATCTTGCTCTAATTTCAGCAGTTGTTGGCACTGGTGCTCAGCTTGCAACACTTGCTCTACTTGTCATCATTTTAGCTATTGTTGGAATGTTATACATTGGGTATGTTTGTGACCGTTTGGATTTCATGCCATTTTACCAATATGTAACAGAATGGTTTTATTTTAATTTTTACAGGCCATTAATAACCAAAATCCTTAACTTTTGGGATTATATCCTGGCTAAGCAAGTTTTCTGTAGATTCCAATTGCAGTCTTTTGCCTAGTTTATCACTGTGGCCTAAAAAAATGTACATCTATAGTTTATTTGACCCGCTGATTTGTGTCATCCTCTCATGGTCTTTGCCTTTAAATACCCTTCCCCAGGCCTTCACCAGTTTAATGCATAATGAGATTGATTTTTTACCACTGAACAAATGAATTGCATGCTTTTCTATCTATTGCATAGATTCTATTTTGTTGTTTCAGTTCAATGCATAGACAAGTTTTTCTTTTCCTTTTTAGCTAATGGAAAATTAGCGGAAGCTCTGCATTTTCTGTTCAAGCTTGCCATTTGATTGTAGTTCCTTTGATGTACTATTTGGTTCAGCTTTTCACTTGAACATTCATTCTTGCATGATATCATGTCATGTTGTGTTGCTCTGAAGTTTCAGCTGTTCATATTTTTTTACAGTACATACTTTTCTCCATTATTTTAATGATCTGTGCTGCAAAACTTTTGTTGCTCAGGCGAGGAGCAATTGTCACGACCTTCATTGTATGTTATGCTTTTACTTCATTCATTGCTGGATATGTGAGCGGTGGCATGTATTCCCGCAATGGAGGTGCGCTAACACTTCAACTTCCCGAGGCTTTAATAACTGTATTGTCTCCTTGTTTGCAGTTTAATTTGGATCTAGCCTATGTGTATGACAGATTCATTTTCTCTGTTGTCTCTTTGTCAGGTAAGAACTGGATAAAGTCAATGATCTTGACTGCTTCACTCTTCCCTTTCATGTGCTTTGGTATTGGTTTTGTCTTGAACACAATCGCCATCTTCTATGGTTCTCTGGCTGCCATCCCCTTTGGTACAATGGTGGTCGTCTTTATCATTTGGGCCTTTATTTCTTTCCCGTTGGCACTTCTTGGCACTGTCATTGGAAGAAACTGGAGCGGCCGACCAAACAATCCCTGCAGAGTAAAGACAATCCCCCGTCCTATTCCTGAGAAGAAATGGTATCTAACACCATCAATCATCTCTCTCATGGGAGGCCTCCTTCCTTTCGGCAGCATTTTCATTGAAATGTATTTTGTATTCTCCTCCTTCTGGAATTACAAGGTGATTCACCCAGTCCCTCTGTTCCCATTTATTACTTCCCATTTCCATCGTATCTTATATGATTCCTATTGTTGACAGGTATACTATGTATACGGCTTCATGTTGCTCGTGTTTGTGATTCTGATCATTGTCACTGTGTGTGTGACCATCGTCGGAACCTACTTCCTGCTGAATGCTGAGAACTATCATTGGCAATGGACCTCATTCTTCTCGGCTGCCTCCACTGCTCTCTACGTCTACCTCTATTCTATATACTACTATCATGCCAAGACCAAGATGTCTGGATTCTTCCAGACCTGCTTTTATTTCGGATACACTTTGATGTTCTGCCTCGGTTTGGGAATACTCTGCGGTAAATTTCCTTCCTCCTTCCTATCCCGGCAATTTTCTGCTTCCTGTTGTGCTAATTTGCGCTCATTTCAGGTGCTGTTGGCTATCTTGGCTCCAATCTTTTTGTTAGAAGGATTTACCAAAACATCAAGTGTGACTGATTAATCTTTGGCGGAGCACATCATCATCATCGTCGTCGTCTTAGTTGTCTTCCTCAGATATCCTATCCTGTCCATGGGGGAAATGAATCGATTGATGTTGGCTCGAATCTTTGAATGTTAACTAGAAGCATTAAAATGTTTTCATACATTACACTACCATTTTGCAACTACCCTGAAAGATTTTGCATCGGATTCTCTGTAGTCTGTAAGTTTTGCTACACAGGATTTTTACTACGATGCGCCTCTATTATTACATTTATATATATGATATGATATATGAACCCACTCAACAGCTTTATCCTTCTTCTAAAACTCTCCAATCTAAGCAAAAACTGCATAATTGATCATTCTCTTGTCTTAATAATCTAAATGCTTTTTTTTTTTTTTTTTTTTGCCTGAAAGTACTCTTTGATTTCATTTAATACTTAAGAATGATACTTGCATGTCTGACAGATTTATCTTAAATCAATTTTTCAAACTTTGTGTTTTTAAATATTACTAAAAAAAATATGTTGTATACACCCAATATGACCCTGGTGTTTTGGTAATTTTTGTATTTGTAATGATTATATTTGAAAATATCCCTATATTCTGATAAGCAAAAATAATATATTGATGTAATAGTTTAAATTAATTGATATTTAAATATTATTAAAAAATTGTGACTTAACAAATTTTTAAGATTTGTAAGTTGGGCTTTTGAATAGTAAAATCCGACAAACAAAGCCCTTAATTGCATCGAAGACGATAGTGACAAGTGAAGCCCAATAAGAATTAATGGGCTTTCTCTACTTACATGTTTGGAATCAGAAGCGGTGTGGAAGTGTGGAACGTGGAGTCGCGCGGACGGAACAAAAATCTGAACTTTGATCATTCTCCTCTGGATTTCGTTGCAAATCATTGTGTCTTTTGTTCCAGCTGAATTTTCCTATACTTTTATTTCGAGGTATGTTTATCATTCATCCTAATATTAGCATTCAGTCTGAAAAGCATGCTTTATTGTTACCATTTCGACGAAATAGGTATTCCGGTTTGATCCATGATCTTGATCGTAGATTGCTTGTGATTCTGATGTGTATGTCATCTCTCGGGATTGAAAATTTCAATGTGGAAGTTATTTGAATTCAGTAGAGTTTGCAGACGGGTGGAATGGAATTGGAAAGGGCTGCAACTCCGTTATTGGTTTTGTAAAATTTGATTACAGTTGTAATTTCGTGTTGATGCGAAGCGAATTCCTTTAACGAAATGGATGACTTTAAGTTTTGGTTGATTGATGACAATTTAAACAATGCACCACAAACTTGAAGTTTCGTCTAGTCAGATAGTACAAACAATCTTGTTTATATATGTGGTATACTACAGTAAAAATTATGCCATATTTTTATTTTTTGAACTATTTGTCAATGATCAGATGGGGACTATCAATTCAGAACTAGACAGTTTGATAGAGGGGAAAAAGCGTGTGAGGAATCCTCTTGTTCCCATTGGTAAATTTCTCAGTCTGCCTCTATATAGAGCCTTACAGTATATGTTTCCATTTCTTTTGGTTGAAGAGCCACTATTTTTATATAGTAATTAATAATGTTACAAGTGCTTCTCTTTAGAATAATGTTGAGTGTAATGCCTTTTCATCGTCTCCTCCCTTGCATCAGCTGTTTTATATTTGTGTTTAACTTCTAATGCATTGGACTGGCTTTTCTATGGTAGGTGCACTTATGACAGCAGGTGTGCTTACGGCGGGGCTAATTAGCTTCAAACAGGGAAATTCTCGGTTGGGTCAAAAACTGATGAGAGCACGTGTTGTCGTGCAAGGTGCTACCGTTGCAGTAATGGTTGGGACAGCTTATTATTATGGTGACAAAATTTGAGGATGATGGTTGAGATAGCTCATTGCAATGGTTAACAACCCTGTGGATTCTCACTGTGTGCTTGATAAATAAGCAAGTATCATGTCTCAGGGTTTCCACTAAATCTGAATATTGCATTGGCTAGCTCCTTTTATTTTTTTCATCAATAATTTTACCGCAAATATTTGTACTTTTCCTGAATGCTTCACGAGGTATTAGGATTTTTAGCTACTATAGAGGTAACCATTTGTTGGTGACTGTCCATTTGATTTAAGAGTATGTGTTGTAATATGAAACATTTAGGACATCACTATGTTTTGGAATTTCTGGTATCTGAGCAATAATGAATGTGGAACCTTTGTTTGTTCCCGATGTGGATGTTCCCAACTTTATGCATTTTATATGCCTGCATACGACTAACACATTGGTCTTTACATGTTTTGTCTAGATAAACTCTGGCAGCTTGTACATTTGCTAAAGATCTTTGTGCAGCTGACTTAACTTGCTGAATTGCAGTGTTTCTGCAACCACATACTTGGTCTCTTGCATGTTTGTTGCTGTTGCACTGAGGCAATCCAAATTGAAACTTTTTTACTCATTAAAGTTGGTGTCTTGATAGTAGCTACTTAGTGACTGATTATTTGCTTTCGGGACTATGCTATTAGGAAGATAGTGAGAGACAATCAGAAATGTATTAGCTGTTTGAATGTTCTGAGGTTCATCATCCGGGAGTATCCATTGGAATAGTGATTTGTCGTTTCTTGTCCAAGCTTCAGCATTGCAATGCTCTTTCAGCTCCGGACCTCGTAAGCATCTGTAATTCATTTCTTAAGTTTTTAATTATCAATATTAGATATCAAGATCCTTCTGTAGACACAATTTGATGGGTGCAGATAGAAGAGCATAGTGGTCAATATTAATAGTAGTAATGGGTAGCTATCAGCTGAAGGAATGGATTTGAAAGGGAGTGGGTGGTTCAGGTTGACATCTTTCCATATATTATTATCACATTAATCGATTAGATGCTCCTACAGTCACTGTCCAAGTTCACTATTGCTCAATGTCTCGTGGCCATGTTTGGTAGCTTTTGGTTCAATTTCTTGCATTATTGCACATAGCTGGAGGTTATCTTGTCAATTTAGGCAGCATTCGTATGCATTTACTGTTGAGTGTATTTTTAATTTAGCATTTATGTCTCTACCTTAATGCCTGGTGACATAGGCAGGATAGACATAGGCACCACCATGTTTTTGTGCAAGCAGTCTTATCCAGTTTCGTACGTATTTTATATTACTATATATATATATATATATATATTATTATGAAGTAAGAAATAACAACACACTTCTGTTTGCAAGTGTCTTTATCTACTAGTTTTGTCTGATATTTTATATGATCCCATTAGATGTGATCTTACTGCTTGCAAATCTTTTATTGAACAGGCTGTTTATTGGTAATGACCAAAGCCAAGAAAAAAGGTAGGTCACCTGTAAAGGGGGTACCTCAGCGAAGACCACAAAATTGTCTTGTCAATTTGTCATACATACATACATATAAAATCATCATCATATCTGATCTGAATTCATTGATTCATTCATTCGTATTCATTGCTGCAGGAGATGATGATTCCAAAGTTGGGAATATGACCTTGTTCTGTGGGATCCCCCTGTCATGCTCTGAAACCCTTTTGTGGGTCCCGAAATTCTGTCAGACAAAAACAAAGGAGCCGCAGTCTGAATGGGCCCCACCCCACTCCACTCCTTGATTCTGACGCACACAGCACAGCAGACACGCCACAGACCGACTGTCGACTGTCGTCGGCTGGCCATCCCTTTCTATCCTCACTAAAACCACCCCATTTGCTGACTCTCGGATCTTTCTTTACCAAATTTCTCTGTGCATCTTGAAGACTAAATGCAGCGCTCCTTTGCTATTAGGAGCATATTAGTATGTGCGTGTATCTATTGATTGCATATTAGCATTGGTTCATCTCGGTTGTCGTTTTATGGAGAGGAAAAGCTGGGAGTCTTAAGTTTGGTTGGTTGGTTGGACTTTTCACAGTGGGGAGAGAGACGAACAGAACAGACCAGAACAGAAAAGAACAGGTTGTTTGAATGAAAAAGGAGTGCAGCTAGTGAAAGACCTTTGTCTCCTTGTTATTCGAGTTTCCTCCTCCACAGTCTTGACTTTCATCTCTCTCTCTCTCTCTCTCTCCCTTTTTTTCCTCTTTTCCGTCGGGAGAAAAAGCTGAGACCTTTCAAGATTCCCAGAAGCCAGGGATTTTCAGGTTTGTTTCCAACCTTAATAATGAATGTTATTGCAATTGCATTACAATATTGGAACATGTTTCAAATGGGTTTTCTGAAACCTGAGTTTATAACTCACTGGTAAGGAGCTTGTGAATTGCATCAGTTGGTGCCTGCACGACTGGTTTGATAGATTCAAGAATTTCTCTTTCGGGGTTAGTTTTAGCCATTTTCTTTGAAACGTTTACTCAGAATGGTTTTCAGTTCTTCCAGCTATGGTCATGAAATGTTTTCGTCCTGGTCTTGCAGATCCATGTTGTTTTCGCATTTATTTGGCACATCCTCTAGGATGTCTGATCTCTTCTTCCACTCACTTTACATAAAGTGGAAAGGAGGTGAGATCATCTGTATTTTTTTTTTTTTCTTGTTCTTACACACACATATGCACACATATATATTTATCAACAGCTCATCAGTTTGTTCTTCTTCTTCTTCTTCTTTCAGTTGACTTGTTTTCATATTTCATTTCAGCAGCATCTTTGATCTGTATTTCTTAATGTTTAATTTTTCAGTCACCAGGCAATATTGCTTTAGCTAACTTGACTCATACTCCACTTCAGAATTCTGTTGTGTGTTTTTTGCTGCTTTATTGTAGTGGGTATATACTTTTTTGGCTTGCTGCATTCTCCTGCACTGTAACATCCTTATCGCAAATTATGATAATGCTTTGCTAACATAAAAGTAGATGTTTCTTTTGTAGGAGTGGAGCTTCTGATGTATGCATAAGATCTCTCAAGTAGGAAAAGCTTTTCGGTCCTTGCTTTGAGTGAGGGATTGCTAAGAGGCTAAAGGGAGACATTAATGTCCTCCCATTGTTGATACTCTTTTGCTGTCCATCTTTGTATATGGCTGATCGAAAAGACGACGCTTGTGAAGCTAGCAATGAGATCAAACGTTGTGTGCCTGGAGAAGAAGAAAATAACATGAAATCTCTGGATTCGGAGTTATTTTCTGTTGACACAGAACATGAAGCAGCAGATGTGCAGTCATTGGATGGCATTGCTTCTGCGCAGCCTACGCCTTTGAAAAGTGATATTAGCACAGAGAGAAGTTTTGAAATGGATCCCGGGAAGGCCCATGGCCTAAATGCTGCTGAGGATAGACTAAATGTGCAAGGCCAGGACATGCAACAAAGGACTGAATCATCATGTTCGAACTCCTTATCAACCATCCCTCCAGTTTCTTTATCAAACCACAGCTTTCAGGAGACCTCTAAGGAAATGTGCTCGTTCAGGAATTGTGTGGTTTCCACAGATAGTTCTAATGCTCAAGGCTTCGGCTGCAAACTGGAAGAGCCGTTGACTGCCAGTTCTGAATCCGGTGCATGCCAGGAGCGCAGCGGCAATCTCGATGTTTCTCGTGTAGCAGAAAGGCAGATATCAGGGGAAACAAAGGGTGCATTGACTGTGAAAAGCAAGGCTGAAGTAAATGACAAAATCAAGGCAGAGTCTTGGGCAAAAGAAGCTTCGGAGTTCTCGCTGACAAAACCTACCAAGGTAGTTAGGGAAACTCAGAATACACATGTTGCTGAATTTGATCTAAATGAAGACATTAATACACATGGAAGTGATGATTGTGATCATCAACCTGCTGCAACTGTATCTTCTGCCCAACGTGTGATACAAGTGGTAGCGAAAGCTGGGAAGCCTAGCGGATTGCCAGAGATTCCTTTGCTCTTCGAAGGCAGGCTGGGTTGGCAGGGCTCTGCTGAAACCAGTGCTTTTCGTCGTCCTCCAGGTCGGTCTAGGATTTTGGAAACAAAGTTGTACCCTGAAAACAAAGAGGCAAAGGATCCACAGGGCTTCACAGGTATTGACCTCAACATCGCTGCTGTAGAAGAGAACTCTGCTAGTGAAATGCCAGTGGAACTTGGTTTGAATGAATCCAAGAACCGGGGCTTAATTGATCTCAATCACCTCTATGATGCTGCTGATGAGTTTACTCAGCCTTCTCTTCAGCCTGAGTCAGCAAATCCTCCCTCAATAGACTTGAACATGAATGGTAACACCTCAACCGGAGACAGATCCAACATTCTTCACTGGCCAAATGTGGATCACCATTCTCTGGGAAACAATACATCTGATTCTGCTAATCCAAGAGCGCGCTATATCAACTTGATTGGCCAAGAATATTTCGCCAATCCTCACATTCCAGTGGCTGTCCCAAGTATTCTCCAACCAGTGGAACTTTTGCAGAGAGCTCCTCCATTGCAGCAGCCTAAGTTACCTTTTGGACCACCAACTGTAAACCTTGCAAGTTACCCTTCCAATGTTCCGCAGCATTTTATCTCTGCTGGGCCACTGCCATCAAGCATTCGTGTTTCTGGGGGTGTCCCTTATGCTAGATATTCCCACGAACACGCCATTTATCCTGGATTATTACACCCCGGCTCGGTTCATGCATCTTTCTGTGCTCCTCATCTTGTGCAGATTGTTCATGAGCAGGGTCCAGGCACTATTGCAGCTACTTTCCCAAGTCTTGATGCGAGAAGCGATGACATTGTATCAACCGGCAGAATCAAAATGGATGAGGCGAGACAGTTGGGTTATATTGCCACGAATCAGGAGACTTGGTGTGATCCATCAATGAAGAGGAAGGAGCCGGAAGGAGGATTCAGACATTACCAGCTTGGCTACAAACACGTGACTTAAAGATGTTGACTACTTCATTAATTCCTGCTAATTTAACTCATCCTGCCTTTTTGCTGCTAGACTCTATTCATGAATGCTAGTTAGTACAAATTCATCGTGCAACACTTTTAAACAAATCTCAAAGACTGTTACTGTTAATCCTCCAAGTAGGCTGTGAGTCGAAAGACTTGTAGTTTCTGTATATATGACATTCTATTTCTTGATAATAGGCATATGAGGATTACGAGCACACACTTCTGTATGTTTTTTATGAAAATCCATTCACACAGCAGAATCATATGCTTGCTTATATCATTTCAACCTTTAGGTCGCAATAAGTGGTTTCATTCATTGCAATAATTTGTACTTCCAACTGCCACATTGATACATAAAGAATCAGCAAGGTGAAGTTTCCGGGCAAATGGCTCACTTCAAAATTCAACCTGTCTAAAACGCAGACAGCAGCTACAGGCTAGGGTAGTTTTCTTTAACCTCATCAATCACTAATTCACAATTCAGACAAATAACTTGCTAGATCCAGCTATAACAAATGGCAATAATTGTCAATAAGCTGACGAACATTCCAACAAGGAGAGCTCTATCAACAAGAGTCCAGTCATTGACCTGAGTTGCAGTTCCCTGCTGTTCATCAACTATCTCAGTCTTTATCATTTTACGCGAATTGTTTTTCCGCTTCCTGAGAAACCAACCTATCAGGTCTTGGCTTCTGTGTTCGCGTACTTTTTGGACTTCCTTTGAAACAGTGACAGTTTCCTCTTGGGTTTGTCCACAAGGACTACTTGTAAGACCACAAGCACAGGTTTCCAACTGTTGCGAACAACAGGTTTCATTTTGACTGGAGCATGAGAATTTGTCAACATGATTCTCAACGTTTCTGGTAAGAATTTCGATCACCTCACCAAAAACAGACCATCTACCAATAGATGTTATTTTCACCATAGCTGAAGTTCCCAACAAGCTCTGGGGACCAACTACAAGCACCTGGATGTATCCCTTTGTATGACCCACCTACAACAACAGAGATAATTAAATTGGAAAATATGTAATTATATATATACATACTAAAGAGGATGGAAGTTCAAATCAATATATTAAAACATAACATAGAGCAAAATGGGTAAAGAAAATTCATAAGCCATGAGCACATCACAGGATGATCTTACCAAGTGGCTTCCATCTGTGGCAATATCTGTAATCCAGATCCTCTCAATCTTGCCTTCCATTCCATCGTACGGTGTAAAGGATTCAAAAATTTTTGTCAGCTCACGGCTCCGCTGCTTCACTACATTACTGGGAACCTTTTTCATCCTTGCAGCAGGTGTTCCTGTTTTATAATATTTAAACAATCGATACAGGCAATGAAAACTTAATAAATAGATTGATAGGGATTTGCTTCATGCTTGCCATATGATCAAGCAAGGTATGAGCTAAACAGAAACCACAAGGTATGATGATCGCTAAAAAGGGTATAGAAGCTCTTGGTTCGTAATAAACTCTCAGAACCACTAACCAGGCCGAGGATAGAATTGTGATATGTGAACTTGGGAAAGTTTGTATTCCTTGATGAGGTTGACAGTCTGCTCAAAGTCTTCGTCAGTTTCACCTGAGAAAAAAGAGATGTATCCTTGCATGATGGTTCACTTAATAATAAAGGTTGTTTTAGGAGGCACAATATTAATAAGTAACTTGCACATAATTATCAGAACAATAAAAACCAAGTTCCATTAATGACCAGCAGAAGGAAACTACTAGTAATAACATGATTTAAGATCATTGAGACATAAAGCTATTTTCCAAAGTATCCAACTTACAGTTTAAATCTTCCTTGCAGAAAAAAGTGACACATGTAAACTCTAATACCCTTTCTAATATACTAAAGAGTGGAATTGCTCTCCTGTCAAATCATTGGTATAGCACCAGAACTTCATGCATTTAAAAATTAGAAACGTTGCCTAATTATCAATTAGCAACCACATAACTAAAATTGGCAAATTCATCAATAGCTTCTGAGCATAGACAATATAGAATGACATAAAAGCCTTAAAGAAGATATAGAGTAGATAAATCGAACATTACCAGGAAATCCACATATAATATCTGTGGCTATCTGCATTCCAGGAACCAGCTCAATCAATGTATCAACTACTTTCCTGAACTCGCTAACAGTATATTCCCTGTTCATTGCCTGAATATGAATGATTAAGTAAAAATTACCCCACCATAACTTCAATGTATTTTGGGAGATTTAAAAAGATAAAAGACAATAAAAAATTCATAAAGCTGCAAGATGTTGTAAGTATTATAGTATGAGTTCTATAGGATAGAGTCGACAGACATGTTTGCTTCATATGGAATGAACATGAGCTACAAATACTTACACTCAAAATGGCATCACTTCCTGACTGAACAGGTACATGAAGGAAAGAATACACACATGGGTGGTTTAAAACTTCAGCTATTTCTTTCAAGTGCTCTAGAATATAAGGAGGGTTAGTCATTCCAATTCGCAGCATTGTGCTTCCATCAGGCGGAAGCTCTGCTACTAAAGACTTCAACAGAAGTGGGAGATTAACTCCGATGTCACGACCTGAATCACAAAAGTAAACACCATAAGGGAGGTGACATAGTATGATTCAGATCATTTTCCTCCTTTCTTCATGTGTTATAAGAAACTATGTAGGAACAACATAGCTTTCCATCCACAACTAATTTCAACAGGAACAAATTCAGTTAGTGCTAAAGCGATTCCATATAGCCATTGCATTTCATTCAGCATATATTCATATCTCTAGGTTATGCAAGTTAATAACAAGATAGATATTCACACCATAAGCTCCAGTGTCTTCACTGCTTAACCAGATCTCCTTAACTCCATCAGCCACAACATTTCTCACGCGACCAACCTACAATATTAAACATGATAAAGTTGAATATCCTTCATCAAACAACTAGAAGTCTAAAGTTCTGCGCAATTCTGCAAGAATGGACTTACAAGGCTGTCAACAGTGTAGCTTCCTAGATGACCACGGGCATGCTTAGTTTTGCAATAAGTGCAAGCACCTAAACAGCCAACATTTATTGGAAGAATCTCAACAAACTTATTTTTTCTTACCTGATTGAAAAAACATACAAGAAATGTGTTTAAACTTTAGAGCAGTTAAACCTTCGCTCCACAAGTAATATGTAAATCAAAGTACATAAACAAAATATCTAAGCTGGTCATGCATTGATTTATGAAGATGCCATGTCAACATTACAGGTACAACATAATATATTCCTCACCTTTGGAAGGTCAAGTGCTGGTAATGTCTTTCTAGTTAGAAGGCGAACCTCGTGGCCTTTCAAGGTCTCTTCAACAACTTCAACCACCCGGTCAATTTGCTGGACCCCAACTATACTTACCCCTTCAAGCTCTTTCATACCACGACTTCCTTGAGGAACACATCCAGCGACTACTAGAGGCTTTTTTGCAGTTCTGCATTTAGCTATGAGTGTTTCCATCGCAGACTGACTAGGAGATTTTACAGTACAACTGCAAATTTAAAGTCATATATAGTTATGCAAGAAAGGGTAACCGAGAAATCATTATTTGAATGTGAGAAATGCCCCGTGCAACTACACAAGCAATCTTCCAACCAACCAAATATCATCTAGCAGAAATTATATCACCAAAGAAGGGATCTTACGTGTTTATCAGCCACAGGTCTGCTTCATCCTGGTTTTCAGTCAAATTATATCCATATGCAGAAAGCTGTCCAGCCATATATTCACTGTCGCTCTGAAAAAAATTATATGTAAGCAATTTCATTGTTAGGTGTAAAAAGAGATTCATCTGCAACCGAGGATATACTTTAAATACTCGGATATGGAAAAAGCTAAGCCAGGCTATAAGAAGGAACAATTTGTTTCACATCTGCATGCATGATATAGCCTAAGATTGCATTTAGAAAAGAAATCTCTAAATAGGCTTATCCATAATCAAAATAAAGAAGATATATAGATTCAGCTCTTAAGAGAAGTATGTATTCCAATCCAAACTACCTATTAGTGCTATAATCCCGCTCTTCTGCCAAAATGATAAATGCCTCGTTTGCATCTTCCAATTCAAAGAAATTAGAGAAAAAAATATCACAGCTTTAAACCCTATCATCCACTCTACCTCGCAAGATTTTTATGCTATGTATGATCTAATTTAATATACTAATTGCTTTATTGCAGTTGCATACATAAACGAAGCCAGCACTCATTCCTAAATTTTATCCGCATAAAGCAACTAATTAAGCTCTGAATTCGGACCAGCGTCTGAGCATAACTTTCAATTAGTAACCAAAAAAATAGATTAATAAAAATGAAATCTTTCATGTCCTTTAATTAGTACAGGAACTTCACCTGATTATGCGAACACCCAAAAGTCTTCAAATATATCGTCTGCAAAAGCGTTGCAACAATAGAACACAAAACCTCAGAAATCAAGTCAATATAAGAACTGAAAAGTGACCATAAGAAACTCCAATCTCTATGCAGAATCATGCACAAACAAATTCGAGACAGGAAGCACCTGTGTGCCAGGAATCTTGGCAGTGGCGTAATTCCTGACAGAATTTTGTAAAGCATTACTCTTCCTTCTAGTCCTCGGCTTAACCCACACGGACTCTGACATCGGAAGCCGGAATCCCGGCGGGGCTCCTCCGCCGCCATCCACCAAGAGATCTTCTATGTCTTCCATTTTTACGGGATCGGGTCCAGAGCCTGCGTCACCTTCCGTTTTCTTCTCTGTAGCTATAAAGTATACTCTTAGCGTTTAAATGGGCCGTTACCTCTCAGGCCCAAGTTTAGCACCAGCCCATTTACGCAACAATTAAAGCCCAAATCTACATTTTTATTTAAATGATCATTCAAAGTATAGTATAATCTTAAAATTAAAAACTAATAGGCTTGTCTTGTGCTCGAGTTCTTTATATGAATTTTCAGCAATACATGAACTCAAAAATGCTTACTACTTTAAAAGATATGGTAAGGTACAGTTAGATATCCCGAGGAACTAAGCAATCTCAGAAGCAAGCATTATTTCCATAAAAAAATGGACACAACAACATAGCATATATACAACCATATCAAAGAAAAATTTGTAATCAGTGCTCAAGAAATTGTTACTGCTACACTTCATCACTTCCAAGTTTTGACAAGTTTAAAACCAACGCAGGGTACAAATTTCCCCCAACTTGAGGGTAAAAAATTTGTGTTAAGTAAATCTCTTTACATACATATATTTTGTACAGTTGCAAGCACAAGGGTTAAAGCTTTTGCAGTTGATTTTCTCCAAGGATCCATTGTGTTAGCTGGCTTGGATCTAGAACTCGAGCGCTGCAGGACTTGGGGAAAATCCCCAGATCTAAACCAACACGGTCATACTCCCTTAGAGCAGCCATCATACTTGCCTCGCTAGCGGTGTGGTCCATGCAGTCAACCATGTTCAGACTTAAGAGATCGGCATAATATTTTTCTTTCTCAAGATCATTTTCAAAAGGTTCCATTGCAGGGCCCTGCAAGTCTCAATGTTAATACAAATACTACAATGCAGTGCACACCAAAAAGATAAGTAACACCTGGTCATACCACAGTTCGGACTAAGATGCATACAGAAGCCTATGATGCTAGTGTTGGCCATTGGCCACTACAGGGTGAAGATTTGAACAGTGTGACAGAAAGAATTTTTAGTTTTGAACTACGAGGTAAAATGGTATTTACATATGTACATAGTCCCTTTGTCAAACCTGACCGGCAACATTATTGTTTCTCATGTATTTCATATAACTAGTTTCCAGACACATCACTTTACCCAAAGCAGCAGCTATTGACGCCCAATGTCAATAGCAACCCCCTTTTAGTTTTATGTCAACACACAGTGAGTAACCGACAATAAAGATGTTTCTGATTGAGTGTAGTGTCTTCCATACCTGAATAAGTTCAGCATAATGTTGATAAACCTCACTGTTTTCATCTTGATCACCCAGCAAAGTACCCCCATACCAACCGTTAGCCTCATCTACAGTTGTCATTGCCAGGTACCTACATATAGAAGGAACTTAACTTATAAACTGGCATATCGAAATTTTAACACTTGCATTCAAGACATACAAAATCATAACCTTGAACAAATTTGGCACCAAAACCCAGATCTAAAGGCAAAATGAAGCTCTCACAGAAATTAAAAAATCAACAAAATACTAGCTAAAATGTTCCAGCCTTTTCAAGATTTTTTTTTTTTTTTTAGGGTGTGTTTGTTTGAGGGTTTAGATTTTGAGTTGGAATTTGAACAATAAAAAACTTGAATTGGAATAATTGTATGATGTGATAGGTGTTGATGTGATATTTTGAATGTAAAATTATTTTTTTTTAGTATAAAATGAAAATTAGATATTTGATTTGATGTTTTCTGAGGGAAAAAATTTGATGAATAGTAAAATCTGGAGAAAATCTCTAAAACAAACACATCCTTAGAAAAAAAACATGTAGCTCAAAAACCAAAACCGTGAAGGAAAAGAAACAGCTAGGAAACTACTGTTGATAGACGTCTTCTTCATTGCTCTCAACCATTGGAGACAACAAATTGTGGTTGCATAGGGCATCAATCTTTTTCTCATCATGAGCTTTCCCATTTGCAAGCCCATTGGAAGTTAACTTAGACGTGGAATTATCATCCTCATACTTTCTTTGGCCAAAAAGCCAATTAGGACTCTTGAGTTGTATTTCTCTGCAAGAGATATAACTCAAACGTTAGTCCTTGATTTTCTAACTAAATGGGAACTATTGCACCCCATTGATGATGTAAGAAACGAATATTTCAAAAGTTTTAAATTTGACACTAAGCAAAATTTGTTCTCTCCAGTGATCCCAACACCCATGTTCGAATAGTTTACAAACTATAAAATATTCATTGAAGATAGTATTCATGATACAAAAAAAGGATAAATAGAACCAGTAAGATCATCGGTCCGCAGTATTAATCTATGTTACTGAAGAAAACTAAACATGCATCTAACAGAAGTCTCTCAAATATTCTCAAGCAATCGATTCGTGTTATCAATCTACTCGGACCATCTCCTAATTTATATGTGAGCTAAATAATATATAAATAAGCCCAACTTCTAAAATCCACACCAAAATGACTAAAACTAGAGCAATGACTGGGATCAAGAAGATGAAGTATCTTTTCTACAAGATATGAAGTTAAATGCAGTTGAACACAAACAAAAGGAACTAAAGTTGCTTACTTGGAATTCACTAGCCTGGTCTAAAATATTTAATCTCAATGTCACTAAATTATCCTGATAACTTTAAAAAAAAAAAAAAGTGCAAGAAACCACTTACGCTGCATCAGGTGCTACACCAAAGTTTCCTGTTTTTTGATCGAGCTCGCTGCAAAGCCGTACATTCTTTATAAAACTACATGTTCTTTCTATTAGTTTATCAAAAGATGTCAACTTCATACGCAAGAAGTCCTCCCGACAAGCAGGAATTGGTTTCAAAGGAGTTCCTGCTACCGAAGGCTTAGAATCATCCGAAGGGCTGTCACTCAATAACAGCAAAGGAAAAAGGAAAAAGGATTGCATGAATCAACTAGCACAAGAAAACCGAGTTCCATTATTACTAATAATGAAAAAATTGCTGCTCCCTAGTCCCTACATACCAAATTACATTGCACTACAACATGTGATTCAAATGACAAACATTTTTCCTTTTTTTTTTTTTATCACAGCCTCAAATCATCAGAATACAATGCACATGTTCATTTGATTGAATTGAATTTGAATAGTATCAGCAACACCTTGAAACTTATCCAACAGGCAATCCTCCCAATATCAATGTACCATAAGAATTAGAAACAAGATGCATATTTAACAGGAAGGTGTCGACTCTGAACATACAAAAAGTTAGAGATGCTTATAACCCAAAATGAAGCCAGTCTTCCAATTGAAATATTAATTGTGTTAATTTTAACAAACTAGTTGACTAGCTGAGAAATTTAAGCTAATACGTATCTCATTTTTCCCTTATAGATTGTTAAATTATAACACAGTAGTCACTAAACAAAATCAGAATGTACCTTTTTATATGCTCCATATGCAACTATGGACGAGATAAACATTGACACAGTGCAACAAATACTATAGATAAAAAAACAAGGTGAAAAAGTTAGCCCTAATGCCAGCAATGATGCTTCAATAACAGAATTGACATACCTGTTCCCTAATACATGAAGATAATAATCAGAATCTAAATCCCACAGCGCAGGTTTTCCTTCTTGGGGTTGGAAATATCCCAAAAATCTGTTGGGGAATTACAGAAAAGACTCGTAAACATAGAATCCAAGATCAAAAAAGTTTCCCTAGAAAATCAATTTTGATCGAAATAAATAAATATGTAAAAGCTCAATCAACAGATGTTATACAAGTCACTAGTTAACACAATTATTTTAGGCAGTTGATGGATAGAAGGAAATCAAAGCTCATAATTTATTGCACTTGTTCTTCATCATTTGGAGGTAAAACAATATACATAAATTAATGCTAAATCAACAGAATCTCCAAGATTTGTTATTTGAGTATAAGTCACTAGTTAAAACAATTCTTTAAGGCGGACTGTGGATATAAGAAAATCAAGACTCACAAGTTTATTGCATCTTGCTTTTCACCATCTGTATAAGCATTGCTGTAATATCTCTTTATAGACTTCAAGAATTCCCTAGACTGTGTTGTGGCTTTCCATTTTCCTTGTCTCTCCGGGAACACCTAATTTCGCAAGAAAAACATGTGATGCATAAATCTCTCACACAGAAAATGTATGTATAAAAAATAATACTGAACAAAACTTTGGAATCCAGAACAGGGTATACAGTATTATGTGCTGCTGAACCTCCATACTGCTGTGCCAAGGCATCACCCATGCTCTGGTACATATCCATAAGAGCAGCAGCAATGCTGCTGTCAGCATCCACTTTTGGATTGTCTGTCAAACCCAATACATGAAGTTGGCGACCTAGAGATGCTAAACCATATGCATATTGAGCAACATTTGTTCTATCCAAGCAGTCGATGCAGTTGGTCCGCAGAACTCCACTTTGAAACTGAGGTTCTGAGTTTCTACCGATATCTTTCTTACTCAGTTGATTGCTTTCAGGTTCCTTGTCATGCTTGATCAAGGTATCAGTGGAACCACTAACTCTTGAAAGCTCTGCAGAATTAGCTCTCAAATCCCTTAGAGAAGAATCCCTGTAGATAGAAATGTTCCTTAATTTAAACAAGTTTGCACTTCCTCTTTCAGCCCCCTCCCCCTCCATTACTCACGAGTAAAAGGTTCAAAAGGACTGAATTAATACCTTCCTGTGCTAGATCGAGCAAGTTGAATAGCCCTTGTTTTCACAACAGAAGGTTTTCCACTGTAATAAAATCCAGTTAAATCAAGTGCTTGTGTTGCAACTCCACCCAAAACTGCCAAGACATTGGCTGACTTACTGGAAGAACATAGTAAATAGTTAGTTAAGAATAGGAAGGACGATAGCATACCATCAGAAACACTTTCATACCTCTTTGCAAACTTGTGAAAGTCCCAATGGATAAATTTAAGTTGTTTTTCTTCTGGAAGGATCTGGTTTAGATACCCCACAGCATTAGCAAATTCACGTCTCAACATCATTTCCCGTGGCCTTTTTTCAACTGTCTGGAATAAAACAAGTATATGTAAGGGAGGAAAAGAAAAAGAGAGGAAGTTACACTTAGACCATACAAAACTAGATTGTAGCATTGATTATTTTTGGGAATTGCTCATACCAAAATAATAAACAAAGTACAAACCTTAATCAGATTAAGAACAATGATTGGGTTTCCGTATCTTTTTTCCAGATCTTCAAAATGCAGTTTGGTGGCCTCATATGTAGGATCATACCTTTGCACTTTAAGGTAATCAAATAAATCTATAAGTCAATAAACAGTATAGAGATCTATATGTAGAACAAAAAAATGATAACAGAATCATTTTCCTCACATATAATATCAGGTTTGGGACTGAATCTTGAGGCTTCCTGCGACCAGAAAAGCGGAATGGAACCCCTCATTTGCACGACAGAACTCATTTTTCCTTTGCATGACCCAGCTTCTTCATCAAGAACAATCTGCTCTGTTTCAACATCGTTAGCTACCCTTCCATGATCATTAACTCCACGTTTGAGATAACTGCACCAAGCCAAATAAGAGATTGGATTTTCGTCTTGTGAACGAGACCATACAGAAAACAAACATACAACTCCCTATTTGGGGGCATGGATTATTTTTCATAGCATACAAGAAAGTGTAAAGCCAAGCATCATAATATATAGGGTCAATATGGATAATAATATCTAGAATATATTTTGCCACATGCAAGGAAGCTCACAAAACATGTGAATCCATTTACATAACATGCACTATGTCCATTAGGCCCAGAACAATTAAGTGTTTCGAAGTAAAATGGTATGTTCGCCATTACCAACTGCTCATTCTTGGACGGACTCTGTTCAATGTTTCTCTAGGCCGATAATAGTTCTAGTTTAAGCAAGGGTTTTCAACACCAACGCCATGCCATGAGCAAGCTATAAACATAACTTCAAAACTAGGAATAAAAAAGGTGAAACAATTTGTAGGACAAGCAGATTATATGAAATGAAGCAGAAACACTAGCCAACAGCCAGAGGCAATTTCGTATTCTTATAGACACACAACACAAGAAAGAAACAGCAAATACAATGAACTCCTCATATCATTTGTTTAGAACAGTTTGGTAATTTTACAGAATTAAAGGATAACTGTAAACTGAAGTAACTGTTAAAATAGGTTTAGAAGAATGAAACAAGTTTTACCGTGTTCCAGCAAAATGGCGAGACCGTCTTGAAACCAAAGAAACACTAAAATCTCTTCCAAAAACAGACAGCCTAACCTGCGGTCAATCTAATATATTAGAAAGTATATGAAAGGAGGAATGTCAAGTAAATAAACAGAAAATCACATAGGTAAGAATCAGGAAACCGTTGAAGGTTACAAGTCCACATGTAAGATAACATGAAAGATAATATTGGAGTATTAAACAGATGTTGATCTTCGTAGAATGATATGCTGTCTGGATATACAAATTCAGCAGTAACCTCGTAATCAGGAATCTTTAATATTCCTATGGTAATGAATATTGTTTACAGCGAGAGGGGTATGAATTAGATCAGCATGAAAATCCATCCAAACCATTTCTAGATTTTGAAAACTTATAGGAAGAGAGAAGAATGCATAATCTAGGTGACATTTAGAACTTAACTAAAGTCACGAACCTGTTTGAAATTCCCATGAACCAGAGCTACTGTCCAAATGGTGTCCTTGCATGTTGCTCGAATTGCTTCCGTTAGAAAAGCATTCCAAACAAATATATTATCATATGGCATACCCTCTTCACCAGATGATAGCACATTTTTCTGTAAACTTTGCATTATTGGATATGTATAGCTATAAAAGAAGTCTTTTGTCAAATCAACACTTGATAAAAGCTTCTTGTACCTGCCAATGAAGCATTTTACCAATTATGAACATGAGTGACAAATATCACTTCACATGCAAGTTTTTTCATAAAACAAATTGTTGATGTACTGATTGTGAACACATAACATTCACCTAAAATGACCAAAAAGGCAGAAAAGTGGCAAAAATAGCTTGTTGTATCATAAAACTATTAGTTGATCAATGCATCTATATGCAGCATACAGAGGGATCAAACCTTGCTTCCTCCAAATATTAAAGTTCTGACAGAGTAACAAAGTACTCTTGAGTAAACCTACATTCAATCACACAAAAGGTGCTGCACAAAGAGATTTAATTATAGTTCTCTCTTGAATGACTAATTTTATTTGATGCTCTACAACTTTGAAGTAGCTCAATATACATGAGTTCCTAGAGTTTTTCACATTATTGTTGATTTCTATAGGGGCTTCAATGGCCAAAAAAAAAATCAACATAGGCCATGTTCATCACTGAGGGAATCAGAAGGCATCAGTGCTCCATATATAGTGAACTTGCTTACAGAAAGAAGATAAATGGCGATGATGGAAACAAGAAACAAGCGAAGCTACTGACTTACCGAAGCTCATTTTTAGAATGAGCAACATCGGTTTGAACAGAGACATGCGGAATGGTAATTATTTGACTCTCATCTATACAATATATAGCATGACCGCATATGGAACCAATTTGTCGTCGCTTTGTCACCAGTATCAGATAGTATGATTCCAGGAATTTAATGCAGCCTATAATGTAACAAAGAAATGAAAAACAACTCATATAGCAATTGAATTGGTGTTTTAAATCTAACAAAGAAAAAATATCCCATCAATTGCAGGTCAATGCATATTAGTGGTTAGTATCTAGACTCACCAGCGATTCCATATACCTTGGCAACAAAATTTAACCCTCCAGTGGCACGATTGCCCTCAGCAATCCGCTGGAGCAAGCTCTTGACTTCCTGTGGTGGATAAACCACAGGGTCTTCACTGATATTCAAATCAGAAGGCTCCATTCTGTCAATCTTCAACACTCGGAAGAATTGCTTGTTCCTATCACTTCCAATCAAGTAATACCTCTGAAAGATGAATAGGCTTATAGTAAGGTTTCTCCAAAAATATCAGATTGAAACTTAATGGGTTTCATACTATCAAATACACAAACTTCTTGCTCATATCTCTGTCACCAGAATAAGGGTAACATGGAAACAGAAGAACAAACCTAATCATGATAGATAAGTAACATTTGAATTATCAATTGGAGCTAAACCAAAAAAAGCCCTACTGTGCTGTGTTTCAATAGACGTTAATTTTAGCCAAATACACCAATTTGATAAAGTCAAAACCATTGGGACTATAAGATTAACAACACTATCCCAAGATAACACTGAATGGTTGTTTAGTATTTCCGCAGGAATAAGAAAAAAGTATGTTTATAACTCTTCATATATCTTCCTATTAGATGTTTCTTCCATCACTTTCAGTGATGGGAAGAAACATAACTACATAACTGGAAAAAGATAATTTGTAGCCCATTATCCTATCAAGGTTTGCTGATCAAACTAAATTGAAAATTCATCAGTAATGATATTATCAAAGAGAACCCTTTCGCTGCCATGCGCTTAAAGAAAGGATCTGATCGAGTAGGAGTGAGCGATCATAGCAAGAAAATAAAATGATAATTAATCAACTCTAATTTCAAAGAAGAAACACCCGGATTAAATTAACTTCCTTGCACATAAAAAGATAAAAGTAATCCAACCGCACGGGTTTCGTAGAGTCGGAATTTCTCCAAGGAGTATGACTTGGCATCAGGTGGAATCTCCGGGTCGTTCGCAGGGTGAATTTTGGAAGAATTTGATCCGTAAGTCGGAGGAAGATTCCCTGAATTGGATTTCTGGCTCTCCGATTTCGCCATGCCGCAGGAACTGGGTCTGCGGTGGCTGCGTTCGGCGGTGGCGTCAGCGGCGGTCGGTCGGTCGATTTTGGGTGGAGGGAGAATTTGGGTGTGAGAGTTAACAAGGGGAGGAAGGGAAATAGGGGAGGCTGATACGCAAAAATGGTAACTTGTGATTTAAAACAAGAAGAAAGATAATAAACATTTATACAGCTGTTGGTTAGACAGAGTAGAGTAGCTTGGATAAATTTTCGATCTTGATACAATTTTAGTACTCTCTCCTATATCTTCGCCTCCTTTCATTTGAATCAATCAGACCCTTGCGATTCTTCTCTGCCTTTTTAGACTAAAAAGCGTGGTTAACTTTTTCCTTCTTCATTTTTAAACTAAAAGCGTGTCTACAATGTTAACGTTATCGACGCCACACTCTCATTATCCATTCCAAAACAAACCTCAGAACTCAACAAGTCAGTCAGTCAGACATACAGACAGCAATCCAGAATGCAGACACTGCACATGTTCGTCAACAGCATCACCTCCCCAGCGCCACTGATCCATCCTCGGACGCCAGAGAAGCAAGAAAAAGGTAGGAGGAACTTGACACTCCATGCTGCAAAATCTGGCTCTGGGGGACTTCCATTCAAGTCTTCTGTACGTAGTGCTCAAAACTGCCCTGCCACTCATTCTCATTTCTTGCATATAACAATATCTTGAGAGGCAGACAGGACAGGATCGATCGAATCGAGAGATGCCCTTATCCTCCCTCCCTTATTTTCTATTACCATACAGAGTTACAGACATATTTCTGTTAATACAAACCTGCTGTTCTGTGGTGTGCAGATGGCGAAGAGGTGTGGAACATGTAAGGGGCAAGGTGCAATAGAATGCCCTGGTTGTAAGGTCTTTATTTCCTCATTCGATCTCCTCAACTGTTTGTTAATGATTCTTTGTCTGAAGTGAGATGGATGGATGCATTTCAGGGGACAGGAAAGAACAAGAAAAATGGGAACATCTTTGAGAGATGGAAGTGAGTTATCTATCTACCTCTATCTAATGATTCTAATCGATGATCATGATCAAGAAAGTGCTATCTTACATTGGAGTGTTTGTTATGTTCTGAAAATTATTTGTGAAGGTGCTTTGAGTGCCAAGGATTTGGGTTCAAAAGCTGTCCTGTTTGTGGGAAAGGAGGGCTGACACCAGAACAGCGTGGGGAGAGATGAACAAGAAACAAGAAAAAAGATTGCTAATGAAGTAATAAACATGCATATATAAGTATAACCACACCTTTTAATAGTTATTGCATCTGGGATTGGTTTGGTGTTATAACAGCAGCATTATCTTTGTTATCTGATCACTCTTCAGTCTTCACTCATCCATCAATGGCACCCTTGTCTTAATGCCTTACCACCTCTGGCTCTACTGTTGTCTCAATATATATATATATACTATGTCTTGTATTTACAAATTTCAACTTTTGATTTGTTGAACTCAGTTTTGAAGTTACCAATATTGAAATATTTTCAACTATAGCAACATTGAACATTACTTATTCTCATTGAGTTTGTTCTTACTTTTGACTTGAGTAAATTTTTTTAAAAAAATTCATATTTAAGAATGTTAAAGAATAATATTGATTTTAAATATATATTTATAAATTTTAGAGTGATACATATTTTTTTTTTAAGGTTAAATTTTTATATAAAGCACATATGTAACATATTAATATTATATTTTTAGAGGGTAGAAGATACTCCCTCAATCTTTTAACAATTTATCATTTTTTTACTTTGGTCCGTCTCATAACAAAATATCTGTTTTTTTTTTTTTTTTTTTTTTTTTATAAAAGTACTATCTAGTTGACGTTACAAATACCCTTCTAATTTACAATATATTACACAAATGACATTACTTTTATATCATACAATACTAATATTATGGTTAATTTAGTCCTCTTACCTTTATTTCGGCTTTATGCCAATATAATACTAATATTCCTAAAATCCCGTGCATAAATAAAATAGATAGATAGATTGGGGACAGAGGGAGTATTTGTTTTTGTTTTGATTTCAAATAATTTATTTTTTACCCTTCAATCTACATTTATATAAAGATGAGTATTTTTTTTTCTCACATAATATTAAATAAAATTATTACTGAAAAACTAAAATTAAAAAAAAAAAAAAATCAAACAAACCCAAAAATAAAAATAATAATAAAAATGAATTAGCGTATATCTTATTGCATCCTTTCCTAATAAATTATGAGTTTTTTTTTAAAATTTTTTATATATATTACTGACATTCACAATTTTGTATTCAAATATTCATATTACATATTTATAATATAAATTAAATAGAATTCTTAGTTCATGCAAATATTATGATTGCATTATTTTAGTATACATACAATAAAGAGTTTGACAAAGTTCATTGGGCTTGATCCATTGGTCAATCCGCCATGTGATGGGCGAGATATTTGGGCCAGGCCCAATTAAAATGCCCAAAGCCTGAATTTCGTCTTCCGGCTGACGTTTTGATTAATCGTCTGCGAGTGGAGATAGGAATGTAAAAATAGCACCGCAGTAATCAGTGGTTTATATAAACAATAAGGGAGCAGTGAAAGCCCATTCCGTCAAATTTCCCAATTGCCTCGATCTCAAGAAATCTCTTGATCAATCCATTTTCCAAATCCTCTTTTTCTCTTCTCTCAATTGCAATCTTGAATCGGCGATTTCGCCGGAAGGAAGAACAATGTCAGAAGCAACGTCGCAGAGCAATCCGCCGGAGAACGACGTAATCGGCTCCTACTTCCTCGATCTCTGGAGACACACTTCAAGAACCCTAGCGGTTAAACCCGAAACAGACTCTGAATTCGAGCAGGACGAAGAACCTCCGACGGCACTGGACACGGTGAACAGCTCCGGCGGATTCTCACTGGTGGGCCATGATAAGCTCTCGCTTTTGTATCCGAATGCTCACATGCATGGTCACGATGTCGGAGTGGTTCAGGCGAATCGCCCCGCCCCTACGAAGCGACTTCTTTATTATTTTGAGATTTTTGTAAAGAACGCTGGGCAGAAGGGGCAGATTGCCATCGGATTTACTACTGCTGGCTTTAAAGTCCGTCGCCAACCGGGGTATGTTTCACGTCTTGTCCTCTCGCGGCGTCTATATAATTAAGTTGATTTGCTTTTCTTGTTGTATTGAGTTTATTTAGATGTTTCAGCGACGGAACGTATAGTTGAGGCTCGATAGTTTTTTTTGGATTTTGTCATTGTTGATTCTATAGTCTACTGAAAGATGGTTCTTGTAGTTGAGAGATGGACTAATAATTCAAGTTTCAAGAATAACTGCTTGTGCTACATGAATGATGATGCTAGGTATTTAACTGCTCTGCACAGTCTTTTGATTTTAAAGTAAGCAGAAATTTTGTTCTAGTCAGTTTCTTTCAGCGCTATGTTCCTTATGTTTACCGTTTCTTTTCTTGGGTCTTTATCAGTCGGAAATTGGAAATTCATGTGCATTTATTATTATATCATTGTTTCTCAGATCAATTTGTGTATTATTAAAATCAGAACTTTTAGTACTTCTGACTGCTTCGCAATTCTTTAAGCACCTTGAGTCTTAAAGTTAATGAAAAATGTGACTTCTTCTTGATTAATTCTAAATATAAGATCAAATTCAATATAGTGTTACATAACCTGGTATTAAAGAGTTCTGTAGTATCGGTTTTACTCTTAGTGTATAAGGTCTGGTCTTGTTTCATTTTCTATCTGTTTGGAGATATTTGATTCAGTTTTCAATTGTTAGTACATGCTTATAAACTGGTATTATTCTCAAGTCCTTATTGATGTTTCTGTATCCTACAGATGGGAAGCAAACAGTTGTGGATATCATGGTGATGATGGACTGTTATATTGTGGACATGGAAAGGGAGAAACTTTTGGCCCAACATATACAACTGGTGATACTGTTGGTGGTGGTGTCAATTATGAAGCACAAGAATTCTTTTTCACGTATGATAGTTATGCATTTTAGATTCATCTATGGAGTTAAAACTTCTCAGACTGATGTAATTGGGGTCTTGAATGTTGAGATTAAAAGGCACCAAATATGTTGAATGAAGTTCAACTGGCATTCTAGTTTCTGTTATTGTATGCCTGCTGTTTGGTTATTGTATAGTAGTTATTGTCATCCAGTGTTCTCACTTACACCAAATTTTATTTTCCTTCTACCTTACCAGGAAAAATGGGGCCGTAGTAGGATCTGTGATTAAGGATGTTAGAGGTCCGGTATATCCTACAGTTGCTGTTCACAGTCAAAATGAGGAGTAAATATCTTATCGTTCATTATCTCATTCGATAGCACACCTTGTACATATTTCTAGTGGTCTATTTTGGCCACACCTGTTCCGAGGCTGTATTTACTGCATTCAAGTATTTAATAATGAGATAGTGGCTCGTGCTGATAGAATGTTGATCTTGCTGTGGCAGGGTGATTGTTAACTTCGGAAAGGACCCATTTGTCTTTGATATTAAAGTAAGCTACTACACTCTAGAGTTTATTTCACTTATCTTCAGTTAAAATTATAGTTTTCTGAAGTTTCGGGGACTATCTTCAGTTAAAATTATAGTTTTCTGAGAATCGGTAAATGTAAATTGAGTTAACATGCAGCATGTCCACATCCTCGTGTTAGTTTCAGGGACTTGTCTTCAGTTAAAATTATAGTTTTCTGAAGTTTCAGGGACTTATCTTCAGTTAAAATAATAGTTTTCTGAGAAACGATAAATGTAATTTAAGTTCATGCAAAAATAAAATAAAATATCCCTCTTTGAATAAAGGACACAATAGAAATTTTGGTTGTTTAAATGCTCTCTTTTCCTAAATGTCATCATATTTATTTGAAAGAAAGGAATTAAATAGAAGCATTGAGCATTGTGCTATACTTCTATATTCATTCTACTGATATTTGGTGGTATTGGTTCACTTAATAGGCATATGAAGCAGAAGAGAGAACTAAACAACAGATGAGAGTTGACTCCATCTCAATATCACAGGAGACCAGTTATGGGTATGTTCATGAGTTTTACAGTAAGGAAGTCAGGGATCTGTCGTTAGTACAAGAAGGAACAGTTTGAGGTTTGGTCTAATTGCATTTAGTATTTACCAAACCTACGAAAAGCGAGGTTATGACCTGGTAAAGAGTAGATATTTATTACTGGACAGAATGATGACAGATTATAAAATCTCCTGTATAAGCATAGTCTTAGGATATTAATTCCACTTTCAAAACTAAGGTTGCTTTGTTGACATCTTAAAATTAAGGTCCTGTCTTCAAGGCTGACATCTCAACAGCTTGAATCATAACATAATATATGAGGTGCTCTGATCCATTCTTACCTGATCAGTGCACTTTTGAAGTCCTCAACTATTAGTAATTTTTTTATGCAATGCCTTAAATTATTTTTTCTTTCTTATTTACATTGGCACCTTCTTTTCCAGAATAGTTCGATCATATTTACAACATTATGGATATGAAGATACTCTGAGATTGTTTGATGTTGCTGGGAAAAGTACTGTGCCTCCTATAACTCTGTCTTCAGGAAGCATTTTAAATGAGGAGGCCCAAACGTATGCCTTAAATCAGAGGAAGATTATACGTCAGGTATTACAACAATCATGTTTTTGTAGATGCCTTGTGCAGGTTCTCATTTTCCCGTATCTCCTTTAATGGCCATTGTCAACATACTTTTCTGTTGTTTGATTGAAGATTTCTTTGTCTCGAATTTGTGTTCTTTCAGTAAATTCTTGTTGAATTAGCTCCAAAATCAAATATCAATTATAGGTGCTAGAATTTCATTATTTATTATTTATTTTCTCAAATTCTTTTTCAAGCTTGTGTGCTGAAAATGATCAGCATGATTTACTAGGCCCTAAAAACTGAGAAAGTTACCATGCATGTCCTCGATGAACTTTTCACAATTGTACTTAGGAATTAGTTTTCTTTCCACTTTTTGACTAAAAACTTTTGAGTTATACATGTTTTCCAGTATGGGAATTGGATTCTGGATTAACCCATTGTATTGAAGTTCTGATTGATTGTTTTTGCTTGTTGGTGATGTAGCTAATAAAATCTGGTCAGATTGATGAGACATTTTCTACTCTCAACCATTGGTATCCTCAACTTGTTCAGGTAGATGTTCTTGCTTTATTCTTCCATGGAATCGGTGCCAACTATTACAGCATTTTTCTGGCTTTTCTTTCCTAAATGTGCTTGTGGAAAGGACTCTATTCTCCTCCCCCTTCTAGCATGCTTGACTGTCCAGTACTATTGTAGCCTTGTACCTATGTGAATTATGTCATGCCATTTCTGTATTGCATAATCAAGATGTTCTTATCATATAAGTTCTTTCTATATGACATTTGTCTCAGATTGTTGGTGAGTTTTTCCCCTGCACTACTTATATATCTGCTTTCGTAACAGTTGATCTTCTTTTTACAGGATCAGACATCGATTATATTCCTTTTGCTACGCTGCCAAAAATTTATCGAGCTTGTCCGGGTAATTAAATTTTTGTGTTTTTTATTAGAGCACACATTAAGATGGTGGCTAGAAAATTATATGATACTGAAAGCATGAACATTAGGCTTAGTATGCCTTCTATTAACTGCTGTTAGGAATTAGGAATTGTGTGCTGTATAACTTGTCTCAATCTGCTCCAAAAAGTTAAATCAGTTATCTCTAGCAGAACTGGTTTTAGTGAATAGCATTTAAATTTAGAACAAAATGAAAAAGGAGAGAGGAGCAATGGCTGGTCAGTAAAGTATTTATGTTTGTAAGACCCTAATGTGCCGGTTATAGGCCTCATCAATATATTCCCATCACTGCCTCTTGTTCACTTAAAAGTTTTATGCAAGGCTGGAAGTTCAAAAAATGTTTTTGATTGCTTGTGAAGGGGAGTATCAAATGTTTCAAGTCATTCAATTGTAGAAAGTTTCACACAAGGTATTATTTAGTCATTAGGATGCTAACTTCAACATTCCCAGGTCTATGCAGTATGTGTATCATGTTTTTTAATATACATAGATTGTACTTTGGCTGAAGCCTGCAATCATTTTTTTGTTTATTATTTGTGCCGACTTAATTGATTTGTGCTACACTGCTATTACTCCTTCAATTATTTTATCTGATATTGGATTGAGGGATACAGTACTATTTTGCGTTCTTAGTTGATGATGCATCATTCTTGGTAGGAATTGCCCAATTCAATCTGCTCTTCATCGCAGGAAAACAAAGTAGAGGAAGCTGTAATGTATGGTAGAAGAGAATTCGACAGGTTTAGGAAGTGTGCAGTAAATGATGACCTAATCAAGGTGGGTTCAAAGGGGTCTTCATTTCAGTGCATATTTTCAGTCTTTGAAACATTCTTGAACTTGCTCTTCACATCGCATGCACTGTATCACTAGATTATGATTTTTCCTCCTTGGATATCTACACACACAGATATCAACGCACTATTGGAAATTGTGATATTATTTTGTACAAGTGGGGTGGCTGTAATTCATGATGATACTCTCTTCTCATTCTAGGATTGTGCTGCTTTAATAGCATATGAGCAACCGAGCAAATCATCTGTCGGTTACCTCCTTGGAGATTCTCAACGGGAGCTTGTTGCTGATCTTGTGAATGCAATGATATTATCAACAAATCCCAAAGTAACAGACCCCAGTGCTTGCTTGCACTCATGCCTCGACAAGATTGTAAGGCAAATCACTGTTTGTTTTTTGGAAAAGAGGGCCGTTAATGGCGACCAGGGTGAAGCCTTCAATTTGAGCAGAGTTCTGAAGAGTGGCAAGAAAGATTAAGCCCCCACCCAGGCTCTGATCTGGACCGGCTATGTTTTTTGTGCATTCGCCCTTTCATCACCACCGCTGCCCTACTTCTGGTTACGAGACTTGTGTTGGCTGGCGAGCCCGCATAAATAATTATTTGATCCATCATCTGCTCTTACAGCCAACAATACGACGAGTGGTAGCTAGCTAAATGAATGTAATGAAAATACTCTAGTTTGTCTTTGTACAGGTTGAATTCCCATTTGTTCTGTAAAACATGCACTTCTTTCTTTCAGTACATGATGTTCCCTTCCCTATATTTCAGTCTACAGCTAATAAATTATACAATAAAGATTTTCTTGTGGAATTTACAATGTCTATATATATATATATATACTAGCATTTACACCGGTGTATATATAATTAAAATATGTTTAATGTAATATTGTATAATTATATATTTATATATTTGATAAATTTTACATATATGATTTATTTATAATTTATAAAATAAATATATATAATAAAATTATTTTTATACTATATAAATAAAAGTAAATAAAATATTATAGATGGAATCGTATATAATATAAATCATAGCATTTAAGTAAAAGTTATTTTATAAACTACGGAAAAAATATATAATTAAAAAAAAAAATAGAAAAAAAATAGTTATAAAATATAATCTATAAAATTAATGATTTTTTTTTTAAATTTGAAAAAAAAATTCAAAAACTGTGAATCTTCAATCATTCTCTATCTTTATTTTATTTTAAAATTAAAATTAATATAAAAGTAAAATTTGTTGAGAAATATACAAAAGAAATGAGAATATAAGTTTTTTTAAAAAAATAATTAAAATTAAATTTATAAAATTTAAAAAGTGTATATATATCTACTAACACTGTAAAAGAACTGTAAAAATTATATATTTTTTAAATATCTTACTATAACGATAAAAAACTGTAAAACAAAAAAAATCAAAAAATTAAAAAATATCAAAATTGAGGAATTAGAATTGATCTCAAATACATAATATATAATATATAGAATAAATCTTGTATAAGTGGAGAGACAAGAATCTCAATATTATGTCGAATATTTTTCCATTTTAAATGACTTAAAAAGGAAAAGTGCATGGCTAAGGTTGGTGGCCCTTCTCACCTCTGAAAACAAGAATGGCACGTGAATTGCGCTCCTTCTCTCACTTTCATCCCTCCCTCCCTCCCTTTGATTGTTTCTTCTTCACATAAAAAAAGAACACATGAAATATACACACACACACACGTACATACACATACATCAAGTAACAAAAATATACATACATTGATTGCAAGTTTTCCTGTGTTCATCTTCTCCTCCCCTACTCCAGATATCCAGAAGACCTTCAATTTCTGGAATTTTGGACTCTGGGGAACATTGCATTGCATTCTGCTGCTTTCCTTTGTTCATGACAAAGCTATATATAATAGATCTTCATCATCCATCCATCCATAATTCTGATTTACATCAGTAATCCTATTTCTTCTCTATTCTTGTGCATGGATTTTATGGATTGTTCTTGAAATGCATTATTAGCAAGCACATAAATCATTCCCATGTCTTTTAACAGGCAATGGAAAGCACAAATGGATTGTTGAAAAGCCCCGCGTTATGCGCCTCATTTCACCCTTTTTCCTTCTCCCGAGATTCTTCATCTATTGAATCCACAGAAGATTTCCAGTATGGAGAATACACAAATTACCACCAGCGTTGCTCCTCAGAGAGCTTTCTATTCGACGAACAGCCGCCATGGCTTGATGAGCTTTTAAAGGATCCAGAAAGTCCTTCCCTGAGAGTCCATCATAGGCGCTCAGCAAGCGATTCTTTTGCATACCTGGAAGAAGCAGCTGAAACATTTAATGAGTGTGAGGAATCCAAATATAGATTTGCAGATTTTAGGGCCCCAGCAGTATCAAACAATTTACTCAAGTATAAAGATGCATGCAACCTTTCCACCGAGAGCAAGGCGACACCATTTTTTGAGAAAATTAGCCAGGTTTTGGAGCAATAAAAACATTTTGGGATATCATAAACTAGCTAAATACAAGAAAGATGCAGTCGGAGTCTCAGACAATAACAAGTGGAATTATACCCTTCTTTCAGGAGCCAGAAGAAGTAGATCATAGCAGAGCTGAATCTAGTCCACAAAACCTCGAGGGCTCTGCGGATAAAGATGCTGGTTCTCAAGCTAGGCCTGCAGGACCAAAGTTGGATTCGAAACGAAAACAGTAAGAATATTGCTCATACTCTCCAAATGCTGGCATTAAATTATTGTTCTGTTATCACATTATTTCTGAATTTCATTGGATCCCTACTCTAGCAATTGTATTATGACTTTCTATTCCATTACAATAGCTCCACAAGGTGAAGTTAATGATACAATCATTGAAGTATGCTTTAAATACTGAGAATCTGATGTGCAGGCATAATGCTCACCGGTCAAGGGTAAGGAAACTACAGTACATAGCTCATCTTGAAAAGACTGTTGACATGTTAAAGGTAAGATATCTTTGAAGAAGAAAAAAAGTACAAAATAAGAACATCATTGGCTCATTGGTACATGAATATTTGCAGTACTCAATTTTTTTCTTGCATCATGTAACAGGTAGAGGGAACTGGAATTTCTGCTGAACTTGAGTTCCTTGAGCAGCAGAATATGATCTTAACCATGGAAAACAGGGCATTGAGACAGCGCCTAGAGAGTGTCTCACAGGAGCAGATCATCAAACAATGTATGTTACTGGTTCTATAAAGTTTATTGCTTCTATAGTTTCATCTGAATGCTTTATTGCACAGATACATCAACACTGTTAAAAGGGTTCTTGCAATCCACTGACAATGCTTTCTCGAAAATTGTTTTTTAGGGGAGCAAGGTATGCTAGAGAGAGAAATTGCAAGGTTGCAAAGCCTGCATTATCTACAGAAACAACAGCAAATGCACATGCACCAGCAACCAAAACATCGTAGAAACAAAAGCAGGGATCTTGATCATCAATCAAACAGCTCTTCTATGAAGAATAATGATGCCAGTTCTAGCAAAGGTTCAGTCAATGATTCTGCTCAGGCATAGATAAGATGTGTCTGCAATTCTCACTAGCCAAAACCCACAACACATGCAAGATTTTTCTCCTGTATTTTACTTGTTTTTGGTAATGGCATTGCTTGTCGATGTCATTGCCACTACTAATTTTATGTCCTACTACTGAAAATGATAGGCAGACAGTTTTGAAATAGAAATTGGCAGTTGTGAAGTAGAAGCAATACATCATTTAAATTTCAACATTGTTTACGCTACACCAATTTAGGGCTTTTGTGTGTTTTTTTTCAAGTACACAAGGGATCGATCAGTTCCCATTTTTTCCCCCATTTATTACATCAAAATTTAACCAATTTATTTGGCTTTGTTCCGTGCTCAATGAAATTAACAAATAAATAGTAGTGTTATTTGTCTATTTTAATAAAGATATTTTTGCATTTAAGCCCGTTTGTTTTTACCTAAAAAAAACACTTACTAAATACAAAAGCACAAACCCATATTTAAGTTTCATTTATTACTCACTTTTTAGGCTTTTCACAGCATCTGATTCTTGAATTCTCATTCGAACAGGATTTCGTAATCTGGTAATAGAAATCCTATATGGCAGCTAAGGATAAGGATTTAGGAAGAACATGTTCTGAAGTTATAGCATCTTCCTTAACTTCTTAGACTAGGCTACAACTTATAACTGCTATCAATAAATACCATATTTACTTACTGTGCATTGAATTGAGCAATTTGGGTCTTGTTTTAATTCCATCTGCAGCGTCTTTGAAAGCTTACCCACGATCCCACTTTCTTTCCTTGCCATTTTCACATGACCCCGTGTTCCTCGCACCCCACACGCTTCAAGAATCTCGCCACAGTAGCAGCAAGACTTGGAATTCTTCTTCATCCTAGTAGCACGTACTATTAATTAATCGGCCGAGGAAAAAAGGGTTCGATTCTTATCCCATTGATGCCAAAGATCTGAGCTTTTATCTTGATGTTTGAACTCTATAGCTAGGATAGACGAGTAATTCGTCCTTAATTCGTGAGTTGAGCTCGGAAATTCTAGAATTATGCATGGGCTTAGCCGCCTGGGCAACGAGGCGAGCTCTTTATCTCCTCCATCGTCTCCCCGCCACCGCGGTAGAAAAAGCTCCAGCTCCGCCATCAATTCCAGCGCCGGCGGGGGGAGTTTCCGCAGCGGTGGCGGCCCCGGCGGTGGGAGGGTGCAATTGAAGAATGTAGTGGAGAGATTTGGGTATTTTTTAATTTCAGCAATGTATAGGAGAAGAGGGGTGCTTTTAGTTGCTCCCTTGCTGTACATCTCTGTGATGCTTATGTATTTGGGTATAATAGGGTTGGATGTTGTGAATAATTTTAGTAGTGGTGGAGGTGATAATGTCGGCCCGGGTTCCGTCTACCGGAGCCCTGAGGTTTTTGAGAAGCTTTGGCCATTTATGGAGGCTGAAAGCAACAGGACCTCTAATTTGGTAAGCTCTGGTTTTTGGTTGATGTATTACTGTTCCATTGAAGTTGAGAGTGAAGGCTGTGAATGTTTATTTGTTTGCACTTGTGTAGTTTGCTGCAATTTGATTGCAACTGTTGCATTAGATGTGCTTAGCAACTTAGAGATTGGTTATTAAACTGAGGCGTAGCCTATGCTCTATTGAATTTGATCACTTCAATATGCATTCAATGAAACCATTGAGTTTTGAATGTTGTTGGACAATGGATATGTTATAGCTGTTCCAATGAAACTTTTCAATTTTAGGATTGGCTTAGATTCCGGATTTGATCAAGAATGATAACTTTGTTGACATCCATTTCCTGTCAATTTGTGGGAGGATGTTTCTGATATGCATTCATAACTATTCCTGAAGTTTATCAATATGTGTATGGCTAATTTTATGCAGTTAATGAATGTTTGGAACCCGAAGCGGCGGCAAGGTTGGAAGCCATGTATCACACAAGCTTTTCCTTCCTCGGGTGTGTGATGAGGGAATTTATAGTATATCGAACATTCTCAGGTACTTATTGGGTGTAGTTTTGCTAATCTGATCCTCTTACCTTTGTGCTTGAAAGGCTTGTCTGAGTTACCCAAGTCAAACGGTTACCTTATCATTGAAGCAAACGGTGGGCTGAATCAGCAGCGTATATCGGTATGTTTACCTCAGAAATATTGATACTTTGTATACAAGCATACGTAAAAATGGTTGAATATTATAAGAAGAAAACAGAGATACTTTTATGCCAAAGAATCTGCTGCTGCTAACTTTTGCTTTTGAAATACAGATATGCGATGCCGTTGCAGTGGCTGGCTTACTGAATGCAACGCTTGTTATTCCCATATTTCATTTGAACAGTGTCTGGAAAGATTCCAGGTGAGGATAGCTTCTGTTAGGATTATATGATTTACTGTCGTTGATGTATTAATTTTCATCGACATGAATTGCCATATTTTTCTTGCTGCAGCAAGTTTGGTGATATCTTCGATGAGCATTTCTTCATGTATGCCCTCAGAAAACACGTTAATGTGATCAGAGAACTTCCGGAAGATATACTCCAGCAATTTGATCACAACATTAGCAGCATAGTGAATTTGAGGATAAAAGCGTGGTCGAGTCCGACTCACTATCTTGAAAAGGTTCTACCAAAGCTGCTTGAGTTGAAGTATGTACAAAATTGCTACATATTCTTCGTTGCTATTAAAATCATGTATATATATCACCGTGATAGATGTTTATAACGATTTCTTGTCAGGGCTGTGCGCGTTGCGCCATTCTCTAACAGGTTGGCTCATACAGCTCCTCCGGTTACCCAAGGGCTTCGATGTTTATGCAATTTTGAAGCGCTTAGATTTTCAGAGCCCATACGAATGCTAGCTGCAAAGATGGTTGATCGAATGGTTAAAAAGAGTTCCAAAAGTGGGGGAAAATATGTATCGGTGCATCTTCGATTTGAAGAGGTACTACCATGTCTTTATTATCATAAAAATATTCGTCGACGTTGTATTTTCAGCTTTGCTACATCTGCTTTAACTATCACAACCCTTCATCTTCCAATAAAGGATATGGTTGCATTTTCATGCTGCATATATGATGGTGGTGAAGAAGAAAGACGTGAAATGGATGCTGTTCGTGAAAGAAGTTGGAGAGGGAAATTCCGTAGGAAAGGTCGGGTAATTAGACCGGGTTCCAACCGTGTAGATGGAAAGTGCCCTCTAACTCCCCTTGAGGTATAACCCTGGAGAACAACACCTACTTTCGACTTCATTTTCTGATTTTTGTCATTGTGCATCCAAAATATCATCTCGCTGGTGTATACAGGTGGGGATGATGCTAAGGGGTATGGGATTCGACAACAACACATCTCTCTACGTCGCTGCAGGAAAAATATACAAAGCGGAGAAGTATATGGCTCCCCTAAAACAGATGTTTCCACTTCTAGAAACTAAGGACACGCTTGCCTCCCAAGACGAACTTGCGCCATTTATGGTAATTTATAAACCTCATTAGTCGGCTTACAGAGCTGCTATTCTTTATTTTGAATGCTGCAGTGAATTGCAATTGCCGCGATGCCAGGGCCATTCGTCGAGGCTGGCAGCGCTAGACTACACAGTTTGCCTTCACAGCGAAGTCTTTGTAACAACCCAAGGCGGAAATTTCCCCCATTTCCTGGTCGGTCACAGACGCTACTTCAACGAAGGACATGCCAAGACGATAAAGCCAGACAAGAGGAAGTTAGCACAATTATTTGACAGGCCGAGTATCAGGTAATCTGCAAACTGCCTCCTACTCAGAATCAAGTTCCTTCCAACTTTAATTTACATTCATTCATGTGTATATACACGATCCATTGCAGATGGCTAGACTTTAAACGACAACTCCAGGATATGCTTCACCACAATGATGTGAAGGGGAGCGAGACGAGGAAGCCAAACAACTCCCTCTACATGTATCCTATGCCAGATTGCATGTGCAAGAAATCCGATGCCCGAATTGGATATGGCGGGAATGCAACGAGAACTGCCTAGCTAATTTCATGGAACAGTAAGGCCCCTGAACTTATTTCATTCTTAATTGCATTGAAATTCTTTTGCTGTTGCTATATAGGTAACATTTTGTATCTTACCATTCATTCAATTATGTGTAGTTTTTTCCAAGTCTGTTCTTTGCTGTGATCATCATGTTTTTGCAGTGCACTGCTTGAAAGAACATTCTTTGTAGAGTTAGGTTTGTTTGTTTGTTTTTTAAATGTAAGCAATACACAAATTTAGTTTGAATGTTTTGTACACTCTGTCGCTGTTCATCAACAAGAATTCAAGATCTAAGCTAGGTGGGTGGTGTTTTTATTGTAGTATGTTACAAAAGCTTGATGTACAGGCTGTACTTTTGGCTTTCCATCTTACAAGGGACAAATATCCTAATAATTACAGGTGATTTGGCCATGTTACCCCACATTGAGATGACAATGGCAGCTAGCTAATGACAACCAAGAAAGAGTACATTGATTTGATAAAATTTTAGTGTTATCCTGTCCTGTCTATGACACAAGCCAAGCCAAGGCCAAGTTAGTTAATTAATTCAAAGTGAAAAATGGTGTGAAACTGCTTCATATGGAGTGTTGGATAATATCTTGGTTATCCATCTAAGTTAAGTTGAGTTGTACACATACATACAGTTAATGAGCAAAAGAAAAGGTGGGGGGTTTTGCCGGAAACATATATGGATGGATATCCTTAAAGAACAAGCCATGGAAATCGAAGAAAGCCTTGAAAAAGAATCCAATCCGAACAGGGTTTGGTAGATAGTTTAATATAGTTCCCCACCCCACCCCACCCCACCCCATTTATTCAGGCAGATGTACCAAACCCCATGTGCCCCTTTTCAATGCATTAAAAACACAAACCCCCTTCCCTCCCTCCTTTGTCATGTAACAGAAAGAAAGAAAGAATACACAGTACAGCTGTGTATCTATCCTAGAGAGAGAGAGTGAAAGAGAAAGAAAAAACAGCAGTTAATGTATGGGAGGGAGGGGGTTATTGGATTTGGTTGGTAGGTAGATACACTTTTTAAAAATGCATCATCATCATCATCATCACTGTCCTGGCCCCTCCTCTCTCTCTCTCTCTCTCCAACAAACTAACTAGAGGTCAAAACGAAAGCTTGCATTCTTGTTCCTTCTTCACTGTTTGCCACATACCCTACCCTACCCTACCCTACCCTACCTTCCGAACTAAACTACTGCCTTCAATTTTATTATTACATCACATACGGGTCTATTATGCATACCCCTCCCCTCCCTCCATAACTTATATTTCTTTCACCATCGTCGTTAATCGATCCTTCTTCCATATATCTATCTATGATCCATTAATTATCCCTCCACCTTTCTTTTCTATTTCTCTCAATATACCTAACCACTTGCTTTCTCCTCCCTTTCCTTTTCTTCTCGCTCCCCACCCTCTCTCTTTCTTTCTTTCTCTCTCTATATACACATATATAGTAAAAGAGGAGAGGAAGAAGAAGAAAAAGAAGAAGGGTCTGGTGGTGTTTTCTTATTAATTGAGTTAGAAGAAGAAGGAGAAGAAGACGACGACGACATGGGAAGGTCTCCTTGCTGTGAAAAAGCCCACACCAACAAAGGCGCCTGGACTAAGGAAGAAGACCAACGCCTCATCGATTACATCCGCGCCCATGGCGAAGGCTGCTGGCGTTCCCTCCCCAAAGCCGCAGGTACAACTCCAACTGGATCTCGATTAGATCTACAATTCATAATTTGTACCTTCCTTCTCCTGATCGATATATCGTCGTCCTTTAGGATTGCTCAGGTGCGGAAAGAGCTGCAGATTGAGGTGGATAAATTATCTGAGACCTGATCTCAAAAGAGGCAATTTCTCTGAAGAAGAAGATGAAATCATCATCAAGCTTCACAGCCTGCTTGGAAACAAGTATGTTATGTTTGCAATTTTCTATCTAACATTGCCCAAAACTTTCTAAAATGTTATTTTCAATTAATTCTTGTTCGTGTTCTTGTCCTTTTACAGATGGTCTTTGATTGCCGGAAGATTGCCCGGAAGAACCGACAATGAAATCAAGAACTACTGGAACACGCACATCAAGCGCAAGCTTGTCAGCCGCGGCATCGACCCTCAAACCCACCGCCCGCTCAACGCCACCGCCGCCGCCAAGACTACCCTGGACTTCAGACATTCAAAAGAAGCCTCACCACTGAACCACCCACCCACCACCAACTTCCCCATTCCCGCAACGGATAACTCATCATCGGCCGACGATGCCAAATGCAGCAGCAGCACAACCCAAGACTCCTACGCGCCGCCGAAGGAGGAGGCTGCCGCCGCCTCCGCCGCACTTTCACTTGACTTGGAGCTCTCCATAGGTCTGCCTTCTCAGTCCAAGTATACACATGGCGTCTCCTTTAGTCTGGGGTCTTCCGATGAGTCTAAACCATTCTTCGAACTCTTCTCTCCGTCGCCGTCGACGGCGCAGCGCCGCCGCCGGGAGCCATTTGGTCGTGTTGGCAATTGGCAGTCCGAAGGTTCAGTTGTGTAGCCATAGAAATTTTTAAATTTGGTTCGATCAGATTGGAATTAATTAATTAATGCATCTTTTACTGTAATCATATCATATGTTTTAATTAATACAACCATTTTGAGTTAAATTTGAATTTGAAACCATTGTTTCTTCCAATTGTAATTGTAGCCATAAACTTACAAAACTTAACTGAGTTACTATTATTATTATGATATTATGAAGAAGATAATTTCAAGTAACATGAGTTTGGTTGCCGTACGCAATAATCATGAATTTTGATATTTGATTAATAATGGTCGGTCGCAATACAATTTTAAAAATGCATTGATTATGAATTCTCCAACATTCAAATAAATAATATACATACGTAATCTACCTACCAATGTCATGTGCTATTAAACAATTAACTAATATTTAGTTGAGATAACAACAATGAATACCAATTACTATTATTTTGTCACCACACACTAACATTTTTAATTTTTATTACTTCAAATTTTGAATTGATAAAATGCCAATTATATAGAGTTTCTTGTTTCTAAGTAACAAAGATTATTATGAATTTTCAATGACACGTGAATTCTTATTATGAATTCCAGCGAAATTGACATCAATTATATATCTATCATTTGAGAAGAATTGGTTAAATGTTACGAACGACACATTTGTCAAGATGTGACTTCAAAGATTAAAATATATAATCTACTAAAAATTTAAATGTTGTATTTAAGAAAATAAAATTAGGTGGGGATATACCTCTTTTTAATTATTATTATTATTAGTTACTTGTCCTTTTCACAATTCATTGCTACACACACCAATATACTAATATTTTAATAAGTCTCTGTCGAGTCAACGTAATTTGAATTCAATCTGGTAAAAAAATAATAATAGCAGTACTATAATCTAAAATAGCTTTCATTTTGTGTGTGTGTAAATTTTGGCAAAACATTATAAGAAATTTATATTGTAATAAGAGATCGTTATCTTATTTGTGAGATTTTGGGTATCAATAAATAAATTAAATTGACCTAAATTAATCAAGAATGTTCAATCAACCCATATAATTAATAGCAATTGTAATTTAATTAATAAATCCATATCTTCATATTTATTTAAAAATTGGGCATGTGACATGTTTAGATATTAGGTAACCAATTTTGTGAAAAAAAATAGTTTATGTTAGTTAAAGGCCGGTGGGATGGAACAGATTGGAGGGCATGTGATGTGGCCAAGGATTTTAGGCCAACCAAACACTAATGTGTATAATTATGAAATACTACTTTGCTATTGTGTGTATATATATATATATATATAGATTTATTTTGGGTTGTTATTATTATTATTATAAATGAATAATAGTAAGTTAAAGAGTGAATATCTGGGCCTCGGTCTCGGTCTCGGTGTGTGACATTTGACAGAATCATTGATTAATAGAGCCAAACATATTTAAAAAGCTGTCCTATCAACTAGAAATTGACTAATTTAGTTAGTGGAAGAATTAGGAACATTACTTTTATTTACTGCCAAAAAGGAAAAGCCAAAAATAAATCAATAATTAATTAAAGTTAACATGCATGGCATTGGCAGTCACAATATTTTATTTCTGTAACTATTTTTCTCTCCCAAAGAAGAGTAGATATTACAATAATTTTTAAATAAATAAAAAATGAATAATGCTTTTGGAGGGCATGCTAAACAAAATGGGCCTATGAAATTGCATATACGCAGGTTAGGCCCAAATGTTATTTGAATTGGTGCTGATGATGGATGGGGACAGGTGGCAGTGTTTGATTGGTGTCTCCTCACGTGATCATCATATAAATTTATTCAAGATTGAGCTCTGTGTGTGTGCTGTTGATTGAACCAATTCCACCAAATTTAATATTTATAAGTACAATTTAACATAAGATCAAAGTTTGCTTGTATTCTAAGCTACTTATAATACTATATTGTTATAAATATTAAATTAAATATACAAGTACAAATAAATAAATGCATTTTTATATCATAACTTATTTCAAGATAAATAAGCTTTTAGCTTAACATTTTTTGCATAAGGCAAATATATTCACTTAATGGTAGTATAAAAGTAAAGATAAAACTACATGGTTACAAATAAACGTGTTCAAATTTGGCATTTAGTACATAAATAAAAGCAAAATGCATATCTAGCAACGTAACACATGCTTCTTATACTAATTAATTAATTAATTCATATATATATGTCACCAATAATTAATTAAGCAAACAACAACACTGATCATTTCATTCCATTCGATTTCCACTCCTCAACGCCCTCCGATCACCGGCGGAGGGACGACCTGCTCGGCGGAGCTATCACCACCACCACCACTCTCACCGTCGTCACCCACGACGCCTTCAGACCCAAACAACCCTTCCACCACCTCCTCCGCCTGATCTCCGCCATTGTTCCCGGCCTGAATCCTTTCCACTGATCTCAAACTCGCCGCCACCACCTGCATACTCGGCCTCTCTTCGCCCTTCATCTTCACGCACCACTCCGCAAGCCGACCCACCTCCATTATCTCCTCCAAGCATCCCACCTCTCCCCTAATGTGCTCATCAATCACCTCTGCAAATCTCCCCTCCTTCATCATCCACGCGCAGTAACACGCCAAGCTCCTCTCCTCCTCCGGCCCGGCGAACCGAACCGCTCTCCTCCGAGTCACCAGCTCCAACAACACCACCCCGAAGCTGTAAACATCGCTCTTCGCTGTCAATTGATGTGTCTGCAAATATTCAGGATCCAGGTACCCCGTCGTCCCCTGCACAACCGTGGAAATCTGCATCTGCCCCAGCGGAATCAATCTCGATGCCCCGAAATCAGCCACTTTGGCCGTGAAATTGTTGTCCAGAAGAATGTTGTCCGATTTCACATCTCTGTGGATGATCGGGTTCGAAGGCTCCGAGTGCAGATACGACAGGACCTCCGCCGTCCCCGCCGCGATCCTCAAACGCTTCGGCCAATCAAGAAATCTTGCTTTGGCTTGATCCCGGAGGTGTCCCAAGAGGGTGCCATTGCTGATGAATTCGTACACCAGAAGGGGCACTTCTGTCTCCAAACAGCACCCCAAGAGTTTGACAGCGTTGGGGTGGTTTATTTGGGAAAGAACAATCACCTCATGAACGAACTGCTCGATCTGATCAGGATCGACTATTTTGGACTTCTTGATTGCCACTGTCGTTTCGGATGACAACAGTCCTCTGTAAACTATGCCGAATCCTCCCTGGCCGATGACGTTGCTCTTGTGGAAGTCGTTGGTGGCCTTTTTCAGCTCCGATGAAGTGAAGATTTTCAACATGTCCTGATCGGATCCATCTTTCTTGAGGAGTTTGTTGAGCAGCAACTCGCCGCCGTTGAGAACGAACCACTTGCGCTTCGTCTTTTTCGACTGCCTTCTGTTGTACTCCATGTATGCCAGGCAAGCTATCAGGAGCAGGAAGATGATCCCAAGAGTTGACCCTGGTTTTTTTTGAATAATTAATTAATACTACAATATAATTAATACTACATGTAATGAATCTTGTATCTCACCTGCCGCGATCTCTAATACATGGGATTTTTCAGGACTGCAACCCTTTCCTTCTACTTTGCCATCTCCATGGAACCCTTTAGGACAAGTACAGTTGAAACTCCCTGGTGTATTATGGCATTTGTAATGGCACGACTTGTTCTTGCGATCTGGGTTACACTCGTCAATGTCTGCAACACAATTGAGTTATTTATATAAGCAAATTGATCACACATATATATATATATGTATATTTATACCTTTGCAGCCATTGATGAGATAAGGGTTTCCCTGGTAGCCAGGGTCGCAATAACAGCGGTATCCGTAGCCATTTTCGGGGTGGTGGCAATGGGAATTTCCGCTCTTACAAGCATAGGTTGAAGAGTTCTTCCGAGCGTCCTCACAATTCCCAGTCCCAATAGCCCAATCGAGCACCAAGGGAAGCTTTTCAACCTTGTCCAAATTGGTAAGATTCTGGGGATGAAACCTGAATTCGCCCTCCTCCACAAGAAAGCCATAGGAGCAGTTGGTGATGCTCTGCGCCGTAGAAGACTTGCGGAAACCCGTCTTGACAGTGAGTGTCACATTCCAAACATCGTTAGGAATCGAAGTCTGGCAGCAGCCTGAACCTTCACAAGAACCCTCCTCTGGATCATTTATGGAGCTACACGAGGAGATGCAACCAGTAAAGTAATCCCCTTTCCCTTTGCTCCGCCGCTCCCCGGAAATGGAACCAAAAGAATCGCAGCCCACAACGGTGAACTTATTGGCTGTATTGTTAACTGAGAATAATACAGATAATCTCAAATTGGTGACAGTGTTGGTTTTCAGTTGAGGAGAAACATAACAGCTATCGGACACAAATTGCATGGCTGTCATCTGGCCAAGGAGGGATATGTTGTTGATTTCCATGGCGGTATTTTGCCAGTACAACTTTGGATGATGATGATCATTACTGGTACTGTGGTCGCACCGGACCCAGAAAGGTTCGCTCTTGTAGCACTCCTCGGTAGTGCCGAATGGGTATGGGATCGCAAGTTTGCCACAGCGATCCAAGCAACCGGGCTTTGCCATTACGGGCTCGACCTGATCAGTACGTATACTCTTTTCTGATGCAGCTGCACCTGCAACTGCAATAATTAGGGTTTGCAGCAGCAGCAGCAGCAGCCATTGGAAGTGCTCATGATCAATAAGCCTCCCCATCCAAGGTACTAGCTCTCTGTGTGTGTGTTGGGTAAATTATAGTATTAAAAGAACTCGATCGATGGCAAGAGCTAACATATATATGTATATCATGAATGCAATGCTGATCGACAATGGATTGTTTGTTTGTGTGCCTCGTATGTACGTACAATAGTGTTGCCAGAAGGGATGGAGGCAAATAAAATTAAAGTCAAGTCAAGTCGTCGTGGTTCACGGGTAAAGTAAAAGGCTGGCTGGCTAATGCATGTTTTTGTCATGTCATGTTATGTTATGTTAAGTGGTGACAGAGCTGAGCTGATAAGTGATAACAAAAGGAGGAGTTTTGGTTGGATAGGGTAGGGTCGGGTCGGGTCGGGTCGTCACTGTCTTCATCATTTAAGATAAAGCGTCACTTTTGAATTGAATCCTTTTCCTGCTGAACCTATCTACAAACGCTTGCCTAATGTAATTACTTTTTTCAATTCGCATAATTTGTAATTTGTTAATTACACTCAGCCCCAATATTTAAGTGTGTGTTTTGATGTTATATTTAAAAAAAAAAAAAAAAACTAACAAATAATTCATGACAGATAGAGTATTAAACCTCAGGGTTAATTTTCTAAATCTTAAACTTTTAGGGTTAGTTTTTGTTTTGTTACAATTAACGTTCTGAGTGATAATAGAATAATGAAATATATATATATACATAGCAAAACATTCAAAACATCATAAATTTAAAAAATATATATAATAATAAAATTAGAAAATTCTTAAGCTACGGTTACAAAAAGGTTTAATATTTACATAATAAATAATATTATATTTAGTTTAAAATCACAAAAAAAATATATTTTTAATATTTTTATATAAAAACTATTCTCAGAATTTTTTAAAAAGTTGCTTTGGTAATACTTTAGTGGCAAAAGCAACCACAGTACAGGCGACAGGTACATTTTTCATAAAGCAAATCAGAAAACCCATTTGTGTTTTTGGGGTCCATAAAATGAAAGGCAAGGATCATTTTCACAAATTGGAAAATTGATTCACGTATATTTTTTTAAATGAAAATAACATATATATATCCATGTAAGAAATATGAAATAATTATTATATAGAGGTCAAAACTAAATATCAATATACATACACCATACCATACGTACCTAACCTTGGACCTAATTTTAAGTGGCTTTGAATTGAATAAAATACTACGTTTTTAAGTACTCCTTCCGTCCCACATACTATATTCACGTTGCCGTTTCTGTCCGTCCTACATTTCATGTCACTTTTTATTTTTTAAAAATAATTACACACTTTAATCTCATTTTAAATTTTTTAATTATTTTTTTTTAATTTTAATTAAACTAATTAGTTAGCTTAAATTTAATTTATAATTATTTATATTATAAAATAATTATTTTCATTAATACATTTTTAATTATCTACTAATTATACCATCCTAAAATAGCGTGTTACACGAAGTTAGTATGCTTTAAATCATTTTGCAGAAAAAATTATAAATACGTACAGGCAAAAGGTCAAACCAAATTAAATCTAAACACAGATCTCAGTCTCTGCATGCATGCATTGGACACGTAACGTAATTAGTTTATCATATCCTCCAAATTAATGGGAGCTGAGCTTCATTATGCATTAAAGAAATTGCATGGTTTATATTGTAACGTTTTAAATAAAAATATATATTGAAAATGTCATGATCGAGCAAATGATATATACTTTTATATAATACTCTAGATAAAATATAGAAAAAAAAAATAATTTTGATCTTAATATAATTAAAATTAATTAATTTTGGTCTCAATATAAAAAATTCATCAATTTTAGTACCAATATAAACAATTTCAATCAATTTGGTCCCATTATAAACAATTTTCACAAATTGCTGACGTGGATATGACAGAGGTGACGTGACAGTTGACTTGTTATTACATGGTCATGTATATTTCAGTGTATAATTATACATGATCATGTTGTTACACGACCATGTACAATTATACACGGCAATTTTGTTATATGATCATGTATATTTCAGTGTATAATTATACATGACCATGTTGTTACACGGCCGTGTATAATTTTACACGGCCGTATATCTTTCTATTTCGGTCTAAAATTTTAATTTTTTGTTATATTTTAATTTTTTTTTTATAATTTAGAATAGTTGATATAGTTAAAATGAAAAAAAAAAACAATAATAATCATAATATAATTAAAATATATCAATTTTAGTTCAAATATAAGTATTTATCGAGTATGTTCTTTTGGAAAATTTTGTCTAAAATTCTACTATTTAGCAAAAAAATTTCTCTTACAAACATCCAATTAATGTATTGAAATAATAAATTAATTTTTAATACTACTATAATATACAAAATTAAAAAATAGTTGTGTAATTGGATGTTTGTAAGAGAATTTTTTTTTTTATGAATAATAAAATTTTAGACAAAACCTTTCAAAAGACTATATCTTATAAATTTTTATATTTGAATTAAAATTGATAAATTTTAATTATATTATAATTACTATTGATTTTATCCATTTTAACTATATCAACTATTTTAAGTTCAAAATATTTTTTTTAAAAAAAATATATAACAAAACAATAAAATTTTAAACTAAAATACAAATGTAAATGACTGTGTATAACTGTACATGACCGTGTAACAATATAGCCGTGTATAATTATACACTGAAATATACATTATCATGTAACAACATGGCCGTGTATAATTGTACATGGCCGTGTATTTTCCATTCAACTGACACTTCACCTCCATCATGTCCACGTCAGCAATTTCCGTTAGTTTTTTAACGATGAGACCAAAATTGATAAAAATTGTTTATAATGGGACTAAAATTGATTGAAATTGTTTATATTGATACTAAAATTGATGAATTTTTTATATTGAGACAAAAATTGATAAATTTTGATTATATTGAGACCAAAATTGATTTTTTTCCTAAAATATAATACAAACATATATTTGAAAAAATAAAAGAAAAGTCATCAAAAGTTTTTTCTTCGCTGTGTCGAAAATGAGAGGTAGTATAGGTGAGAGTCATAAGTGCTAATTTAAGTGGTCAATCAATAGATGTGTTACATTTATATTTTTTAATCATAAAAGTATAATTATCTTTTCATATTAAAACTAATAAAACGTAATTCAAATTAATTTAAAATACAAACCAAACAAATATTAAACACTTATTTTTAGATAAGAATTTGATCGCCCGACCGGGGCACCAATTCATTACAGTGATCACTGGTCCAATATACAAGCAAGCCCAATTAAACGAGGTCCAGGTCCAGGTCCAAATCCAAGTCCAACTATGGGTCGGGTCGGGTTGTCTCTACAAATCCCCGCCCACCCGCCACAGCTGTTTGCTGTTCTGACGTCTGGTGAATACAAACAATAATGGGTTACGGGTATGTCTCTGACTGTGTCGTCTTCTTCATTTCATTTCTTTCCATAAACCCTACTGCTTCTGCGCCAGCAATTAACCAACCCTCCACAAACCCTCTTCTCCCCTTCCTCTCCATTACATTCTGTACTAAATTTAATCCTTTTCCGTTTCCTCTTATAGTACATACGGGGTAAACTATATATATACCAGACCGCCATTGCAATCCGTGAGATGCGCCGCGAATATGCAGTATCTGTTGCGCAGAACCTCCACTTTCTCCGCCTCTGCCTCTGGCCCCCCTACTACTTCTCTTTTCTCCCTTGAAACCCCTCTGCCTCTCCTCAGTTTCCCTCTTCTTCCTTCCGCCGCCAAGGCGACCATGGCCTCTTCCGCCGTTGCTCACCCCCGCACTCACTCCAGCCACCACCTCTTGAGCCGTACCTTTCCCTCGATTACCTCCGCTAATACCATCAGGCTTGCCAAACTCCTCCCATCCAGTTACCGTCCCTGCGGTTGCTCCGTTGACAGCGGCGCTGCTGCGCTGCTATCCAGGTCTTCGGTGGTTTCCAAAGAGGGTGGTTTTAGCGGGTTGAGTGCGATTGGGAGAGCTTCGTTTTGCACGCATGCTGGTGATTGTGTTTCGGAGAATGACGGTGGTGAGTGTGTGTTGGAGGCGGACAAGGACGAGGGAGCGAATAACGCGGGAAATGTAAAGGCGGCGAGGGTGCAGAGGAGGCCGAGAACTGGCGGCGGAGCCATGGCGGATGGGAGCCCCGATCTACTGACAATACCTGGAGTGGGGCCTAGGAATTTCAAGAAGCTTGTGGAGAAAGGGTTTGAGGCCGTTGCGCAGCTCAAACAGCTTTATAAGGACAAGGTATGAAGAAGCATAAATCTTTTCGAGACAGGACTGTAGTTAGTGCATTCTCCTATTGTTTCTGGAAAGTCGATGTTCTTCCATTGGAGTAGCCTGTGTTTATGATCTTTGCTGGCAGTGATCTGATTCTCTAAGGTTTAGTGTGTTTCGGCACTCTGTAGTTACTGTCAGTCCCAATAATCTAGTGTCTATTTTTTCCTACTTTTTTGGATATTTGTCTTTTGTGAAGTTTCCTTTGAAAATGTTGCCGCAATTGGAATAATTTAATGGAAAAAGATTCAGTAGTCGTGTGATTGTATTAGCAAGGAATTTGCCACTCTAGGTTTATGCATTGCTGGTTCTACTGTTGTAAGAACATGTTTTTATGCTGCAGTTCTTTGGTAAATCCAGTGAGAAAATGGTGGAGTTCTTACAGAGTTCTGTTGGGATTATACACAAAAACCATGCTGAGAGTATCACCACCTATATCAAGGAGAGTGTGGATGAAGAGTTGAAGGAACATGATTCGCAGTCAGCTCCAAAGAAGCGGATCACACTTTGTGTTGAAGGAAACATTAGTGTTGGAAAGACCACATTCTTGCAGAGGATAGCTAATGAAACCCTTGAGCTTAGAGATCTTGTGGAGATAGTTCCCGAACCAATTGACAAGTGGCAGAATATTGGTCCCGACCATTTTAATATATTAGATGCATTTTATGCTGAGCCTGAGAGGTATGCTTATACCTTCCAAAACTATGTGTTTGTTACTAGAGTCATGCAGGAGAGGGAGTCGTCAGGTGGTCTTAAACCCCTCAGGCTGATGGAGCGTAGTGTTTTCAGTGATAGAATGGTGAGTATTTCCATTCGTTTGAGGCTGCCCTGTTAGTGTAATTTTTGCTTCTTTTAATGATGTGTTGATGTGCTTGTTGCTTTTATTGTATGAAGGTCTTTGTGAGAGCTGTCCATGAGGCAAAGTGGATGAATGAAATGGAGATCAGCATTTATGATTCATGGTTTGATCCAGTTGTTTCAAGTTTGCCGGGCCTTGTTCCTGATGGTTTTATCTACCTCAGAGCTAGCCCTGATACCTGCCACAAGCGAATGATGCTGCGAAAGAGATCAGAGGAAGGTGGAGTCACACTCAAATACCTACACGACTTGCATGAAAAGCATGAAAGCTGGCTTTTCCCTTTCGAGAGTGGAAATCATGGAGTGCTGTCAGTTAGTAAGCTACCCAAAGAAATCGACTGGACTCTACATCCCAATATAAGGGATCGTGTGGTTTATTTGGACGGTGATCACATGCACTCAAGCATCCAAAAGGTATTGTTCTTTACGTCATATCTTATATTATCAAGCAGGAATTTCTCCTGGAATTATAACCTAGATTTGTTCTTGCAACAAGCAGGTTCCTGCTTTGGTTCTTGACTGTGAGCCCGACATTGATTTTAGCAGAGATATAGAGGCCAAGCGCGAGTAAGCAACCTACCTCTTCAATAAATTATACATACTTTTTATAAAGTGTCGCCACTAGTGTAATAATGATTTAAGTTGGGTCCGTCCATATATGATGGGGATTCAAATTTTATTGTCGTTCATTGAAAAATGGTGATGCACGTGAAGGTATGCCCGACAAGTTGCTGAGTTCTTTGAATTTGTAAAGAACAAAAAGGAAGTCCCTACAAATGATGCAAAGAGCAATCAGCCCCAGGTATTGCTGCCTCATCAGGGTGATGTCTGGTTGCCCGGGGGACCACGGCTGCCAGGTTCCATCCTGAATTCACTGGATTTCAAACGGGCAATGTCGTCTGTGTCTCAACAACAGTAGCAATAGCTTCTGACCTAATGATGTGCACAGCTTAGTTTGTTTGTGTAAAAAGATGCTAACCTGTGTAGGTGTGTTTGTTGCTTGCACCTTTTTAGATTTCTAGGAGTGATTTCTTTCTTGCAACCTCTGTAAAAAAATGTTAACAGTTTGTTTGGGTTCTGTAGTGAATTGACTACGTCTTGTGCTTATGTATCCAAATTTAATCTTCAATGTTATGTTGGAGCAATGTTTTAAATATTTCGAGGCAGCGGCAATAAACTATATGATACTATTGCTCTGTATGCATGCTTAAAAGGTATGGATTATAGATTTACATCCTCTCCTAATCACATTGCCTGAATCAAATGTTCTTTTTTATTTTCATCTTTCTGTGATAAATACAATTGCATTTACTTCATGATATTTTGATCCTGTTAACTTATGTACCACTAAAGAGAAACTCAAATCCCAAGATCAAAGGAGGGAGAATCCATAAATCCAACATCTTGTTGAACAGGTTCAGACACTGTTGCTGTTTTCTGTGTTGAACATTCTGATTTGTATCTGAGTAGTCTGGCAGCTTCCTCTTCCACGGCATCAAGATCAATTCCTTGGTAAAATTCGTCGTCATCGAATATGGCCCTGTTTTCCTCCATCCTCCCTGCATTCGTTTCAACAGTAGAATTTGCAACGTCTTCCTGATGTAGTAATGAGAACATCTGGTCTAAATTTACTGCAGGTACAGATTGAGCTTGGTAATATCCCAATTTTCTTTTGCGGCTCTCCAGCTTACTCTCGCCTATTCCTGTAAGACTGCCATGGCCTGCATGTTGAGAGCTCTTTGCAGTCGACTCCAGGCCAGGTTGAGGAGTATGATCATGTTGAGTTCCTGATGCACGCCCGCTGTCTTCATCCATCCTGCTGCTTTGAGCCACAGAGTCAGGGCTGAAGTTTTTGGCGAAGTCCGGCAATCTTTGGAATGGTGATTGGCTCAGCAATGATCGCCTGCCAGTTGATGCAAAGTTAGAACTGAGGTGAGAATACAGCAGATCACCATATGTAAAAGTTCAAGGAATGAACTCATAGGTTGATGTTTTCTGATTCTGTGAAATAAGGGAGCAAATTTGAAAGCTTCTTTGTGCCTCTTAAGTTACCCAATTCACCAAAATGTATTATATGAAACAAACAAAGGGGAAGATAGTGGAACGTTACTGAAACCTGTATATAGCCATCATGTCGGTACCACCATCACCAGCTGGTGTAGCAGCTGATGTAGTATTCGCACCATCATCTATGAAGCTATCCTCATACGAACTTCCTTCCTCATCATCTTCCTCATCGTCAGATGCCACAGCTTCTGATGATATCCTGTATACACAAGATTAAATACGAGAAACAAACGCACATTCAGATAAACTGCGTGTGGAATGCAGTAAAAAGGTGCTAATATAACAATTGAAACTTTCAAAAATGGGAAAGAATAAGGTAATCCTCTGGAATGGATCCAAATGAAGTCTAGCAAAGCTTTGATTATGCTATGGGAATGGACTTACTCTGCTTCCTCTTCAATAAAAGCAGCGATACTTTTTGCTTGCTTCCTGCCACCTGAGCAACATTCAAAAGAGTTAGCTTTTCAAGGTTACCCATTGACAACTAAGTATAACATATCCCCGTAGGCCATTCAAATGCAACAGAAAAATCAGTTTGAAGTATTGCATCAGTTAACCTTTATGAAGGTTCGTTGTTGAGGCACAAGCAGTTCCTTTAAAATTTCTTTGTTTTCCACAAAGATCAGTTTGTTCCTTAAGCTTCGGTATCTTGTGGAGGTCTGCATGCTTGCGTAGCCTTTTGAGCTTGCATCGCTGCTCAACTGTTCCTGCCTTTACTCCAGAATCAAAAAGTAAGTCTTTGCTGCTGTTTGTTTCTGTTGGTTTGGGCATAGGGGTTTCCACTTCTTCATCAATTGCAACAGGTGATGCAGATGTTCGCATAGGTGGAATGTTGTTATCATTCAAACATAGATCGTCCATTTTACACAAAGCACCATCTTGAACTGCCTTCTCATCATGTTCCCAAGAGTGGAGGGATTCAACTCCCAGATTTGGGGAGGAAATAAGAGCAGAACTTGTGAAGTTGCTTCTGTCACCATTAGATGTTGCTAGAACACAAAAAATAAGCATCAATATGTAGTTGCACAAAAGAAATGGAATGACCATAAAAACATAATAAATCTACGAACCAAAAGCATTTACAGGAGATTCTGGAACAACTCCACTTTTGATGAAGTTAGTCAGCCTTGGACTAAGATCATTGCACGATTCATCTGGCAATGGTGAATCTGGCAATGGTATGACTGTAGTAGCACGCACATCATTATGATTCTCATCACAGGTGTCCACTTCCTTTAGTATTCTGCTGGAAATTTGGGTGGGAAGAATTTCATCTGCCTCAGACTTTTTCCATTTCAGAGCAACTCCAAGTCTGCAAGGACTGGATTGAAGCAACTTCTCACATTGTGGGGATCTTAGATGCGTAGAACTATGGTTTACTTGCAAAATATTCTCTTTGTTATCTTCAGGATCATCAATCAAATAGTATGGAGGAGGTATAATGCTGCTTTCGACATGGGAGTCAGATTCCAGAGACAGCTTTGGTAATGACATAATCAGGACGTTACCATCATCATCAACTGATACAAATTCTGAACCAAACAAGAGACTATGTCTGCAAGGTCCTTGTTTGTGTGTGTCTTCAGTTTGCACCACTTCAGCAATGTCCTCAACGTCTGTATGAGCTTCCACCATTTCAGTATTCAAATTCTCTCCAGTTGGATCACTGAACTTGTCTGAACACAAAAATTAGAAAATTAAATTTCCATGCTGAATTGAGAAATCATTTTTAAAAAATCTATGTAGATGAATGCAAGTTCAATACATCAAAATTTCATCCTTGAGTAATCTAAAGGTGGAAGGTGGGCATACTTTTCTTTACTATCTTTTAGGTAAATGTCAGAATAAATGTAACAAGGGTGGGGTGGGGAAGCAAAGCCTCATATCACTAGGTTATTACCTTCTATTACTTTGTCATGAGGCTTCACTACTTCAAATCTCAAGCAATCATTTAAAGTATCTTCTTCCTCCTGTCACAAATAAATGTAAATGATAGAATGTACAGTAAAAAAGTAGTCCATTGAAAATTTAACATACCTCCGAGAGGATTTTGCTGTCATTAGAAAATGTCAACCCTTGCAACGATTGCATCATATCTATGAGCATCCTGGTTCTAGAAGAATGTATCACTTTGTTTACTGGAGATGGGAAAGCCTGGAAGTGAGGAAAGGCAATAAGAGACGGTCTCCAAGTAGTTTCTTCAGCGGAGGAAAAATACTTGGCTAGTAATTCTGTCTCAGCATCAGTTAAACGGGTCTTGTATGCAGGAACTGGGACAGCGTTATCATCTTTCATTTTCTTTCCCCGCGGAACAAATTCTTCAATCGACATCTCAAGAAGCTGTACTTCTGGTTTGAAAACATGGGGAACCTGCACACATTCGCAAAGTGTATCAACCAAGATCTAAGCTGCATCACAATTTCAAATGTTAATCCTTTTGTTTCTGAGACAAATTAAAATATAGTCTACAAAATAAGAAGCATACCATCCTTGGACTAGGATGGAAATCAAAGCTATTCAGTCCATTGTTTCTCATATGTTTCTTGATAGACTTGCTATTGGCTTGCTTTCGCATATAACCCTTCAACTCTGATCCTTCACATGCTAAAACTAGTAAAGCTTGTCAAGGTAACAACTCTAGAGAGGATACAATTTCAGTGAGATTGCATTTCCAATTGTGAAAACAATAAAAGATGTACAATACTCAGTGTACAAATGACCAGCAGAAACAGCACTAATTGGAAAAAGGATATCAACTCGTCCTTCATGTTTTCTTCCGGTCCTTCCCATGCGCTGAATCATTCTCAAAGGCGAAACATTAGCATCAAAGCATATGACAAGGTCAACTTCCATGATATCCAGACCTTCTTCACCAATTGATGTTGCAACAATGACATTGTACCCGCCTGTGCGAAATTTCTACAGAAACAAGTCAAAAAACCCACCAAGGATGAAAAACTTCAAATTGAAAAAATAATAACCTGTAAAACTGCTTGTTGAACTTTTTGAGATTGTCCCTTTAAGGTTTTTCCTGCAGCAATAATAATCGTGTTAAAAAAGTATCAGCGACAGTATCAATGATTTACAGTGCTAGCATAATCCACTTATATCCAAGTGCATATACTCTAGGTTTCATTAATATACTCTGCAGTCTATTTATATGTACGGACACATGAATGATACATAGTTTTCGAAGTCCCGATGAAAAAAAAGTAATGCACAAACTTAGGTAAGTACAATGAAGGAAAAGAAGAATTAAGCTGCATACCAGAACTTTGTCCAATAAATTCTGTAGCTTTAACTACGTCCCCAATGTTTACCAGAGCCTTAAGTATGTCCCTGGTATTGGAACATTATTGTGAGGTAGGATAAATATCATATTATATTTTATACACTGTTAACATATGACGATAAAAAAATAGAAATCAACTTTCACCTGACACTACCCCTAAAATTTGAAAAGATGATCACCCTGGATGTTTTTGGATCTTTCACCTCTGCAACATAATTTGCGGAATGTGAAATCATGCCATGGAAATGAAAACATGTTGAATGAAATTTATTATGCGATTAGACATACTGAAATGGTCTATCAGTACTTCCAGCATTTTTGCCAATTTCGGACTGGGAGCACCATGATTAACAGTTTGTTGCATTAGAAGTTTTGCTTTCAAAATAACTTCATTTCTACACATCATCCGCGCAAAAGACCTGCAAAAACAAGCTAACTGAAGCTTAAAATAGAAAGCAGCATAAATAAACAGAGTATTATTAACTCAAGTAATTCAGAAGCTGAAACAACAAAAATCATAGGAATGAGAATTGAAGTTCTGTAGCATAAAACAGATACAAGAATTTCCATAAAACTAAGAATTTCCAAAAACTATCATCAGATTTCAAACTTAACCCCTATCCAATCAACATCTGAATAACATTTTGAAACTTTCATACAAATATAAATATGCAATAATGACCGACGGGGGCATACCCTTGCTTCATTTTTTCATCAAGCATCTCATATGCTGGCCTTATTCCATGACTAGATAGCAACTTCCTCACATGGTACAGCGTTATAAGAACTCCAAAACAACCTTCAATTTCTCCATATTTTGTATGAGGAAGGCCTACAGGTGGTTCTTGGCGAAATCTATCCCTTGAATTAAGAAGATCACATGGGCTAAACTGTAAAAGACCAATACATGTTTCAGAAGAAAAAATAAAAATAAAAAACTACATCACATGCTAGTATTTGAATTACAGCATCTGCCCTAGGTCTTGATCATGGTTGCACTCTAAATTATAAACAAAGAGTAAACACCAAGAAATAACTGCAAATTATACAATACACTAGTGAAGATTTGACAACTCTTAACATGCAATTGTGCTTAAAATTGCTCCTGTAAGTTCTCCAAATTAAAATTCACCTATACATATACTGAGTATGAAGAATTTTTGCCAAGATTCCGTAAGTTCTCCCTGTTTAGTTTTGCATCCACTCTCTGATGCGCATTAAGTACATGTACCAGGACTTTTAATTAATTAAATTAATGTTAAACATGGTGTAAGAAATGCAACCATAATTGTGCATGGCCTGTAGTTTTGAGGCAGTAGTCCTGCTTCTTCTGCATTCCATATTCAATGGTTAATTTGGGGATGGACTTTTTCGACTGATTAGCTCTACAATTAAAATACAATTGAATGCTAGCTGTCAAGTCGTAAGTACAAGAATTAATGGATAGATGAAAAGTGTGCTCATTGAATATGTCAGATATTGGTCAATTATGCAGAGCAGGAAATTGTACAAAACCTTAGAAAACAAATCCATACTGCAAGGTTATTAGAAGATAGAAAGTAGAAGAAGAGAAATGGGATGTCAAATGTCATATTTTAACTTTTAAATATATGGTTTCTTGCTCTATTTCGACCCCCAGTAGGGGTTTGCCCGCCCATGGATTCAGCGGACAGTTCAAAAAAGGGAAACAAGAACATACCGTCTGAAAATCTCTCTTTTGAAGCACTCCAAATGCACCAAGCCGACTAACAAATGGATGTGCCACCTCCAAGAGCAAATTATTTATTTCAACAGCTTCTTTTCCCATTGGGACCTAACAGAAAGGGTGATGTTCCCATATGTACTTGTAGAATGTTTTGCAAAGACTGTACAAGTGAAGTACCTCTATCATTTCTATCTTTCTATCATGCACATGCGGCAGCACATCAGGATCGCTGTCGCTTCGGTATTCAAGAGTAGATATTTGAAGGTTATTAATTATGTGCTGGATTGTCTGTTGTTTACCTGAATTAAGGAAAGATAAAGTAAATGAAATGAGAACATCAAATGCACTGCACCTTTCAAGTGGATCTGCAGAATACTTACATCCGGGTGTTGCAGTCAATGCTAATATTCTTAGCTGAACAGGAGCATCCATTAACTGCAAAATCAATTGTATTAGCTAACTATATGAAGCAGAGGGCAAGCATTGAAAACTGCTAGCTCTCCTCAAGTGAAAAACCTATGTTTAGCCTGGAAATGTACTCATTTATGTGCTGGACTACACATGGTTCTAGAAAATTCATTAGCTTGTAAAGTTTTACAAGGAACAGGTGTGAATGAAGTGTATAAATATCAAGGGGTACAAATTCCCAGGATATATTGGGACAAAGATGTATAAATCTGTTCGATGGGTGACACCAAGTTATATATGGTTAATATCTTTTAGATGGAACACACAGCTTAACTATGTAAATTCAAGGCATGAAACATAAATGAATGAGGTGACTAACCTCACGGACAGCTACACAATAGGAATAGTTTCCCATGGCACGATGTGCCTCATCAATCACCAGGCATATCAGATGCTTCACCAAACATGAGCCTACAACATAAATTAAATGTAAAAATTCCAAATTAATGAAACGAAAAGCATATAAATTTTTCAAGAAATTCAAATTCATTAACCATTAATCCAAACGAAAATTCAAAATAAGGATGCGCAGACACATTTTACGGATAGTAGGACAAAATTCCCTCAGAAAGAAAATTAATGAGCATCATCAGTGAATACCACTTCCCCTATAACAGTGCTTTTTACATGTTAAGATCTACAAAATTAATGGAACTCAATAACTAATCTTCTGAAGAAAATAATGTGTTGTTTTGAGTGATTTGATTTAATTTCCTACTATTAACAAATTATTTCCCCCAAAAAATTCATATGAACCTATCTTTTTTTTATAATTATTATTTTTATATTACACTAAAGATAATTTTACATTCAAGACATCACATCAATTCCTATTTATATTGCATCAAACAACTATTCAAATTCAAAATTATACTATTCAAATCAAAACCCCCCAAAGAAACACGCATAATCAATGGAATTCATTTAAGCATGGATAATATCAGAATCAAACCAGAATGTATATCCCTTTCCAACACTTGCGGAGTAACAAAAAAGACTCGTTTGGTTTTCCAAAATTCTGCTCTTTTACTGGGACTTGTTTGGCCTGTTAAATCAATGGTCCACTCCTGCAATCAAGTAAGAAGCCAAGTAATGCAAACTCTCAACAACAAACATAAGCAAGTAGAAGTTTATTTGCCATACTTGTGGAATTCCAACAATATTATGACAAGCTTCTATTTGTTGCATGACAAGTGGTCGAGAAGGAGCAGCAAAAACAATTTTTCCTAGAGAAATAAGCAGCTGTTAAAATTTCCAAACAAATGAGATGCTCGAAACTGAATCTGGAAAACACTAGATACAATGATCATCATGTGATACAGTGATAGGCAAACAAAAAAACAAAACAAAACAAAACAAAAAAAGCATTAGAGCAGGAGAGAACATAACTTGGAACAGTAAAGCATCACATTACCTTCGGGAAACCATCGGAAATAATTATACATCACAACAGCAGCAATAAGAGTCTTCCCTAGTCCTGTTGGCAGTACAACTAAAGTGTTGGAAAACAGTGCAGTCCGGGTGATAGAGAACTGATAATCACGGTGGGGAACATTTGCTGAAATACATAGAAAACAGAATAATAAATCTAACATGTTGCAAAGCTCATAACAAAACCATATTCCTGAGGCATGTAACTCAAGCCAAGATTTACGAATATTACACAGATAACTAGATAAGGGTTTAAAAGAACCTGGATAAATCCAAGTCTTAGCTGCTTCAGGATCAATCCTAACAACTCCATTAATCATCTCAATGTCTCCGTACCCAGAACCATTAGCATTATTATCACCAAACACATTACCATCACCATTGTTTCCCCGTACTTGATAAGAACACTCTGCCTTGCCTACTGATTTTTTAGAATTGCCAGGAGCAACCCCAATGAATCTATCTAACGTGGATTGCCGAGCTAAAGAAACCGAACTGCAGTGGGCACGAAAATCACCCTTTTGCTGCATTTCTTGAACTGAATTCATGACCTTTCCCGAGTCACGCTTCAAACTAAAATCAGAATTAGAAGTGGAGGGGCCTTCGGCATTAGTCGCCTGACATGCCACATCGATTTCTTGCACAGCTGCCGCCCAATCGAATTCCTAAAACACACCACAACAAAAACGACGAAACGATAACCGAAACCCGCATATATCTGGGTAGATTCAAATGTAGAAAATCGTATCAAGTAAAAGAAAGATGCAATAGCATAAGCAATCAATCACGAAACGGAACCTACGTCATCATCGTCCATAATGTGCAGGGGAGAGGAGCTGGAGCCCATAAAAGAGTCTTCTTTGACGTTGGGTGGAGGATTTCTATGCGACCTTAGTAAGGGTTTCTTCCAAGAAAAGATGCAAATAGCATACCAGTAGCAGAAACCTTGGAGAAGAAAAGAGCGGCAAACTTTAGAGAGCCCCTTTTTTTATTCTTTTTTTTTTTTTTTTTGATATATTTCATTCACTAAAAAAATAATTAAGAAATTAATTTAACATATTTTTGTAAATACCGAACGTGTTGGCTTGGCACACAAGAAGAATTGGACTCGATAGATGGATCATGCCTCCGATCAGTCCAGAAATTTTTTAGTCCAAGATTTTAATAAAATCTAATCTAAACTCCAATAACCAAAGAAGGCCCATCGTAGTATGGCCCAATAATTTCTCTTTCATGCTCAAGCCCAATCCAACCCAACTTGATGGTCTACCCACTCGGCTCAGTCCCACACCTTTTGACTCAACCCATAAAGCTAGAGGGCGAGAAAAAGTCAAAAACAAGCGAACATTATTGGTTCCCGATTTATTTATTTTTTATTTTGATTATTTTAAAAAATAAGTAAAACTTGAATATTAGAATGATATTTTGTAAGAAAAACAAATATTTGATGTACTTTTATTTAAAAGAGTAGTATAAAAAATATTTAAAAATACTTATGCACAAAAATAAATAAATAAATAAAAAATCCTACGCCTATGAAAGAAACTATTCAAATTCTAACACGTCAATATAACTAACACGTAGAAGGCAACTTGATATATAATTAAAGTTACGGCTTTTTTTTTAATAACCAAAAAGTAACGGCTTTTGTTTATGCTTACTATATTTTGTCACATTATTTATTTTTTTAAAAGAATTACATTAAATAATCTTTTTCTATTAGCAGTTGAGAGAGGTAACTAACCGTATGATGAAACGGAGTTGTCATTTGTCAATATGCCTTCAAGAAGTCTAACATGGTCTGAAAACACACATGGTAAAGAATTATCCTAACTCGTTCACACTCACACACCCACAACTATAGATATAATATTTTAATGACCCACTTATTTGACCTGGAAAAGTCCCCCTCGTTGTCAACAATACAGCGTAAGGTAACCATTAATTTTTTAATTAATTTGCCCATAAATACCACATAAATCAAAAGAGCACCCTATAAGATTCCATGCATTGCATTACACAGTAACTTCAGACACAAAATGATGTACAGATCAGCCATGGAAGGGAACTTTATGCTGCATTTTTCCATAACTAAAACTGCCCTCTTCTTCTTCTTGTTCTTCTACTGTTTCACTGCGCCAGTGCGTTCCGACGACGCTCAGGCGCTGCTAGCTTTCAAGGCTGCAATCATTTCCGACCAGATGGGGTCTCTAACCTCATGGAATGAAACAGTGCACCACTGCACCTGGAAAGGTGTCGCCTGCAGTCCGCGCCACCGCGACAAGGTTGTCTCTATAAACCTCAGATCTCAAGGCCTTGTCGGAACCCTTCCGCCCCATCTCGGAAATCTTACATTCCTCAGGGCTATCATTCTCCAAAACAACACCTTCCAGGGCCAAATCCCTGACGAGATCGGCCGCCTCAGGCGACTCGAATATATAGAGTTCAGCAATAATTCATTCACCGGTGAGATTCCAGGGAACCTGTCGGAATGCAGGAATGTTTACTACCTTAATTTGATCGGGAATTCGCTGACAGGGAGGATAAGGCCTGAGCTGGCTTCTCTAGTCAGGCTTCAAGCTTTTGGCTTGTCCAAGAACAGGCTGTCGGGGACTATTCCTTCCTGGATTGGAAACCTGACGTTCCTGGGTCGACTATCCATGGCAGAATGTGGCCTGGAGGGACAAATCCCTGAATCATTTGGCCGTCTTCGATACCTGAAATTGCTCCAGCTTTCTCAAAACAGGTTGACAGGCAGCATCCCTCCAGGGATTTTCAACAGCTCGATCCTTGAGATTTCGTTGAGATCTAATCGTCTGGAGGGAACCATTCCCCCTGATATTGGTTATACACTAACTGATATCAGGAATCTTAATTTGGGGGAAAACAATTTGAGCGGAGAAATTCCAGGTTCGCTGTCGAATGCTTCTTCTTCGTCCCTGTCTGCAATCAATCTGTCTTCCAACAAATTTTCAGGGCCAATGCTGAAAAGCTTCGAAAGGCTTTCAAACCTCGAGTACCTCTTCTTCTCAGCCAATAAGCTTTATGGTGATTTTGAGTTTATCTCTTCACTGACAAACTGCACCAAACTGAAAGTTCTTGCAGTCAGTGTAAATCTTCTCAATGGTACATTGCCTGATTCGATTGCCAATCTTTCCCGGCAGCTAACATACTTATCCTTGGCCGGCAATGGAATGTATGGAGGAATTCCTTCAGGCATTGAAAATCTTGTTAACCTCAATTTCGTAAGCCTCAGGAACAATTCACTTTCTGGCACCATCCCTTCATCCATTGGCAACCTTGTCAAGCTGCAAACTCTCTATCTTGAAGTCAATAAACTGACGGGCGATATACCTCATTCGTTGGGAAGCTTGAGCTTGATGAACGATTTGTTTCTCGGATACAACAATTTTTCTGGTGCTATTCCTCAGAGTTTCAGCAACTTTCGTGATTTGATGAGGTTGGATCTTTCTCATAACAACTTGAATGGCGAAATACCACCAGCGCTGTTAAACCTTTCGTCCGGTTTCATTTCCTTCAGCCTGGCGTCTAATGAGCTTACAGGACACATTCCTTCGGAAGTCGGGGTTCTGAGAAATCTAGGAAACCTGGATTTGTCGAACAACAGGTTGTCAGGACCTATCCCTTCTGCATTAAGCAGTTGTGTGGCGCTGCAACGCCTTCACCTCGAGGGAAATTCCTTCGGAGGAGAAATACCTTCAGGACTAAGAGCTTTAAGGGGTCTAGAAGATTTGGATCTTTCGAGGAATCGCTTTTCAGGACCAATTCCAAGTTTCTTAGGTGAGATTCCTCTTTTGAAGTTGAATCTATCTTTCAATGAGTTTAAAGGGAGGCTCCCGACTACCGGAGTGTTCCAAAACACGAGCGCGATTTCAGTACAGGGAAACGATGCTCTATGTGGCGGCATTGTTGAACTGAGATTACAGCCTTGCTCAACGTCGAATCCAAACAAAAGAAACGTTGCAAAGGTGCTGAAAATAGTTCTCCCAGTTGGAGTTATGTCATCTATACTTATGGTCCTTCTTGGTCTGTTCATTCACAAAGTTAAAGTACAGAGAAGAAGCAAGCCTTTGATGCCATCGTTGGACGGCAAAATCATGAGGCTATCTTATGCTGACTTGGTGAAAGCTACAGATGGATTCTCCAAGGCTAACTTGATCGGTTCTGGTAGATTTGGATCTGTTTATAAAGGAAAATTAGCTGGCGGGGAGACAATGGTTGCAGTGAAGGTTCTAGATCTTAATGTCCGTGGAGCTTCGAAGACGTTTGTAGCAGAATGCAATGCACTAAGAGGGACAAGGCATCGAAACCTTGTCAAGATATTGAGTGTGTGTCTTAGCACAGATCTCCGAGGTCAGGACTTTATGGGATTAGTGTACGAATTCAAGTCCAACGGCAGTTTGGAGGAATGGCTGCATCCGGCACCGGATGAACAAGATACAGCAGCAAGAAGCCTTAACATGATCCAAAGATTGAACATAGCTATCGACATTGCATCTGCGCTTGAGTACTTGCATTTTGGCAATGATACAACTATCATCCATGGCGACCTCAAGCCGAGTAACATTCTCTTGGATGATAACATGGTTGCAAATGTTGGTGATTTCGGATTAGCCAAAGTTATTTCGAAGATAACAGAGGAGTTTCCTGCAGTTATGTCTGAAAGTGGTTCAATGGGAATTAAGGGAACCATAGGCTACATTGCTCCAGGTACACAAATCTTGTCTCTCTAAACTTCTTACAGCTAATAGACATTTTTAACAGCAATTAAACCTGGTATTTAATTTCCTCAGAATATGGCCTTGGAGACATGGTGTCGATACAAGGGGATGTATATAGCTTTGGGATTCTACTGCTGGAGATGTTCACGAATATCAGACCAACCAACGAAGCATTCAATGAACGTTCGAACCTTCACACTTTCGTATGCAATGCCTTACCAGACGATACAATGGACATTCTAGATCCTTTTATTGCCCAAGAAATCATAAATTCCCAAAAGGCTGAGAAAAGCATGGTTTCAATTCTGAAAATAGGAGTTGCATGTTCGAACGAGCTTCCTAGGGATCGAATGGCGATGACTGATGTTGTGACTGAGCTAAGCAAAATAAGAAGTGCATATGTTGCTGATGAAAGAATGAGTTGACATTACTTAAAAATGACAGGGCAGTAGTATCATTCCAAAATGATGGAAACAGATTGTTTAATCATGTTTTTAAACTTATTTTCGTACTATTCAATTTATTATTTTTCCTATGACTATTATTATATATTGCCTGCATGAAAGATTTTGGAAATTTATTATAAGATGAGCAATGAGGATATTCCTAGAATCATACTACAGAAACAGCTTACCTCTTTATATAAGCAAACCAGCTGGGAAAGGAACCCTCCAACAACACACATAAGGGCATAAGAGTCAGTCAAACGATTTGCAACTCAATGCAATAAACATTGACAGAATAAAGTCTGAAGTCGTTATTTAAGCACAAAGTAAAGTTACAGTGTAATAGGAAGACACCCACATTGTTCTTTGACAACAAAATTAGAAGGCTTTCCTATGCAGATCTTCTGAAAGCCACAGGTAATGATAATCTAATTGGAGCTGGACAATTTGGTTCTGTCTACAAAGGAGTTTAGACAGCTGGACAACACTGGTGGCAGTGAAAGTTCTCAATCTTGATGTTAGGGGAGCTTCTAAAACCTTCATGGCAGAATGCAATGCTCTAATAGAAGCGAGGCATAGAAACCTTGTCAAGATCTTGTCTGTCTGCATTAGCACAGATTTCCAAGATCAGGAGTCAGGACTTTAAGGCATTGGTATACGAGTATAAGTCCAATGGGAGTTTGGAGGAATGGCTGCATGAAGATGCAAATAAACAAAGCAGAAAAAGAGAAGACCTTACCATGATTCAGAGGCTGAATATAGCCATTGACATTGCTACTACGCTCGATTATCTACACTGTGGGATGAATCCAACCATTATCCATGGCGACCTAAAGCCGAGTAATATCCTTTTGGACAAAGAAATGACTGCCTATGTTGGTGATTTTGGTTTAGCCAAAGTTGTGAGTGCATCATCAAAAGTACTTCCAACCAATGAAAGCAGTTCAGCCGCAATCAATGGAACCATAGGGTATATTGCACCCGGTAAGAATTCTTAACTTAAACCTCTTTGGACTGTTTCTAGCTAATACACATGGTTAATAACTCTTGACATGACCTTGTATTTCCTCAGAATATGGCATGGGAGATGCAGTTTTGGCACAGGGAGATGTATACAGTTTTGGAAGTCTTCTATTGGAGATGTTCACGAAGATAAGGCCAACCAATGAAGGGTTTATGGAGCATTCAAATCTTCACACTTTTGTCAGCTTTGCCTTACCAGAAGCTATAGTGGACATTCTCGATCCTTTCATTGTTCAAGAGATCGAAGTAACTGGTGGCGACAAGACTAAGGAAGGTATCCTTTGTGTACTGAAAATTGGAGTTGCATGTTCAAATGAGCTTCCTAAGGATCGAAAGTCATGGCAGATGTTGTGACTGAGCTGAACTAAAAAAGGAAGGCTTATGTGGCTGAAAGGTTGTGTTTTTGGAATTTTCATATATTCAAAAAACCTAGGCAATATCATTAGAACATCAACTCATTCTTTTTACCATATAACCCAATATGTTGGTAATTGGGTTTTTTTTTTTTCTTTTTACTCGTGCTTATGCGCACTTATGAAGCTAGTATGACCATTGAAGGTTAAAAAACATATAATAAAAGGAGAGACAATCTTCTCCGATCAATACAAAAAAAAAAAAAAAGGAGAGACAATCTTAGAAATAGTGTGTGCCCATACCTAAAGTATAGTACCTATTATGGAAATAGTGCGTGTCCACGGTTAAGGCAGAGTACCTATTTTGGAAACTTTATGTAGAAAGATGACACCTTTGGGGAAAAGTGTCTTTTGTCTAAACATTGTGATTATTTAACTTTATATTCAAATTTGAAATTAAGAGTGAAAAGATACATTCCTTCTACCAAATAGTGTTTGACTTTGAAATTTAAATTCAAACTCGAAATGCACTATATATGTAGGAGTTCTTGGCTTTATTTACAAGAAAAGGAGAATCAGAATTCCTACAGGATTTGTATATCTATACATACTTGAGTTTCTTAAGCTTCGAGAAAACTCGTTTCTATTGCCAAAAACCAAGTTATTTTTCGTTTTATCTTGTATATAAAATACTACCCTCAACAATCAAATATGATAATAACGTGACAATCATGGCTAGTGAGAAGTGAATGACATGCCAACTAAGTTTGAAAAGTTGTTCAAGTTTCAAATGGCAATACAGCGCATATTATGACTCATTAAAACAGGGAGTGCATATCTTGCTTGAAGTATCACTAACATTTAAATCACCTAAGAAGAAAACATAAGAGTAACTTGAAATATATATGGCAAATTGAACTTTGAATAGGCATATAACTTCAAAATTTTAAAATTAGTCGGAAGTGAAATATAGCATGTAGCTGAAAGTAAATATACTAAACAAGACAAAGCATTAATGCCCTTTGATTCCTTATCTCTACTAATTTCCTGTCTCGTGTCCTTTTCTAGGGAGATACCCTCAATAGATCCAAGTCTTTCAGACATGTCCAAAGTCTTTTTGAGTATCCACCCGGCATTCTGATTTTTCCAAGTCCTTTCCAGATGTCCCATCTCCTCTCCATTGTCCACACGGCATTCTGATTATTCCATCATTGGCATTGCATGCAAATGGTGATAATAAAATGTTTTGGCAGTCCAGAGGACCTGAAAGAAAAAGTATCCGTTTCATACATCCAGAGCAGGCAAGTTCACCATTAATTCCAAAATCTCAGAGCTCATATAGCCAAAAACACAATGCCTTTTCCCTTTCTTACTATCCTGCAGTTTCTGAGCTTGTTCTTTTCCTTTCAACAAATTTCATGTGGAAACAATGCAACGGACTTGGAGGCCTTACTTGCATTCAAGGCTGCCATAGTTTCTGATCCACACAATGCTCTCAGCTCATGGAATGCAGCTGTTGATTTTTGCACGTGGAATGGTGTCACTTGCAGTCATAGCCACAGGGATCGAGTTGTCTCCATAAACCTCCGGTACCAAGACCTGGCGGGATCCCTTTCGCCTTTTATAGGTAATCTATCTTTCCTCAGAAGCATTTTTCTTCGGAATAATTGGTTTAGTGGCCAAATTCCTGGAGAAATTGGTCGCTTGAGACGCCTTGAGTATATTAATCTCAGCAACAATTCTTTTAGTGGGGAGATTCCAAGAAACATAACCCACTGTAGAGATCTCAATTCCCTTGTCTTGATCCACAACAATCTGACAGGGAGAATAATTCCTGAGATAGGTTCTCTTCTCAAGCTTCAAGGTTTGGGTTTGGAATCAAACAGGTTCTCGGGAACTATCCCACCATGGATTGGGAACTTGACATCCTTATCTCACCTATCAATGTACCATTGTGGCCTTGAAGGCCAAATTCCAGAATCGCTTGTCCACCTTCATAACCTGCGATATATTGAATTAGGTGAAAATAGATTAACCGGCAGCATTCCTTCCCAGCTTTTCAATAGCTCAATTGAAGTGTTAAGCTTGGAAGCTAATCAGCTTCAAGGAACAATTCCCTCTGATGCTGGTCATACACTTCGTAATATTCATCGACTTAACTTGGGTGCCAATAAGCTCAGTGGAGAAATTCCTGTGTCTCTGCTGAACGCTTCATCCCTAGAATTTATCATGTTGGTAGAAAACAAATTTAATGGGCCTATGCTGAGGAACTTTGAAAGCCTTCCTAATCTTTTCTACCTAAACGTAGCGGATAATAGTGTCCATGGTGACGTTAGCTTCATTTCGTCTCTAACAAACTGCACCAGATTGAAAGCTCTTATTGTAGGAGGGAATCTCCTAAATGGTTCGTTGCCCGATTCCATTGCCAATCTTTCCAGAATGCTTGTTATGTTGTCCCTGGATAATAATAACATACATGGAACACTTCCGTCTGGGATTAAAAATCTTCTTGATCTCACTTTCATGATTCTGGGTAATAACTACCTTTCGGGTCCTATTCCCCTCTCCATCGGCGAACTTGGTAGCTTGCAAGTACTCATTCTTGAAGGGAACAGATTCACAGGTGATATTCCCCCTTCTTTAGGTAACCTTACCTTATTGACTGATTTATATATGGGGAACAATCATCTTTCCGGTTGTATACCTCCAACTTTAGGCAACAATAGCAACTTGCTAACATTCAGTCTTTCTCATAACAATCTGAATGGTACAATGCCTAGAGAAATTTTCAGCCTTTCCTTCATCTCCATTTCCTTCATCCTAGCCTACAATGAATTAACTGGAGTTATTCCGCCAGAGGTTGGGCATCTAAGAAATCTTGGATACTTGGATTTGTCCAACAACAGATTATCTGGGTCAATTCCTAATGTTATGAGCAGCTGCATGAGTTTGGAACTCCTTCACTTGGAGGGTAACTTGTTTGAAGGAGAAATACCCAGAGCACTCGGTGATTTAAGGGGGTTACAAGACTTGGATCTTTCTCGAAATCGCTTGTCCGGATCAATTCCAAATTCTCTTTGCGAGCTTCGTCTCTTGATCAATTTGAACCTGTCTTCTAATGAGTTGGAAGGCAAAGTCCCAACATCTGGGGTGTTCCTAAATACCAGTGCAATTTTTCTTGATGGAAACGTTGATCTATGTGGTGGTGTTGCTGATCTCAGATTACAACCTTGCTCAAGAATGAACTCCAAACATAGGAAGTTACCAAATAAAGTGCTGAAAATAGCAGTTCCTCTAGGAGTCCTGGGAGTCATATGTTCGATACTTTTGGTTCTTTTCTGTGCATTGATGTACAGAAGAAAATCTAAGGGACAAAGTCTGACATCAGTGCCATCAATGGAAGGACAGTTTGCCAGGCTTTCTTATGCAGACCTGCTGAAAGCCACGAGTGGATTCTCCAGGAACAATTTGATTGGTGTTGGCAGATTTGGATCGGTTTACAAAGGATCTTTAGACGATGGAATGGCAATGGTTGCAGTAAAAGTTCTTGATCTTGATGTCAGAGGAGCTACAAAGACATTCATGGCAGAATGCAATGCGCTAAGATGGATGAGGCACAGGAATCTTGTCAAGATAATAAGTGTTTGTCTAAGCCTAGATTTTCAAGGCCAGGACTTCAAGGCATTGGTGTATGAGTACAAGTCCAATGGGAGTCTAGAGGAATGGCTGCATCACAATCCAGTTGAACAAAGAGAAGAGGACAGAGGTCTTACCATGATTCAGAGACTGAATATTGCCATCGACATTGCATGTGCACTTGAGTACCTACATTTTGGCACTGATTCAGTTGTCATTCATGGTGATCTGAAACCGAGTAACATTCTTTTGGATGATAACATGACTGCCTGTGTTGGAGACTTTGGATTAGCCAAAGTTGTTCTGAGCATATCAAAAGAGCTTCTGACTAAGGAAAGCAATTCAAGTGTCATCAAGGGAACTATTGGGTACATCGCACCAGGTAGAACTTCTTAGCTCTGCTAGACTTGTTTTTATGCTCAACTGACCTGCTACTTCCGCAGAATACGGCATGGGGGGGATGGTTTCAACACAAGGGGATGTATACAGTTTTGGCATTCTTCTACTGGAGATGTTCACCAAGATAAGACCAACTGATGGAGCTTTCAACGACCACTCCAATCTTAGTAGTTTTGTTTCCAGTGCCTTGCCAGACTCTATGATGGACATTCTTGATCCTGTCATTGTTCAAGAAATCCGGGTCAGTGATGATTACAAGGCTAAGGAGACTATGCTTTACGTACTGGAAATTGGATTAGCATGCTCTAATAAGTCTCCAAGGGATCGATTAGCAATGACAAATGTTGTAGCTGAGCTGAGGCAAATAATGAGCGGATATCTTGCTGAAAGGATGAGTTAAATGTAAGGGCAGCATTTTATGTTTCACTTACACAGTTAGTTGATTAGGTGTGGTTGTAAATTCAGTCTGCTATATGGAAGTATACTGTAATGATTTCAGGCCTTAGAAACAGAAAGCTGATGATCATGAATTTGGGCAATCTTTAGGAATAGCAGAAACTGAAAGCTAAATCTTACTGTCTATGTTGATGATTTTGGTTTAGCCAAAGTTGAGAGTGTCTCATCAAAATTACTTCCATCCAATGAAAGCAGTTCAGTTGCTATCAAGGGAACCATAGATTATATTGCACAGTTGAAGATCTTGTGGTGCTACCCGAAGACTTAAATAAATAGCCATCATTGTTAACTTAAATCTCTTTGGACTGTTTCTAGCTAAGACACATGGTTAATAAACTCTTGACATGACCTTGTATTTCCCCAGAATACTGCATGGGTGATGCAGTTTCGGTAGGGAGATGCATACAGTTTTGGAATTCTTCTACTGGAGATGCTCACAAAGGTGAGACCAACCAATGAAGGATATATGGAGCATTCAAATCTTCACAGTTTTGTCAGCTGTGCCTTACCAGAAGCTATAATGGACATTCTTGATGCTTTCATTGTTCAAGAAATCGAAGTAACTGGTGGCTACAAGACTAAGGAATGTATGCTTTGTGTACTGAAAATTGGAGTTGCATGTTCAAATGAGCTTCCTAAGGATCGAATGGCGATGCCAGATATTGTGACTGAGCTGAACAAAATAAGAAATGCTTATGTGGCTGAAAGGTTGGGTTTTTGACATTGTCATATATTCAAAAAACCTAGGCAATATCATTAGAACATCAACTCATTCTTTTTACCATATAACCTAATATGTTGGTAATTGGGTTTATTCAAAGCCAAGAGACGTGGATATTAAGCTAAATACTGAAATGGGATGCGTAGAGTACGTACTTATGAAGCTAGTATCACCATTGTAGCTTAAAAAACAATATAATAAAAGAAGAGACAATCCTAGAAATAGTGGGTGTCCACGCCAAAATTAGAGTACCTATTATGGAAATAGTTTGAACCCATGCTTAAGGCAAAGTACCAATTCAAGAAAATTTGTGTAGAAAGATGAAACATTCTGGAAAAAGTGTCTTTTACTTATCATTATGATTATTAAAGTTTAAATTAAAATTTGACAAAACTACCGAGTTATTCTTCATGTTATCCTATATACTAATTTCCTGATAACAATGTCGAGATATATTTTGGAATAATCATATTTGGAAAGTGCGCTCAATATTATTCGAAGAACTATTCAGCCATTATTGTCGTCACCCTTCAAAATGCTAGCCCCAACAATCAAATGCGATAATAACATGACAGTCATGGCCAGTGAGCCGTGAGTGACATGTCAACTAAGTTTGAAAAGTTGTCCATATTTCGAATGGCAATACGGTTCATGTTATGACTTAGTAAAACGAGGAGTGCATGTCTTGCTTGAAGGATCATTTAATATTTAAATCACTAAGCAGAAAACATAAGAGTAACTTAGAATATATATGGCAAATTGAACTTTGAATAGGCATATAACTTCAAATTTTAAAATTGGTAGGAAGTGAAGTATAGCATGTATCTGAAAGCAAATATACTAAACAAGACAAAGCATTGATGCCCTTTGATTCCTTATCTCTACTAACTATCTATGTTGTGTCCTTTTCTGGGGACTTAACCTCGATAGGTCCAAGTCTTTCAGACAAGCCCAAAGCCTTTTCCAGTATCCACCCGGCATTCTAATGTTTCCAAGTCTTTCAGAGATGTCCCATCTCCTCTCCATTGTCCACACGGCATTCTGATTATTCCATCATTGGCAGTGCATGCAAATGGTGATACTACTATGTTTTGGCCGTCCAAAGGACCTGAAATGCAAAATATTCTCCTATATAAAGCACTGCAAGAACGGTTTCGTGCATCCACAGCAGGCAAGTTCACCATAAATTCCAAAATAACAGAGTTCATATAGGCGAAAACACCATGCCCTTTCCCTTTCTTACTATCCAGCACTTTCTGAGCTTGTTCTTTTCCTTTCAAGAAACTTCATGTGGAAACAATGCAACGGACTTGGAGGCCTTACTTGCATTCAAGGCTGCCATAGCTTCTGATCCACACCATGCTCTCAGCTCATGGAGTGCAGCTGTTGATTTTTGCAGGTGTCACTTGCAGTCATAGCCACAGTGATCGAGTTGTCTCCATAAAGCTCATGTACCAGGACCTGGTGGGATCCCTTTCGCCTTTTATAGGTAATCTATCTTTCCTCAGAAGCATCATTCTTATGAACAATTGGTTTAGTGGCCAAATTCCAGGAGAAATTGGTCGTTTGAGACGCCTTGAGAATATAGATCTCAGCAACAATTCATTTAGTGGGGAGATTCCAAGACACATAACCCACTGTAGAAATCTGCTTTCCCTTGTCTTGATCAACAACAGTCTGACAGGGAAAATAATTCGTGAGATAGGTTCTCTTCTCAAGCTTCAAACTTTAGGTTTGACATTAACCAGGTTCTCGGGAACTATGCCTCCCTGGATTGGAAACATAACATCACTATTCCGTCTGTCGATGGAAAATTGTGCTCTTGACGGCCAAATTCCAGAAGAGATTGGTCGGTTGAGGAGCCTCCAGGTGCTTGAGTTGACAAATAATTCATTGAGTGGTGAGATTCCACGAAACCTGTCCCAATGCAACAATCTTCGGGTGCTTATCTTGTCCAACAACCACCTAACAGGGAGAATACCAGAAATAGGATCCCTTACAAGGCTTCAAGTTTTTTTCTTGCGATTCAACAGCCTCTCAGGAACTATCCCTCCATGGATTGGGAACTTGACATCATTATCTCAGCTATCAATGCGCCATTGTGGCCTTTGAAGGCCAAATTCCAGAATCGCTTGTCCACCTTCAAAACCTGCAACTCCTTGATTTAGATGAAAACAGATTAACCGGCAGCATCCCTTCACAGCTTTTCAATAGCTCAATTGAAGTGTTGTCCTTGGCACGTAATCAGCTTCAAGGAACAATTCCCTCTGATGCTGGTCAGACACTTCGTAATATTCATTTCCTTGACTTGGGTGTCAATAATCTCAGTGGAGAAATTCCTGTGTCTCTGCTGAACGCTTCATCCCTAGAAAGAATCGGTTTGGTAGAAAACAAATTTAATGGGCCAATGCTGAGGAACTTTGAAAGCCTTCCTAATCTTTTCTACCTAAACGTAGCAAACAATAGTGTCCATGGTGACGTTAGCTTCATTTTCGTCTCTAACAAACTGCACCAGATTGAAAGCTCTTATTATAGGAGGGAATCTTCTAAATGGTTCATTGCCTGATTCCATTGCCAATCTTTCCAGAATGCTTATTTTCTTGTCCCTGGATAATAATAAAATACATGGAAGACTTCCGTCTGGGATTGAAAATCTTCTTGATCTCACTTTCATGATCCTGGGTAATAACTACCGTTCTGGTCCTATTCCCCTCTCCATTGGCAATCTTGGTAGCCTGCAAGTACTCATTCTCTAAGGGAAAAGATTCACAGGCGATATTCCCCCTTCTTTAGGTAACCTTACCTTATTGACTTATTTTTATATGGGGAACAATCATCTTTCCGGTTGTATACCTCCAACTTTAGGCAACAATAGCAACTTGCTAACATTCAATCTTTCGCATAACAATCTGAATGGTACAATTCCTAGAGAAATTTTCAGCCTTTCCTTCATCTCCATTTCCTTCATCCTAGCCTACAATGAATTAACAGGAGTTATTCCGCCAGAGGTTGGGCATCTAAAAAATCTTGGATACTTGGATTTGTCCAACAACAGATTATCTGGGTCAATTCCTAATGTTATGAGCAGCTGCATGAGTTTGGAACGCCTTCACTTGGAGGGTAACTTGTTTGAAGGAGAAATACCCAGAGCACTCGGTGATTTAAGGGGGTTACAAGACTTGGATCTTTCTCGAAATCGCTTGTCCGGATCAATTCCAAATTCTCTTTGCCAGCTTCGTCTATTGATCAATTTGAACCTGTCTTCTAATGAGTTGCAAGGCAAAGTCCCAACATCTGCAGTGTTCCCTAAATACCAGTGCAATTTTTCTTGATGGAAACGTTGATCTATGTGGTGGTGTTGCTGATCTCAAGTTACAACCTTGCTCAGGAGTGAACCCCAAAAACAGGAAGTTACCTAATAAAGTGCTAAAAATAGCAGTTCCTCTAGGTGTCCTGGGAGTCTTATGTTCGATATTTTTGGTTCTTTTCTGTGCATTGATGTCCAGAAGAAAATCAAAGGGACAAAGTCTGACATCAGTGCCATCAATGGAAGGACAGTTTGCCAGGCTTTCTTATGCAGACCTGCTGAAAGCCACAAGTGGATTCTCCAGGAACAATTTGATTGGTGTTGGCAGATTTGGATCGGTTTACAAAGGATCTTTAGAGGATGGAATGGCAATGGTTGCAGTAAAAGTTCTTGATCTTGATGTCAGAGGAGCTACAAAGACATTCGTGGCGGAATGCAATGCGCTAAGATGGATGAGGCACAGGAATCTTGTCAAGATAATAAGTGTTTGTCTAAGCCTAGATTTTCAAGGCCAGGACTTCAAGGCGTTGGTGTATGAGTATAAGTCCAATGGGAGTCTTGAGGAATGGCTGCATCACGATCCAATTGAACAAAGAGAAGAGGACAGAGGCCTTACCATGATTCAGAGACTGAATATTGCCATCGACATTGCATGTGCACTTGAGTACCTACATTTTGGCACTGATTCAGTTGTCATTCATGGTGATCTGAAACCGAGTAACATTCTTTTGGATGATGACATGACTGCCTGTGTTGGAGACTTTGGATTAGCCACAGTTGTTCTGAGCATATCAAAAGAGCTTCTGACTATGGAAAGCAATTCAAGTGTCATCAAGGGAACTATTGGGTACATCGCACCAGGTAGAACTTCTTAGCTCTGCTAGACTTGTTTTCATGCTCAGCTGACCTGCTACTTCCGCAGAATACGGCATGGGAGAGATGGTTTCAACACAAGGGGATGTATACAGTTTTGGCATTCTTCTACTGGAGATGTTCACCAAGATAAGACCAACTGATGGAGCTTTCAACGGCCACTCCAGTCTTAGTAGTTTTGTTTCCAGTGCTTTACCAGACTCTATGATGGACATTCTTGATCCTGTTAGTGTTCAAGAAAAAATCCGAGTGAGTGATGTTCACATGGCTAAGGAGACTTTGCTTTACATACTGGAAATTGGAGTAGCATGTTCTAATAAGTCTCCAAGGGATCGATTAGCAATGACAAATGTTGCAGCTGAGCTGAGGCAAATAAGGAGCGGATATCTTGCTGAAAGGATGAGTTAAATGTAAGGGCAGCATTTTGTGTTTCACTTACACAGTTAGTTGAATAGGTGCGGTTGTAAATTCAGTCTGCTATATGGAAATATACTGTAATGATTTCAGGCCTTAGAAACAGAAAGCTGCTGATCATGAATTGGGCAATCTCCAGGAATAGCAGAAACAGAAAGCCATATCTTACTGTTACAGAAAAGCTAATCCCTGTGCAAATAGATATATTGTAGGCAAAAGATATATTAGAGGAAGTTTTCAAGGGATAGAATGACAATGAAAAATGCGGGTTGCATTTAAAATAATTTTGATAAATGAGAGATATTGTACATTACTGAAAACAAAAGACTAAACAAGACAAAGCATTAACGCCCTTACATTCCTTATCAACATCCGTTTGTTTCCATCTGGTCTTGTTGGTCATGAATTAACTTCAATAATCAAAACAAGCCCTGTCCCCTTTCCATTATCCGAATGGCATTGTGATTATCTTAATGCTGGCATTACATGGCAGGGGTGTTGATTTTAACATCAACTGCAGTACCGAATTGACTTGGGAAGAGTCCATCATAGTGAGTCAACACTCATTCTATTGACCGAGTGTCAAAAACTCTGCATTTTAATGCACAAACTATGTCTACATATAGAACTGCAACAACAATTCATTGGAGCAAAAACATTTGCTAAATTTCAATAATAATTAAGTTCTTACGGCCAAAAACCAAGTGCAATTTTCCTTCCGCACTATCTTGTCCTTGTGCCTTTTCATTTCTTTTCAATCAGTTTTTATGCCAGCACTATGTGAAAAAATGTGAGCAACTTGTAGTAAGAGGAATAAGACATGAGCCTTGTCAAAATATTGAATGTGTGTACGAAGTCCAACGGCATTTTGAAGGAATGGCTGCATCCAGCGCCAGATGAACAAGATAAAGCAGCAAGAAGCCATAACACGATTCAAACATTGAACATAGCTATCGAATGAATGGCTAGTGAGACATGAACGACATGCCAACTAGGTTTGAAAAGTTGTCCAAGTTTTGAATGGCAATACGGCTCATGTTATGACTTAGTAAAACAAGGAGTGCATATGTTGCTTGAAGGATAACTTAATATTTAAATCACTAAGAAGAAAACATAAGAGTAACTTGGAATATATATGGCAAATTGAACTTTGAATAGGCATATAACTTCAAATTTTAAAATTGGTCGGAAGTGAAATCTATCATGTAGCTGAAAGCAAATATACTAAACAAGACCAACCATTGATGCCCTTTGATTCCTTACCTCTACTAATTTTCTGTGTTGTGTCCTTTTCTGGGGACTTAACCTCAATAGGTCCAAGTCTTTCAGACATGTCCCATGCCTTTTCCAGTATCCACCCGGCATCCTGATTTTTCCAAGTTCTTCAGAGATGTCCCATCTCCTCTCCAGTGTCCACACGGCATTCTGATTATTCCATCATTGGCATTGCATGCAAACTGTGATAGTATTATGTTTTGGCAATCCAAAGGACCTGAAATGCAAAATATATTCCTATATAAAGCACTGCAAGACCTGTTTTGTACATCCAGAGCAGGCAAGTTCACCATAAATTCCAAAATATCAGAGTTCATATAGCCAAAAACACCATGCCCTTTCCCTTTCTTACTACCCTGCACTTTCTGAGCTTGTTCTTTTCCTTTCAACAAATTTCATGTGGAAACAATGCAACGGACTTGGAGGCCCTACTTGCATTCAAGGCTGCCATAGTTTCTGATCCACACCATGCTCTCACCTCATGGAATGCAGGAGCTAATTTTTGCACGTGGAATGGTGTCACTTGCAGTCGTAGCCACAGTGATCGAGTTGTCTCCATAAAGCTCATGTACCAGGACCTGGTGGGATCCCTCTCGCCTTTTATAGGTAATCTATCATTCCTCAGAAGCATCATTATTACGAACAATTGGTTTAGTGGCCAAATTCCTGGAGAAGTTGGTCGTTTGAGACGCCTTGAGAATATAGATCTCAGCAACAATTCATTTAGTGGGGAGATTCCAAGAAACATAACTCACTGTAGAAATCTGCATTTCCTTACCCTGATCAACAACAATCTGACAGGGAGAATAATTCCTGAGATAGGTTCCCTTGTTAAGCTTCAAGGTTTAGGTTTGACATTAAACAGGTTCCCGGGAACTATACCTCCCTGGATTGGAAACTTAACATCACTGGTCCGACTGTCGATGGCAAATTGTGGTCTTGAAGGCCAAATTCCAGAAGAGATTGGTTCGTTGAGGAGCCTCCAGGTGCTTGAGCTGAGAAACAATTCATTGAGTGGTGAGATTCCACGAAACCTGTCCCAATGCAACGATCTTCGCGTGCTTTTTTTGTACAACAACCTCCTAACAGGGAGAATACCTGAGATAGGATCCCTAACAAAGCTTCAAGTTTTTGTCTTGCCATTCAACAGCCTCTCAGGAACTATCCCTCCATGGATTGGGAACTTGACATCCTTATCTTTGCTATCACTGCTCCATTGTGGTCTTGAAGGCCAAATTCCAGAGTCACTCGCCCACCTTCAAAACCTGCAACTCCTTGAATTAGATGAAAACAGATTAACCGGCAGCATCCCATCACAACTTTTCAATAGCTCAATTGCAGTGTTATCCTTGGGAACTAATCAGCTTCAAGGAACAATTCCCTCTGATGCTGGTCATACACTTCCTAATATTCGCGCCCTTCAGTTGGGTCTCAATAATCTCAGTGGAGAAATTCCTGTGTCTCTGCTGAACGCTTCATCTGTAGAAAAAATCAATTTGGTATCAAACAAATTTACTGGGCCAATGCTGAGGAACTTTGAAAGCCTTCCTAATCTTAGCTACCTAAATATAGGAAACAATAGTATCCATGGCGAAGTTAGCTTCATTTCGTCTCTAACAAACTGCACCAGATTGAAAGCTCTTATTGTAGGAGGGAATCTTCTAAATGGTTCATTGCCTGATTCCATTGCCAATCTTTCCAGAATGCTCGTTTTCTTGTCCCTGGATAATAATAAAATGCATGGAAGACTTCCGTCTGGGATTGAAAATCTTCTTGATCTCACTTTCATGATTCTGGGTAATAATTACCTTTCTGGTCCTATTCCCCTCTCCATTGGCAATCTTGGTAGCCTGCAAGTACTCATTCTTGAAGGGAACAGATTCACAGGTGATATTCCCCCTTCTTTAGGTAACCTTACCTTATTGACTGATTTATATATGGGGAACAATCATCTTTCCGGTTGTATACCTCCAACTTTAGGCAACAATAGCAACTTGCTAACATTCAATCTTTCGCATAACAATCTGAATGGTACAATTCCTAGAGAAATTTTCAGCCTTTCCTTCATCTCCATTTCCTTCATCCTAGCCTACAATGAATTAACAGGAGTTATTCCGCCAGAGGTTGGGCATCTAAAAAATCTTGGATACTTGGATTTGTCCAACAACAGGTTATCTGGGTCAATTCCTAATGTTATGAGCAGCTGCATGAGTTTGGAACGCCTTCACTTGGAGGGTAACTTGTTTGAAGGAGAAATACCAAGAGCACTCGGTGATTTAAGGGGGTTACAAGACTTGGATCTTTCTCGAAATCGCTTGTACGGATCAATTCCAAATTCTCTTTGCGAGCTTCGTCTATTGATCAATTTGAACCTGTCTTCTAATGAGTTGCAAGGCAAAGTCCCAACATCTGGAGTGTTCCTAAATACCAGTGCAATTTTTCTTGATGGAAACTTTGATCTATGTGGTGGTGTTGCAGATCTCAGATTACAACCATGCTCAAGAATGAACTCCAAACACAGGAAGTTACCTAATAAAGTGCTGAAAATAGCAGTTCCTCTAGGAGTCCTGGGAGTCATATGTTCGATACTTTTGGTTCTTTTCTGTGTATTGATGTACAGAAGAAAATCTAAGGGACAAAGTCTGACATCAGTGCCATCAATGGAAGGACAGTTTGCCAGGCTTTCTTATGCAGACCTGCTGAAAGCCACGAGTGGATTCTCCCGGAACAATTTGATTGGTGTTGGCAGATTTGGCTCGGTTTACAAAGGAGCTTTAGACGATGGAATGGCAATGGTTGCAGTAAAAGTTCTTGATCTTGATGTCAGAGGAGCTACAAAGACATTCGTGGCGGAATGCAATGCGCTAAGATGGATGAGGCACAGGAATCTTGTCAAGATAATAAGTGTTTGTCTAAGCCTAGATTTTCAAGGCCAGGACTTCAAGGCGTTGGTGTATGAGTATAAGTCCAACGGGAGTCTTGAGGAATGGCTGCATCACAATCCAATTGATCAAGGAGAAGAGGACAGAGGCCTTACAATGATTCAGAGACTGAATATAGCAATCGACATTGCATGTGCACTTGAGTACCTACATTTTGGTACTGATTCAGTTGTTATTCATGGTGATCTGAAACCGAGTAACATTCTTTTGGATGATGACATGACGGCCTGTGTTGGAGACTTTGGATTAGCCACAGTTGTTCTGAGCATTTCAAAAGAGCTTCTGACTAAGGAAAGCAATTCAAGTGTAATCAAGGGAACTATTGGGTACATTGCACCGGGTAGAACTTCTTAACCCATCTAGACATTTGTTTTGTTTCTTGAATTTCTGAACTAACCTGCTATTTCCGCAGAATACGGCATGGGGGAGATGGTTTCAACACAAGGGGATGTATACAGTTTTGGCATTCTTCTACTGGAGATGTTCACCAAGATAAGGCCAACTGATGGAGCTTTCAACGACCACTCCAATCTTAGTAGTTTTGTTTCCAGTGCCTTGCCAGACTCTATGATGGACATTCTTGATCCTGTCATTGTTCAAGAAATCCGAATGGGTGATGATCACAAGGCTAAGGAGACTATGCTTTACATGCTGGAAATTGGAGTAGCATGTTCTAATAAGTCTCCAAGGGATCGATTGGCAATGACAAATGTTGTAACTGAGCTTAGCCAAATAAGGAGTGGATATCTTGCTGAAAGGATGAGGTGAACTTTAAAATGTTCAGATAGTTTTTCATGTTAAAATTATGGACAATGTAAGAGCTGCATTTTGTGTTTCACTCAAGCTGTTAGTTGAATAGGGTGTGATTGTAAATACAGTCTGTTGTAGATACAGAAAGTGGATGATCATGATTTTGGGCAATCTTTAGCAATAGATGAAACACAAAGAAGCTTTCAAGAAATAGAATGACAATGAAAAATGCTGATTGCACTTAAAATACAAAAGACTAAACAAGACAAAGAATTAATGCCCTTATACCCTTATCAACACCATATTTGTTTCCATCTGGTATTGTTGGTCATGAATTAACTTTAATAATCAAAACATGTCGTGTCCCATTTCCATTATCCACACGGCATTATGATTATTGTATCACTGGCATTGCATGCCAGGTGTGTTGCTTCTAACACCGACTGCAGTACCAAATTGACTGGGAAGAGTCCCTCATTGGTGACTCAACTCTCTCATTCTATTGACTGAGTGTCAAAAACTCTGCATTTTAATGCACAAACTATTTTTACATATAGAACTGCAACAAAAATTTGTTGGAGCAAAAAGAGTTGGCTACAATTTTGATAATAATTAAGTTCTAATGGCCAAAAATCAAGTGCACTTTTCCTTCCACGCTATCTTGTCGTTGTGCCTTTTTCTTTTCCTTTCAATCAGTTTTTATGGCCGCACTGTGTGAAAACAAGTCCAATGGCAGTCTGGGGGAATGGTATCACAATCAAAATGATCACAATGAAGAAAGAAGAAACTTTCCATGATCCAGAACCTAAACATACCCATCACATTCCATCTGCACTCGAGTTCTACTTTCTATTTCCTCAGAATATGGCATGGGGTAGATGGTTTCGACAGAATGGGATGCAAATAGTTTCGAGATTCTTCTACTGGAGATGTTCACCATTATAAGAGAACAACCATTGGAGCATTCAAGAACCACTCCAATCTTCATATTCTTGTTGCCACTTGCCAGTGCCCCTGTCAGATTCTATGATGGACATTCTTGATCCTGTCATTGTTCAAGAAACCCGTTTGAGTGATGACAAAAATGCATCTTCGTAGGTGTTTCGTAGGGATCGAATGGGGCAGATATATCGTATGAGATACGGAGCCCATTGATGAACTGAAGATGTAATAGAAATTTTAAGGGTCAATTGTATTTGGGCCGCCCCATTGAAAAAAGCCCAAGGGCCCATTAACTTGATCAGCTGAGGAATCGGTGGCTCGCAAACCCTTGATTTCAGGTTCTTCTTCGGTTCTTCAGATTCAGTATTCGATCGTTTCGTCTGTGGGTTGATTCAGTGTTTGGCCTGTGAAATGGCGATGAACAGAGGAATGGTGTCATGCGCTTCCAAGATATTGAACTCTTCGCCGTCAATCGCATCCAAATCTGGTATTTCTTTGTTCTTTTTGCTCGATTTCTTTTTTATTTTTCTCCGTTTCCTTTCTTCCGCGGTACCGATGCTTTGGATCGAATTGATTCGTTTTCGTTTTTATATTCTGAGAATTAACATCGTGAGCAGAAATTTTAAACCTTGCTACATGTATTGTTGTGGGTATTATTTAACTTTGTGAGGCAATAATCCATAGATCGAAATGTGTTGACTTTCAGCCTCACATAATATTCAAATTGTGGTATATGTGATTACTGAAAATCCCAAACGGCCACACTCTTCATCATCATCAATGGAGTTATCGATGCTATTTTGCATATGTTGTATTTAGAATAATGGTCCAACTTCTTGAAAATTCTGAATTGTTCTATGTTATATTCAATGGAGTGTTGTTTAACAAATATCTAAACATTGTGGCTTAGATAATTGGAGAGCCAGATTGCTTTCAATAGAAGAACTTTTATTGAGGAGCCCTTGTTATCTGACACAAGGATTGTTCGACTTACGAACCATTTAAGCTTAAACTACTAATGGCTTCAAATACATCTTCTTTGTGACTTCGCATTGTGTCTAATATGTATTGACTTGTAAGAAAATACAAGATTGAACTGCAAATTCAGAACCGGAGATATTTCATACGGTCATATCCTGTTGAACAATAGCCAATAACTTAACTTCTTCAATGCATTTTTAGTCGCATTATATTGATATAAAGGAGTACAAGAGTAAACGAGCTGTATTATTTAAAATAAGAATAAGATTAGGCGTATGCATTTTCTAATTTTCGCACCTAGTGGCGATTTCTCTTGCAGTGACACGGGGGATTCATTCAACTAGTATAAAGAAGATGGGAGGCGGGCATGGACATGACGAGCCCTACTACCTTCACGCAAAACACATGTACAACTTGGACAGGATGACAAATCAGAAGCTAAAAATGTCCCTTGGTGTGTTCACTGCATTCAGCATTGGTGTTGGCGTACCCATATTTGCAGTCGTCTTTCAGCAGAAGAAGACCGCTTCAGCATAATTTGATGGTGTAAAATAGAGACTGAAATAAATTGTGAAGACGAAATCCATGAATTCATTTTTGCAACCAAACTGGTTAGTTCTACAGTGAAGTAAGTTCACTGTTGCCGTTTGCTTCTTGCTTTTTTAATCTGAAACTTCCTGTTTCTCTCCCTGTTCTATCAATAAGATGTCTGAGATACATTCTTCTAACTATTTTTGCCCACATACTATCAGGCAATGTTCTTTTACATTTATCTTTAACTTTTGTTTGATAATTCTATGGGTGTCTTTGTAGGCTGGGGAACTTAATCTTGCATATATCACCTCTATGTTTTGCATGAAATATTGCTGATAAGAATGTTTGGATCTTGAATTCTTGTGATTTGCTTTTCAAATTTAGTAACATAAAATGCCATCATGATTGAATTTTTTTAATCTTTACTATTTATTGTCCTCTTTGCAAGTTGCATGCGTGATAACAATTTATATACAGATTTGGTGGCATTCACTTTTCTTTACAGACATTGTCTACACATTCACCATCATCCACTCTCCACATAACATATATTAAATCAATTAATGTAGATTCATCCCTATCCTAAAGTAGACCAAACTTGTGAACCATGTGGCCCTTTAAGCTACGGCTGTTTCATACAAGCAACCCACCCCACCCCACCCACTCTCCCTGGTGTATGACTATGACATTACGACTATGAATTAACCTTCGAAATTTTGACATGAATTTCTTGACTCGTGTACTACACAGATCTATTGACCACTTTAGCAAATATATATATATATATATGTGAACCATAAAGCTTGAATACTGTTGTACTACTGCAACAATATGCTCTTTCTTTATGTGTTATTCTTTGTGAAATTATGAAATTGTTTAGCAAAGTTGTTGACTCCACACACGATTAAGGGGTCTCTTCATGTTCAACAGTTGGAAATTGCTTAAATGAAATCCAAGTCACATGAGCAATATATAATAAAGCTTCAATACTGTTTGTACTTGCAATATATATATATATATATATCTCGTCTAGCTGTGTTTGTTCTTCTTCCTGAAATCATGATGATATATATATTCTTTTAGCATCTTGTTGGCTCTACACACAGTCAAGAGGTGTCTTCATGTTCAACTCTTGCTAGCTGTGGAAAATTGCTTAAATTAAATCAAATCACATGAGAAACCCTTTTTCAACCAGATTCCTTTACAGGTACTATTTAAGAAAATAAAATGGGGTAGCTTCTCTATCTGGTCAGTGTAGTTGAAAGTTAAAGAAAGAAGATGTAGTTATTGGGAATGTATGGATCATACATGGCCCACAGCTATATGGATAATTTAGTTTATTCAATTATCCAATTACATAAGTGTTATATGTCATCACCCAAATTAAATTAAAAGCTAATCCCTTTTAAATTCTTGTTGGCTAATTGAAGCCATAGCCAATGAAGAAAAAAAGGCAAAGAGGGATCCAATGAAAATGGAGATTGGTCATTTCAGTAAAGAGAATCAAAGATGGGGGGTAAAGAAAGCACTGGGACACTTTTCTGGAATTAGGGTTTGAGAAAGACAGACAAAAAACAAAGGTGGCCTGATTCCCCCTCCTTGATAATTCATATCCATAATGTCTTACCTATGAGTGTACAACTCCTTGCTATTTTGTTCAATTCTTAAGATTTAATAAGTTCTATGCTTCTCATGAAATGGAATTAAATACATGCTCTGGCAAATGATAATATATCAAATGTGTATATATAGTTAATTATTTTGCATGCATGGCAATTATGGAGACAGCTTGTTTAATGATTGAGTCCAGCCTTAGAGGGGGCCACTCTGTAATAAACACATGGGACAAGTAATCCAGGAAATGGTTATAAATGACAGTACCCATTTGGTTTTATGTGGTGAAAATGTGTTTCATGCTGGAAATAAGCAAACAAAGGCTCTCAAATTATTGGGTAGATTTGACCCTCTGGCATACATATATACACATATACATGTACCTGTCAAATTTTCCCTTCTCTACACCTTTTTTTTAAAAAAATAAAATAAAAATACACCCATTTGATAAATTCAAGGAAATATCAATAATTTCAGTGAAATAAACACCTAGCTAAATCTCCCCAAGATTTTCTTACCCAGTTGCCTAAATACCATCAAAGCAAAGAAACCCTAATTAATTACATATACATGTGTGTAATTGTGTGGGGTCATGAATGACATCCACAAGTCCCCTATTCCCAGATAAAGCTACTTGATTACACACACAAACATGTAAATAAAAAATGCAAAAATCCAACCATATATGAGAATGCACGTAATTATAAAAGTCAAAGAATTAGAGCAGTGCAGAGGAAGCAATGTAATGTAATGTAATTAAATGTGATGTTGTGGTGGAGGGTAGAGGATCTAAATCTAAATCTCAATCTCAATCTCAATCTCAATCTCAATCAATTAGAGCAGTGCCTTTAATTTGATTACTCACTCAATCTCAATCAAAATCAAAATCTAAATCTTTGATGATCAGATCAGCTTTTCATCTGTTTTTTCAATTGGAATTGAATGAACACAGTGACCACTTGACAACAACTTCACACTTATCAAGAATTGGATTTTACAGCGAGTGAGTGCCCCAATAGGGACATTCCTCATCAATCATCTCATTAATTATTAAAAGAAAAAACCAAATTTTTTTGCTTGGATTTCCAGAATTGTTTGATCCTAGAAAACCCTAACGCCTGAAATTCAAGAAACATCCAGACCAACCCTGCCAAACGATTCCAAAACAATAATTACTACTACGGTAACAAATTAAAAATATTATATGTATCCACACATGCACTCTGAAAATTTTAACCTACTTGAGATCGAACAAATTGAACCAAAAATAAATTAAAAAAGAAAAAGTTAAACACCTTTTCGTGCAAGAAATTATGGCGAATCTTTAGGGTTTTCTTCCTCGCCGCTGCCGCTGTGCTGCGGCTGACTTTGGCCGTCGTGGTGGTGGTGGTGGTGATGGTGATGGTGCTCCAAATTCATCCCCAAATCAATTCTGCTGTTATTACTGCTGTTGTATGCGTTGATTGAGGCTAACATTCCCATATTTGTTTCTGTAACTCCTAATCCCATCGCCTGCTGCTGCTGCTGCTGCTGCTGCTGAAGCACCATTGATCCTAATTGAACCGGGTTGAACCGGCTGGCGCTGGAGAATTCGAATCCTCCGATTCTCTGCATTGAAGATGCCTTGTACGGCCATTCTTGGGGCCCCGCCGTCGCCGCCGCGGCTCCTCCTGTTACAGGAAGCATCCAGAAGGCGTTCCCGACGTTGGCGGCAGCTGGGGCGACGGCCCACATGGCGTGCGCTGGGATGTAATTGGAAGGTTGGGAGGATCCGGGTTTCGGGTCGGATCCGGGCTCTTGATCTGGTTTCGGGGATGTCGACCCGCTTGCGTCTTCTCTGAAGCGTTTTTTCAGGTAATTGTTCTCATCTGGATCCTGGCCGAAAGGGGCGGCGGTGGCGGTGGCGGCGAGCTGGGGGTGGAACCCCAGCATGCCTGCGGCGGCCCCGCTGCCGAGGAAGAGCGGCGCGGATTTGGACGGCGGGGCTGAGATTGTAGTGCTGCTGCTGCGGAGGGAGACGTTGAGAGTGGAGAAATTGGCCGGAAGGGTTCCGGTGCCGGTGGCGGCAATAATGGCGGGCTCCGCCTGGTGGAGGAGCCACTCGATTGTTTCGCCGTCGGATTTGTGGCCCAATTCTCTGGTGAGCTGGAAAACCCTGGCGGCACACAAGGCCGGCATGCGTATGCGCCTCCCGCGGCCATCAACCTTCGTGTGGCGGTCCTTGGAAGGTTTCTTGGCCACCGTTTTGGTGGCGGAAGAATTATGTGTATCGTTGTTATTGGCGGCGGCGGCGGCGGTGGTGGTGGAGGAGGAGGAGGAAGAGGAGTGAGCTAAGTTTCTTGATTGGGGATTAATGGATATGGAGCCCATGAAGGGGCCAAGGGCATGGGGATGGGGTGGGGTTGGACCGGACCCAGAACCGGGTTCCGTTTGACTTTGGTGGTGGTGGTGGTGGGGCGGAGAGATCAGCTGTAGCGAGGACGGCGGCGGTTCATGGTGGCGGTCCGAGGAGGTGGCGCTGGTGGCAGCACCTCCCTGGTTTTTAGGGTTTTGGTCCATGAATTCCATGGAATTGTTTGGTTTATTTTCTAGTTTCTGATGATGACGATGAACATTGAGGAGGAGGAGGAGTACTAAGCAGTAAGTGGAAAAACACCAAATGAGGGGAAAAGAAAAATGGGAAAAAGGTTAGAGATCAAGTTGTTTTGTTGGAAAACTCTTTAAGTGGGAGTAATTAATTGGTGGGGTTCTTGAATTTTCCCTCTATTCATTCTCGCTCTCTTGGTTGACTGGTGTCTTTGTAGAGAGAGAAATCAAAAGGGTTTAGTACTAAAGGGAGTCAGTGTAGTGTGTCACTGTGTGTGTATAGATTAGCTGGGAGGGGGCCATTATAGTAGATTCTTGGAAGGTCCCTGGAGTTCAAGTCCAAATGGATATCCACCCTTGGCTGTGTCTGATATTGTCTGAATCCTAACAGGTCCCAGGATTGGTGAAGAAATAAGAGAAAGGGGAAGGGGGGGGGGGGGGGGGGGCAAGTGGTGGTGGTATGTGGGGACCTGTCAGAAAGCAGAAAATATATACACAGACACACACATGTGTGTGTGTGAGAGAGCAGAAACTGAAGGGCCACTCGTGGGGTCTCTTCTTTCTTGTAAGGAATGAGTACAGTGCAGTTTAGCTGTCTTCAAACAAATTGGTTAATTTTTGGGGGAAGTTCCAGGACTTCAAATCCTGCAGTGAATCCACACCACTCATGGCATGGCGTGCAGTGTGGATTCAACCTGGATCTGCGCTCCCGGGAGTCTCTAAGAATGAGCTCAAACAGTTTTGCTCTCACAGCCACACACGTTGCTCTTTGTTTTCTGGGAAAATAATTCCCACTTTCATATATCCTCTTGATTTGATATTTGACATCTTTGTTTGTCTTTTTAAAATATCAATGGCAGAAGAAGAAAATTGCTCCAAACGACGATTGATTACATGGACCAAATGAAAGCCAGAAAAATCAACAAAAGCAGTAGATGATTTTGAAAGGGCCCATCGCTGGTTCGTTTCAGATTCAAGAAATGTTGGATACAGAAAGGAATTTCCCATTGACTCCATATTTGTGGATAAACTGCCGAGTCCGAATTAGCATCAAAGCATTCATTTTGAAGCATTTCTCTCTGAAAATGGAAAACCAAACAATAATAATAATGATAATTACTAAAATATCAAACCACTGAAAAAAAAAAATGGAAGAACAGAGTTATTCTTCTATTATTACATTACATATTAATGATCTTTTTGATTAAGAATGTAATAACAGATTAAGAGGGGCGTGAAAGCAGCAGCACAGAGGTACAACTGAAGAACACATGTGAAGGCTGAAAGAGGACAAATGATAAAAACAAGTACTGTTCAGCAAATGAGTCCATATTTTTGGACAGCTCTACTCAGCTCAGGTGCACCACACCTTTCAAATATCCCACATACATACACACAACAGCCACAAGAATTCACAAAGTTGATCTTTTTTTCAGAAAATGGTTCTTTGTTAGAGCTGTAAGTAGCAGCAGCAGATAGGTAAGTTAAACATGGTAATGAATAATGATCGATGCGTCTTTGTTATATTTTTCAGAAGAAGCGCGCAGAAGATTCATAGTAAACACTAATTTACACAAAACCGGAGCTCACTCATCAAAACATCTCCGAAAACAACAGAAATCACCAAATTAAATAGCTGTGTTTTCGCGAAACAAAATGGCGGTCTCACCTTCTTGTTGTTTTCGTCGTCATTCTTATTTCCCTTCTTCGGTTTTGTTTCTTGCTATAGCTTACGGACTGTCTGTCTTGTCAGCAGGTCCATGAGGAGGATCTCTTGATGACGGGCTTCATTTGCTTGTCCTCTTCGTGTGAGATCATCCCCAAATGAGAAGGATCCTCCAGCATCATTTTTGCTACGAGGTATCCAGCAATCGACCATGTCTGGTATTTCCTAGCTTGCTTGCCTATGTATCTTCCTAACTTCCCATCATAGTATTCCGGCCAGCTGTCTTTGAGCAATCTGCTCTCTGCAAGATCAATTGCTCGTCTTGCAATCTGTGGGCGACCGGTTTTGATGCAGGCCGCTGTTAGTAGCCATAGGAGGACTGCAAATAAAGAAAAGTTAGAGAATGATACGTGTTAGTTGCTTTCATTCCATGGGAAAAACTAAGAGAGATCGAAGGATGAACCTGGCCAAGATCCTCCATTGTGATAGCTCCATCTTGTGTTCTTCGGATCACATCCAGTTACAATTCGCCATTCGTGGCTTTCGATTGCTGGATAACATATTTTCAGAGGCATTTCGCCTACGAGCTCCTCCCACCGTTCTTCAAAAAGATCCATAATTGCGGAAGCTTGCTCTGGAGTGGCAAGAGAGGACAATATGGCGACACAATTACCCAACGCAAACCATCTGAAATCCATTCTCGCGGGACTAACATTTCCAATGAAATAGCCACCACGCATTGGCATAAAATCAAACACCCAATCGGGGATTGAATCAGGAATTACGTTAAACTTGTTCACAGCAGTATGAGAGTATTCTTCAGTCTTGTAGCGGTATATATCATTTAGTTGTTGAAAGTCTAGCCAAAAATAGCTCCTCATATGATAACTTAATGCATGCAAACGCTTCACAATCCTCTCGATGAACTCTTTCCCTTCTGCATCGTGTTTCAACATCACCAGAGCTGATCTTAAAGCCATAAAGAATAGAGCCTGAATCTCAATTGGATACCCATATATTCCCTGTCGATCAAAAACAATGTGTTTGATGGAAATTTGATAAGCAACCGTACAGATTCAACTAGCTTCCAAGTAGGTATGCATCAGATTTTCTAAATTTATTCATGAACTCACTAACAAATCAATTGTCAATAACTACTGCCAAGAAACCCGAAGAACATAGTTGTACATTATATACTAAAGCCATAAAAGCTGCTCATAAAATGATCCCATTTTGTATTTTTAATCAGATTGGTGTTTGATGAAAAAAAGGTTTTCAAAGAATTTTATGATTTCTATGTTATGATTCTCAATTCTCTCAAACTAAGCCCCCACCGGCTGTCATATTATATTTCATAGAAAATGGTCAGTTTATCCCAGAAGAAACAATCTACTGCACCATTGTTCACTTAGTTTTAGTATACTGCAGTTGATCTAAAACACTGGGATGACAAAAGCAACGATCCCCTCATTTCTTAAGGGTTGACTTGAAATAAACATAAAAACACTAACACTATCCAACAACAGCACAAACAAAACTGTAATAAAAGCAGCCACATTGTCACTTTCTGCCTATCGATTAAAGAAAGCTAGGTGCTTTCTACCATTTAGGTATAACTTAGTCTTATTGACGGAAGAATTTAATATCTGGAAGAGCCATGAGTATCATCTTTTTTCATGATTCAGTAGAAGGGTACTTACCATTCTGCGATCAATCATTGAGCAACCATCAGCACACAGCAATGTTGGAAAAGTGTCAAAGCCTTCAGACAGACACAAAGTCAGAATAAGTCTCATCCCCTTTTGGCATTCAGGCGTTTCAGACAGAGACAAGTCTCCCGTAGACTTTGTATATGCTCGGAGAAGAATTATCCACCAGAAACCAGAATCAACTGGAGCAACTCTTCCAATTGCACTTTCACCAAAATCAGCTATAATTGTATCACTCTTGCGAACTGGATCATGAAGTACTTTGAAACTAGCCGGCATAGCACCTTCACCAAGCTTGAATCTATCTATTCTCTTTTCCCATCCTTGAAGTTGAAGGGTCTTCAAAAGGAAATTTTTAACTATTTCTGGCTCACCATTCATTAGAAAGGCAAGTGCACTTGGTACAAAATCTCGAACAAAAACCTGCAATTGGTATGAACAAGGTATCAAAGGAAACTGAAACATTAAATTAATCGAAAACAGCTTCAATTAGTTTACCTGATCATAATTCAAGACTTCTTCCGAAGCATGATCATAAGCAGCAATTGTGCCAACTGGTTGGCCCCTAAAGTGAACCAACGATCGTCGGAGGGCTTCCCAAGCATCTGCAACAATGGGATGTGGCTCGAAAGAATTCCTAGCAGACGAAGCAGGGGTGTCTAATATTGACCGTCCAGGCGAGTATGCACTCTCATAATTATCCAAACCTCTCGTCAACCCAATTGACAACTCACTAAGAGATCTCTCATCAAACGATCTCTGCCTTTCGATATTCAATCTGGGCCTGTCAAGTAGCTTCGAGAGGTCGTAATCATCCATATCCGATATTGAACATTGGGAATTTACATTGTTTAGTCCAACCTCTTTTGTAATGTCCATTCCCCCCTTCATACCATCAATAATAACCTTAAGATTGTCCATACTAGGATCCTACTTCCAAAACACGTATTGTCCGTGTCACCTAGAAACAGTCACTATTAGACCATCAGATACGAGCATGCATTGAAAGACAAAATACAAGAAATATGAACACTCTTACTACAGTACACTCGGCATGCTTAAATGCTAACTTAAGTCCATGAAAACTCAACAAAATCAAGTAGTAGTAGGCTAGTAGCTGATTGTATCGCCGTGTTCATCTTCATAAGAAAAAGTTACCAAATATAGAAATAGGTATTTAAGAAACTTTGGCAAAATAAAATACAGTATAAAATGCATACTAAAGCTGACTTCCCAAAAGAAGCTAGAGCAAAAGGTCCAACCTTGCCTTAAATTCCACACCCCTTTACATACAAGAAAACCATTAATAAATACAGAGAGGCAACCTGAGCTATCCCTATGCGATAATCTTTCCACAAGGAAAACTTCGAACTACAGAAGCTTAGCATTGACTATGTTTGGTTGAACAAACTTTCTACAGTCTTCTTTAGCAAATCAAAAAGCTTTACACTTGAAGACATCCATCAAAAAATCCTCCTCAACCATTCAAACTATGAACATCAAGCTCTTAGAACTAAAAAAAAAAAAAAAAAACAATCTTTAAAAGGGCACATAATATTGGAAGAATCGAGCGCAATCCTATTACAGGCCAAAGTTCAATAAACAACAAATGAGCCACATTGCGTAAATTAAAGAACAAAACGGAGCCTAGAAGAAAGCAGTGAGGTTTTGTCAAGATCCGCGGGAAAAGGGGGCAAAGCAAACCACTAAATTTGAAATGGTAAGCGTAAAATCTATTGGAAGAATCACGATTCAAAGGGGTGGGTCCACGTATAAAAGCTCCAATCAGCCTAAGACAAAGCAGATCTAAAATCTTCCATCACAAATCATCTACCAGAGAAAGGGAGCGAAAACACTAACCTTGGAGATGTAAACCAGTGAGAGAGAGGACTGATAGCAGAATGTTCCAGCGGCTGGGGCGGACACGGCAAGATTGCCGGACGGTAAACAAGACAGACAGGAAAATGGTCACAAAAATGGAGAAGAGAGGGAAAAACCTTACCCACTGGCGGAGCCTCAATTTATAAAAACTCTCTGAGAAAATCAACCAACCAACCAACCAACCAAAGAAGTGTCTGTGTGAGAGAGAAAGAGAGTAAATGGAGGTCACTGCATATCGACCGTCAGTTAATAAATGAGAAAATCCTCCTGTGAAAAAATCAAGATGAGACACGGGACCTCCGCACCGGAAAGAGCCAGAAAAAAATATCAACGGTGTAAGTGGACGTTGGATCACAGATCCCGGGATCTGAATAGTTGATGTTAGATAGTATTGTCATTGGAATTGTATTTATAGGTAAACAAACCCTAGTAATCTTTGTATGATACATCCATTCATATTTACTCACATTAAATTAAATTGATTTGGTTATTCAAAAACTTATATTAAATGGAATAAAACATTTCACAATGTTATTGAAACAAACAATTTCATTGAACGTTCTAATTTACGAAGCATTTCCAAAACTTTTAACGTAACAAAACAAATAACTATATATAATTCTTATAATAGTAGTTGTTTGATTTGTACTTGGTTTCAGTGTTCTATTATAAAATTAACAATTCTTGTAAAAATTACTATAATATTCAATAAATATGTTATTTTAAATATATATATAATAGACCCATCCATATATATCTTTGATAAAATATTGGATGAAATAATAATTTAATTAGTGCATTTTTTTTATTAAACCCAATTGTTATCTGTCTATGTAGACAGTATCCGTAAATAGTGGGATTTCAAAATGGGCGGTTACCGGAGCGGCCGGTAATGCCACCTCAGCAAAATCCATGTAAGGGACGGCATAATAATAATAATAATAATAATAATAATAATAATTACGTCGCCCAAGTGGACAAAACAAAACTATTCAATATTATAGTACCAGTATTATTCGTTTCGAATGTCCCAAAAATAGGTTTTATTATTATTATTATTATTATTATTATTATTCCATATGTATGTATATATTGTTGAAAACAAATTAATGTAGCGTATGAATCAAACAACTTGTTGACAAGGTCAAGGTGTGTGTGTTTATTGATATTGATAAGTAATAGCTACCTAGAACCGTGTATTAATTAGTTGATTAATTTAATTACTATATATCAATTTATTAAACAAGTGCTGCTGTGTGTGATATAAATGCGACATATATAGGATAGACATTGCCATCCTGCTGAATATATTTGCCGTCACGACTGGGCACTCTACAGAAAAATATATATATAATTAATTGAGGTTGAGATGCATGTAATGACGTAAGTGGGAAAAATTAAATTAGAAATGGGATTTGGAGAAATTAGTGGCATCATCATCCGATCCGATGATCCCCATTATATGGATAGATAATCAAGAATCCATCCATCCATGTATGTATGTGTATATTGTAGTAATTATTATTATGAGACAATTAATTTAGAATATAGTATCTAGTATCTAGATTGTCTGTCTGAGACGACATACATACATACATACATACATACATAGTTACAAATTGCAAGAAGAAGAAGAGGAAGAACTGGATATATATTATTCTTCTAGTTGGAGGGGATGGATGCAAGAATGGTAAGAAACGTAGAGTGATCGCAGGGAAGAATGATCCTGGTGTCGCCAAAGCCGTACTCCTCTGCAGCCTTGTCCAGAAGCTGCTGAAACAATGGATTCTTCAGCAAAGATGTAGGCACTATGTGTCTCTTCAAGGGGGGGTTGTTCATCTCATTGTGCACGTACACCACAAAATGCCCCCTGGGAGCTACTTTATTATTTTCATCATCCCCTGCTCCTGCTGCAGCTGCTCTCTTCTTCGCCATCATTATATGGACATACAAGAATGGCTGGCTGGCTACAAGCTAAAAATGAAGGACAGCAGCAGCAGCAGCAGCAGCACTTTTGCGGACATTTATATACACTCACACTCACACTCACTCTCACTCGCATCATATCATATCCAATTTTGGATTATGCGAGTGAATGAGTGGCGACAAGAAATTAAAAGATAGAAAGAAAGCCATCATTCAAACCATGTTCTTCTAGATAGATATATGGATATTGAGGTTGACTATTTGTGTGTGTGTGCAGCACATGGTGTCAGCCAGTCAGTGAGTGAGTGAGCTTCTAGATTTGCTGCAGCAGCCTCACTCATGGCATGCATTCAGTGGGTAGACTTGTATTTGCCGGACTGCCATACTCCAATCCCCAAAATTAAAATTAAAATTGCATGCAATCCAATCCACAAGTTTATTCATATATATATTTATATTTATATATAGGTATATAGCTCAGAGAATTGAAGATCGACGAGAGGCCAACATAGGGTTGGTTACACTTGTACCCCACCACTACCACTACACATATAGATATATATAGGTAGCCAGTTAGCAATAACTCTCTCCCAGCACCCCGGATCGGACTGGAAGATGCCATAGATAGATAGATGGATACGTGTGTGTTTTGTGTACATACGCTGTTGAAGTATTAATTTGTAACTGGATAGAGGCAACTAGAAAGATCAGGATCATATCCATGGATATAATAGGTAGGCTGCATGCAGGCACATGGGCATGGCGATCATACTTTGAATCAAACTTACTCATCACCCACTCTCTGCCTCTGCACCACCACACTACCCTCCCCTACGGCTGCCTCCATTCCCCCTCCCCCTCTCACTGTCACTCTCACCTCTTCTTCTCTAATTAATTTACATATTCCTCTCTCTCTCTCTCTCTCTCTCTCTCTCTCTCCGCCCTCCAATGCAATGCATTTGTGCATCATCCATTCATTCATTCTCTCCCCAATCATTGCATTGCATTGCATTGCATGCAGTGTTTTTGTCCTTTTCTTTAAGCTCTCATCTCTTCTGTGCTCCTATCCTATATTCTATAGACAGGTTTCTCAAGATAATTAACTCATAAAGAAAGATATATATTTAAAATCGTGTTTTTGGATGCATGAAAAGCGTGTCCTCATAAAAAAACAACTTTCATCAATAACCAATAAGAAGCTGAATGAATGCATTTGTTTTTCTGCTGAAAATGTTTGTGTTCAACTTGAATTTGTAGTGCGCAGGTAGTAGAATTGGTCTAAAATTTGACAACTCTAAATTCTAAAATCAATTAAATTTAAATTAATTAATTAATGTTGTTTCAGTCTTCTCTAATTATTGAATTGAAGTTCGTTAGGGCTATTCCATTTTCCGAGCCGACGACAATTGACATTTCGCCGCTTTGGTGTTGTACATTACGCAGCAGTAGCAGTACCACATGCCCCCTACGGCCCTTCCTAATGATCCGATCCAACAACCGGCAGTTTGGAGCTCTGATTTCTCTAGTAGCTTCTCATGAGGAGGAGGAGGACGGGAGTTTGAGGGTTCTTGCCGGGAATTGGGTTTCCTCACCATTATGCAACTGAAATCCATCAACATATTCGTAATCACTCTCATGCTAGGGTTTGCGCTAATCATTCTCTTCTTAACGACGAGTTTTCTCGAATTCCCGTCCGCAGACACGGCGCAGGATGGCCTATTCGTGACCCTGTCGGAGTCGTCCGAGCCGGAGCCCTTCGAAGATTTATTCGAAGCTTACAAAAAATGGGATGCTCAAGTCGGATGTGCCCAATTTCGGGAGAAGCACAAAGGTTTGTCATCGAGCGGGTCGAACACCTCATTTCTCCCGAATGCTGAGGACGGAATCCGGTGCGGCGAGCTGCAGATGGACCATGTCAGTGTTCTGGTCAAAGGTTGGACTTGGATTCCTGATAACATGGATAATATGTATAGCTGTAGTTGTGGCCTGTCCTGTTTATGGACCAAATCTTCAGTTCTTGCCGATAAGCCAGATGCCCTGTTGTTTGAAACCACGACGCCTCCATTGAAGGTAATCGGTTACTCCTGCCACATTCCTTGATGTAACAATGTCGCATCTTTCAATTCACATTGGTGTAGTCTATTTACAGTATCAAGTTTGATGGAATGAGCATTACTTGACCAATATTGTTGTGAATTGAAAAAAGTCATGGGCTTGTCTTAAGATTTTAGTGTAATCTATGACCTTAAGGAAAACTGCCTTCTGCCGTCTGTCATAGGTTTTTGTTTGTGGGAGCCATGAGTTGATGATTTGCAAGGATAACTCAGAATCTTGATTTTCTGCATTTGTGTGAATTTTAGTTGTGGGTTTGATTAGTGGACTTATCACAAGATTGTTGTCGGATGAGTTTTTCAATTGTTCTTTGTTGGTGAATAAGTATGTATGGTGGCATCACACTAATTGTATCCTCTCTGTTAGCTTTTTCAATTCACTTAATCACAGAAGATTCTGTCTTTGTGTTTTGACAGAGATTGAAAGGCAATCCCCTTCGTGTATATATGGATCTTGAGGCCGGGAGGAAGAAATCAGGCTATGAGGACCTTTTCATAAGTTACAATTCTAAAGATGATGTCCACTGCACTTATGCTGGTGCTCTTTTTCATAACAACCGTAATTATCATATATCTCCTGTAAAGAACAATGTAAGTGCTCTTTCCAGCTTTGCTCATGTTGGTCCCTTTTCATTACTTATTTAGATAGCGTAAGTTAATTAAAAATTGGTATGCTTAAAGCTAATCTAATCGGGTGTTGAAATATATCTTATTTTCTTCATTCAAGGACACGCTTGTTTATTGGTCTTCATCCCGATGTCTACCTCAAAGAAACCAACTAGCAAAAAAGATACTTAGTTTGTTGCCACACCACTCATTTGGCAAGTGTATGAACAATGTTGGTGGACTGGACCGGGCGCTTTCCCTGTATCCCGAGTGCATAAAGGATGCTAAAGAAACGCCCAAATGGTGGGATCATCTGCATTGTGCCATGTCACATTATAAATTTGCCCTTGCAATTGAAAACACGATGACTGAGAGCTATGTGACTGAGAAAGTGTTCTACGCCCTGGATTCTGGAGCGGTTCCTATATACTTTGGCGCTCCGAACGTTTGGGACTTTGTACCTCCTCATTCAATCATAGATGGAACACAGTTCAGCTCGATCAGTCAACTAGCTTCTTACGTCAAGTCCCTAGCTAATAACCCCATTGCTTATGCCGAATACCATGCTTGGAGGAGATGTGGCGTCCTGGGAAACTACAAGAAAACTCGTGCAGAGAGCCTGGATACTTTGCCGTGCCGGCTTTGTGCAGCTGTGAGCAGAAGAAATGGGAGAAATGCAGAAGCTTTGTAACAACTTGGAGATTTTTAATGATGGCTTGTAATGGGTACATCTTCACTAGTCAATTTTGCATCCTATTATGTATTGTCAAGAGCAGATGTAGAAGAAGACTTGACAAATTCAATTTATACACACAAGCTTTTGCTTTTAGCAGCTAATCAAGTTATTGCTCACCAACAAACAGATAATGCTGTGAACCAAAAGATAACAAATAATGGGCAAAGGTTTAAAAATTCGACTAACTTGTACAAATTCTATAAATACAAAGACAACAACATGAGGGCAGTTTGGACTATGCCTCTACAGTCAAGAATTCTAACCCAAAATGTTCAAGAAGCTAACAAAAATACACAAGCGACGAGAAAAACTTCATGGCAACAGAAGCAGCATACAAGAACTTAATATTGGTCACATTGGCAGTGAGCATTTCTTTTGAGAATGCCCAAGCATATGGCATCGACCACATTGAACAATTCTTTTAGGCCGTTTTAAACTCTCTATACGGAGAAGCTTCTTTTTGGGCCTCCCGGGAGGCCTGCGAGTTTTAGGGGGGCGGATAGTGATATCAATTCTAGTACTTCCATCCTCTGTTCCTTCGCCTGTTTCCTTCCAGAGGCTTTTGTCAGGTATGGGGTATATCATCTGTGAGTAGGTTTCGCGGTAGCTGTGAACAGTGAAGCAAGGGTCTGCGAACAAATGAGCATTTTGCCCACAAGATATAAGTGCAGCAGCAGCATGTGCACACGGCAGACCATAGATTTGCCAGCGGCGACATGAGCAGATTCGAGTCCTTATGTCTACAATGTTTGTCCGTTCTGTTGACACAATTTCAAACTCAACTTCATTTGCGCGTAGTACCTTGTAGCAGCGAGCATCAGCAATAGCTTCCCCAATCTGCTTCTCAGCAGATGGAACGAGAATTGAGGTTAATTGAGTGCCTATACTTCTGCGATCATTGAACCAAATTGTTAACTGGTGGCGTATATGCTCCATCATCTGTACAATAGGAAGCTCATGACACTCCAGTGCCCAATTATACAGCAGTTCTGCAACGGTCAATGTGAAATGACCATACCGTACCCCTTCAAAGTATGCCACAGCCCATAGCTGCGGATTGAAATGGTGAAACCAAGGTAAGACATCCCGGTCTATCTGCACCATCTCGGAGATTTTACTTTCAAATTCAGCTGTCGTGAGGGCATAAACAGCATTCCAGAAAATATTCACCAACTTTGAGTTCCTAAATGTATCACGGAAATTTTCACTGACATAACGCAAGCAAAATCCATGAAACGCAGTGGGAAAATGAGTTTCAACTGCTTGCACCATACCCTCTGTTCTCTCAGAAAGTACCGTTAGCTGGGGCACATTGTCAGTGTTTACTCCAAGAAGCTTCCGGAGTTCTGAAATGAACCACATCCAGTTCTCATCGCTCTCAACATCAACAACAGCTATTGCCAATGGAAACAGGGCATCATCAGCATCAACAGCAGCAGCACAAAACATTGTTCCTAGGTACTTCCCTTTGAGATGAACCCTATCCAGTTCTAGAAGCGGCCGGCAAGCTTTTATGAATCCATAAATTGCAGCACCATATGAAACAAATAATCTTTGAAATGAATTTTCCTGCCCTGTGGCCACCACATTTGAAATGCTTCCTGGATTTGTCTTCTTAATCTGTTCACAGTATGCAGGGAGAAGCTTAAAACCTTCCTCGTAAGTTCCGTGTAAAGCAGCCATGCTACGCTCCTTCCCCCGCCAAGCCTGCATATAAGATACAACAACCCCATGTTTATCTTGAATATCTTGCAAAATTTCCTTGGGCTTATAACGTGGATTATCCCTCACACGTGCTTCCACAGATCGTGCAACCCAACCAACAGATGCCTGTTGATGATGAAGACTCTGGACACCTTCACAAGTGTGGTCTCCATGTAGCGTTCTAATAGTAAATGTGGGAACTCCCGGGCATTTCGCAACATGGACTCGCCATGGGCAGCCTTCTTTAGAACATTTAGCTATAAATCTACTCCTATCAGATTTCACTATCCGAAGCTCAAAATGCAAAGCTATAGCTATATCCTTGAGCGTCCTCCTACAAGTATCAACATCTGGAAACTCTTGTCCAATTGCTAGAGTGTGGTTAGCCAAAGAATCAACTGCATTCGTGCTAGAGACTGGTGTAAGTGCATTTTCAGCAATGTCGCTAGTCAATGCAACAATTGCATGAGCATCGGATACAGCAGAAAAACCTTGGCCAGCCATTTGTGTCATTCATGTAAACCAGCATCCCAATTTAAAACCAGTGGCACTTCTTTCAAATTCCATATTTCATCAGAATCTTCCACCGACCCAAATCCCAATATTTCCAAACTGCATCCAAAAACTCCAAATTTTGCAAATCCTGCAATAACCAAACTTCCAAATATTTCACCATCAAACCGAAAAAATTGCACTAAAAGGTCTTCAAAACAGGCCAGGAATTCCAATTAGATTTCCAAAAATTCAATCAAATGACAAGCAATAATGTAACTCGGAATCGGCTAAAAAACAGCTCAACATTCAAAAGAGCGTCCATTTCATCAATGCACACATACAATTTTAGTGAAACCACAATGCAAATAAGTTTGCACATTGAATTATTTATAAACAGCTGAACGAATTTCAGTTGGCAATCTATTTGGGCCGGACTATAAAAGAGCGAATTGGGGAAAGCAATTTACCTCTTCAAAAGATGGATACTTCAAATACGTGGGATCTGAAAGGTCAATTATACAGATGCGAAACACTATGTATAGACAGACATACAACCATGTGTATAAACAGAGACCAATCGAACACAAAATTGACTACAAATACGAGCCCAGGCAGAGGCGAAAATGTAAAACCTACAACTTATTAGGGCTAATCTGAAGCAGAACCATAGCAAGAGATTATTAATGATTCAGTTTCGTTATGGCTATTTGCCCTAATTTGAGAAAGGCCAGCCAGCCCTTGCTCCCAAACCAAAACTCAGTAACGTGTTTCGAGTGCGTGAGGGAAATGGGTCGGAGTCGGGTAGATCGCCGCCGTTAGTTAAAATGACGAAAACGCCCTTAATCTCTGTTCAAGGACAAATGAACGGCGGAGATTTCAATCTACACGGCAGCGAAAATATGCTAATATTCAGAAGCTCGGGGACGCAATTGCAATTTTGTATTATTTCCATAATTTGCTTGTTACCATGTGTTATTTTGTGACTTACTTTTAAATACTTTTGGAGATTTTGAGTAATAGTATTTACTTTTTAAAAAATACTGTATTAAACTTAAAATATAATTTTTTCATAAGCAGACGCGTGTCACATTTCTATTGGATGTGGTGGTGGCAAGTGATCGGACGGCGTTGATTTGCGCAGCACAAATTATTGGGAGTTGACCCACGGTCCACTGCTACGGTCCCATGGCGGTGCCATTTCTGTCGTAGGTGGGCCCACCTCCCATGCACTAAATAAATTTTAAGTTAAACTTTGCATTTAATTGAAAATAATATAAATAAATGAAAGGAAAAAATAATAATAATAAAATCATTCATAATGAATCAAATCATTGGATGCATTAGCAATGAAGAGGGGAAAGGAGTGTGGGACCTTAATTTAATTATCCATCACCTGCTGTTTAAGTGCTTTTTGGCAGTTTGGTGTGCAATTCTTGACAATGGATTAAAAGACCATAGTTTGTTTGATTATTTTAACAGTGCTTTTTGGCAGTTTGGTGTGCAATTCTTGACAATGGATTAAAAGACCATAGTTTGTTTGATTATTTTTGTCATTTTTCTCAACCCATTAACTGAAAGATGATCTCAGACACACACACACTGTATTTCCTATTTATATAATATGTGCAACTATAACAAACATCATTTGCCAAAAGAAAATTAAAAATGCATGAGAGGAGAGGCTGAGGAAGACCCTCTTATCCAATCCCTTTTATGTTATTTGATTTTCATAAATCGCTGTCATCCTTTTCCTACACTGAGAAGCTTGTGATTTATTCGTTGCTTTAAGACCCTTCAATGGACTTGTCTGAAACTGTACATGTCACAGGTTGTAAGAGGTAATAAAGAAAGCTTTCTGCCTCCTACTTAGAGGTATATTGACACTGAGACCAGACTCAAATTGAGGGTTTTTGATTTTCTGCTCCTATACTTGTAAGTTGTTTTGATTATATATGCATATGTGTGTGTGTTTTTGATCTGCTGAAAGTTGTAGGCATTCATTCCTAATGTCCTGTTAAGATAAAGATCCTAAGTATGTTCATGTTGGTTTGCACATACACACTAGGATCAATTCAAAGCAAATATTTAATTAGTGGCTAAGTTTGGGATTGGAGCAACAATGGTGAAAATGGAGATTCTGAATGGATTGAATGTTTGTCTTCTCCAGTGAATAGACAGACAGACAGAGAGACGACCCTTTTGCCCTTTTCTTACATTTACATACCCTTGCAAGAATGGTCAAACAGTTGGAATCCATCTCCCTCCAAATCACGACCATTTTCTTGATTTTGTCATCGTTTTCCCAATTATCCAATTGCTCACCACAGGAGACAGAAGCCTTGCTGGAATTCAAGACACACCTTATTGATCCAACCAACATCTTGGAATCCTGGAATGGGTCGAATCCCCCCTGCCAATTCTATGGAGTCACCTGCGATCAACACACAGGTTTGGTGACTGAAATTTCACTGGACAACAAGTCCCTGTCAGGTGTGATATCTCCATCACTTTCTGCGCTGGAAGATCTCACTTCCTTAGCGTTGCCAGCAAACCAGCTGTCGGGATTCCTTCCAGGGGACTTGATTCAGTGTAAGAACCTCAAAGTCCTGAATCTGTCTGGTAACCAATTGAATGGAACCATTCCTGATCTGTCCACGTTGTCCGACTTGGAGATTCTTGATTTATCAGACAACTTCTTTTCCGGGGCATTCCCTGGATGGATTGGGGATTTGACAGGCCTGATCTCGTTAGGCCTTGGCAACAACAACTTTGACGTGGGCGAAATCCCCGACAGCATTGGCAGGTTAAAGAAGCTGCAATGGCTTTACCTTTCTGGCTCAAACTTGCACGGCGCAATCCCCGAATCGATCTTTGAACTGGAGGAGCTTGGAACTTTGGATATGTGCAATAACAGGATCTCTGGAAACTTCCCGGCTTCGATAAGCAAGATGAAGAGCTTGTTCAAGATTGAACTTTATAAGAACAATCTGACTGGTGAGCTTCCTCCAGAGCTTTCCAGGCTGACACTTCTGCAAGAATTCGATGTATCCAACAACCGAATGCACGGAACAATCCCTCCTGAGATGGGAAGCTTGAAGAGACTAACTGTGTTTCATTTGTTCAGCAACAACTTTTCGGGGGAAATCCCGGCAGCCTTTGAGGAAATGGAGCATCTCATCGGCTTCTCCATCTACCGGAACAGCTTCACCGGAGAATTCCCACAGAATCTTGGCAGATTTTCGCTGTTGAATAGCATTGACATATCGGAGAACAAATTCACCGGTGCATTTCCGAAGTACCTGTGCCAGAATGGGAACTTACAGAAATTACTTGCCTTGGATAACAACTTCTCAGGGGAGTTTCCGGACACTTATGGTGAATGCTATCCTCTGCAGAGGTTGAGGATCAACCAGAACCGGCTTGGGGGTACGGTCCCGGATGGAGTTTGGGCACTTCCAAACATTCAGGTGATGGATTTCAGAGACAATGATTTCGCCGGAGGAGTGCCTCCAGGCATTGGAGCTTCGCTTCATTTGAGCGAGATCATGCTGTCAAACAACAGGTTTTCGGGGGCATTGCCGAAGGAAATTGGGAAGCTTGAACAGCTGGAGAGGATTTACTTGGATAACAACAGATTCTCAGGAAGAATTCCATCAGAACTTGGAGGTTTAAAGCAGATATGGTCCTTGCATTTGGAGGCGAACGCGTTTACTGGATCGATACCTTCTGAATTGGCGAGCTGTCCTCGCCTGGCCGACTTAAATCTTGCGTCGAATTCCCTGACTGGAACCATTCCCAGCAGCTTCTCCAAGATGGCCTCATTGAATTCCCTGAACCTGTCAAGAAACATGCTCAGAGGACCAGTTCCAAGAAGTTTCGACAGGCTGAAGCTATCATCAGTTGATCTGTCTGATAACGAGCTGTCCGGGAGCATTCCGCCATATCTTCTAACATGGGCTGCCGATAGAGCATTTTCAGGAAACAAAGGCCTCTGCATCGACGGCGAAAGCAGTAGAAAGTATGGGAACTCAGGGCTGCCAATATGTGATGGAAGAAACAGCCACAAGAATTTCCTCAAAAGCAAACTAGCTATGTTCTGCGTCATTCTAGTCGCGCTCGTGGTGATCTTGTGCGGCTTACTTTTCATCAGCTACCGGAGCTTCAAGCAAAACCAAGAAGCGAACGCACGTAGTAGGAAAGCTAAATTTATAACCTCGAACTGGAAGCTCGAAAGCTTCCAAAAAGTTGAGTTCAATGTGGATGAAATTTGTCATCTTGCTGAGGCCAACTTGATCGGAAGTGGAAGCACCGGGAAAGTGTATCGACTAGACTCGAAGATGGGCGCCGGGACCGTTGCAGTGAAGCAGCTATGGAAGGGGAATGGAGGGAAGCTCATGACAGCAGAAATGGAGATTCTTGGCAAGATTAGACACAGAAATATTCTGAAACTTTATGCTTGTCTACACAAAGAAGGATCGAATTTTTTGGTGTTTGAGCACATGGCAAACGGTAATCTCCGGGAGGCACTCGATAGACACATCAAGGATGGCCGGATAGAGCTCGACTGGCATCGAAGGTACAACATTGCCGTCGGTGCTGCAAAAGGAATCGCCTACTTGCACAACGACTGCAGCCCGACGATCATCCACAGAGACATCAAGTCGACAAACATATTGCTGGATGACGATTATGAGGCTAAAGTCGCCGACTTTGGCGTGGCTAAAGTCGCCGATGAAGTGTCGTGTTCGGCGTCGGAGATGAGCTGTTTCGCCGGAACTTATGGATATATAGCACCTGGTTAATACTGAATATCTTAAATTTGATTTAAGAACATGCAATGTGTGTTTACATTACTGAAGTGGATTCATTTTTGTCCATGATCAATGCAGAGATGGCCTATTCGATCAAGATAACAGAGAAATGCGACGTGTACAGCTTCGGGGTGGTGCTGCTGGAGCTGGTGACGGGAAGGAGATCGATCGAGGAGGATTATGGGGAAGGGAAGGACATTGTGTATTGGGTTTCGACTCATTTAGATAACAGGGAGAATGTAGTAAAAGTTCTTGATCCTGAGATTGTTTGTGAAGCAGTTCAAGATGATATGGTGAAGGTGTTGAGAATTGCCATGCTTTGCTCGTCGAAGCTTCCGAATCTGAGGCCTAATATGAAGGAAGTGGTGAAGATGTTGATCGATGCAGAGCCTTGCTTGCAGCAGCTTCAAGTTTCCAGAGAAGACGATGATGAGGATGCTCTGTAGGGAAGATATGGTTTATTTGTTATAAAGAATTGTATTGGTACTGTGCAGGCCAAAACGCAGAGAAATAGGCGTAAAACGACAATTCCTTTTTTTTTTTGGGCCCTATAAATAGGAGCGCGTCAAATTCCTCTCTAATTGACGAAGATGGCGAGACCGACATCAACCAGACCGGCGATTCCGTCTTCTTCTACGACGACGACTACGATAACGGTTGAGGCGGCATCGACGTCGGAGCAACAGACGCCGCAGATTAGGGATTCGCTGGTGTTGAAATTGAAGCCTCCGAAGAAGAAGGTGACTTGGAAGAAAGGCACCGTGGACAACGAGTTTATGAATAAGAAGAGCTCGAAGAAATGCTGTATTTATCACAAGGAGAAGCCTTTTGACGAGGACGACTCCGATGAGGAGGGCGATTGCCATCACGATCACGATCACGGTAATGATGAGAGAGATAATGGTGATGCGAGGGAACACAACCATGAAAATCATGGAAATTGTTGACATAGAGGATGAATCGTTGATTGATTCATTCAACACAGTCGTTCGTGAACGATTGTGAATGATTTCTAGGGTTTACGCACATGAACACACGCTCACGCACGCACTTTTCTCTTTCATTTGTCTTGGGGTTAAATCGTTGGATTTCGAGTTCCGGTAACAAAAATTTGCAGATGATGAAATCTTGAATCTGTTAGGGAGAGAATTTCTAGGACTTATCTCTCTCTCTGTGTCTCTCTCTTTTCTTGATTTGTAACTTGCTTGAAGTTCCCCATATATTGATTGCACCAAGTTGCAAAATTGTAGGTTTTTGTATATATGTATCATTTTGTAGCTATTGAGTTCATAAAGCACTATTATGGTATTCTGTTTTCCATGAATTACGAGTTTCAGTGGAAGTTCTTGCGCTGGTTAATCTTTCATTTGTGAGATGACTAACTTCAATCTGTGGCTTTCCTATTTAGCTTCCCTGATCACAGTTGACATTTGCTGAGTAACTTAGAAATATCAGAAATTTTTTAGAGAAGATACTTTAAGAGAGGTGAATGTTACCAACGTCCTCTTCCACAACATCATAAAAAACAGAATAGAAAAACAAGAATGATAAAACTTTACCTGATTGTCTTCTATGAGGTCTCACCAGATGTGTTGTTAACCCGACTATAAGATGTACAGAAATTGGGAATTTGGCTTGATGTTTGTTCACCTGTTGCTTTGAAATTGTATCTTGCATTCTTGACAATCTTTGAGCTATACTCTTAATACATTTGAAAATCTTTGAGTTCATATGATTGAATGAAATTACTAGTTGTAGGCATTTTCTGATTATGAGCATATGGCAAAGAATTGGACATAATTCTGATTACTTGACTTAATTAAGATGGCATTGGAGCAGATTTGATACCGTTAGAGAATACATGACCATAGATGTAAGCTTATTTATTGGTGGTTGAAGTAAATAGTTTGGGTCAGGTGCCTTGAATTTTGTGTTAGAACGATATCTCTTGGTGCAGGAAAAAAAATTAGATTTTGTTACACACATGCTAATACCTGAAATGCATTGCCAGCAGATGTTGGAAGAAGAAATCTTGGCAACTGAATAGCCATCGCTACTAAGAACTCAAAGCCCGGTATCTTATCTTGATATACCTTAATTATCTCGCGGAATTACATTTATGATCATAGGGAGAGTCAGCACACAATACATTTGTGAGTAATGGATATTGATAATATTTTGTAATGCTTTGGCTTTACTTGATGTTTAATCTTTTTAGTTCTCTTTACTATTTAGGGTTCTTTGTAAGCGAAACTTGAAACTAATGATATCTTAGGAATACCCTTAAGTTGGATCACTTTCTTTACTGGCACGAAATTTAGTGTTCTTGATCATTTGAAAAAGAAGAGAGTTAATTTGATGATATAGTACTTTAGAGTGGAAAGTAGATAAACATTATTATTGTACAATATCATGATGGTGAGAAAGCAAGAACAACAATGTAGCTGCAGCTTAGCAATAGGCCCCCAAATACAATTGAATTAGGCTGTTTGCAGTGTCTATAAGAACCTATATGTTTCTTTGGAGCTTCTGAGGTCGATGAGTCCGCGAAGTCTCCGATTGCTGATCTCCGGATTCTACTAAATCAACAGAAATGGTTTCCTGATACCTGTAGTTTCCGATATGATCATCCCACGATGCTAGGGTGTTCCTGTGAGGAATATAGTTACTGTCCATATCTCCCGACCATTCGGGGTTCACAGTTCTTGATCGAACCTGCTTGATCTCGCCTGTGTCCAAGTTTGTAAGATACAGACAGCGGGTTGTACTTTCCAAAACTATCTCTTTCCCATTTTTCGTGCTACAAAGAGGCAAAGGATGCCCGACACTACTCACATTGATGCTATAACAATGTCTCCACAGCTCATTCATTCCTCCTTCCTCGGCCATAATCCAAACTTGCAGTACACCAAGCCTTGTCCCGGATACAAATCCAAGTCTCCCACCAATCTCAATTAGTCGATCTTTGAAAACACAAACAACCGGAAGTTTCTTGGTATCAAACTTCTCATCCTCCATATTCATCACAACAAAGAAGTCACTACTGTACTTCCTAGGTGTCCAATACAATGACCCTTCAATAGATACCATATGTCTGGTGTACATCAATAGCCCATGGGGTACATCTATTCTAGTCCATTTTCTTGTAGACATGCTAAGTATCTCACATCCACGGTGCCCCGTTTTTTCATGAAACAAGTGAGCCACCTTGTACGTTTTTGCCTCTTTACAGAATGCAATACCGTAGCCATGAAATACGGCATCTGTACCTAATGGCAGCACCGTATGCTTTCTAGTCACAGGGTTCATGAGTATCAAGCCCTCGCCCTTGCCCATCGTGGCAAGAACCAAACCATCGCAGCTTGCTTTGACATCCCCCACTTCGACCACGCCCGACTCCATAAAACCATCAGTCCCATCACCCAAATCCAAATAATGGAAGAAAGACTTACACTCACCACCATCATCATCGTTATAAAGAGGATTCGAGATAGGTTCTAAGAGAGTTACGTTTTGAGATAGCAGAACCTTGTCGCATTGCTGGGCTTGACATCTTACGAAAACAGAGCTGTTGATCAAACCATACCATTTCTTGCAAGAAAACTGCACCTGGAAAAGGGTCTCGCCCGGCACCCGGACCAAAATCTCCGAGAGCAAATCTTGCGAAAGCCTCGTCATCTGACTTACATCCCCAATTTCTAGCTGTGTTGAGACAGCTTCATGTCCTGTTCTACCCTGCCTTGCAGCATATTCCATCTGAAGAAATTCAATTAGCATTCGCCACCGCCGCTCGGCTCCGGTTTGCCTCGATCTTCTTACTCTTCTGCGCATCATCAGTCCTCCCAAGCTACTGCAATGCATGGTGCCTTGTTTCAATTCTCCCAAACCTGTTTATAAAGAGACTAGGTTAAAAACTTTCTTGCAAGATAGGACAAATCTTGCGATGATAACACAGCTGAACCTTATTTATTACATAAACTAATCTAAACTAAGACAGCAGTCATTACCTGTTGTTAATGCTTGCTGTTGTAGCAACATGAAAAAAGATTCCAATAAATCTTTTCATGGCAGCCAAAGGACAAAGACAAAGACAAAGACAAGAGATAACAGAAAAAAGGTGATCTAAACCAAGGTGTTTTCAATGAGTCAGAGCTCATGTCACATCTGATGCTACCAATCTAAACAAATATGCCTTAACCCCTTACAGGAACACCCCATGTTTTTCCCCAATCATCCCAGAAAAAACACACCACATGCCGGACAATGTGGCCATCACCACCACAGCCATGACATTACACCACAATCTTCCAAAACTTCTTACAGCTTATTCCCCCCTGCTTTACTTCTTCACCCTGTTCTGTCCTGTGCCGCGCCCTGTTGATGCATATATTTATCGTAGAGATCGATGCCCCATCGTACAAGTAACTCTGGTCTTGCTCCATACCACAAGTAGTGTCTCACTCTCCTATTACCCCTCTTAGAGGGTACAGCACCATGTCTTTCCCTCCTATTAGCATCACCAACTCCTTTGTCATTGAGACGAGCTCGCCTTTGCTCTTCCAAGAATTTTCAGCCCTTCTTCCACCTCTAGACCAGATCCGTTCGCCGTTCTCCAGAACCAGGATGAATGGATACACAAGAATCACAAAGCATAGCACTGCAAGATCCAAATCTGTGGACTTTGCTGATCTCACTTTCCAGCATCAAACCTCGAAGTTCCTCTCCAACTCCAAGTTTAATGCAGCAAAGATTGCTGCTCAGCATAGCTCGATACCGGAGGATGGCACTGGCGAGGTTTTTGGGATCATCCTCAGCCAAAAATGTTCGGTTTACTCTCCATGTTCTGATCCACCTGCTCGTCTTGAGCAGAAGGTGACACCTGAACAAGAGAAGTCATTGCCCATCAAAAGATCATCTTCTGTGTCTCAAGGCTATTCCAGAATCCACAGGCAGATGGATGATGATGATCCCAAATTCCCTACTGAGAACAGGTATCTGAAGAAGAAAGGCAAGTTCTTTAAGGCTTTCATGCGCGTATTTGGACTGTAAATCGATCGACCTTTTTAACCATCATCTTATTCTGTCCTTACTATTTTTCTGAATGTATGGCTTCTGTTGCTTCAAGAACTTCATATACAATCCACCTGCTGCATATCATAGATATGAATAACAATTAAGGAGTTATAATACAATGCAAAAACCAAAAAGGATACCTGTTGAAGTAGATTGCAACTAACATGAGAATAGATTGCAAAGCAGGGTAGAAACATCACTTTATGGAACCAAATCGTCATTTGTGAATCACAAAACTTCATAGAAATAAGATTTTATTACATTAGTCGGTACTTAGTCGACACAACTCTCCTCAACTCCTGTACTGTCGACTGCTTATCTATCAAAACAAAGATCACTTCTCCTTAAAGTCAAAAGGGTTTACTTCTGTACACATCTACTTGGATATTCAGTTGCTTTCGCTGAAGTCTGCATCAATAACTTCTCCATCACCATCCGATGACGTTTTACCAGTGGAACTCGATTCCGAAGAGGCATCACTGGCAGGATCAGTACCTGTAGCTCCAGGTTGGCTGTATAGTGATTGTCCAAGCTGCATGACTTCTTGGTTAAGCGCGGCAATGGCATCCTTGATGGCTTGAGTAGTTCCACCTGAAACGGTATCTTTAAGCTCCTTCAATTTACTATCCACCTTGTCCTTCACAGCAGCAGGAACTTTGTCTCCCAGCTCTTTCAATTGTTTCTCAGTCTGATATATGACTGACTCCGCTTGGTTCTTAGTGTCGATCGCATCCCTTTTCTCCTTGTCCTCCTTCGCATATCTTTCAGCATCTTTAACCATCCTATCCACCTGAACATTTTTGTTTCAACCACAGTTGATGGTATCAGTGCATTGAGAAGTAGCAAATGCCTAAGTGAGATGAGTTGAAATGCATCTATGTACCTCATCTGAGGGCAATGTGCTGGCACCGGTTATGGTGATGTCTTGCTTCTTTCCAGTTCCTTTGTCGACAGCTGTCACAGAAAGGATCCCATTGGCGTCAATGTCAAACTTCACCTCAATCTGGGGCACACCTCGGGGAGCTGGTGGGATGCCGTCCAGACGGAAACTTCCCAGGGACTTGTTGTCTTTCACGAATTCTCTTTCTCCTTGCAATACATTGATCTCCACACTTGTCTGGCCATCGGCTGCTGTTGAGAAGACCTCCGACTTAGAAGTTGGTAATGTTGTATTCCTTGGTATGATTTTTGTCATCACGCCACCCAGAGTTTCCAAACCGAGCGACAACGGTGTAACGTCCAAGAGCACAATGTCACTAACATCACCGGCCAGAACACCCGCCTAAAGTATAATGTAATAACTCAAACTTCTCAATCGAATATAAGCAGGAAGATAATCCAACTTGAAGCGAATTATCGGAAGTGTATCATACCTGAACTGCAGCCCCAAGTGCAACAACCTCATCCGGATTAACGGTGACATTAGGGTCTTTCCCAGTCATCTTCCGGACAAGCTCTTGGACAGCAGGTATGCGGGTTGAACCCCCAACCAAAATTACTTCATCTATTTCCTTGATGGAAAGATTTGCATCTTTTAAAGCAGTTTCTACAGGTGTTTTAAGCCTGTGAAAAAGGGAAGAGTTCAGCTGATGTATAAGGAACTGCAAATATGAGGATCAACAAATGTACCTGTCTAATAGATCAAAGCATAGATCTTCAAATCTAGCCCTTGTCAACGTTGTGTCGATATGTTTTGGACCATCAGAAGTAGCAGTTATGAAGGGTAAACTGCAAGCAAAACATAAAACAGTGAAATCATAATCAATTTGTAAACAAATAAACCACTTCGAATTTCAGACAACACACCTTATGCTAGTTTGGGACAGAGACGACAATTCAATCTTCGCCTTCTCAGCAGCCTCAGTGAGCCGTTGGAGAGCCTGCTTGTCTTTAAGAAGATCAATACCTTCATCTTTCTTGAAGGTGTCTGCAAGCCAATCCACGATCCTCTGTTGTCCAAAACGCTATTATAAGCATCACTATGGTAAAGATGATCAAGCAAGAAGCCTTATAAAGATAGCTTCCTACCTTGTCAAAATCATCACCCCCAAGATGTGTATCCCCGGAGGTGGAAAGCACCTCAAAAACTCCATCCCCAACCTCAAGAACTGCAAGCATTCAGAAACACCATCACATCTTAACTAAGCTAAGAAATACACAACCATCACAAACTCATTCTTGCCAAAGGCTTAAACCTCCACCAAGCACAACATCCACAACAGAGATTAGAGATTCATAACATATCATCAATAATGGTTCAGCCAATGTACCTGATACGTCGAATGTGCCCCCTCCTAGATCAAAAACTAGGATGGTTTCATTATTCTTCTTTTCAAACCCATAAGCCAAAGAAGCAGCTGTTGGCTCATTGATAATTCGAAGAACATCCAAACCAGCTATACGTCCAGCATCTTTTGTAGCAGTTCTCTGGGAGTCATTAAAATAGGCCGGTACTGTAATCACGGCTTTGGTCACCTTATCATTTAGAAACTTGGACGCATCGTCCACAAGCTTCCTCAACACCTGAACACACAGACATACACATATATACATCTACAGAAAATTACAGAAACAAAAGAAGGGTAAATGATGGAGAAGAGAGCATACCTGAGCAGAGATCTCCTCAGGGGCAAACAACTTCCCTGTAGCAGGACACTCCAGCTTGACATTCCCAATCTCGTCCCTCACCACTTTGTAAGAAACCTGCTTGGACTCCTCGTCGACCTCGTTCATCTTTCTCCCGATGAACCTCTTCACGGAGAAGAAGGTGTTCTCAGGGTTCACGACAGCCTGTCTCTTTGCGATCTGGCCGACGAGCCTGTCGCCGGACTTCGTGTACGCCACCACAGACGGCGTGGTCCGCTGCCCCTCGACGTTGGTCACGATGGTCGGCTGGCCGCCTTCCATGGCCGCCACGGCCGAATTGGTGGTGCCCAGATCGATTCCGACCACCTTCTCATTCACTACTCGGAAAGGCCTATATCGCCTATTACATTTTCTGTGAAAATTAATAGATATAAGAGGGTTCTGCTTGATCCTCTTTAGTCCCAGAAAAGGGGTTCTGTTTCCTGACTGCTGGAATGGGCAGTGAAGCTGCGCTGCAGTAGCCATGATCACACGATCGAATGAACTCTGTTCTGGAAGAATGGGCACGGGGGGTTTAGAAGCAAGAGAGGTTTATAGGATACGTACAGAAGAGTGTATTGGATTCTAGAGAAGTCTGGATTGGGGGAGTACCTTCTTGACCGTGACATAATTTCACTTGTCTGTTGAAGGAAATTGAAGAGGTTCCGTCAGAAGCAACAACACTGACTCCAACATGATGAATTGACCGATAAGAATCGTTGCAGGGCTATTACAATAATCACTGATCCACATATATCAAGACTGGGCTCAACAGTTATGGAGTCTTTTAATATGGATTCAGGCTGATGGCCCAAAAGATAGAAGCGACGACCTGCTAACTATTACCTTTTACAAGACACGTGTGGATCTAAAGTGGTGCCACGTGTCGGTCCTGACAACAAGATCTAGGGCTGGAAATCTCAGAGATGGTCCCCTAAATTATGGGAGAAGAAACAGACACTACTCGATATAACCTTATCCGCGTGTGGATAAAACAAGTCCACAAACACAGGCCACCAGTGAGAAGATTACAGACAATCTTGCCGTGTAGTAAAGATCCTACATTCGTACATATGGAAATGAATGGCTCTAAATCTCGACTCAATTTGCATCACGAATAAGAAACTATACTCTATGAATGATGAGTGGCTTATGAAATTAACACATATAATATGAAAAACTAGGCATGCGAGACTGATGATGATTGGATTCCCATTACTTGTGATTCGGGAATCAAAACATATGCGATCAAGTTGTGTTTCTTGAGGTGGTAATGGCCCTTTTTCATTGCGGCCACTCCATAATTGTTAAAGGGCTAGAGAGAGTAAAAGAATCTTACATTGGTTCTTCGGGAATTACGACCTCCAATGTGTGCTTCAATGATCGAAGGAAAGGTTTTCCAAGGAATAAAAGGCTCATGCATCGCTGCAGCTCTCCTACATCAACATCTTCCAATCAGACAGTCGGATGGGCTGACAAAGATATAGAACAGAATGGAACATGGTATGAAAACAAGAAGTTGCAGTTTGGTTACCTGATCAGCGATGCAAATTGGCAAGTGAGGAGGATGATGGAGACGCTGGATGAAATGAGGAGAGTGGCAGATGTCCAAGCTGAGGCATTCTATGAGCCCGCGTTCCTGTTCGATGATTTGTTCTTCCAATTCTTTAAGGTAAAATCAATTACCAGAAAAATTGCCGCTGTAATGCTCCCTGAACCCACTTCACATTCACTTGCAAAACAATGCCATGTCTTTACTGCTACTGTTTCTGTTTGCTCTTTTAAACAATATAGAACAATCCACATGACTGCTGCCTCTAATCATCGGCTCATTAATACCATCATGCAGGCTGAAGTTCTTTCAGGGCTTATATACAGGTTAAGGAACTCACCCCCTGACAGGTATGCTTGTTTGGTGGCAGAACCAAGAAATGCTCCTCAGGGATCAGAGAAAGAACTTATTGGAGTAGTTGATGTTACAGTCCAGAGGGAGGATTCTGTTCTCCATCACCTTCCAGGGGCAGAAGAGTATCTCTACGTATCGGGAATTTCTGTTTCAACCAAATACAGGTTCAGTCCTCAAAACAGAATTTGATCATATCCACAAACAAAAAGGTAAAATCATGTAGTAGCTAACTAAGCAAAATTAAATAACTTGCAGGAGACAGAAAGCGGCCACCACATTACTGAAAGCATGTGATGTGCTCTCTACCATATGGGGTTTTCAGTACCTCGCCCTTAGAGCTTATGAAGATGACCATGGTGCCCAAAAACTTTACTCAAATGCAGGTTACAGAGTTGTGTCAGTAGATCCACCATGGATGAGCTCCTGGATTGGACGCAGGAGACGCGTATTGATGGTTAAGTAATCCCATCGAGCAGATCAGAAAGTTGCTTCAGGAGACCCTCCATGGCTCCGAGACGTATGTCCTCGAGATTAAAGCCAGAACTATGATGTTGTCTAATTGTTCGAACTTCGAACCTGTAATTATTGGAATATGTACAAATGTATTCACAGAGAAGGGGAGGGAGAGAGGCAATGGAGCACGGCGAGCAAGAGAGGAGGATTCATGTTACACGATATTTGAAGAGTATTTTATATATCCACATTATAACAGCCACATAATCTAAGGCATAAGTAGAACATGGTTACAACTACACACATTGATCTGAGAATAGAATGTAAAAATAAATGACAAATATCTAAAATGCTAAGCACCAATACTAAAAACTATATGAACAGTGCCAAACATTAATTATTAAATTGTTTGCCATCCACCATTGATTGATAACACAACTCGTTTTATGATGCCTTTTCTTAGCCTCATTCTTGGACAGGTTATTCCTAAAAATACAAGAATGATCACTTGTGTCAGTCACTGAGTATTTACTTTCTAAAGATATGTTTTTATCACTTGAAGAAAATCTACCTTGGGTAATTCAACGCTCAATAATTTGGCTGATGGGCAGCTTTCTAGCAAAAGCTCCATTACATCTTTTGGTATTGTAATATGCCTGGGATCTCTGCTCTTGCAGTTAACATTGGAACAAGCAGGTGAAAGTTTCAATTCCTGCAAATAGCAAAAATTAATCAATACAAAGATAGATTGAAGTTTTCGGTTCTGTGTCTTCTTTTCTCATTTTGTGTGAAGTAGCAAACATTAATCGAGCTCCAGGTAGATATCATACCATATCCTCATCCTGAAGGTTCTAAGCAACTTATATTTCCTAAAAGATAACTATTACACACCAAAAACTAAAACCAGGACATCACAACATCAACAACACAAGTTTGCAATATAGGCTGTGACAAGCTATGTTGGATAAACATCCATCCCATAAAAGTGTTGTACATGTAATGATCTTTTGTCAAAACCAAGTGGGATTTGATGGAACTGAGAACTTCCTGAACATGATATATATATATATATATATTTAAGGACCATATAACATAATAATATGACATATTTTAAACTAGTGCCTAGGGATAGGAAAACTATTGAAACTAGTTAGACTTGTTTGAAATATAGCCATACCTTCGAGCCATGGAATACCAACATGTCAGAAACAATCTTCTTCAACGATCTTGCCACAGTCCCCATAGGCATAGTCATCTCCCTATACTTGTGCTCCACAGTGAACTTTAAGAGCCTCAAATTCTCAAAAATTGTATGAAATCGTTCTTGTAAATCAGGAATAGCATACAAAACCTGTGAATGTAGAACATTGGAGCATGTGTAATAGTGGAAACAGCAACCAAAAGAAAAGTAACTATCACTTTTCAAAGAATACCTCAATTGTCTTCGATGATAGGGAGAGGGTCTTGACATTGTTTATATCACGAAGCATGCCAAAAAACACTTCAGATGTTCTTTGCTTTCTGTCAATTGCATTTGCAGCAATACATGCTGTGGGGTAACACAGATCAATACAAGCTTTGTCCAAACAAAGCAAACCATACTTGAAATTCATCCTCGCAAGATGTCCTTTGTAGAAAAAGTAATTAAGCTGGGGAGCTCTCACATTGATCTGATGCTCGTGAAAGCATCTCCAAGGGCTTCTCCAATAGCAAATCTCTAAACTCTTGAGATTCAGACAATTCAATTCCAATATTTTCATTTCATTCCTTGGCTTAATACAACACTTGCTCAATACCAATGTCTCAAGTTTGGGACACCCTGTAAACAATTCACCATTATAATTTCCATCCGCGAATTCAAACTTCTTGAGACGCAACAACTTTAAGTTGGGCAAGGAAATTGACTTGGGCAGGTCTATGCAATAATTGATAGCATTGTTCAAGCTCAAAGTTACCAAGGAAGTCGACATCAAGAGCATATTTGGCAGTGTAACAGGCTTCCTTTTGGCATAACCTCGGACCCTGAGATGCTGCACCTTGTGATGGGCAGCATAATCGATGCAATTCTGAAGGAATTCCAAGCTGACATCCTTGTGCAATGAAAGCCTGAAACTTACGAGATTGCTGTGCTCCCTGAGCTGCAAAACACGGTTTACATATGCCTCGAATGCTGCGCGGCAATTACTGACTCGAGGAAAAGCATAGCCATCGTACGCCTCGAAAGTATCGGAGCGAAATAAAGGCAGCTTGAAATCAAGACTCTGTGACAAAGTCCATAGAAGTTTGTAGCGCTTGGACAGCACCGATGTTCTAATGGAAGTCTCTGTGTCGAGAAAAGACAGTATATAAATCAGGACGCTGTCCGGCAGACTGCTCAACCTATCAAGATCATCACTTTCCTCTTCTTTAACTTGACTCTTCAACTTCTTAATCTTTGCCTCCATTCCCGACTTAGATTTCGGGATCAAGGAATTGAAAAGTGACTGCAATACACAGATCAATCGAGAACTTAGGGAATAAATCAAAATCACAAACCGAACGCGAGAAATCGGCCGATCCCTTCGAGTCTAAAGCCCTAGATTTCTTCAAGGGTTTTATTCGATCCGATCCGATCTCATCGATCTAAAACACTGCAAACAATCAATTTCAACCGGAGAATTCGAGGTTCGTGCAAAAGAAAGAAGGTTTTAGGTCAGCGGCGAAGCCAGTCCGTAGCCGGCGGTAGTTTCGGGCTTCTTTTTCCATTTCATTTTTTATCTTTGGTCAACTTACTGACCCGCAGCATGAAAATGCGATTCTTGAATACCCAATAGCGATTTATATGTCGCATTTCCTGGTTCATACCTTTTCAGCAAACTCACCCAAGAGAGAGATCATAGGAAAGGGCGAAAATTCTGTGCTCATTCGGTACCAAGTAAGTTTTTCGCATCTCGATCGGGTAAACAACTGTTGAATGTTTTGTTAAACATGATTTATGAGGGAAAAATGTGGTCTTTGGCTATGATGTTTGAAGATGATCTCTCTGGTTGGGTTGCACACTATCTGTTTGTTTATTTTCCTATAGAAGAATGCCATTGCTGATGAACCTGTGTACCATGATTTGCAACCTGATAGCATCTGAAGTTTGGTGATCGAACTTTCTTTCAGCTCCATTTCCTAATGTTGCAAACTTCATCGACATTCTCGAACTCCGGCTTTGAAGAACTAAAGCTGTAGCTGAGGAAAAAATAGTATATTTACAGTAGAAAAAAAAGTTGCATAGTATAGGCTGATGATTACAGAACACCCTAGGGATATGTATGCAAGATAACCATGAATGCAAAACTTAGCCTGAAACGCCAATAAATTCATTACATTTACCAGCAACTGCTTAACTTCTGTGGGATTTGTTGTAAACTACAGGTAGATTGGAGGTGCTATGGCAGACATTGTAAACAAGTTTTTCATCGCATCCGTGTGCATGCTTGCAGCTCCTTTTGCTGTTTTGTACGGATTCAAGCATAAACTATTGCCAGGTAAGTATGATCCATTGAACCCAAAGCCATTTTCGTCTGTTAACCATTTGAGAAGTATAGGTAGCAGCATAGTTGATCTTCTCTGGTACTACTGAACAGGTTCTGCTGACTTATCCGCTGAGGCGAGGACACTATGGAGCGGAATTGTGGCCGTCATTTCTGTGAATGTAGTCATAGCATTCTACATCTATATGGCCCTGAAGGAGCCTTCAGGCAAACACGAACCGGATCCCAAGTTTGTTGCCGATGCAAAGGCCAGCATGACGCAGGGCGGCCATAGCTCAAACCGTTCAAAGCAAGAATAACAAAGTCAAGTGTAGCTTTCCTTGTTTGCTCTTCTTCTTCCTTGTTTGATTTCTGTTGAACAGCCTGGAAACGAGCACAAATGTTCTTCGGTTTTCACTATTCAGTGATCAATGTTTGGCTGTGGAGTTCACAGATATGTAAAAGTTAGCAAACACTTCAAGAATCAAGATATGTTCTCTAATAAATGTTGCAAACTCATTTCAATTAACTTAGAAAAGCCTCTTCTTGTTATGAAGGAGCCATTGAAGTGTAAGCATACTTGAAAAAAAAGCTCCTCATTGTATCTGCTTCTATTGACTGCAAATTTCTTTTGGGAAGAATTTGCCCAACTTCTATAACATCACCTGCAAGCTTGTAGCTTGAAAGCAACTGAGATTCTTGTAGGCTTTGATCCCAAACAAGTCAGTGTAGTGATGTAGGTCATTTAATTCTGAAAATAGCTCCCAATTATATGCATTATCTGGATGGATAATCTCTCATATAGCATTTCTGAAGCTTCATGATTTGAGAGTTGAAAAGGGCATCTGTATTGGAAGGAGGGATGGCGGCAGCATTTTCATGGATCAAAATCGATGAAACAGCTCAACAAGCACTCGTCAGAATTCTCACGGAGCGGCCATTCGTCGTCTTGCCCCCGCCGATCCACCGGTTACCCGTCCGAGTCGGTAACGTAGTCGAAATTGTTGGCCCTTCTCCTTCTGCCAAAACCCTAATTCTCATCCAGGTGAAAATTGGACAATCGACTAGCTAGCACACGCTAATCACCATTGTTTAAACTCTCTCCTGTTAGAAATTGATTAATGTATGTAGTAATTGCGTCGTTATAGGCGGCGATAAACTGCATACTGCCTAAAGAGTGGAAAGGTGTGCAATACGGAGGGCTGGAGCGCGCGGTGCTGTTTGTTGATTTGGACTGTCGGTTCGATGTTTTCAGTCTTTCACGAGCACTGGAGAGGCGGATTGCTGAGACAACTGGTACAATTTTTCGCTTTACTTAATCTGGTGATTATGTTCTGCAACTGCCATTAATGATTATCTGTCAGGAACGAAGAGCAGGTTGGAGAAACCTGAATATGAATTTGACAAGGATTTGTTTGCAGCATGTATGAATCGTTTTCTGTACACAAGATGTTACAGTAGCTATGAATTCCTTTCGACTCTTAAGGTTGGATGATCTCTATCAATAATCTGTTTCCCTTTTATTTCATGAGTCATCATCCATTCTGTGTCATTCCTGTCGTTGCAGACATTACCTAATCAGCTTCAGGACAAGGACAAGCAAGGTAGTGGTGCTGTTTACATGCTTATGATAGACAGGTATGTAGTTTCAAGAACACGATATGTTCATAACACTCATTCGATGCCATATTCTGGTTTGAATCTGAAAAAATGTTGTTCTGGGGTAGAATTCGGAGCAGGTGCAGCATGAATGGATAATTATTGAATTCTAAACAAGAGAAATGAACGTAGCAAGGGAATCCTTTGATATATACATGCATTGAAGAAACATAAATGACCTGAATCATAAGCAACACCCAAAAAGCGTTCTTGTTTCGATATTCTTGATTCTTTATCTGGGTAATGCTTGCAATCTTTCGATGACAGCATTGGAGCCTTCTACTGGATGGATCGTGCTGTACCGTATTCATCAACAGGGAACTCCGACAGGTGATAATGGGACTTTCTTGTTCTTGAACTATTTTTGGGTATGGTGACTTTCAAGAATGAAGATCTCCATGAAACTTATCCAGTTAATCAACAGGAAGAGCCTTTCTCTTCAGACTGTGGCAGAAAGCGTAGTACAGGAGATTCAGAAGATTATGTTGGTGCATCCCTTGCTCGTTGTAGCTACCAAATCAGTCGCATTCAACGATAAACAATCAGCAACAGAAGTGATGAGGTTGGTGACAGAGATTACCTATCTTCATCACGACAATAATCTAGCATCATGAATGAACATGATCACCCCTTAACAAGCCAATAAGGCGATTAGGTTAACACTGCTATTGCCCCTTTCTCACATATTTTGTGCACATACATCAGCCACCAACACTTCTTGAATAATCTTACAAGGTGGATGAACATAGTTGGTGTTTGTTCTTCGTTGCTGGATGCAATTGCTGTCTTATGTATATATCTGAATGTTACTCGTTCTCGCAGAAATTCGGGAAGAAGATCTGACGACAGGGTGCTGGATTCCAGAGTTCATCGCGAATACATGCCATCTGTATGGCAGGTATTAAAATCTTCTCTCAGTTGAGCAGAATTTTATGAAATAGCTTCTTCGAATTCAATAAACCCGAGAAATTGTTGTGCCAATGCAGTCCTTTGTTTCGCACAGAATTCTTCTCAGCCCTTCAGGTATGAACAGAACTGAATTGAATCGAATCGACTCGAACCAAAGAACACTTTTTTAACTACCCTTCTTGTTTCATTCCATTCCAGAAGGCATATGATGATATCTAACAAACACCCTTTCCCTTGTTCCTCAGATACTGAAGGCCGGCGCCATAATCGACCTGCCTTTTCGACAGAATGGCTGCTGCCACCACTGAAGTTCTCAGACAATTTCACAGTACATGATGTAACTTCCAGCTCCTTCCAATCTTTCCTGGAATTAATTACAGAAATTTTAACTAACCTAATCTCAATGATTTACCACAGAATGGTGCTTTGGTTATTATATGAAGTGGATGGAAACTACACCAGAGTCCTCCTTACTTGGCAACTTCTGTATGATGTTTTGTAAAGTTGCCATAAACAAGACATTATTACAGATGTACTTTTATATTGAACATTTATCTACATTTTTGCCCCTACTTCATGTCATCTCTTTAACTTTGACATCTAACTTTGTCTAACAATAACCTAACATTAATTCTGCACTTTATTTGCAACAAGACTTACCTAATGTTTATACTTTATATGGTTCCAAATAAAAATTAAATACTCTTCTAGAATGAATTTTACTTATAAAAATAAGAGGACATACATAGGAGAATACAAAAGTTGGTGATAAATTTAGGTTTTTTTTTTTCCACCAAATGCTTATTTTTTTTTTAAAATCAAGTATAATTTTATTTATCAATATTATTAATTTAAACTATTTTTTAATCCCCTTATATTTTAGTACAGTAAGTGGCCTGTCGTAAACTAGTACCGCCCCGTGGCTTACCGGAAGTCACATGTCCAGCCAGATCAGCCATATTTGACGAACATGTGAATTTTATATTTTTTAAAAAATTTATTTTTAATTAGATCAAATAAAAAAATTTAAAAAAAATCAAATAAAATTAAAAAAAAATATATAAAAATTAAAAATAAAATCCACCTTTCGTTGACCTGGCGAGCCACGCTACGCCTCCGGCACCGGATAACTAAAATAACTAAAAAATTTCGCTTATGGACTAATACCGAAAAAAACAGTTTACCCCATTGTTAATTAGAAAATAGAATAAAATAGGAAGTATGAAGACTGATATATGCATATGTAGGTATGTATATATTTGAAATTTGGAATTTAGAACAGAGGCTCGTCAAAAAACTGAGTGGCGATGTATAAAGCCCGGACAGAGGAAAAATTCATTGCTGGGATTGATATTATGGCCGTTTCTTCGTGCTTCCGGTCGATAGTTATGCCCCAGATTTTAGTTTTGTTGTTGCCGCTGGTGTTACTTTCTCCACGGATCTCGGGATCGGAAAACCAGTTCAAGTTGGATGGAAGCGTATTGGAACTCGACGATTCCAATTTCGACACCGCAATTTCGAAATTTGATTATCTTTTCGTCGATTTTTACGCTCCTTGGTGCGGTCACTGCAAGCGTCTCGCGCCTGAGGTTTTGTTAAATCTTCCTTAGTGATGGTTATTTGTTTCTGTTTTGAAACTGCACGCGTTTCTGGTGATTTCTTGTAGTCCGTGGAAAAGATTTGATGTGAAAGTCATAGTTTTATTAACTGTGAAAGTTGGAATTTGACTTTGTAAATAAGGGAAATAGATGGTTTGATTCTATACTTGTTTTTTATAGCATTCCAAGTCTCTAATGCTGCTAAAGATCTATGCTTGGCATGGTTGATTAGATCTAAGTTGGTATGAGCATCGTTGTTGCAAGATTAGGAATTGACTGTGATGTTGGGGCAATTTATACAAATGGAGAAAGTGTTTTAATCAGTTTGAATATGCTAGGATCAAACAACTGTAGTTTGTTTCTTGGAAGCTTAGATTTTTGGTTACAAAGTATATACTTATCATCAGACCTGATAATCACGGCAATTGATTCAATGTAATGGTTACAATTATTCTCTTGAAAGTCTTTAAAAACTATATACTTTGCTGGATTCCATCTTCTAGAAATGCCCAGGGTTTGAGCATGTTCAGGAGTTTCATGTCTTAATTTCTTGATTCCATTAGACCAACAATTTTAAATTTCTTGTTGCAGTTAGATAAAGCTGCCCCTGTACTAGCGGGATTGAAGCAGCCTATAGTTGTAGCGAAGGTGAATGCCGACAAGTATAAAAAGCTTGCTTCAAAGCATGAAATTGAGTATGTTACCTCATCCCTGTATTAATAGCGGTCTTAGCTGTCTGATGTCTGAAGTTTGGTTATTGTTTCAGTCTTTCAGACAAGGAAAGTTATTGACATAATAAATCATGGAAAGGTACTTACAACATATGCACAATTTGATGCAGTGGATACCCTACCCTAAAGATTTTCATGCATGGAGTGGCTACAGAATATTATGGACCGAGGAAAGCTGATTTACTTGTTCGCTCCTTGGCAAAAATCGTTGCCCCTGATGTTGCTATTCTTGATTCTGATGCTGCTATTAAAAACTTTGTCGAAGAGTCAGGGTCAGATTTTCCTATATTTATAGGCTTTGGCTTAAATGAGTCAGTGATATCAAATTTGGCTGCCAAGTATAAGAAAAAGGCATGGTTTTCGGTTGCTAAGGATTTCTCAGACAATATGATGTCCTTCTATGATTTCGATAAGGAGCCTGCTTTGGTTGCCACTCATCCCGTGTACCATGAACAGAGTATTTTTTACGGGCCATTTGAAGGTTAGTTGTTTTTCCTCATAATATCTTTCTGTTAGTGTAGATTTGATCTTTAAGTGCTTGTCCTCTGCATATGTATGTGTGTGTGTGTTACTTCCTAGCATTACTTTTGTTGCTGTGAATTGCAGAGAAGTTTCTTGAAGATTACATAAAACAGAGTCTGCTTCCATTGGTGTTGCCCATAACTGAAGATTCACTGAAGCTGGTCAAAGATGACGATAGAAAAGTCGTGGTGACAATCTTGAGCGATGAAGCAGAGGAGAACTCCAAGGAATTAATAAAAACTTTGAAATCTGCTGCTTCTGCGAATCGTGACTTAATATTTGGTTACGCCGGGTTGAAGCAATGGGAAGATTTTGTTGAGTCGTTTGCAGTAAATAAGAAAACCCCACTTCCGATGATGGTTGTATGGAATGGCGCCGAGGAGTATTACACTGTAAGTAATAATACTTGTTATGTCTTGATAAATGACACATTATGTATTTGCTCGCCAATGATGCATTTTGAGCAGGTTATCGGCTCGGAAAGCATGAACTCTACTGATATCGGCAACCAGATCTCAAGATTCCTTGAAGGCTATAGATCTGGAAACGTGATAAAGAAACGAATCTCCGGTCCATCACTTATGGATTTTATAAAATCACAGATTGGAGTACAGATTGGTCTTATTTTCTTCTTTGTCGTGTTGGTGATAATGCTGATCATGTCAATATCCAAAGAGGAGCCTCTTACTGTCGGCAGTCGCGAACCCGGTGATGAGACGAGCCCCTCCAGCTCATCGGAAACCCGTCGGGATGCTTTGAAGGAGGATTAATTTCATGATTTAATTTAAGTTCATCATCTGGGCTAATGCACAGCCAAAGAAACATTCCATAGCACGCTCTAGTATGTCTATTATGTAGTTACACTAATCTATTGTGTCATCATATCATCTTTCTTTTATGATATTTAGATTGTCCTATGCTTCCTTACTAATAATTCTTATGAAGGAGGAATTTATTGTCTCTTTGGTACATATACAAAATCAGTTCTTGCTGCTGTCTTTTTTGGGGTTCACAGGTCATTGGAAAACATCAAGAAGAAAATCCAATTAGTAGTAAATCAATCAAACAAAATTTCCAGTCATCACAACGGAGTAAAAGCTAAAACAGACAAATATGTATATATAGAGGCAGAACAAGCTATAGCTTCTTAACTAACAACCTGGAAGAGAATGTCCAGAGGCATACGGCGAAAAGCTTGCGGCCGATTCGCTATTATGCAGCATGTTCGCCTGCCGGAGACTTGCAGCCGACTCGCTGTAATGCATCCCGTTGACATGGCGAAGGCTTGCGGCGGATTCACTGTAATGCAGCATCCCGTGGGCTGTTCGAAGGCTTGCAGCAGATTCGCTGTAATGGAGCGCATTCGCCTGGCGGCTTGAAGATCCGAGGTAGCCCGACGAGGCATTGCTTGGGCTCGGAATGTACGGCGACAAGTATCTTGAATTGAGCGGCGACAGCGAAGGGTACCCGAGCGAGTGCGGAGAAACGAAATGAGACATTTGCGACGACCCATTGAGAAGACTGAGAGAGCTCCGGCTGGCAGGCTGCGGATAATGGAGAGAATGTTGGCTATGCCCAGAGTGAGGAGGCCCGATCTGCATCGCGGATGACGTCGACGGAGAGGATCGGAAAGATGCTAGAATTGAAGAGGACGTGACGGACGATGGGTTCGATGAGAGCAACGGTGTGGATTCTGACGCCGGCGGTTCGCCGTTGCTGGTTCGCGCATCGCGCTTGCAGACAGGACAGAATGTTCGCCACGTCGTCAGCCAGGCATCGACGCAAACGGCATGAAATCCTGGACGAACACAGCATAAAATACTCAAAACCGTAGAACGATATCACTGAAAATGAAGAGATCGGGAGCGCTTACTGTGGCAACAAGGTAGCATTCTAAGTTTGTCGCCGATAATATAATCTTCAAGGCAGATAGCGCAGGTCGTCGAAGTGCACCTCTCGTCGAGAACTTTAGTGAAAATGAGGCTCGGCATTGCTTTCACCAGCCGACTGCCCATCCCATGGAATTCACGAACACGTGGAGCTTGAGGCTGATCTCTTCTAATCCGATGCCTTCGGACAAAGAAACATGTCGCCAGAACCGCAGACATTGCCAACAATGAAATGAACGAAATCGCCATGATAGACCACGCTGTGTTTTCACTGCTCGGGTATATCCAAACCGCCATATCATCAGCACCGGCATATTTCGCCAACGTTTCGCCAGAAGTCTTGGAAACAAACAGCGCACTTATCTTTATACCCGGAGAATTTCCAGCCACTGCATTATTACCAAAAAAGAAGGATCATCATTCATTACAATAACCTAGCTGCGCTACACAAGCACGTTTACATATACAATGATAAAGAAAAGACATACTTGCCACCAAATCCCCGTACTCATTGTCATACACAATGGCTGCTTCAAATCCCGCAGACTGAGCTTGTCTGATTTTATTTTCAAAGCTACAACCACCCCTAATAATCAGCGCAAAAGGAGACCTCGAGTCGTTCAGTCTTGGAACAACTGTGTTCGTTAGCGGCGAGCATGCATTCAAAGGCTTCGCAACGTATAATATCCCATGGATCCCAGCCGGTTTAATCGATGGAGCTGAAAATGGTCAGCAACAGAATCACATCCTAAACTTGCTATGAAAATACACCACATTCGATTGCCTACTAATCCTAAGAAGAAAGCTAAACTCTTCCAACATTTCAAACATTACAACACCAACAACAATAAACATTTCTCAATCATGGCCACAGATAAACAAAAGGTAAAGAATTACTCATGTTTAGAACAGCAAATCACAGTCCAATTCTAAACTGATAATTAGGCTCAATCATCCACAAGAATGTATGAACAAAGACATTTCATTTCAGTAGCAGATAAAGATTTAACCTATCCACCAAAATACTTAACCAAACAGAAATCTTAAAAGAAAAAACATCATTCGAATTAAATTGTCTGTTCAATTAACTAAAAACAGAGAAATCATGAAAGCAGAAAATCAAAATTCAAGAAAAGGTAAGGAAAACTTCTAATCCAAATGCTTAGACAAGAATAGCCACAAGTAATGATTGAATCAAGGAAAAATCCACAAAACCCTAATTCAAAAGAAATATATCCCAATTAAACTCGAGAAGAGAGAAGGATCGGAGGGGGAGGGGAAGGGGGCCTTAGATTAGGATTTATTCAACTCACCAAAAGTAGCTTCGATAGCTTCGAACGATAAAGTAGTATTTCTGGCCATCAAAACCACATTGCCCAAAGCTGTGAAATCACCCTTTAAACAGTAAAACCAAAAGAGAAATACCCAGAGAATCCACATCTCAATCAACCATCAAACAAAAATTAAAACAACAAAAGCGAAAAATCATAAAATATCCCAACTTTTTTCGCGGATCTCGAAAGAAACCCTTTTCCCTCTTCCCCCCACCCTTCTCGCTTTTCCTTCAAAGAAACAACCCTCACACAAATTTTGGCAAATAATCATCTAGAAAATAATCGAAACATCAGCTTCCATGCTGGGCTCTGATCCTGTGATGGTCCTTTCTAGGTCTTTTCGATTACTGCCCTTAATCTTTGGTAATTCTTTATCGGTTTCTGAGAGGCTCAAGAAATTTGGAGCAATCCAAAGTTATTTTGCCATTTATGGCACTCCAGCTCCTTCTTTAATTATTTTTTTTATTTTTTTGTTTTTTGTGGGTATTATGCGATAACGTTGAAGGAATCTATTTGGATAGAAATTATAAATATAAAACATTAAACTTATTTCTTTGACAAAAGTTTTTTAATAATGGGTTTGAAAGAAATTTGGGAATATGCTCAAATTTTTATCTTCCATTCAATCACGAAGGATTATTTTAAAATCACATGATTGCTAGTTGATGTGACATTATTTCAATCGTTTGGCTGGTAATTTAAAATAAAATAAAATAAAATAATTGCAGTTTTGAATATTCTATAGTAAAAATAAATCTGAAGTGGGTGGCCTAATCCATACATATTACAATTGGCATTTATCATATAGAGTGTCTTGTGGGTTGGTTTTTTATATGGAGAAGAAACCCATTTTTTTAATATTATGGGCCATCATTTTTTTATAAATAAAATTGTCTCTTTTTAATATATGTCGGTCAATAATAATTCCAAAAATAAAATTTCACTTACTTATATAACAATGGAGAAGATAGATACCACCACTACATTAGTAGAGATTTTTAAAGACCAAAAACAACTCTTATTACTTCAACGGTTAATAAGTAAGAGACCTTTTTAAGTAAATTAATTGTTAATATGATATTGTTTAAAAAATAAAATAAAATAAACTATTAAACACTTTTAAAAATGCAAAATAAACACACACTAGCAAAAATGCCATCTTTTTAAGACTCATGGATGCAAAATTAACATTCATCAATTGGGCCTATTAGGTTCTTATTGGGCTCCAAATAGTTAATATGGGTAAACCCAGATATGTTAGTTTGGGCCTTGAGAAAATGGAAGCCTATTTGTTGGGCCTAACATGAAGCCCAAATCTGAACCAATCATAAGGAAATATTGAAATGATAGCATTCATTACATTGTACTAGGTGGTCAATTGCAGAATGCAAAATTTCTTCGCAAGATATAAATAAGATTGTTGAAGTATTTAATGCAGACAAATAATACTGTTAGAATTTTATTTTATTTTTTTTTCTCTACAAATTCAGCGTTTATTTGAGTTAGTTAGCTTTTGTTAAGTCTTTACTTAATTATTATTATGGTTTTGGTATCCATTTTTTTTTTTTCAAAATTATTATTATGTATTTTTCGTTTAAAACATCGTATGAAACCATAATTTTTAAAAGGATATACAGCAGATGCTATATAGTCTTATACATCACAATTACTAATTGTTTAAAACTATTTCTAATTTTTTATTATTATTATACAATTGTCATTATTTTTTACAACTAATATACTCACAAGGTGTTAAGAAGGGATTCGAGCATCTAACCTAAAACCAATCGGTGATAGGTGGAGTGACTCTTCACCCTTATATATTAGGGGAGTTCCCACACATTTAGCAATGTGGAACAATATTCAACACTCCCCCATCGAGATGATAATCTCGAAAATTCATACAGAATTCAAACTCAATATGGGCACCATAGCTCTTATACCATGTTAAGACGGGGATCCGGGGTTCCAATTTAAAACCAATTGGGTTTTAGGTGGAGTGGCCTTCACCCTTGTATATTAGGAAAGTTCCCACACATTAAGTAATGTGGGACAATATTAGACACAAGAGCAAACAAATCATTTATCCTTACTTTTTACCGACTACCAATATAGTGTCAATATTATAAGAAAGAATATAACAAGTAAAGGAATCCATAAATTTTTATTGAAATTATAATATTCTAGTTTATTATACCAAATTAAATAATAAATATATGTTTGATGTTTGGCTTTTCAAGCCCTCATTTATTACTTTGTTCGTGATTATTCTAGTATTCATTTCTTGCCAAAGAGAAGTCATAAATTTTATACATAGCTACGATACACAGCACCGACACACTTTTATAATACATATTGATTTTTATGTTACTATTCAATTTTTCAATAAAAACATATTTTTTTCATAAAATACCAAAATAAATTATTATTTAAACCAAAATTCAAAATTCAAAATTCAAACCCAAAATATATATCCCAAAAGAAACAAACACCTGCTGCAAAGTGTATAGTTAATGCTAGTTAAAGTCAATTTATTTAATAACTTGTGTTGGAGAAAATGAAATTGGACACATGCTATAATGTTGGCACTGTCGCTAAAGTCTATAATCATCATTATTATTATTAGTGATTTATTTATATTAGTATATATATATATATATATTGAATTTAAACTCTCATTATTTTTGTTTGGGTTAAATAATAACATATACTATTTTGTGAGAATAATAATGTACTATTTTATTAGAAACTATACGAGCAAAATATTTATATTAATTTTGATTTCAAATAAAAACTAAACACATTCTTACTGATTATTTTTTTCTATATTGTTGTTATATAGTCGTCGTAAATACTTTATTATTTATATAAAAAAAATCAAATAAAACGGTCAAAATTCAAACCAAACAAATTCAGGTTTCCAAGATAAATAGACTCTACTCTCTACTACGTAGGCATCCATAAGAACCATAGAAACTTAATACTTTGGCATGCTATGTTTAAAAAAATAAAAATGATAAAATGATTTAATTAGCGTTATATATAATGGGAATATATTTTTCTTAGAGTTTTGTTTTATTAATTTATTTATTTGAATATAATATTTTATGAGTTAAAATAAAGTATTATATTTCAACTGAAATTGCAAAAGTTGCATATATGGTGAAAATATATATGAAATTGGTGAATGAGGAAATAGTGTATATATATATATATATATTAACTAGATTCAATAATTTCTTATATATATTTGGCCATATACACCTTGCAGTTAGGAGAAACATTTATTACATGTATACGAATAGTTGGTGAAATGTAAAATCTTGGATTAATTGCTAATAAAGTCATGATTCGACATATACACCTACATATGCATTTAAATATTTAATTAATTACCTCATGCAACATCTTTCTAACAAATTAAATATGTATATCTTTTCACAATTAAACACACACACATTGAGATATATATATAACTTTATTGTGTGAAACTGAGATAGAATAATAAAATTGAATAAATAAAAAACCCTAAGTCCTAACCACTCCAAGAAATTATGGTCCTGACAGAAAACAACATTTTTGCATGCATGCACGTCGCTGTAATAAATAATATATAATTTCCACAATTCACAAATTATATATGTTCTTCTTGCATGAATGAATTATGTCGGCAAACATAAATTTAATTAACATGTAACAATCATATCTATATATATTGTAAATTAAAGGGGTAAAACTTTAAGACCTCTAAATTAAATAACAACCATATATATATATATATATATATTGCACATCAATTATGAAAATCTTCCTTAATCGATGAAATTTTGATTTTTATATTTAAGGTGCCCACTTCAAAATATTCTGTATGTGTGTGTGAATTTATAAAATTTTAGCTGTTTTTGTCAGCCTCATAATAATGAAAAATGGTCCTCTAAATTATTACTTAGTTTAATTCCAGCATTATGATTCCAATACAACATTCATTCACTATTATTTATTTGATTTGATTGGATTGGATTTGATTTGGGAGCCTACCTCATCAATTCAATAATTCAATATATATATATATATATATGTATGTATGTAATAAATACAACCAGAAATTTCAGAAATAATTTACATATAGAATACAATAATTAATCAAATAATCGAAATTAATTAATTGGAATATATATATGAAATCACATCATATTGTATACGATATTGTAATTGATAATTTGAAAAAATAAAATCAGTAAATCCCAACATTATACTGATAATGTAATTTCACGAATTGATTATAAATAATCGAACAATATAAATTTTATTTAATAATTACACATAAAGAATAGAATCAATAGAACCAAAATTATTAAGATAGACCTGTTCACCATAAGATCCGTAATAATTTATACCTAATATTCCCACACAAACATACACGCAGGATTACCAGTCACATTATATAAACTATTAATTAATAATAAAATAAATTAACTCGGCGTGACTAGTAAAAGGTCCAGGAGCCCAACACCAGAACAATCAACTCCATACAAGACCAGCCACGGAAGTCGTGGAACGGGTGGAAGTATCTCTCGGTGCTCAGGTCCAAGGAGCTCCCAAGAATCATGTTGCCCATATACTTCCAAATACACTCACATGTCCTAAATGCACACAAGAGTGTAGTTCCAAGAACACAATTCTTACATATATTACACATACATACACGAAAGACAGATCTTGCAATTTTAAATCTCTCAAAACTTCATTAAAAAATTAATAAAAACACAACCTTTTTGTACCTATTAGTACTGCAATTATATTCGAACAGAAATCTAAATTTTATATTTACCACTGCATGATTGATTAATGACAGGTTGTTTTTGTTCTCCATGACGACACTACAATTCCTGGGGAGTCCCGGGAAATCTACACCGTTGATATAATTTACAGTGCGCAGAGGATGGACGGTCCAGATTCAGACAAATCGAAATTCAATTTCTAACGACGCAGAACATATATATGCAGAAAGATTAAAAACACTTATCTGGCATGAATGATGAATCATCGTACCGATTTATTCGAGGTAATTTTTTCTGGATCACTAATTGATTCATCGAGGACGACGATGGAGAAGATAATGTGGGGTTGGATGTCTTGGAAGATAAACAACAGATTCTGCGACGGCGCAGTTGCTCTTGCAAGAAACGGCGGCGGACATGTTCTTGAACACCAGCCTGTCGCTCAAGCTCCTCGTGATCTTCGAATTCGATCCGCCGCCGCCGGGATCGCGGCGGTCGTCGTTGGAGCACGCCACCAGGGCTGCGAGAAAGGGGTCTGTCTGAACCCTGCTGCCGGCGAGCTTCTCTTCCTGCCGGAGAGTTTTCTTGGTGATGGAGCTTCCCGCCGGCGGCGGCAGCAGTGGGAGGAGATGGCCGTCGCCGGCGCCGGAGTATCGGGTTTTGTTCTTGTGGGAGCTAATTAGGGTTTGGTGCTTAGGGATTCCAGGGATTTGCTCCCAGGAAAATGGAATTCCTCTGAATCTGAGAGGCGCCGTCGGAATTTGGGGATTAGGGTTTTGCAGATCGCCATTATTTGGGGAAGATCGTCGGAGAATTGGACTGGCCATTACACCTACGACCATGAACTCTAAACTTAATTTCTTCTTTCGTATATATACATATATATATATATATGGGACTTGGGACGTAAATGTTAAATATTAATGAAGAAATATTATATAGTAGTATTAAATTTAATACTTAAAATATAAAAAAATAAAAAAATATTTATATGAAAAGAAAAGACTAGTCAGCCTTTTATGTTTTTTTAAAGGTGAAATAAGAAAGAAACAGTGAAAATGACATCAGTACGACAAAGTATGCTGCGGAAAAGAAAAGGTTGTGATAAAGAAGGGACAAAATGGGAAATAAATAGTTGAAGCGGGTATCAAGTGTAAATTTCATTAATTATGGAACAAATGCTGAAACAATAATAATAATAAATAAATAATAAATAAATAGCGGGAGTGGTTGTGAGGCAATATAAGGACATGCAATGGGACACCCCATGCACTAACCACTCATTCAACTTTGCCCTTAATTATTTAAATTACCATAATATATATTCTTATTTGACTTTAATTATTAATCAAAACCCACTAATAACTGATATTTTATAAAGTTATAGATTAATAAAAAAGAAGCATACTATGAAGTGCTGCTAATAAGAGTATTTTTTTAAAACAAATTATTATATATAATCCAATCCAGTTCAAGAATAATTAAATAAAATGGACAGATAGAGCAGAGCCAAGAAGGATGAATTGAGTGAAGACAGACGTCGCACATTAGTGGCCATGTGGCTTAACATTATCATTTGTTTCTGTTGTCTTAATTATAAAAATGCCTCTTTTTCTCAAATTTCATCATCATGACACTTATTCCTCGCACATATGTTCAAATTAAATAATGTATTGTGTATATTTCTTTGTGGCCAGTAATTTATTACATTATTTATCCCCTGCCAGAATTGCATTATCTATACTTCATATTAATTAGCTGCAATTTTCAATAAAAACTAATACATTTTTACATAATATTACAACAAAAAAATATATCATTAAAAAATAAATAAGTGTAGAGGGTTTTTCTTTTTTCTTTTCTTATCATTTTATAGTACTACTTACTTATAAAATACTAAATTCTAAAATTTGAGTGAAAAACATAAAAATTTGATAGATTAAAAGTGGATGGAGAGAGTATTGTTAATTTTAAAATGCATAATAAATATTAGATTAAAAAGTATTTCTATTATACGTTGCATACTATAAAATAGAAATGACAAAAATACAAGTGTGTCACTTTGCCCTTTTTATTTAGATTTAAATATTAAATAAGATATTTTGTAAATATATGCATATACTTGATGAAAATTGAAAAAATTTCATAATATAGAAAAATAAAAATAGTATAAAATGGACTAACCCAAATAAATACATGTTCAATGAATATAATTAGTCCAAAATGAAACTAAATTGAAGCTAATTTATAAACGTGATCTGTAAAAGGCCCATTAAGGTAATTGGGCCTACATAAAAAAGCCTAGTTAGCCCAAATGAACTTGTAATGCAGCCCAATGGATTTTACCAAATATTATTGAACATAGTTGTGTTTAGTTAAATTTTGCATGGAAATAGTTGTTTAATTTGCTATTTTATTAAAAAAAAAAAATTGATATACTTTTGTTGAGCTAGAGTTGTAAACTAAAAAGTTAAGAAAACTCTCAATTAGAACAGTCTTAAATTATGGTTTACCCAACAATTAATTATAATATTTACAAGCACTAAATATGGTAGATTATTCTGATTCATATATCTATTTAATGTGATTATTGAATTAATATTACTATATATTTAATGCCAAGTTTAAATGCTAAACGAAAACATTATAATAATAGTAATAATTATTATTTACAAAAAATTAATAAAAAAAAAATGATTGATTTCTAAAATTTCGACAAATACCAAACGACCAATTTCATAATCGTTAAATACATGTATATATATATATATATATATAAAAATTAAAAAAAAAAGTTATCATCCCATCTATGGTAGGGAGAATTTCGATCGTCCATTGTGACGACACGTGTCTAGATACTATTGGATCACAAGAAAGCCATGGCGCCTCCAAGTTTGATGTAATTATAGTTGTAAATGTAAATGTAAATGTAATTTTAATTGTAATTCAACCTAACTTTTGCCAATTAATAATAATGTGTTTCTACAAAAAGACAAAATATCATTCGACGAGATAATTTTAGTAGCCACAAAATCCTAGGAATTCAGATAGGGTCAACGGGTGTTGATTAATAGTGTTTATTAATTAATTAATTAATTAATTATTAATAGTGCAAAGACGTGTGTGTTTATAGAAGGGCGAAAACAGAAGAAATGCTGGAAGTGCGAGTGGGCGTTGCTTTAGAGGGAAATGGTAACGGACCGAAAGATGTAACAAATTAAAGTGCCATACGATTCTGCTGCCCTCCATATTTAGTGCTTTCCTCACGCTGTCACCCTCGATTGCGCGCCACGCGTCTTGCCTTTCCACTTTTTCCTCTTCCTTATACCTTTTTTTTTTTTTTAATAAATATATATGATAAAATTTTAAATGATAAATATATTTTATTTTTTTCAAAATTATCATAGGGTGAGTTATTTATTTATTTATTTATTTTTCGGGTAAGACTATAATTTATAATATTACCTTTTCCTTTTATAAATATATTTTTTGTTTTTCCTCTAAATTACTCCATCGCTCCGTTTTTAAATTTACATTTATCTTTTGGGTTATTGTACTTAACATTAAAAATATTCTTATATTTGTATTTTATTTTTTTTACAAAAATCCTTCTATTAGTATTATAAGACACTAATGGAAGTATTTTTGTAATTATTTCTTAATTTATACTACCTTTTGATATAATAATTAATATTAAAAAAATCAACACGAAAAAAAGTAAATGAACCTTTATAGCCGGACAAAGGTAGTATTACATTCAAAGTTTGATCTTTATTCAAAATAAAGATCATTTTCATTTAATTCAGATTTGTCTCTAAAGAAAAAATGTTATAGAACATATTATTTGGTTTAATTTGAGTTTGAATATATTTTTTTTAAAAAAAAAATAATTTAGATAGTATTATCATATGGTATCTTGTAAAAGAAAAGGTAATGCATTTTTATAATAAAAAATGATGTAAATAGAATAATAAAAGAATTGTGCTTGAAATCAAGAATAAATTCAAAATATAAAATACATATATCCCCATATAATATTAATATTGATAAAAGTTGACACTACAAGTTAAATTATGGTAGTACCATATAAATATATATATATATATGTGATTAAGATTTAGGAAGTAGTTAATGAAGAAATAAACATGAGGAAAGAATCTCGAAAATAACGGTAATGTATAACTCAAACACCAAAAATGTACATAGAGCTATATTTTTGTGTCAGTAATTTTTTAGATGAAAGTATATATAACTCAAATTCTGTGGAAAAATAATTGTAACAACAGACATATAAAGAAATTATTAACAGAGTTTGGGTAAAGTTGGTAACGTAATATCTTGTTGATATTGATAGAAATATTAATATAAATTTACTTTTAAAAAATAAAAATAAAAACTAATATGCATGTTATTAGAAAACCGATCACGCACATTGTATTTGAAATTGAAATTTGCATCCGACAAGACACGTGGATATTAACTTGTTACTTTTATTTATGTAGAGTTTTATAATTTCAGCGCACAATTTGACGAAAGTAACGCAACACTACATCCTTGTTTGGATATAAATATCTGCTGTTTTCTTTTTTAATTATAATTTTATAGATGTATGTGAAATATATTTTTTTTATACACTTAAGCTTCTGTTTATTTTTATTTTTTCTTGTTCATAAAAAATATTTATTTCGTCTTAATCATTCTTTACACAAAACAACACACTAAATATATAATTTCAACACTTACTATAATTTATATAAATATAAAATAAAACAGTAAACTAACGTATATAAACCCAATTACCTAATAAATAAATAAAATATTTAGAATGCAAGAAGATATTTGATGTGGAAATATCTATAACTGAGTGAGTGTACTAAAAATGGGAAATGAAAGAAAAGTTGAAATGGGAATGACAGAAATAGCAAGTGGGATGGATATGAAGAAGCAAATTAAAGGTGATGAAGGAAGGTGCACTGCTGCATGATCACTGAATTTGATGCTACACACTACATTGCATTACCCTATATATAGCCGCCATGGCCATGAATTTCCTCGCTAAAGAACCTTAAAACCCGCTGCCATTTTCACTCAATCTGTTACGCAATCTGCCAAACCGATATCATATATATATATATATATATATTATGACAGACAATGTAAAAACCCCAATTGATTAATTAATTGCATAGGAAGGAAGCTAATTAATCAACTTCTGTTTCTGCTACCCAACCTGATCAGAATATATATATATATATATATGCATGCATGTTTATAATTACAGCTACCTGATCGATCAGTTAATATTATCTTTGTTAATTAATCCATTCATTAATTATGTAGACATATATATAGCAAAATGAAGTAAAGTTATTTTTTTCTCTCTTTTGTTCATGTCCCAAGAATCATCGGAGGGACAGGTGGATTCGCCGCCATTATGCCACGTATAACATTGATGACGTGGCTTCCATTGAGGCCTCCTCTCACTCACCCATGATAAATAAATAGACCTTGCTGCAAACAACACCTTCATTTCTCATCATTTCTTCTATTTTCATTTCTCATCATTTCTTCTATTCCTCTCTTCTCTCTTTTTCTCTTCATGTCAGTTCCCTTTACTTCTCTCATTTCAATTTGCATAATATTAATATCTCCCAGCTTCTTCGCTGCCTGCAGTCCCCTTCTGGGTTTTGAGCTTATCTTCTGCTCCAATTTGAGAGACAAATTAAAACAAACAAATCCAAACAAACAATGCCGCAGGCCTCAGGTGATAATGCAGCAGAACCTTCTTCCGACGGCGGAGGGAATTCCACTCGCCGGAATCTTCATTTCCGGGCGACGCCGGCGCCGATCACGCTCAAGGTATATATATATATAATCTCTGCTTAAATTAATTTCGACTCCAATTTCGGATTCAGGATATGATTTTCATACGATTTCGATCTGGCCAACAGTTTATGGACGTATCTTACCGAGTCAAGCTCCACGACGGCGGCCATAAATCAAGCAAGATAAGGACCATCTTCGGCGGCGGAGGGGCGGCGGCGGCGGCGGCGGCGCCTCCAACCGACGTGGAGAACCCGGCGGCGGCGGTTCACCACCGCCACGACGAACGAACGATTCTCAACGGCATCACTGGGATGGCCTCGCCGGGGCAGGTCCTAGCGATCCTCGGCCCTTCCGGCAGCGGAAAATCGACGCTTCTGAACGCCCTCGCCGGCCGGCTCCACCACGGCCACGGACTCGCCGGCGCGGTCCTGTTCAACAACCGGAAAATCACGAAACCGGTCCAGAAGCGGACCGGGTTCGTGGCGCAGGACGACGTTCTGTACCCTCACCTAACGGTCCGCGAAACCCTGGTCTTCTGCTCCCTGCTCCGCCTCCCAAACACCGTGTCCCGCGACGACAAGATCGCCGTCGCCGAATCGGTGATCGCCGAGCTCGGCCTGTCGAAATGCGAGCACACCATCATCGGCAACAGCTTCATCCGAGGCGTCTCCGGCGGGGAGCGGAAGCGCGTGAGCATAGCACACGAGCTCCTGGTGGACCCCAGCCTCCTGATCCTCGACGAGCCGACGTCTGGCCTCGACGCTACGGCGGCCTACAGGGTGGTGGCGACCCTGCGTGGCCTGGCGGCGAAGGGGAAGACGGTGGTGACGTCGGTGCACCAGCCGTCGAGCCGTGTCTTCCAGACGTTCGACGATCTGCTGGTCCTGTCGGAGGGGAGGTGCATCTACTTCGGAAAAGGCAGCGCCGCCATGGCCTACCTCGCCTCCGTCGGCTTCACGCCGGGCTTCGCCATGAATCCAGCAGATTTCTTGCTGGATCTCGCCAACGGTACTTTCTCTATACCCATCCTCCTGTCTTTTCGTAACCGTATACTTTCCAATATTTCTACGTACGACGTCGTATAACCTTTTTTTTTTTTTTTTTTATTTAACTAATTAATTAATGCACCAAATTAACATGGGTTATTCAATAAATCAAATTAGGGTTTCACTTAGGGTTAAGACTTCAAAAGAACATTCAAATGGACGGTGTGGATTAGCCGGCCAAGAATCCGACGGTGAATAGGGTATCGAGAGGATATTTTTGTGTTAATTACACAGAAGTATTATACTTCACGTAGGTGACAAGTGACAAACATGAATTTCTATCTTGATCCTTAATTTCTGTACTGAGGGTAGGTTGTGTACATTGTCACTGTCACCATTGGGATGGGGCCTGATTGAAGGTTGGATTTTGGAAGTGAAGAAGTCGAGACAAGTTGCGACACAGGCTGCTGAAGAGATATATCAGTTGTTGACTTATCTAGCTAAGAGGACAGGAAATGTATGTGCAAGTAGTGTCTATAATTTGAGAAGTGGGGTTCAGCTATTAATTGGTACCCGACAGCCATGGCTGTCCGAAGTTCAGACAGTGGATACTGATGATCTTCTCTAGTCCCACATCAACTGGCCAAAAAAAACCCCAAAATATATAAAAAAGAAAAGGAAAAGTTTCTGAATTGACTAGTTAGATTGATGATGATCAATTCACTGATCTCCTCTCTGTTATGAGCTACTGCACATATCAATGAGAGATCATAGTGGGAAGGATTGAATAGCTAAACATGGGGTTGGGTTGGGGTGGGGGTGACTATTCTTTTCCTCCTACTTCTTCTTCTTAAACAGTGAAAGGAAAATTTTATTATTAAAATTAAAAAAATAAAATAAAATAAAATAGGATGGCACCACGTGTCCTATACTTTGGCTTTTTACTACTACTTTTTTCTTTTTTTCCCTGTTGCACATCTCATGATTTTCCCACTTTAGTGTATAAATATTCTTTGGGAATGGAGATGTTTTCTACTTGGAACATCATATCTACTATTGGAGCATCACTAGCTGTCTCTCTAGAGACCCCTTTAAAGAATTTTCCCAAGAAAATAAAAGTAGGAGGGATCGTGAGGCAGGGATTATACTAATATGCTACCAAGTGTTTGGTGAGGTAGGAAATGGTGTCACTAGAAAAGTTATAGCATCTATTATTACAAAAAGAAACATTAATTGGGATCTAAATTTAATTAATAGTACTACTTTGGTAACATGGCATCAATACAAGGATATGACAACAAATGTCGTCTAAGCCTACCTTATCTACTTTACAACAAGGATCCCTCTTTGTAAAATAGACTTTTCTATAGATTCTTGAAAAAACAATTCAATTCGTTCACCTATAAAAGACCAACAGTTCTACTTTTAATTAATTCAACTTCTTACATATATATATATTATATATGTTGAATTTAGTGAATTGTAGAAATATGGTATGGTATTGAATTATTTGACTACGGAAATCAAACATGAAGCTAAGATTTGTAATTGACTTCTCATAGTCGAAAGCGACATGTTATGGCTCTTGATCTTGAGAAGATCATTGACCTTTCTTGACATGGGATATATGTCTTATGTGTTGTAATAAATTCTTGGAGTGGAGTAGCATCACTAGGTGTGTGTCCACCCTTTTCCATGATCTATCTCCATGACCCTTTTAATTCTACCTATGCCCCATTCTTCTCTTCTTCATCTACTTGGCATTATACACTCTCAAGAGTGATATCAGTCCGCAAAGACATTTGTCTGTTGTAGAGAATAGAATTTTGTGTGTGTAGACATGATTAGGTAAGTGAAAAATGCTGTCTTTAATTCTAAGAACATAACCTGAAATGGTCAAAACTTTTGGGTATCAATGACAAGTTAGGTCATAAAGATGGGATGAATCTTTGAGTTTGAGATGAAAGCAAACTTAAGGGGTTTTGTGTAAAAATGTTTTGTTGGAATGATGTCCCATTTTAGGGATTGTTAGGTATCCCTGAATAGAAATGGTGGGGACAATGTCTGTCACTAATCCTAGTTTAGTGAGTATGGAATAATCAAGGACAGTGCATGAGGCATCACCATTTTGACTCTCTTACATTTGTTTAAGATATTCTGTTCAGAGCATTACTTACAGGGCTAGAAAACTAGAGCTAAGAGAGAACAATATTAAATAAAATATAAAAGAGAAAGGTGTTGTCTTTAGACACAAAAAAGTTGTACAAATTCTAATTGGATTTTTAGACTGTCTGATGTGGGATGGAGTAGAATTGAAAAAAGAAGAATAAAAATGAAGTGGGATTTGGCCCTTTGATTTCTAGTTGGATGCAATGATGGTAGTGAGAAAAATATGACAGCATCGCTTGCGTTAGAAACCACAAGGATACAAGGATAATGGAGCCATGTGAGAGAGAGGTTCTTGGGAGATCCAGGGACCCCAGCACCTGAAAGATGGATCCACCTATCAGGTCCCCAGGGTCCATGGAGCTGCCAAGAATTCTAACACTGTACCAAAGAGATTGATTACACTTTAAACCACCATTCTTGATGATATTTCAATTCAAATAAAAGTTTTTTCAGCTATTATATAATGAGAAAAGAAAAGAAGGGTTCTTTTGGGTCAGTGTCATTGTTATCCTGTGAGGAAAAAGGACCACTTTCAACTATGATCTGGAAAGTGAGTGTGTGTGTGTCCCCCCCGCCCCAAACCTTTTTTCTAATAGTATAAATGAAATTCTGTGTACCTGAAATGCCAAAATGGGTGCAAGAATTCCACGTGTTGGGGTTTCTATGCCATCAGATGAAATCAACCTCGCCTTCAATTCCCACCTAATAAAGAAAAAGAAAACGAAAAAAAAAAAAAGGGAGAAAAACTTTAGTGTGATTAAATTAATGGAATTTGAATGAAGGAGGTGGAAGATGAAAAAACAATTGTGGCAAGAATCCATTAGCACCATTATGTTGTTCAGTGGGACTCCCACCTCACAACCAACATTCCACCCCTCTTATTAGCTAGCTAGCTACCTCTCATTCAAATATCTCACTAAATTAATTTCCTACTACCACTATCCCTTTATACGTGCATTCATGCATAAGCACTGACATTGCATTACAAACATAGTAACATAGAACAATCGAATTGGCATTCTAGTACATGGTTTTCACTAACTAAGCAGATAGATATCCCATATCTTGTTGTGTGATTTGGATCAGGATGATGTAATGAATGTATGATATTGGCTAATGCAGGGGTGTGTCAGCAAGATGGCTCTAGTGAAAGAGAGAAGCCTAATGTGAGGCAGGCACTGGTCTCTTCCTACAACACTTTGTTAGCACCTAAGGTGAAAGTGGCATGCATGGATGCACAGGCTACGGTTAGAAGAGAAGCTACAAATGATGGAAATACGAGTAAATACAGAAGGTGTTCTGATCATCTTACCTCGTGGTTTAATCAGTTCAGCATTTTGCTCCAGAGGAACCTCAAGGAGAGAAAGCACGAGACATTCAACTCCCTGAGGGTATTTCAGGTGATCGCAGCCTCATTGCTGGCAGGTTTCATGTGGTGGCATTCGGATTACAGGGACGTTCAGGACCGCCTGGGGCTTCTGTTCTTTATATCCATCTTCTGGGGAGTGTTCCCCTCTTTCAACGCTGTCTTCGCCTTCCCTCAGGAACGTGCAATTTTCATCAAAGAGAGGGCTTCAGGCATGTACACATTGTCATCTTACTTCATGGCGAGGATCACTGGAGACCTTCCAATGGAACTCATCCTGCCTACTTTGTTCCTGTCCATAACATATTGGATGACAGGACTCAAACCTGAAGTATCTTCCTTTGTGTTGACATTGATCATCTTGCTCGGTTATGTGCTCGTGTCCCAAGGACTCGGGCTTGCCCTGGGTGCCCTGATCATGGACGCCAAGCAGGCATCAACTGTGGTCACTGTCACGATGCTGGCCTTCGTGTTGACAGGAGGTTACTATGTGCACAAGGTGCCGCCATTCATGTCATGGATAAAGTATGTCTCCACCACATTCTACAGCTACAGGCTTCTCATAAATGTCCAATACGGAGAAGGGAAAAACATCACATCCCTGTTTGGTTGCCCAACTCTGGGCCATGATCATGTCACCTGCAAATTCATTGATCAAGACATTAGTGGTCAGATCCATCCAGCAACAAGTGTAGTGGCATTACTTATCATGTTTGTAGGATACCGACTGATGGCGTATATGGCACTGCGCCGAATTCGAGCTTGAGGGAGGAGACAGTGAAAGCTGAAAATGCCTCCAATGCTGCTACAAATCTGCTATGATGTGAAACCTGGAAGAGACAGAAAACAGAGCAGTGTATGCTCCTGATGAGCAGGAGCCAACTGTATGAACGAATTAGGAGAGAAGTATCAATTTGAACAACCAAGCAAGAGTAGAGAATTGTAAGAAAAACTTCCTGTATGGCTTTGCACCAACTGGCAAGCCAATCAATTCCAAATTCCAATGAAGTAAATTTTACCCCTTACTCATCCCTGGATTTCCTCTTGCACAGCATTAATGTAAACCAGGTTATGATGATATATGCCTAAGACTTGTGGAAAATAAAAACATACGACTCATAAAAACCTAATTAGAGAAGAATAAAAACAATCATGATTGATAAAACTTTAGATAACTTGTGTCAAATTTCAATATTGTGACATCAACCATTAGAACCAGGATGGATTACAAGCATATTCAAACAAAAAGCCCATAATTGAAGCTTTAATATCTTCATTGTTTGCCCTATTCCTGGTCTCAAACACGCCTTTAAGAATGCGCATATAGAGTCTCTCAAGCTGCGGGATTCCATAATCTTTTGTATGCTTAAGAAGCTGTTGCTTGAGAGAATTGACTTGATCAGAGATATCTGCATCCGACATGGTAACATCTTGTGATGGGCTCGTTGATTTCCCCCCAGATGTAGTGTTTGCACTTGAAGGAACTAAAATTTCAGGTTCTTGCCCATCTGTGCCATTTGTTTCAGCATCATCATCCAACGGCTTTCCTGGAAATGAATCTGACTCCGCTCCTTCTGCCACAAAAACCAAAGCCAAAAGATGAAAGTTCCGGTGGAATACAAGAATCGTTATACACAGATTATTAATAGGATAAAAGAGTGTATCACATTGGAATAAATACTAATAGTGCAATGTAGTATAACTGAACTAGTGCAGACTTGGCCATTTAAGGCCTTACCAAGAAGCTTTCACGTAAGCTTTTTATCAGGCAAGCTTCATTTCAAGTTGAATATGTTCTGTTCAAAGTCTCTCATCTTCTTTACCAGCTCTCTTCCTTTTAAATTTTATTGTTGGAATTCCATTTTCCATTTCTGTTTTTAGTTAAATTTAAAGGGCTTATAGTATGTGCAATGTATCATTGATTTAGTTTTTTCATCCTTAAATAGTTACCGCAACACATTTTTGAAATCTTACCTGCTTGAGACGCATCAGCAGGTTTCTTAGGCCTCTTGTTTGCTTCATAGGTTTGGTCTCGATTAACTTCAGGTTGGACATTTCGTAGACGAGCACTAGCCCGAGTCATCATTTGGACAACTGGAGTTTGAGGTAGCGTAGAATCGCTCATATCCATAGGTAAAGACACTGGGCCTCCTTCCTCTGCAATCTTGTCACAAAATGCAATCAAAGAGGGGTCGATCTGGGACAGCATACCATGAACCTGAAAAGGACAAATACTCCTTAAATATATAGTAAAGGCAGTAAGAGTTCCAGCTAGAAAAGTAAAGCCTGTGATGGGAGAAGAACTTACAGAATCTCTAAGTTCATAAGCTCTACTAACAATCCTGGCTCCATTGTAGTCATCCCCATTGTATTTCTATAAAGAACAAAAGAGGTCACACCACAAATAGTAGAATGGTATCTATAAATCATTCAGCCAGCCAAGGGCAAAGCTATTTTTAGATTCTTCTTTTGTATATTTGTAGTTTTACTAACAAAATTAATTGAAAATGAACCTTGGCATTTGTTAAAATTAGGTCAAAATCCTCCAAGAATGATTTGCATGTGATATACTTTCCACTATCAACTCGCTGCAGCAATGTGGCCATGTCCATAGGGTTCTGAATTATTGTGTGATAATTTGGTGCATCTTCATCCGTTACAGGATAGTGAAAGGCACTAAAACGTTTGTCATAGAAAATTCTGCAGCAAAGAAGAAAAATGAGATGAATTGAGAAATTTAAAGAGAACATGAGATCATGATGTGTAAGATACAGGACATTCAAAGGGAAGATATTTTGCTCTAATAATTAACAAGTCAACCTTGTTCCTCTCCCTTACTTTTCAGATGCAGTAGATGAATGGGGAAGGAGAAAAATGGCCAACAAAGATTCAAGTAGCATTTCTGAGTTGAGCTACTCAATAATCCCCAGAAAGTAAACTGAGCAAGCATTAACAATCAATCCATATAACTCATACAACATGGAAAAACAGAACCTACTCCAAGTATCCATGACGGTGTTTAAGAGCATAATCATACAGTTGAATTAGATCTCACATGATTCACAAATTGCTCAAGCACACATGTAGTTCAGATGCTATAAAATTAACATATCTTCAATAAAAAGTTCCGGCATAGGCATGAGAGTTTGGATTTGGGATTAAATAAGTAAATTAAATGAAGTAATTATAGTATCCAAAATAGTCATATAGTCATAACAGATGATGGATCCATCCTTCGCAGTCTAAGCATGCGTATGACAAAGAAAAAAATAAACTAAAATAAAAGAGAGAAGATCTGTCTCACCTATTGCAAACATCTCGAAGGCACATGCGCAGCTTGCGAAGAGCATGGCCCTGACCATCAGCTTTGGCCCTCAGCTCAGAGGCCTTTGGTGCTGTGGCCACTTTTGGTGCTTTTGGAAGTTCTGGAACACCGACGCCCTCAGATCTAGAAGAACTCTTCACAAGATTATCAGATTGTACTGATAAGGCTGATTCTATCAGATAATCAAAAAACAGACTTCTATCTTCAGTTGATGGGAAGCTCAACTTAAAACTGCAAGAAAGAAAAATAAAGAATAAATAATAAATCACAAATCACAAATCACAAATATATGAAGTAATACAAAAATGAATTTCTGAGTATATATAAAAATTGTTTTTATCTTGTTTTACATTAGATTCATGGGAATTTGTCGTATCATCTTCTAAGCATTGACTTCAGTATCCAAAGCAAAAGAAAGATATGATATCAAAAAGCGGAAAAAATGAACAAAACTATAATAAGATGAAACAATATGGAGTAGATACTAGTCAACAAGGCTTACAGATGAGCTGAAGGACAAAATCAAAAGAAGCAACCAAGCATATTTATTTATCACAGAATTATGCATGACTGAGCTGAACTTGTATTTGTGAAAGAAAACATGAAGGCATTGATTGCCACACCAACAGTTTTTCGATTTGTTGAGTTAGATAACAACTGATCTCACAGGCAGTCAAAATATAAGTCAATCTGGGAGCAAAATTATCTCATAAAGCATCATCAAAATTCAAGGCAAATCTGAGGAGAGTAACATAGAAATTGAAGACACATACACATTGCGCTCTGAGAATATTGATGATGGATTATCACATATCTCCTCAAGTTGGACAGCGGATGTTCCCAATAGTAATATGGGCATGTCAGATGGTAATTCTTCCAGCAGAGTTCGCAATACAGCCCTAAGTTGATCATGAGCCTTGAGGATAAAACATTTCCACATTATTATTTTGAACAAAATGGAAATGATTTTATTTTTTTCCCATTTATATTACTACAATAGAACTGATCCAAATAATTGGAAGAGCACAACATACACATGCACTCACATTTTCCCACCAAAGGTGGAATTGAGGCAAATAAAGTATTGAAGGGGTAGTTCTCCTGGCTTCACCAAAGACATGCACTAAAGCCTCCTCCGGTGTTTTAGCTCCAGGATCAGAAAGTAATGATGGTAATGCAAGGGAGTGTACAGGAAATCTCTCCAGCTCATGTAAAACTGCAGGTCCTATGTGGTCCTACAGAAATAAAACAAGTAAGTGCACTTTATCAAGTTTGAAAATTGTAGAGGTTTGATACAACAAAATGATAGAACAATTACCAGACCAACATCATCACCACCTTGCAGCAATAACCTTGGGCGATAAACAAGAGAAATAACAGATCCATATGAGAGAAGCGAAAGCTTGGTGGACTCTGATAAAACTGATAGAGCAGGGAAGATGTGAGATATAATATCCATTGCACTCTGTAGCTGTCTCTGCAGACATGGAGAAACAATAGGTGATAACGGCCTAGAATTGACAATGGTGCCTCTGTGAGCTGCTGGTGTGATGGTTGACATAGCCCCTACAAAGTGATATTTTTCCACTTTTACAGAATCGACATCTATAATAAATTTGTCATCACTCGTGTAAACTTGAGGATATTTTTCACGAAAAGCACGAATTGCAGCTTCCGTACATAAAGCCTTCAAATCAGCACCGCAATATCCCACACAGGTTGCTGCCAGTTCCAATTTGAGCTCTTTCGAAGGAGGTTGTTTCCACTTGCGAGTATGTATATCTAGAATTTCAGCTCGTGCCTCACAGCCAGGCAAGGGAAAAGTGAACTCACGATCAAATCTTCCGGGGCGCCTCAAAGCTCCATCAATGGCATCAACTCTGTTGGTGGCACCGATTAATACTACTTGTCCACGTGAATCAAGGCCATCCATTAAGGCCAGCAAAGTTGAGACAATTGAATTATGTATTTGTTCTTGTTTGCTAGACCTAACAGGGGCAAGACCGTCTATTTCATCGAAGAAAATGATGGAAGGCTGATTTTTTTGAGCTTCTTCAAACAATAGTTTCAATTGTCTTTCAGCTTCCCCGACCCATTTGCTCAGCACATCAGCACCCTTGCGCATGTAAAAGCTGACTTTCTCACCAGCCTTGGATGCAGCACATGCCAAGGCTCTTGCAATTAACGTTTTCCCTGTGCCTGGGGGACCGCATAATAAGACACCTCTTGGTGGGGTAATGTTATAGCTTGCAAAAAATTCTGGATATAACAGAGGGAAAAACACCATTTCCTTCAAAGCGTCAATATATTCAGATAGGCCGCCTATATCGTCAAAACTTACAGTTTCATCAATTTGAACAGGCTGAATATCAGCTCCTCCTTTGGAGCTTGGACCAGCAGTTTGAATGCCAGATGTCAAATGAGAAAGTACATCATTCTGATGAGACCAACCTGATGCAGCTGCATGTAAACCCCATGCTGTTGTCCCTTGCATGTCCAGGCCACCAAGAAGCCAAGGTGGCCCAGATCTGCTGCTGCCTCTTCCCCAAGGCATTGGAGGGCCCTGATCAAGTTCATCGACAAGAAGTGAATCATCAGAGTCTTCTGTTCTGGTCATACGCCGTTTGTGAACCCGCGATCCACCCCTCCTCCCATCCCTGCCAACTTTGGTTCCCATTCCTTGATGAAGTACTCTTCTAGGAGATCTAGGCATTTGCTTACTCTGCTCAAGAGAGAGCCTCCGGACATCTGCACGATTTCGGAGGTCATACCTCCTCCTACCATCTTGTTCTTCACCTTCTTCATCATCACCATCATCCTCAACATCATCACCATCCTCCTCTCCTTCTTCACCAGCAACCTCATCTTCAACCTCTACATCATTAGCATCATTGTCCTCCATGTCCTTTGCATTCTCTGACTCATCATTTCCCCCCTTTTCATCTGATGAACTTTGTGCCTCATCAGATTCTACACTTAACCTTTCTCTAGGACCTGCCCTTGAACGTCGAGGTCTAAGTCCTTCCCTTCGAGGTCTCAATCCTTCACGACGAGGTGCCAACTCATCTTGGCTTGCACTGTTATTATTTATTCTGCCTCTAGACCTTCGGAATCTAGGAATCTGCTGATTTGCATTCATATTGAACCTCAAGAGAATTTAAAAGATAACATATATATATTATCTTATATAAGTATATGTTGGTGCACATGTGCACACACACATATACACAAAGAGATATAGAGAGATATAAATGAGATAAATTAAACACCCTTTTTAATTATACTAGAACATAAACCTATTGACGTTACAATTCCATGTGATACGAAATGATATAATCATAACACTTTTGCCTAACTTAACTTCTCAGCATTTGCACTATTAATTACAGCTTAAATCCACCTATATCATACAGCATTCTGCCAAAATTGCATGATAAGTTGCGAATAAAAACACTCACCATTAAGTCATTATCCTCTGTGCCAGAGCTATCTGTGTATTCTTCAAGATTAATGGGAACCCTTCTCGTCCTGGTGGAGCGCCTAAGATTGGATGTGGGAACCGACTGCAACAAGTGGCAGAAACATATCACCAATATCTTCTGAAATTAATAACTACCGTACAATACTCAATTAATATCTACTGTTGAAAAAGACAACATTATATCTACTGTTGAAAAAGACGTCATTATAGATAAAATCAACAATAAGATCGTAAAAAATAATCAAAGTAAGACAAATGAGACATAAACCATAACTTTTTGTCGTTTTCTTTTCAAAAGAAAAAGGAAGGACAAAAGAAAAATACTCTGGTGACCATACATTAGCTTTTGATGATCTCTTTTGCCGAAACATCTTAGCTATTTGTGCAGCAGCAGTCCTTGTTTTGGTCTTCTTCCTCTTAGACCTCATAATGGTACCAGGTGTATAATATAAGTATGGGCGATTATAAAACTTTGGCCTGCTCCTGAGCCTATCACTTGTTCGCACTGGCCTTGAATCAGGGCCATCCCCTTCAACAGATCGTTTAGGATACATTGGAAGCAACTAGTCTCTTCCCATTGGCTACAATGATCAGGCCTACAAAAGCGAAAGCAACTGAATAAAGAAATAATGCAGAGCCCCAAGATATGAAACAGTATCATGACAAGCATTAATACATCATTACTAACTAAATTAAACACCGACCCGTATCTACCTCAGCCACTGCTCTTCTCCCCAGATAACCTTTCATCACACATACAATGAAGCATTTGGCAACAAATGTCAGATTACCCTAATACAGAGGAACAACAAATAACTCAACAACAACTCCCTGAATCACAGTGCAAAACAATGCCAACAACATATAAACTAAAAACAATAAAGCAATTAAAGTAATCAAATACGCACTTCCACGAACAGCAAACACTAAACTGAATACACGCAATACGGCATGGAATTCTACAATACATCCATAAACAAAAGAATGAAATTCAGCACATAAAACTGTGGCAAAACACAAAAGAGACCGAAAAGAGAAAACAGAGGTGCCCAAAATATCAAACAACAAAATCAATAAACTATTAGAATGAACTTTCCTCGCAAAAAAACACTTAATAACATAAACAAACACACACATACCTTCCGATGAAAATCACCAATTCTGCTGATAAAGATGTCAAGTAAACAACTGAAGCGAAGTCAGGGTTGCAGGCGATACAGAGAGAGCGGAGAAACTCCCGTTCGACTTCGACGAGTATTGTTCTCGGGTATTTGTTCGTCAGATGAAACTGATAGATGGGCTGGGCCTTTATTATAATAAGCTGTTTGGGCCCAATTAAAATTATAAAGTCAAACCCCTAAAGGCCCAAAATTTTTAGCCCAAATATAATGTGGCCCAATTTGTTAGCCCGAAGAAAAGAAGGCCCAATTAAGCGTGCCGTCCACGTGCGTCTCTCTGTATAAATACGCATGTTTGAACGAACACCGTAGTGGAGAATAGCGCGGTCGAGTCGCTGCTGTTCAATTTGAAGTCTCATCTGCATTTACTGAGATGGATTGTTCCACTCTCTGGTTTGGCTTGTTCGTGCAGTTTCTTGCTGCTGTTGAAATTGAAGTTAACATTTTTAATCAGCAGGCAACGGCATTTGGGGGCATCTTTAGGAAGATGATTGAGTCTTCTTGTCAATCTTGTCTATTGTGAGTAGTAATTTTTTTTACTGTGAGTAGCTCCACTGAAATACTTGAGTGATGATTTCTGTTTCGTGTTGGTTGGTATTTTTCAATCCTAAGAAATTGAAGTTAACATTGAAATTTCTTGCTGCTGTTGAAATTGAAGTTAACATTTTTAATCAGCAGGCAACGGCATTTGGGGGCATCTTTAGGAAGATGATTGAGTCTTCTTGTCAATCTTGTCTATTGTGAGTAGTAATTTTTTTTACTGTGAGTAGCTCCACTGAAATACTTGAGTGATGATTTCTGTTTCGTGTTGTTTGGTATTTTTCAATCCTAAGAATTTTTTTCTCGTTTCGGGTAAAGATCTACTGGTTAACTGATTCATTTGCGGTTAGCTGCTCGGTTTTTCTTAATAGGTGTCGAGAAGATAGGACAATTACGTATTGCTTTGACAACGGCAGTCGGGCGTGCAAACTTCCCTTGGTGGAAATTAGGTGAGTTGTGAGTTGGTATGAATTTATATTAGAGTTGTAATTGCTTGGAGCTCATTGAAGGCTTGAAGCAAGTCGAAAGCTATGGTAGAGAAAAAGGGTATCGTTTTTAAGTTGCTGATGCTCTAATTTTGATGTGTATCTTTTCATTACAGTTGATTCTTTGTACCATTTAGAATACTCCTTATACCATTATATTTCTATTTGCAATGACTGCAATTTGAGACCTGGACAATGCTTGTTAGCAGAAGGTATGGTAACAGAAACAGGGCATGTTGCTACTTACGTATGATATGTACTGACATACCTTTCCATTATGAAGTCAATTGATTAAAAACCATCAGAAATGTAGTTATGAAAGGCCTCATGAAAGTTATGATGGTTTTGGTAGGGGTTCGGGTTTAGGTGAAATTTTGTTTTTAAATTTTAGTTTGCAATTGCTAACCAATCATTGACGTGGTACACAGCTAGGGGAGCATATTCTGCACCTGTGTTTGCATATCTATAGCATGTTATTTACAGGAAATTTTCAGGCTTTAGAGTTATGGATTTAATCCAAGACAATTGAGTGTGTTTCATGTTTAAATATTTGTGTTTTAACTTCAATTTCATTTAGTTTTTACAATGAGAAGCTTATTGCTTGGATCAAAACTTTTGGTTTTCTTATTTTCAGTCATGGTATGCATTCATAAGGTCCACCAACTGGCAGTATGGAACACCAGTCAAAGCAATTTTGTGCTGGAATTAGGTAGATGAATTTATAATCGTTACTTTTTTATTCAGTCTTCTATAATTGATATGGTATCTAAATTTAGATGGATGGTGTGCATAAATTCTCTGCAATTTCTCAAAGGAAAAGAAAGGTGAATAGCAACTCAAAATTCTTCAGAGGCAAAGAATAGCCGACCACAATTCTTCTGCCTTCCATCAGTTTCTTCTTTAATCCAAATTCAAAAATTAAAAGAAAAGCTCCTCACAACAGAAAAATAAACAAGGAGGAATCAACAAAGGAACATTGTCAAAAAATGAAGAGACGGTCTTTAGGATCGTCCTCCAGGCCCTCGCCAACAATTCTTCCACATAAAACGCCAAGGCTTAGAGACCATTACAATATAGGGAAGAAATTGGGGCAGGGACAGTTTGGCATAACGTTCCGTTGTGTGGAAAAAGCCACAGATATTGAATATGCATGCAAATCCATTCCAAAACGCAAGCTTCTATGCAAGGAAGATTGTGATGATGTTTGGAGAGAGATTCAAATAATGCACCATTTGTCTGAGCACCCATCTGTGGTTAGAATCAAAGGGACTTATGAGGACACCATGTTTGTACATTTGGTCATGGAGTTATGCAGTGGGGGAGAACTTTTCGACAGAATCATTCGGAAAGGACATTATAGTGAAAGAGAGGCTGCTCGCCTCATGAAAACCATTGTCGGAGTGGTGGAGTCTTGCCATTCTCTAGGTGTCATGCATAGAGACCTCAAACCTGAGAATTTCCTTTTTGATTCACCTCACGAGGATGCAAAGCTTAAGGCAACAGATTTTGGTTTATCTGTTTTCTATAAGCCAGGTAGGCGTTGTTTAGAAAATGCTTAATGCAGATCATTCTTTTGTGGACATACCAAGCCATTTTTTAATTTCATTCAGATTCATCCTCATACTCAAATGAAATGCATAACTTTGAACGCTTCAAAAGCCATTTATGTTAATTGATTTTATTGATCAATTGTGAACTTGATGTTTACTTGACTCTTAGCATCCTTTCTTTCCAGGCCAATATCTTTCTGATGTTGTCGGAAGTCCTTACTACGTTGCGCCTGAAGTGCTGCGTAAGTGTTATGGGCCAGAAGCTGATGTGTGGAGTGCCGGTGTCATTCTCTACATTTTATTGTCTGGGGCTCCACCTTTTTGGGCAGGTAAGCATTTTAAATTCTTCCTTTGGAAAATTCAATGAAGGGTCTTCCTCTTCTAGAGAATTCATGTATTTGAATGTTTACAGAAACGGATAATGGGATCTTCAAACAAATCTTAGAGGGAAAGGTAGATTTTCAATCTGAGCCATGGCCTCACATTTCAGACAGTGCCAAGGACCTAGTAAGGAAGATGCTCGAAAAAGACCCCAAAAGCAGAATTTCTGCTCATGAAGTTTTATGTGAGTGATACAGTATTTGAAGAAGAATAATAGTGTGAATGGTTTGAGTATTTTCTCATTATCATTTTACTTATTCAATATATAATTCTAATAGGCCATCCTTGGATTGGGGACGACACAGTTGCCCCAGACAAGCCATTAGGATCTGCTGTTCTGTCTCGGTTAAAGCAGTTCTCTGCCATGAACAAACTGAAGAAGATGGCTCTGCGTGTAGGTTTCCATATTGATGTTGCCATACCATCGATTGTGTTTCAAACTACATAGCGTTGGGTTTAGAATTCATTTGATGAAATTATGGACCATCTTGTGTTCATGGAAAATGTATTTCGACGTATTCAGGTTATTGCAGAAAGACTGTCTGAAGAAGAAATAGGTGGACTCAAAGAGCTGTTCAAAATGATCGATACAGACAACAGTGGAACAATAACATTTGACGAACTCAAACAAGGTTTGAAACGAGTAGGTTCCAACATAATGGAATCAGAGATCAAGGCACTAATGGATGCAGTACGTACATTCATCTTTCCATCATGATGGAGTCATGGAACCCTGAAGCTCATGACTTCTTCCATTTTCCTACAGGCAGATGTAGACAGCAATGGAGCCATTGACTATGGTGAATTCCTAGCTGCAACCTTACACCTGAACAAGATGGAAAGGGAAGAAAATCTGTTAGCTGCCTTCTCTTTCTTCGACAAGGATGGCAGTGGCTACATAACCATGGACGAGCTGCAGCAGGCCGCCAAAGAGTTTGGACTGATAGATGCCCAGCTTGATGAAATCATTAAAGAAATCGACATGGACAATGTAAGTTACATCACATCTATTTCTTGTTAGGTTAATTTGCCAGGAAATCATGACCTCCTGATAATGGATATGTCCACTTCAGGATGGGCGCATAGACTATGGGGAATTTGCTACAATGATGAAGGGCAACCCAGGTCTTGGTGTTTCAAGATCCATGAGAGGGAATCTAAACTTCAATTTGGCAGATGCCTTTCAAGGGAAAAACAATGTGGGAGAGTAAAATCTCTGCCTCTTTGTGTGTTTCTTGACGTGTAACTTTTGGATCTGTTCTTCCCATACACTCACTGTTCATTATATGATTGGTGTCATGAAAGGAAATTCAAGATAAGTTCCTTTGCAGATGTGTATTAAGGACACAGGATTCTTCTGTTTTATCCACATGATTACATCAGCCAATGATATTATTAACATACTTCTTGAAGCCTTTGTAAAAATTGAACTGCTACTTATTCCGCAACAGATTTATTCTGCTGATATGGCTAATTGTTATGGCTTCCGGGAACCCTCTCTATAAATAAGGTGTTATTGCAAGAAAGTGCTAAATGAGAAGCCTCTTTGATTTATTGTTCTGTGAAAAATTCATTCCATACAGACTACCCTGCATAAAGTGTTATTAGCGGGAACGAAAACGAGCCATACCTTGGAACACTTTGTGTTAAATGACAAAATCCCGATCACAGTTGAAGAACAAGAGGAGTTCTATTGGCTAATTTTTTAAAGTGGGTGTTGTAAACTCATTTATTCTTTTTGTTGCAGACACTAGATATGAAGGTAATCAATACAAAAGGAACTATCTACGGGATAATGGACGGGGACAGATATAACAGATTAGAGCATGCTGAAAATCTCAGATAGGTTTGTGTGGACTATTTTCAGATTAAGTTAAAGAATTTTTCCCATGTTCGATAGCACAGCTGACAAATTCATTTCTTTGAGTTAAATACAGCTATTATATGGTTAAGAAGCATCACTGGATAACAAGAATCACATTCTTTTACCCACCCTTGTGTAAATTCCATGATTATTGACCAGATCAAGGTTCTCTGATAGTTCAAGAGTTTGTTCGTCCCAATTCCACTGCGCTGCATCATTCCTTTTGAAAGATATTATGCACCATTAGTTCTAGTGGTATTTTGAAATTTTGGATTGCCATTTAGACTGCATACAACTTTGGTCTGCAATGCTGTTACTTCTTGGCTATGAATCCTTCTTGTGGATTCTGGCCACAACTTTGAATCTTAGTAATCAAATACAGCTATTAATGTAGAAGTATATTTCGGCAGAATTATTAGCTTTATCTATGAACACTGAGGCATGAGGACAGTCTGAAAAAAACAATACATTCATAGCTTTGTTGTCACAGATTATTATTATACAGATAAAACAAGAACAGGATACATCATTTTCTGTAGCCCTCATTTCTCATGAGGATGGAGGTGAACCGGGAGCCCGTGGACTGGAGTTGGAGAAGCATGGAACACTATCTTCTCATTAGGGATAGCCTTCTGGAGCCGGAACCTTCTCACCACATTGTGCATGAAGACCAACACTTCCAGCCTGGCATACTCTTTTCCAGGACACATGCGGGGTCCCCCACCAAAGGGAACAAATGTGTAAGGAGCCGGTCCACTTCCTTCAAACCTTGATGGATCAAACTTTTCAGGCTCAGGGAAATACTTTGGATTCTTGTGTGATGAATGGACAGTCCAGAATGTCTGCAAGTGAAGATTCAGAGTGGAGATTCAGAACTAAGCAGGTGTTGATTAAGTATGTGTGTTTAAAAGACAGCACGAGTTTTGGTTGTGTGCATACCTTCCATCCTTTAGGGATGGTGAAACCTGCATAGGTGAACTCAGTTGTGGTTTCTCTGAATGCTCCTTGAGCTGGGGGCGTCAGCCGGAGAGATTCCCGTGCCACATTCCAGGAATACTTCATCTTTTCAATATCTTGCCAGGTCAGTAACTCATCAGGGCCTTTTGATTTTGCAATATCCATTTGTTCTGTAACATCCCAGACAGTAATTCTTTTAATTTCTAAATGCTGTAATATCACAGTGATAAACTGTAATCTATGATTTAGGGAATGACTCACCTTTCAAAACTTCTTTGTATATGTGGGGAAGTTCCGCAAGATAATTCATGACAGCTGTGACAGCAGAGCTCGTGGTCTCGAAGCTAGCCACCAGCAAACCGATTATATTGTTTGAGATCTCCATTTCACTCAAGAGCTGCCCCTCTTCATCAGTCACAAGCAGCATCTTGGACAGCAGGTCTCGACCCTCAGTCTCTTTGTTCTCAGTCATCTCCTTCCTCCGCTCCTTGATAATCTTCATCAGCTCTTCCCTCACCATTTTACCTCCTTTGATAGCCCTATTGTAAGCAGTTCCTGGAAGATCTATAGGCACAGAGAACATGCCGTTAGTCACCAGAGTGAAGGGATCAGACAACCTCTGAATATGGTCTGGCTCAACCACACTCAGAAACAATCTACATGCCAGCTCAAAGGTATACTTCTTGGACAAGGGGACAACTTTGACAACTGAATTAGGCGTCCAGTCGTGATCTAAATGCTCGCGAGCCAGAGCATCCATCACAGGTATGTACTGTTTCAATGCTTCAGGCTTGAGAATATCATGGTGAAAGCTACGTTTCAGTGCTGATACTTCCTTCAGGTTACTTTCCACAAATTCAGGAAACAGCAAGGCCTTCTTCATCGACTGTGGCCACCATGAAGTGAGCAGTTTATTCTCATTCATGAAAAGAAACTTGTTCCCTTGTGCTCCGCAGAATATTGCCATTTTCTCTCCAAGCAAGGAGGTTTGGAATACCTCAGGTGAGTACTTGTCCATCCTATCCTTCACAAATTTTTGAGGGCCTAACAGAGCAAACTCCATATTTTCCCCCAGCATTGGCCAACCTTTCGAGCCAGGAGGTGCATTTGTTAACTTGGTAGAATCCTTTCGGCGTATACATGAGATAACATAGAGCGAGACAGGAAGAAGTACAAGAGGAAGAACATATGGTAAGTATGCTTCCATGCTTCTTTCTAAGCAGCTATAACTTTTGAATGGATGATAATGGAAGTTTTGTGCCTTAAGAAGTTGGAGCATTGATTATATATATAGATATATAACATTTAAAGGGCTTGATAAAAGTTGCATATCTGCCTGCTTTTTTGGCAGTTTGAGAGGGCTATAAAAAGACAAATTAAAGCATATCTGGGGGGCTGAATTTGCAAAGTTTTTGTACTGTAGGTGAAGCGCTTTGAGTCATGACAAACTGTGGTATTTCAATTAAGTTTATAGTCCTTTAATAATTTATCTTATCCTTGAGGTTGTCCTATTGATGATATATTGACTAAGTTAATAACAAACAGATAGTAGAACAAATTTTTACCAATGTTATGTGTGGAGTTGCTATAAAAACATGAAAAAGCATAATACTCCCATCAAAAAAAAAAAAAAAGAAAATAGAGAGAGAGATTTCTCTTGAAGCAGGCTAAGAAAGCCATATACATATATGGAAGAAACTTACAAATGTTCACAAGAACGGTCAAGAATCAGAGCCAACACTTAGCCTATGTCCGCAGGGAAGCATCTTAGGCAACTTTTGTAATAAAAAAGAGACTGCCCTTTGATGGGATTTTCAGGGGACAGGGGTCTGTTATTTTTACAATGTTTAAATAAAATTCTACATGGATATGCATTCGTTCTAGAATCCCTACAAGTCAGGAAAGCACTCAAGAACATGACTTAATTGATTTTGAGTATCTAGCTCATCATTTTGAGAGGCGAAAGGCATGTTTGTTGTGTATGCATATGATGATGATGCAATTAGTTTATCAAAGCTCTGCCACTCACTGAATTGATTGCTAAATTGGCTCTTTCCATCTTCAGCTTCCTCATTAGCCAAAGCACTGTGGTCGAAGTTAGTATCAGTTGTGGCGAAGCTTGTTGAGATGGAGGGGCTGTCAAGATTTGGAAGATCCACCATTTGGCTTTCGTAAGGGCTGAGACTGGGTTTGAGATTTTCTGCTAGAAATGGAGGTTGAAGAGCATTCGTTCCCTGATTGAGGCCAGATGGATCAAAAGGCAACAGAGTTGAGGTGCTGGGATATGATGGAGGCCTGTAGTTGCTGCTGTCTCTGAGGTAGTAAGTGTTGTTCCATCCTTCAAACCCAGGCTTATTACCTGGATTTGGTTTCTTGAATGCTCGGCACACTACCCATCCTTCTTCCTGTTGCATTGATCTACTCAGATATGCACTGCTAATTGAATTTTCATCTTTTATCATTGCCAATAGGGGTTACCTGAGGAGGTGCATGTTCAGATGTCTGGAGACGATACTCGTGCATGATCCAATCTGTTTTCCTTCCATTCGGTGCTCTTCCTTTGTAGAACACCAAAGTTTTCCTCATCCCTATGATCTTATCTTTTGAAAGCACAGCCTTGTCCCTTCCTGTCGCCTTCCAGAAACCAGCACTCGTTGCTCTGTTGGTCCTAGTCCCTGTTGGATACTTCCTGTCCTTGTGACTGAAGAAGTACCACTCATTTTGCTCTTCATATCCAAATTTACACCTGTCTGAAATATGGAACACAACAAATACACACATCCTCAGAAACTACTAAACCTTATAAATAGTAGGATTATGCAGTTAGGACCAACCAATGCAAGGGAATAGATGACTGCATACCTTCAATATCCCATGGCTCCATTCTGTAGAGATCAATATCAGTGATCACCTCGAGATCAATCTTGAGACAGTTAACCTTCCTGTTGAGATAGTAGCCTACAAGTTCTTCTTCAGTGGGGTGAAACCGAAACCCGGGGGGTACACATGACTCCATTTCCATTTCTGATGTCTCTACTTCTTGATCCTGCAGGAAATCAAACCATGTGTCCACAGATCAATCAACAACGTATGTATATGCACACTACACTGACTTTGAGGTCGATGGGCACCACTAAAACCGCGGGGTATGATGCCTGGTGGATCCCAAAGCAACTCCAACCAGAAAGATCTATTTGTCCAACACAGGTTCTTTCTAAGATAAAGCCACTTTTTGGGAGACACCTTGGTGATGAGAAAGAGAGTAAAACTCACACAACTCTCTCCTTCTCCTATGATGTAAGTGAAACCATATGTGTCATGATCTTTTTTTATTTTTTCAATGATGATTTCATCCATTCGTGAGCACAATAGAATGATGGATGGTCCCAACAAGGTTTTGATGCATGTGTTTGAGGCTGTGGTAGTAGTTTCTGTGGCAGACCAATTGTGGTACACCACTGAAACATATATATAGCTAGGAAAAATGCACACTCATAATTAGCTGCATATGCATAGGAATTATAATGCCAAGAACTCTCTCTCTCTCTCTCTCTCTCTCTCTATATATATATATATATATATATTATGGTTAAATTATAGAGAGTGAGCGTAAAAATTGACTTTTTATTTCCTAAAGGGCATATGGGATATTGGCATGTTCATATTTCTTTGAGTGCATTCCACTCCTCATTGCCCAAGTGGTGGTTTCAGACCACCCACCCTAGCTAGTCACTCTTGCTGCATATATAATTTACAAGTTCAATTAATTCCCACACATCATTAATTTCATTAATCCAACATGCTAATCAATATTCCTCTCTTATATGCAGCACAAGGCCTCCTACATATATTCAAGAGAGAGAATAACTGAATCTATCATGTTTTCAAGGTAAGAAGCTATATATGAAAACAAAACCTCAACCCCATGCTAAAGGGATAACTGCTTTCACAGACACAGATACAATAGACATGAAACTAATGCACAAGCTATAATAATAGCTTCATGCATATATATGTACAGAATCTCATGCTACCTATTGATCAGACTTAAATAAATGTATAAATTCAACAGAGAGAATAAATACTAACCACAACGTGCTTCCTACAGCTCTGCGTTGCCCAAAATTCACCTCCAGAATGCAAGCAAGAAAGAAAGCTTGAGAGGAAATAGAGAGAAAGAGAGAGAGGATTGGTCAGCACATCTATGGATGGTAAGTAGCTATGCTTATATAGGAATACATATAGATATCAATATCAATATCAATACATATATATATATATATAGGTGAAATGAACAGCCAAACAAGAAAAAGAAAAGTAGAAACAGTATTCTGCAATAATAAAATATAGGCTAATGTTGGTGATGAGAGGGATGGATACATACATACATACAAATATATTTATATAGATATAGATATAGATATTTTCACAGGATGAGCAGATGAAAACAGTAAATTAAAGAACTTGGGACTCAACCTACAAAAAATAAATAAATAAATAAATAAAATAAAATATAAAACATATAAGCAGGAGCAGCAGGAGGGAGTGAGAATGAGGTAGCTATATTAATATTATTATATGATGTATCCTCATCGTCCTCTCCTCTATTGCCATTTTGAGCAGTGAAAGTAACTAATTGTCAATTTTAAAGGTAGGCTTCGTTATTGATTGCGCGTGGGGCTGCGTTGTGTATATACATCCATATCCATCCTTGCCCTGTTTGGACGGCGTGGACGCCTTATTTTCACGCCGCCGCCACCGCCGCCGCCACGACCACCGATAAATGGCGCATTCTCAGGTATGCACTCGATTAGCTAGGGTTTCGTAATTGATTAAAGCAGATGTCGTCATTTCTCACTCACATTAATTCCCCAATTAACCTGATTGCAGACGTCGTTCGTCACCCCCATCGTCCTCGGAGTGGATGCTGCTGCGCTTCATCTTCTAGTGCTCCATAGCTATGGCGGTCCCTCTGGCCGGTGCGCACGGTAGCGGGGACTGTGAGAGATTGACACGTGGACGAACCACAACCTTCCGATTTGGTGAATTTCTAATCATGAGTCATCACAGTCTTTTTTTCTGAATGATTATGAGGTTTGGTACGGGTCGAATTCTCTGCAGGTCCGGGACTTGGAGTCCTCAGATGACATGGACCGTCGATGGGTGGGACACGACGTAATCGACGGTAGACCTGTTATTGCGTGTATTTAGAATTATTAAATCAATCTAATATATTAAATTTATTATATTGAAATGAAAGAATATGAATATTTAATTCAACCCCTTTTATTTTTTAATAAAAAGATGATGAAAACAAAAAAATGCCTTTAAGGATGTCTGATATATAATATTCAAAGCAGAATCAGACAATGTGGTGCCAAAAAAGACATGCAAGTTCTTCTATTGCATATTTCAATCCAAAAATAATAAAATTGAATCAGTAAAAGACAGATGTGCTACTAAAAATAAATAAAAAAAATACACAAAAACCAGTCATTTTTTTAAAAAAAGAAAATGTGCTTTTTGGGTGTAGAATACTTTTTCAGTACAAAAGTAGTAGCATTATTTGTTATCTCAAATATATAAATAAAAATAAACATTGAGTATGTTGCAAGAGAAGAGCACACTCTATAGATACACCTGCACATAGTTATAAATATATAATATATATAGATATATATATATATATATATATATAGAGAGAGAGAGAGAGAGAGAGAGAGAGAGAGAGAGAGAGGAATGAAATACTATTATATACTTCTAACCATATTAAAAATTTCCTATTAAAGAAAGAGTTCAAGAGACATCTTTTACAATTTATTTATACCTCGTACTTGAAAATAACATATTCTTAATTGTCAAGTTTGCTAGAAGAATAGCTTAATTGGGTAATTCTTGTACAAAAAAAAAATCATGCCAACTACTGAAAATAAAGATGAAATCCATCCAATAACAAAATAATTATTATGTTTATTATAAATATAAAGCTTCATGCGATAAGTAATTTATTGAAACTAAAAAGATTTATAATTCTAATTAATGTCGATGAAAATCCATCAAACATATAATTAGATTAAGTTCGTTCACTTGTATTAAATTCAGTGGCTCAAGTATAGTACGGTAAGTGATTATTTATCATCACATATACATTTTTATAGTCAATTTTTATTTTTGATTTTTCATAATATACAATCAAATTTATGTACTTTAAATTCCTTTGGTTACAGAGGACAAAGAAAACTTTGCGGCTACTTGCTTGTCACGGTTGATGAGACATAATAATAATAACTCATTTGCATGAAAAAATAAATTAAATTAGGGTCATTATTATTATTATTATTATTATTATTATTATTATTATTATTATTATTATTAGGACTGAGAGAGGGACAAAAAAAATGTGGTGGTAATAATGGAATTATGGTCCATTAAGTGATGCAGATATGTTTATCAGTATCACAATTATTACAGAGTAATTCAAAATGGGACCAATTATTATTATTATTATTATAAATATTATTATTATTATTATTTTCATTTTTGTTTGTTGATTAATGTTAATAATGAAATACTAATTGACAAAGTGTCACTACACAAAGTGGGTTGTTACGTTCCAATGGCATTCCATTCTTCTTCAAATTATTATTATTATTATATTCAATTTAACAATTATTTTCATTGCGAGTTTGGTCGGAAAGTTACCTTTAATTTACCTCCCAATTAAATCATTATCTTATTTATTTTTGGACAAAATGTCACATCGATCCATCTATCTTCATTTAATTCAATTATCAAATATCTACATTGCCACGGAACATACTATTATTATTATGATTATTAGTTGCATATGCATATTGAACTTATAATGTGCGATGGTACCAATTTAATTGATTTAAAGAATTTAATTTGTGTGACATGACCAATATAATAATAATAATTATGACATAAAAACAATGAATGTTTACAATCTGAGGAAATAATTCCAAATCTTATGTGATCTTCCTTTTCCTCATTCTCTATGATTAACAAATAAATAAATGTATGGTTTTTCATCTGTGAACTGAAAAGGACAGTTTATACAAAACAATGCTAACCCGCAATTATGACCCATTCTAATTGCAATTAAAAATTACTAATTACCAACCCAAAAAGAAACTTTCTAGACTCTAGTCTACTTTGAATGTTTAATGCTATATATATATATATATATAATTTATGTAATAAAAAGTAATTAATGCCAAGTAGTTAGTGTGGTTATTACGTACATTTTAGTGGACCTCAATTTATTACATCATAACCACTTTCAGATAAAATCAAAAACCCTAATTAATATTAGTAATCTCTCATTGAGGTTAAAAAGTGTTTGTCTAAAGATGGTTAATAACTCTTTTTTGGTACGGTTGGGAGTGCAAACTCAAGTTCTGAAGAAAATTACATATTTTATAAGTCTAGGTGAACTCCACTAGTACGAGATATTTTTGAAGAATATTCAAAAACAAATTCGTGTTTCGTATAAAATATTGTGTTTCTTATTATATTTTGGAATTCGCAATTGAAAAATAATATTGGTGAACGGAGCCGTTTAAGTTTAGTCCAAGAAGCGGGATTTGAAAAAATTTAAGGATTATAAAAAGTTAATATTTAATACGATATTTTGTAAGAAAAAAATATATTTGACGTGATAGTTTTTAAAAAATACAGTAGATATACAATATCAAAAGTTTCAAAACTATCTATGTAAACGGAGCATCGATTTTTTTGAATGGATCTTTTTCTTCTTCGATTCCATTTCCGAATGACTTTGGAATTAGTTCATTTATGGAATCATTTTCTTTCCAGCTGTTCAATTTTCTGATTGTGATTTTGCTTCTGCCAATTTAGGGTTTGTTTGTTTATAACTTAATAATATAATGGGAGCAAAACAAAAACACGCACACACACGTGTGTATGTGTGTGTGGGACCTTTAATTTGTGTATTGTTGAGCAATATATACATATATATATATATATGTATGTATGTATCTTTGGTCCCTTCCTGTTCTCAAAGGCTATATATATATACTCTCTTTAGTTCTCTAACATACAGTGACAACCTTAATTAATAGGAGTAATTATATACCAAAATAAGACAGGAACGATATGTAATCTTAATTAATTTGTTTCAAGTAACGTAACATAGGAAAAATAAACACAAAACATATTTAAGAAGCATTGAATAAATTTTGTTGGTAAATTAAATTATTTATTATTAATCTGAACATATAACCATGTATTCATTGAATATTTTCAAATGGGAGCTCTGTGGGGTGCATGGTTAAAGTTTCATCTGAAAAATATATTCTTGAAACATAATTTAATTAGGGTTTAATCTTAATTAATTAATCTTATATCATATCTCTCAAGTTTATCTCATAAATAAAATCCACTATAACTAATTAATTTATAAGACTTGGCTTTATTTGCAACCCCCACTCTCTCTCTCTCTCTCTCTCTCTCTCTCTCTCTCTATATATATATATATATATATATATATAGCTAGAGAATGTATATATTACTTTAGGCAAGAAGTAACAGTATAAACGAAGCAATTGAGGATGATATTTTTGGGCGGTTTGTGTGGGACTAACGAAGTTGAAATATTTTCAAACCTTTCATCAAATGTCACCTATACATACATACATATTTTATATATATGTGTGTGTCCATGTATGAAGCACTGAATAATATATATATGTATATTGGGGAGGTGGGGTGGGGTGGGGTGGGGTTGGGTTTTAACTAAACTTGAAAATGACTTAACTGAAGCTTCTAGAGAGAGTGAGAGTAGCAAAACTTTAACCTAGACTGATAATGACACTAAACCCACCCCTAACATAATACTATTACATCAATCTATTTTTTTTATTTACTTTTTTTTTACAATTCATAGTGTATATATATATAATATATCACAATAGCCTCTGCTCAGAATTAGACACATATGCATAGGTTGATCATTGCTACATCAATTACAAATTCATCTTCTGTTAATTAATTACACACACATATATAAACCAAAATTAAATTTAATCAAAATCAACTGGTTCCCATGTTTTAGTGTGCCCTCCAATCCCAGCATATGAAATGTAATCCACTCTTTGCATATTATATTTATATATCTGAGTTCTTGATGCTTTTATAAATTTATTTAATTTGGTTTCTTTTAATTGCTATTGGTCGTTACTTGGATTGTAAGTGGGACAATACAGGCCATGATTGTCACATATATATATATATATATTAATTGAAAGAGCCGAAATGTGATTGCTTTACTTCATATATATAAATCCACTAATCAACTTGCCAATGTTTTTTTTTTCCCAAATCAAGATCCTACAAAACATTACAAATGATATGGCGCAATATGAGATCAAATAATAAAACATTAGGTTCCGCCGGAGTTTAACCGAAAAATAACAGCGCAGATTCTCACGATATCGAAAAAATAATGAAAAGAACAAATAATGTAAATAATTTATGTAGATTCAAAGCTCTCATTGCTACATGTTAAATGGAGACATTATATATCACTGTAACGCTGATTATATTATATTCGATTCGATTAAATTCAATTTGAAACAAGTGTTAGTATGACGGGAAAATGGGAACACCATATGGTTGCTAAACACCGCGAAGCGAATCCCTGTTCAAAGGAAGTTTCTTTGGAAAGATCCGGAAGAAAACCGGGAAGTCAGGCCCTGAGCCATGTTATCCGTATCAAGTTTGACGCTCTGTCTACCAGCGGACAAGTCCTTCTCGCGGTCCCAAGGCTTCCATGGATGGTTTCCTTCCCATTCCTCTTTCGCTGCTGCCGGTTCCTGCTTGGATTTTTTCTTCCGGCTACTCTTGGACAGCTCCTGATGCTTTTCGACCAATGTTTTGGAGCGTTTGGCTTTGTTGTACTGATCCACCAGCTCGGCCTCACGGGCTGTGTTTTTCTTTTCTTGTTCGTTTGAAGCGAGTGCTGTAGCCTCGTTGTAAGCTTCCAAGTAACTGCGGTCGACATTTCACAATAAGACCAAAAAAATAAATAACACCTAGATATTACAAAATTTACAACAGAGAAGACATTACTTCATTTTGGCCTTTTGAGCTCTTTCGGAAGGTGTGTCTGTCCAGGCGCTTGTATCGCCTCGTCCTGCTTTAGAAGTTTTACTAAAACTTGTCGTCGAATGCATGCTCATGCCAGGCTATAGAAGAGGAATCAGTATCAGGAGTCATAGCAAAAGTTAAAAAAATAAATCAAGAGTGTGTTTACTTAAGTATTTTATTTCTACACAATTCCCAAATGATTTTACCCAAAACATAGAATATATACATATAAGCCAATAAAAACTCTTAACAGATAAAAACTGGTCGTTGTTGATATGGATGCTAGAGGGATTCTTATATGAAATGATGAAACTAAAGAACCGAAAAAAGATATGACAGATGGGACAAATACTTTTCTTTCCGGTGGTAATGTTGTCATCCATTCATCTCTCTTTGGTGCAGCTTTCGCGTCCAACTCCGCCAGGAGGATATCATCGCCTTCCATGGATATACCTGCCAGTGAACAATAGCATATTTATAATTTCTATCAAGAACTCTCTGATTCACATTTTATTTTTGTTAGCTTTCCCAATCGATTCAGTGGAATTTGGCTTATACAGCATGGAGAGATGCCCCGTAAAGCTGAAGGTCAAACGCGCTGGTTGAGAGAGAAGGGGCAAGAGAGAGCAACAAAACATAATACTCATATGGAGCCATGATCAGATCATAACTGACACGTATCAACCAGAATAAACTACAGAGTCCTCCAAAAGCAGTAGAAATTCATGGTCGACATTCTATATGATAAAAAGGTAGGCGTACATATGCAAGCTAGATAAATTAAGACTGAAAAGGGACAAAAACTTAATATGTATACATGATTTGCTCGGACGATCAAAAGCCTAACTTCAGGATATACCTGTCCTGGCATGGCTGTTGTCTAATTTTTATCTTTTTAAAACTAAACAAAGGGATGATATTTATCTTAGCATAATGTTTTTACTATGCTCCAAAATACATGGAAGAATATGGCAGAAAAAAGCAGATTTAGTCAAACCTTGAAGGCGACGCCATTGAGCAGCCTCCCGCATTGCTTTCAGCTCTACCTGCATATATTAAACATGAGACATGAACAAAATCTTCATGGAGTCCAATAATAACTGTATTGAGGGAGACACTGGTACCTGAAATGCTTCTTGTTCTTCTTTGAGCTTTATCTTATCATCCAGAGCTTTTTTCTACCGAAAGAAGAAAGATTAAGATATGGAACAAAGTCCTAAATTTCATAAAAGATCTGAGTTGTACCAGGCTACTATTAACTTAAGATAAACAGGAATAACACTCACCTTATCGGGATCCTGTAAATCCTTAAATGCTTTGTTCAATTTAACAAATGCTTGGTGAGCCTGAGGGTGCGAGCATTTGTCTGGATGAACCATCAACGAGAGCTTCCAATACCTGTTGGATCAAATGTTCAGTTTTGTATGCACACACCAAAAAAGCAGGAAGAGACGAGGAGAAGCAAGATAAGACCAAAGAGAATATTAATGCGGATTATTCGAACGAGAAACCCTGAGTACGAGCAAAAAGCTGAGAAATCCTAACTTCCACCATCACTCCATTTGTATACCTTTTTTTCATGTTTTCAACCGACATTTTGTTGTTAACCCCAAGAATATCATATGGACTACCTTCCTCAGCCCCCATTATTCTTGTAATCTGAAAATATAGCAGCAAAATGAGGAACAATGCAATAACAATTAATCATTTAATATATTAGAAGTTTTTGAGAAACTGCTGTGCCATAGATTATCAACTATAAAAAACAAATACAATCGAGAGAACCTCCTCAAAGCGCTCTGCTTCATTGGAAGACTCGGCTTCTTTTACCACAGCAGGTGGTGGCGGTCCTATGAACAATTCATCATCACCATCTACCTCAGCTTCTCTGTAAACAATTTTCAGTTCAATAGATGAATTATAAATAGGATGTACTTATATTTTATCATCCGACTTGGTAAGGGTACAAGAAGTATAAACTAAATTAAAATACTACTTGAGCTTTTAGTAAAAATAAAAGACAAATAAAAAACACAGTTAGGTATACCTTAATTCAGCTTCTGCTTCTGTTAGTTTGGCTGCTGCTGCGAGTAACTCAGCAGATGGCATTTCAGGACCGATGACTCTGCCATAGATGCACAACAAACAAGACAACAATGAAACAAGAAAAGAAAGAAAAGATGAACAAACAATAATTGAACCCATGCAATCTTATATTGATAATTGTTTCTCATTATCATAACAAACAAAAAATTATTTGAGCTGTTTCCATCACTTATTTTCCATAAACCATTGACCATGTATTTATTCATCTTGATGCAACCAAATTATGGTTGAACATCAGATGAGTTCTAGTACTAAATGGATAGAATTAGCTACCTTCTTCTCGGGCCCAAAGAATCTTCCTTCTTATCACCCAAATTTTCAGCCTCATGTCCGAGTTCTGAATCGGGAGGCTTTGACTGTTCATCTTTCTGTGCCTCTAGATTATCAAGCTCCTTTACAGGTACAGCATGAGAGCGGATAATTGGACCAACAACATCCAGTGTAGGACTCACTTCATTCGGCCGTAGGAATACATTTTCACCATTTTCTTTGAGGTTCAACCCCATGAACAGCCTTCGAAGATGCTTCACCAACGACCTTTCAGATAGCCCCCTTATATCAACAGCTTGTCCATCGTCAATCATTCGCAAAAGCTAAATAAACCACCACTTACAATAAGCATATTATCACAGGAAACTTCAACACACATATCATCATATTATTCCCCAAAAGTTGGATATTGATGAATCAAAATCAATGACTTAAACCTAAAACTTGGTACAGAAATCATCATAAATCAATACTCCACAATCATTATAATCACCATGGCATAGAGCAGATTTATAAGCTTTCAATATTTCAAATCATCAGATTTTAACCAAATGTAAAAGTTCAAGCTCACATATCATACAACCTAAAGAATTTGTCACACTGAATTCAAAGAGATGGAAGTTCTTATACCTCAAAATGTAGCCATCAATCAACTGTGCATTTGAAGCCAAAAGCAATATCAACAAAGTGAGAAATTGGCTCGAAGTTTACCTGCTCTAAATCCCCTGCAACTGCAGGAAACTCCTGCAGTATGTACTTGACGACATCCTCGGGATTCTCCGGCGGGGAATCCGACCCGGACCCGCTCTCTTCCTCGGACTCGTCGTACTTCTTCTTCCTCCTTTCCCTCCGTTTATGCTTCTCTTTATCCCTTCTACTGTGTCGCTTCTTCCTCTTACTCTTCTCGCTATCCCTCCGAGATTTCTTACTCGTCCTCCTCTCCTCCCTCTCGCGCCGCCGCTTGCGGCGTTTCGACGACGACTCAAGCTCGTCGTCCGATGAAGTCGTCTCGGCGGAGGAGTACGCCGAGGTCGAATCTTCCGGAGAGGCCTTCCGATCCCGTGATTTCCTCGAACTTCCTCCCATCGATACGAATCTCAATTCGAAACTCCGGCCAAGGTCGATCGATAGTTTGGATTTTCTACCACCGCTTCTCCGGGGATTCCCATCTTCTGGATCAACCCGATCCAATTCCAATATGGATCGGGTTATAGCATCCACCGCCATTGGGCCCAATTAAAAAGCCCAATTTCACCAGACCCGGAGCCAAACCCGGCCCGGTTCCCAGATGCCATTGTTCTTCCATCACCAGCTCCGGTTCTGGAGAAATGGGGACCAATGAATTCCTTTATTCTGCTCCTCCATGCTTTTTTTTACTAAGCAGAAGAATCCTTTCCAATCCATACAACAATCCAGGCTGAAAAGCGACAGAAAGCTTGGAGCATTCCTTCCCCATGGCCATGGCAGCATAAAGTGTGTGAGCTTAGCTTCATTGCAGTTGCAGACTCCATTTTTCTCTGCACTTACAGCTCCCAACAGCACTGATATCTGTGTCTATAAATAGCTTCTCTCTTCCAACGTCCAAACCCAAGTCCAAAACTTCTTGCATTTCCCATAATTAATCATGATCAAGCTCTTATCAGTTTTGCTGGTCGCCCTTTTACTGCTACAGGTAATCGTTTCAGCGATCGCCCTTAAAAAAGATCAGTTTAAGTTAATTTCTTCAACATTTCCTGCAGGATTCCGACCAGGCCGAACCTTCTCATGATTCGTCTATGGTCGAGAAATTCTCGTCCGATGATCCAATTCCATACCCATCCACTTTTGTCGTAGGAGGGGACGAAGGGAGTCTTGCTAAAAAACCACACTTTAAACGAATCAGTAATGGTTTCCCAATCCCTCAGTTTGCATATATCTATTGCTGTTAAAAACTTATATCCAGTCTCTTTAATTGATCAGCCATCAATTTTTATCTATTACTATCATATAATAAAAATATTTATATTTGAACAAGATTGATAAATATTTTATATTTAACTAAAATTAATCTTTTTTCTACTTTTATACAATAATGAATTAAAGTAAACATAAAAGTATTTTATTATAGAATTATATAATTTATTAAAATAATACTATATATATATTATAATACATGAAGTAAATGTTTTCTTAGTTAACTTAACTAAGATGTATGGATTCAGATTGTGGTCGTGAATGTTCGAGAAGATGCGGCAAGTCGTCGAGGAAAAACTTATGTCACCGGTCATGCAATAGTTGTTGCATTCGATGTCGGTGTGTGCCTCCTGGAACTTTCGGCAATAAACATATGTGTCCCTGCTATGCTCGCTTAAGAACTCGTCACAATAAATTTAAATGTCCTTGACAATTTATCTACCCGACCCGACCAGAGATTTCGACACAAATCTATATACATAATAATGTCAGACCATATTGTCGGGACTTGGAGGAGATCTAAAATTGTTTTCAAGTGTCAAAGAACATATGTTTACATTTAGCTGCATCAAATAAAAATGTATTGATAGTTCAAAATTACAAATAATAAAATAGAATTACATTGAAATTCTATATGAAGTTTGATTGTAAGAATGTTTCATTTGATTCTCTTGTACGATGAATGACATAATTTATATCCAACTTATCTTGTCATGCACATCACACGTAGGTATACAACAATAATAAATTAATAAAATGGATCTACATAAATAAAATTGAATTACTAAATAATTTAAATTAATTATGTTTTGAAAAATATCTAGTTAAATATTTTTCAAATGACAAATAACACAAATTTATAAAAATAAATATAGTTGATATCTTATTCTTAGCAATTTTCTATTATAGGATGATTTTTGTTTTTCTTTTCTACTATATTTAGTATCGTTGCAGAGTGACAATTGCAGATGCAAATAAAAAATAGTCAACGAATAAGTCAAACTTGGGGAATTTTTCTGGTAATTATTTTCCCAAATTTACATATAATCACATTATTGCTAAACGTCAAATTTGTATATAAAGAATAAATTGTAATTAAGACGAACTGCCGCTACCCCTCTTTGGCTTTCACGCTAGCGCTCGCAGATTCTCTTGGCGGAAATCTCCGGCGAGTGTACTTGAATAACTCCGGCGGTGCGTCGGAATCCTACATATCTCATTGAGCTCCGCTCCGATAAGTGATTTGGTTCCGAGTTTGAAACATTGACGGAATCCGATATACTGTGGGCGCAATTGTGTGTATCTGTATACCATAATGCCCGTATGCCTCTGTACAGGCAGTCAGGCGGCGGAAATGCGGTGCGAATCGGTGTTCCTTCGGATCACGCGTCGCGCGGTGGTTCGAAAAACTTCCACCACAGGCGGTCGAAGGGGTCGCCGGCTTATAAGATCTCGCTTGGATTCTTCGTTTCGACACTGGCTGCTATTTTACTGATCTCTGCGTTTTTCTATTTCTCGCTGCAAGGTGGGGGAAAGTCAATATCTGTATTGATTGAGCCCTTTGAGGGTTTTTTGATAGAGCTTGTGTTTTTCTTTTTCTTAATTATTATGTTGCTTCTTAGTAGAAAATTTGACAATTCATTGATTATTTTAGTTAAAGACTGTGACTAGACTGCAGAAAAATTCAATGTGCGGTTTAATTTTCCAATTAAGATAATATTGTTCAAATAAAGTTACATCCTTTAGGTTTGAAAATCTTGATTTGATGCTTGTGGTTACTAATAGTGCAGAACTGTTTATATAGGATGTGGTTTGGGGGACCTAATTTTTTGGCTGATCTAGATATCTAGACTCATTTGACACTGTGGAGTCTATTATCTTTTGAAATAATTTGTTTCCAGAAATGAACATCATGTCATATTTGAGATAATATTATAGGATCTAATTCCACTTTTTCAAGACCATACTATTGAGAAGGCTGTTAATCAGAGTGTGGTCAGTCTCAACTTTTCAGATTGTGTACCTGCATTAGTGAACTGAGCTGTGTGGCTTTGTAGTTAAAATTAATTTAAATTTAAAGGAAACATTTTAATTCCGGTAGAACTGCTCCATTTCTGTTTCTCAAGTCCTAAATCTTATGTGATTCAGTAGCCTGCATGTGTTTGATATTGTAAGTCTACTGATTCTTTGTGATAGGTGGGGAGGTAAATAGATTCCAAGTTCAAGAGGATGGCACAGTCAATGATATGGATTTTCTCAAGGATGTGACACGAATTCAACAATCCAATGAGCTCAAATTTGGCCGTGGATCAGTGTCCCATGGTGGGGATTCACGGTACTGGGAAAAAGATGATAGAAGGAGAGATGAAGGGTATAGCGAGGAAGAACTAGAGAAAACCCATGTTGGTTCTGTGGATAAGTTTGATAATCTAGGGAAAGACACGGAGAAAAAATCTTATTCTACTCAATCTCGTAATTTCTTGGATCATCGAGGACATGGCTTATACAACGAAGCTGGACGAAATGAATTGAAAATGTATGAAGCTGAATATGAGGCGTCTTTACAAGGGTCTGGAAATACGAAAAATGTTAGCAATCAAAACCAGGAATCTAGCAGTGCCAACGGGAGAGAGCATAGGATACTGGATGATTTTGATGAATATGATGATGGCATGTACTTGCAGGATGATCAAATAGAAGAAGATGATGATGTTTGGCGCAATGACAAGGATCGGTCTGATGCTACTAAATCCCATGCTGTAGATTCTGGGGAGACTCTTCATGTGCATCATGCTAGAGATAAGAAACAAAATGTCAATGAGGAGGCTGATAAAGAAACAAGTGGTTTGCATGGCAAGGAATCTTTGTCAGACACACATCAAACAGAAATTGATCAAAATTCTGGGCATGCTAGTTCAATTGAAAGTCTATCCAATCGACGGATGAATCCCAAAAAACGATCTGTTTCAAAAAAGAAGCCTAAACGCAGAAAAAGTTCTGGTGATTTTCTCCTCTGCCCAAGTTCATTATCTGTCTCACTATTTGCATTACTAAAATGATTTGGATTGTTTTATTTTTGCATAAATCAAACAATGATTTATTCTCCTATATAGCATGAGGATGGATATCTAGAATTCATATTGGTATGTGGACATGGAGTATTTTCATGAAGTCTTAACATTACCTTGGTGAAAAGATTTACATGTTTATTAGTAACTACTGTCACGTAGCTTTATCTGTACCTCACGTTGCAGCTGGTTCCTTCAATCATGCACCTCCACTGAAATACATCACTACAAGCAACAATCCAATTTTGTAATGAGATCAGTTCAATCCAGTTAATAGTATATATGGTCCAGACTCTCTGCTCAATTTAATAGACATGTTTTTGCATATTGTTTACTCTCAACTAAAAGTATGACCAAAAGAAATTCCTTAGAGTTCTTGATGAAAATATTGTTCAAGTACCTTTTAATCCTTCCTGTTATTTGCGTGGATTAGATGCTGAGAGTTCCAAATTTCAGGTTCTTGTGAGATGAAAGTTTTGAATTCAACAGAGCTATTGGTGGAACCCTTGGAGAGTCGAAAGTTTGCAAGATTTTCCTTACAGTTTACGGAAACAGAAGAAGCACCCAATGGAGATGAATATTGGGAACCTAGATTTGCAGGACATCAGAGTCTCATAGAAAGGGAAGAATCTTTCGTTGCTCGTGATCAAAAAATTAATTGTGGCTTTGTGAAAGGCCCTAAAGGGTCACCCAGCACAGGGTTTGACTTAGCTGAAGATGATGCAAAGTACATTAGCAGTTGCCACATTGCTGTTGCTTCGTGCATTTTTGGTAATTCTGATCGTTTGCGATCACCATTTGGCAAAACGGTATGATTTTTTGCAGGCAGTTTACACTCTGGTCCTTACTGCAGATAGTTCATTTCAACCATGTCAGAATAGCTTTTATGAGCTAGGGTTGGGATCTGTGGACAATACAATATTATTTCGTAACTATTTATGCTTGATATCATCCAATGACCTGAGATCTGTGTTTTTACCTTTTTTTTTTCTTTTACACTTATATCAGTTAGAATGTCAATTGTCAAAACGTCTGCGGTATGCTCACCTTGTAGCGGTGCTTGATTTACTGTAAAGCTTCTGCCAAAGTTTAGTATGCATCATTTTCGGATACTTCTGATCCAACTACTTTTAAACCCAGGTCTCTCGCCTATCAAGGAAAAATGTATGCTTTGTCATGTTTGTGGATGATATAACTTTGCGAACTCTTTCATCGGAAGGCCAAATGCCTGATGTGATGGGTTATGTTGGATTATGGAAGCTTGTGGTAGTGAAAAATCTTCCATATAGTGACATGCGGAGAGTTGGGAAGATACCAAAATTTTTGGCTCACCGACTTTTCCCTAAAGCCAGGTAAAAATTGTGGAATAGTATTTGTTTTATTTTTTTGTAATGTGATTTGTTCTGCAGCTATTTTCTATAATCCATTTTGTAATTGCTGTGAAGTCAACATAGTGGTTAATTTGCGATGCTGTTCTGAGATTGATTTGGATTTCTATTATGTGCAATTATAAACCTGCTAAGTGGTGAATTATTTGTTGCCTATTATTTGTATGATTTCTGGAGCTATACGGTAACCTTACTCCATTCCAAAGCCATTGTATAGTTTCTACTCATTGGAAAAGATCTCAAGTCTATAATGGACCTTGCATGACAGGTGTTGTTCTACACTGAAGATCAGTTTCATTGTTATTAGTCTTGTTTATGCAGAAATTTAGACAACTTCTTATATCAAATGAGACTATCATAGTTTCCCTTTATATGAATTTACTTACACTATGGTGAAAGATTGTTCTATATTTACCACGAGTTTGTAAGCTGCTCAATTAGAAATTGATAACATTAACGATCACTTTCGTGCTACCATTTTTCTGGTGGGATTGGAGTGATAGTATTAAGTTTTGTTATGAAATAATTATGTAATTGCATGGATGTGTAGTGATAAATTACAGAAATTTGGATGTACTGCAGAGTGATTTTCTTAAATCGTCTTTCAGAATAAGAGGGTTGGCAAATTTTTATTCCTTTCTTCCTACCGTTCAATTTAAAGTCAACTTTCATGTGTTTTGTTCTCACATACTCAAGATTAATGTTTCCCATAGTTTGCTTATCTTACTTAGTTAGAATTGTGTGTTCTATTTCAATGTACTTCAGGTACTCAATTTGGTTAGACAGCAAGCTTCGCCTGCAGCTTGATCCAATGCTTATCCTGGAGTATTTCCTATGGAGAAAAGAATATGAATATGCTATTTCTAATCACTATGCTCGTCATTGTTTGTGGGAAGAGGTTGCCCAGAATAAGAAGCTCAATAAGTATAACCATAGTGTCATAGATGAACAATTTGCATTCTATGAAGCAGATGGGATGAAAAGATACAATGCATCAGACCCTGACCAGCTTCTACCCAGCAGTAAACTTTTCTCCCTTTCAAACTTCAATTATTTGGTTTATCATGGTATCATTAGCCAACATACAATGCTCTTTTGTTTTGACAGATGTACCTGAAGGCTCTTTCATTGTCAGGGCTCATACACCCATGTCAAATTTGTTTTCTTGCCTTTGGTTTAATGAGGTTGAACGGTTTACTCCTCGTGACCAGCTAAGTTTCGCCTATACGTATTACAAGCTGAGAAGGAAAAATCCCGAAAAAACCTTTAGACTCAATATGTTCAAGGTGCACTTTTTATGATTTAATGAATAAGAACGACCTTTGAAGTTTGTATAAATTAGTTGTTCTGGTTCATTTTTAGTTGCTGAAACCCAATTTATTTGCCTGTCAGGATTGTGAGAGGCGCAAGATGGCTAAACTGTTCCACCACAGGTCTGAGGAGAAGCGGACAGACCTGGGGCATGAGACCGAGTAATCTCATTGTATGTAGTAGTTTTCTGGATGAAATGGTTATTCTTTTCCGTCATACACGTTTGAGTGGTACGTTTGCTAGCTTTTCCGAAGAATTGCAAGCACATGCCTCAGTTGGCATGGTGTAGCCATGCAAGGTCAGTTTCTCTGACTCCTCGAAATCCTTGATTGGTGCAAAAAAGACATGGGCGCTGGTTTCTAGAAGGTTGATTCCATTTATTATTTCATTTCATGCATTAAACGATCAATGTCAATGTCAAATTAATGCAACTGGTGTCGGCGTGGCAGTATTCATTTGATGTTGATCACCTGCTGCTGTTGTTGCTACACAGTAATACATCATTGTCATTCTTTAGTTGATAAAAGTTTTGGACTATTCATATGTTTTATATAGTCTTTCTCCGTTGCTGCCTATGTAATATATGACATGATTGTTTTTTCATGTGGTTGAGTTCAATCGGTTGGAAGATTTGATCATAAGTATATTTATTCATGCCATTAGCTATAGACCTTTTTGCAATCATTTTTTTGGTATGTTATCTTTGGGCTTTTTATATAAGATTATCAATCAGCCGTGGCACTCTGATTAGGTTACTCATTGGAGGTGACAATTCATCGATCAACCTATTGATGTTGATAGCTCAGGCATACCCAACAGTTCGATAGGATACTAATCTGTTTTCAGGTCAAATATGTGATTTTATAATTATTTGAGTGTATATGTTTTGGAATTAGACTAAGTTGAGCTTTACGCCTCGCCTTTAGCTGATGAAACTCATCAGACTTGTCGAATTTGAACTCAGGCTTTCAAAATTTATGTGGAGTTGGGATTGTTTTTGCTTTCAAATTATATGTCAACTTTGTTTGTCATGATATGATAGCTTGTCTGATTAATCAAATGATGATAAAACTAACTATATATATACTTAATCTTTCTCCTTGTTGATAAAATATAAAGAAAAAGACTTGTAGTAGTGATATACCAACCACTGCAATAACTTCCAATAAATGCTAATTTGCAGAGATGAAACTCCCTCGTCAGTGCATTACAGCTTGAATAAATTGCATTTAATTGATAGGTCATTGGATAACATAAGTAAGCTGAGTGCATAAAAGACAAATCTAACCAAGCCCATGAAAAGAACATTCAACCAAACTCAATGAAACTTTGAAAATGTCTTTTACCATAATTTATACACAAAGCAATTAGAATGAATGAATGAAGATTCAGTATGTCATCATATACTATTGACCTTATGGAAATACATCTCTTTGCCTCATCATGTACATTGCATTTCTTGCTTTCTGTTTTAGTGAATCCCTCTCACTGATGATAATACAGAGGGAGAGAGAAGATAAGATTACATAATTAAACAAAAAGGAGTGTGTATCTCCATGACCATAAAAAATAAAACCAAACAAACCATATGAACATTGATCTGTGAAAATTCTGAAAACCAACCAAAACCTCAAATTCATAAAGTATATATAATGTGTGTATTTTTGTTGTGATGTACAAAGTTACCATGTGTGCTTGTTGATTGTCCTGTGAGAACTATGCATTAGGAATGCCTTCTTCAAGATTTTGATGATCACCAAAATTCTTAGTTTCTTCCCAGAAAGCATCTGCCCATTTGTTTTAGACAGCTTCAATGCTCGAACACAGCTGATTCGAGCATCCCTACCAGGCGATGCAACATCTATATTGCCCACACCTCTTTTCCCAGAGAATTCATCATTCAAATCCTCCCACAACATGTCCATTTTCTCTTCCTCATCTTCTTCCTCAGACAAGCCCTTCAAAGTTCTGCTGTTACTACTGCCGGCTTTGAAATCCTGAGCTGCATACAAACCAAATCTACCTTCATCTTCTACTTCTTTGCCCTTAAGCTTTTCTGGCTTTTCACCAGAAGGCAAGCACCTCCAGAGAGGTGGTGACTCTATGAAACAAGGTGGCGAGTCGGTTGCTGCTGCAGGGAAGGTGAAGTCTTCCTCTGCAGTAGTAGCCATGGGGTTGCTTTCCTTGCCTTGGTAATAAAGAGGTGGGAATGGCATGGCAGTGGTTGGGGTGGAAGGTATGGTGGTTGTATATCTGTGAAGGTTTAGTTCAACAACAACTACTAGTGTCACCATGACTTGTTTATATAACTTGTCTGGGATTTAGGGACACTATTGGACCCCACCAATCTCCCAATTTCATTAAGACATTGCTGCTAATGTAGTAGAAATAGAATTCATTTGGTCTTAAACTAGCCCCCTCCAAAAACACCCTCCATCATTTTCTCAAGTTTTTGTTGCCCTTCCTGAGCTTCTTTATAGGTTTCCATGTATCACAGTGCTATCTAAAATGGCTCTCAATGGAAGAAATGAAGATGGAAAGACACAGCTGAACTTGGTCAGGAAAAATGATGTCCTTAAATTGAACATTAGACTTAAATTGAACATTAGACATAAAGACAGCCTCATCAAAGCGTAATAATCTCAAAAACCCGAACAATATACTTGTGAACAATACAAAGGTTTCAAAACTAGGAAACCACTGAGGGTTGTCTATGAAGCAATCTAAGCTTTGGGAAAACTAAAGGATTTGTCACCATGCAAGCACATACGGCGCGCCGAGTTTATTTTACTGCTCTGATGAGTCTTGGCTGTTGATGGCGAACTCCCGTGTATACAATTTTTTAGGCCTTTCGAAGGTTTGTAACATGGTGATCAACAAGACGATAATTTGAAAGCATAAACTTCCCATGATGAGGAAGATTGTTTTAAAGAGTCAGATCTTTAGGATCCTCTATTATCTTGGCCAAGGTTTGCAAGAAAGCTGCCAGATCAGCGCCGTAAATCACTCGGTGATCTGCGGTGACATTTACCTGAAAATGTTGTCCGAATTGTAAGCAAATTAGAATGACAAGATGTAATAAAAGAACATAAAAGTTAGAACTCTTAAGTTATACAAGTTTAGGTGAATAAGTATAATCGATTCACCTGCATCTGTGTTTTCAAGCCAATTCGTCCATCCTTGGTGCCGACAAGAGTAGGTTGAGATGCTCCAACAGCCATTATCGCCCCCTACAATCGATTACATTTTAGTTGCAAAAACTACTCATTCTTGGGCAGGACTACCTTCAAAACAAATTAAAAGATTCTTACAGTCCCTGGTGGCAATATTGCATCAAATCGGTCCACACCAAACATTCCAAGGTTGGATAGAGTAAAAGTGCCTGAAAACATTAACATTGTAAGGTGTGGTTGGGATGCAATGGAGCTGAACTAACTCGCGTAAGCTGAAAGCAACAGCAAGAAACGAATCAACAAAGCTACCTGTAGTGTATTCTTGTGGTTGGAGCTGTTTTGCTCGTGCCTTATCAACAAGCTCTTTCCATTTTCTTGATAACGAATATAAGTCAATCTAAAACAAATGAAGAAGAATTACAATGCATGAGGCCATTTGAGAAGGATGATAAAATTCATAAGCTCATACAAGTTTAATTTAGAAATTGCAAAGTCACCTTGTCAGCATCTTGAAGAACTGGAGTGATCAGACCACCATCAATGGCTACTGCCACGGCAATGTTGATATGAGAATTGTATGTAAAGCTCTTACCATCTCTGCAACTAGAGTTTACTACAGGATGCTGAACTAATGCAAGTGCTGTTGCCTTGGCAAGAAGTGCCGTCATCGTAACTCCCTTAGACTTGATCTGAAAATCATTCACAAAATACAACTTACTAAACAATCCCGCGAGGAAAAAATAGGAAAAGAACCATTTTCTAGATGCAAACTAATTGATACAAAAGCCATTTTCCAATTTCCCTGTATTCCAAGGAAGCCATAGAATCTAAAACAGTGCATGTTTCTCCAGAAAACATATGTAGATACTATACATTTCTTCGTAAAGTACTTTGTTAGTCTTTTATCATCGTAAGTTCCAAATGGACAGTAAGTAACAAAGCAACTAGCAATGAATATTTACGAACACACAAATCAAGATTGGAGATTATGAATCTTTGCATGACTTTATAACAAATAATCTACCTTGAGCCCTGATTGCTATTCTAACCACATAATTCAAGTCGGCACAAGTCGAAAATGTAATGAAATCATCGACAAGGCAGTATAAACCATTACCTTCTTGTACAGAGCATCTAAAGCGTCTGTAGTAATGGTGTAGCCCACTCTGAATGTTGGCACTGCCAAACTCTCCACCATGTTCCTGCTCACAGCGTTCTGCATTGTAGTGAATGGCACCACCGAGCCTAGCTCGACGCCACTAGGCGTCACAATATCTCTGAGAGCTATTTCCGCGGCAGTAGTAGCACCGCCGCCAGATGCTGCTGCAGCAGCCATAGCAGCAGCCTCAACGTCCTTAGCCACCACCCGACCGTTCGGACCACTCCCAACTATCCCCCTCAAATCCACACCCAAATCCTTCGCCAGTTTCTTGGCATACGGCGAAGCCACCACTCTCTTGCCGCCGTCCGACGCCGGGTGCACGGCGGATCCCAATGCAGGTCCGGCGGGCAGGCTAGTTTTCGCTGATGGAGTAGCGGCGGCGATGGGGGCGGGGGCGGGGCTCGGCATTTCTTCGAGCTCTGTCGGGGCATTATTTTCTTCTGCGACAGCCGGCGATGCGCCGCCGGGAGAGGACGTTTTCTTGGATTTCGCGAGGGCGATTTCCTCCTCGGTCTCGGCGAGCAGAGCAATCGTGGAACCGACGGCGGCAGAGAGGCCCTCGTCGACAATAATGGCGGCCAAATACCCGTCGTAGAACGACTCCACGTCCATATCCGCCTTGTCGGACTCAACCACCACGACCGACTCCCCCTTGGCGAGCTTATCGCCCTCCGATTTGACCCAGCTGACGATCTTTCCCTCCGTCATCGTGGAGCTGAGGGCCGGCATGAATATCTCCCGGATCTTCGATTGGATCACGTGGGCTCTCCGGGGAAGAGGAATTGCGCATCCTGCCCGGCGGCGGAGCGACGGGGGAGCGGTGGGGACGAAGGAAGTGTGGAGGAGATGAGAATGCGACATGGCTTGAAGGAGAAAGAAGAAGCAAAGGATGGATGAAATAGTACTTTGGCAATGGCGTCTCTGAATCAAGAGTGAAGAAAAGGGAATGGGATCCTCGAATTCATCGAATGCAGGCGGAGCTTCCAAGACTCGACCCAAATCTACGGCGATGGCGAAATTATCAAGAAAGTCGAGACCTTTACAAGTGAGTGTATATGCCCGCCCCCATTTGCCTTATTATTACAGAGTCCTTTTATAATGTAATTAACCTTTCTACTTCAGTACTTATTAGAAAACATAAAAAAACAAAAATATTACCCACAAGAAAGAAAGGGTTTTCAAATTCGATCGGAGTTGGAGCTCGAGTTATCTGTGACTGTATTTCCATGGCTTCCTACCAACAAGTAGGTCGAGCTTCTAGCTTTGAATTTGCATGGGTTTATTCGAAGCTCCCCACATCTCACAGCCTACCCCTTCTCATTTCACTTCCAAATTCAAGAACCCTAATGGAAAAACCATGGAAACTCATGAAATCCCCATTTCCATCGTCTTGTAGTCAATCACCTCTGAATGATGACACCCATTGGCCTCCACCACAAAACAGAGAAACTTTGGGCTCTAATAGTTGTAGCAATCCCCATGGGAACATACCAAGAAAGGAAAGAGTGTTTTTCTTGGACGTTAATCCGTTGTGCTATAAAGGGAGCACTCCTAGCCTGCGCTCTTTCGCTCATTGGATTTCCCTTTTCTTTTCCCGAGTCAGCCTCAACGAACCTGTCATAGCTGTAAGTGCCTTGTCTGTAAGAGAATGGATGTGGCCAATTCTATGAAAATGGTGACGAAATGTTTGCATTTTGATCATCATCTGCACGACGGTTCTATTTTACATCTTTATCGTGAATGACTGATAAATGATTCTATTAATAGGTTCTTGATGGGGAAAGAGGCAACGACTATCGAAGGCAATTATTACCATCGTATAAAATGAACAGAAGGAAAACCAAGCGAAGGTTACATGCTGCTGAAAGTATTCCAAGGAGAGGGCACCATAAACATGTCTTGGATTTTCTCCACAAATGCAATGTTCCGGTGAGTTGCGACGAACCTCAAATCTATTGATTATCTATTCAAAGTTGTAGACTTGTAGTTCTACAAACATTTGAGGCTGAGAATTGCAGTGAGGTTATTGACAGTATTTGTGGAGGGGTGATAGCAGTTAGAAGTTTCAGTATTTTCTAATTGAACAATGATGCACCCGATATCTTTATACCGTATGATTGTTTGTAAGTTTTTGCCTATTTCTATATGCAATCTAATGGTGTTACTAAACATTGTTTGCAGTGTGGAAGGGACCATAACTTGTCTATACTTATGAATATTCTTTATCTGCTTCAGACAACATGCATCTCATGCTACGTTTACCATTTTTAACATACAAACAATGCGCATCCAAAACGTAAAGTATGACTCTATTTTGTAAAATTATAAAACTTGAGATGAATTAGGCTAATTTTAGGTCTGGACTAGACTTTTAAGTTATGGTAGTTTTTCCGAGAGCCATTGCTAGAAGTTTCGTCACCAAAGTGCACATGATATTATCGGAGATTAAGTTGTTTTCCGAAGATATGGTCTGTGCTAAGAAATCAAGTACATGACAGAAGATCAAATAAAAGCTTAAGTACACTGGTTGATTGATTAAGTTCTACATTATGAAACTAGAACATCTAAGTGTTTTTGGTGGCATGTCTGACACTTCAGGATTCATATCTATTAGAAGACAATATGGTGTAAATTACTGTAGCCAGTTTATTTGAAGCATTCACTTTTGACCAGCTCTTATTGGCTTTACTTGAGTTGCTCAATCATCCCGTAGCCTGGCACTCAGGACATGCTGCCCAACCTTCACCGTACTGGGGGACCAAGCAAGGCGTAGACATGGCTTCATTCTGTTCATTTCCTATACTAATCATAAAACTCCATGAGAAACTCGATGTTGATATCAGAAATTCAATGTGGATTTTTTGTTTGCCTGCTCCTAGTCATCATGGGAAAGTGACCTCGAAATAAGAACCTGTGTTATACTATCAGTATCAGACTTGACGTAAAGGATGAATTTCTCTGTGTATTTGGTCTTAGTTCCTCCATGCAAGTTTCATTATTTGTCAATGTTCTCTCCATGCAAGTTTCATTATTCGTCAATGTTCTAACAGCAAAAGTAACCATCATGAAGTTTAATATCCTACCTTAGAACTTACAACTAGCTTATTGACTACTTGAATTATCAATCTTGCTTCTTGCAGGTTGTGAAGGTTGATGAGCATGAAGCAGATGATGTTGTTGCGTCACTTGTTCAGCAAGTTCTGGTAAAGGGGTATCGAGCTGTAATCGCTTCCCCTGACAAGGATTTCAAGCAGCTGATATCAGAAGATGTTCAGATGGTTATACCTGTTCAGGAGCTGGATAGGTGGTCCTTTTACACCCTAAAACACTACATAGCTCAGTACAACTGTGACCCCGAGTGTGATTTGAGCTTAAGTAAGTGTTTTGCACTACCTCGTTGCAGGTTTAAGCGCATTGTATTAGGATTATTCATCATAAGCTTGAATGAAATGCCATGAAGTATGAGGGGTTAGAATCCGAGCACCATTTGACGCTGCTACAATCAATAATTTTATGACTCTCAAAAGTAGCTACAACTAGGGTCATATCTTTTTCCCTGAAAATCAATATAAATAAACTGAATTTGGGATATATTTCAAATGGCATGCATAAAATTATTCATGATCTGTAGATCTAATTTTTATAAAATTGACTGCTAGATATGTATTCTTTTCAATACGTTGTGTTACAAACAACCATGAGCCAGAGATTTAGCTGAAACAGTAGTATCATAACAAATTAAAGAAATACCTAGGTGATGATATACATAGATAAATAAATGCATTGTTGGTGTTAGTATCTGAACATGCTCCTGGTTGTCAGGATGCCTTTTAGGTGATGAAATAGATGGTGTCCCCGGCATCCAGCATCTTGCCCCTGGTTTTGGTCGAAAGACTGCTTTGAAGCTCTTGAAGAAGCATGGGTCTTTGGAAAACTTACTTAGTGCTGTCAGCGTGAGAACTGTTGGTAGACAATATGCACAGGATGCCCTAACAAAACATGCTGATTTTCTGCGAAGAAATTATGATGTTCTTTCATTGAAGAGGTAATCACCTTAAGTGAAAAAAATGTATTTCATGCTTTAGCATTATTCTCTTGCCTTCCTCACTGACCAATTACCTGGTAACATTCGTTCTTGGTGTGGATTGCATCTTTCAGGGATGTTAATGTGCAGATTGAGGAGCAGTGGCTAGCTAGAAGAGATGGGAGGAATGATTCAGTAATTCTATCCAATTTTATGGACCTTTTGAGTAAAGCTCAGGATCTCAAATGCCTATAGTTCTCATTCAGAAGGTAAGGTAATACTTTGCTGTTTGAAGCACAAATATTTTCTGCTGTTCCCTATAACCCTTTTAGCCAAAGGGAGCAGACATAATTTGGATATAGAGTATAACATTGAGGTTTTGTTAAACATCATAGACTTGTGCTAAAATACTGAAGCTGATGTTTTATTTCTTGAGCTCATTCCATTACTGGAGATTTTAGAAATCTTTTATTAGCCCTATTCACTAAGTATAAACATGTTTTCTTCTGTTGTGCTTTTCCCATATACAGATGCATTGAGCCGCCCAGTTTAGATGAGTTTGTGTTTCCTTACAAAACTAAGATGGGTTCTTGCGACAAACCTGGGACTAATGAACTTCAGTTGCAACAAGGTTAAACACCATTGACTATGTGAAGCCGAGCAGCTGTCTGAAAAATGGAAATCCCGCTTTCATATATGTTTTTTGAAATAATCTTTGTTCTTATCAAGTTGCAGTGCACAAATAACTTAAGATCTCTGAAAAAGGAATTGAGGTAAGTCTTTACATTCTTTTCTCACAACAAGAATTAAGGTTCATCATATTTTCATTCTTACATCTCTCACATTTGCAGCGGTGAAGTTCCTTGAACTTGTTGTGGCAGCAGCCGCCAAAGAAGAAATATAGAACCGTATTGGCCTTGCCATAAGCTTAATGTTTAGTATTTCTTGTCCCTTCACCATTGATTCAACAACACTTTCCATATTTCACACTCTGTGAATTTGCTCCTTTTGCTAGATTCTTGATTAATGAAAAGAAATTTTACTGTGTATACATACATACATACAAACAAGTACAGCCCTTGAGTTTGATTTCAAGATTGAATTTTAGTCACACTCTGTGAATTTGCTCCTTTTGCTAGATTCTTGATTAATGAAAAGAAATTTTACTGTGTATACATACATACATACAAACAAGTACAGCCCTTGAGTTTGATTTCAAGATTGAATTTTAGTCACATTCAGCAGTGTTCCTTCAAGGATATCTGCTTGGGCGCTTGGGGAGCATCCAGTGTGGTGGGCACCCCCACCCACCCTCCCACCTACCCCCAATAAATCTCAGAATAATTTAAAGTTAACAAACCCATAAATGCCTGTGGATCCCACTAATTAATGAGGTTCAATGACCAGGGTTGGAATAGAAAAGGGTCCCACGGTGGATTTGGAAAGCGTCTATGTGATTGTAATTATGAAAGAAAATTATGGTTATGTGCTGACTATCCATAGAGGAACAAAAGAGGAATAAAATATAATATAATAAATTAATAGAGGCTGAGCTGGAGCTATATATATATAATCTGTGTTGAATTTGACACCATTCTTCTTGTTGAAAGCTCTCATTCATTCATCGGCTCGCAATCACACCAGGGGGATAGCATCATCATCTGGGTCGTTTCTTTGGTGGGTTTCTTCTGATTTCTGTTCTTGTTCTTCTGATGTATCTTGAATATATGTTCTTCTGCAATTCCTCCTCTGTTTTTTCAGCTAGGGAAGATCTATTTTGGCGATGTGATTCTCTCTAGATTATAGTTTTGAGTAGCTCTTGTGTGATTTATGTGTTCAATTAAGTGAAGTGTAGTTATAATCTTGACTGTGGTTTGCCCAAAGCTAGCCTATTGATTATTTTCAACAAGGATTTTATATAGAGAAGGAATGATCTGTAAATTGTGCATTGACTGGAAATGTGGGGGAATTTTAGGGATTTTAATCAGGAATACCATAAAAATGAAATCTTTCTATTTTCCTTATCTGTTTTATTTATTATTTTGGCTTTTGATTATGCTGCTGTTCCTAGTCCTGTAAATGAGAGGAGATTCATGGTATTTGCTGGTTGAGGAACTGATGTATGATTTGTTGAATTAGGATCTTGAAAAGCTTGAATTGTAGTTATTATTGATCTTTGATGATAATAGTTATGGTGCTATTTTGGCTCTTTCTTTCTTCCTTAACTGCGGATATTGGAAGTTGTTGTTGAACTCCAAGCTGATTTTGTCGTCTTGTTTGCGAAACTATGAAGGTGTGGCGACGTGGCTCCATGCCCGTTCCGATAAGTAATGGCTGCAGCTAAACAACATTAGATAATGCACATTTATTAAGTTTCTATATATGTTGAAGATTCCGATCTTCTTTTGGCATTCCCCATGTTTCGTTGTATTGCGCTTTCTTTCTCTTGCTGTAGTCTAACTGTTGACGACAAATGGAAAGATAACTGGGGCTTTTGTCGCGCGCGAACATCTACATTTATAATGTGTTTTGATATACACATATCTTAGGTTTCTCTCTTGATTGAGACTGTGATCTTCTTGTCTCCGTTCATTTAATGAATCTATACATTTTCGCTACTCGATTTACACTAGCTTTTAACATCATCTTCAAACACATCATAATTCCGTTAACGTTTGTGTTGCAGGGTGTGATCGTCGAGCAAATAATTTGGACGTCCATTTCTAACATGAACAACGAGGAGCAAACGTGCGATCCTAAAGAAAAGCTGAACGGATTGAATACAGTGCAAAAATGGGATCCGCATCAAACTCAGAACAATCTGTTGATCTTGGAGAAAAAGATCGGCGAGCTTCGCAATGTGGTAGAGGCGGTAGGCACGCAAGTTCCTGGCCAAGGTAACGCCATTTTGGCTCAGCAACAGCTTATGGTGAATGCAGAGCTCACTTCGATTATAGTTCAACTAATATCTACAGCTGGAAGTCTTTTACCGTCTGTGAACCACACCATCGCCCGTCCGGAGGAAGCTCGTATGGATATTACGAATCAGTCAGGTGGAAATTCGAGCAAAGTCAACAATCTGTCTCAAACTGGTTTCCCGAGTTCTTTTGGGGCGAAACAGAACTCTCTGGTCGAAGATCATGACATGAAAAGTGACGACGAAGCTGAAGGCGAGCACCTACCTCCGGGATCATACGAAATCCTCCAACTTGAGAAGGAAGAAATCCTCGCGCTGCACACGCATTTCTGCTCGGTATGTGGAAAAGGGTTCAAACGCGACGCAAACTTGCGGATGCACATGAGAGGCCACGGCGACGAGTACAAAACTATCGCTGCGCTTTCGAAGCCGAATCGGGGATCCGATTCGGGGACAGCGACAGGTCTTGCCAAGAGATATTCGTGCCCGTACGTCGGCTGCAAACGCAACAAGGATCATAAGAAGTTCCGGCCTCTGAAAACGATCCTCTGCGTGAAGAATCACTACAAGCGGACGCACTGCGACAAGAAGTACACTTGTAATCGATGCAACGTGAAGAAGTTTTCGGTCGTTGCTGATTTGAAGACGCACGAGAAGCACTGCGGCAAAGATAAATGGCTCTGCTCCTGCGGCACGACCTTCTCGAGAAAGGATAAGCTTTTCGGGCACGTCGCTCTTTTTCAAGGCCATGCTCCCGCCATTCCTGTCGACGAAATTAAGCCACCTGCCGGAACATTATCCGATCAAGAAAAGCGCGGCGAACTGGGTAATGTAGTAGATCCGAGTGTAGCTGCTACTGGAAATGTTATGGAGGTTGAAAGAGGAGCTTTGGAGGATTCTCCGGATTATTTATTGCCTGACTTCCCTTATTTTCGCGACTTCGATGAAGACGACGGTGGTAGCTTCTCCTTCATGTTGTCGGAGGGCGGCGGCGGCGGCGGCGGCTTCCCTCCGAGTAACTAATGGTTAGATTTGAGTTGAGAGTAAGAGGACGATTTTTTGGACATCGTTTTATTTAAGTCGATGGTTCTTGTCGTTTTAAGTTTAGCTGCAGACATGTTTTGTTCTTGGACATCAGTTTGTTCCTTCACCTTCACAGTAGTGATCAAGCCCATAGATATATTTATAGTGCTTATATATGTGCTCTTTTAGTTTGGCAAATTTAGGGTATATTTCTTTTTATTGGCTTATAAAAATTTTGATTTTGAATTTGATATTAAAATAAAATATGATATGATAGTTTTATTTTTTTTGGAAACAAAGAGTTCTATGGTTTAAAAAGAAAAATACAAAAACTAAGGTTAAATTTGCGAAAAGAATATATATATACTTTTTTTTAAAAAATAATTATATTTAAATTATTTTAATAAAAAATCGAAACCTTCAAACTTAAAAAACATATATATACATATACTTTTACATCCTCAAGTCATGTAAAAACGTAAATAACTTTAAAATATAGAGGCCCAGGCGAGGCCCATTACTATGCAAAAGTCCAGCCCAATAAGATGATCGAAATCCAGCCGGCTATGGCGAATGGCGATGGCTTTCTGCCATTCTCCTCTCCGCTCGGCCGTCGTCTTCCACTTCTTCAAATAGTCGTCAGTCAGCTCTTTCTCTTAAGGTGCAATCGTCTTCTTCAAATTGGATTTAGCTTTTTTCTAGGGTATGATGTTTGATGCTTTCTGTTCAATAATATTAGCATCTGTGAATTCAATCGAACTTTGCTCGAAATAATTGATTCCTGTAATGACTCGGCCGATCCGGTGGACGGAGTATATGCTCTAGGGCTTTGAATTTCCTTCCGAATTAGTTTCTTTTAGCTGAATAAGACATTGAAATTTACAGTATGTGCGCTGTGATCGAATACGGTTTATATGTTTTCATGTATCCATCCATACCTCTTTTTGCTTGAAATGATACCTTAAGTGCTGGAATGGTCAAATTTTTTGCAGTTTTTCGTCCATTAGTTGTTCCACTAGAAATTTAATCAAACATGTTGTGCACATGTTCTTAAAGGCTGCCTCTAAGATAGAAGAGCCAATGAAGCACATTGTGAAGATTATGTCATTGTTGGTGGCCATGTCGGCTGTTTGGATTAGCCTTTTGCAAGCATCTATACTTCCAAAGAGCTATACATGGTAACCATTTCTGCCTTTTCTGTATAGGTTTTATGACTTGATTAATTTGCATTCTGCAATCTGAATCTTCATTCTTGGTGAATGATCATTCACAGTGCTTTCTTGTCTCTGCTTCTAGGCAGCTGCCCATCTACTTCGTCGTATCGCTCGGATGCTATGGTCTGTTAATGGTTGGAGTTGGTTTGATGCACTTTCCTGTTTGCCCTCAAGAAGCCATTTTGTTACAACAGGTTGCTCAATCTTTTTATCAATCCTTATTTGCAACTCTTTGTTTGGTATTTTTTTCGAATGAAGCCTCTGTAAAATTTGAAGATCGGGAAAGAATTGCCATTTTTTTGGCTGTTGTTTGGTTGCATTGATTCTGATTCTGAATGTTTATGGAAAGTATGTATTTGCTGCGTAGGATATCGTTGAAGCAAAGGAATTCCTCAAGGAGAAAGGCGTTGATGTTGGTTCGAACTGAGCGTCGCCGGGCGATGGACGGACATATTTACATTTGGTAACAGCTGCCGAATGTTGTTACAGTTATAAAAGGTGTGTTATTTTGACAAAGGGGGAATTATTTTTACTGGATTTGGCACTGTAGAGATGAAATTTAACTTGTAAGCAATAGAATTAATATTTTTGGATATCAGTTCCTTGCAATAGAGATCGATTTTATGGCTGTCTTTGTTTCTAAATTGTTTTGTTTCTACCATATGAGCTTCAAAGTAGTATTCTTAAATCCTATTATTACATCCTGTTTAGTTCAATCGAGTCGAGTATCTCATCTTCAAACTCGGCTCAAGCTCAAATTTGAGCTTGATTTATTATTACAATTAACTGAACTCGAACAAACTTCAAGACGATCTTTCAAGTAGATCGACTCGAAAAACTCTTAACTACAGCTATATAAACACGACATGTGGCATAAAGCAAACTTTTGACTTCTCTAATACGTCCATAAGTTAAAAACAACACATTCATAATCAAGCTTGAATTTAAGTTCATCATCTAGACAGTCGACAAAGTCGGGATGACACAAGTTCCAGTTTTCACCTAAAAGATAAACAAACACTAAGCATCACTTGCGCCTGCCTTTTCGCGATTCTCATGGAACAGTCTCACCGTTGAGTATATCAGAGAAGGCTCGGCCATGGCGCCATTTCCATAGTCACCGCAGGCTAACCTCTTCATCACCGGTGGGATAAGAGAAATCCCGAGATCATCGATAACCATGAGATGGCGCTCGGTGAAAGGGTTGTTCCACATAAATGTGTTCATTGCCGGCGCCACAAATATAGGTTTGCTGTAGTCCCATGCCCGAACAATACAAGTCAGCAAGTTATCGCACAAACCTCCAGCTATCTATTAACACGAAGAAATGGGCATGAGTCAAAATTCCCAAAAATTAGAACACACAAAAACCTCAACCCAAGATATCGATACCTTGCCAAGAGTGTTGGCCGACAACGGCGCAATGATCATAATATCAGCCCATTTTCGTAGCTCAATGTGGAGCACTGTATCGCCTACTTTATTCCAACTCGTCCATTCATCCTCATCCGTGTAGAGAATCACATCCTTGGGTAGCGCCGCCCTGTCTACAAAATGGAGTGATGCCTTGGTCACAACTGCTTTGACTTCAGCCCACTCAGAAAAACAATGGCAAAGATTAGCGAATTTTATCGCAGCCACACTTCCACTGGCTGCAAGGAGAATGTGTGGTTTCTTCGAGCCATTGCTTACTTGATATAAACTCAAATCTGTGTTTGTGGGTTTGGAAGACGCCATAACCTACAAAGAATCCAACAGCAACATGAATGTGGCGGACATTCCAAAGAAGATCACAGCTAATTTATTGCCACAAGCTAGACCAGAATGTCCAGTTATAAGTGAGGAGATGACAACTTGGGAAAGAACATTCTTAACCGTAAGATTCTTCACTGTTTCCCCAAAAGTGATGCAAGCAACCGACAAAAGGGATTAAAAATCATGGCCAGAAAACGCAAGAACATTAAGGTTTGTAGAAGCAGATTTTGTTTTATTTTTGCAAGAAGTCTATATTACAACAACTTCCTGGATTTTTCTCATCTTTTTTTCCGCAAAAAAGTATTTAATGCGTCAACCAAATAGCACTAAACCATGGATTAGCCAATTTCATAGATAAAGAGCTTACAGTTATCTGTAATACTGAACTTCAACACAAAACTACTTTCAGCAACCAGAAGTTAACCACATTCGCACTTGAATAACTTCTAGCGAAGAAATTGAAACATATACATACATGTGTGTATGTATACGTGATATAATTCTCCAACATGAAAACTAAAACTTCAGAAAAAGCCCAAATACAGAAACTGCAAAAATAAGATCAAACCTTTCACCATCCCCTAAAACCCCCCAAAAACAAGGACTACGATCTTGAAACAAAATTCACAGAGAAAACCATGACGGGAAAAGGACAATTGTAAACAGCAGATCAAAGGGAAGCAAGAAAAATACCAAAATCAAGTGAATCAACCACTCGCACTCCCGGAATACAAAGAATTAGAAAGGAATTACCTTGAAACAAGATTTGCAGCGAAACCCACAATTAAGGAATGAAATATGGCCTCCGAATTGGGGAGCGGGATTTTGACTGATCTGCCAACTAATTATGCAAACGTTTCAAGGACCATCATAAATTGATGCGAAGCTGCGCCATAAAAGCAGCGTTTGAATTTCTCTGTAAACTGTAAAGGCTTTTCTTAATGTATATAATTAATGTGTATTTAGCTTAATCAACATTTTTTCATCTTCTGACAATTGGGCATTGGCATATTAGGAGGCCCATATCATAATATTATGGACATTCAAGGTCCATTTATTACCACAGCCCATAAGCCCATGTTTCCTATCCATCTTATTATTCCAAAACAAATGCATTCTTGCATATCTACACGGTTCAGTTTCGGTTCCTTCGTTATCTGAAGTGAATCTTCGATTTTTCATTTGATCATAAAACTATTGGTGTGGTGGCACCGTGGCAGCTATATATTAAATTTATCATATTATTTTTTACTAATAAATATTTATTACAGTACTATAATAAAATACAGTTGTTGTCCAAATAAATTTAATTCTAAAGTGAAAATACAGCTCTTAACTTTATATTTAAAATATTATTTACATATTTTCTACATATAATATATATCCACATTATTTTACTAATTTAATTTTGCAGATGGTCTCATTCACTAATGCTGCCTTAGCTTCGAATAATCTTAAGTCACATTAGCCAATCAAGAATTATTAATTTGTGAAGCAACCCAAGCAGCCAACCTAGACAAACAAACAACCAATTATGCTAACCATCACTTTCACAAATCTGAACCCAACAGCCAGCCAGCCAGCCAGCGAAGCCACCATTAAATTTTCTCCACTATGTATTAATTGAACTAAAATGACTTCCATCTCATTTTTGACAAGTTTCTAAATCTCTGCAATACTTTCAAGTGGTAGGAAATCATCCATCCAATCCAATATGCCCACATTTTGCTACTGAATGTTATTTCAACACTAGTGTTCAAATAAGCTAAGGGGACAAGAACAAAAGGTGAAACTCGTATATAATAGCAAGAAGAAAAAGAGTGGAAAATGAGACCAAATTTCATAACTAATAATTAATCATGCTTAACTGCATAACAAGTAGCATTGTCCAAACTCTACCAGCAGAGTTCCTGCTTAACTGCATATATATATATTTGCACATGTCTAACAATGGTTCCATAGTCTAAATAAAGAAGAACCAGAGTCAAAGAATCCTTCTACCATATTTCATGCTTTGGTTATAAATTTGCAAGTTCAATGTTCATCTCCATTTCCTGATTACGATTGGAGCTCTGTATGGTAATGATAAATGATTTCAGCAAAGCGTGCGCCATTGCCATTATCTTAGATATAGTTATTCCCAATCCTGATGCTTATCAATTCAAATCGCTGTACAGCCTACAATTATTTCAAACGCTAGTCTCGATTCCATATCCAAATAATAATTGCGATGAGATGTTTAGTGGCTTTACCTTCCATGAATCCAGCCGCCGTGCTCCACTTGAACTCTACTCCCAGCTTCGATTGGAAATTGGAATATACGTCACCAACGAATACGTGTCCCTCACACGAAACTCCGATAAATTGAACGAGAAACAGAACGCAACAAGTACTGCAACCATCGACCTGGGCGGAACCAGAACTACTTTCAAAACAATCGCCATCATTTCGAGGTTCAATCGCGAGGAAGACGATTTGATTGGGTTTTCTACATATATGGATATATATATATATATATTGCCGTTATATGGTACGGTGCGGTTCCTTGTGTCCGGTGCTTTACAATTCGAACTGAAGTCGCTAAAAAAAAATGTCCACAGCAATTTCAAGAACCTTTTCATAATCGACTGTTAAAGATCAGAAGCCACGTTGGGGCATATATATGATCTTTGCCAACATATCATTACATAAGATTCTTCACAAACACACACACACTTAGCACAGCAAACATCTATGGGCTATGGCCATGGTCTTTACGACAGCACCAGCAGCTGTATATATATATATATATATATATGGATATATATATGATCACAAAAATTACAAGCCCCATTATAAAACACAAAACTAGGCTGGAAGAGAAACCTTGAGGAAGGATTGCTTCATTCCCAAACATTTTATTTTTTTGTTGTTCTTCTTTAATGGAATCCTCCTGCTGACATGGCCTTGGTAGCTGCCGCTGCATCAGCAGGTGGTGCTGGCAACAATACGATGGCTAAGATGCCGCTGGCGGCGGCTGCCACCGCTCCCAAGACGAATGCCGGGAGGTTGCCGCCTCCGAATAAGTCGTCCCATGGCCCACTGGCCACAGACACCACCATCTACAGATAGACAGGTAGGTAGAAGAATAAAGATCAAGAATGCAGGTCCATTCTATGTATGGAGATTTCTATATATTCCAGTTGAACTTTATGCCATGTTGTGATGTATATCATGGCATCCATGGAAGTAAAAGTAAGGCCCTTTATATAATTATTGAAAGAAATGGAGAGACAAAAGTCAACTGGAAAAATAAATTAAAACTCCACTATGGCAGTGAGCCAATAAAATATTACCTGTGGGATAACTATTGCAAGATTCAGCACTCCCAGAGACAATCCTGTAGGAATAATAACACAATAATGATAGAATTATAATCCTACTTGTCACAAACAAGATTCAGAAGAAAAATTCAAGTATACACTTGGAATCTATGTGTGTTTTCTTGAAGTTACCTTGTCCAGCTTTTGAATTTGCATTACTTGAGAAAATAGAGGCCAAGGCAAATGGGATGCTGTAAGTTACCTGAAAAGTAAAAAAAAAGAATTAAGGAAAAGATTATGAGGGCTGATGTAATGTTTTTGTCAAGGAGTCAAATCACTGTGAGAATGTTTGTGCCAAATTGTGTTGTGACAGAAAGAACCCTACAACAGTTAAGATGCCACTCCAACAACCCATTTTGAGAACAAAAAAAGCAAAGGAAGAATGGCTTTAATCATGGTTTTTTATAAAAGTCAAGACTTCTAGTAAGTGGTTGTCCCACACAATATGGTGTTCGTTTTCTATACTGATTCTTTTTAAACTTCAAGAAACCAACTTACCTGCCACTAAAATAACAAGCAAAGCAAATTGCAAATTGCAAACTGTGATCTTCTCTTCTTTTCCTTTTCGGTTAAATATTTTGCAAAAATTAAATCTTGACAAGTGCCCACTTCAAGAAATCATTACAACAAGAGACATTCAAAGGTGCCTAACTGCTGTAGATCAGATATGGCTGCTGCTTAGACAAGACCATCATGATTTCAACAACGAATCCGGGGATTTTAATCATACATGCATGAATACAGATAGATAGATATATACACCTAACATGGCCACTGCCTTTTTATTTGGAAAGAACAAAAACTATTCTTTTAAACATTATACCCGCTCAAGAAATGAATAAACTAATTAAAGAAATGAATGAACTTTTTCCTGTTCCAGATTCTTGGAAAATACCCTTTGCTAATACTTTATACCCAAGGGAATTAATTAGGGGAACTTTTGAGTAAGCAGTAAACCTAATTGCAGATATGGGTGGCTAGACAATTTTTGGAAACATCCAAAAGAAACCCTAATCTAATCCTAAGCATTAACTGCAGATTAATCCCAAATCAGACCATAATCTTGTAAAAAGAGATTTGTGTTTTATATTATTATCCCATGGCTGCTTCTGAGATGAAACTTTCACTATCACTCTGATAGGGACATGTAAATATATTCAGTTCACATTTAATAATTAATCAAGAAGTTTTAAAGAAAGATTCCTATGAAAATCTGGTGGAAATCGACATAAAAACATAAAATATGCAGCGGTTTGTGTCACATGTGAGTACTGTTCGATGTATGAAATCATCAATTGTAATGAACATAAAAAACAAACAAAGATTGAATTAAGAATCAATATACTTACAGCTAAAGGGATCCCGAGGACTGAAAAAAGCACCAGGGCCCCCACCTTGACGCCCGCCACCGGCGGCAGCAGCGTCCCGTCGGCGGCGTGCCGCCGTGAGTGCTCGGCGATCTTGGTTATGACGACAGTCATGGCTAAAGATGCCGCCAACACAAAATTCACAATCCCCCAAAGTTTCTTCACCCCACCTAGCCCACGAGCCCCGAATTGAATCCCCAGCGAAGCCAATCCCAGCACCACCGAATTGAGCATCAGACCCAACGCGCCGGCGCGTACGCCCTGGTCGTAGAGCTTCCCCACCCCGACCTCCCCGCCGTACACCTCCTTCCCCATCCAATCGGTGTCGAACAGCAGGAAAGGGAACCAGGCAATCCAATTAAGGCAGGTGACCAGAAGAAGAATCCACATCGGCCTTGGAAGATCCCTGAGCGCGCCGAAGAGCTCGCCGAACACCGGAATCCCCCCCTTTTCAGGCGTCTCCGGGATCTCCGCCGGCGGGGTGGTCTCGCCGACAATGGCGAGAGCTAAGGTGGTGAGGGTGATCAGAAGAGCTATGGAGATGAAAAAGCAGCTCTTCAAATTCGCGCAGTAGATGTCGCAGGCTGTGGTCTTGGAGAAAGGGAAGATCCTGTAAAGATGGGTGTAGGAACCGGCGGCGTAGCCAAGAACATTCCCCACCGCCATGAAAAACGAGAACAGAGCATTTGCAGTACCCATCTTCTTGGCGCTGCCGCACGACAAATCGGCCAGCAGTGCCCTACAGGGCCCCTGAAAACATCAATTCGATTTATTACCAACCCTATTTCATCAAATCCCAATTAAAATTTATAAACAAAAACAAAAACAAAAATTCAAATCGTACCTGCAACATATTGTTGGCAACATCAAGAATCCAAAACCCGACAACAAAAACGGCAATAGCCCTAGGCTTTGCTCGTTTCTGGAGAGAATCTCCGGCGGCATGGCCCATATCGGCGGCGAAGCCGATTAGAAACACGGCCATGGCAACGAGCCCGGCTCCGGCGGCGATGAACGGCCGGCGACGCCCGAACCGAGATTTACAATTGTCGCTGTAGTATCCGACGATGGGCTGGACAAGCAAGCCGGAGACTGGTCCACAGAGCCAAATGAATGCCGCCCAGGTGTGGGGTATTCCGAGCAGCTGAACGTATGGAGTGAGCAGGGAGAGCTGCAGAGCCCACCCGAACTGGATGCCGGCGGCGATGGACGCCACGAGGACAATCTTCCTCATCGGCTCCGCCGCCGGCGGTGGCTGGTGCTGCACCTGGAAAGAAGATGCATCAGCGTTGGGTTTCACCTCTCCTCCAGCCGTCGTCTCCATCAAACAGTTAGTTAATCAAGCAAGCAGGCAAGCTAAGCTCTCTTTGTCCCTTGTCTGGGCACAGTTTGTTTCCGTCGGCGTGGCCTATACGTACAATGGGTGTATGTATACAATCGTGCAGGTGTAAGTGCAGGTGCAGGTGCAGGGGGTGGGTTGGGACAGTGGTAGGAATGCGGAAAGAGGGTCGGGATCCTGCTGTATTTATAATGGTTTTGGCGGGGAATAATATCGAACCAGCTGGGTGGGGTGGTGGTCGGGGGGTGGGGGTGGGGTGGGGTGGGGTGCTTATCCATATGCCGATTTGGCGTTAGAAAAATCAATTCTTGGACTCGTAATTCAACCCTCAAGGCAGCTTTTTCGTTTCCTGAAGTAAAAATTAATGGATGGTGGTGGGCAGTTAGCGTCCCTTTTGGCCTCTTCTGTTCTGTTCTAATTTCATCTTCTCTCTGCGGAACAAACGGCGCCGTTTCTGCCGCGCCACTGCCGCTCTAACGACGCCATTTTCTCCTCTCTTTCAACTCTTGCTGACTACATGTAAATTAGTATGGGTTTCTTTTTTTAATTATTATTATAATAAATTGTTGTATTGTTATTATTTAAAAAAAAAAAATTGATCAAGAACTCACGTTATATTGAAATTTACACGAGTAATAAATGCAACTGCACATCAGTCTCATTTTGTAATAATATATAAATAGAATATTAAATTCCTACTTTACCAACACCCAAGTCAAAAGCGAGTGTTATATAATCCAAGTTACAAATCCCCACATATTAAAATAATAATTTAATTATCATGTCACACCATCCAAAAATTATTGAATAAATTCGATTTTTCACTAATATATATATATATATAGCTTATTCACATTTTGATTTAACCCCTCAATCTCCACTCCATAACTGAATTTACAACTATACCCTTTTGGGATCCACCAAGCAGTTTTGTCTTGAAGATTTTTACTCGATTTTCAAAAGGTGGGTATATATTAAAGTGGAAGAATATATATTTATTGGGCACAATCATGTCACAAGGTTCTCTTGTAAATTCCAAAATGCACCAAAGATTAATGTCTACAATAATTGATAATTATTTAATATAATTCGTAACTATATAGTATATTTGTAACATTATCATATGCCGAAAGGAAATAACTGGAAGAATAAAAACTACTGTTAATATATCACCTAATTTAAAAAAATATTATTAAAATAATTTAAAGAGTGGTTGATATTTAATTCGAATCAGCATTTTGTGTTTTTGTGATAAAAAAGCGACAAAAAATTCTGTGTTATCTAAGCAACCGACACGCTATTTCTTTATATTTATTTATTTTTCTTTAATTAATTATTACATTTTGGATATTGGAATAATTCTATCCACAAGCCTATTCCATGTGTACAATTATTACAACTGATCTATCAATTTTTTAAATTCGAATTGCATTGTGTTAATATAACAAAATATAGCCAATCCCATTAATAAAATAAAATAATATAATTATATAAAAACGTGATAAACTAAAATCAAGGTATATATATATATATATCTATTTACAAATAATAATAGTGTGTGTGCAGTGTGTGTGACATGAATTTTAAAATTTCTAAAAATAACTAATTAGTTTTCGTCACGACTCTTGCTATAAATTGCAAATTGGAATAAATTATATTTAGGTAGAGACGTGAGTGCTTACGCCGGAATAAATACAAAGTTGGATTCACAATTTAAAATATTTTCAATGGAATAAATTTTAGAGAGTTCGTATGTGACCAACAAAGGAAGAAAAAAAATAAATGGACTGTATAACGATAATAGTTACTATTTTATTTTATTTTTTTAATAATGTGTGAATCTACTGCTAATAAAAATAAATAAATAAATAAAATGGGAAATGAGAATGGATAATGTAGAATTTGAGCACTTCAAAAACAAAAACTGAATAAAATAATTATAGAGTGGTTAAAAAAGGTGCAGGCAAGCATTTACTTGAGACTAGCCTGACATCTGACTAATTTAGGTACCCCATCACTCTTACTATGGGAAAACGTGCTTTATCAATAAATAAATAATTATTACATTTAACCGATAATGAAATAAAATAAATAGAAACCAAGAATTGTAAAATAAAATATAGAAAAAAAATAAAAACTGAGGTGGCAATTGGTATCCATGAGGGCTACAAATGAAGACATGTATGTATGTATGGCAGAGAGAAGTGGGCACAAAAGGACATATATGCTGGTGAGAGAGCCAGTTTCTGACACAAAACAGGTGCCCATTTTGGTAATTTCACAGAAAAAGGACATTGGAGGTGACGTGACAGCAGATGCTAACAAGGACACAGGATTTTGAAGATGGTCCAGAAATGAAATCAGGATTCAGTATGCAATGAAATATTATGCATCATCATAGTCATATTACATTGAAATGAAATGAAATGAAATTACCTTTGTTGGAAGATTGTGCAGACAGAACAGTATCATCATTTATTGTATTTCATTTTCATCATCACCATCAGCCTGCAGCAAACTCAGCCATGGAATTATCTCACAGTGGTATAAATTAAAACCAGGAGGAAAGGGCCACCAATCTTTAGATTGATTCATTCATACAACCTAGGATTGATTTGATTATATTAGATTGTTTCACCAAGAAAGAGCCACCAATGTTTTTTGTTCACAGCATACAGAGTATAAATCCCAAACGGGAATGACAACCATTGCTAAATTATCTGTGAATTTAGCTTAAGATTTATTCAGATCAGATGAGAGGTGATGTCTTGGCCAATCGAACAACAAGAATCATTGTGTCCCATTGGCCAACAGGTCATCGAGGTCTTTCTGTGCAGCGAGAGAGGTCGAGTTCCTGCAGAGACAGCAAGCAAGCAAGCCAAAGAGTGAAGAAGATTGCCTGGTGTGGTGTTTAAAACAATACTAACTCATAACTTATTTTGCAGTAAAATTTGTGAACACACAAAATAAGTAGTCAGTCTGATCTTATTGAAGCATATTCTTTAATTACTCTTACAGTATATACTAAATATATCATAACAAAAAATTTATTTGTTACCAATGTTTGGTCCAAATTGGACATATCCCCGACTCCGACAGGGACGACAACACAACGGAGGATAACTGTTCCAGTTCTACCAACACCAGCACTGCAAGAGAAGAGGAACACAACGCAAGTCTGTCAACTAAAAAATCTATTTCTAGGATAGTTATATATAGTAAATCAATCACATTTTGAAAGCAGACCTTATATGCACAATCAATGGTTCAGTATCACTAAGACGATAAGAACGAGCATTAATCATTAATGCTACAACTCCATCATCTGGCCATTCAGGACACTGGGTGGTGTTCAAAGCCGAATCAGGCGGCGGCTCTTCTCCCTGCAAAAGCAGTCGCATCGCATTGCATAAAATAAATCGCTGCATATGTTAGATCAAGTGCACAAAGGTCGGTAGATGGTTAGTTGCCTGACTTGCCAACACCGCATGATTAATGAAGCATTTGTTATTGGTTGTTCCAGGTTGAAACTGATGCATTTGCATCCAAACTCTCTACCTCCATCCTCCTCATCCTCTGCTCGGAGTTGGAAGACTATCTGCATTACCAAAACTCCATCAGATCAGATCAGATGTCTGTAATAGCAATTTCATTTTATAGAAGGAGGATTCTATTCCAAGATTGCGCACACAGTTAGCAACAAGCAATTGGGTGAGTGTGATCACAATGACAACAAAGCAATGGTGTTTCTGTAGCATCATTTCTTATCTTAACAAATCTGTGGCAAATGGCAATGGAACCTTGAGTTAGTTGCTTTGCTGCAAAAACAATAACAATAATAATAATAAACCCAGAGCAGAGAGAAACAGATTTCAGAAGGCCATATCAATAGATAAACCAAGCATTATTATTACATTAGGCTCTGTTTGGTTTGGTTTGGCTGAAGGTCAACCCAACTCTACCACCAACCCTAACTCTAGATCTGCCTGCAATGCATCACCCTACCGGCCGAATCCTACCAACCCTTAACCCCAAGACGTACGTGCGAGCACGGTCAAAATGTGATTTCTTAGTATTCTTTTCAGTACTATTAAATAACAACATCAAATAGACACGAGAAAACATGCCAAAACCAGTAGGCTGTAGCACAGGGTGTACAAAAGATTGAATTTAGCATATATTCAAATACTGAATTACCAAATTCATAATTTTCATTTAAATTTGAAATCGATTGATAAATCATAAATTGATAAATTTGCATATCCTGGTGAACAGAAAAACTTAAAACTGTCATATCTGCTGAGCTTTGAGGAATTCTTTAGGAAATCATACTTCCATCTCATATATAATAAATGTAAGAATATAACTTCGGCTCACCTGCTCATTTTTGGGCCCATAAGATGCAAGAAAAAGACACCTCGAAGATTTTTCTAAGTCAACCTGCAATATAAGTGCAGTATGATTATTATAAACATATCAAAAATTAACCACATATTGATCAAGATTTACAAAACCGAGTTGTTTAGCCCCTCTAAATAGCTTAACTGTATCTCTGATCCATCTTCAGCAACATGTGGAACAACATTATTCCTTGATTCCCTAATTACTTTGCTGAATTGCTGGGGGCTGAGCTAATTAACATACATGGCAAGATATCAATGTAGCTGTTCTTACTTCTTATTGTAATTCACTGTTGCTTGATTGAAACATGTGACAAGCAATTGGACTCAATAAATTACGCACAATCAATCAAGAAAACAAATTCATTGATCACAAATAATACGACTTGAGTCAGCGGGAATGGAAAAGAGAGATTACCAGAAATTGGAGTCTCTGAGATTTAAAGGACACGGCAATGGCGAAGACGACGGGATGAACACCACGGACCGGCCCCAACCGCCGTCTGGGTAGACAGGACCGTCGAAGTCACCGGCCTGAAAAAATGCCGACCCGGTTCACATCAATATTCAAATTCCAAAACTAAACCGTGGAGACGGAGGGAAGACGACGGCGACGCCGAAGGCCACCGCGAAGACGAGACGCCGGCAGCGGACACGACTACGGCGAACCGTGTGACTTGACGTTTGGTGCAAGCAAGACCCTCACAGTAACTTTCAACAGTAATAGAGGTTGTTTTTTTTTTTTTTCTTTTTAGTGATCATATACATGGTGTGTTTGTTCGAGGGTTTGGATTTTGGGTTGTACGATATGATATAGATAAGAATTGATGTGATTTGATTTTTAGTATAATATAAAAAATAAAAAATAAATGTTTGATTTGATATTTTTGGAGGGAAAATTTTGTGGGAAGAGTAGAAATCCCACAAAATCCCCCAAACAAACACACCCTTACTAACTTTAAAATTTTTATAAAATGTTTAATTAATTTTATAATATAAATATTCCACATATTATTAGTAAAGTTTATATAAATTCAAAGCAAATACAATCCCAAACAACAAAACAAGACCTAAAGAAAAAAGGGTGATGACATGAATTAAATCCAATATTCCAAAACTTGCAAAAAAGGAATGGCTAATAGTGAAGGCTTTCCATCCAAGTAGGGTCATCAAATTCAGGTAACAACTGCAAATCTTCCGAACAAGACAAAACTTTGGTGTATCAGAATTAAGAGCACTATCCTTTAAAATCAAATCTTTAAAGCCCCCTTTCGAGATGTGTCACAGTTATGAGCCCCACCAAGTTACTACACTGCCCTTTCCTAGACTTGGCACTTGTCCTAAGAAAAAATCCCACTGATTCACTAAAAAACAAACTAGCCACTATGCATCCGACACCTTTGCTTCATAGACAACCACTCTTCAATCCATATCCACATTATTGTATTTGGATTGCCACCATTGAACAAGGTTCAAAAATCATACACCATTTTTATTTGAATTCAGGTTCGAATATAGATCGATCACATTGATTTAGGCCAACTATGAATCATAATATTACTGATAACACGTTTACATAACCCCACGTCTCAAAATTCCCAAAATCTTGAACCCTTTTCATCATTCATGATTTGATGCAATAAGAGGACAATGTGATCTCCAAGAATCGTACGGAAAGCCACACATACCAAGCTCCCTTCATCTCTGATCTTCTACAACCAACAGCCCTTTTGTCTCTTCATCAGGTTCACACTTACCTCCCATTTCCAAGCTGGTTCCTTTCATGGCTTCACCTTCCCAATCAGTGCAATGCACTGCATAAAGAATCGAAACAGCACATGCTGCCTGCGCCGACAGCAGGCCTAGCCACAGCCCGGGGAACCCGACGCCGAGATAGAAAGCTAATCCGACAGCCACAGGAGTGCCCACAAAGTAAAATGAGCCAAGATTGATCCGGGCGCCAACAGCCGGCCTGGCTGTGCCCCTCAGGATGCCGCAGCCGGTGGTCTGCGGGCAATTCCCGAGCTCACACAGCCCTATTATTGGCAGAACTGATGCTACAAGGGATCTCAGCATCTCATCCTTTGTGAAAATTCCACCCCATTTTGTCCTAAACACTACTGTCCAAACCACATTGATCAGCCCTATTGCAAATGCACTAGCTAATGCCACTATTGCAGCCAATTTGGCTTTGTATGGTCTGCCTGCGCCCAATTCATTCCCCACCTGCAAGAATTCATCAAGAATGATCATAAATCATAGTAATTCATAAGAACATTAGGGGATATTTGAAAAAAGTCTTACCCTAGCTGAGACACATCCAGCCAAGGCCATAGGGATTGTATACATAAGACTAGTGGTCTGAATCATGATCCCAGTGGCCGCCACGGCAAGCTTAGGATCGGGCAAGTATCCGGCGAGCACGGTGACAATCTCGTACCACCACCACTCAAGACATATCCCAGCACAGCTAGGAACAGCAAGCTTTAGCAGATGGAAGATCTCTTTCCATGTTCCATCTCCAACAGCTTTCCATTTCCACTCCCATCTCCCACAATAACAGACATATACCATCATCAGGACCATCATATGCAGATTTGTGAGAACAGAAGCCATAGCCACACCAGGTACCCCCCACCCCAACCCCATCACAAGAACATAGTTGAGGGGGATGTGGAAGACCACTGCCAGCAAAGTGCACCACATTTGGGGCTTGGTCACTCTCTGTGACCTCAAATAAACCCTCAATGGCTGCAGCAGAGTGTTGGTCAGGAGATCAGGAATTGAGTAAATGCAATAGGTTGCAGCTATGGAGGTGATCTCCCTGTCCTGCCCCATGAACACCATGATCGACTCAAGATTGATCCACAGGACACCAATGGGGATGATAGCCATTAAAAGGATGATGATCATCCTGTGGAGAGACGCCGACAGGAGGTCGAGATCGTTGCAGCCGTAGGCCCGGCTGCACACCGGCTCCAGCCCTGATGCAAGCCCAACAAGAACTGAATAGCCGGTTATGTTTGTGAAGCCGATGGAGAGGGCGCCGCCGGCTAATTCTAAGCTGCCAAGCCTGCCCAAGAACAAGACTGAAACAACAGCTCGAACATAGACAAGAAAGTTCATTGCTGTTATGGGAAGTGTCATTGCCCACAGCTCCTTCATCTCAGCAACCACCTTCGCAAGAAGATTGTTTGAATCCAATAAAAGTGGACACTGTAAGAGATATATCAACAAATGGACAACACTGGTTTTGATAAGGATTTAATTACCTGTGGCTTGGAAGGAACTCTGTGGGAGTAGAAATCAGGGCCCTTTTCAGCCATTCTTGCAAGTTTGGAGAAACAGCTTTCTTGTCTTCCTAATATGGTATGTGGCGAGCAGAAAATGAATTGAACGGATCAAGAACACCTTAGATAGAAGATGAATAGAGAAGTTTGTGAACAGATGAACATATGTGGGGCAAGAAAATGAGAAGCTCAAGAAGCTGAAGATGGTTCATAAACCCTCTTGGCTTTCAAGATTCTCACTTAATGTCTTAGTGATGACATCAAAGCAGCGTAGCATTGTTCTGTGTGCAGTGTGGACAAGAATCTTGACAGTAGTAAATAATGTTTTTTATTATTACTAATCTTCAGGGCTATTTGCTGGGTTAGCTTCAGCAGGCCAAAAGAGGGGGATTTTATAAAGATCAAAAAAAAGGCGTCAACTTTTAGTAATGGCGGCGACCGTGACATGAGCTTTTATGGGGTTTCTGCAGCTGGAAAGGACACATGAGAGTAAAAAGAAATAAAGCAAGAAAACAATTTTCAGACAGAGAAATAGGGTTGGGAGAAAGATGGTAATATACAGAGACAACAAAAGACCTATGTATGTTTGGTGTGTAGTAACTTCACAGAAGAATGAATGAGTAACTGAACAGTGGCGCCTTTGATCTTCTTCATAAACTGCCAAGAAAGTGGGATTACAATTAGGAAGCCCGAAATTTTGGAATTTATTGTTTGTGTGGATAAGTAAGGGTTGAGTATTGTTCTTTTGTTCATCTGACTAGAACCATTGTCATCTATTGTGAAATTTTGCTTTGCATTGAATATTTTGGAAAAGGACCCTCACTGGGGGTTAGGTGTAGGGTGGAACATATGCTTCTTCTCTTCATGAACACTAAAAAATAAAACTTGTATGGTTTTCATTAGCCATCAAATATAGGTCACTGTTTATGTGCTTATAGATTGCCAACAAGAAACATTCTCACAATTGAAAGTGCTAAGGAAAAGGGTTCCATTATGCTCAAAGAATTAGGATAGAACAAATATGTGTATATATATATATGTATATGCTTGATGGCTGGGAGATGTATCTTACGATGGCTGTAAATGATTGGTAATGCCCTATTTATATGAACGGTTCATATCCAAAATATCATAGCTTTGTCACTCTAACCGAATCTTGTAATAAATAAGGACACGAACTTCAATTAAAGAAGAACATCCCTCTAATGGAGAATAAGCATTTGAAGGCACAGCATCATCCCTAAATCAGTGTGGGTCCTCTTGCTTTAAGTTTCTTTAAATTATGTTTGTGTTGGTATTATTATAAGGCCAAAATGGGGCTCAAGTATCGGCCTGACCTGTTGAAAGACCTAAAATTTCAAAATGGGCCTCATGTAATCCCTAAAACGCGAAATGCGTGGCGGAGTTCTTGCTGTCTTTTGCACGTTTCTTCGATTCATTTTGATTTTGATATTGACCTTGATTTGCCAAGATAAGAAAAGATTCAAACTGGGTTTGCATGAAATGTGTTGTTAGTTATTCAAAATCATTTGATAAAAAAAGTTGGCTTGATATTGGGTTTCTAATTTCTATATATGAAAAATCTTGGGTCAAAAAAGTGTGGTTGATTCCAAACCCTTCTGATTTCTTGGTTGCTACAGTGTGAAGCAAAATGGCCCTTTTCAAGGGCTGTCGATTTTAAAAGTAAGATAATCGCAAGAAATTGTCAATCCCTTTAGACTGACAGCTTGAGGGGTGCAGCAAAAGCAGACAACCCCTACACATTCCCCCATCTGAACATAGGGTTTCCAAAATCACACTCAAACCTCATCATTTGTCTAACCTCCCTCCCCTCATATTCTCGATTTCCCTGTTGCAATCCCGCCACATTTGGGGGCGACCGATGGTAATAAAATCCGTGAGCACATCGAGGGTGAAGCAACGTCGCGAGAGTTGGACCGGATTGGGTCATGTATAGGACCAATTTAATCGGGTTCGGGCTGGCCGTGGGCTCGAGCGCGTTTATTGGATCGAGCTTCATCATCAAGAAGAAGGGCTTGCGAAGGGCAGGAGCCTCCGGCGCACGTGCCAGTGAGTTTTTTCTTGTTCTTTGATTTCCTTGTATTGAATTGGACTGTGAAAACTGAATCTTGAATTGGTCATGGTGAAGCGATTGAGTCTCTGTCTTTTATGTTAAGTAATTGTGCAAAATGCTGCAACTCTTGAAGTTACTGCTGACTTTGATGCCTTCTTGATTTCATCTTTTTAGTGTATGATTGTTTTGTCAGCATTTGAAGTGATTGTAGTTTCTATAATGGAATTTGCAAGATGAGTTGGAGTCATTGGAAATGTAATATTGCTTAGATGTAATCGTAGATAGGAATGAATGAGACGACAGTTATACATAGGTTTGATGGCTTGTTCATATGCCAATCGATTTAAATACAAGTAGAAATGTTTTTTGATGATTCTGAATTTGTTGAATGAAGATTCGGGAGGTTATGGATATCTGCTGGAGCCACTTTGGTGGGTTGGCATGGTTGCTAGTAAGTCATTTCCTTATGCTTTGTTTATCTCTGAATTCTTTGTTTCGCTGCCACTTCGACTTGTCATACACAACTTGAGTGTTTGGTAAATATTCGCAGTGGTAGTAGGGGAGTTTGCCAATTTTGTAGCTTATATGTATGCTCCTGCTGTCCTTGTGACACCGCTTGGGGCATTAAGTATAATTGTAAGGTAATGTTGCATTTCCTTCATTTTGCTAATTTCAGTCTTTCAAATTATTATCTATTACCTGTACAAGTGGCAAACATGATTGTGATAATGAAACATTTCTGGTTTCCGTCGACAGTGCAATTCTAGCTCATTTCTTGTTGAAGGAGAAACTACGGAAATTAGGAGTATTGGGCTGTGTTTTATGCGTAGTGGGTTCTACTGTCATCGTGCTTCATGCGCCTGCTGAGCATGACATTAGCTCGGTAGAAGAAATATGGGCATTAGCAACACAGCCAGGTACTCCAAGATGATAATTTTCTCTACCTCTTAGCATCCGGAGAAGATGAAATTGTTTCTGATTATTAATCTAATTTTTTTCTTTTTATAGCTTTTCTATTGTACACGGCTTCAGCAGTGGCATTCGTCTTGGTCCTTATTTTGTATTGCGAACCTCGCTTTGGGCAGACGAACATAATGGTTTATCTAGGTGTATGTTCAATAATTGGATCCATAACAGTAAGTCTTATTTTTTCCGTCATTCATACTCCTTTGTGGTAATCAACATCTTTGCATTATCGATGATGAATAAAATGAATTATGTTAATGTTATTTGCACCTTTGTTTTAGGTTATGAGCATAAAAGCAGTGGGAATCGCCATAAAACTCACGTTGATCGGTTACAGTCAGGTCTCTCATTTCCAGTCGTGGGTATTCGCAATGGTGGCGGGATCTTGTATTATAACACAATTGAATTACTTAAACAAGGTAGGTTTGCATTTTCTTTCTGGCTAGACTAATCCACCGGTTCTTTAGATTTGATCGAGCGTCATTCTCAGATGAATAGTCTCGGCATTTGTGTACACGCCGTTTTCTTTTGATTTAATTCTAATTGTACGGACAGCCATTCCTTTTCCCAGGCTCTGGACACCTTTAACACGGCTGTAGTTTCGCCGATATATTATGCCATGTTCACGTCACTCACGATTTTTGCCAGCGCCATAATGTTCAAGGTATTCAAAAAACATTCCTTCCTATCTTCATTTGTAATGCAGCAATTTTTGTAAAAAAAATCGGAATCTCTTTTACCCTTACTGCCCCCAGGATTGGTCCGGCCAGAGCGCCAGCAACATCGTCTCAGTTCTCTGTGGATTTATTACAGTCCTCTCCGGTACAATGGTTTTGCACGGCACCAGAGATCCCGAGAAACTTCCACCTGCTGGTAAAATTCTGCATCTATGGAGTTTATATTTTCATTACCAAACTTGAACTGACCGATCTGTCCGAAAACATTGCAGACTATACTGCGATTACTCCCCAAATATCGTGGATTGTCCGTGGGAACGGTGAGATATGGAAACAAAATGAGAACGATGACGAATTACATTCAGAATTCATTGCAATTATCCGGCAAGATCATTTTAAGTAATTTCAGTAGGTCTTCCAGTTTGTTCTTTTTGCACGAGCAATACGGCGATAGTTGGTGTAAATTTCCTGCTGCAGATACTCATAAATTCTTTCGACCAGTCTCATGTTTGCTGCTGTTTCCGATATTGAACATTATTCTTCTTACATCCGGGCTGCATATATATATTGTTACATGTTACCGATAGCCAGTCGGTTGGCTCGACTGTGCTCCCAAGTGGTGTGCTGTATTTGTAATTCTCGGCTTTTTTGCTAGAAATGAAATAGATATGTATTGTTTGAGTATTTTTACATCGATGGATGAGATTATAGTTTGAATTACTACATTTCGATTGTTAGACGAATACATCATTTTCAAATAGTTCGAAATGGATTAGAACACATTTACATTCTCTTTAACGAACTTCTGAAGGCTGAGAAAAGTAGGAGCATAATCCATGGCTTCGATGCTGTTAGGACCAACGGGTTGATGAACATCAACTCCTCTTACAACCTTAGTCTTGGTGCAGTAATAGAACATGAAGAAGTCCCCCCACATCAGCAGCAGCTGCCCGTCGCCGAATGCGCGAAGAACACGAACTACATGGAAAGACGGCCCGGTGAGCTTGTCGATTTTCTTGATCACAATCTCCTTGCTCCATGATTTCTCCACTCCGTACTCCTTCATTACCCAAATCTCGATGTCCGAATGGGAACTATTGTCGCACAGGCACAGACAACCTCGGAGAACCCCCAAGCTGCCGAGGATCCGCCTCGCCGGAAATGGAGGCGGAAAAGGCGTAAACGTCTCTCTTTCCAGATCGAAACATGAGATGAGCTCGAGCCCTGATAAATCCTTGATAAGCCAGTGAATGTTGCCGCGGAGAAACAGGCCGACGCAGCAGCTGTCGTAGGCGAAAGGGGTGGCGGCGACAACGGTCCTCCAGGCCCCTGTTCCGACAGTGTACACCTGGCATTCGGAGAAGGGCACGGCCAGGCAGGCCCGGGTGTCGGGATCCAGGATGCGCTCGTGGAACACCCTGACGACTTTGTATTCTCCGGCCGCCGTGGCCCCGAATCCGTGGGTTACGACGCTCGGGTATCTGACGGTGCGGCGCGGCGGCGGGAGCGTCGCGTACTGGCGCGTGACCGGATTGCATACGTACAGCGTCTCGTGCTTGTAGTTGATGTCCCGGAGGAACAGTAGCCCGTCGGCCGACCCGTCGACGACGACGTCGGCGTCGGAGAAGGCGCTGATATTAGCCACGTTGAATTGCAGCATAGTGCTGTGGGGAAGATGATCGCCGGCGGCGTTGTGACCGTCGTCGAGGTCGATTATTTGGAAGAACTTTTTGAATATTTCGGAGTGGCGGACGACGAGGCCCCGCCGGGCCCTGGAGAAGTGCAGGGAAGAAAAGTAAGGGTGGGTGATGAGAGCGTGCCATTGCTTGCAGACGGATTTGCAGTTGATGATGGTCCCGACGGGAAGCCTTGTCAGGATTTCGAGAATGATTTGGGAGGGAAGGTCCATCAAGAACCCATCATTGTTGGCAGTGTTCGGAGTAGTTAAGGCTGTGTTTGCTTTCTTCGCAGGTGGTACGGTGAAGCCCATTTCTCTCTAAACGTTGAGAGTGCATTGACATCGGAAATCTTGAAATATAATGGTGGGCGACCCGGTAAATAGTGAAAATTTGTGGGGTAGAATTGCTATTCTTTCTAATTTGCTCCCTACATCGATTTGACTGCATTCGTTGTCATTTTGAAATAATATATTCTGTTCACTTTTTAATACCTTTTAATTCATGGACTAACGTAAAAATATGTTTGATTTCTTTCGGATTTCGTGGACAGTGGACGCCACAGCCAATATCAGCGATGTTTTGCTTCCCGTGAAAGACTCCAACTTTCGGCTGGACCTGTTCGATTTGACACATGATTCTTCCAAATCAAGTATGTCCAATTACTTCTTGACGCGTCTGATCTTGGATGCATCATGTATGCGGTGGGTGATCGTCTAGGAACAGACGAGAAAGAACAAGAGCATGAATGACGCAAACAGGTTTCTGTTGAGTGAATTGAGGAGGCCCGGAGCCTTCTCTGTTTCGTCCACGTCAAGTTTACAGGAGGACAAGTGCCTTTCCATGGTAGCTCCCACGTCAGGGAGATTGAGGAACAAGGGAAAAGAAGAGTTGTGTAAATTCTGAAGTAAGTGTATTTAACCTATGCTGTTGAGACCGACATATTTGTTAAAAATGGTGCCTTAAAGGAGAGCAGATTACATATGGAGTCAGGAGCTCCATTGCTTCCTGCTTCCTCCACCCCGCACTTAAACTCATTCATAATATTGATATAATATTAGTTTTGATTTGATGTCTAATAGCAATAAAGATAATGACAGGTAAGTGTTTGATATCCGCACGTATTAATAATCCCTGAAAAGTGGAAGAAAAAGATTTGGGCACGTATGTTGCTTTGAGTCCCCACTTCTTGATCCCTTTGGAAAGGAAAAGGAGGGGAAAAGCAGTTTTGCAAGGCATCTAAAGAACCACTGACAGGTAGTTTCTTCTCCATGAAGGCACAAAAGGTGTTTTAATAAATGTCCAGTCTATTTCAGTAATTCTTGGTGGAGGTGGGTGAATATTGATTGGGTAACTGTCACAGTGTTAAAAATGAGTGATATTTATTGAAGGAGCTTTTCATATGGTGGGTGAATCATAGTTTGAAAATGGCTGATTTATGAATGGTTCACTGACTGAATTTGATATCAGGATGAGTTTTGGTAGGAGTTTTGAGTGTTGCATCTGAAATTCTGAATGCAAGGCCCTCTGAATTTTTAAGCGTATTTGATGAAATAACACTTTTATGTTAACTAAGAGCTATGACAGGAGGATCTTGGAAAACCAAACAAGAAATCATTATGTATGTTAAGAAATGAGATTTTCTCTTAACCTTTATTAAGCCAAAACTATGTTAGTGGTTAGTATCAAGTAGTATCACTAGTCCAATTATATCTCATATAAAAGACTCGTAAATAGTGTCCTATGTACATATGAATGAAAAGAGATCGTGACCCCCATCTCTTTAATAGCCGATGTGAAGGAGGAACCATTGTTAGGGCTTTGAAGATTGCATAAAATGTTTGATGAGATCCCCTAGCCTAATTCTTGTTGAGGGAGCTTTTCAGTATCTGACCATTGGTTATAATGCATTTCGGTATAAAAAATGTTGGAATATTCATTGAAAGAACTCTTACATGGCAGGGTAAACAATACTGGGAAACACTGATTGATGATAATTTGATACTATAAAATGCATATCAGAATGTGCTCACAATCACATTCTCGTTAAGATTCTTGAGTGAAAGAAAGGTCGGGGAGTGGAAGATTGCTTCTAAACTGTGGCCTGTCATGGATGTTGGTTGAATAGCTTTAGTTTTGTGGCAGTAGTAGAACAGGTATAAGTCCCCCCAACACATCAGGATGTCGCCGTCCTTGAAAATCTTGATGGGATGAACAGTTTCATAAGTTTCACCAACGTGATTAGGGAACTTGCTAATCACAAATTCTTTGCTCCATGATTTCTCCACTCCATACTCCTTCATGATCCAAATAACAATTTCATTTTCTGATGAATTATCACACAGGCACAGGGAGCCCTCCAGAGCTGCCAATTCCACTAGAGATTTCTGACTTTCAGGAAGATGAAATGGCGAGGAAAATGTGGTAAAGACTTCTCGTTCGAGATCCAGACAGGAAATTAAAAAAGAGCCTTTCAAATCTTTCACAAACCAGTGGAGACTACCGTTCAGCAGCACCCCATTGGATCGACAATTGTATTCCATTGGTTCTCCTGATCGAATGCTTCTCCAGGATCCTGTCTGAAGAGCATATATGTGACACTCATTTCTTGGAATGCTAAGCAATTCTTGCGTGTCAGGATCAAGGACACGATCATGGGAAATCCTAATCACCTTATATTGGCCTGTTAGTGAACTTACTCCAAAACCATATGTAACTACAGTAGGATAGTATCTTTTTTTGGTTTCCAGGCTTGAAATTTTTGTATACTCACGGGTGATCGGATTGCATATGTAAAGAGAATCAGGTTCTTGGCTGATTTCACGCAAGAGAAGCAATCCTTTGGCCGAGCCCTGTATCACTATACTGTGGAAGAGCCTCATGAAAGCCTGGACGTCAAATTCAGTGATAGGTATATAATGAAGCTCATGATGTTCAGGTTCTATCTCATCTTCAACTTCAAATAGCATGAGAAAAATCTCGGGCAGTTGGTATTGAAGGACGGCTAGCCCTGGAGTTGATTTAGAATGATGGGACTCGATAAACTCTGGAGTATTCAGCAGGTTGAGCCATGACTTGCACACACGTTTGCAGCGTATAATGCTTCGAACAGGAAGTCTTGATATAATATCGATGATGATTTCTGAAGGTAGATTTGCTAAGAGTCCTCCTCTGTTCATGTCGAGCCAAAGAATGGGATTGGGGGTTTCGAAGTTATTTTAATTGCTTCATATCTTAAGGGGTTTATAAACTATAAATTTCATGCCCTTTAGAGAATGTTCAAATTCAATCACTTGGTGGAAAAGTACAAGACTTTTTCTTTGTGCTTTAATGAAAGACTTGAATAGTTCCTTGGTCCTGGCAAAGTGAAGCTTCTTCTCTGAATTCTTGGTCAAATAATGTGGTCAATTGTGGTCCTGGATGTTGTTTTTGCCTTTCTGGAGGATATTTTTGCTTCTCCTTCAAGCATGACAATTATGCGGATGTAATGAAATATATGCTGATTTGCTTTGACTGTGTATGAGTTCCTCATCCTTGCTGCAGTCACAGAAACACAAATTGTACCCCAAGGCTCCCTCTTACGAAAAAGATTTTTGGAAAAAGATACGTTGGAAATGGCAGTACTCTGTAGACTGAGGTAGTTGTGTTCTTGACTGATTTCTTCATACTCTACCATCAACAACTTCTTTTCATTATAACCCACAACTTGATAAGGACTTTTCTCATGGGGAGTATGACCCGTGTCTGAGCATTTGTTAACTTTGAATTTAGGTATCAGAAAGTGAAGGTATAACAATAATACTGAGAAACACGCTTATGATTGACACTCTGAAGTGCATATCAGAATGATCTCACAATCACATTCTCTTTTACAAGACTCTTGAGTGAAAGAAAGGTCGGGGAGTGGAAGATTGCTTCTAATCGGTGGCCTATCATGGATGTTGGTCGAGTAGCTTTAGTTTTGTTGCAGGAGTAGAACAGGAAGAAGTCCCCCCAACACATCAGGATATCGCCGTCTTTGAAAATCTTGATGGGATAAACAGCTTCATAAGTTTCACCTACATGAATAGGATCTTGCTGATCACAAATTCTTTACTCCATGAATTCTCCACTCCATACTCCTTCATGATCCAAATAACAATTTCATTTTCTGATGAATTATCACACAGGCACAGGCTGTCCTCCAAAGCCCCCAGTCCCATTACAGATTTCCGACGAAATGGAGAAGAAAAAGTGGTGAAAACTTCTCTTTCAAGATCCAAACAGGAAATGAAAGAAGACCCTTTCAAATCTCTCACAAACCAGTGGAGACTACCATTCAGCAGCACCGCATTGGATCGACAATCGTATTTCATTGGTTCCCCTGGTGGAATGCTTCTCCAGGATCCTGTCTCAAGAGTGTAGATATGACACTCAGTTCTTGGAATGGCAAGCAAATCCTGTGTTTCAGAGGATACTTTCTTATATTGGCCTGTTAGTGAGCTCACTCCAAAGCCATATGTAACTACAGTAGGATACTTTCTTTCAATCTTTTCAGGGCTTGAAAAATTGGCATTACTCACGGGTGATTGGATTGCATATGTAAAGAGAATCAGGTTCATCAGCTTCATTGCTGATTTCCCGCAAGAGAAGCAATCCATTGGCTGAGCCCTGTATCCTTACAAACTGGAAGAGCTTCATGTAATCCTGGAAGTCAAACTCAAGGACAGGTATGAAGTGAAGCTCATGATTTTCAGGCTCTAACCCATCTTCAAATTCTAATATCGTGAGCAAATTCCCACGGCTTTCCTCTATAAGCATGGCTATCCCCGGGGTCGATTTAGAACTATGATAGTTGATAAAGTCTGCAGTGTTGAGTAGATTGAGCCATGATTTGCACACACATTTGCAGTTTATAATGGTTCTAACAGTAAGTTTCGCGAGTATATTGATGATGATTTCAGAAGGTAGATTTGCTAAGAATCCTCGATTCATTTTTTGCTGATTGAAAAGGGACTTTTTGAGTTATGGTGATTGCTTCATATCTTAAGGGAAATGCTCAAGTTTATAATTACTTGGTGGATAAGTTAAGAGATGATCCAAGACTTGGTCTTTTTGTCGAAGACTCAGTCTTTGAGGGTTGGTCTTTTTGGTGGACGAAATTTTTCTTTGCCTAAATGCAAGGCAAAATATGTTCTGTTAGAAGATATATGCTGATTTGCTTTTATGGTTACCTAAAGCAATTCAGTATAATTGAAAGAACCCTTACATGGGGACAAGATCGATATTGATGCTACTAAAATAAAAACATGGGAAGACAAAAACCATACTGAAAAACATATTGATTCACCATGATTGATACTCTAAAATGCATATCAGTATGTGCTCACAACTGCATCCTCTTTTAGTCGACTCTTTAGTGAAAGAAACGATGGAGAGTAGAGCATTCCATCCAAACATTCCTCCGACTGCGGCGTAAACACCGATATCGACTGAGTGACTTTAGTCTTATTACAGTAGTACAACATGTGAAAGTCCCACCAGCACATCAGGATGTCACCATCTTTGAAAATCTTGATTGGATGAACAGCTTCATAAGTTTCACCAATATGATTAGGAATCTTGCTGATCACAAATTCTTTCCTCCATGATTTCTCCACTCCATACTCCTTCATAATCCAAATCACTATTTCATTGTTTGATGTATTATCACACAGGCAGAGGCAGCTTTCCAGAACAGCAAGTCCCACTAGATTGGTTCGACTTCCGGGAAGAGGACATGGAGAAGAAAAGGTTGTAAAAACTTCTGTTTCAAGATCCAGACAGGAAATGAAGAAAGAGCCCTTCAAATCTCTCACAAGGCAATGAAAACGACCATTCAGAAGCCCCCCATTGGTAAGAAAAGTGTATTCCATTGGCTCCCCTGGTGAAATGCTTCTCCATGATCCTGTCTCGAGTGTGTATACACAACACTCGATTCTCGGAATGCTAAGCAATTTATGTGTTTCACGATCACGTATACAGTCATGGGAAATCCAAACTACCTTATGATGGCCTGTTACTGAGCTTACTCCAAAACCATATGTAACTACAGTAGGATAGCTTCTTTTTGTGTTTTCCGGGCTTGAAATTTTGGTATACTCGCGAGTGATTGGATTGCATATGTAGAGAGAATCAGGTTTGTTGCTGATTTCTCGCAAGAGAAGCAAACCATTAGTTGAACCCTCCAGTGTTATACTGTAGGAGATTTTTACTACATCGTCGATGTATAATTGTGTGATAGGTATGTAGTGAAGCTCATGATGTTCATCAGGTTCTAACTCATCTTTGATTTCAAATAGCGTGAGAAAATCCCCGCGCATTTGGTATTGAAGCACGGCTATCCCCGGGGTTGATTTAGAATGATGATAGTTGATAAACTCTGCAGTGTTGAGTAGATTGAGCCATGACTTGCACACGCATTTGCAACTTATGATCGCTCGAATTGGAAGTCTTGAGAGAACATCAATGACGATATCTGAAGGTAGATTTGCTAAGAGTTCTTGATTCATGTTTTGATGAAGAGCAAGGGAGTTTTTGAGTTTTGATTATTGCTTCATATCTTAAGGGATTTATATATATTACATTCCCTTTAGAAATGTTCATGTTCAAACTAACTTCATGGAAAAGTTCAGAGAGATGATCTAAGACTTTTTCTGTGTTTCTATGGAAGATTTGAATAGTTCTCCCTGGCTTGGTGAGGTTTCTTCTCTGATGTTCTTGGTCAAATAAATGTGACCAATTCTTTCTTGAGGAAAATTTTTCTTCTCCCAACTGCAAGGCAAAGTGTATTCTGTAATAAAAACATTTACTGATCTCCATACAACCTCTGTTAGTGATGACAGGCTGAATTCACAAAACGTTTGTATGAAATGCAAACTTGTATTATACAACAAAGAAAAAATGCAATATCATTACAAGTCATTTTTCGATTCTTGGAGGCAGCTTAAGCATTAAATCCAGCCTCATTTCATCCCGGAACGTTGTGTCGAAGGCGCGCACTCGCCGTGCTTTCCGATTGAACACCTCCGACAATGCGGAACGACGACGACGACGATGGCATCGGCATTGAAGCCGCGAATGTAGAGAGAGCACTTGTGCTACTCGTCGTCATACTCGTGCCGCCGATGGACCCCTCGCCGGCAGCCTTAGGAGCCGGTGGCCTGTCGATTTCGATCACTCCTTCCAGCATTTGAACAACTTTTCCCATCATAGGCCTTAACGAGGGCTGCTCTTGGATGCACCAAAAACTTACTTGAATCGCCCTCATTGCCTGCTCGATATTCACGTCGCTCCGGTCAAGCCTTCTATCGATAATTGCCTCGACGTTGCCCTTTTCGAACTCGTCGTAAGCCCACACCGAAAACTTCTTGTTACTCGTCTCCTCTGACACTTCGAAATTCCGCTTCCCGCTCACAATCTCTAGTAGTACCATTCCGTAGCTGTACACATCCGATTTCGAAGTTATCGGGAGGTTCGCAAGCCATTCGGGAGCCAAGTAGCCCCTCGTCCCCCGCACGCTCGTCAGCGTTCGGTACCGATGATCTTTCGGATTCACGAGCTTCGCCAGGCCGAAATCCGACACTTTCGCACAGTAGTTCTCGTCAATGAGGATGTTCTCCGGCTTGATATCGCAATGCACGATGCAGTCGCGGCATTCCTCGTGCAGATACGTTATCCCTCTCGCCGTCCCCAGCGCGATGCCGTATCGATATTCCCAACCCAACTGCTTCCCCGATTGCGATTGCGGCGCGGGATCAAAGAGGAAGCTGTCGAGCGAACTCTTCGTAATAAACTCGTACACCAGCAGCCGGTGCCGCCCTTCGGAGCAGAATCCGATGAGCCTCACAAGATTCAAATGGTGTGTCGTGCTGATCGTCGCGACCTCCATCCGGAACTGCTTCTCCCCTTGCTCAATCCCCTCCAGCTGCTTCACCGCCGCAGTCGTCTTGTTCGCGAGAACGCCCTTGTACACCGCCCCGAACCCTCCGGCTCCGAGCTTCTCCTTGAACCCTTTTGTCGCCTTATGAAGCTCCTTGTACGAGAACTGCACCGGCGCGCCGGATGCGTACTCGAGCAGCGCGTATTGCGACGATAGCCGTCCAAACTTTGCGCTGTTCCTGAGGCACCACCACCACAAACCACCTTCGACGAACAGCAATCCAGCCAGCGTCGCCACCACCACCACCGCAACCAACCACGCCGTCAGACGCCATTTCGTCGTCCGGCTAACAGCCGAATCCAGCGACGGATTAGGCAGTAGCGGCGAGCAGACTTTAACAAACGACGTGCTGGGAATCGCCGGCGAGTGATAGCCGCCGACGAAAGCGCTCGTCTTTAAATAACAGAGCCCCGAGCCGTCCGCCAATGCAGTCGACGAGACGCAATTCGATCCGACGAGACAATTCAATCGGCACGGCGATATCCCCATGAAGTAAACCTCCGTTGATAACTCCGGCGGGTATGTCAAGAACATGGTGTGATCAAGCTGCAGCATTGAAGCATTCCCAGGGCAGTCACTGATCTCCACTTTTCTCTTGCAGCCTTTCCTCGTATCGTTTGGATCGATTGGTTCGAAGTTGAGGGAAGGACATCCGCAGACAGGGTAAGAATCGTTGTAACTACAAACTCCCATGTTTCCGCAGAAGCCAAAGACCTGGCACTGATCGGTAACGGCTGCCCACCTCACGTCGACTCTGCCACTGCCTCTGGCGGAGCTGTAAATCCTTAAATTGCCGTCGCTGTCTAGTTTGAGGAATCTGAGGATGTCCCCCTCGTCGGCGTAATCGCTGCTGTAGGCTAAGTCTAGAGGGCTTGTAAGAGTGGGATCGGAGAGGGTAATAATGCCTAAGGGCTGAATGTCGAGAATTGGGTTTGTGAGGTTGAAATTGGCGGTGGAATTCAGGCCGGAATTGTAGTAGACGACGGTGTTGTTCCAGAAAAGGGTCAAGTTCCCGTTCGGCTGAATCTTGAAAGAGTAATTACCAGATACGAGGGTGTGATTGACGGTCAATCGCTGCGTGGGGACAATGGCGTCCGTCGGATGTCCGAAGGTGGACCAGAGGGCGGCGCCGGAGGAGTTCTTCAGCACGAAATTGCCGGATTCTTCGACGGACGCGGCGGAGACGCCGATGTTGGTGGTGCCGGAGGACCAGAGCGGAGTAGCGGCGGTGGAATTGGGGAGGAGCTGGAGGTCACCGGAAGGTAGGAGGCGGAGGACGGCGGAGGGTGCGAGTTTCGCGGCGGCGCCGACTTGCCAGATGGTTATGTTATTGTATGAGACGGCGGCGACGAGGGTTCCGTCGGATGCTGTGACGAAACTAACGGCGTAGGTTCGGTTGGACGAGGTCCACCTCGAATTGGGGTCGGAGGCGTAGAGGGTGGAGCCCAGGGGGATGTCGGCGGCGGCGGCGGCGGCGATGAGGTGGAGGAAGACGAGGAGCGGGAGCCTCATTTTACTACACAGTAAAGATCGGAGCTTTAGCGAAGAAACAGAGGCGCAACAGACACAGGTAGAAGAAGATGCGAAGCTAAGCAAAACATCTGGAGAATTATACTGTAAAATTATTGTCTTCTCAAAGGTTGTCCGTCGCCGGAACAGACTTTTTGACTTTTGATTTTGAATACACAGACAGAGCAGAGATGAAATGCGCAACTGACTGTTGTTGGTGACGACTGTACGGTGATTTACCTTCATTCTTCATTGGTCCCGGATTCCCTGGGCAATTCGAAATTGGATCGTTGTTACAAACATTCAGGAGCTGTAGTCCTGGAGTCTTCAAGAACGAATTATCTTCCCATCTTATTTACTGGGGCACAATTATTTCTTTGTTTTGTTTTTAATGAAATTGTGTTTTTTTTTAAATAATAAATTATTAATAATAAATAACTCGTGAAAGGACCGTTCTAGCTGTATGCTTTGAAGTCAAACCCTATATTTTCTAATCGTGTTGATTGGGTAAACGCATGTGATGTGAGTCTTCAAGACTTCTTTTTCTTTTTTACTTTTTGAATGCATTTATTATTGGGCCTACGGCCCATAGTATTTTTAAATTAATCTTGACCCAAATGGTTCGTGCATACATCAACAAAGTATTTACTTATTACCTATTGATTAAACTTACTAAAAATACAAACAAATTATTATTGTATTTTACTTTTTCGTATTATTTTATTTATTTCGTATGAATCGAAAAATAGTGCCGAACAAATCCACCACATTTGCAACAAGAATCTCTTGTAACATGGAAAATGATGGGCTGGGATTAAGAGGAAGAAAGCATTGAAGAAAAATAAAAAAACCCTACTGTTTTTGGGGCGCGTCGGTTGGCGACTCCGATCCCAATTTTTACCTTTGAATTATATACGTACTCAAATATACCGTCGAAGTTGTAGAAAAATGTTCTTTTTTGAGATTCAACGCATTCAGGAATAATAACCTCCTGTCGTCGTCACTCGTCACACTGTAATTCTTCGAGGAATCGGAAGTTATTCAACTGCTCCACTCCAGGTTTGTTTTGCAGATCCCATCATTTTGTGATGATTCTCAGATTTTAATCTGGATAGGCTTTTTCTGAATTTTATTTTTTGTCAATTGCTTATTTGCAATGCTATTGTTACCAATTTGCCATCGTCGTCTTGATTTGTGATTTGGGTATGGAATCGGCTTGTAGTTGATTGGCTTTCGTGGGTGAGTTTTTTGATTGATTTATTGATTGGGGGAAATTAGTGTTGATTTGAAATGGTTGTGTTGGTGTCAGAAAGAGATGCAGATAATGAAGAGGATAATATGAATGATTGCCTGAATGCTTCTTTCTTTGCTGTTTTGATTTGTCTGCATTTCCCATATGCTTCATTGGCTTGGTAGTGTTTTAATTGAAGACTCTTCTTGCTGCTACAATGTATTTGTTAATGAGCATTTGAAGTTTCTGAAAATCTAAGCAAATGAGAAATCAATGGAAGGTGTTTTTAGTAATCTTTTTTAACTATGGAATCCTAATCCTAATCCTAAATGTCGAATTCGGTCATCCGATGTTTTGTAAGGATGAACTGTGAATAGCAAATTGCATCTTTCTTCAAAATGTTGTGAATTTACTTGTCGATCATGCTTGAGCATGGAATGCAGTATTTGATTGTTTAAGGCTCGCCAGCCGGCCGTTGGACAAAGTTATGTTTGGTCTTGTTTGCGATTTCCCATTTTTCTTGTTGGTTTTGCTCGCCGAATCATTTGAGTTTCATTGAAAAGTAGGCTATGGTAAGAAACTTCAATCATGTAAAGCATTCTAGTTGTCGAATGCAGCGCTGCTAAGGATAACGTCTTGCTAAAAAGTGTTGTTAGGACGACATGAGCCTGGCATGCCTCGTGTGCCATGGAGAAAGCCCATCACATTCCTTCCGGAGCTGCTCTGTGTCAAGTTCAGACAGCGAAGGAAGATGCTCATCGATCGCCAATTGTTTGGCCAGGGCTTCGCTCCCGCATCCTCGATCCAACCACGGATTTGCATCATCTAAAGTGATGCCTCAACCTCCTACTCCAACTGGCGCTCCAAGACTCGTCCGGAGCCATGCAGTCAGACGGGACATTGTTAGAGACTGGAATTTCGACGAAGTGCGTTTGGAACGTTAGTCCCGACGATGCATCGATGCCATAGTTAGCCTACAAGATGGAAGCTTAACATCGCCATGTTTCTGTCTCGAAGCTTTTATGTAGCTAGAAATTTCAAAAATCCGATCTTTGTGTTTGTAACGTTGTGTAGCCGTTGGATATTCGATCGTTGTCGTTACTTCTTTGGATCGATCTGAGTAAATTTAAATTCAATTCAAATTTCTGTTTTAGAAAGTTCCAAGATCGAAACTTTATCTTAAAACCAAATGAAAATCCTATACATACAACATTGTTTCGAAACATTTGTAGAATCTTTAAATCAGACCTTTTTTAAGGGAAACACAGATGGCTAAAATCGTAAAATTTTCGTTGTATACCGATACTATGATAAATTAAGGTAGTTAATTTGTAGAGGCTTGAATCGAGAGGATTCGATCCAATGGCTGCCAAATCACCGCCTCTGTGCTTCGTTCTCACTCTCCTCTCTCTCCTCTCAATCACCTTCTTCTACCTGCATTCCATCTCCCCTTCGTCTTCACCAAATCCCAAATCATCTACCCTCTCAATAGCGCAGAGTTCCCTCAGAGTCTTCATTGCGCCCCTGCCAAGGTCCCTCAACTATGGCCTCCTGGACAAATACTGGGCTCTGACGTCGGATACGAGGATCGGGAGCGAAGTAGACAATGAAATCAGGAAATCCTTAACGGGCAAAGGTTCGGGGAATCCTCAGCCATTCCCTGAAAACCCTATTATTAAACAGTACAGTGCTGAGTACTGGATCTTAGGGGATCTGCTCACCCCCGACGGCTCCAAGGGCGAATCTTATGCAATTAGGGTTTCGGATTACAAACAGGCGGATGTGATCTTCGTCCCGTTCTTCGCGACGATGAGTGCGGAGCTGCAGCTGATCATTAACAAAAGCGTTTTCAGGAAAAGGGTCGAGGAAAACGAGGATTATGTGAGGCAGAAGATGGTGGTGGATTTGGTGAAGAAATCGGAAGCCTGGCAGAGGTCTGGTGGCAGAGACCATGTTTTTGTTCTTACAGGTAATTAAATTCTTCATAATTGATCCATCGTCTTCGAATGTTCATCAATTTCCTGAATTTTGTGATTGTCCTGAAAGAACTTGTATTAAGTATGAACCCTAATTTCAAAACCTGTAACGTAATCAATAATGGTGCATTGCTGTTGCCCCCATTCATGAAATGTGCTCTTGATGTTGGATTTATCCGATTGGAAACCATGGGATAGGTGTAATTCCTGTAATAGTTTTAATTTCTCGATTGCCAGGTTGTGTTAAAACTTGAAGCATTCTTTGGCAGACCCTGTTTCAATGTATCATCTCAAAGATGAGATAGCTCCGGCAATCCTCCTCCTCGTCGATTTCGGCGGCTGGCAACATCTCGACGCGAAAACATCCAACGGCTCATCCGACAACGAAATGATCCATCACACACAAGTGTCGTTATTGAAAGATGTTATCGTCCCGTATACTCATTTACTCCCCCGCCTGGACATATCGAATGATCGAAAGCGCCACCAGCTACTTTACTTCAAAGGAGCCAAACACCGCCATCGGGTTTGTAATAACACGTTTTGTCGATCTTGGTACTAAGTTTCCGGCATGTCGTAAAGCTTTAAGTGTTTGCAGGGCGGGCTTGTTCGAGAAAAACTATGGGACATACTAATAAACGTGCCCGGCATAATAATCGAAGAAGGTTTCCCCAACGCCACCGGAAAAGAACAGTCGATAAAGGGAATGAGGTCGTCGGAATTCTGCTTACATCCGGCAGGTGACACTCCGACATCGTGTAGACTTTTCGATGCCATTCAAAGCCTCTGCATACCCGTCATCGTCAGCGACAACATCGAGCTCCCGTTCGAAGGGATCGTCGACTATTCAGAATTCTCTGTTTTCGTCGCCGTTAGCGACGCGCTGCGGCCAAATTGGCTGGTCAATCATCTCAAGAGCTTTTCTACCGAACAAAAGGATCAATTTCGTCGAAATATGGCAGAGGCTCAACCGATTTTTCAGTACGACAACGGTTATCCCGGTGGGGTTGGCCCGGTTCCCTCCGATGGCGCAGTGAACCACATTTGGAGAAAAGTGCATCAGAAAATTCCGATCATAAAAGAAGCTGTTACACGGGAGAAACGAAAACCGGCCGGAGCTACGGTTCCTCTCCGCTGCCACTGTATTTAAAATCCGGTTGCATTCGAACTCGAATTTTTACGATGTCTTGATTCTATTAGTTTTCTTACAGTCTGGTTTTTGTTCAACATATATACAATTGATGGTGTTCAAGTTGTCTTCTGAATTGTGAGAAACGTTAGTTGTGGTAACTTTTGGGTAAGATTTTAACATGATCATCCATTTGGGTTAAAATACTTTCTCTGGTTCACATGTAAGAAATACCAGTCAGACTTGACAAGCTACACTCAACAAGAAATCTGTGATCTGTGAATGAATTTTCTCACCATAGATGTCATAATATGGTACTCTGTTATATTACATCAAGAAAGGATGAAGTCCAAAGTGAAGCAGAGAAGAGGATGATCTTTGGGGATTTTTACAAGAATTCAGGTAAGAACACAGTTTAAATTCTGCATAATTATTCAGCATATACTGTGATTGCCATATAATATCTTATGATTCTTCATACAATCCTGGAAAAAAATACAAATTTACATCCATCTGCATTCTGCAGCTAACCAAAAACATGCAATAATATATTTTCATTTCATGAAACATCAGTACAAGCCTCTCAATACCTTTCCCTTTTGTTTTTACAATTACCAAAAACATCATTCATGCATAGATACAACAAATATATATATATATATATATTTAAATGTATGTATGTATGTAAATAGGCTATGCTGACCTATAAATATCGAAGTACCCCCAGAACTAAGCTGTAAAAAATATAGCAGAAGAGGGGACAGACCAACGGCATTTTATGACAATATATATACAATAAGACATTAAGTTTACGATAATATAAGAAGACTTCAACAGACAACAGAGGAGATAGACATAACTCATGTAAAGAATCCATTTTCCTCCCCAGAATGTGGAGATTTCGAAAAACTCACTCCATTTTTACCTTGCACCGGAGATGTCGTGCAAGATGATTCGTCGCCATGGCTTCTTTGCTTCACAGACGCCTTCGTTTGCGATGAATCGGCAGTCTCGGCAGGGCCACAGAGTCTGCAAGGGTTGGAAGATCTTCGGGAACACCAGTGATCGGGGACACTCAAGAAATGGGTGTCGATGAACTTCCTAAATCTCTTTTTGTATTCCTTTGGAGAGATGATAGTCGGCAACTGGTTCTTAGGAACAACGAGCGAAGATTTTACCCAGTTCTCGAGCTGCTTGTCCCAAGTATATTGCCGGAGATAATCGATGATGCCGCAAACCAGTTCACGGCGATGAGTGTCGACTCCGACGAGTAGAGAATAGTCCATCACATTTACCGACTGAAAAAGATAAAAAAAAAAAAAATCGCACGCAGTCAAAATCGACGTAGGATATCGATACATAGGGTACCGAATCGAATTTTAGGCGTCACTTACGTTGAGGAAATTTGTGTCGTTGTACACCGCTCGCTGCAGATGGCGCTTCGATTTCCTGCTGACATAAAGCGGAGAAACGTTCATATCGTTTACAAAATTTTGATCCAATAGAACATCCCCGGCACCGTTGCCGGACGAGTTAAATCGCGCATGCAGCGCGCCTTTGAGATCATACTGTCTGGCCATTTGTCGGCCAAACGAAAGATTCTCCATCACCAGAAGATCATGCCTCGCCTCCTTCCCGTTCGCAGTCACTCTTATGACAACCTACAAAATATGCGGATCGTTTAAAAAATTAACAGACCTATAACACACAAGAAATTGGTAAGAACGACGAGGGAACCTGGTAGATGCCAAGGATTTTAGCGAGACAGGTCTGGTTTCCCAGCTCATAGCACTGATTCATGTACTCGAAGTAGTTAGGCGCAAACTTCATAAACGAATCGAACTCCGTCCTCTTTATTTCTTTGATAATAAACCGATCATCGAGCGTTTTGGCGAAAAAGGATTTACTCTTTCCACCTTTGGCATCCCAATTCCGACAACGGCTAAGGGAAGCAATGTAGCTGACTTCCGAAGGACAGCAACGATCTCGTAATTGACGGAACTCATTAGCGTACACGCACACGACAGAGTATTTACGCGATCCCGGATGCTTCCCCAAACCCATAGAGACTTCGGGGTGATTAGCGCCGTAAGAAACCAACGAATTCAACAAATCTAAACCATCGAAGCTGGAAGAATGCAAATCTTCCAAGGATTTGAGAGGCGGAGTGTGGATGCCATCAGAATCTAAGGATCCGTTCGAAGACCAACGAGGTGCCGTCAGCGAATACATTCTCGGAAGGCTTTCCTTTTCTCGTTGGCCGTATTCTGTTAAATCCACATCTGATCCGATAGGCACATCCATTAGTAAGGTTAGAGCGCAAGCTATTATGCTCGAGAATTCATCTTCGTAGTCACAGACAACACAGTCGTTGGGACCAAGAGGTATATGCAGCCTTGAGCTCTCATCCAAAATCAGTTTCTGCGCCACAGATTCGCCGGAATAACTATTACAAGACTCGAATTTGGGTAAGTACCCTCTCTTGAGATCCTCCATGTATTCATGAAAAATGTCAGAAATCGGAGCCCATATCCAACCTTTATCCTCTTCTAAATCCGATAGCATCGACACGTTGTGCTTACCGTTTACCAAATGGTTCGTATCAGGCACTGCCGCTTCAGTATCGCCCTCAACGGAACCCATATTATCTTCTGAAGCAGGTCTCGCCGTGTATTCGTTAAATGCTGATCCATTTTCCTTCGACTTACTCATTTCCGGATTCACAACATCATCAGAAACAATAGTTCCAGAGACAAATTTACCTTCCCCGGATCCTTCGATTGGAATTTCTTTGATAATAAGATCACTGCTGTTTGTAGATGCATCCAGCTTTATTTCAGATTCAGAAGTAATTTCTATAGCACTGTCGTATTTTCCGACATCGACTTCTGCCACACCGAGGAGTTGTACGGTTCCATTCTCTTTCAATTGCCGATGTTCTTGCACTTGCGCATCAACTGAATCAGAATTTATTAGCTTGAGATGCGACGACAGCAGTGCATGTAGTCTTTGATCCCAGATACATGATTCCAACAAAAGCTCCATTCGAACTCTATTTAAGCTCAGAAGTTTACAAACGGCGTCATCTTCAGTTTCATTCTTCATGGCATTGTGAACCGCAGCCTAAAATTTCATCAGACAGCCGAGCAAGATGAGATTATACAAATTTCACATTGTCTCTTTCACTTCCTAATTTATGTTCGAAAAGAAGAACATATAAAATACCTCGAATTCGGATTTTTCCTGATTCAGCATCTCCAGAACATCTGAGAACTCCTTGCTTGAGCCCTGGATGTTCAGAGTTACACCATCATATCGATTACGGAGGTCCATCAATGATTTCTCAATCTCAAGGAACATTGAGATTCCTTTTGAGTAGATCTGGAAGACAAGAAACCAAAAAATCAGTCGAACAATGAATAGCTAGTCATAAACTTAGCCAAACAACAAGTTCAACAGCTAAGATCAAATAACACATTCATAGCTGTGCATACATTTTCAGAATCTTTCCTAAGAAACTCTGCTTTGACTGAAGAGCTGAACTCAATTTTCTGAGGCGGCAGTGCTACTGAATATGTGACGACCCGTGAGTATTTGAACATAGCAACCATGGTGCCCAGCCTATACATAATCGCAGTCTTGTAATTACTTGCCTTGCCGAAAAGAAAATATGGGACAGTGGATTGAACTTCCAAAGTATGACTTACCCGAAGAAGTAGAGGAAATCCTTGTCGAAAAAATGGCCACAGCTAGATGGCCTATTGAATGAAGAGTAATTCGAAAAACCAAGTTCCAAAAACTTCCCAAATGACAAGCCACGAGCTGCATTGGATATCAATACCCTTTTTGTAGACTTAGAGCTCCCATCCTGAAATTTACATCGACCACAACGGCTCCACATCCAAAGCCTTCCTTCAGTTTCCCCTGGCAGAGCTTTACTTCTGGGAAGTCGTCTAAGTTGGACTGTAAGCTGCTTATTATGATGTGCATAGTAGAAGGAGTGCGCCTCGAGGGGTTCGTCGCAGGTCTTGCACTGGAGTCTCTGCATAGTGGAAAATTAAAAGTGAGTTCTAATGTATAAGCCTGCCTGTGCTTAAACAACCACAAGGGGGATGACTTTCGAAACCTGATTGAGTAACCTATCCTGCAAAAATTTTCCCAGTGGAACATCGAAGCTCCGGTAGAACTTAATATGTGAGAAATGGCTTTGCTCACAAATAGTCCCGCGTGAAGCATTTCGGCTGGACATCAAAATCAAGATGCTCTCAGAGTCCAAGACTGAGTTGATATCATCTTTGTTCTGCAAGTGGTCTCCATTACCATCACTGCACTTGTTTGTCTCTGAAGCTTCCGGGAGTGAAGGCTTCTCTTCATTGATGGGGTTCTCTTCCTTATATCGAACCTCAGGCTGATCTCCATTGTGATCTACAGTATCAAGAGAAATTTTGACATCTTGTTCGCCTTGGCTGTTCTCATTTCTTCTGTCGAAATTTGGTAATTTATGAGACAAGTCGGAGAGAAGTGGAAAACTATCATTCATAACTTTCTGAATAGATGTTGAAATAGATAATCCCGGAAATGTTGCTGGACTGCAAGCCCCAAATGAGAACGAAGGATCGCCTTCTGATGACAAGATTAGTTCATTTGATTCAACTTTCCGGGATCCATTAGGAATCTGAACGTCATCAGATGCAGACTGTTCGTTAGTAAGAGCTAAATCCACTGCATCGTTAGGTGATAATGTGGAGAACATCGCAGTCTGATCAAGAAGGAAGGAAGTCTCGAGCATCAAATGATACGCCATCACAACTGCGCACCGCACTACACATTTAACCCGTTTCAGTTCATCACTGTTGGCTCCCATTAGCAGGATCTGTGAATGGAATCGTTTAATAATTAAGCTCACGAAACAATAATAAAATGCATTCACTTCCTATTTCGCACTAATTCAAGGACATTGTATGCATGTTCGTTGATATTCTTTTATCTGTTTCCAAACTGTCAACATAGCTTAAGTTTAAAAAAATCTCATCAAAAACCATCAATCCATATAGGTAAGCCTGCCTGGCATAATAATGGAAATGACGAAGAAAAACGTACCGTACATCCCTGGCGCGAAGGAGCACCCTCGAGGAACATCAAAGTCTTCCTCGGCTTTTTCCCACCTTCAGTGGAAACACAGAGCTCTTCTACGAATTTCTCGATGTGGAAAGAATCACACTGTCTAAGTTTTTGACCTATAGAAACTTCCTGTGCCAAGATAGGCGACCCAATACAACGAGCAACTCTCTCCAAACGGTGCAGCTTCATATCAATGACTAATGTTATTCCTTTCGCAAGAATCGACTCTTGTATGCCCCGAGAAACTGATTTCTCAACTAAAATAACATTGGGATGGTGCTTGTCGATCATATCAACTATAGATTTTACGTTCTCCTTTTCCTGTCAACGGAATATAACATTAGAGAAGACAAATAGAACATGAACATATCATATTTACACAACGGAGTCATTCCTTTCACCTGCTTCATCGATTCAAATGAGGACAAACCACCAGAAGAAAGATCGAGCGAGCCATGTATCAACAACAACCTCGGATTTTTGTAGTTAGTCGCCATATGCTTGTGAGCAGCATTCTTTTTGAACACCAAACCTTTGACTAATCGACTACAAATTTAGAACCAAAAAAGCGAAAAGGTCAACCCAATTATAAACCAACACTTCAAATACACAGAACTGACCACACTAAACGATGAATCTGCTAAAATGTTTCCACTGTCTATGCAATAACAGTAAAAGGTTCCATTAAAAAAAAAATACCTTTGGGAGCGCAATCCAGTACCAATGCATTTAATCTTCACATATCCATCGGGATCCATAGCCTTACCCTCCTGTGCATCAGGCTTCACAAAAGCAGCGGCTTCCCATGATAGTGCAGTCACTATATCAACCCAATTCTCACCGCCATTGTCCAATAAATCAACGCCAACGGACTTCAATAGTTGGCTAACAAGGGCTTTAAATTTCCCATTTTTAATATCACTCATTGCTTTAATCTTCTCCTCTTTGAACTTGTAACTCCCACTGTCTTCTTCTCCGAAGCTGCTTAAAGAACTAGGCTTCCCCCAGGTCTCACCATCGCCAAATTCATCGTCATCGTCATCATAACTTGTTATACTTCCAAATACATCATCCTCTTGGTCTACTGCATCGGGAGGAAGCCAGAATTCAGCATCTACATCATCATTCAAAAGAGATGATCCGCACGCCTCGTCATTAGATGAACTCAATCTTTCGCTGCCTCTTTCCAATTCTCCCTTATCTTCAGCAATTTCTACATCCCTATCAGATGCCAAACTATTGACACGACCAACTTCTCTAGAGTCGTGTTTTGATGTATCATCAGTTTGATGAAATCCATTTAGATTAACTGGTGAGTTTGCACCATTCTGATTCCTCTTTGCTGTAGAACCAGAATCCTCCTGGCTACTGTCGGTGCCGCTGTCTTCAACATATCTCCTGTGAGTGGAAAAACAACATATAAGCTCAATGACGAAAGCATGGAAACAAAATTGAACAAATGAAACAAAATATGTACCGGTCGTAAAAATTGGCATCCACTGAGACGTCACCTGGAAGATAAAGCAACAAAAGATATGCAAAAATGAAAACATGCTCAAATAGAATGAAAAACAGATCGAGATAAGTGAATTGAGAATACTGCAGTTTGAGATTGTGCTTTCACTGCTTCCAAATGAGGGAACAGGGCTGATTGATGGCATGGCAGAAGAACCGGAGCCCTCTTGATCTACAGTGTCTTTGTTCCCTGCGCCACAAACCATGCCGAATAACTCAACAATTATCGAATATTAAATCCACTCCCCTTCCAGCCTAAAGATTCAAATTTTCAAACTTGGCAATTCAGTGCACTTGAGCAGAGTGTGAAACAAAAATGATCCTCCAAAATCAATATGGAGAAATCAGAGTGAGAAAGAATCCTGGAAAACATAAAGTAAAAAACTAACAGAAGAAATTGGAAACAGAAACCATGACATACAATATGATCCTGAAAGAATACTCATTATGGATCATGATCCCAACCAAAATAACCACAAAGATGGCATAACCATATGACTTGAGTACATAAAACATGCAATCCTGAGATCGTAGAAATGGATAACCCTGAATTAGCTGTTAAGCCAAACAACGAATGGATAAATGATAGAAAAGAACAGAACGAAACTAAGGAGTTTGTGGATCAACCCTAGGACAACAAGGTAAGTGGTGTTGGTGCTAAATGAATCAACACTAAGCTCGATGAATCTTGTACAAGAAAAGTTCGAAACTTTACAAGAAATCATGTAAGTAAGAGAGTGGCAAATGTGACACCCTTTGGTTAGTATTACAAATCCTATCAGTTAAATAAATATATAAATTCTAATCAAAACCCTTCTCAATAATCAATTATAATCTTAAGATCAAATCAACCACTATGATGTGGTTAGTATTACAAATACTATTGAAGCCCTCATTTGCAATCAAAATTCCAAAGAAGAAAAAACAAAGTTCTACATAGACCTAACCTCCACTACTAATTTCATCCCTTCCAACCTATCCCACGATTCTTGTTCGTATCCCAAATAGCATCGGTGGTATCAAAGCAAATATTTCCATATACATATAGGAAAAAACACTTCCAAATTCGGTTCCACTATGAATAATTCAAAGAATCATATGATTCATCAGAACCACTTCCAAATCAAACAAATGCTTCGACCAGTCAAAACAATGAAATCTGCAGAAGATGAAAAGAATCAACTACCCAAATGGGCTATATAATTCATGAGCAGCTGATCTGTTGACTTCCCAAGTCAACAAAAATCACACCGTCCAATTCAGCCAAAATCGAAAAAGATCACGATCGCTTTACGGATCCTTCAAAAAAGAATACACACAACAGGCCAAGAAAAATTCAGAAAAAAACTAAACTAGAATCTGCAAAGCTTACTCGAAAAAAAGCAGATCCAGAAATCAAGCAAGCAAGTAAACCCTCACCTCAAACACCTCCTCCAGAAATCAGTACTAGCATAACCAATCTTGAGAGCCCAGATTATGTCCCTTCCTTGAACTACAAAAGAATTGGAAATCGTGCTCATTCAAGAACCCCAACCAAGTCAGAGAAAAGAGGTGCTGTGCTTCACCAAAGAAGTAATGACAGAATTCAAGAAAGTTTGGAGGAAAGGAAAGTAAGGAATGAAAACATTGAAAAGCAAGCAAGAAATTTTTGTCCCAAACTGGGCCCCACCAAAGACACAGCCTTCACCACCGCTCATCCAAAAATATGAAATTCAATTCTGGCAAGCATTCTTGAGGCGACCGCCACAATGCCCATTGCCCATTTGGGTGCGCTTAAATGCTCTCCGATCCATCATCACCATCACCATAACACCATTTCAAACAAATAAAGATTATTTTTTTTCCTTCTTTTTTTCTTAAAAAAAAAAAGTCAATTTTTGGTTTGGGTGAAAAAACCTTACATTATTAAAGTGATTTGTGGATTATTATTGTAAGAACAACTGGTCTCTGTGGGTTCGCTTTCACACGCTTGTAATAAATGATTTATATCGAGATTTTTTTATACAGTAGATTTTTATCGATTCTCATTATCGTATTCTGATATTTTCCATTTATGCTCCCTATTTATATAATTATTGAATTTGATTATTTAGAAAGCGAATAAGAAGAAAAGGCGTGTTTTTGGCCCCACAAAAAGCGCCACACACCCCACATTAGCGACTTCTCGTCATACTATTGGCCATCCCCAAAAACACATCAAATTATCCACCAATTAAATAAATATATAGTAATTTTTAATGCAAAATACACAATGAATAAAAAATTATCCAAGTATAATATATAATTATTAAATTATACGAATATATTATTTTAAAAAATAAAAGATGTGTGAGAATCTTTCTTATGACTCTTCTTACCGTTTCCACAATTTTCTAGTAGATGTATTTTCCTTTTTTTTTAATAAAAAGACATTTTTATTTTTAATTTAATTTAATTATAGGCTTTGTTGGAATCTAAAGCAACTACGCAATTTTTTTATTTTAGTTGACCGGTCATTATGGGCTGATAGCTGACATTCTATCAAACCTCTCCATTTTCAACGCCGGACAGATCTACACCCTTCAATATGTCGGCCCCACGCTATGGACGGCTAAGATTTATCGGCCGGTAGAAGTCCCGGGAGCGGCCAAATGGCCAGTGACTACTTCTCCTTAACTTCAATTCTAAAATTATTGGCTTAATTTTTTTTATTCGAAAAAAGGGCAACAATTATTTTATTATTTTAGAAAACTTAATCATTTAAATATGCACTTCAACAAAGATGACATAAGCAATTGGTAAGATTTTGTGGCTCAGAATGCATGTTTCATTTCTTGTTCATCAATAGTTTTAATTTATTACACTTGAAATATCTTAATTTTTTTTACTTTGATTTATAAGTATTATCATTATTAATTGATGTTGATTTATAAATTGGGCCAAGTGGGCCGAGACTTGTATATTGGGCATGGTTATTAGCCATTTTATTCTTCATGGGCCTTTGGAAAAGCATAAGCCCATTTACATATGATTCCTTAAGTAACCAATTTGACAAGTTTAGTTTACTTATTATTCTAGTAAAACAAAATGCAATAATAAAATGACATGGGCTTTAAATATTGGAAATAATTCATGTACCTAAAAAGGGTCCTATTGATTTTCTGTCAAATGGTCCATATTGTACTTGAGAATGAAATGCCCATAAGTTATAACCAACCCTAAGCCATATATTTATCTTCATGTATTTATTTGAGTAGGTCCAAATATTTGGTTCCAACTTAGAAAATAAAAATGTTACTTATTTTTTGGGACCACTAATTCACAATTATTCTATTTACATGTATATATATATATATATATACACACATATATGAACATATTTGATGTAGAAACATTGGTGTTTTATTATGCAAGTTCAAGTTACCATTTCGATGAAAATTAAATGGCTTGATTTGATAACCAATGGGACAATAGTTTTGATATTATCCACCCCTTTTCAATATTTTAACCAGTATAGTTTGTCTTGAAGGATTTCAATTACAATTGATATATATATATATATATTATTTTGTAAAATATAAGTGTAACAAGAACACAGAAACATATGAATTGTGGGGTGTAGTGTTTGTTTGATGTGATCAATACAAAGACAAAGTATTGGCAACAAAACCATTCAATGCACACGTGTGTTCTCACATTCTTCCAATATTGGATTTGTATGATTAAGATAGACATGTATTTGTGAATTTATTTTATATATATATATATATATACATATAGGTGAGAAAAAATGAATTAAATGTGAAGGGCCTATTGCAAGATTTCATTTGCATTATTGATGAGGGGTGGGGATGTAGAAGAGATGAGATTGGCCATGAAATATGTCTCTTAAACCATATCCACTTGCTTTGTTGTAGTAGTACATGCAACATTAATTCAATGCATTCAAGACCTATATATATATTTCTTACAAGAAACTTTGAAATTAGATCCAAAACTTGTCAAGATTCAGTTCTTGTAAGATGATTCTTCCACCCAATTAAATTCAAATGATTCTTGAATATAATATTCTTTATTCTTTTTTAATCACAAATCAATAATTGTTTTACAACAATTAGTGGAAATAATACTTCAACAAACAAAGTTCCACTACAATTGAAGCTAAGGTAGAAAATTGCTATTCTTGTTGATACAACACATTAATTAGTATTTCTACTATTCCACGTATTACTTTATTTGGTTCCACGGTCATTTCTATTACCAAATTTATAATAAAATCAATATTGTTACAACAGAATAATATTACAATTTTTTATAACCAAAAAAAAGAAAGAAAGATAACAATGGAAATGGCATATATTGGTGTCTCTATAAATATATTAAAGTCCACACCTACTTGTGGTACTATATTCACTAGCACACATAAATGCTTGCTCAAATATATTATTATTATTATTATTATTATTATTATTATCAATTTAATTATCTTTAAAAAAAATTGTATATATAGTAAGTGGAAAGGAGCAATACACACAACACACAAAAGTAAAGTACACAGACATACAAGAATTATATATAATGATCATTGATTTATAACACAACATGTGTTCAGTCAGACAATAATTGAGAATTCCTTTTTTTTTTTTTTTCTGAATTAATTATGTAACTGTATATTAAATTTATTTGTTTATTTTTCTTATTAAAAGAAACATGATTTGAGGGTAGATTTGTTTTGCTAATTATTAATGTAATTGCATGCCCAAAATGAGACAACGCCTATGATGAAACAACAGCTGTAGTGCCTGTAATTTATCATGGAATTCTTTTATTATAAATATATATATATATATGATTGCAGGATTTTCATAATAATAATAAAAATATTAACAATAAGACCAAAATGGGTTTTGGTCAATTGTATTAAATTATATAATCGTGATTGTTATAATTAGATGGATTATAAAATGAAGTGTACTTAAAATGGTCCCCTATTGAAAAATATTAATTAATACACACATGAATGAGTGGATACATTGATTTCAATTTCTCGACCAATCATCTCTTGTTATTCTTTTATTGGAAAAAAAAAATGAATATTAAAAACATTTTCTAATGAGATTTTTTTTCTTAAAAGAAGTATAACAAATATAATAATAAGTAGAAATAGAATACAATATACAGATGTTATTAAAGTCCCTACTTGTGCAACAAAATAGTAGGGTTACTAATATTTCTTTTGTAAATCCAAATGAATATATACTAAGCTTAATAAGTTTATGATGAAACATTTTAAATGAAATATAGGTTTTAATTGTGATATTTTTTAGAGATATATATAGTGGAAAGACATGTCAGAAAATATAAGTATACAATGTTAATTTATATACTAAAAGAAAATCAATATCAAGGAGTGTTAATTCTTAGTTCAAGTCCAATAGTTATTTTTTTAAAAAAAAAAATCAATAAAATACGAAAATTATATACTGTATACTTATGTAGGTATTTATATGTGTATACGTGTATATATATACATGGACCATACAGTTGGATCCACCAAAAGTTCATTAAGAGGAAAGGGAAACATTCTTGTTGAAACAAGTCAAATAGCATGGGTTGGAAAATGATATATATATATATATATATGCAAATGGATTAGTTTGTGAATTATCCAATTACATTGAAAATAAAAAATAAAAATAAAAATAGAGCTCATAATCAATAATATTAATAGATTATATATAGCAACTTCATAAAAGTACAGAAAATTGTAAAGCATAATCCAAGAATATTGTAGCATACCGTACAAAGTCAAGACTAGTGTACGATCATAGTACACTAATTCAAGATTATGTTGTAACACCCTCATCCACCCAAATTTGAAACTATATTAGAAGTGGAATTAAGAAAATAAAGTTCACCTTAAAGCATGTTATTTAAGTGACGGAATTACCCCTTGTTCCAAGCATTAGATTCTTCATGCAAATAATAACACTAAAGACTTTTCTAATTGTAAGAGTGTAAATAAAGACCCAAAAAGAGTATGCTATAAAATCCAACACCCACCAAGAAAATTCAAGCAAAAAGATGTATTTTTTTTTCTTTTTTAATATAATTAAAGAATAAATTAGAGGGGAAAATGATCCAATAATTAGGTGCAGGTGATATGGGCAGCAAGGGAAAAAGGGGCACCCAAATCAATAGCCTTAAATAATGGACCATAGTCCCTAATTCACTTTCCAATGAGATCTCAAAGGACCAACAAACATCCTCTCAATTGTCCCATTCCCCAAAAACCCACGTCCACTTTTCTTTATTAATTATTAATTATTAATATTAATAATAATATCGACAACAATAAACATGGCTTTAATAAAAAATAAATAAATGCAAACCCTAAATGCACATACACAGTAGAGATGAAATAAAATAATATATAATGTATATGTTACGAAGATTAAGAGAAATTATTGTTCATCCCACATAAGATGATTGAGTGATGGGTCCAAAAGGGCCACTAATGGAAATGGAATGCTACAAAATATCATGTGGGTTTGTTGATTGTAAGGTGTAGGGGAAGCATCATGCATTGTACATACTTCAGGACTATAAGGCTGTAAGAATTTGAAAAGGAAAAATATACATATACATATATAGATATAGATATTAAAAGAATCTTGAAAAGGGGAAATAATGGGAAAGGGTGGCTTAAAAAGACTTTAAATTTGAGAGGAGAGCACACAAACACAAACACAATGCAAATACAAAGAATCTCATCATTCGAAGCTCCCCTTTAACACAACACAAGAACAAAACCAAAGGGAGATATAGAGATAATAGATATTGTATTAATATGGATCTAGGAGGAAACAAAAACCCACAAATTTCAATGAGAAATAGAGGGGAATTAAAGGTGCAAATTCATTGCTCGAGGAAGAAAACTAGGAAAGAAGAGACCAAGGGGAGGGGGGTGGCACCACAATCCAAAACCCAAATGGATTAAATGACTAAGAGATGGATAGAATTAAAGACAAAGATGGGTCAAAATTGGACATAGTTTTTTAGGTGGTCAAACACATGACAACCCAATGAACTCAATCTCACATCATTAAGACCATTGCCCCAACACCCCAAAAAAGCCATACAAGATATTTATTAGTATTTTTTATCAACCTCCACAATAACAATAGTATGTATGAATATATTTCCTTTTTGTTGGATACACAATGATGCACCAACCCTTTCTTTAATTATTTTTCTCCCATAGTTTCATTTCACCACTCTTTGTTTCTAAGGGGGAAAAAAGGGTGTTTTGTTTTTCCCCCTTTTTCTCCTTTTCTCCTCTCTTTCTCCCCATTAAACTATGAAAATGGCAGATTACCAATCATCCTTTCCCCTCTATAGGAAACACCCATCATTGCAGCCAACAATCCCTTTCATCCTTGGAAACCTGAGCTTCTAAGTTCAACATTCCCACTTTGCAATTTAAATACCACATTCTTTGCGGCAATCCATCCTCCCTCCCTCTCCCCTATCCACCTCACCCCCACCCCATCCTATCCCATCACACTAAATTAATAAAACTTCTCACTCTTCTAGTTTCACTTTCTTCCTATGATGGATCCTTCCTCCACAAACTCTGTAAATGGTTTCTACAATTATCTGACCAGAGAGATAGATGATCTTGAAGGACTTTTCTTGAACAGCAACTTCATGTCAGTTCATTTCCTGCAGAGGGTTTTATCCCTCTTGAGATCCTTCCACAACCAGTTGACTCTCCTCGTTCAGAAACTCCACTTGCCTGTTGGGGAAAAATGGCTGGATGAGTACATGGATGAGAGTTCCAAGCTGTGGGAAGTCTGTCAGATCCTCAAAACAGGTCTGTCAGGAATGGAGAATTACTACTTTGCAGGTCACAACATAGTTTCTTCTCTGGATGTCCATAGCCATTTGAGCCCACAGCTTTCCAGACAGGTAGGTAGGAGGAGCAAGGGCATCCATCCTTATAAGTATATAAATCAAGATTTAATGTTGGGCTTTTTGTGAATTTGTTGTTCTTGTTGATGATGAAAACAGGTGATCAGGGCAATATCAGGGTGCAGGAGGGAGGCAGTGGGGCTGGAGGAGGAAAACAGGTCATTAATGGAGACAAGAATTGAACCCCTATCCCTGAAGTTAGATGAGAAGGTGTCTGTTGAATCAAGGCTGAATGGATTCAATGGGTTCAGGGCAGTGCTCTATGCAATGAGAAATGTGAGTTCCCAATTGCTAATGATCCTGATCTATGGCCTAGTCCACTGCTGGCCAGAGCCAAATTCCCCAAGAAATGGATATGAAGGGTGCTTGTTGTACGGATCACCCTTCATGATTTCAACAGCCAGGCTGCATCAGAGGGTGGCATCTGAAATCACCCAGCTCACAGGGAGGCCTGGAATTCTCCTACATGAGTTCAGGAGATCAAAGGCTGCCATGGAAGAGCTGAGGGGGGAGTTAGAGAGAAGATGCTCACAGTCACAGGGAGGGATTGTGGAGCGGGAATCAGAAGTTGGGATTAGGGAAAGAGTGGAAAGCTTGAAGGGGTGTTTGGGGATTTTGAGGGCTGGGACTGAGAATATAATTGGGCAGCTTGATGATTTTTTGGATGAAATTGTTGAAGGAAGGAAGAAGCTCTTGGACTTCTGCAGTCACAGGTAAGTAAGAGAGGAAGCAGGGGGGGTTTTCCAAATCAAGAATTGGGAATTTTATAAAAAAAAAAAAAAAAAAGAAAAAGGAAAAAAATACAAGTGTAGGGTAAATCAGTAGCTGCTTGTCTGTAACTTTCTATCCTTTGTTGTCTATCTTTTGTGCCATTTCCCTCTCCTATTGTAGATTTTTCAAGTTTTGGGTGATTCTTGGGAGGTCCATGTAGATGCATTTACACCATGAATGGTGTGGGATCCACACAATGCATGGTGTAGATGCATTTGGGAGTTGGGTTCCCAGGAGCCCCCCAAGAACAGAGTCATGGTTGTTTCCATAGCAGTAGCTAAATTTGGAGATTTGCAGGAGATGCCCCTTTAATCATCTAAGGATAAACCCAAAGTGGGAAGTTCTTCAAAAGCAAAGAAACAATTGAGCATAAAGCATGGTTTTCAGGCAATCAAGCATGAGAATCCAATGGCCGCAGTCAGTCAGCCACCATAAAGATAAAAAGCAAAGTAATAAATAAATAGTGAAAAAAAAAAAAAAAACAGGACAGGACAGGACAACAACAAACAAGCTGTAATGTAAGAATAAAAACATATTTCAGCCAAGCAAAAAAGTGAAACCCCTCCGTCCTGTGTTTTCTGTTTTCCAAAAAAAGCAAAAGAATGGAAACTTCTCTAAATGTGTTGGGAGACAAAAGGTCAAAACCATTGATTAATTCCTTCTTATCTATCTAAGGAATTATTTTATTGAACTAAGTTTAATCTCTACTTGAGAGTCACTGTAGGTGTCTATCTGCTGTATGATTCCCTTTGCAGCACACAGACAATACACCAATTCCAAGACGGGTTTTAATTCCTTGTCTCCATTTTGATCTCCCCTTTTTGGGAAGACTCTCAAGGGTAGCACAGTCAGTCAGTAACAGTAATATTTTAAAGATCTTATGTCCCTATCTTCACCTGCTAAACAGATCTCATGCCTTTTGTCTCTTGCCAGAAATTCATGCAATGCATGCCTAAAGGGTGTCTGTAATTTAATAAATAAAATATTACCTAATAAAATGACCAAAAAATAGGATAATGATGAGATTAGAAAAATGGTCAACACAGCACAAAACTGCAAATAATGCTTAGTGCTGGTGGTTTTGACAACATATTTCTGTTCCAGTAATCTTGGTTGAAGGTCCTTTTTCTAGGGGTATTGACTAATTCTTTTAAAACTACTATTTAGGGATGGATAATACAAGAGGTACTGTCACACATAATAGCATAGGTAGTTTCTACTTTGTCTTTTTTAGCTCTAGTAAGAGTCAAAGTCAGACTAAACAGGGAATGCAAGAAATTGAGTGTTAAGACATCAAAGTAGTGATTAAAAAATCCATAATATGTGAAACCAAATAAGGATTAAAAAGGGGGGATGCATGTGCCTGGTGATGAGTAAGTCAATTATCATATTTGATGCCAACTAGAATTTTACACATTGATATTTTCAAATAAAACTAGAAAGCATCAAGGCTTCCCTAAGCCATGTCTTGGACTATATTTAGGAGTAGATGGATCTCGGACAGCAATACAATTCTAGTGCTTTATCCGTTCAATTATAAGAACTTTTCAAAAATGTCAAGACTTGAAAAACCATGAGGATGTACCAAAATGTAATAGAATCAAACAGTCAGCAGAAAGCAACAGCACAAGAGCCGGTACCAAGTCTAAAGGAAGATGAGTGAAAAAATACCAAGTCTTGAAGATGTTTCCTTAGTATCTCTAAATTTACCGAGGAAAAACCGCAGAAGAGTGAACAAGCTGGTTGTAGTGTGCCAGAAGTGGAAGACCATACCAGAAGCATTAGGCACCTGCAGAAACAGTGCAGGCCATCAATATCACTTCTAGCCAAATCAATGTTAAACAAAATGCAGCATTAGTTTCTAATAAAATAACTTTTGAAGAGCACAATGATTTAAGATAATCCACGAAGATTATGTTATTTATCGCCCACTGTGAAATAAATCATGACTTGATACATGGGCTGAAAAAGACAACTGAATTGATACAGCTTGGGAATAAAGCGGGGCCACTATCTGACATACAAATCTCAGAGGAATATCTATCAAGTATTGTACAGCAGAAACCATTTGAAAAAGGCACAATAACATAATAAGACTAATTGCATGGATAAATTGTGTGCACATATATTAGCTGGTAAGAAAATTTTCTTGGATTACTTGCATTGGAAAGAGCCCCCAGGTCTGCAAGAAAGGGATTCTACCAATGCTACCACTACTGCTATTAGACTTGTCTTTTGATCGCTGCACTGACTATCCTAAGAAAGAATATGTTTATACCATTTCCCTTGATGTTCACTTCCTTGCCTGATCATTTGTTTTGCCAACATTATTTTCTGGAGAATCTTTATCAGAGTTGAAGATAATGATCTTTCCAAATAGCTGTATTGTATTAGGTTTTGTAATGGGAGATTTATGTCCTTTCTGGTTGCTACTATCTTCACAGCTGAAATGATCACCATTCTGATGACCAAGCGACAAACTGCCTGAAAGCATACTCACACTACTTCCCACCGTTGAGACTGTTCCTAGTCCATGCTCTGTGTCATTCCTATGGGGTGGAGTGAATGTTTCATTCTGGTAGCTAGATACACAGGATCTGTAGATCTTATCTTGCCTGGCTCCCTGCATGTCAGAAGGAGAAGAAATAGAATTGTGCTTAGATAAATTGATAGAACCCGCCATTGGTGCAGTGGTAGATTCTTGCACTCTTGTTCCATCAGTTAGAATTGCTGAGTTTTGCACAGTTTTGATCCTCTTCGAAGGAGGGGATGTGGAAGCACGCAGTTGCATGGACTGAACTTGTACAACATCCCAAGGGTTCACTTTGCTCAGGTCCTTCAATGGAGGTTCAGCTTCATTCCAAATCACCTGCAGATATAAACAGACGAGAACATAATAAAATATAGAAGACTGCTACTTTGACATGTCTATATTCAAATCAAAGTGAAACATGATGACGACTATTAATGTCATCAGAGATACAAGCAATACAGAACTCATCCTTGCAGTGACAGTTGTTATATCTTCCAAAATATAAAACAAGATAACGGCGATATAATCAAATCAAGTGTATAACAACACTCCCAATAATACATAACTATAATTGGAGTAAATAAACCAAGAATAAACAAATATGTAGATTTGTGACATATAATGCCAAACCAGAATTCAACACTCTCTAAGACAAAGACAGTGGCAAAAACAAGATAAATGCGGAATCTGAAGCATGGCAAGTTACATTACGAATAATCCTCAGAGAGCATAATCAGCAGAGCCCATTGGCAAGAATTCCATAGGGAACAATGTAACAAAAATTTGCAATCAAACACAACTAACCATATGAAATATCATATAAGATGTCATCTCTTCGGACTTGTAAGTAATACAAAAATAAGATTTCTGGATAGTACCAATCATACAAATCAGGTGCCTAACCCTGGAAACAAGTATATGGCTCTCCAAACAAACTATTGTTTGATTCCTTCCTCCGTAACAAACCATGTAACAACGTGAAGCAAAATCTGGACTTCAAAATGTAGCAAGTTACAATGTGAATCTCCGGAAAGCATAATCAGTGAAGTTAATTGACAAGAATTGCATACCATGACTATGTAATGACAACTTAGCAATCAAACACAGTTAATCAAATATACAGATACAGCTTAATGAGATGTTTGTCATGCTCCAAGAAAGAAAAGCACAATTATCATTGGCATGCATAACCCACAAAAAAAGGTATGTTCCAAACAAACCAGAGATCGACACTTATTCACAACAAAGCAATCAACAAAATAAAGCAAAATGTGAAAGCAAAGGCGTGGTAAGTTACAATAAGATATCAGAGAACATAATCAGCGGAACCAATTGACAAGAATTGCAAAGCAACATAATGTAATGAGAACTTAGCAAGCAACCACAATTAATCAAATGAAACATCGTATATGCTACATTCAGCCATTCACTCGTATTAGGATAATCTTATAACTTCAAAATTAATTCCAACACTCTACCAGATTAATTACATAACCCCGCTATGATGTCAATATCATATGTTACCTCAAGCGAGCGCCATGGAGAACCTTTCCACGGCCCAGAGTCTGGAATCGCGGCTGAGGTCACCGTTCCCTGAAACCATGACACCTGAGCTGAATCCTCCGTCTCCACAGAAATTTTGATTCGTGTCCCCGTGCCCCAGCTCTTCTGCAACGCATTCTTGACCTTCTCCACTCTCACCACAAAATCAGGCGATCCAATTCTCGGGTTATACACAACCTCAAACGCCTTTCCATTAACCGCGTTTTGAATTGCTTCCAACGGCTCGGAGGCGTCGCCAGTGGAAAAGTCATCTTGGCAATCCCAACCCGTGAATCCACCGCTTCTCCTGGATTTCCTAACTCCGATGAAGAGTTCATTCGTCGAGATTTTCCTGATAAAAATAACTGAATCTCCGGCAATGAGACGCTTCTCATTAACGAACTTGCTCCAGCCAGTTGTAAGCAAATGGCGCCGCGGCGTGCCTCGGTAGATATGCCGAAATTCCCAAACTTTGCCGTGCGCATCCTTCATGGCCAATGTTTGTACCGGCGGATCCACCTGAAAATCGAGCCGTGGAAGAACGGAGTCGGCGCACATCCTCGGAACCGAAAAACCTCCGCCATTGTTAGCGTCAGAAAGTGTCAGAACCTTCCCCAAAACAACCACGTCACTCTCCCCGCCATCCTCACCAACACACGTCCCCGCTCCCTCCGACTCCTCCTCCGGCTGGAGCACAAACTTAACAAACGCCGAATCGTAAGAATGATGCGCACACAAACGAACCGACAGGACTCGGCAACAGAAGTAACTCCGACCGACTTCATCGAAGCAGTTACGCTTCGAATCGCCTACTCCATGCTGTTCCATGTGTCCCTGCGGGAAGTAGTAAACCAACGAACCGATCGGCGGAATTTCCACCGATGATCCTGCGATCGCCCTCCAGATATCCCTGTCGACGCCAGAAGCGACGGCGGACGGCTCCTCCCCGGCCATCGGCGGCGAGTGCACTGAAACAGACTCCGATAAAATTTTTGATTGAAAAAAACTCCGTTATTCGCGGGTTTTCCCTCTTCTTGCGAATGCTTCCGAAATAGAAAAGGGCAAAACTGTCCAATTCAGATAACAGAATTTAAATCAAACAATACGGACACAAAGCCCACTCTAAGTCTAACACAACCCCCTTCAGTCTCAATTAAATTAATTCAAAATCAATATATATTGGCGACACCTTCTAGAATCTTTATTGGGCCGGCCCATATATCAAGGCCCGACCCAACTTAATCATATATTGTTTTTTAAAGAAAAACGGGAAATACCTCCATTCGTGTAGTGCGTAGAATAATATTATTTTTGTGCCACGTTTGGTTGTCCGTTTATTCATTTGATTATTTGGCAACAAAGGATACCTCCAAATGCGAATAACTAATCTGGGATTTTGCTGCTTCCCAAACACGACCCAATCCACTTACCGGATAAAGGCCTTACATTATTAATAATATAATATTAGCCTTTTTGTTATAATAATAATAATAATAGAAATTTGTTGCGATATTTCTTAAATGTTGGAAATATTCGATAAAGATGAACGAAATATTTTATTTTTTTTTTGAAAAAAGATTTGTATTTATGTTTATTATTATTTTGGGATTTTCTTTTATTTATGATTATTATCTGGCATATTTTGTTGTTTTGAATTTGGTCGATGAGCTTATTTTTTATACATAATTTATTTATATTTTCTTAAATTACTTTATTCTTTTTATTATTACTAATTGATAAATTGAAAGTGTATACTATCAATGGTTGTCTTCATCTATGTGTTTTATAAATTAAATTCTAAACTATAAGGGTTAGTCCACATAAGAGGCTAATATTTAAAGTATATTTATGTATCAATTAATTCGGTATAATTTACTTAAATATATATATATATTGTTAAACAATCATTTGATTTTGATGTGATGTTCTACTAAATGAAATAGCGTATTTTATTTTATTTAATCTAAAAAAGTCTTAGTTTATATAGAGATTTGCGTGGATTTAATTTTGATGATATATAAATCTTTGAAAATAGTATAAAATTAAATATTTGACGTGATATTTTATAATATTTAAAATTAACTTTGAAGTTTCAAAAATAAAAAATAAAAATCCGAATACATAATGTTTTTTACTCTTGTGACAATTTTTTAAAATTGACATGATTTTCAAAAATATACATGGCCTAAGTGGACCAAACATTACATATATCAGTATGTATATTTTTGTGCTCATATTTAAGCCTTTTAAAAATAATAAATAATCTACCATCGAACAAGTCTATAATTAATGCAATATAATTTTAAATAAAACAGTAAATATGTAACATAAATCAAAATAACTTTATATATATTGTTAGGCCACACTTATATTCCATGTGTCCAATTTCATAATATTAAAAGAAAATAACCCTAATCATGAAATTTTCCAATTTTGACCAAAGAAAAAGAAACAAACCCCAAAATTAAACATTATGAAATCTTGCCAAATGATGACACTTTAATTATGGGTTTTCCATGGCACATTTGATTATCATCACTAATATATAATATATATATATATATATAATATATATTGATTTTAAAAAAAATGTCAAGACAAAAATCCAGCCCTAATTGAAAGTATTCACACAACTAATTTTTGTTTTAAATATTATAATAAGTAAATAAAATGAACTTTCATAAACTTTCATCTTATTGAAATTTGATTTTTTTTTTTTAAAAAAAAAAAAAAACGCCGTGGATTCAATTTTATTTAATTTACTCATTTATTTAAATATAAAAACAAATAAAAGGAGCATTGTATGTAGAATAAAAAGATGCAAAAAGGCCCAAAAAAGGTGGGGCCCACGTGGACTTTATCACGTGCCCTGCACATGCGGAGAAATGCCTATGGTCGGCCACACTAAGTACCGCTTTTTGTCCTAAGTATTTGCTCATAACCTTAATTAATCAATCACTAATACACAATTATTTTTAAAAAATAAAATAATTGTAATTAACTTCCCACAAATTAAAATTTAAGAACCCCACTAATAATAACTACAATAAAATAAAATCAATATAATTAATATTTGGAGGCATAGGTATTTAAAAAACCTAGAAACAAAATAAAGTGGCAATTAGCCTAATCAGCTGACTTTACTATTGTCTAAAAAGGACTTTTGCAGTTAGGACCATTTTTTAGACTTAACTAAAACTGGGACCAATTCTTACACCACACACACATATATATTATGAATTATTGAAATAAATTCATTTTGTTGATGCTAAAATATATGTATATAAATATAACCAATTTTTGGGATAATAGATTTAAAAAATAATAATGATAAAGAGCAAAAAGGTGGTATGATCATGCATGGGCCCAAAATGGAGACATGGGAAGCTATTATATATATATATATATATATTTATTTATTACAATAGTAAAAACACTATAATGTAGGGTTTGGAAATCTTCACATACACTTAATATAAAATAGCTAAAAAGATTGTATAAATATTTAGCCTTAGCCCCTCACCTAGATTTGTAATATTTATTATTATTATTATTATTATTATTATTATTATTATTATTATTATTGTAGGTTACACGAACATTTTTTGAGTTTTAAAAATAGTAATATATATACTTAAAAGTATATGTGTTTAAATAAAAAGTCCATAATTTTATAGTTTGATTTAAAAAATTTTTTCATGTACAATAATATTTTGTTATATCATCTCACAAAAAATGTCATCTGAAGCATTATTGAAATTCAAATTAAACAAATATTAAAAGTACTTACAACAATTTGGACCGTAATTAAATTTAAATTTGGTTATAATCAAATTCGACCAAACAAACGCCGGCCTAAATTGTAAATTTGTAATTGTTGTAGGTGTAAAAAAGTAAAAATGAAGATTGTGCAAACTTTAAAGTTACTCCAAAATAAAAAGGGTCTAATGTAAATTTGGTTCGAAGAAATTATAGCCATATATATAGGTGCAATTAATATTGGTGCATAGGTTGTAATTGCAACATTGCCACAAAGGAAAGTTGATGTTGTCATCCAACAGACGTTTCTTTAGATTTTTTGATAATAAAAAACAAGATATAATTATAAACACTATTAAATGTATATATATATATATATTATATTGAATCAATATTTTGTTACATAGTAAATAAATAAGTTTGAAAATATAAAAGACACTGCATCACAAGAAATCTCAATAATTCAAACGGCTCTATTTTCTTTACTTTTTTTTTTTTTCTTACAATCACCAAAACATCATATGCAATGACATTTGTTTATGTTATTTCAAATATTTAATTTTATAAATTATTTTTTTACTATTTGAATCAAATTCAAATTCCAAACACTTTCAAAGTATATGTAAATATGTAAAATTTATTTAAATTTTGTAATGAAAGTTAACTATGAGGGAATTTCTCTTAAATATGTAATGAACTTGAATATTAACTAAGTCTTGATTGATAGAAAAAGTCTGCTAATAAGACAGGTAGAGATGTTAACTCCTCGAAAATAATGTTCAAGTTCCCTCTGTTTTTTTTTTTCCTCCAAAATAATTGTATGTTTGTATTTTGTGTATCAGGTTTTACACTATAATATATATATATTTAAAAAATCACATATAATTTTGTATTTTTATTTCCTATTTAAAGATGACATCCAAATATTTTCTATATATATTTTTTAATCATATACTATGCACTCATTAAAAAAATAAATAAATAAATAACAAAAGCACGCCTTGAAGTGTCTAGGGCAAGTGAAATTGTTGTTTCTTACTATTACATAATCACATAAAATCTAAGCTTACTTAATTAATTAGGGAAACTTAAGCAACATTTCAATGGTTACTTTATTAATATTGCACACTAAATAAATTCTCGAAAGCCTCTAAATTATGCTAGTAAAATAAGTCATACTATAATTTTAACTATTATAAAAATTGAGTTTGCTTAAGTATTAGAGTCTTTTTTTTTTTTTTTTTTTTACATTTTCTGTAGAGTTTGAATTTATTTTATTTATATATATATATTAGTCATATGGTTCAATATTCTAACATGGCAGGTCAACTGTTAAGACTTCGAGATTTATACTGCATTGTGCATTCTTCACTTCCATGCCCTTATCACACGACTTTCTTCCAATTCTCTCTCTCTCTCTCTCTCTCTCTCTCTCTCTATATATATATATATATATATAATTATAAACACGAACTGTTATCTCCCTCTTTTCCTCTCTCTCATCTCCTCTCATCGACCTTTCCTCATATGTTCTTTCCATCTGACACGCGCAGAGAGATTCTTGTCTGAATATATACAAACATACGTATATATATTATTACAGCAAAAATGAAAATGGGCAATGGAGGCGGTGGAGAAGACGATCAGCAGCACTGCAACAACAGCAATAAGGCCACAAATACTTTCCTCCCAATGTTCTGCCGCCTTTCTCTCAACGACATCAAGCCCCCTGCCCCTCACCCCTACAAAACTCCGATCGCCGGCGCCGGCGACCCCGGCTCGCCCCGAGTCAGCTGCATCGGCCAGGTCAAGCGCAACTCCCGCGTCGTCGGATTCCCCGCCGCCGGCCACCACAAGCACCGGAAACCATTTTCCGCTAAAACCCTCCTCCCAAACACGGCCTTGTCGGGATCCCGGACCTGCCGCCCTTCCGTACCGCCAAGATCAGTAAGAACAATCCTTAAAGATAATAATAATAATAATAATAATAATGTTGTTAGTTGCGGCGGCGGTTTTAAGGTTGTGGATGTCGGAGAAATGGATCCGCCGCTGCCGGTGGTGAAGAGGGCGGCGGCGGCAGCGGCGGAAGTGAGTCTTTGGGAAAGAAGGGGGAAGAGTCAGATTAATGGGGTGGAGATTCAGAGACTGAGAATTGAAGAGATCAAAATTGGTGGCAACAATGGCGGATTTCGATTTCAGACATCACCAACAACAGCATAGCATAGCATAGCATAGCATAGCATGATCTGATAATAGGATATGATGGTGTTTTTTTTTTGGTTGTATGTATTTTTTATTATACATATTATAAATTTCACACCACCTAATAATTTCAAATTTGAAACTTTTTTTTTTTTTTTTCTAAGTATTATTGTATTCTTTCTTTCTTTATATTATTTGATAATTTGAGTACATCAATTTTGATGGTGATAATGCAGGCTTAGTTGTCTCCTTTCCAATGGATTTTATGGAAGAAACAGGATTATTTGTGTTTGAGTGGCCTAAAAATTCGATCAAAGTAAGTTAGCATTGCAACAATTTTCTTACATATATAAATAATGCTAAGTATTGAAAACTTTTTAATTTTGACATGATATTTTAGAAAAGAAAGTACTATATTTTTATTGAAAATAAATTGTTATCAAATTTGAAAATTAAAATAGCAATTTATTGTCGAAAATTTTGAGGACATACAATCATTAGGAATTTGTATTGGATGAGAATAATATATGTAGAGAGAGCGTGACTTTGTTTACTTATGATATTTATATTCTTACAAAATAACAAATCAAATGATCATTTAAACAAAAAATACAAAATCAAAACACAAATAAACAAACCCAAAATTGTTTACATATTTCTTTTTTAAAATTTTAAAAATAAATAGTAAAATACATGTGCAATTACTATGTCTTGAGATATTGCTATTTTAAACAAATGTATCCGAAGTAGTAATAATAATTTGGATGTGGACTCAAAGTCAAGTCTTCAATCAAATCAATAAGACAAACGTGATTGGAAATTGGGGTTGAAATGAACTTTTCAAACAGTAATTCATCATTATAATATATTTCTGGTGTAATTTTACAAATCTATAAATACACAATTCAATAATTTATCAGTACATAAGCAATAATAAATTGAAGACAAAATTCTGAATTGAATTCAGTGCATGATTCGATAACTATTATTGCATCAAACACAAGAACTTAAAAGAACAATAACTAAGAGAAAACAAGCTCAAATCCAGACATCTCTTGTGTTTAATGAAGTAGTTTGTCTCTACATTGCAATGATCTCAGGAAATCCTCTTCAAAAAATCATCATAAATTCTCGAATAGGCACAAGTTCGATAAAAGTAAGGATTAGGGCATTACTTGCCTCCGCGATTAAGCCTCTGAAGATGATAGTTGATGCTGCCCCAAGGCTTTCGTTTGTTGCCAGTCTGCAGCAAGACGAGAGAGTGATGTAAGAAGGTTGCGGTGTCCTAATAGAGTTACGGGCCGTAATTTTAATCGAGTAGAAAATACCTGAGCATCCATGCAGGCACTCAGAAGTGACTTTTGCCGGCTGCATCTCGCGTCGCTGTTTTGGCTAAGAGTCAAACACTGGAGAAATGAAACCATCTCTCTTACACAAGGTTTTTGAAGATTCCCAAATTTCTTTGGATTGATGTACAAGGTTCCGGCTTTTCTGCCCATCTTTATCTATTTCATAAACCGAATACCTAAAATAGCAAAGGCAAACTCGCTATTACAACATTAATACCTCACAATATGATTGATGATGATGTAAATGCAAACTTTACAAATCCTAATTCAATATCTTTTTGTCTTTTAGTATAAACATTCAAGAAGATATTTTATACTTGCTTCAACATACTGCTATATTGTTCAGAACATAATCGAAACCAAAATGCAGAGACTTATCAAGAGAGAAAACTTTACTCCCCAAAAGGAGAAAACACACACACACACATATTGTTAAATTTCCGGAAGTAAACATCACTGGAAGAACAATTAAATAGATCACAGGCCTTATTGATGAACGGGCATATTTCCATTCAGCAATGCAGAGTTCTAAAGCGAGAAGTATTTCATCTAATCATGACAGGCAGATTAAATTTCCGATTCAAGTAGGAACAAGTCTCAAACATGTAGCAGAAAACGAAGCGAGCAACAGAAGTATAAGCACATAACATCTGCTGTGGAGGCAGTTAAGAATTAGGGTTGAACTTCAGATATAAAGAAGCAAGATTCCAGCCACCAGAAACCAAATAAAATCTACAAAGAGGACATTTTCTTTGAAATTTCAAAGAACCACCTGCCTGTTTTGCATTTCCATTTCTGAATTTTCTCACAGTATAGCTGATATGTTTTATCCATCCATTTCAATACTGCCTCCATCCTATGCATCATTAAGTTTATTGTCTTCAAATCAACACACATACAATCACAACACATCAATGATACACTAACAATCAGCACCGCCTTATTCATCAAATTTTGGAAATTTATGTTCCCATAAGTAAATTACTCATGTAATGGGCTCTGTTAGAGTAAAAACCTGCTTGATTCCACCTTAGGATTTGATCTACGCATAAATGGCCCAGTTCGTGCAGCAGAAACAAACACATCACACAGTAATTCGAAAAGAGGAGAAACGCATAAAAAATCAGTAAATAAGGAATGACCTAATTCCAGATTTGAAACAAAAGAATTGGAGAAGCAGAACTTCAAGAAAGGCGAAGGTCATGAACTGACCCCAAGATTTTAAATTTGTGGGAAAATTAATGATCTTCGAGATTATGTTTCCATGAATTTGGGCTATAGAAAGGAATCGATTATACGAGCCTGAGTTTTGCCATTCCCGTCCCGCCCGCCCAAAACACGGCCGGGTCGGCGTTTGACGAGGGTTCGGAACCGCCATGAGATGGAATTGAAATCAGAGTACATTAAAACCTCCAAATTGACGCAAATCCTTAAAAGATTCTCACACTTCCTCATCCATTCAACAACAAGATCGAAATCAAATAACAAAACACGCTAAAAATCACAATTACCGTAAATGCTTGACATATTCTCAAAACTGCTCCTTTAAGGCATAAAAGTTCGTAAGGAAGGGAAGGACTGAACTTACAGGATGCACTCGTAGCTTGTAGAAGACGACGTCACGAACGAAGTGAATCGCGCGAGGCAGAGAAGAAGGAAGATAGGTTTCGGGTCCGGGCAGGTCATCGATTTGATGGATAACCCGGTCCGTTTAAGGCCCAAACACAAAGACCAAAAAATATGGGTCATGGGTTTGATGAATAACCCAATTCGTCTAGGGCCCAATCTAAAAAGCCCAAAACCTGTATGTCATACCGACCGAACCGTTAGAAGTTCGGTTTAAAAACCGAATCGACCCTAACAATATATACTGTTCAACCCCTTTTCCCTAATTTGGTCTCTCTTCTTCTCTTCCAGTCCTCGCGATTCCGTTGGTCGGTGTCGTCTTCCTACCAGCAACAAGCTACAGCAAAATTGTGAGCTCTCTCTTACTTTCAATTTCTTTTGTAGGCTAAAGGAAACAAGTGTGAGAAATGTTTAATCATTTACAGCTATTTTTGTTATTTCAATTCGATCCTATTGCTTTATGTATAAGAGAGGAGAAAGGCCAAGGCTGATTTCAATTAGATTTCGTAGGTAATTTGTTGGGGCTTGGCCCCCTGTGTACTATCCTTAATCTCAATCTCACGCCAACAAGATAATAGATACTATTTTATTGGAAGGAAAATTTTTGCCGTGTTTCAATGCTATTATAATTTTGAATATTACATGAAAATTTTTAATCAAGGTCTTGAAGGAAACAATGTGATTATGGGGGTATTGAGCAAATAGGTTGTTTCACTGGGGATGTCAATGGGGTGGGTTCCACGGCCCCCTAGAAAATATTAGCACCTAAGACCCTCCGCCCAGACAAACCCGTGTTTTTTTTTTTTTTTTTTTTTTTTTTTTTTAAGAAAAGAATAAAATAGGCAAATTATCAAAAAATTATAGTTCTAAAAATAAGAACAATTAAATATTGATGGCGATCAGCAGTAATCTGACTTGTGAACATAAATTTGATTTATAATTAATGTTTTATTTTATATTAAAATTTTTTAAATAAATAAATAATACTCCCTCTCCCAGTAGAGTTGTCTTGTTTTTTATTTTTGATTGTCCCACATTATAACAAAATTATTCATACATTTTCAATTATCAATAATTATTATTCTAATATACTTTTTAAAATCATTCAAAAAGTAAAGCTATTTTATTCTTTTACCTTCTACTTTATACTTTATATTCTATAAAAATAAAAATAAAAATAAATTATAATAATTATTAAAATATCCGGATTTGGGTTCGGGTCCGGGGTGGGCGTGTTTATAGTAAAATCCATAACCCGCCCCGAACTCGGTCGGATTTAAAACTCAAAATCCACAACCCGTCCCGAACCAATTAGACCCGAACCCGCCCATTAAAACCGGGTCCGGGACGGGTCCGGAGCTAACCCGCCCCATTTGACATCCCTAATTCCACACACAATCCAATGCAGTTCCATTATATATGATCAAGTTTAAATTGGAAGTATATAATGAGACACTAAATTGATTTAGCAGATATATGGTGGTTTGTTCAGTTTCATTTTTATATATTTATTATCTCCATTGGCAACAGAGCAAAGATGGTTATGCAAGATGAGGAAATCACACGGCTTTACAGAATTCGGAAGACAGTGATGCAGATGCTGAAGGATAGAGGCTATATGGTGGGTGACTTTGAGATTGAGATGACAAAGTATCAGCTTATTCAGAAGTTGGGTGAAAATATGAAAAGAGAAGACCTCATAATTCATAAAGGCTTGCGCAGTGATCCCAATGATCAGGTTCTCGGTCATTATGTCTTATTTTGGCGTTATACTGTATGCATATGTGTATAATTTTGTCACTCTATTTATTCAAAAAGTCTTCAACATCTCCTAACGATAAGTTACTTAAGCTATATCATTAAGTTAACTTCGCTGGTTTATTGTCAGATATATGTGTTCTTTCCTGAGGAACAGAAAGTCGGTGTCAAGACTATGAAGACCTATACCAATCGCATGAAAGAAGAGAGTGTTCATCGGGCTATTTTAGTGGTTCAGCAGAATTTAACTCCATTTGCTCGTTCATGTGTCAGTGAAATATCTACTAAATTTCACCTTGAAGTTTTCCAGGTGCTTCGATTGTTGTTTTCATATAACTGACGCTATATGCATACAGTGTATTCCTGATTTATTCATACATTTCGATGTCTGCTGCTTTAATTGAACAGGAGGCTGAACTGTTAGTCAATATAAAAGACCATGTTCTTGTACCCGAGCACCAGCTTCTGACTCCTGAAGAAAAGAAGACTTTGCTTGAAAGATACACTGTGAAAGAAACACAGGTTAGCGAGTATTATCACAGATGATTTGCAGTGGAGAGTTTAGTTGCATGGGAGGTTCAATTACATAAGTATGGATGCCTCTGTTGTTTTCATTGCCAATTATATGCTTAACATTATATATTCCATACGTGTTTTTGTGGTTTTGATTGTGAGATGTGTTGGTATAAAGATATGGCGTCGCAAATATATGCATATATATATATAATCCTTCACTTTTGTTTAAAAACTTTATATGTATTTGTTGGATTGAACATAATGTTTAGCTTCTAATCATTCACTCTGCTGTTAATGCATTGAAATCATTTGTTCGAATAGTGTTGACGTTCTTGAATTACTGCTTTAAATTTTCTGCACATGAAATTAAACCATATGCTTCGAGCTCTGGATTACTTACCTGTAACTATCTTCAACCCTTTTCGTTGATGGATTTGTTGCAGTTGCCTCGCATCCAGATAACCGATCCAATTGCTAGATATTACGGGCTGAAGCGAGGACAAGTTGTTAAAATCATACGACCAAGCGAGACTGCAGGGCGATATGTCACTTACCGATATGTGGTCTGAACTTCTAAAGCTTTCTTTGCCTTTTAAATGGTTTTGGCTGTTGTGTGACATTGTAATTGTTTGTGCTTTTATGTATGTTCTTGGTGAAACTTAATCGACAGTGACCTTTGATGTCCAAAAAAACCCGATCTGTTGTTCTGACTGATGGTTTCAGCTCTAGATTTGAAACTTGATAAAAAAATACCAACAAATTTACTCTAGTATAGCCTTTGGCTGTGGTTTTAGATGCATGGTTACGTAACACATTCGAGAAATATTTACTTGGAAATCAATTATTAATATTGCAAATAATACCTAGTAGTTAAAATCAATTGGATCTATTTGCAAGTAACAATTTTACGAGGTTCAAATTGCAATACTTCACTCTATTACTGAAGCCACCCACCAGTAGGATACATCCACGTCACCATGTTTTTTAGGACATCCACGTCGGACACGCCACGCAAAAGTCGCGTTTATGTATTTGTAGAATCGCTATTGCCGCCAGGCTGTGTACTGTGTCCTGCTTTGAGAAAACGCGACTCTTACTTTCTCACTCAACTAACTAGAACTAGAAAGAAAGCGAAGAATGCCAAAACGCATCAAAACGACGAACGGACCCAAAATAATTAAAAAGTAGCCCCAAATATTTTTTTGTCATCCCCAAAACCGAAAAAAAGGAACCCTAACCCTAGCCGCAAACCCCCCACGAACGCAGGCTCGGATAATCGATTTATTTGTCTGCGCGTATTTCTTGTCCCCGTTCCCGAATCTTTAGAGCAGGAATTGGATCTGATTTTGTTTTCTTGGATAGTTGGGATATTAGGGTTTGGTTTGGAGGGGGAGGAGGATATGGGATGCTGCGTGGTTGGTGGTAGTGTAATTGGAATTGGGCGTTGGAGACGATGACCGGCAGGGGCCGATGCCAGAGGAGGAGGAAGTCCATGGCCGGTGGTAGGGGCGCCGCCGAATCGAAGAAAAGCGGTAGTAAAAACAATATCCCTAATTTGAAGCCCGAAATTACAGAAAAGCCCTTGGGTTCTCCAAGAATTAGGAAAGTGCCCCCGACTTCAACTGTTCAGTTGGATTTGTATACGCAGGCTTGCAAAGCTCTCTCATTTCGTCCCCCCTTCGATTCCGAGGACTCCCAGGCTTCCTCAGGATTTGCATCTACAGCGAACATTCTGCCGTCTGGCGTGTCGCATCTGTTGAGCAGGCATTCGGATAGCAGGAAACGACAGAAGAGGTTGCATTCGAGCACGGAAAAGAAGTCCTCCACTAGTGGTGGGAATCGGGGTGGCAGAGTTTGGATTGAGACAGAAGATTATTTTCGGGGATTGACTGTTGAGGATATAGAGAAGCTCGAAAAGCTTCCAAGAATCGGGTTGTATAGTGACGATAAATGTTTCTTGATTCCATCATTTAGTAATGATGGAAATTCTTGTGATCGACTTGACATGTCTTCTGCTTCTGGGATGCTTTCTGAGAAGAATTCTTTGGGGCGGGAAAATGGAGTTGAGGCAAATGGTAATGGATCGATGGTGCAGGAAGAAAATGGGCGTCGTTCCATGGATATTGATGGTCACGAGGAGGAATCTAAAACGTTGGAAGCAAGAGAAGAAAGCAGCGGTGATAAAAGACCAAGTAATAGTAAAGATTCTTTGCCTTTTAGTGGTGTAGAATGGCTATTAGGATCTAGGAGTAAGATTTATTTGGCAACAGAACGGCCCTCTAAGAAACGGAAGCTTTTGGGGAGAGGTGCAGGGTTGGAGAAGCTCCATGTGGCACGCCCAGTTGAAGGGCTAGAAGCTGTTTGTCATTACTGTAATTATGGTGAAACAGGTGACCCCTTGAATTGCTTGATTAAGTGTAGTTCTTGTTGTGTTGTAGTCCATCAGAGGTGCTATGGAGTTCAGGAAGATGCAGATGCTTCTTGGGTGTGTTCGTGGTGTAAATGGGAAAAGATTGTAGATTTGAATACCGAGACACCGTGTTTGGTTTGTCCCAAGCAAGGTGGTGCGCTGAAGCCTGTCAGAAAAAGCGGATGCGGGAGTGATGAGTCTAAGAAGGAGTTTGCTCATTTGTTTTGTTGCCAGTGGATGCCTGAGTTATATCTGGAGAACACCAGGACAATGGAGCCAATCATGAACATTGATGAATTGACGGATGCAAGAAGGAAGTTACTTTGTTATTTGTGCAAGGTTAAGTATGGCGCCTGTGTCAGGTGCAGTAATGGTATGTTTTACTGTTTTCTTCTGTTTATGTACACTACATTACTAAGTTGGATGGTGGACCAAAAGAATGTTATTATTTGGGATCTATGAGAACCGAGGCATTCTTTTATTGGTCAAGGATCAGCAACATATCATGCTATGATCAGTTCAGCCTTTTAATTTATCTGTTGGAAAAAACAATTTCAAATTTCAGCTACTCTGTAACAGTAGAGCTCAATAAGACAATACAACTTGATGGTCCAGCCGTCCATGTTTAATGTTATTCATCTCTTCTGTGAGTGCTTGCATTATGGCATAAACACTTCACCATAGCTCATCATGTGTGTATTATTTTCTTTTTAGAAAATTTTCACTTTGATATTCTTTGATGCATGGTTCACTTTTTTAATCTGTAGGGCGACATCACCATACTTTTATAATATTGTATTATTTTTTATATTTATAAGATAATGGTTGGAAGGCATGAACAAGATTTGTAAATGTATATGGTAACTATGCAACTTTGTGCTGATATATATGTGGTTAAATTTTGATGGAACAATTAATGAAATCTGATCTCCCTCTGTTTTTTCTTGATGTTTGTCCTTTCATGCATAAGAGTACTTCTCCCCCTTCTGCCAATTCTATTGATCCACGCTAACTGTATAGGTGTTTTCAGGCTCTTGTAGAACTTCGTTCCATCCAATTTGTGCTAGGGAGGCAAGACATAGAATGGAAATATGGGGAAACCTTGGAACTGATGAGGTGTGTTGACTCTATGCCTAGTTAACCCGACAGTTCTGTTACTATTATAAACTTCTGTGGACTTCTTATTGACCAACTGTAATGTTATTCCATTTGAAATTGTTTTGCTTATTATTATTATTATTATTATTATTATTATTATTATTATTATTATTATTATTATTATTTATATTCATGGCATGAAGTATGCTGTTTATGTAATGACCATCTTCTTTCATTTTTACTTTTTGTTTCATAAGATATAAATGTTATCTTCTAGGTTGAATTACGTGCGTTTTGTTCTAAGCATTCTGAAGTGGAACATGATCATGGAAGCCAAGATACTCAAGATATTTCACCAACAGGTAATTCTGTTTCCCATGTCATCATGCAACAGCAGATGACAATAACAATATATGGTAATTACATAGTTGAATTGGCTAAAGAATGGTGACAATTTCTTATTCACATTGAAGCAGCTGATCAGGATCTTAGCAAGCATAATGAGGTTGCATTGGATGGAGAGGAGTTGCTTGACCATACACCCAAGTTTGAGACTGATCCTCGAAATGGAGATGCATCACATCATTTTCCTGAGTGTTCAGTGGATTGTAATTACAGCGAATTCCATGCTTGTGCTGTCCTTAATTTTAAGATGATACTGAAGAAGGTTGTATTGTAATCAAGTATAACTGAAGATTCTCCTTTGCTTCGACCAGTTAGTTAATACATATTCTTTTTGCAGTTGCTTGATCTTGGGAAAATTAATGTTGAAGATCTAGCCTCAGAGATTGGTGTTTTGCCCGATTCACCGATCACAATACTCACAGTAATGCTTTTGATCATTCCAATTGTTCCTTTGTACATTTCTACTTTTGTGACGATTGAGTTTCAATGCTATAATACCTGAATATTTTCCTTTTTGTAGTAAGTTTATGGTGGATCCCGATCCTTGTACTTATTATCTCTTTCCTATTCCCTCACGTTGTTTGGTCACATTCTTGTTGTACAGGACAATCACATAGTTCCTGAGTTACGATGTAAGCTACTGGGATGGTTGAAAAACCAATCTCATATTGGAAACTTACAGCAACTGAAAGTGAAAATTGGAGCACCTATGGTGCCCAATGCTGTGGCAGATGCTGTTGAAGGTGTGGGTGCTGTTTCAGTAGAGGAATCTAGTATTTCCGATTCCGTTCCAGTTAAATCTGTTCCACTTCGCAGACGAACTAAAAGCAACATAAGACCGGTGAGAGATGACAAGGCAGAAGAGCCCGATGGAGAAGATTCAAATGATCCATCTGAAGAATCTTTACCAGATGATGCACAGGAGGTACCGTTATGATTGCCATGGCTTCATTTTGGAGTTTTTATTCAATAATTAAATTCAATTTCATGCATATTCGTCTCGGACAAAAACAATTCCTATGTTGTAGATCTATTATGTCTTCTTTGGTTCATCATTTTCTGGTGTATTTTATGATTTGTGCAATTGACTCCAACCTTCCTCTCATGCATGGTAGCATATGGTGGTTGATCCAATGTCAACCTCTATTTATTGATTGATTCACATGAATGATTGATTTGTCACTGTTGTCATGGCGTCGCCATGGCGGGCGCCATGGCATCCTGGCGCTTTTTGGGGAGCGCCGAGACTCCTTGCCTCGCCTCGCCATATTAAACAAAGTGGCTTGGGTCGGCCTTAGCGACGCAGTGTCAATGCCTCAACAACGCCACGGCAATGCCATGGCACTAGGCAGGCTAGCTCCAGCCTAGCCCCCAAACCGCATCGACCTCAACCTGTAAACCTTGAACCCGATTGAATCTAACTTGTCATCCTCTCTCTCCCCCCGCTCTCCTCTACTCTCTCCTGTCCTAGCCATGGTTGTCCATTGTGTACAACCGCTTCATCCCATGGCGCCCTACTTTACTCTATTTTGTTATCTGCTTAGGGTTATTTTTATTTTTTTAATACTATTATAGTATTATTATTTAGTGCATTACATTATTATCTATTATTTATTTTACAGTTATTATTTTTAATTTTTAAATCATTTATTAATTTTATTTGTTAGTTATTTTGTATTTTTTTAACTTGTTACTATAAAATTAATTATAAACATTAATTTTATATAAGATATAATATGTATATATAAGCTTTATACATGTGCGCCGTGATCGCCATATTGTCGCCATGGCGGGCGCCATGTCGCCGTGGCGGTATGGCAGTCCACAGGCGCCGTGCCACAAAAGGGCGCCGTGACAACCTTGGATTTGTGACAACATACGTCTCTACACACATAGATATAATATGTTCCATGTGGCAGTGGTCATTGTTTTATGATATAATACTTATTCACACATAAGGGTTTCTATTTTATTTTGCATCTTATTGCTATAGGACACTTTCTAGAGAAGGCATAGTCGTTTATTTGGGAACCATACCCATTATTTTTAAATGAATTATTATTTTTTGATTTTCCATTGCTCAAGACTTAAGAATTTCTTTAATTCACACTCTTCTTTGTGCAGAGTTTTGTTGATCCTGGTCAGCACCAAGATAATTCAGCTGCCAAGTCTATGAAAATTGAAGGTGCTGTGACTAATCATGTCTGAAACGGGTTTTTGAGTCGGACCAAACATCCTTAACAAATACATGCTAGGGTTTCTGTGACTTTGCTTTTCATGTTTATGAAAACATGCTGTAATTTGTTGACTGGTTATTACTTATTAGCTGGTCGATTAATGAGTATATTTTAAAAAATGCTTGCAAAAATTGTTTTGGGAAATGTCACTCTAGCTATACTAAGCAAGGATATTATGTCTATATTATTTACTATCTATTGATCACTTAACTTGTCGTTTTCTGTCAGGGTCAGATATGTTTCATAACTTTGAATTGGAACTACATGAAAATCTAGCTGCATTTGGACGCTGCTAATTTTAACTTTCTGCATTCGTGGCTTAGTGAAGTTGGAAAATTTGGCACGATACTAAACTCCTACAAGCATTGCCTTCATGTGTGTTCATTTCCTAAAGTTATTGCATTTTTTTGTAATGGCAGATGAGCTGATAGCCCTGTTACGGTGTCTCAGTGAAGATGGTCTACTTGGGGAGGCTGGAAAATGCCATGAAATAGCTAATTCCTCTCTCTTAGAGTAAGTACTGTCTACTGTAATTTATATTGCATTTGTACATTGTTTGAAGGCTTCTGCACTGTGCTTGGTGGTCTTACCTAGTTCTATATGCCATATTTTTCTAGTTTGCTGGTAACATATGTGGTGTCCGTCTTCTGACTGATTTTGCATTTGTTCTATAGAAGTGGGGAAGTTAAACATGCTTCATACATACACCCAATCATCCACAGAAAATTGATGCAAATCAAGAATGATGCACATGAGAAAACTTCATCCTACCATTTTGCAGGTATTTCTTGTCTGATTTTTCTTTCTTTTGTTTGTTAAGTTCAGGATGTTAATTACTTGATTAGCAGTTTCGAGGGATCACGAAGCTTCACAATTGGAAGCATCTTCTACTTCAGCATCGTCTCTCTCTAATCGCAACCTGCAAGAAACATATGGAGATAATGATGGTAGATGTGATGGAGTGAATGGTGATGAAGCAGCCGAGGCAAGAAGTCTTGGTTTGCAAGAACTGTCTCCTGTGGATGAAGTTGAAGGAGAGCTTATATATTATCAACAAAGACTCCTCAACAACGCTCTTACAAGAAAACGCATAAGTGGTATCTATGCTTGTCTCTTGTGCTGCTCCTGTATTCTGATTATTGGCTTTCCTGTGTTTTATGTTTGAGTACACATTGTTGTTGGATTTTAAATATACTTCTTTGTGTGCTAAATCTATTTTCCATCTGTTACTATTGGCCAGATGAGTTGATTTTGAAGGTTGTTAGGAGCCTTACACAGGAGATGGATGCTACAAGGAGAAGGAAGTGGGATGATGTATTGGTTAGCCAGTATATTCATGAGCTTCGGGAAGCAAAAAAGCAGGGCAGAAAAGAGCGCCGGCATAAGGAAGCTCAAGCCGTGTTAGCTGCTGCAACTGCTGCAGCTGCAGCTTCATCAAGGGTGTCTTCAGTAAGGAAAGATAACCTTGAAGATTCTTCGAGGCCTGAGGTGATATTTTTGCTAAGAAATTTTATTACTATTCAGTTTCCTGTAATGTTTCTGCTCAATTTTTTTGTTTCTATAGTTAGACTATCCTTATACTCATTGTCAGATAAATGTATCTGATATGGTTTTTGTTCTTTACTCTCTCAGCTGAAGAAAGAAGCCATTTCTAGGCCCAGATCCACGTTTGAAGCTAATTCTGAATCCAGTCGATTAGCTTCCAATGATCAGCCTAGTACCTGTGACATATGCAGGCGCACTGAAACAGTTCTAAATCCAATTTTAATCTGTGCAAGATGCAAGGTTGCTCTTATAAATAACCCAAACTTAAAATATTACCTGAGTGCTTGCATATTTAAAGGTAACTTTGTTATTTTTTGTGATTCTCCTTATTCCCAGGTTGCAGTTCACTTGGATTGCTACCGCAGTGTTCGAAGCACTTCAGGGCCATGGCTTTGTGAATTGTGTGAAGAATTGTTTTCTTCCCAAGGTTCAGAGGCTGTGGTAGCGAATTCCTCCGAGAAACCTTACTTTGTTGCTGAGTGTAGTTTGTGTGGTGGTACTGCGGGTGCTTTCAGGAAGTCAACAGATGGTCAATGGATTCATGCCTTTTGTGCTGAAGTAAATTATACTCTTGTCTATCATAACTGAATTTTAGGATTCTTTTCTTATATATCATGGATTTCATTTTCATCCTAATATGCAGTGGGTGTCAGAGTCAACATACAGAAGGGGGCAGCTTAATCCTGTTGATGGGATGGTTAGTGCATTACATTTACGAAAAAAAAAAAAAGCCTTTACCTTTCTGTGATTGTTCTTGCCGTTTCAGTTTTAACTTAACTAGGTTACACTTTCAGGATCGTGTTGGCAAGGGGGTTGATACATGCACCGTATGCCACCGGATACATGGTGTCTGCCTGAAGGTACGCTCACAGCATTGATTTGTGACGCATTCTATTTAGAACTTGCATTTTCATTCAATCATAATCTTTTGTCCATCTACAGTGTAGTTATGGTCACTGTCAGACCATGTTTCATCCTACCTGTGCTAAAAGTGCTGGTTATTACATGAGTGTGAGGACTAATGGTGGCAAATTACAGCATAAGGCTTACTGTGAAAAGCACAGTGGAGAACAAAGAGCAAAGGTTCTTTTTCTTTCATGCAATAGCTTTTATCTCTGATACTTAACCAGTGATTCACAATTGATGTTTTCTTTTTATATTTCTTCAGGCTGAAACTCAAAGGCATGGGGTTGATGAGTTAAAAAGCCTTAAGCAAGTCAGGGTAAGTGATCGTGGTTGTTTATTTGCCTGGTTTCTTCTGTTTGTTTTATTCCATCATTATCAATACAACAAAAATACCACTGCTACATCATTTTGGTGCCGATCATGATATCTGAGTGTTAGTACATTTCATTATACATATATGTATATATTTTAAGATCCCCTTATTTTAATATTTTAATAAAGATTCTACAAGCTACTTATCATTTTATGTACTTGATTAGATTAGATTGACTTGAAGTTAAATGATCGTTAGGATTTTCAATTTTTTGATTTGTCCCCTGACCAGCTTTACTGAGCTCTCTTGGTGGAAGTTTTTTCTACTTGATAACTTTCTTATTAATATCCAGATTGATGCCTTAACCCACTCACCCTTCGTAGTTCCTCCCCACCCGCACTTTGTGGTTCTTTTTATTGTTTTAAGCAAACAATTTCTTGAACAGCAGTTCAACATGTTATTATTACCTTCGTGTGGTGATAGTGTTGGCAGTATAATAACAATGTGTAGATTCTGTAGTATCTTCATCTAATTGAAAACCTTGATTGATTTTGATGCTTCGCTATGTATGCATGGCGTAGAGATTCATCGATGCAAATTTCCGAAATGATCATGCACTTAAATTCCTAGTCAGCAACTCAAGGAATATGAATTTGCTCCTTTTTTTTTTTCTAAATTCTCTCCAGTAACTGAGTCAGGAAAAGCAAATTTGAAGATTATTATATTAGAATTACATTCATTCCTTTCATAATTTTACAAAAGCTGAAATTTTTACTTGCATCAATTTATACAGGTTGAATTGGAGAGATTGCGACTTCTATGTGAAAGAATAGTCAAAAGGGAGAAACTAAAGGTAAGTTTATGATTCCCAAACTCCCCTGCACCATACTTGCTCTCTTCTATACTTTGATTAAATAAATTTTGTTCTCCTGCTGCTGAAAAATCTTACATTACCTTACCCTTTCATGGCTACTGCAAACGTCGTTATGATCATATGTTTTGTGCTTCGCAGCGTGAATTGGTCCTTTGCTCTCATTCAATTCTTGCCACAAGTCGAGACTCTGTTCTATCTGCTCTGGCCCAGCATCCCTATTACCAACCCGAATGTAGTTCCGAATCAGCTACAACCTCCATTAAAGGCTACACCGACGACTACAAATCAGGCAGCGAATTAGTGCAAAGATCAGATGATATAACGGTGGACAGTACAGTTACAGGTAAAAGACGAATCAAATTTCCCATTCCTGGGGACATGGACCAAAAAACTGAAGACAGTTCTACATCCCAAACCCTTTACACACTAAAACCCACGGAAAGAGTATCCTTCGCCGGGAAGCATATTCCCAAAAGACACGTGCCATCGCCAAGCCCTTCAGACAATGTAGAAAAGAATTCGAAATATAGGAAAGTAAGTGTTACATTCAGGTGAATACAGCTGTTCATTCACATCTTTTGTTATTATTGTCCTCTAAATTAGTTAACTTCAAAACTAATCGATCACTGTTGCAGCCGCCGGAAACATTTGAAAAAGAGCTCCTAATGACTTCAGACCAAGCGTCAATGAAGAACCAACGGCTGCCTAAAGGATTCGTGTATGTTCCTGTTCGAAACCTATCCAAAGACAAGGACAAGCCGAGCCCCGACGAACGATCTAAGGAACCAACCGAATGAAACCGGCATCATCGTCGATACTGAACGACCCGAGATGCTGAGCTTTGGAGCATAGATGTGTGTATATGCAAGTTCAGTCCCCATTGCATGTATTTCATGGGCCTAATTTGTTTAGCCTTATTCTTCTTCTCTCTCTAGATATATATGTATTCCATAACCACAATTTCAGAGTTAGGAAAGGCAGTTTTAATGGCAATGGCAATGAATTGCATTTGTAATTGTATAAAAAGCCTGGAGCGTTTGGGATCTGTAAATTTAGTGTAAATACATATTCTAGTGACCATTCAATATTCAAACCTTGAATTCCCCGGATATATTTTTTTTTTTGATCGGATTTAATTGCATTTATTTGTCATACTATTTTCGATGGTTACTAGTGTTCATTTCAGTACAGCGAGTTTTCATTGTGGTATTTGGGCCCGTAGGCAAAATCTATTCATTAATGGACTTTATTAGGCCCATGAAAAAATTGTATATATTGGGCTGCAAATGTGGCCCATAATGAAATAACATTGAGAGTGGGTGGAGAGAGAAGAAAAGCGACGTCTTCGATTCGAACGATTGATTGTTGGTGCGACGAAGGAAGATCGATATTCGATCGATCAAAATCGCATCCTGATTGTTGCGTACCGATCCGGAGGCTGAATTCCGTATTATCCGAATTTCTTAGTGATTGAACCGGCTGATTATGGAGTTTGGAGAGTTACTGGCAATTTTTGGACCTGGCGTTGCCGGCGCAGTGTTCGGCGCTGGTTGGTGGTTTTGGGTAGACGCCGTGGTTTGCAGCTCCGTAAATATTGCCTTTGTGCATTACCTTCCAGGTATTCTTGTGTGAATTATCCGTCGTCTGGATTTGCCTACTTGATTATTTGGTTTTATTGCTCTTTTGTTTTTTGTTTTTTGGTAGGGATTTTTGCAACTTTGGCTGCGTTGATGTTTAACTGCGTGAGAAAAGATGATATTGATTACTCGCCCTATGACGAGGGTGAATGGAGGTTAGTCGCTCGTTTAATAGAGTATATGAGAGGATTATCTTATTCTAGTTGCTAGGGTTTCTGATATTTCATAATTGTAAACTCAAATTTCGGAATTCGTTTACAAAAGATAATATAATTGCAGTCGCAAAAGGTGATCAACTAAATTGATTGTCAGATTAAAGTGTGCCAAAAGCCTGTTATTCCTACATTGACATGTTGATGGAGTTTAAAACTGTTTGAACGTTTATATATTGTTGTATAGCTGAAGGTGTTAAAGGCAGTAACTTTCCCTACTGGCTAAATCATGCTGTCAATATTTGTTAGCAGGATCAAGTCTTGGTGATCTCATTCTCTTTAGGGTTTCTTTGTTTGGATTTGTTATTGCAATTTTGCTTTAGGCCGGTTTGAGGATTCATACATGCTGTTTTAGACTATGTGATTTTACTTGCAGTATGAGTTTGAAAATAATCGGTTAAGGTGAGATGCGTCCTGAAGAATTGGCTTAGTGGTGTTGTATTATGAGTTACCTCATGAATATCTGTGTGTAAGATCGCCTTGTCTTTGCAAAATTGGGTGCATTTGTGCTACAACTTAGTAGGAAAGGATATATCTTGATAGCTCAAAATATGAATGTATGACTACCTTACCTTGTCTGTACCTAGTAGACAGTGTTAGGGAAGGACCTGGCCCTTAGGATGTGGTTGATAGATACACAGTTCCTCATTTTGAGATGATATACATATTACATATTCCTTTGAAGCTTTCATCTTGTTTTGACTCTTCAATTTGTCTTATTGGAAGGAATGAAGACTGCTATGAACTTTTTCCAACTGTTTTTTCTTATTGTGCTCGAATCTTCACTAAATTCAGTTTCACATATAAGTTTTCACCAACGTTTTGATCTTATGAATTTTCAGGTTGAAACTTTGGCTATTCATCGCATATGTTGTATCCTTTGTGTCGTTGGCTGCAGCCGTTGGCCTATTGGTACAAGATGCTGTGGTGGACACCGGTCCTTCTGCATGGACTGGAGTTGCAGGTGTTCTTCAATGTGTATTTGTTCTTATCAGGTATAAAAACATGTCAAAAATTTAAGATAATTTATCTAGTGTCAGTTTATTATTATTATTTTTGGTTTCTTTTAAATCATTAGGTTAAGTAATTTGAAATTGTCTTTGCAGTGGTCTCATTTACTGGATATCTCATTCAGAATAACCTGGCAGGCCTGTGCACATAAAGAGAGAGAGAAAGAGAAAGAGAGAGTCTAATGATGGTTTAGTGTGGTTATTTTTATGATGCAAATGATGTCGATCTTTTGTGTTGGGGTTGTTTGATCAACTTGAGGATGCATGCAATTCAGGTTGGTGTAAAGTTATTGTGTTAATATGTTTCAGCCTTTCAGTAATAAGTACTTTAACTGCATTGCATTTTATGGGTTCAAAAGCTGTGCATATTCCAGTAAATGAAATCATTTTTTCTAAGCTAGATGCATTGCCAATTTATTGATCAAACAAGGGTTGTCTCAGCACTTTATGGGCATTTACCATTAGCAAATCTTTTCCTTCACACAGATAATAAAGATCATTAGTACCATAACCAAAGTGAATCCAAGAAAAGGCTGGAACAAACAAACCACCAGCAACTACTAACATATTGATCAGTCAAAACTAAGAAGTAGAATCAGAACAAACTAACCAACCAAACCAAACCAAATTGAATGGACCATCTCTATCGAACAAAAACAAACAAGAATTCATATGCTAGTTTGATTACTTATACATCAAGAACTCATATGCTAGATTGATTACTTGTACATCAATCATAAATTCAGATGACTAAGGTCAAAAAACTGCATCTTCAGATTTTGCTCTACACACCACACCAAAACCATTATTATACTCACCATTATCGCACAAGGAAACACATAACGATAAGCAGCTAAAGCTACACTAAACAAACATGAATATGCAACAACTGTAGTAGTAGTAGTAGTAGTAGTAGTAACTTCCCATTTCTTTTCTCGCTCGTGCCATGAAAATCCAGGAAAAATACTGTAAACCCGTTTTCCAACTCAAGAGCAACATCTCAAAAGAACTAAAAAGAGAAACAAAAAGAACAAAGACAACGAGTACGCCAAAAAGACAATCTAATGAATGCTGCCATTGCAAAACATTAATTTTGAAGCCCTGTCCATCTCTATCCCATCTCCCAGACAAAGACAAGTGAACAAATCTCGATTTCTGCCAGACCCTATTTTCAGAAGCAAATAATTTATTTTACCATTTTCCCTAGTGCAGACATCCAAGACACCTACTCATCCAAGCATTTGCAGCAAACCTCACTCTTGTTAAGGCAAAATGGATGTAGTGGAAGTAAGTCGATCAAACATAAACTTTCCAACAGTACTTTCAGAATGATTCCTGCTCAACCTTCAGATTCAGATTCAGAGGAGCTTGAGTCCGAGCTTGCATCTCCCGAGGCATTGGGTAATTTTGTCGGTGTTGAGACTTTGGGCTGAGAATTTTGGCGAGCTTCCAATAATGGCCTTCTATTCATGTACTGCAAGGGAAATTTTACAAAGGTCAAATAAACGGATATCATATCTAACTGCAAGAATCATAAATTTGTTGAAGCAGAAGACGTGACAAACTGACATAAAACTTGATATTATACTCTAGGACGATCTGTCCATACGACCATCTCGTATGTAAAAGGCCACCACGTGAAGATAAATGCAGAAATGCCCAAAACTAACACAAAAGTTACACTCACCTCCTGATAAAAGGCATTAATCTCTTCCTCTGTCAAGCCTTCATCTTCACCACCATTTTCCTCCCAACCAAGGGAACGAAGAAAAGCAGCTTCTTCTTCATCAGGATAGACTGATCCATTAGCAGAAAAGCCATCCTCTCCAGGATCAGAAAGACTTTTGATCTTCTCGTTACTGTCATAGCTATTGCCATTGCAGATGCCATTTCCTGGAATATGAGAACTTGCGCCATGGCTTCCTTGAAACTTTTCTCCAAATGTCTGTGCACCAGAAGATGGAACAGTCAAACTCGAGTCTGAATGGTTGTTTGTAGCACTTGATGATTTTTTTCTCCTCATAAGATTGAAAAATTCACTTCTGCTTTGTGCAAGTGATTGAGAAGATCTCTTGTCCACAGTAGATTTGGAACTCAGTGTTAAGGCACCAGCCCTGTTTTCAAGTGCAGAAACCACAGAGGTACTTGGACTTGTCGACACAATTGGAGTAGCTGGAGACATAATGTGCTGGCCGTTAGCTACTTTTCCATCAGCATCACTACCTCCACTCAAAGCATCCTTTGCTCCAAGTGCGATATTCTCACGCCCAGGCTTGAGAACAAGAAACTTTCCAGAATGAGAGGCACTTGCGGAATCAGGTTTGGTTTGTATAACACGGGATGGATTAGCAAGATGAGCTGAATGGGGCTGTTGATGGACACCCCTGGAAACCATGCTTGTCTCATTAGTTCTGGCAGCAGCCTTTGACTGTTTTGTTTTATCCACGGAGCTAGAAACCTGAGGATTACAAAATTCACACACCAATTAAACAATTGTATACGTAATGTGTTCATTCAAACAACACATACCTCACTTCATAACAGGGAAGGCTTAACCAAAAGATCAGTTCAATTTTGTTCCAATGTAACAAGATAATAAAAGAATAATTGACAATCCATAGTTAAAACTTGAGACAAAGAAATAGCAGAATCCAAAGGAGCTAAAGAATAAGTTGAAGAGAAACAGTAGTCAGGTATTTACTGAACTTTCCTTTGCAGCTCTGATAACTCACTTTGGCAAAAATAATTAAACTTAGGGGCATAACTAGCATTATTGCTGCTTTTCTTATACCTCTAAGCAATGCTCACAGTCAAAAGGCATTAATGCATACTGGAAATACCATTAGTAACAGGTCAGATAAAGTAGATCACCATTTCAAGAATATATAATCTCAGCAGCTAAGGGACTATTTTACAACTCCCAAACATGGTTGAAGGTTTCTTTCATTTCTTAACAAAATAGAGTCAAAATTTTCAAAAGGGTTTGCCTGTCAATCTAGTTGGTGCTCTCAGCTCTGTCCTCAGAAAAGGTGGCATTGCCTCTATTTATCAAGTAATTACGTGCTTATCATTAAAGGGGTATGCAGCTGTTTTATTAATTTAATAATGGAGAGTTAATGCTACAAATATTTCAATTCTTTTACTATCAGTATTTCTAGGAGCACACATTTTGCCTTAGTCCATTAGTTGGAGATGTATTCTAGCAAACAGCAGAGATAAAGAACGAGTAAAAGCATCAATCAACGTTCATGTGGCTACTGAAACTCAAAATAAAGTAGAATTCAAAATGCATTAAGAATTCTACAAATCAAAGCAACTCGCTTTACCAAGGGTTTGGGCATTGAAGGTGTCACAGGAATTAATTGCCTGGATTGCTTGATAGCCAATTCTTCAAGCCTCTGGTTCTTATCAGAGAGCTGCAATATGTATCAAAATAAATACATAAACTATACCTGCTTTCCCGCAGATCAAAACTATTGAAAACACGCTTATATTAGGCAATCCTTCACCTGAGTGGGAGTGCGAACTCTTGCTGCAGGCTGTGACAATGCCTCGGCCATGTTAAGACCTCCTGGACTAGAAGCAGTAGATGATAAATTTGAAACCATAGCAACACTGGGTGGAAGAGTGCTGGTAGTGCCATTATTTGTAGGAATAGCAGGCACCTCTGCCAAAGCAGAAGTCCATTTCTCACCACAGAGAAACCCTGAGTTGCCAATGGCCGAGCTTTGAACAGCAGAAGTCAGGCGAGGAGATAAGACTCGCTTGATTCCTGTCAAATCTTGCTTCTCTTCAGTTCTAAGTGATGGAAATTCCTTTTCCAAAACTGCCTTCTGAATTGTATTAGAATTTCTGCCACCAGAAAGTGCACCATTCCCACTAACTTGCGAGTTCTCTATTCTTTGAGGCAACTTTTCACCAGGTTTTCTAGAAACCTGTGACTGGGAACGACTCAGGGACCTCCTCTCCACTCTGCTAGTCAATATACTTTCTAAGGGATCAGCAGAGCCATTATTCCAGATGTCCTCCAAAGGAGACTTCTCTTTCACTCTATCACGGTGTTTATCCCGGTGGCTCCTTGAGAAACTACTGTATGGATGTTTTCCTGGGCCATCACTACTTAAACTACGCCTAGCATTGGATGAAGAACTTCTATCCAGATAACGCGGACTATCTGTATCCTTGTTGCCACCAAAAGATCTATTGCGCATGTTGTGTGAGGGGGAAGAAACATCTAACAGAAACAAAGAAAATATCGAAAGTTATGGCCATTGTCAGAATAGCACAAAAAACAGCAAATGTAATAATAGTAACACGGAAAGTTACTGTCATCCTCAATGAGTTAAGAAGAAATTATACCTGAGTGGTGGATTGAGGAGCCGCCACTTCCAGCAACATTTCCTGTACATCTCAACCATTCTGGAACAAACGCGGGTTCAGTTCTTTCCATCAGCACCAGACATCATCTAAACCTAAGCAACTCAGTTATCTCTAACAGTTTCTTTCTAGATTGACCTCTACTAAAGATGAAAACCAAAGGTTTCCTTGCTGCAAATGGGGGTATAGAACAAACCCACTTTTCACTACCCCCACAAATCAATCTTTAGAACAAAGCTGAGTTAACTCTTAGCAGCATTCCACACCTAATTCAATTGTGGTGATTGATTTATCCACAATCCTTCAACACTGATGAGCCCAAAAAAGACGAGTTTCTTCCTACTTCACTTCAACTTACCAAACCCTCATCCTCTTTAACCACAATCGCGCCCAACGGCCACGAAATTTAACAAAATTCACCAATACCTCCTCCCCTCGGGTACCACAAAACGACAAACTAATAACCCACAAGAGAATGTGGGCCTTCCAACAAAACGAAAAGCAAACCCTCAAACTAAAATTCTCCAACCATGTGGTTTCCCGAACACACACATACTCAGAAAAAACAAAACGACAACTGAATCCAGGCACACCGAAATCGGCACACGAAAAAAACACAGGAATCGAAAGCGGAAGCAATCCTAGCACAGTGAGAAACGGATCAAATTAAACCCTAACCTCCCGATAACCGTCACTCCTCCAGAGACAAGTACCAACACCCCCCCTCCGTATATCGAAACGGCGAAATCCTTCGTAATCGCAATTCAATCCAATTCAATGCGGATGCAGTTGACGAATCGCAAGCAAGAAGCAAAATGCAGGCGGCGAAATTGAAGAGAGGAATTTTCTTATTATATGCAGTGTGTGGATTGAAATGTGAATGCAGAGCAGCGAGCCATCTAATTCTCTATTTCTAGGGCGTCCCCCTCTTCCTGCCTGCCTGCCTTCATTTTTCTTCGTTTTGTATTATATTGTATTCTACTGCTATTTTTTTAATTAATATATTTTTATTATTATTATTACTACTTATTTATCATTTCTATATACGTATTTAGATTTATTATTATACGTAATTTGATTTTAAGGTGTTTGGTAAACAATTTTTTGAAGAGCTTTTAGATTTATTAATATATACCGTTGTTTCAAATTAATTTTTTTATTTTAATTTTTTTATACTTTATTTGTCCTTAAAATTAATTAATTATTTTACATATATTTCTATATTTTTTTATTACACGATTTATTAATAATATAGATATATTTTCTTCTAATAATTTATAAATTCATATTTATAAATTTAAAATAATTACTTTTATATATATTAATTATCTTATTTATAATTTTTTTATTTTTTAATAAAAATAATATAAAAATATTAATATTATTGAATCAATTATATAGTATTTTTTATCACATAATATTTTTATTAAAAATGAATATATTTATTTAAATTATAAATTTAATGTAAATATATATTAATTAAAAATTAATCTAATAAAAATACATATGCTAATAATTTTTATTCTTTTATATTTATACTATTTTTAATGAAAAAAAAATATATTTTTCAATAAGCTAGTATTAATTCTTTACAAAATATTTTTAAAATAATAAAAACAAATATTATACTAAAATTTTTCTAATTTTTAAAATTAATAATAAAATTATAAAAAAGTTTATCAACCGAAAAAACTCAACTAAATATTTTGAAAATAAAATATAAACTGTATTTAATTGTTATTTTACGTATGAACAGCCAATATCAAACCGCTATTTTACCAAACACTTTAATACAAACGGCTTAATCGAATCAACTAGTCAAACCAGCTAATCGAATCAGTTAACAGCTAACAACTATCACGTAATTGCCAAACATACCCTTGTTTGAATAATTGATAAAAAGTATGGATAAAATATTTTTTTGGCATTGATAAAGTAGTGATAAAAGAAAGAATAGTTTTACGATAATATAGTTATTTACGGAAATAAAACTTATTTTGGGACGGACAAAAATGATAAATGAATTGAGACGGAAGAAATATGATAAATTAAAAAAAATAAATACTTTTTTGGATTTGAATTAACTTTCAGGTCGAATAGAATAAAAATAATTGTATTTTTTAATATACTTAATTATAAGCAGATTTAGTATTTATCTTAACTTTTTAAGTATTTAAAATTTAAAATTTATTTTTCATTATTATATACAAGGAATATTACTAATTTTATTATATCTTCTCTTTATTTACTTTAATTTATAAATAAATTATTTTAATTAATAAAATAATTATTTTTTAATTTTTATGTCTGATACAAATAAACTAATTTTAATAGAGTGAATTAATTTTAATGGACGGGGTGAGTAATATTATTAATAATAAAATAAAATAATTTTGGTATTTTATGTATTATATATGTAATACTAATAGTATATTTGAAATTTATATAAAATTAAATAATATTAATATATAATTATTTTTACTATTAATATAAAATGAATATTTTTAAGAATATATGATAAAGATAATATTTCTGATTTGAAATATAATTATAGAATAATGCCAACTTTTTTAACTTTTTTTATTTAATTTTTTTATTTGTATTTTTTGCATCTAATAAACATATTTTGACGATAAAAAAGTATTTATTTTGAAAAAAAAAATTTAATTTAATATAAAACACAGTTATTAGTTTTTATATAAGTAAAGTAATATTTATATATAAATAAAAAAAAATATTTTCATTAATATTAGAAAGTGAGAAAATTCATTATTCTTTATCAATAAAATATAAGTAATAATTTCGAATATTTTAAGGATAGTTTCTCTATTTTCCAGGGTATAATTTCCTTTGAAAGACAATGAAATGGCAGTAGTAATTGGAATTTGACTTCTGAGTCTACCTTGTCCAATTTCGTCGCGACCGCGTTTCATTGCCTTTCCTTTCTCCGGCATCTTTCCCTTTCCCAATTCCGCCGCCCCAACCACCGCACCCCTGCAAAACCCTAATCAAGATCCGCCAATCCAAGAATTACATTGAAGTATTCGAGCTGCGCAGAGGAATCAAGAGTTTGCGTGCGTTGTTCGATTAATGGATTTGGCTTCAACCCGCTACAATGCATCGCATACCGAAATTCTTCGCTCATAGTTCCAATCGGCGCAAGGGTGGGGGTAATTCGGGCTCGAATCCCCTATCAGGGAAGCGGAAGCCGAGGTTGGAGCGGCTCAACGCCAAGAAGAATTTCAATTACGAGTTCTTTCCGTCTTCAGCTTCGGCTTCTTCGTCGTCTTCGTACTACTCGTCGGAGGATTCCCCGCCCACGAGTTCGATAGATTTGTATTGCGGCAAGACGAGCTTCCGCGTAGATGCGAGCGGTGGCGAGATCGAAATTCTTTGCAAAAGGTTGGGGTTTTCGGGAATTGATGATTTTGCAATACCCGTTGAGGAGTACGAGGCTATGAAGGTGAAATCCTGTTCAACGCCGATTGGATTTAGTCGGAAAATTGATGGTTTATTAGATCGGAAACTGGATGCTGATTTTGATGAAGAAAGTGGTTTGTCAAGTGAAGTGGATTGTATTGATGTTGTCGATGCGGTTAGTTTTGAAATTGAAGGCAATGGAATGTATCTTCGATTAGCAGAAATTAGTGATGATATGATCAGTAAATGTAAGGAAGGCTCTGATTCAGGTTATATAGGTAGAAATGGAGCTAATAATTTAGGTAGCAAAATCGTGGATAGGAGAGTGCCAAGTGATTCAATGTTGAGTGATAATCTTGTCGGGACAGTTGTTGAGGTCCATGGAAATGGTATTAAGGGTGTTCGGCCTCCGGTCCTTGCACCACCATCTCCAACATCGTTTCCTGAGATTGATCAAGAACGCTCAACTTGGAATCTGTTTGGGGCATCTGTGCCGGCTAGCGAACTATGTATCTCTAGGCTTGAGTATGGATTTTGCTTTGATGAGGCAGGTTGTCAGAAAAGGAGTGAGGATCAGGATCCGGAAGAGGATAGGAGGGAAAGAGGAATGGCACGGGATGAGAACTGCTTGCTCTCGGGATCTTGTTCTTTTACCACAACTTCCATTGACGATGATTCTTCGAGCATCATGACTGATCCATTGTCAAGTATTTCTCCTGATGGTGGATATAGGCGAATTATTTTGGAATGGCAGAAGGGTGAGCTGTTGGGCCGCGGTTCCTTTGGGTCAGTCTTCGAAGGAATTGCTGAGTAAGCTCTCTATTACTTTGTTTTTAGTGAATTACTGCCTTGTGATTTCGAATGTGAATTATCTGGTAGCACTGTTAAACTTGTTCAGTTTAGGTTCCTGTTGTATGTAACATAGAATTAGTGGGTAATTGCTTGATGAAGATTAAACCTTTGACATCTATATATGATCACGAAGAATTTTTTTGTTCTGAATAGAGCCATGTAAGATTGACCTGATCGTGAATTTTATCATATCAATTATAATTATGTGAACTGAACTCGTTCTTTAAAAATTCAGTGGTGGATTCTTTTTTGCGGTAAAGGAAGTGTCCTTGCTTGATCAAGGGGATGCAGGGAAGCAACGGATTATTCAACTTGAACAGGTTATTGGCAGTGTTGTGCAAATAAGATTTGTTAATAACAATCAGTTAGTTTCTGGTTGTGTGGATTGACAGCTAATGAGGTTACTTGTATCATCTGACCCTATATTTACTTTCATTCTTTCCAGGAAATTGCTCTACTGAGTCAATTTAAACACGAGAATATCGTCCAATATTACGGCACAAAAAGGGTATGCACTCTAATGTTTGTACTGTTTATCAGCTCAACTGTTATCTGAGGTGATGTTTAGACACTACGATAATATTGAGTGATCACTTCCACCCAAGCTTTTCCTTACACAGCTCTCCTAGTGCGAGAGATTGCTTCCATTTTGTTTTGTACTTGAACTTTGTAGGTTCTACTTTTGTATTAGATAAATCCAATTTCCAATTGGATTGTTCATGTTCCTTTTGTTCTCGGTGTTCTTACAGTTAAAGCTTTACTTAACTTCTTACTTACGTGTAGGATGAATCACATCTCTATATTTTTCTGGAGCTCGTAACGAAAGGATCCCTTCTAAGGCTTTACCAAAAGTATATTCTTAGAGATTCACAAGTCTCTGCTTATACAAGACAGATTCTACATGGTTTGAAATATCTACATGACAGAAACGTCGTGCACAGGTAATTCAGCCTTTCCTTTTTAGGCTTCATGGTGTTTCACCAATCTTGTGTACTTTTCCTAAGTAAAAATTTTGAACTTGTTTTTGCAATATATTCAGGATTGCATTTGTTGTTGTTGTCTTTTTAAATATTACTGTAAAATATTTTCTCTAGGTAAGTGTTTGGTTTTGTTTTGTTGCTCTTTGGGAATAGTAAAATTTTGAATTAAAATTACGGTTTGATTTGATGGTTTTACTTAAAAAATTTGAATGGAACATATTAAATGTTAAATAAAGGTACGATAATGATATCTTTTGAAAACACAACGATTAATTTTGTTCCTGATTCAATTAGATTCAGATTCAGAATTTTCAATTGCTTCCCGTGCAAAGTGATTCATATGCTATACTGGGCTGAAGTCTCTTTATCTTTGTGTAATCGATGCAGAGATATCAAATGTGCAAACATATTGGTTCACACTAATGGTTTAGTGAAGCTTGCAGATTTTGGCCTTGCTAAGGTTCAGATCGTGATATTCCCTTCTTCCTTCTTTTCTGCCTATACTTTTCATTGTGCTTCAAACCATACTTTATCGATTGGATAATTTTGCAGACCACCAAATTGAATGATGTAAATTCATGCAAGGGAACAGCATTCTGGATGGCTCCTGAGGTTAGCTCCTTCAACCCTTGTTGAAAGTAACATATTTTAGTTTTGATTATAACAATTTTTTATCAATGTATATTCAAGCACATATCCACGATCAACCTTAAGCAGAAAATTGGGAGCTACTAACTTTCTATTTCATGTTTTGTACAAAGGACAGAATATTTAGAGAACAATCTTTCAAGTTAAGCTGAAATTTAAAAACCTAAGAGTTGAAAGATGTTTTGAAGCTTCTTTAGCACGATCACGAAACTCTTCACTTGTTTCCTCAATTTTCTCTCAAATGTATATATCTTTTTTTCTCTCACACGATTCAAGCATTCTACCTGTTATTCTATTTAATGAAGGTCTCCTCCATCTACTTAGTAATCGACCAACCAACATCTATAAGTTTGTGCACTTTGTATCACCAGGTTGCATTTGATAAAGGCATCTATGTTGATGTTCTCTGCACTTATTATCATTTCTATCAGCGAAGATTCTGACCAAAACAGTTCTGGCATGAGATTATACTGATTGTCCATCCACGTTGTCGCAGGTTGTTAGGAGTATGGGCTATGGGCTTGCTGCTGATATATGGAGCCTTGGATGCACTGTTCTGGAGATGCTAACCCGACAATTTCCGTACCACAACTTGGAATGCGTAAGTAAACTTGCTCAAATAGTAAACTCGAGTGCTATTCATTAATGCTACACAAAGAAACTATTCAAGCCTCATTGGATCTCATATACTCATAATTGAATGTTTGGTTAATTGTTGGAATTCAAGTTCCTTATTCGATAGGGAATTGGATTTAAAATTTGTTTCCCTTTGATGCAACAGATGCCGGCATTATTCAAGATCGGACAGGGTGAGAGACCACCTGTTCCCAATTCTCTCTCCAGCGAAGCTCGCGATTTCATCCTTAAATGCTTGCAAGTTGACCCAAGATTACGGCCATCAGCCGAACAGCTCTTGGATCATCCCTTTGTGAAGCAACCCCTCCCCTCCTCTGCCTACAACTCCCCTCGCTATTTTGCCAGGCGAATATGAATCATTTACACATCTTCAGGTATGCCCAAAACAACATAATCGAACATACCAATACCATAGAATGCACTTTATGATCTGACATTACCTTCCAATGCAGGAGGCCGCCCCGCCCCATCTGCACCTCGCCAGGGTTCTTTTTCGCCTGCAGCCCTCCAATCTTCACATTGGAGTGAGTCATTTTGTTTTTATTTTTTTGGCTTTGTGTGGGATTAGTTTTCTCCACGTATCCTGCTTGTTTGTTTTCTTGATTTGCTGTTTGGGAATTTGCCTTCCCAGGCGGCAAGCTGTGGTTTTGATAGTGTATCTATGTATTTTAAGTAGTAGGGGATTGTATAGATCAAACCCCATTTAAATTGTATATATTACACTTGTATTGTTATCATCATTATTATTGTGTAGTGTAGTAATATTATATGTATCTGGTTTTGATTGTGTATTTTGGTATTATTTCCAAATAATCTTTGCTTAATCCTTAACCCTATAGTCTTTTATTTAAAAAGAAAAATAGAAACAGAAATTATAATATTTATGTCCATGGATGCAATTAGTTTATTTTACTTTGGAATTTTATTATGGCCCATCAATACATATGAGATATTTGTGCCAACTGGCCAATTGGTGCGGGTGCCACATGCAAGCTGTGACGACTACACTCCTCATAGCTGTTATTTTTAATAAAATCTTTGATACTATTATTTATTTTTTTTAATGTCGAGTATAATTTTTTTTAAAGTGACCAGAAAGGCATACACAGACAAATTATTTTTTGTTAATATTTTCTAAATATTATCACAATAAATTCCAATATCAATTGTCAGAAAGGAAAATATTGGGCAACTTCCTGCCTATTATTCCATGGACACCATTTTCACTTGCATTTCATATAATTCGACAATAAAAATAAAATAAAATTGTCCATGTCTTAAATCGAGGGGGTGTAATTATTCCATTTTACAAATATTTGTGTTTAAAATATGGTATCAAATACAGTGTTCATTACATTATTGATACTGCTAAATAAAGACAGTCAATTGTAGTAAGTTTAATTATCATTATCTTAGCTTAGCTGTACCCAATTAATATTTGGTGTAAAAAAGGTTTCAAATATAATTCTTTTTTTTATTGTACATTAATATTCATTTCCCAATCCAAATTAATCTCAAATAAGAATAAAATCCACATACAATTAATTTAAATAAAATAAAATAAAACAAATAAAGAAGATAAGATGACCCCAAGTTTCACCAAAAGGCCAATGCCTCGTAACCCTTTCATAGAGATGCCCATGCCCCTCACTCAAAATAAAATTTGACCCTTTCTATTTTTGTCACTCCTCTCTTATTTTCACTTACCATTTATATCATCAAATTTTAGCTATATACATAAATATTTGCATTTCAATATAAATGAAGAATAATAATTTCCCCCCTACAATACATATGGTGTAATTTTAGCATCATTTATTTCATATTTTTATTAGTTTAAAAAAATTATATATAGAATTATGAGTATAAATATTTCTTTCATGTGAATTATGGAATTTTACACATGAATGCATTTCACCCTTAGGCCTTACATGAGTACAAGATTTTGTAAATTTTTTTACATAAAGATGGTAAATTTCAATGTGATATATATGTATTTATGCTAATATCATTATAATGTTTTACAATTTTTTAATTTAATTGATAAATTAAATGAATTAAATCCGCTTCAAAATTTGAGTTTGAGCATATGTAGACAATTTATCTTTATTAATTGTATATTTAATTACCTTTAGAAATTAATTAAGATGAATAAATTATAAAATCTTATGAAATTGATTAATTCATATATTCAATTATACATAAGTTTATACAAATATATACTAGTAGTATATAGTATTCCTTTTCGACTTCAAGTAATTATATGAGAAGCATTAAGAATGAAATGACCAAAATAACCCTCACGTACGCACCGTTGGAACTCCCATGCGCCACTTCTCACTGCAGAAAATCGTACGGTGACCCTTTGTGCTGTTCCTTTTTTTTTATTTTTACGAACCCATACAATATTTAGGTCCAACCAACAATGAATCATTATGCTTCAAACCCATAATTGATTTACTTAATTAAATTATTTATGGAAGCCAATTTGGTTTTGCCTTCTCCTATTTACTTTGGTGTAAATTAATTCTAAATAATAATAATAATAAATTAAGCACAGTGGTTTTCATGATTTTATACCTGCAAATTATTATTAGGAGGAGATTTATTTCAATTATATTGTGAACGCCCCCAAAATCATATTACTAATTTATGCGAAATGTAAAGCAGTCTTTTAAATATGTCATTTTTATTATTCCTAAAAGAAATAAGGAAAAGAATAAAAAAATGAAAATATCATACTATTAATGTTGAATCGTGAATTTAAATGCTACTATATGTAAATGGTATTTTAAAATATAGACCCATGTGTGGAATTGAAATGTTCAATTTTACCTATTACTATTATTTTTTATTATTAAATTTTAAAATAGAAAAAATAAATAAATTATAACATAAATGACTTACAAAATCTTCTCTATATACAGCCTTAAATAAACCGTCTCTGATTCCCATTCCCCGCGCACAGAAAACCCTACAATGGCGGCGTCCGTCGGAAACCGCCAATTCCGCCGCCTCGACCACTCCGGCATCCCCCGCCCAATCAAGCCTGGTCCGCCCGCCGGCGGCCGCTCCGATGCCCCAGCTCGAGCCAACAGTTTCCCCCAATCTGCCGACGCAAACAAAACCCCAATCGATGCTTCGATCGGCGCCAATGCCGTCGCCGGAGATTACTCTTCCAGCGACGACGACGACGACGGCGGCGGAATAACTGATTACTTATCCGCGGCGAGGAAGGCCAGCGCCGAGCTCGAACCGTCGGTCCAAGACTCACGTGACGAGCACACCGCCGACAATTGGGTGGCGCGCAACCCTTCCATGGTCCGCCTCACCGGAAAACACCCCTTCAACGCGGAGGCGCCGCTCCGGCGGCTTATGCACCACGGATTCATCACGCCGGTTCCCCTCCACTACGTCCGTAACCACGGACCGGTCCCGACCGCGGCCTGGGAGGACTGGACCGTCGAGGTAACCGGTCTTGTAAGACACCCGGCCCGGTTCACCATGGACCAGCTCGTAGCCGATTTCAAGCCCAGGGAACTCCCCGTAACCCTCGTCTGCTGCGGCAACCGCCGGAAAGAGCAGAACTTGGTCAAAAAGACGATCGGATTCAACTGGGGCGCCGCCGGCGTCTCGACGTCGGTGTGGCGGGGGGTCCGACTGCGCGACGTGCTGAAGAGGTGCGGGATTATGAGCTCGCGGCGGGGAGCTTTAAACGTGTGCTTCGAGGGGGCGGAGGACCTCCCTGGCGCCGGCGCCGGATGGGGATCGAAGTACGGGACGAGCTTGCGGAAGGAGGTGGCGATGGATCCATCGAGGGATATTATTATTGCGTATATGCAGAACGGTGAGAGGTTAGCGCCGGACCACGGTTTTCCGGCGAGGATGGTGATTCCGGGGTTCATTGGCGGGAGGATGGTGAAGTGGTTGGAGAGGATTGTGGTGACGACGGAGGAATCGGATAATTATTACCATTTTAGGGATAATAAGGTTCTTCCTTCTCACGTCGACGCCGAATTGGCGAATGCTGAAGGTTGGTGGTACAAGCCTGAGTTCATAGTTAACGAGTTGAACATTAACTCGGTCGTTACGACGCCTTTTCATGACGAGATCTTGCCGATTAACTCGGCCACAACTCAGTCGCCTTACACTATGCGCGGCTACGCCTATTCAGGTCACTTTACATTTATTTATATTAAATTATAAAATATTCATTCCTACATCTTAGGTTGGTTAGTGGGAGTATCTAATATTAATATAATTAAGATTCTGCAACTTTTTTAAAGGCGGCGGGAAGAAGGTGACGAGAGTGGAGGTGACGATGGACGGCGGGAACACGTGGCAGGTGTGCACCCTGGACCACCCGGAGAAGCCCAATAAGTACGGCAAATACTGGTGCTGGTGCTTCTGGTCCCTCGATGTTGAGGTCCTGGACCTCCTCGCCTCCAAGGAGATTGCCGTCCGTGCTTGGGATGAAACCCTCAACACCCAGCCGGAGAAGCTCCTCTGGAATCTCATGGTGGTCTTCTGGTCCCTGGATCTGCTTTCCTTTACTAACAGCCATTTCTGGATCTCGATTGATTAATTGATAAATTTGATTGCAGGGAATGATGAACAATTGTTGGTTTAGAGTGAAAATGAATGTGTGCAGGCCACAAAAGGGGGAGATCGGAATCATATTCGAACATCCTACGCAGCCGGGAAACGAACCCGGCGGGTGGATGGCCAAGGAGCGCTCCGCCGCCGGCGACGGCGACGCCACCTTGAAGAAGAGCGTCTCCTCGCCCTTCATCAACACCACCGCCGACAAAATGTTCTCCATGTCGGAAATCAGGCGCCACAATTCGCCGGATTCCGCCTGGATTATCGTCCACGGCCATGTCTACGACTGCACGCGCTTCCTCAAGGATCACCCCGGCGGCAGCGACAGCATTCTCATCAACGCCGGCACCGACTGCACGGAGGAATTCGACGCCATACATTCCGACAAGGCGAAGAGGATGCTCGAGGATTACCGGATCGGAGAGCTGATCAAAACCGGCTACGCCTCGTCGGATTCGTCGCCGAATAATTCCGTCCACGGCCGTTCGAGTGTTCTCCAAATTCTGGCGCCGATCAAAGAGACTCCGCCGGCGCCGGCGAGGAGCGTCGCGCTTGTTTCTCGCCGGAAAATTCCTTGCAAGCTCGTCGGCAAAACCTCGCTCTCACACGATGTCAGGTTGCTCCGATTCGCGCTTCCGAGCGACGATCAGGTCCTCGGGTTACCCGTCGGAAAACACATATTCTTATCCGCCATTATCGGCGACAAGCTCTGTATGCGAGCGTACACGCCGACGACCGGCGCCGACTGCGTCGGCTACTTCGAGCTCGTAATTAAAGTCTACTTCAAAGGCGTCCATCCCAAATTCCCCAACGGCGGATTGATGTCTCAGCACCTCGATTCCATGGAAATCGGATCGTATCTCGACGTGAAAGGTCCCCTCGGCCACATCGAGTATTCCGGAAAGGGAAATTTCACCGTCGACGGCGGCAAGCACAAATTCGCAAAAAAGCTTGCGATGATCGCCGGCGGCACCGGCATCACGCCGATCTACCAGGTGATGCAGGCGGTTCTGAAGGATCCGGAGGACGAAACCGAGATGTACGTCGTTTATGCGAATCGGACGGAGGAGGACATTCTCCTCAGGGAGGAGCTGGACGATTGGGCGGCGAATTTTCCGGCGAGGGTTAAAGTTTGGTATGTGATCGAGAAGAGTGTGAAGGAAGAAGAATGGAAGTATAGCTTGGGATTTATAACGGAGAATGTGCTGAGAGAGCATATTCCGGCGTGTGCGTCGCCGGAAACTGCCCTGGCGCTCGCCTGCGGGCCGCCGCCGATGTTGCAGTTCGCTGTGAACCCTAATTTGGAGAAGATGGGGTACGACATTCAAGGGTCGTTATTGGTTTTTTAAATATTTAAATTAGGTCCACATAATATTTATATTGGTTTTTATTTGTACATATATAAATTATAATCGTATCTATTCATGTAACATATTGCGTTTTTTTTTTTCTATTAAATTAAATCATTAATGTGATTTATAAAGGCACGTAAGTGGACCACTATGCATGCATGCATGAGATAAGGTTGTTCGTACGAAAGCTTTGATAAATATAAAATCAAATAAATTTTACGTATTGCAATTAATTTGCACATATATGTAGTCATAGATATTAGTGTTGATGAATCTTTGTAAAAAAAAAAAAGAAAAAAGAAAAAGCGTAATAAATAATACTATCAAAATCAGAAGAAGACAAAAGCTTTATTGCATGTTGGTGTCTTCAAAAGGTCATTCGAACCTGTTCTCCACACCTCAGTTGCCTTGGGCCCTTCCCTTGACCCCTAATAACTTAAAGTAGGAGGATTTGTTACACTATTTGCTGTATTTTTCAAAATTGACAGGTTACATGACACATGTTACATTAATTTCAATATAAGAAATATGTTTATATATATCATCTACAATATGATATGATATTATTTGAATATATAATTTAGGATTACTTTCCATTATAATAAGTCAAATTGTTAATTTGAGCTTTTGAAATAAAGCCCAATTTAAAATAAATTAGCCCAAAAGCCCAGTTTTTGACATTTGGTATGACTTCAGTTTCAGTAACAGACGCACGCACGGATTAGTAAAACGACGGCGAGGTTAAGCCGGCGCCGGTGTCATGGTAAGATTGGAAGCCGGAGCTGCCGGTCCACCGCACTGGCGATGTTCAATAGGTGGATTAGTGTTTCGGTATAATTTATTCGGCAACATCTTCAGGTTTCTTCTGCTTTTATATCATTTAGTATTTGATTGATTCCTCTTATTGCTATCGAATTTTACTTGTTCATATGGTGTTCTCGTTAGTATACTGATAAATAGAATTTGATTTCGTGCTTCTGCCGTACATATTTTCAGATTTCTGGCATCGTATGGATTATTCCTGTATGATATATATATATATATATAGGTTTATACTACAATTTTGTGCTAGGTTAAACTTTTGTATTTGGGTAATTTTTGTGCAACCATGGGGCATTCATTTATCTACTTCTGAAATGATTCCTAACCATATTGAGTTGTTGGTTATGATTCTTGTTAATTTTACATTTGAGAAAGTTCGGGGAAGAAGAGGATTCATGGGTGTTTCCCAAGCTGCATGTGATAATGATATTAGAGTTAAACATCACATTTTAGAGATCAATCTTGTTATGTGAAACCAACCATTGATGGATTCTGGAAGCTGTAGTTTAAATTAATTCTTTGGCTGTTCATTATTTGCTTGTTCCATCTTCCAATTCCTGACAGCCTAAATTCAAGTAATCATTACTAAATAGAATTCCAGTTTCAGTAACAGACGCACGCACGGATTAGTAAAACGACGGCGAGGTTAAGCCGGCGCCGGTGTCATGGTAAGATTGGAAGCCGGAGCTGCCGGTCCACCGCACTGGCGATGTTCAATAGGTGGATTAGTGTTTCGGTATAATTTATTCGGCAACATCTTCAGGTTTCTTCTGCTTTTATATCATTTAGTATTTGATTGATTCCTCTTATTGCTATCGAATTTTACTTGTTCATATGGTGTTCTCGTTAGTATACTGATAAATAGAATTTGATTTCGTGCTTCTGCCGTACATATTTTCAGATTTCTGGCATCGTATGGATTATTCCTGTATGATATATATATATATATAGGTTTATACTACAATTTTGTGCTAGGTTAAACTTTTGTATTTGGGTAATTTTTGTGCAACCATGGGGCATTCATTTATCTACTTCTGAAATGATTCCTAACCATATTGAGTTGTTGGTTATGATTCTTGTTAATTTTACATTTGAGAAAGTTCGGGGAAGAAGAGGATTCATGGGTGTTTCCCAAGCTGCATGTGATAATGATATTAGAGTTAAACATCACATTTTAGAGATCAATCTTGTTATGTGAAACCAACCATTGATGGATTCTGGAAGCTGTAGTTTAAATTAATTCTTTGGCTGTTCATTATTTGCTTGTTCCATCTTCCAATTCCTGACAGCCTAAATTCAAGTAATCATTACTAAATAGAATTGGTACGAACGAGATTTCCTGGACTGAGAGATATCATCATTACAACAGCCAATTAAAACTACTAAATCCAAGAGAAACTATTTAAACAACTAGCAATCATAGAAACAAGCACAGTGAGGGTTCCATCATGATGGGATTTGATATGATTGCAAGCATTGATTGCTTGCTTGCCCATCAATGGCAAATCAAACCCTAAAAAAAAAAAACCCAAAACCATGCTTCCATTTCACCCCAGTTGGATACACACCAATCCAGGGAGATAATGAAAGCACAGCCCATCATTACACAATACCCACTTCTTAGTTCAGTTCTTTACTACAACAAACCAATCAAACACTACTACACAGTCTGATGTAGACACAAATCTAACATATCAGCAAATCTTTACACAGTGCAAAGATTGCCAATAGCCACGGGTGGGGCAGGATCCGAATCCAAACCATTACGGGGCGGGTCGAGCAGGACAGGCAAGAACTCCGTGTTGTCACAGTAGAAGTTGGAATTCTCAAATCTTCTGACCAAAGCTTCTTTACCCTTCAAGAAAAAGACAATAATTAATCATGAGATGGATTGATTGATTCTTCTACATAATATATAACACACAATATAAATTGTTCATTAGGTAGGGGAGAGATCAGATATGGGTATGTATTCACCTGAATTCTTGCCCAGGTGACCTCACAAACTTTGCTCGAGATTATGGGACCATTAGAAGTGTAAACTTTCTGCCATTTATAGTTATCCAGTACTTTCTTGAATCTAAGTGCATCAGCAGCACTTGTGAAGTTAACAAATGCATAGCCTAAATTTCCTTCCTTCCTATTTGATCAGGAGATTCAAATCAAAAAGCACAAGCAACAAAAATATATACACACCCAAAACATATATATATATATATGAAAATGCTAAAAGAATTTCACCTAAAATCCATGGGAAGATACAGAAAATCATACTCCAAGGTGTGAGCTTTGCAGTGGTAGTCTAAAAACTGAAGCATGAAATCCCTCCTGGTTCAGAAACACATGTACAGGTCAAAATAAAGGAAGCTCATCAATGGCCAATAAATAAAAATAAATGCACAAAATCGATCAATAATCACTAATGAATGCTCAAGTAGCAGTTCGTGTATACAATTGAATGCATACACAACATTAATGAAATAAATCATTGGCATTTGTTGCTAACAAATGCATTGAATTGGCTTATATGTCTGTTTGCTGTGGGAAACTGAAAGGTTTTCTGTTTCTTACCACTAATGCATCTGACAAGGGACTTTTAGAAAAAGTTTTCCCTTTTATGGTGATCTGTCAGCATGCACAAAAAAGAGACTACCAAGGGGACAACCCTTTATCACACAATCAGGAAACAGACAAATTTTCCATTCCAAGACAAGAGAGACAAAACAATGGAGCAATTCTTCTCTACCATATTGATGTTTCAGGGTTAGGGTTTGCATTTATATATACATATTCCAAAATACAAATAGTTCATTGACAGACTTTTCTTCCTCAGTAGAAAGTGACAGATTCAGATTCCAGATAGTGGAAAGAAACAATAGACTTTTCTTCCTCCGTAGAAAGTGACATTCAGATTCCAGATAGTGGAAAGAAACAATAACATCCCATGAGGAAATCAAATTGTGTGAAAGATTCAGAAGCTACTGAGAAGATAATTCATACTTTTTTTTTTCTTTAATTAAAAATAAAGACGTATAGAGCAGAGGAAAAGCAGTAGAGGTCAAACGCAAAACCCTAATAAAAAACAAGAAATCTTTTAAGGCCAACAGTGTCCGTACGTACCTCAATCGGTTGGGAATGTTTCTCAGCATTACGGTAGTCTTTGAAGAACATGAATTCTCATCTGCAGTCGGCGGCGGCGGGGAATTGGCGTCGCCGCCGCCGGAATCCTTGAAATTGTCTGTTTTTCTAGGCCTCCATTCTTGCTTTCTCGCCGCCGGAAAAGTGCGTTCGGCCCTCCGAAGCCTCGGCGGCAAAATCTTCTTTCTGCCTTTCTTCAGCCTGTCGATCTTATCGTCGCCGCCGGTCCATGATATCTTAGGTTCATGTACGGTCATCGGAACCCTAACCGTCCAGCAGAAGTGAGTGGCCGGGCAAGGGACTACGCCGTCGTTGGGAGGAGGATGGTAGGTTAACAGTTCGTGGGGAGAGCACGCGCCGCCGTAAGTGTCGAAACCAGGCGGGTAATAAAAGGGGTAGCTCTCAAGGGGGAAACCTATCTGCGGCGGCGCGGCGGCGGCGGGATGCAGTTGAGGATAAAGCGGCCAATACTCCGGCGCATTAGGGCTGAGGAGTGGTTTTGAGAGATAGGCACACATTTGATCGAGGAATAGGAGAGGAAATCAAATGGCTGCAGAAGAATTGATTTAGGTTAACTTAGGACGATGAGAGAGAGCCTGCAATATGGAAGAAAACATGAATTTGGAAAATCGATAGCACTTTTAAAGAACCCACAAAATAATAAAAAGCCCGATACATAGGAATCAGATAAAAACAAGAAATCTTCGACGGCGGCAGGCAGACAGAATATCACACATATAATAAAATATTATATATATATATATGTAAGTCCAGCAGCTTTCTTTTACATATGGCTTAAATCATGATGAAAATCTGAAAACTCATTGTTGAAGAAAAAGACAAAAATAAAAACCAACTGATTAGCCTTAAACAAGGCTATAGTAATCCCAATCCATCATCCCCAAGAAAGGAATGATTGACAGATAGAAAACAAAATGGATATATGTATAATCTCTATGTAGAAAATTTGGCTGCTGCTCCTGCCATAATAATTAGCTAAGCTTAGCTACCCTACACTACACTACATACTCATCACTGGTCTGTACACCTTTTGAAATTTCATTTTTTCGAGGAGGAATACACATATTTTGATTTGATTGGATTATGATCAAGTTGAAGAAGAGGAATGTAGAGAAGAGTAGCAATGTTGGCAAGGTTGAAGAAAAACTTGGTCTTATTTCGTTCTGTAATGGTCACAAGGCATTTAAAGCTTGCCCCATTTGTGATTTAAAGAGAGCTGCTCTGGTGACTGCTGCCATGAAATATATATGTATCATCCATGGCTCAGGCCAAGGGCAAGTAAGGTTTGACCCAGAAAGAGAGTACAGACAAACAGACAGGTTATGTTATATATGCATTACATACGTAAGGTAATATTGGGTATTGGGTGTCTGCAATCTGTGTGTAGTTCCCTCTTTAAGCTTTTATGCGAAGAAGACGAGGACAAATAGATGATCCTCAACAACAACAACAACCCAACCCAACCCAAGAAAATTCTTTTAAGGAAAACACATCACTGCTCTCACACCTTCTCTTTATTTGTCGTCTTCTTCTTCTTCCCTCTCTTTATATATGTGCAGAGAGAGAAGAAAGACATACACGTGGAATAGCTAAAACAGAAAGGAATAACCATCGGGCTTGCATAACAAATTCTTGCAAACTTGTTGTTAATGTTTGGCCCAACATGGCGAGGTTCATTGGGCTTTTGTATTCATTAGATTAAGCCCATTGGGCCTTATTACAAAACCCATCAATGTTACATCAATAAATGGACTGTCTTATTATTGTTACTTGGAAAAATATTGAAGATATGAGGATGATGGCTATTATTGTCATTAATAATTAATAGTGAAGAAGTAGAGACAGCATCATTGTCATGCTTTGGTGTCAAACCTTCGGCTGGTAGTTGTGGAATTATGCCTCATAAAAGTCTTTAATTATTTTGCTTCTTTCTCAAATTAATACCATTAAATATAAAATAAAATGTCAATAATCAAGAATAGGGCAATGTAAGAAATTTAATAAGCAAAAAGGGCTGGAGATTGTCTCTTGTCCCCCTTTATTGGAACCTCGTGTTTTACCTGTTGAATATACAAATTATGCTGGTCATTTTATCAATAAATTGGTTGGTTATGGTAAATTCAATATATAGAGTATTTGGTTTATTTAAATTGAAATTTAGGGTACCCTTTATATGGAAATAGCAATAGCATGAAAGAGACATTACAAGGGAATGGAAACATTGAAGAAACCCTTTTTATAGAATTGTTTGAAACATCATTTGTCATAATGACATCATCATCATGTGTTGCCATTTTTTTACTACACTTTTGAATGAATTTCTTGATCTATCTCTATCTTTATTTATGTATGTGGCTATGCATATATCTTGGAAATTGACATCAAATTTTTTTCAGAGGGTTTCAAGTGGTCCACCCTCAATAGTCCACCCCACCTAAATCATTACACATAATTATAAATAAAATTAAAATAAAAAAGCCAAACCAAGCCATGCCCACCAAATTTTTTTGGGCACACATTATAGTGTGTATAGGGAAACACCATTATGAGGACTTTATCTTCAACACATTGGAAATTGGGAAGTTGTCTTTACAAAAATATCTATATATGATGTTTAAAATAAAATATAGAATAATTAGTTTAATGAAATGAATTGACTTTAATTGGGCACAAGGTAACAATTATTGGAGTGAAATAAATAGTAAATATTATTATATATTAGTGTGAGTGTGAGTGTGAGTGTGTGTGTTTATGTTTTGAGGGCAACCCTGTCTGCTTTTGTACAAGCCTTGTGTTGGAATTGCCTATTACTCATTCCAACATTTATTTAATTGTGTTGGATGCTCTTTATGTGTACATTTTCATCTAGAAAAAGATAGATAACTATATATATATATATATATATTTGTGTGTGTGTGTGTGTGTTTACTTGGACTTTGAAAATTTATATTTTGTTAGATAATGTTTCCTTTCTTATATTAGAAGCTTATTTAGATACATGTTTATATATGTATTTACTATTGGAATTCTTTTGTTGTAGAATTGTAACAATACATCTCAATATAGCAATGGATTTTATTAGTCATAGTAAATAAGAAGTTCTTGAAGAATTATATTTATGAAATAAGTATTGCAACTCCATACTCACATATCTATGGATATCTATATATTTTGTTTAGGGAATAAATTAACATTAATTATGATATTTTACTTGGGTTATTCATTTTTGTTTATACACTTTTCACATTATTTGTATCAATTAATTATTCCTAGACTTAGAATCAGAAAATAAATATTTGATGTGAAAGAACTCCAACAATTAGGCATATTGTACATGAATTGTCCTAATCTCTAATAATCTTTACTACAATTTACAATACAAACAAATCAAAATTTGTCTTTAAAAAGCACACACACACTAGATCAAAAGTTACTCATGTTCTTGGAGGGACCTAGGAGCTGAACTCCCAATCAATCAAATCCAACGGTGTGGATTCACCCACAAGAATCAAAGGGGTGGTTTATTTTCTTCCCATAGCTTCCAAAGTAAGCCAACAACCACAAAGAATGTTGTTTTAATTCAATCAAATCAAAAAAAGGGTTGCCAAATTTCTTACCAGAAAAACATCTTTACATGGGCATCAATTATTACATTTTAAGATTCCAATGTGAATGTCAAAAGGGCAAAGGAATCTGAAACCCTAATTGAGGAAACCAACACATGAACCATCACTATGGGGTTGGGGTTGGGGTTGGACATCCAATGCTAATACCAATTAAGTAATTCCAATCCCAACAATATTTTCTTATTCTATAATATTATTAAATGTGGGTTCTGTTATTTATGGAAAAGTGAAATGAGATTGTACCATGACTTACCTTGTGTAATCTCACTTCACTAATTTATTAGATACTATACTTTTCTATTCTATTCTATTTCATTTTGTGCATGCATTTAATTGTCAAATCAAATCAAGATCTTTCGTACCATACTTGCAATCTTTGTAAAAAAGGGCGTTATTTATTTTTATTTTTTTGGATACTTTTTAAGCATGGAAATATAAAATTACCTGTTTTGGCATGTAAGTGTGTTCTCCTTCTGTCAACTGTGCTATAAAGTCCTGAGCCGATTTACACCGCTCATTAAGACGGGTCCGCATTGTGGACGGCCCAGATTTAATCGGATCTGTAAGCCCGGGATTCTCTAAGATATATCCACCCCCAATTTTGAACATTAAAAATAATAATATTAAATTCAATACGCTCCCTAATATATATTATTTTTTTATTTGTCATATTCTCATAAAATAAAAACAGTTTAAATATGGAAATTAAAAAGCAACTAGAAAAAATACCCTTTTTATGTTTTTTCTTTTTCACGAGACAGTGCTAAATACTCAGCACGTGAGTCATAGCTTGTCCAAACATATCTAAACCATTAAAAAAAAAAAAAAAAAAACGACAAATAGATAAATAAAGTTAAAATAAATATGATGATTGGGTACACATATATTACATGCACAGAAAATATTATAGTTTAACCGTGAGTCAAAAAATTTAAATTAAATAAACTTGATTTCCTTTTATTATTATTTATTACATAGTACATAAGAAAGTGGTCGACACGTTTCTGAACGTGTAATTAGTGTATAATCTATTTATGCATGCAGCTGTATTATTTAATTGAATATTCATTAGTTAGTATAAAAAAAAATGTAAATAATAATAATAGTTTGACGAGATTAGTTGTAAGAAAATGACATCCACCAAAAATATTCCAAGTAATGCATTCCAGTGTTTATTTAATCATATTGAACTCAATTTTTTAGAACTTGGAACCTTATTCGATTATATCATGATGTAACATCAATATAATTACAAATTTGTTGGTTTGTTGAAAAGTTAACAATTCACATTCTAGATTGCATTTTAATCGTTGAATTAATCAATTCATAAATAGATATTTACATCATTAGTGTGATCCTTTCTTGGCACAAAAAATTGAAGTTAATAAGTGAATATGATATGTATGATGTACATAAGAAAATATGACAAAAGAGTCAAATAATTGTGACATGAAATGAAATGGGCAGCAATACATACACACACACACACACTAGCTAGCTAACGATAATATCCACATGGCAACCATAATCTAATTATTTGGACAGCAACACCCACCATATACATATATAGTAGTATTATATTATACTAAAAATGTAAATTACAATAATACTAAAAACCCAATTAATTAATTAATTCTTTGTGTTGATTAATTGTGATCGATATATATATATATATTTTGTTTAAGATGGATGATTTGATTCATCCGGATTATTAACATAACAATATTACAGCAACAGACTTAATATATATACATAAGAAAGAAGATCAAATAAGATTTGGACAAATTATTATATATGTGTATGCCTACTTGTTTAATTATTAGTAGTAAACTAGTACGTAAGCAACTTAATTAATTAATTCACAAGGCTTAATTTATAATATAATAGTAGTAATATAAAAATAGAGAACCTGGGAAATGAAGAGAGAAGCAAGGAAGGAAGGTCAAAAAGAGAAGACAATTACATACATACATACATACATATATATAGATAGATACAAATGGTCCCCCCACCCCACCCCCCCTAAGAGTAACAGCTACATCCTCTACTAGACTAGAGCAGGACTAGGAGGAAAGGACAGCACAGCACACTACAGAACTACTACTAATACAAAATAGCACTATCCACAAGCTTTGACCACCCTGCCCCTGCCCTGCCCTGCCCTGCCCTCTATTCTATTCTATTCCTTTCTTAATTCTTATTCTCATTCAAGTACGAACTGGGCACCAAATTTACCATTTTACCCTTTGTATTTTCTCTCTCCAATTCAATTCCATTCCATTCCATGTGAAAAAAAGAAAAAAATCCCAGTCTTGATTAAATCCACAGCCCTCTTTTTCCCTTTTGAATCATCCATTCTTTCTTACATTGTAATGATCTGTACACTATTTATTATTCTCCCTCCCTCCTTACATATACAACAACGATAATCTTCATTCATTACCGCCTCTTCCTTCTCCTCCGCATGTTTTCTTTCTATGCAAAAATTGGTGCTTCCTATAGACTTTCAGCAGTCTTCGCTGAATATCCTACCCACAAAGTCCCGGAACCTTCTAGAATAAAGCTTCGGATCTACCGCGGAGATCGACGTCGAATCCACCTGGAGGGACTTGTACGCGTGCTCGATCTTCTTGCTTATGTCGTAATCTTGCAGGATGTCGATGATCCCGAAATAGAGGACAACCTCGTATACTTCCCCGCTCGCTGGAGGCGCCGCATTCCCCAACCCGCCGCTTCGATTGTACTGGTCAAAATCGCTCCTTCGAACCACCCGCTCGGCTCGAGCTGGCATGTTTGCCCCGAGCCGTATTAATGGCTTCCTGATCGATATACAAACAAAAACGATTTAAGAAACAAATCTTCTTGCAAAAATTGTAAGAAAATTGCGGAATCTGTACCTCCCGGCTAAGACCCGATCCATGTCTTGAAGTTCCGCCTCGAGAAATCGATAGCCGCGGATGAATTTATCGTTTTGATATGAATTGCTCTTCCCTGAGAATAATTATCCAACAAACCTCAATCCCAAAGACACCCAAACGATCGAAGAAAAAGTGTCCTAATAGTGGTGCATTATTACCTCTATGTAACAGAAATGGGGACAGCCCGAATTTGTCGCCGGTGCTAACTTCGCGGAAATGGAGACCAACTAAAAGACTGTAATCCATTATCCGTTCTTTCTCGAGGAACTCACAATCGCACTCGATCTGTCTGAAAATTGACTACAAAAATTAGTAAAATGGTAAAGCTAAAATGATCGTTGCAAATATATCGGTTAAGTAGAGATTATGACGCTCACTTGATCAATTCTTGATACCAATGGGTTTGCAAACGAAACACGTAGTTCAGGTCGAGGTCTTTAAGAGTTGTGGTTTCGTCGATGTCTGGTCTTGATTTGTCGGTAGTGCGACCGTACGACGACCCTTTAAGGTCAAACCTTCGATGGATCCGATAGTCCGAGCAGAACAAGTTCCCCATCACAATAAAGCGTGTCTGATTTATTACAACACGACAATTTTGTTAGTCATGCAATCACAGCAACGGTAGACTGTAACTCATGTAATAATTACGCACCTTAACCCCACCAACAGGTTTAACACAATGCACGCCGTAGAATTTCGTCACGAGCGAATTCTCGTAACAACAAACGTGCTGGTAATAACTAGGAAGCATCTTTATAAGCACCTGAGACAACCAGCCAACAAATTAAATGTTAATAACTTCATACCAACGATCAGATTCGACGTGCAAGAAATTCCACATGTCTGAATACATCTCTACTTTTCTATCTTTGGCAAGTAAAAAAATAGCGTTAGGCAGCCAACCTTGACTTCGGATTTCTTCACAGTTTTGATCATAAACCTATCGTCTTGCGTCAAGTAAAAGAAGCTTCCGCTCTTCCCCGGAGAAGAAAGTTCCCGTAAAGCATCATTCCCACAAATGGCTAACATATAATCCGCGGGATCCACTTGAAACAGATCCCTCAAATGCCTGATTACCCAGTAAAGAATGTTTAACCATTTTAGAACATTGCACAGCCTATTACAATTAGGATCATTGTCCGAAAACTACCAACAGCTTCGAGTAAATTTAGATTCAGACAATGCAATTCGAACTTATCATATTTCGAGTAAATTAATTAAGAATCAAACTTGTTATATGAACAATTCATTAAAGCTAGACTGATTACCTGAACACGACAGGACAGTAATCCTTCCACCTGAACTCCATCGATTGATGGGGAGGTGTAATCTTCGATCCTTCGGAAGGAAACCTTGTCCAAAACTTCTCCTTAGGATCAAAATCGGCCAGCCTGAGTTCACGAGGTGTGGAAGCATGCTTCCCTACCGAATGCCTGCAGAAGAAGATGGATAGATGAATTCAGACATTTTAATTGTAATGAAAATCTTTGTTTCGATTTCTTACCTTATCCCCAACTGAAGATTGAGCATCAATTCGTAGTTCTTATGGCCTTTCGAAATCGTCTGCCCGGGCTTCTTCGCTTCTCCCCCAATAAAACAACAGGGATTCCTCCGAAACTGCCGAATCCCGTCGCGATACATCTCGAGGTTATCGACAATGTCGCAGGTAATATCGCCGGCTTCGCCGTCGGAATCCCAGATGCAGATTTTCGGACAAGCTCTCTCCATTACCACACCCCCACCTCTGCGACTGTTCTTCTTCCCGCCGATCACAACGCTCATACTCTCCTCGTCCATCACCACGAATGGAGCCGACAGCTTGTGCGCGAAATAGCCTTTCGAAACAGCTTCCTCGTTGCTGCTGTCGTGTCGGGGGTTAGGGTAAAAGGTTCCGTTGAGGACGGCGGCGGCGCTGTTGGAATCATTCGACCAGGCTCCGATGTAACAACTCCCGTCCGGCCAGGTGAAAACCCCGTTCCCCTTGGGAACGCCGTTCTCCCAATTCCCGTCGTAACGGTTCCCGTTCTTCCAGACGAGAACCCCCCGGCCGTGAATCATCCCCCCCTTCCATTCCCCGACGTACTCGTTCCCGTTCCGCCATAGATACCGGCCCTGCCCCTCCTGCAAGTTCCGCCGCCACTGCCCCTGGTAATAATCCCCATTGCTGTAATGCTTCACGCCGTAGCCGTGCTTACGATCCCCCGACCAGGAACCTCTGTACATATCCCCGTCCGACCCGATAAACGTGCCCGAACCCTCCATCCGACCCGACTTGAACTCGCCTTCGAAAGTGGCCCCCGACGGCCACGAGAACCGCCCCTTCCCGCTCGCCTTCCCCTTCTTCCACTCCCCCTCGTACATACACCCGTCTTTCCATAAATACTTGCCTGATCCGTGGGGGGTGTTGTTCGAGAAAGTTCCTGTGTACAGATCCCCGTTCGGCAGACGCTTCTCCCGCGCGTTGCTGTCCGAAATCGACGCCGGCGTCACGCGCCGGCACGCCGCCGCCTGCGATCTGCTGCGCGGGATGATGATCACCGATCTCGGCGTCGATGCTATGTCCAGAGAGATGGATTTCTCTGTTTCTTTCTCAGGGTTTTCTAAATCCTGTGGCTCCGACATTCTCGATACCCCTTCTTCTTCGGACAAGGGGCTTCGATTTCGACTGGAGTTTGCCGGGATATGCCTAAAAACATCGGCGGACAGCTGGAAACCTCAGCGCCGGCCGCATTTTTCTCTGTCGACTTCAATTCCCGTCTCCGTCGTCGTCGTGCTTGAGAGTATTTCGGAGGAAGAACAGTTTAATTGGAATCTGACAGACAGAGCGAAGCCTTGTGGATAGATAGAGAAAAAATAATAATCATAAAAAAAACAGAACCAATAAATATAAACAAAAAGAAGAAACCGAAGCAAAGTAAAATAATAAAATCAAAATCCCTTCTCACAACCTAAAAACAAACAAAAAAAAAAGATACAGCTTTGATTGAGCCGGCGTTGGCATCTGGCGAAGATTTTACCTTGTTTGAACTTACATTGGGTACGCCGCTGCTGTCTCTCGCAAAGCCCTATACAGATACATACATACATACATACATAATCGTCTGAAGCGGACATGTTTCGTGAAATGACGAATTTACCCCTCCCCAGCGAACAAGGTTAATTATACTATCGTCGTGACGTGACGGCGTTTGCCTATGCAGTGAAAGAAGGGCAGTCCACGTCATTTCGGGACAACCAAACTGCACTTTCTTTTCGACTTAATTACAAAACTACCATTCCCTTTGAATTTCAATTTTATTTTTAATTTAGAATCCATTTATTGAATTTTGGGGTAGATTATGCGCTGTCCACTTAATGAACAATAAATGCAGAATCTTAATATACTCTTTATTAGTTGCAATGAACATAAAACTCCCACCCCCCCACCCCCTACTCATGGGTTAAAATCAATTTCAGTTTTAAACTATCTAATTAATTAACAAATTATTTAATTTAAAAAGTTTATGCTAAATCCTACTACTCTTTTTTTTTTTTTTTTTTTTCAGTTTCCAAAATAATTGTATATGTTGCATATGAACTGATCTAGGAGGAGATTCTAGGGGGCGTCCCGGGACTCAAACACCCTAATCACTATGTGGCATGTGGGTAACCAATCAGGACCCGGAGGCCCGGATTAACCATGGTCAGAACTTGGCCCAGAGCTTACCAAGTGGCTGAGTCCCATGATTGGTGCTTTTCGGACATTAGGCGGCTGTAATTTTATTAATTGTCGTTTTCATTCACTAATCACCACCAATTGCCCTCATGTAAATTTACATAAACACCCTCGATTATGTTCCTTAATTCCCTCCTCTAAACATTGACCCAATTTTGACCACGTCTATGTAAATAGAAATGGAAATGGAAATGGGCCTGCTAAATATAGAAAGTGAAAGTTCAGAGTCATAGACAAGGTTTGTATTTGTGGTGGAACGAACGGACATGTTACTAGAAGCAAATTTAGAGACTAGTGTGTGCTGTTCTTACATCATAAAAATCAAATCTTTTTCTCAACTCTTTCTACATAAATTCCAAATCCACCAAAACAAATTATATATCAATAAATAAAATCAAAACCAACAATTTCATTCATTCCTATTAACTAATCGAACTTTCTAGTTTCTAGTCAAACCAATAGCATGCTGCCACGTCACCTAGAATTCACCCCTACACATAATTAGAAATATATATTTATATCCTATTAAATAATTATTAATATTTAATACTATTTTACTATTTAAAATATATATCCTATTAAATAATTATTAATATTTAATACTATTTTACTATTTAAAATATCAATATAAAATCAAAATCAAACAAATACATCTTAAATGTTCTATGTATGGTTTGTTTGATTCTATTTATATTTATACTTTTGATATTATTCATCAACTATAAATTTATTCAAAAATATCTTATGAATTTGTCATTTTTTATTTTTAACTCCAAAATCCTTTCTAAACGGAGACTTAAGTTTTTACTTTTTACAATTTTATTTATTTTATTATTATTTTTTTTAAAAAAAAAAAAAACTTCACAATTTTTATTCAAACAAAGCTGTCTTAATTCTTTGTTTGAGGTTAACACATTTCATCCCACAAATATTGTTGCGTGCAATTTTTGACCACATAAAAATTTTGAAATTTTGTCTTGAAGATCATATTTTTTTAAAAATATATATATATATATAATTCAGCATTATTGTTCTTGTAATTTCACTTACACATTTCATTAATTTTTATTTATTTATTTATTTTTCTGAAGACAACTATTGTTACGTGCCCAAATTGTGGATTGGCTTCTAATTTGGTCAGCGCCTCCAAATTATTAGTTAATTTTGGCCAAATCAACACATGCAAATTCCAAAGCAGTTTCAAACTCTAAAATTCAAATAGTGTTTATCTAATTAAATAAAAATATCGATAAAAAGAAAATTGATGATAAGATAGGAAGTGACACAAGGAATTTTTAAAAAGTGCGATTTCTTTTTATGTTATTTTGGGACAATTTTTTTATAGTTAATGTAAGAAAGTATATGTCAGCTTGTTTCTAAATAGAGAAAACAAGTTATTGTGATAAATACGAAATACTGTACATTAAAAGTTTTAATTAATTTAATTTAATTTAATTTAATTGGGACGTGTACTGTTGGTCTGGTTGATATTAATCGATATACAATCTAATAAAGTAATACTATTATTAATTAGGTGGTTGGAATATTAAAGTAGATTTGTAGTACCGAATTAAATAATAATAATAATAATAATAACACCAATAAAAAAAAAAGAGAGAGACTTTTCCAGGAAACAATATTATATTTGTTTTTCTTTGGTTGCTCTAAAAATAAAATTTTATATTTTTATTTATTTATTTTTTAAAAATTCGATCAAATAAATATATATTTGTTTTTATGACGGATGGAATACTATTATTTTGGTCCTAATATTGGGTAGGATAACATATATAATTATTGAACATCTAGATAATTTAAATTAAATACTTATAATTGAAAATATATTTCAACACATTTGTCTATAATATAATAATATCATATATATATATATCATCTACATATTGTGCAAGAAATGCTTGCAACCACAAAAAATCAGCCCCACTATATTCTATTGCTTATTATTTTGAACCATATAAAGAAAAATTTATATATGTAGTTAGTTCGATCCATAAATATATGTATAATTTTTATTTATTTTTATAATGCATGTGAAGGCCCAAGGAGTCATCGCTAGGGTGGCGGGTCATGCACCTGAAAATACATAATAATATAATTATTTCATGATCGAAAATACAATCTATATATTAATTAATCAATTTTTATAGCATTATGTACTAGTTTACTACAATTTGTTTAACATTTTTTTTTTTTGTGTGTGTTTATAAATATTTTGAGTTTTTGTTGTTAATTATATTGAAATTTGTAAAGATATTATTATAAAAATATTTATCTTTGCCATTTTTAGATATTTTTGTGTGGAGAAATATTATAATATTGTAAACAAACACACCATTTATTCCTCTAAGTTGTTATTACAATTTTGTATATATTTTTTTTAATATAAAATTAATATACTCTCTCTCCCACAATCTATTAACTTACTAGTAAACAAATGGTTGAATGTCATCGATTCAATTAAAAATAAATTACTATTTTTAAATATTATCTATTCAACAAAAAATTCAAATAAATAATATATAAATAACTTGGCGACAACATGTCATGTGTATTCGTAATTCTAATATTACGATACAAATTTGTATATGTGACCCTATCTCAGAAATAATTAAACATTATTAAATTCCTGCGGCATATATAATTAATTAATATATTGGTGCTATTATCTATATATATATATATTTAATCAAATCAAGCTTATTAATTAATTGTGACGGGGTTAATTAAATGTAATATGTTCAAGGTAGAGTTTTTATTATTTTGAAATATACTTATGTAATAGAATCATTTTCAGCAGCAACAACACTTGTTATCTCTATCTCTATCTCTATCTCTATCTCTATCTCAAATATATATATATATATATATTTAATTAGGATATTGAATCCATATCTATATAGCATAAAATTTGTGTGTTTGTGGTGCATGTAGTTTGATGGTGATAGTTGCAGCCACCGTTATTATAATTACAGAAATATATATAAACAAATAATTCAGAGGAGCACAATAGCACATGATGCATTATTGGGTGGTAGGGTTTAATTTTCTCAGGGCAAAATATATATATATATATATATATATAACACATGTGTATCTCATCTCCAACTGTTTCAAGATATTGGCTAAGTCTAACTAACCCTCCATATTCCTAATTCCCACAATCAATAATAATCTCTATTTAATTTAATTTGTTTAGTGGAATAATTACATTGATAATAATAATATTATTATTATTAATTCTAATAAGGCAAACTAAAATGTAACCTTAGGGCTTAGTGGCCACTTGCTAGACAGGGAGGTGTGTTGGGTGGGTTTGGGTGATCCTAACCTCTCTCTCTCTCTCTCTCTCTCTATATATATATATATATAGAATGAAGATGACGTGCGTTGGGTTTGTTTTGAGAACTTTTTATTTGAAATTTTAGTATTAAAATAATATTTTATAAAATACAAATATATGTATATATATATATACATATTGGAAGCATGATTGACAATTGACAGCTGACCCTATCTGCTGTTTTTCTCATTCTTTTCATCTATTCTGCACATCATATTATTATTATTATTATTATTATTATAATACAGGTGATTTACATACATAGTGAAAATTATATGTATGAGACACGTGCACACCCAATTACACAAATACTACTAATTTATTAAGACGTGTGTGTTCGATCGATCCATCTGTCCGTCGTCTGTCATCAAATGTCATATCTATCTATATATCTAAGAAAAATAAAAAATAAAAAAATTATTGTCGTATCTAAAACAAGAAAGAAAGAAAGTACGTGCATGCATACGTCCATCACCCAGCAACAATGCAAGAAACTAAATTGAATTATTAATTAATTGAATAAAAACACCAAAACCTCAAACGTACATTTATGATGTATATATATAGACATAGGATCTTCTTCTTCTTCTTCGATTAGGCTTTCTTGTCAAATTAAATCTCATGATACACATATATCTATATCAGATTCCACAAATGTATGTCAGTCAGTATATATGACTGTATTGCTACCTGCTGCTTCATCCCATATTCCCATCATCTCTCTCTCTCTCTCTCTCTATATATATATATATACTTTCTCTAAAGGAGTCGTGTATTGTTTTTCACATAGAATATTTAAATATTAATTATTATAAAATATAATAAAAATTAAAAAATAATAAAAATATTTTTATTAATGTCTTATAGTACTATTGCAATTACATACATACATCCATAATTATATATATTCCCCCATAATCCTTATATCAGTTTTAGTTTTATAAACTTTATTCATTACATTGTCAACAAGTTGAGATGGCCGAGTTGGTCTAAGGCGCCAGATTAAGGTTCTGGTCCGAAAGGGCGTGGGTTCGAATCCCACTCTCAACATATTTGGATTTATGTTTTTTTCTCCTCCTTCTCATCAAATTATTAAAACTCCATTAATTACATAATTTTATAAATGTTTCTTTATTTATACTCAATTTATTTTAAAATATTTGCAGTTTTTTTTTTTTTTTATTGTTTTTAATTCAATTCCCTTCTTTTATTTTTATAAATATAATTCATAAAATTACTTCAAACAAAACAATGATAATAAAATCATATTAAAAAAAATTATACCACCTAAAATAAAAAAAAATATTATGTTAAGAAATAAACATAACAATCACATCCGGACGAAGAAGTCGTAAATTATTGTATGAAAATTGTTGTCATTCCCTTTCTAAACAATTACAAAGACAGCCTAAACCAATTTGTTGTATACATATACATCCATCGATCTATCTATCTATCCATCCTAAAATGAAAGGGATCTAGAAGGAATTGTCCTTCACCCTTATAACCTATAAGAGAAAACTCTCAATATTATATTTAACACTCTATTCTAGATAATCAGGCTCAGGCATTGTCCGAAACATCCTGGCGGCCGAAGATGTCTGGACAAGCCCCCCATTCGGCGCGTTCCCGAGCTTCCCAATATCCGCCAATGTAACAATATGTCCCCGACTTCTCGTCCTTGGCAAACCACCGCGGCTTCCACCCTTTTTCTTGCATCGCCCTCGCCTGTTTCGATCATATCATATCCGTTTGATTAAGATTCATTTCCTTCGAATTTGTATCGTCGAGGATGTTATAAGATCAATCGAGAGTTAGTTACCTGCCGTTGTCGCTGCTCGAGCCGCACCTTCTCAGCATTAGCCTTGTCGTGCTCTCCGTTTTCCAAACATCTTTGATCCGGCCGCAGCCTTGAGTCCGTCGGGGGTAACTTTTCCTGAAAAAGATGCGTGTTACTGTGCTGACAACATATTATATATAACAACAAACAATACGTAATGTAATGTAATAATAAACTGAACAGCACACGGCGTGCTGACAGAAAAAAAATCAGCATGATGTTAATTTGAGACAATCAATACAATCCATATATAGACATATTCCGAGTACGAGAATGCTCAGTAACATATTTTTACCTTAAGCCCCGGGGTGAGCTCGTTTAATGTGATCGCAAACCGTGTGAAGTTGTATCGTGTCGCGAACTTAGCGGGCTTGCTACGCTTCCAGAGCAAACGTCGCTGGGGCGAGTCGCGGGCTTTTCCTTTCGAGCAGTTTCCGAGGACATAATGCATGCTCTCGTCCCATTTACCGAACAACGTTGCCACCGTCTTCCCGGTCTTGTCTTGGACAACTCCGTGAACCTTAAAAAACAGCGTACGGGAGCGATGTCTTTAGGCTCCGTTTGGATCGATATTTTTAACAAACTGAAGTCACAGTACCTGATGAGGATTCCTGTCGACGATCGATTGCTCTTTGAACTTCAGCTTACACGAATAGCTCTCGTTTCCTTGTATTCGCATCATTCCGTAGTGATCGCAATACAGTTTGCCGAGTATAAGGTTGTATATCGACGTAGTCACCTGTTATTACAAGGAAATGCTCATCGCAAGAAACTCGAAAGAAGTTCCCAATGAGTTGTAAGGAAGACGATACCTTACTCCACTGCAAGACTTCGCCGTCGTCGAATTCAACCGTTAAGGTCCCCGCCGGATCGAGCTGGATCGATCGACCCCAAAACCTGCTCTTCAGATTGCTGTCGCCGTAAAACTTCCAGCCATTTCCGTCGCAGTGGCAGGCAACGATCATCGGATGATGGCTCACCTAATCGATCGAAAACCCGAAACATCATACGAATTCACACAAACCAAATGTTCTTCTTCGAATACGAATCGATCGATACCTTCTCGGAGACGAATCGAATGCCCTTGTCGGGAAAATCAGCTTCGTAAGTCTCCCCGAGCAACGGATTGAACGGCTTACAAGTTCTTCCCTCCGTCGACGCATATCCCGACACCGCAAATGCAGCTACATTCAATATCCGCATAAGGCCATTTCCATTCTTCCCCCATTCGAATGCGCGATCTAGAAGATATGAGTACTCGACGTCTTCGCAGCATTTCTGCAACGATGAAAGAGGCTCGTTGAAGTACACCGGGAGACAAACTTTCGTGAGATCCTTCCCGATGTTGTCCTTGATCATCGACCATAAGCTCACGCCTCTCTCTTTCTCGACAGGGTCCGGGAGTTTTCGCCTGCGCTTGATTCGTGGGAAGTTCGTTCCGGCAGATACGATGTCAGTATGCGTCCCGTCGTCGAAGTTGAAAGCTTTATGCTCGTCGTCATTGTCGTCGGATGAAAACGAGGATGTCCTACATTCGGATCCGTTGCTTCGAAAAGAGTTCGAAGAAAGAAAGTCTCGGGTGTCGAAGAATGTGTCATCTTCGTCCTCTGTGTCTTCCTCGCCGGCGTCTGCTCTTTCGTTGTCGTCCTCAGACTCGCTCGGACTTTCTGTTACATACATTATCCGAATTAGGCCTCTAACTACAAGTACTCAGACATGATCACAAGTTGTCCTCACCGCTCGACTTGTCTTGCTTCGATCTTGTCGACGACGACGCCCCGACCTCCTTCATCTGCCTCTGGCTTTCGTCTACAACTGTGTTCTCTAAATCGACTTTTTCTGTCTACATATTCAATAACAAATGTTCTTGTCTACGTTCTGGCATAATTGTATTTGTATATCATCGAATGTTGTTATTGTCAACAAAATCGAATACCTCTAATTGGCGAAGAGTGTCGACGAGGAGCCAATGCTTCTGCTTCAAGAGCCTGAGCTGATTTTGCAGAGAAGCGAATTCTGTCTTCATGATGTTCTCGGACTCTTTAATGGCGGCTTCGCTGACGCCCTCGTCGTGGAGGCGCCGCCGGAGCTTGTCGGTGGAGAGGGAGAGGTTGTCGACGGGGGCCATGAGCTCGGTGTTGGACATCCTCGGAAACATGTCCTTAACAGCATGGAATGCCTCCATCCATTTAATTCGATCGTCTCTGCTCTCTGCGCGTAAGTGCAGCGTCTTCGTCCCTGTGAAAATTGAGAATTTTTTGTCGTCCGATCGGCTTTCTCGGATCGAAGAAACCTGGGGAATTTTGATCGGTAGAAATTTAGATTTTTTATTTTTTATTTTTGTTTTTTTTGGTAATGGGGAAATGATGTAGTGAGGGGACCTTTAAATGGACTTCGCCAATGGCTTTCCGGCAGGGGGAGGCGCCGCCGTTGCGGTGGTGGTTGGAGCTGTGCTGGCGTCGAATCCGCCGCATCGATTCGTCGCCGATGACGCGCGATCCACGCTCGATTTCGGGGGAGAGGATGATCTTGTCGGGTCCATGGATCTTGTAATAACTGAGGACGCCGTCGTGGAGGACGAACCAGCGGCGGCGCCACCCGCGGCCGTAGTTCACCCATTTGTAGAGAATGCCGGAGATTCCTTCTCCGACGATGTCGTTGATTTGGAGGTCGCGGCTGTGGTTGATACTCCCGGAGTTGCGTAAATAATCCCTCGCCGACGAACTCCGCGACGCCGCGTCGGCGTAAAGAATCTGATCGGAGGGCGGCGGCGCCGCCATGTCGGAATAATGATTCTTGACGGAAGAGGCGCAGCAGAGAGAATGCATCGTAGGATCATCAGCATAAACTGCAGATCCAATCTCGACCCATTTTTCTACATTTATTGATATTTCAAAAAAAAAAAAAAAAAAAATTGAATCCCGAATTAAGTGGATGGAACCGTAAAAACGTAACCGAACAGCATCACGAAAATATATGCATATTCAGTTCATGTTCATGATTTGAGTAAATGTATGTATGTATTACTACAAATAAAAATTAAAAATTGGATAAGAGATAGATATTGATTTACGGAAAAGGAGAAGTTTCCGGGAGAACGATAGACTCTTAAATTTCGGGTTCCAGAAAATGGAGGGACTTAGTTTATTTTTTATTAATTAAAAAAAGAAAAAGATTCAATTTTTAATATTTAAAAAATGGATACAATCAGGGGGGAGGGAGCGTTGGGGGGATAGTAGTGATTAGGTAAAGAGGTGAAATAAATTCTAAATTTAGGACAAGCTGGAAAGGGAGGAGAGGGTGGATTGAAGAATAAGTTAGGGATAAAAATAAAAATTCAATCTTTGTTGAGCTAATAAAATGAATGAATTGGGTGGGGAAAAGCTGAAAGCCTAATAAAGGGATGTGATTTCCAAATAGAGAAATAGTTGATGGAATGAATTTGTTGAACAAGTGAATGTTTTTCTTTGTGAGATGAGATGAGATGGTCCACAAAAGAGTTGTGGCCATGTGAGTCATGGTGATTTCCATATTCATATGTCTGTAAGGGATACAAAACAAAAGGAATAGAAAGGGGATTTGATTGATTAAGCAAACCCCTTTGAAACTTGTCTGTCTGTCTATCTGTTCCTAAGATCAAACCCATGTGAAAATAAAGATTATTGAGTTAAAAAGGCGGGATTTTTAAGTTTCATTTCAATCACTACAATATTATTATCATTGTTGTTTGTTTGCATAGTTTAATGTTTGTAATGATCTGATAGGGATCTTTGACCACAGCCCAGATTGGTGTTGTTTTTGTTGTTGTCCTATGGCTATGCTGTTGGATCTTTGGTTCATTAATGATCCCCACCATCCTCCCGGATGTCGAATGCCCGGACAATTATAGAAAAGAGTTTTCTTGCAAATTATCTAAGCCAGGATGCTTCTTTTGTGGGACACTAAGTGTTCGACTGCTCGCCAGGCAAGAAACTACGCGTCGCAAAAATAATAGTACAAGGAAGAATGCGTTTGGATTCTATTTCAAATATCTTACAAGCTGTGGAGGAAAGGATCATTAGTCATAGTAGGCCAGGAGACAAAATGGTCCTCCCTTCTACCTTATAATAGTACAACAAAATGCACATTCTTGTCCAAGAACTCACCTATGTTTATGTTCTCATATTGCAAGACAGAAGAAATTGAAATTTATTGCCAAAATTCTACAAATACATAATACACACTATAGTCTTATCCAAATATCAACAAAAACATTTTACGACTCAATTCTTCACAAGTTCGCTAACCGTTCCCCAAGCTGAAAACAAAGTGTCGAAACCTTCCTACGCAGTTGCTCTCTTGACATACCTGAGTTGCTGTCAGGTTCCATAGCCATGCTTTCGAGTTGGGAGCATAGAGCCAAAGTTTTCTCGTCGTTGGCACTCGATTCAGCAATCAGTTGAAACAATGTCGATGTTGTAGGAGCATGATTGTCTGATGCCAATGGCGGGACGGGAGGAACCAGAAACGGGTGTTGAAGTAGTTGAGGAATTCTCCATCGCTTGTTGCGGTCCCAAACAAGGCACTTCTTCATGAGATCAAGTAACCAAGGATTCGGAAGGGGTTCGTATTCGATCTTATGGTTCGGATCCGTTATTACTTTGAATTTAGCCCAGAAGGTTTTGTACTCCGAAAAAGGCGTTCTCCCATAAACCATTTGGTAAAGGATGCAGCCGAGAGACCAGATGTCTGATGATCGACCGCACTTTATAGTGTTACCTTCTGCATCTTTCTCGTTACACATGAATGCTTCAGGGGACATGTAGCTTAGTGTTCCAACCTGCATTTATTACTTCATGTTAGTGTATAGATTGTTGTCTTATATATTTCAAGAAAACTGCTCGATCTAATCCAAATGTACCTGAGAATCGCGCTGAATATTGGTAGTATCACTCATAATAGCCTTGGCAATCCCAAAATCGATTAGCTTAAGCGAACCTCTCACGAGAAGAAAATTTGCAGGCTTGAGATCCGAGTGTACAATGCGCTCTTCATGAATTGTGTTTACTGCCAGCAGTATTTGCTGCAACGAGTTTAGCAGAGTAAGGATGTTAGACAATTGAATGGTTCGAGCATTTGATAATCTTCGGTATCATTTGAATTATAATGACATGTTTATTGAGCAAATAGATGCCACGAAGAAAGGAACATAACCTGCCAATAGAATCGAAGCCAGTTCTCATCCATGATGGCGTTAGAACTATCCAATTCCCTCCATTTCTGAGCAAGCATATGTGCTAAATCATTTTCGCCATATTCGAGAACCATATATATGTATCCATCACCCTTGACCCTGCTATCCTTGTTCGAAACAGAACCATTCATCACATCCTGAAGCAATGTTTTATCTGTCACCTATGAAGGATTTCATATGTTAATTCCTACATCAGCAACGATCCCACAGTAATATATAAACCTTAGCACAAAGAAAATAGTTTTCAGGAAAAGGGTGTTATGCATCTGTTAAAGACACTGTACCTCATAATCAACGAGTTGAATAATGTTGCTCTTTCCCTTCAATCTGTTTAAGTATTCGATTTCTTGACAGAATCCATACGCTGTCCCATAGTCACGTCCTTTAAGCTTTATCTTCTTCAAGGCGTAGATCATGCAGTCCGATGATATGACCTTGTGGACCTCACTACTTCCACCGCTTCCAATCTTGCCGAGTCTTTGATATAGCTTTCCATTAACTTTGAAGAACAAATCAGGATCATAGCCTTTTTTACGAGATGATGCTGCTTTACCACCAGCTCCACTTTCTGGCTTCTCTGACTTAGAATGTTCCAACTTCTCATAGGTTACTGCCCCTTCTGAGGCTGCTGGTTGAGGCCTCGAATCACCACCGGTGTTTCCTTTGACTGAATTGTTGTCTTTATAAGAAGAATCTGCAGCTACTTTACGATTGTCTGGCACACTGTTCTGTACCTCCATAGATGGAGCAGAAGATTTATCAACAACTTCTGCTGCATGTATAAGATTCGAATTAGTAACATGTGAAGTCACAGCCGACTGATGAGAATATGCACCACAAGAAATTTTCGATGAAGGTTCTGATTGCTGTGCCACAGCCCCCCGAGCAGATTCTAAAACCAAATGACTACTACCCATCTGCGGTTGCGAGGAATAAGTGGTGGAACCAGTCATAGGAGCTGAAGAAATGTGCATTAGTGTTGAAGTAACACAAGAAGATCCGACCACTGATGATTGAGTCATTCCATTGTTCAAATCATTCTGAAAAAAGTTTTCTAACTGGTGGAGTTTCTCCTGTCCTGAAATTGTTCCTCTAGCTGCCATGGATGAAACCCCAGCCTCCGTCTTATGCCCATTATCTATTTCCATGTTTTGTGAATTATGATGCTGCCAGTCTTCATTCCCAGCAGCAGAAGTATCCACTTGATTGCCAACATCCTGCTCCATGTCTGCCAATGCAAGTGAATTCATATGAGACAACAAATCATGTGATCCAGTGGCCATTTCGTAATCAGCCCCTGCACAGAGAATCTTGATTATCTGCTATATAAACTTGGATGCAATAACTACTACCACCATGATTATCAGCTGATGTATAATCTAGTTTCTTCACAGTTAATCATGTTCACAAATTCTAACAGAGGTATCACCAGAGAGAGAGAGAGAGAGAGGGAGAGAAATCCAATTACCACATGGCGTGGCGAGCTTTTCTGAGGAAAAATGAACTTTCCTCTGAACTTCAGCCACTGCAGCTCTGGGTTCGGCACCCAAAGAAGTAACTGCATCATTAACTCCAGATGTAATATGAAGTCTGGATTGATCTCTCTGAGCGATACTCTTATTTTGTGCATTAACAGTGGAGCCCCATTCAGAGGGTGGGGTAATTGAGGCGTCCTCCTGATTGTACCCGGTGGCCGGGGCAGCAGTCTTCGACTGCTGTTCAGAGACTCTCAATCTGTCACCTGGGGGAGCATCCTCTTTACTCTGGTCATTGGTTGGTACATGATTCGATCCTTTTGGTGTTCCTCGCTGAGGAACCACAGCTCTCCTTGGCTTAATACCGTTAGACTGCATCATCCCTAAAACGTCCATCATAGAATAAAGAGAACATGAAAACAAGTTGAATTCACCTAGTCCACAAATATATTCAACAGAAAGCATATCTCTGCCATAACCATTAAGAGTAACTTTCAATTATGAGCTTCCACACAACAACACGAATTTAAATTTGTTGAATCCTTTGCTAAAAGTCCCTTGCAACAGAACCTAAGTCATACTTAGAAAGCCAAATTTTTACATTACGCATAAACAAAACTCATCAGGCGAGAAGATCTCTACTTTTACTTTATATATTTAAAACTCAAAGAACATTAAAACGCTTAACTGAAGCAAGTACATGGTAATGTATGCAAAATCCCCAAATATGTAGCTTCGATTTTTCTGAAACTAAACTTTGAAGATTACTGAAAAACTTCAGTTCCTTTGCAGAGCATTACATCTACAAAATAATCGAAAAATGAAAGCAACAAACACAACTGAAGAAAATGTCGGCACGATAACAAAGCAAAGCGCAACACATATTTCTCTTAGCAACCATAAAACAAAGAACAGTGAAATATTCTGCTCAAAAACCCCAAACCCCTCCCAATGGCTGCCGTAACTTAGCAAGAAGATAAACAAAATGTGGCGAATACCTAGAGGACGGTGCCGTTTGAAAGCAGCTTGAATGTGGCGGACCAAGTCCGGAGGTGAAGACGAGGAAGACGACGTCGTGGAGGAGCAAGTGGAGAAGGTGTTGAAGGAACGGCTCAGATTTATGTAGTCCGGGTTGACGTTGATCGGAACGCCGGGACTGGGCTTGAAGAATTTCGATTCCGGTGGCGGGGCCGGCGGGTCAGGCTCCCTTTCCATCGATTAAACCCTCGCGCATTTCCGATTTCCCAGTACTGCTCGGAAAGGATCATCCAGAGTCTCCCATCGAAGAGCCCGTGCACGGTGTGTGTCTGTGTGAGAGAGAAAGCGAAAGAGAGAGGAAGGAGAGAGAGAGACGAGACGGATTTTGAAATGGCTTGTTGGCGCCGCTCAGCATTAAGGTTATATGTTTGTTTTTTAGAATATATAATTGGGCCAATTTGTGGGCGGCCCATTAAAATTGGGCCCCTTTTATTTTGTAATAAAAGCCCAAATTAAAATTATAGCCCATATCATTATTAAAACCCACTAGACCCCACCAGCGTTTTGCGGCCAGAGCATTCCTCGAGTAAATGGAATATGGGAAATTGGAAACATTGTATAATATTTATTATTATTAATATTAAATAATGTTTTGTGTTATAATTTAAATATTTAAAGTAAATGAGTTCTTAAGAATAGAAATTTATATGAAAAGAATCCTCTGAATGTGCAATGATATGATATTATGTGTATACAATCCTCTAGATATATTAATAGATTACTGAATGTGCATCCGCCCTTCAATGAAATATTGGTACTGTGAGATATTGCAATAAGCGCATTCCCTGAATTTTGTACAAAGAACAACAAAGACAATTGGATTAATTAGTTTAACTTTTTGTGTTATAATTTAAATAATCATATTTGAAAATGAACAAATTTTCAATAAAGAATTGAATTTTATATGAAAAGAATCCTCCCTAAGACAAAAATTTGTTGAAAGTGTCTTTTTCTCACCCCATACAAGGCCATGAAGGATGAACATTTTTGTAAGATGAAATTGTAATGATGCATACCTTGAATGGCTGCTCTCAGCTTAGCTTTGCTATTCTTGGTGGAGGCAGGGGGTGAAGCTGCTGTATCGGCCCAGCACCGATATTTCTTCCGATGCCAATGATAATGAACCAGAACTCAGATAATGCCGTGGAGCACGTGCTCTGTGGCGAGGCAAGCAGATGCTATTCTCACCATCTAATCAATCCAACATGGAAACTTTGCAAGAATGGAGGGAACAAGAATGGCGTACCTTCGTTGCATTCTGTTGTCAGAGCATCCTGATAGACGGGAGGTGTCAAACCTTGAAATCTGGCTCAGTGTCGAGGCGTATTCATGGAATGCATAACCCTTTGCAGCTAGGTGTGACTTGGGAGGGACTAGTGTCTTGAGTATGTTGCAGAGACATGAGTCTGATTTGCTGTTTCTCAGAATGGGAAAAGAAAAGGGTAGAGATTAGTTTTATCGAAGAACTGCAGTGGTGTCAGATATAGAGAAACCGTAAGAAATAACCTCAACCAGTCAATATATCACTCAATATGCTACTCTATCTGTACCAAAGTGTGCTCAATTTGCTATTTTAGTATATCTATCAAAAATATTCTCATAACATATTTAGTTAAAAAAAAATAAAATGGAATTCTTTAATTTTTATACACTATTTTTTTTACTTTGTGCCCAAAAGCACATTTAAGACAGAGAATAGTGAAGGCCTACGCTTTCAAGTAATTCACTTTTTGCGCCAAAATCAAACACGAAGCAGGTAAAATTCATACCTTGTCGAAAGATCAAAATCTTTTGTTGTTTTTGTATCCAATCGAGCAATGTTTGCTTGGTCCTGACTAGCAAGTTTTCCCAATGCAACTGAGTTTGCAGAAAGTGACAACATTTCTGCAGCCAAATCAAAGGTGCTCATGGACCCCTTACATGATCCCAGAGAAGCAATTTCCTTTGTATAGAGGCATATTCCATGCTGAGCAAGGGTTGAAGACATCTCTACTTGATTTTCATGATAACAACACGAATGGATTTTATCACCGGGAATATTAAATAATTCAGGAGAGTCCTGAAACACAACGAAGCAAGATCTCATCATTATGAACATCACAATGTCATAAACAAATGCACAGTTCAGATTGACAAGAGTACTTACAGATACAGGAGCTGGGCAATCTTTGAGTAGCAGATCCGACTCAGATATTAAATTACTCATCCTGCAAGCCAATTTTAAACCTTGGAGAGCAATTTTCTCTTCTGCAGTGACATGCTTCTTTAAATCATTGCTTCTGTCATACAGCTTTTTCCATGCTTCTTTTACAAAATCAGCTGCCTGATCAGCCTTAGTATTATTCAGTGACTTCAATCCCTTCATGAAATCTACACGACTACATTCATCCAGCAAGTGAAAGCCTCTTGGAACAACTGCCTCAGCTTTTGAAAGAGAATCCCCAACCTCCTCTTGACAAACCCATGCTGTACTAGGGTCTGAATCAACTCTAATTGTTTCCTGGATAGGCAATAATTTACTCGAGCTCGAATTAAAGCCAAGTTCGAGGATCGGTAAGGAATCTTGGTCCTCAAAAACCAAAGTTTTCCCTCTTTCACTGATGAAATGGCCATAGGACACTGTTACAGAATGTAGATCTTCTTCATTGATAAGTTCAGTCTCAGGTACATATGATGATTCTGGTACAAGTGAGACATCAAGTGATCTGCACATATAGTCCTCAGTACCAAGAACAACATCATGTCCCAAGTTGTTTAGTTCAGAATGAAGGGTTGGCCTTGTCGAATAGCCATCAATGTGAGTACTGAGATCTTCTGAATTATCTATTTCAGAAAGATAGGTCAGCCTAGTTGAACAATCATTAATTTGAGTATATAAATGGTCAGAAATTGGAAAGTTCTTTGTGTCAAGTACTCCAGCATAAACATTTACTTCGCCTGAATTTTGGGAAATGCCGCATCCTGAGATTCCATCTTCAGAGTCAGAAGAAAGTACGGTATTGACTTTTCTCCTGCCCTTTTTCCGGGTTGGTGCAACTGGGGAGCAAGAGAAATCAAAGAGCTCACTCTTGACCTCAAACTGTGCACACTCAACTTCATCTCGAGAGCAATGCAATCTTAACATTGCCTTCTTTTTCACCTCAAGAGGATCTGGTTCACAATCGCGTGTGAGTATATCCATGTTACAGTCATATTGGTCCTCTACCCTATTCTTGTTCATCATACTGCATGTTTCTTCCATTAAAATAGAAGATTTAACAACCTCCTCAGCCACAAGCTCAGAGAGTTTTGATGGGTTATCCCAGCACATAACTTTTGGTATGATGTGATGCGCAGCATCAAGATCAAATAGGACTGGCGAATTTGTTGCATGAAATTCATTCCTTGGATAATCTACAAATGATGCACCAAACAGAAAAGATTATATAATGCACATGTGAGTCAAGGTCAACAAAACCTAACATGATCTAAATCAAGCAACAGGATAAGGCATACACTATATTACATTTACATTAATCCGAGTATCTTAAATCCATAATATGTTTAAGAAAAAGTGTTTCAGTTCAACCTCAATGATTCCTTGAACAGCAGATCAGAGGATTAAATTTTTGGCATGCTTTTTGCAGTATACTTATGAAAGTAAAGCCACATGAAAAGCCATATCCTCACCTAGCACATATGCTTTCAAAGGTAGAAACATATGAAGTCTGCTATTCATTTTGCATATTAGAGTGTAAAAGGGAAAATTTTTAATCATATGAGGGAAACAATCAATTGAGAGATCTAGACCAGGAATATTAAAACGATCTTAGAATAGATTTTTTTAGAAGCTTATATAGATTAAAAATGCAGTAGACTTGTAGCGAGAGACATAAGATAAGTCTTATATAGCATTTACTTGGGCAGGTTAAGTATTATCATGTTACATTTCCTCATCTTGACACAAAAATAAATAAATAAATAAATATCCAGCTGGTAACACAAACAAGAAAGTAGAGACTAGTACATAATAAAATTACCTTTTCCAAGACGTTGACCCTGGCACCAAAACTGGAGAAGCATGATGGTTTTGCGTATGTCTCTTTCACAATGATTGACAAATATTTCAACCAAGTTGGGATGAATTTTAGCTTGTTCTGAGGCACAAATCTAGGGAAATATAAAATCTCAGTGTAAGGCATTGCGAGGTATTACAATAATGCTTTTAGGCATACAACTTAGCATGAAATTTAACAAAGAATCGAATGGAAACACACACCATATTAACAAGGCCAATTAACTCTTCCCGAGATGGTTCAGAAAACCTTAACTCAGACCTGTCCAAGTTCTTTGGGAGCATGGGATTATAACCTAAAAGTTAATTACAAAGGTTACTGAATAGTTACAAAAATGTAATAAAGTAATCATTATAACTTCTTACTATTGCTGGTCAATATCATGGGCCTTTTTGCAGTCTCTGCTAGTTGTTGTATGGCTGTCAGAAAACCATGATCTTCACATAATGTAGCATCAACATCCTCAAAAAGGATCAATGTTTTAATATCAGTTTGCTGCTTAGAAGTTCTGTTTTTTTCAGAGACTAAAAGATTAGACCAGGCACCAGCTTCTTGAGAATCATCATCTAATAGTTCAATTACTTGATTGCCTGAGCAATGTGTAGCTTCATTAACAACCTTAAACAGCTCTGGTTGAGATTTTCTGTCCAAACCTGTCATATTTTCAGCTGTACTGAAACAAAAATATGCAACTATTTAGTAACTTCATGACTAAAATATGGGTCACAGAGTGCTTTAAAAATAAAGGTGCATTTAGCATATAATAATATAATCACTGTATGATTTGCATCAGGAAGCTTTCATATTGGAGTTTTGAAACAGAGGTACTAACAAATTCAATATGCATTCCTAGAGAAGATTAATAGTCAATCATTCTTCTCATGCCAGTAATTTTTAACAAACAACATCTGAGTGAAGCTTACACATCATGAAGCACTTCCCTTAGTCATACATTTTTCAGCATAAAATGCAGTAGCTACATATTTAAACGGTTCTTGGCAAGTTCATTTGGCTCCCAAAAAAATCACAATCCAGGATCAGGAAGTAAAAAATAAGGAGCAAAATTCCTTTAAACTGATTCTCATGTTCATACCAGTGATCTATCATCAAATCACTACAAAAATATAGCATGGAGCATATAAACAGAAAAGGAACAGAGAACCTAATGAGAATATAAACGGATGTGTTTCCACACTGTATTCAACAGCTGGTTTAAATAGTAGCTGACTTAGTGAGTAATTGTCAAGATAAAGTTCAAACTTGTCTGTCATTTCAAAGGACACATTCCATGACGAAAACGAGATGAACAGGCTTCCTAACTTCTTCATTTTCATATGGATAAACCAAATAATGACATGTTCTTTATCAAACTTGGAAGCCCCATCCTATCCTATTATTCAATATTGCTCCAATGAACTTGGTGAATGCAATAGGATGATTTTGTCACAGGAATATATCTATCCAGAATTATAATTATTAGATAAATAATAAATATTTTGTTTATGTATCTAACAAAAAGGGCATAAAATTAATTTGGATATAACAACTTTCTCCTTTTAAGTGAATATGGCCAATTTCATAGAATTATTTTCTTCACTTGTATTATCTATTTTGCACGTATGGTCAAGAGGCCGTTGCCAGGTGAATCATTCTGTAGACTGAGTAGCATACCCCCAGCTTTATCCATCTTTAATTTCAGTTCCTTGTTCTATTTATGGGAAATTTCTGATATCATATTTTCTTGACTACATTCTTGATATCCTAGTCATAATTTACTCATGTTCACACAATAATGAGGGTAAAATAAACGGCATGACTTTGCACAATAGCATTTATATGTAAAACCAGTAATTAGTTTCAGACAAACCGCTGAAGCCAATGAGATTCCACAGCCTCTCCAAACTTTTGCTTTACTAGGGCTCCATTGCGCCAATCTGATGCATTTATCTGGTACAGAACATTAAACAAATGAGACAGGTGAGAGCTAATAACAAAATTGTAAGAATTTTTTATTTTTTACGTGGTCTTTACAGTTAGATGCCATGCCAAAAAGGCAATGTTCCACCATAACTTAATTGGCTAGTGGATCGATTTAGTAATTTACTTGGACAATTCTAGACTGCATCTATTGCTAAAATCACATATTAGTGTTCAAGCCGATACTGCTAACTATTGACAGGTTATATGATGGCTCATAAACAAGAACAAAAATATAAAGCATGCAAGAATCATTGAATCGGGGAGATTCAATCTTCATAACTGTTAGAGAGTAGTATATGGGCTAATCTTATTGGGCTTATTTATGTGTACATATGTATACCTTGTAGAATAGAAGGTTTTTTATTATCGCACAATAAAGTCATAACAAAGAAATCCATGTGCAATTAACTGAAGCAGTAGTTAAAGTCAAACAGACAATCAAAAGTCTGTCTAATAAATTGTCCCCCAATGCATCATGCACAATGCAATAATCATTTCAACTTTTGGAACATTTCCCAGGATTTGGTTGCCAAGATCTTTTAATTTAAAAGGAAATATAAAATTAGTGAACAGAAAGGGACATTAAGGTCAAAAAAAGAGATTTTTTACCCATTTATAAACAAAAAGATGGTTTGCAGTAACATTGGCCAGAAAACAATTATTCAACTGAGCAACGGAAAGAATACATTAACGGGAGCGGGATACAGTGCTAGAAGTTGCAATACCTCGATAATCTGAAATCCTTGATCTCTTGCACAAGCATAGATGGCAGCAGATTTCCCGCTCTGCAACAAAAAGCAATCACCATCAGCCAGCATGGGTTGTATGGCTTTCTCATCACCAAACAATTACAAATAAAATTAAAGGCCACATTGCACATTATTGTGTTTATTCACTTCAAAAAAGTAACCACTAAGATTAAAAAGTTTAAAAGAAAGACTATCAGAACCTAAAACACATCACTTTATGCCCATCCAAGTAATGGCAGCACAATCACCAAAAAGAAAAAACCCTTGTACATTCAAGCTCTTTCGAAGCATAAAATAAGATATAAGATTTTGTCAAAGGAGTGCCAAAAGGAGAGAAATGCATACCCCAACAGGTCCAGTAATTAAGAGAACATTCTTCAAGTCGTCTTCATCAGTATTGGTATCATAGTCAGAGTCACTTAGTTGATAATCATGATCATTAACTTGCATTATTATATTTCCTTCACTCATGCAACTTTTACTGGCTTGAGAGCCCCTTTTGTGCCATAGAAGAAGCCACTCGCTTAAGAGTTTTACAGATTCCCCATTGCCACATACCTACCAAGAAAAGATCAAAGAAGACGAAAAGATAGACAAGAGTAGATGATTAATTGTTTGTTATTAGCATGTAGAAGAAAATTCAAAAAAAAAATTTGGTTGCTGCAAAGTGATCATATTACATAATCAAGGACCTTAAAGTCATGTTATTTTCTGGTAACAACATGGGTCTATTGTTGTGATATTCAGACTGCTGAGGAAATAAATCAAAGCACGAAACTGATTAAACTCAAATGCTCCTCGTCAGAACATTACACATAGATGGATGTGTTGGCCACATTCAAAGAGACAGTCAAGCTAAATAACATAAATATTAACGAGGAACCTATGCTTGAGAAACTAAAAGGCAGAAACTGTGGAGTGAGTTTAAGCCCCACGATGCTTATTACGATGCAACTTCTAAAATTAACAATACAGAAACTAATCTCCAGAATTTGATTTAATCTTGAAATTTCTGATAATAAATAACCTGCTTGGCATTCTGAGGTTGATACTTGTCTGTCCATAGACAATTCACAGGCCGACTTGGACATGCATGCTGATGAGAAACAGTCCTGATCGAAAAAAATCAAAAAGGAAAAGGTTTCAGATAATACTGCTTGTGCACAAAAAATGAAATAAAAGGCATCGGCATCTCTCCTTCCAAAATAAGAAGCTCATCCTTTTTAATTGAGATATTAAATAAACTGAATAATAACACTAATATTTTTAATATTAATAAATAAAATGGTGCCTCAGAAAATTGCGAGTAAAATATTTCATGCTTCTAAACTGCAGTTATCATAGTACAATTTCACCTTTCTCGAAGGAGTTCATCCTGAAGCTCAGAATCAATGCTTCCACCACAAGCTGTCCCAGTAAAATGGCCATTTCTTTCAGTTTTATTGTCCTGTCAATGTTGAAAATGTCACCTGCCATGCTCATTCAAATGAAACATGAAAAAAACATCGATGTGTCTTTATTATCAATATTTTATAATTCCATTCATCATCACTCCTAGAAAATGCCTTAACATATATCAAATATAACAATTTTAAGAGTAAATAAAATCTTACTTCCAATGGAGTTCCAGCCTGTATAGCTTCATCATTTTGGGACCAATAACCTGGATCCTTCTCTGGTCCAGTCTGTGCCACTCTCTCATCACCCAACACTAAGGATATAATTGGAACAGAACACTCTGTTTTGCAAGGGAGCTCCTTGGAAACCTCTCTTGGCGGTGTAGAACCCCGACGACAATTTCCATGTATTGATAATCTTTTGGAACGAGAACAGTTTAGATAGTTACCAAAATCCAAGGAGTCAATAGATCCTTCATAGACTGGTTGATATCCACAATCTCGCTCACCACCAGTGCTTCTTTCACAGAATATCCATTGTTCCCAATCAAAGCTTGTTTGATCATCCTGAGGATGCAGATGCTAACTTTTACCAATCTATTCTGGAGTATGTGTAAGTGGAAAAATAAAAAGATCACATGATTTGATGTTCATCAACACCTACCTCATAATTTTCATATACATGGATGGGATTGAAAGTGGTGCCTATTCGCTTTATCTCAGAAGACCACCCCTTGATTTCCGAATCAGCTATATCTTGGTCAATTTTCCTTCCTTTCCGTGACATGAAAAATGGATGGATTGGCCGCCCAGAAAACATTCGTGCGTTTTCCTACCAAAAACAAGAACATATCTTATTGGAGAAATCTTAGAATAATTACAGTTTTGGCTGGTGCAATTCTCTAGGAGAGAATTAACACCACCCCCACCCCCAAGGTTGAGGGACTCTAGAATAAGATTGGACTTCAAACAACAAACCTCAGCTGCCAACTTTGCTTCCCTTCTTAAATCAGTCCGTTTTAGCAATGGCTGCCCATCCACTGCAGCTTCAAATGGAATTTGACCGCAAACCAATTCTCGATTGCCATTTGTTGTATTTCTATTTGGTGCTGAATTCCGTCTTTCCTTCCTTGGAGTTGTTCTTGCACGGAGTTTCATCTTTCTAGGAGTGCTCTTTCTATGAGTGTTTCTACTATCTAATGAATACATTTAATCAGGATTTAGGAAAGAAAAATTTTAATATATAATCTACATATTCGTCCATTCTCACTACTATCAAATAAGTATTAAATTCGCTCACTAGTATCAATTAAATATTAAATTAGCCATCACAATACTATTGCAATGGGAATGAGTGATGTGTCTGCGTGTTTGGTTGCTATTTAGATTTAAATTGGCACTGTACTCTCAATTTTTTTTGCAAATATTACATCATGTGTGACCTACTCAAAATCCTCCTATTTATATTTCCCTCAATAAACATTTATATACATTCAAAACTTCCACTTTTTTTACTATAAAATTATTTTATATAATCATATATATATTTTATTTATTTGTATTATGTAAAATTTTGGGTGTATTTGTTTTGTGAAATAGTTTTAAGGGATATTTTTTTATGTGAGATATAGTAAATTGCGTAGGTAATATAAAAATAATGAATGTATGCAATATATTAATTTTTTTGGGAAAACATGTGTGTTGTTTTTTGCAAAAAAAAAAACAGTGTTGTTCTCTACATAATAATATCCATATTGTATATATATTATTTAAATATAATTTAAAATATTAAAATACATATTTTGAATTTTTAATCCTATATATATTACATTATAAATCAAATATTAATTAAATTAATCCTCTCCATCAAACTTCCAACTTAAAACCCAATCGGAAACCAAACACAATTATTAGAATATTTTTGAAAAAGAAAAGCATACTTGCAGTAGGGCTTGGAGGTGTGCAGATTTCATCAGTTCCATCAGAGAAATCAATTGCAGCCGGTGGGGTTTCCTGCCCTTTCTCCTGCACCCTCTGAGAAGCCTTCAAAAGTAAATTGGACTCTGAAAGAACATAATGAGAGCTTCATATGTCAAAAATATTTTAATTCAAAATTAGCACTTATGATCACTACACTAACAATGAGTCTTAGTCATTGAGGTATAATGCGCTCAAAGAAATATTGCAAAATATTCTCTCACCTGCAGGAACTGATGCATCCGTCTCATCATGTTGCTTCCGTTTTCTATCAGTTACCTTAACCTGAAAAATCAAAGCTATACACATTTTAGCATGCACACACACAATCAATGGCGTGCCCACCCTGCTCCATTATCAGTTCCATCATACCCAGGGAGTGGAAGCTGTTCCTTCAGAGCATTAAAGCAAACTCACAAAAAGCTTCAGTCTTGATAACATCCATTCATTAGCTCAAAATAAGTATGATTCACATTTGGATCAATCAGACTCATTCATCTAAACGCTAGCATTGAGAATAGAGCGGTCGAGTAGCATAGCAAGAGTGCCATCTAACAGAAAACAAAAGCAATCCCAATATTTATTTCGAAATTGCACTAAAATTTTGCAATTTCAAACTTACCCACAAACGTTACCGCCCAAAAAAGAAAGCTCCAGAAAGTACAGATTTCACTCTAAACCCAATTGCATTACCAGTCCCCCAAACCCCCCCAAAAAAAAAAGAAAAAAAGAAGTACAATATTCACAATGAAAACCACAAATAAAATAAAATATAACGAAAATATGGCGTCTACCTTTTTACAAGAAGCTCTCGGCGCAGATTTTGACTTCGAATTGGCCATCTTCATCCGCATTTGTCCGCTGTCGCCCACTCCTCCGGCATCGGAATTCTCACCCTCCTTGGCAGAAACCGCCTTGTGGGGAAACAGTGTCGACTGAACGAATCGCCTCTTGGCATCCTTTCCCTCCATGGCTAAATTGAATTAGGGTTTTGAATTTGATCTTGACGGGGAATTTGAGAAAGGAGAGGGTTTTGCAGCAGGATGGATTCCCAGCTCCTCCCTCCCAATCGCAGACTTATTATATATAATTCTTATTTAATAATATAAATAAAATGTTTTCTTATCCCCGCGAGAGCTTGCTTTTCGGTGACCGTATAAACCGGTGGCGGGTCATCCCACGTGACCATCCTCGTGAGCTTTTATATTTTCCCGCGCAATTAAATTGTAAAACATCGCCCCCGCCCATTATGAACCCATTGGGCCGCTACAATGCCCATACATCTATTAATTGGGCATTTATTCTATTTAGGCCCACAACATAAATTAATGAAATAAATTAATAATTTATGAGTTAAATAAAGACAAAGAAATCCATCATAGCACACATTTTAACAAGAATATGTACTTTTTATTTTATTAGTATTTTTTTTCAAAAGTACAAAAGATTTTACTTAAAAAAAAATGATAATATGAAATCTTAATAACAAATATATATTAAAAATAAAAATTGAACGTAAAAATTAAAAAATAAACAAAGGGTAAACTATTTATAAATAGTTCCATAATTAAAAAAATATTTGCCATTAGTCTGTTGTTGCTGATGTGGCAGACATTAATGACACGTGAAGGACATTTTAACGAATCGGATATATGAGTCTTAAAATAGTCACGTGTCAGTTGATGATCTACGTAGCGATGATATATCAGCCTTGTCAGCAACGACGGATCAACATAACGAATTCAACGCTGGAGAACCATTTTAGCTAAAAAAAAATATATATTTACAAATATGGTCCATCTAAAGTTCTAAAATAATAAACTTAACATCACAGTGCTTCCAATGGCCGTTGTATAGAAAATTTGATAAACAAAAGGGCAATCGGCAACAAATCTCTGGCCAGATTGAATTTTCCTTTACAAGCTAATTATAGTTTATAGACATCTAATCTCAAAAAAGGAAATTCTACCATTCTCTGTGTATTATAGTATTTTTCTATTTAATCATAATAACTGTTACCATTAAATTGATGGGGTTTTAAAGAAGTCTGCAGATGGCACATATATTTCCCCAAGCAGCACCACTTCTGTTCTTCAATCTTCCCCTTCCCATCATATTTTACATATCCTTAATTACTTACTTTCCCCGACATGGGATCCTCCGTCGCCTTTTAAAGGAATCCCGTCACCGGATTCAGAACTCGGGGCAGAAAGATCTTCACTGTCATTGCTTAGGTTCGCTTGGGTGCTGTCTTTCTCACAATGAGCTTCTCCTGATTTTGAATCCGATGGAGGATTTTGATGATCGTTGCCAACTTTGTTGGCGTGTGCTGTAGGTACGGATAGAGGATGAGTATATCAACAATGGTGATTCATTAATTTTGAAGATGGGATGAAGGATGAAGAATACCTGCAGAATTGATTTGTGGGTTAGAGAGGGGTTTCTGCAGCATGGCTACGCCAGGGAATACAACAAGGCTCATATGCTTCATTTCTAGCCTTGTAGATTCTTCGAGAGGCGCAAAATTGAACACTTTTGTCCACGTTTCGTTGAGCTCAGATATTGCGGGTATAACTAGTTTCTCAACGCCGAGTGACTGGAGAACCTGTCAACGTAACAATCTCAAAATTCTGAAACTTTTCGAAAATGCTTCCCATAACATGCAACCCTTCCACCAATTTGTTATATTAAACTTTGTTTCTCAAATGAGGAGATTAACTTGGCAACTTATAATATATTTAAAGATAGCATACATACCGATTCAATTGCAGTTAAAAGGCGTCTGCACAACCCTTGCCGACGGTAAATAAATCGCGTTCCAATGAAAGGCATCTCTGCTAAGGGAGTTCCATGGATTCTATTTCACAGAGATGTAACAGAAATACGTCAAATTGCACAAATGCATGACAAGTGAAGAAACACAAATTAGAATTGCATGCTTCTTTAGGTAAAGAAAAATTCATGAGCTCTTAGTAGTATTGAAATTAGAGTTATATATACAAGTATTCATTGCTGGATATAGATTGTAGTGATATATATTATACAAATATTTAGGAAAATTTTGCTAGATCAGATTTTAACTAATCCAGGGTTGGAACTAAAATGGAGAAAAATGTTAAATGATAACATCATGCATTAAGAAACCATTATGCAACAAACCGGAAACGGAAGGAATTGAACTATAAGAAATATTTAATGTTTAACTACTCATTTATAACAATTAACTCAAACTACCACCACGTAATTGTACAGAGTTAAGCTTTTGGCATCCCGAAAAATGACATTTAATCAGTTATATATGGAAGCAAAGAAAAAGTCAACAAACTTGAGGCAAGGATAGATAAGCAGATTTAAAAGTGGTGAGAGAAATTAATGGTAGACAACCTTATTGACGCCACAGCCAAAAGCTCGTCACCCTTCTCTAGGACAAAGGTATAGAATCCATCATAGTTCAACCGCTTGATATTTGACCTGGGAACAAGAATACGGAATAAAACAAGGAAAGCTCTCAATGAACATTACACTATTTTCAACTTTTAAAATGGGTAAATATCATTTGCGTCGTAGAAAATGAATACATATTCCAACCAAGGTTGTCAACAGCCTATTTACATAGTACACAAATATGGCATATTAAGGTTTAGATACAAACTTGTAGCACCATATTGTGTTAATCCTTTTACATTCAAGTGAGCACAAAGCAAGCTGAAAAGTGATGAAATCTTCTTCAAAAGAATTTTTAATTACTATCATCTTATCGGCAATGTGTGTCGTCACATTTTATAGACTATGGAGTAGACCATGATATATAACAGAGTTAAGGTGAAAATACTAACCCACAGCTGTAGACAACATTGTGAATCAAATTGATTCCACTTCGCTCATCTATGATAGGCTCAAAGCATTCATCCATAATATTGAAAGCAATGGCTAACTTTGAATTGTTTTCTACCAAAAAGGAGTTCCCATCGGCAGAAGCATCTCTGTTAACAGGATGATGACGGAGAATAGTATAGGAAAACCCTTCTTCTAGTTCATGTCTAACCCCAATAAGAACCTGTAATTGCTGAAAAATCTGTGGGCCAAAGGTAGCGAACATATCAGAAGCAAAATTAATAAAGAATGTCAAGAAGAACAAGCATGTAGATGAGACTTCAATCCATTATGAATACTGAATCTCAGGAGAATACAACAATAAGTACAACTTGTCCTCTATTAAGTACAAATATCTTGATAATTGTATCTACAGAAAAGATATCCTGGTTAAGAGGAAGAATGCCAAGCTTTGAGCAAGACAGGATCAGAAAGTTATACACATTACCAAGCACAGTATTGCAGGATCAGGACAAATCAAATCTCAATAATCTGCTAAGGCAAAATAATACGATACTAATCAAATTAGAGAGAGAATATGAAATAGCCCAATAAGCCCATGAAATTTTTTTCTATTTCACAAACAGGTCCATAGGCTCTAACAATGTTTGCTAAGTTTCCAAATCAAGATATGACTACAAGAGAAAGATTTTTACATCATGAAGCTCGTTGCCAATCAAGTTGGCTGATCAAATGCCAAAGCAAATCCAGATCAATACACTGGTCTATTGGCACATTGATACTAGTACAAGGATGTTCAACAGGGTTATATGAATATATATATATATATATATATAACGGAAGAAGAAACACTTGCATTTTATAATGGACAGTGATACCTTTGAGCATTCTTCCCCACAAAAGGATGGATTTTCATCGTCAATACCACTGCCACTTGTCACTTCAGTGCAATGTATATGAACTGCAGAAAGCTAAAAATTGTCAGTGATTGGCCCAATAGTGCATGCGATTTATAAACATATGTTAGGATCATCTAACACCAGAAATGCATAAAAGTGAAAACTTGAGCATTACATTTCTCCTCACATAAACTGCATATGTACAACTCAGACAGTGCATTGCAGTCATCAGCGGTTGCGGTAATTCCACATGCCATTCCACAGAATTTGCAGGAACAGTACTCACAGTGCCAATCTCCAGTAGGAACCTGCAACAAGAGAAATTATGAGCACATAACGAATAATACAGAATGTGTGGGGATTTTCAAATTCCTAGAGAATCAGAAAGCCAGATACTAAGTTGCATTTTCATAAATGTAAAAAAGTATGTGAGTACTCATATTGCATCTTCAGGCCAAAATTACTGTGGGCAGTTTATGTTTCCATAATGAATGAAATAAATATATGTGTGTGCGCGTCTGAGCGTATGTGTATGAATGAGTAACTTTAGGTATGCATCAAAGACGCACACGTGTATGAATGAGTAACTTTAGGTATGTGTCAGAGACGCACACGTGTAAGAACGGAAATTATAGAAGCACGCAATTAAAGATGTTTTGACATATTTATTGTGATCAATATACTTGTACGGAAAGGGAGAAAGAAAAAGAAAATTCATAATGAAAGTGATAAAGGGATCAGCATTTATACTTCAATATGTAAACAGCCATGATGTGAAGTTGACGGGCAGCTATCACAACAGATCAAATCGCCGCCATCACCGCATACGTTGCATGTGTCATCATTGGGATCATCACCTTCCACATCCACCAAAGCATATTGAATGTTATCCAACTCCATGTGTTTTCCCCAGGTATCTACCAGGCACTGTGAAAGAGATTTCCCAGAATCAAGGTATATATTCTCGTATGGTTTCCCACACGTACTTTTTGCATGAGAATCAAAACCTTGAACTGTATACACTATATTGCAGCAGTCGCAACAGATCCCTTCCTTAAAAATCATCCCCTCAAGTAGTATCTTCTTACACTTCCCCTTCTTATATTTCACCTTCCAGCCAAGAGAAACAGTTCCCAAATCAATCATCCATGAGAGCAAAGTGCGCTTCCCCTCATACAATTGATAACCATCACTGTTAGACGGATCCCTTGGTCTACGAGCCAACAAGGTTCGCCTTTTTCTACCCCTTTCATCAGATGGTTTACTTTTAGATTCCTTTTTCATTCTCTTTCCAGGAAGTTTCTTGTTTTGACCTCCATTCTCGTCTTTCTTAGAGATCTTGAATAGCACACTGAGCGTTTCCTCTGGTATTGGAGTAAATGCACACACATCTATATCATCCCCATTTCCATTGTCAATTTTATTCTTAAGCTTTTGGTATGCCAAAGTCACTGACCAGTGAGTTTTCCCATCCCTGTCAACGTAAACAGCGTCTTGGTAATCTCTTGATTGTCTTTGCCTATATTCGATAGTCCACCCAGCCTTCTTAAGCATGGCAACTATCTGATCCCTCACTAACTGCTTCTGCTCCCTAAGTCCCATGGTCTTTCCAGCAGCATCCTCTGCTGCAGGTTGTATCTGCTCCTTAACACAATCCCCTGGAGCATCTTCCCCTACCTTCAACCTCTTGGCTGAAACTTCATGTTCAGATTTCCCACTATCAGTATTGCTTGGAGCACTGTTATTCTCGGTGACCAATCCAATGCTTTCACTAACCACCTTGCGTGGCCTTCCCTTCTGCCATCCCCTCTTCCTTTTGTGCTCTTTACCTCCTTGATCTTGATCATTACCAATACCACTCATGGAAACATTCTGCCCGGTTACCTCACCATCATCTTCCTTTTTAGAAGGCAATGAGGGAATACCACTTTTAACTTCTGTTTTGGGAAGCCTTCCGCGCCCACGCTTCGGAATGCTCAAAGAGGAAACTTCACTATCAACTTTCACCTTCGGAGGCCTTCCGCGCCCACGCTTCGGAATACTTGAAGCGGAAACCTCAATATTAACTTTCACCTTAAATTGACCTCCCAATTTTGGCGGCCTCCCCCGCTTGCCTTTCTTCCTCTTAATCATAGGAGCAGTAGCCTCACGTTTACCAGCAGATTTTGGAGGCCTTCCCCTCCCACGCTTGAGAATCGGCTTTTCCTCTTCCAGTACAGCAGGCGCCTCTGCATCATCGGTGTTTTCCAACACAGACGTCTCACTTACATCAATATCCTCGTCAATATTTCCAATCTCCAAGGTTATCTCCTTCTTCTCACCATCGCTCATAGCTACCGTCCTCGACCTCAAAACCCTACCACTTTTAGGCGGATCATCAGACCCCACATTCCAGTTTCTGGCCGGTTTCTTTTCAATTTTCGTCCTTTTCGTTCCAACAGAATCCTCTTTCAGATCAATCGCGTCTAGCCCGCTCCGCAATCTCATCTTGAACGGAATACACAATCAATCCTGCCGATAACCCTGATTCATAAAATCCGAACAAAAAATTAGACAATCATGCATACTGTCAAAACAAAGCCATCCAATTGACCGCAAACACAATTAAAAACGTCGTATATGTAGAAGCAAATACCAATGGCGCAGCAGGAATAAAGCAATAAACCCGTCCCGATTCAATCCGCCCAGATAAACTCAATCTAAATTCAATAACTTCTGCAAATCGAGTTTGGAGAAAAGGAGAGAGAGAAGAGAGAGGACAGAGAAGACACAGGGTTTTGATTTTGTGTGATTTGGGGGAGAGGGCTTTATATTTAATGTGGTTTTCTTTTCAATTTTTAGATTCCTAAGGGACTACAATGTAATTTTCTGTTTCCGTACCGTAAAAGGTTACCGGATTATTTCCCTCCATTCTTATTATTTTTCAACATTTAAATAAAAACTTTTTTATTATTTATTTCTTTTCTGATACACCCGTTGACTCGTTTCAACTATCCTTTTCTTTTCTTTTCAATTTATTTTTAGATTCTTTTTTTTTTTTCCATTTTATTTTTTTTTTCAAACTACATATCAAATAATAACATCAAATTGCATTGATGAATTAATTCCTGTATTGTTGTGACATTAGTTTGTTTTATTTTTTCAAAAATAAAAATGCACATCAATTCAAAATCACATTTAATAATTTTCTTTTATAAGGTAACAATTGTATTAAATTTGTAATCCCAGACGAACAAAAGGCTGTAGGGTTTAGGAAAGTGAATTAATGTAGTCCCATTCGGATTTTACTAATTTTCAAATATTTATATAAAATTAGGGTACGTTTGTTTGGGGCTTTAAATTTTGAATTGGAATTTGAATAATACTAAAATTGATTATTAATATAATATAAAAAAATAAAAAATAAGTGTTTGATTTGATGTTTTGAGGAAAAAAATAAGATGAATAATTTATTTAAAATCCAATACCTCAAACAAACACACCTTTAATAGATTCAAATTTAAATTAATCAAATTTATACATGGTACTTTATTTGACATTTAAGTGCCTTTTGGTATAGGAAATTGACAGTAGATAAATAAAAATTTTATTTATTCAAAATAAATTAAATTTGATAAATAAATTATTTTTATTTTTATTTTATATTTAGATAAATTGTGAGAAATAATGGTCCAATATATATATATATATTTCTTTATACTATTTAATTTTTATAATTTTTAAAAATTATATTTGATTTATTATTCAACTATTTAATTTGTATGAATTTTTAAAAAATTGTACTGAAATATGATTTTGCAAAATATCGCATATAATTTATAATTTTTTTTAAAAATCACTAAAAATATTTTTTTTTATGATTTTTCATTCGTTAAAATTCTCTTTTGTCCCTTAAATCATTTATTTTGTTAGATCCACAATTTTTTTTTCAACTAAATTATATTTTACCAAACACAATTAATCTCCTCTTCAATTTCATTATCTATTTTCATTTCTCAATTATATATTTTTTTTTAACCAAACACCCCTTAGAGTGTGTGTATTTTGTTTTCTTATTTGAATAAAAATAATTTATGTAATATTATATAGATAAGATAAAATTAGTAAGTTATTTTTTAAATATATATATATAAGAGGTTAAGGTTGTTTAGTTTTAATCAACACATAGAATATAGGCTATCATCATATATTTCATTACAATGGAGAGTTATATTTTATACTCATATTGCATTGTTGTATCCTATATAATAAAAGCGAATCTAATGTATTCACTCTGTCCATATCTATATATTCATTTGTTTTTTTCATTAAATTTTAAAAATATTAGTATTATATTAGGATAAAGTAGAAATAAAGGTAAAAAAATTAAACTAACCCTCTTAATATTGTATTATATAAAGGTAATGACATTTGTGTAATATATTGTAAATTAGAAGGGTATTTCTGATGTTAAGTAGATGATACAATTACTTAAAAAATAAAAAATTGATATTTTGTTATGAGACGGGCCAAAATAGAAAAATAGATAGATTGTTAAAGTGACATAGGGAGTATATCATATAGATTATTTTTATGTATTAAACGTTCATTCATTGTATTTCTATTATAATACAATGTATTGTCTGTACATATTAAATACTCCCTCCGTCCCAATACAATAGTCTTATTTATCATTTTTGTTTGTCTCAAAACAATAGTCTCATTTCTATAAATAAATATATCACCATAAAACTATTTTTACTTTTTCATTATTATTACACAATATTTTTTACACTAATATATTCACAAAGACAAAAAAATCATTTATCCTTACTTTTTACCAAGTACCAATATAATATCAATTTTCTTAAAATTTCGTGCCCAACATAATAAGACTATACTAATTATATTAGCACAGAAGTCAAATTGCACGTGCAAGTACTAATTATATTACACCTTCAAAAACTCGTCAAACATTTACTATTAAATTTTGAAAGTAGTGTGATAGAAGAAAGTTATTGCATAATAACTCGATCGAATTTCTAGTCGTTGATGTGTATCGTTATTTTATTGTCAATAATAACTACTCGGTAAATGATCTCAAGCTATTTATAATAAATTTGTTATTTATAATTCTAATAATAATTAATGATTATCTTTTCAATTATCTATTTTGAAAATATGTTCAGAGAACTACAAAATTAAGTATAAAACCATAATTGTCTAGAGTTCATTGAATTCAATTTGAAATATTTACATTATTCTAGTTAATACATGTAAATGTCCAAGATAAAATGTCAATTTTGTCTATTTAAAATAGGTTATCTTTAGTAAAAACAAGTTTATTACAATTTTTTAGAACACTTTGTCTATTTAAAAGAGGTATATTTAGTAACAACATATTTAATACAATTTTTTCTATAACATTTTGTTTATTTAAAAGAGGTTATATTTAATAAATCATTACAATTTTTAAAATTTTAATGTTATATTCCAATAGTAATTTGACTTGGGAGATACATTAGTAGGTGTGTTTGTTCGGGGGTTTTGGATTTTGAGTTGGAATTTGAATAGTAAAAAATTTGAATTTAAATAGTTATATGATGTGATATAAATAGGTGTTGATGCGATGTTTTGAATGTAAAATTAATTTTTAGTATAATATAAAAAATAAAAAATAGGTAGTTGATTTGATTGCTTTTTAGAAAAACAAAATGAGATGAATAGTGTATTTAAAATCAATCCCCAAACAAATTATATCTAAGTTATAGAAGCTCTACTATTTTTTAAGAACAAATTTTTTGAGTATTTGATATAATATATATATTGTAAAAATAAAAAATTTATGTAATGAGATTTTTTTTTTTTTTTTTTTTTTATAAGAAAAAGACCAACAATGATGAAAAATTGAAATAGTATATATATATATATATACAACACTTTTTTTTTTTAAAGAACATTATTCATTAAATTTAAATTCATAATCTTACTATGTAACTACTATTTAAATAAGAAAATTACAAAAATGTATCATGTAAAGATTAATCTCACTCTTATACTATCAATTGAAACAAAAATGTCATTTTCTAAGAATGTCATGATGGTGTGAAAATGTGATAGTAAAATTTTGAATCATTCACGACAAATATAGTAAAAGTATTGAGTATTTTTGATAATAAAAAAAAAACAATACATTGAAAAATTTCGATATGATTGAATAATATATATATATTTTTGACGACATGAGAATTCGTACCAAAAAATGCACATTAGAGTTTGAATCTATAACTTCATGGTCACATATCCAACTCGGGTATGTTTTTTTAGTCAAATTTCTCAAATTTTATTATTTGGATTTGCGTTTCTCCAAAAAAATACATTTTTTTTTTCTCACAGAACATCTCATCAAATATTATTTTCATACCAAACCTAAATCAATTTTTTTGTAAACTCATCAAAAGAAACACACCATTATTATCAAGACATTATTTTTATAATATAAAAATATTTAATAACTTCAAATATTTTACTCATGTAAATGAAACACAACTATTAAATTAAAATTTTTACTATTCAAATCATCTCAAAAATCCAAAACGCCGAACAAACTCACCCTAAAAGGCCGATTTCCAAATCTTTATCCACAAAGGCCCACTTACTAAAATCGTGTTTCAGCAACTGCGCTAATACCAGATTTTTGGAATTAACAGCTGCAACCTAAACAGCGATTTTACGTACGGATTCAAAATTATTTTATTTATTTATTTATTATCGTCGTCATCCTTATTATTATTCCGATAAGCTCTAAACATTCTACAATCGTCGGCGATGGGTCTCGAGGCGGCGAAGACGGTGTTGGAGGTGGCCGACGTCGCGTGGACTGCCGTCGAGTGCTGCCACCACCACTACCACGACGAAGCGAAGCCACCGCCTCGGGGAATAGGAGAGTCCGATGTCGGAACCCTAAGTTCTGAAAATGAACGCCTCCGCCAACTTCTGGAGAAAAATATGACGCTCCTTCAGCAGATTTTGAGTTCGCCTACCGTTCTACAGAATTGTCCGCCTGATGTATGCGATTAGCTTTTGATTATGGCTTTCAATTTTGAGATTAGAAAGTTATGGTTATTTTTAATCCGTTGCAGCTCCACGACCGTCTTGTCGAATCCGTGAATTCCGAAAGCTTTCTGAACGAATTGGAGTCTCTCCGTAGAAAATCTACCAGCGAAACTCCGTTCGACGAGCCATCGGGTTTTTCTCATATTTTTAATATGTGTTTTATTCTTTGCTGCTTTATCTTTCGGTCATTGTTCTGTGAATAAAATCCGCGTTAGCTTTGTGATATCTAAGATTTTCTGTCAATCATTGCTGCTTTATTTTGTGTTCTTGCTGAAATGAGTGATTGATTACCTCGGAGGCAGTGTGATGATCTTGTGCCTTTTTCTTTCAAGAACTTATGTTATAACTGTAACCTTCCCCAATTAGTGCATCTCACACACGCAAGCTAGCTACTCGTTTCAGCATTTTCATGCGCCAACATTGTAGTAATTCAAGGTGGAAACAACAAGATTGGTCTGTAGTCTGCAAGTTAACAGGAATATACGCTATTATAAATTCCATTTACTTTCTAAATTCTCTTATGATAATCAGGCACAGATTTGGAGAAAACTGGTGACTTGGTTGACATAGGCCACGAGGAGCCTAGTTGGTGGGTGTGGGTCCCAAGGGAAATGGCCCATGGTAAAATCGAGGAGAAGAGTGAAATCGACAGTGAGAATTATATTGTTATAAGTGAGAAAGATGTGGTCGATGGCGTTGCTTTCTTTATGGCTAGATGTGTTTTAGCAAACCCAAATGCAAAGGTACATGACCTAATGATGCATTTTAGTTATGTTAGGTTCTTAAATCTTAATTTGTTTATGGGTGCAATCACTCAATGTTATTATGCTGGCAATGCAGAAGTTGACTCCTGTGGAGCTCCAGAAAGGTATGTCTGCAATTTTTTCCTCTGCACTTTTTATTTTATCCTGTGGTGTTGTAAAACACTTCTGGCATGCTGGCAATTGAAGTCGCAATTGTGCAGACAAAAGGAGACAGTAACAATAGCCCTGTATTGACGATACATCTTCACACCAGAGCCAGCCTTGACAGATTCTTGTAGATTTCGATATGATTGCATGTTTTGCAATTTTAAATAGTTCATGCATGATTCAACCTTGCAGCGTTGGGGAAAGCACTGGAAGGAATGAATAAAGTAGAGAAAATGCTAAACATTTGGCATGCTGGAATGTTATTCTATACGCTGGCCACATGGGGGCTTGCTCTAGCAACGTAAGCTCTGAGTACTATAAAAGTTGTCTTAGAGAGGGGGAAAAAAAGAAGAAAAAACTAATGAAGAAAAAGGGTTGTTGGTGATGATTGGTTTGCCTTGAAATATTTCTGTCATGACTGAGTGTCTGAACTATTGATTATATTTCGTTCAATTAGAATTTATGAGCAGTGGTCGACTGATAGCACTTTAATATTGCAACATGATTTTTTCAAACAACTTTTTTCCTAAATAAACAGAACTCTTATCGTAATGCAAACTGCAAACATCACTTTATTAGAGACTTTTTTTCTAATCTCCAGATTTATTATGGTTAAAATTTTAGGACTACGGTCTGAAAAATATGGCTTGCTTCACCTTCCCTTTTGAACTTCTTCATCTCATTTGTTTTTTCTTTTGTGGGATGAATAATGCTTGCACACGTTTGTTCAATAGTCTTGTGTTTCCTTGCAGTTTGTACCAAGGTCGCTCAATTCTGAAACTGGCAGCACAAGGGGTCCATCACTCAAGCAAACTGGCTCTGAAAGCTCTATGAGCTATTGCCCTATCATGCCAACTTCCATTATGCATCTATTGCATTGCAACTGGCCACTTGTCTCTGTAATTTATGGTTGCTTCTCCAACCATCTATGTGTTGTTCGAAATCTAGAAAAATTGTTATTCTGATTTTTGCAATTTGGTTTCCGAGTGTACGTGTAAATAGTTCTGAAACTTGAGATTCTTATCTTGTATAAAGAATGATTTGTTGGGTATTTGCAGCTATTGTGAAGCAACCTCTTTTGCCCATGGCTTGGCCATGTTTATGCTGCGTTGCTTTCTAGAGATAACTCTATTTGTGCATCTAAACTGTAGTGATCTAGTTTCGGAAGATTAATGCTGTCATCTAACTGGGACAATTCTAATTAGAGAATGCAGGTGCTATGATTTCAAAATTCTAAAAGAAGCCTTCCTATTTGCTTTCAGCTACCTGACTACTTTGTTGCAGTTAGCTACTTCTTCGGGGATTGGAAACTACTTTTGAGGATGATTGAAGTCTTGTGGACAACATATATGCTTCATCCACTAGATCTAAATTTTGACTTGCACAAATAGAAAACAAGAAGACAAGATTCTTGGATTAGAAAATGAGGTAATATTGCGATTAATTCCCTTAATAGTTGCTGGAGATTACAATGTAAGACCAAAATATCAACATCTTACACAGGTACTCTTTTCATTTTTTCCAAAATATGACATCGATTGATGGCCTTATGCGTCTGCATAGGTTCTCATGGCTCTGCTTGGTAACCAAGTTTCTTCTCAGGGGCATTCCATTCTGCGGTGCCATTGCTGACATCCACCACCCCTGATGCTTTCTTGTCCACCACGGGCAGTTCATGCGGTGCTCCCTCATCAAATGTAAGTTTGTCTGGAACCTTCTTGTCTTTGCTTTTGCCCCAAACCACAGAGTACAGCCCAAACACAATAACCACTGCTCCGATCAAGCTGCATTTTCCACAAAGAATACTCTTGATTAGCTTCATTGTGTTGTCATGTTTTAATAAATCACTTTCATACATGCCAATGAGTTACCTTCCAAGATGAATTTGCTCTGCCAAAATTATTGTCCCCAATACTGCAGTGATGATCATGCTTAGTGGGCTAAATGCTGTCACAAACACTGGCCCTTTAATCCTGTTCACCACACTTTGGATGTAATATGCAATTCCAGAGCACACTATCCCCTGTGAATCCAAAACAAATATTTTTTTATCCGTGCAAATCTATTCCCTGTTCTTTGTATCGAGTTTATTAATTAATTATACTTACAGAATAGGTAGCAGCCAAAAGCCTTGAATCAAAACCAATAGCCCATGCACTCAAGTCATGCTCCATTATCAGTGCAACAATCCCAGTCTCTACAGTCCCAATTATGCATATTAGAGCTGCTAGTGACATCTCTGCTGGGTACTCATCCAATACTTTGTTCTGTCACCCAAATTAATAAGTTATAATCCTGAGTTCTGAGAAGTACACTTATTAGATAAAATATTGACTGAAGTGAAGAAAATATGTATATTTACTTGCAGGATGAAGAAGCCAGCCCAGCTAACAATACAGCTGAGCAACAAGATCGTGCCCATGACCCAGTGCTGATCTGTGGCTGTGCTGGCGGCGTCATGGTGGCTGATGCCATGGGAGTATGGGATAATGTTGATCGCAGGGCCTCTGTAGAGTGTCATGAGCATGGCTCCGGTCACTGTTATTCCTGTGCCAATCACCTTGGCCAAGCTGGGTGCTTTCCTTAGGTTTAACCTCTCCAACCTGAGGATTATGATTATAATTAAAAGATTAGAACAGGGCCTTTATTTATTTATTTTGTTACAGAGACATGGAAAATGGATGAATTAGTTTAGTTCGTGATCTATTTTACCTGAAGATGACAGCCATGATGAAGGTGACTGCAGGCAACATGTTCACAGTGGCGGATGCAAATGTTGCTGATGTGTACTTCATGCCCAGGTAGTACAAGTTCTGATCTACGACTGGCCTGATTTATTTATAACATTACGTAATGAAATTATTAGTTTAGTTAGTAATGTTATTGGATAAAGGTTTATGTGATTAATAATCATGCAAAGCTGGCCCCAAGTAAATGAATTATAAATCTAGGAGTAATTGGCATAAGAATAATGCATGGTTCTTTGGTTATAAATTACATCACATTATGTTGCATTGAATAACATAGCTACACTTTTGAAAATGAACGATTGTGGTTAATAATATAACATACTCAGTGCATGCATATAGTGGTTTAGCCTTACTTTTTTGATCTAGTGTTTAGTAATGAGTACTTCTTTGTAATTAATAAATATCATTAAACTTACATGTTACTCAGATTTTCAAATAATATATAGCGTGTGGCCCTGATGCATGAGTGAGATTTATGAGACCATAATATAATTTATTAATCAAAATGAAGCTATAATCATGACCGCTCTTAACTACCTAGGATGTGAAGTAAGGTTCTTTTAGCCACTTAAACTAGATAGCCGTGTGTGTCCATGTGTCCAAGAAATCCTCATGCTAGAACAGAAGTAACTATCAGCAGTTAGCACGCACAAGAATTAATAATGTTGGGTTCAAGGACATTACTCTAGGAAACCCAGCACAAGTAGCTTCAGAAACAGCTTTTTCGTCATCTTTGGCCTTATTTTCCTGCAAACCAGACCCAAATGCATAAGAAGCACGCACATGCAAATATATATATATAGAGAGGGGTGTGTTTGTGTGCGAGAGCAGTTAGGGTTATATTAGTGAATTACTTTTCAAGAAAATAAGCAAAGGGAGCAATAGCAATGGTAGCAGTGACATGGCGGTAGCAAACCAAAACCCAGTTACTGAAACCACGCCTCATGGAGACAAGGCTTATTATGTACATCCCTGCATAACCAAACTGCAGGGCCAACATAGCCAAATAAGGCTTCAATTTATGGAACAATTCCATAACCACACTGCTACCCATCTTCCTTCTACTATTACTACTGCTAGTCTCTTTCTCTCTCTCTCTCTAGATCTTCCCTTATATGATGCTGATATTAACCCAATCTATGGCACGGCATAAACAAAGGGTTTGCGCCCTTTTTATAACACCCATAAAGTAACAGAAAGAGAATCTTGCTTGCATTGCATGTAAGAATAATATAATGGGGTTAATGTTTTTTTTTTTTTAAAAAAAAAAAGAGAAGGCAATGAAGCTTATGCGGAGTGAGTGTATGATGTATGTATATGATGATGTAAAATATTCTTGAATATTATTAATGCAACATCTATATGTTTGTCACTAAACTGATGCATGAGCTTTAAATTGTCCTTTATAATATGATTCCCTATCCAACTGCTGAAAATACTGTCTGCATGTTAAGAATCTTTGCCTATTTAGTGAAAAGGATTGCACCAAGGAGTTTCCATGGATCTGATCTGATTTCCTTTATTTCATTTCTTGTAATTATTATTATTATTATTATTATTATTATTATTATTATTATTATTATTATTATTATTTTACTATATATTTGAATATGGTGTATTATTAGGAATGTGGGGTTGATATTTTTTGACCAACAAGTGCTATTATGGCTAAGTGGTGTCTGATTATGTATTGTAGGGCTTCTTTGGTTTCTTTCAAGTGTGGAGGATGAGTGGACACTTTAATGGCAAAATAATGGGTTGCATAATTAGCCTAAATATTTTGGGGGTGGGTAGAGGTGTACTAATTTGGCATTGCATTTTAGTTTAATTAGGGCTTTTATTCTTTTGCATTCATATCGTAAGCTATATGTTCAGATTTCTATCTATGAATTTATTCATTTATTTTTGGTAGTGAATGTTTTGTTAACATGAAAAAAACTTGTTACATAATATTCTCTCTATTGCATATTAGTTTCATAAGAATGTATATAATATTCCGGCTATTAGCAAAATTCAAGCTCTCATTTTTGATTCAATAAAATGAAATGAGAGCTTGATACATGTTCAGATTTCTTTCTATCAATTGGTTGATTGATTTATATTTTTTTGCCACATTCTCTTTATGTATATAATATTCTCAGCTATTAGCAAGCAAAACAATAGCTTCGTTTATGCAATTGACAAAAAGAAACTAGATTTTGTTTTAGTGAACTTTTGGGTCTCCGTCCTTTAGAGATTGCAGTTATAATATTGATGACTATCACATTATATATAATTGATGAGTTTTAGTTATAATATTGATGACTATCACATTATATATAATTGATGAGTTTTATAAATTGTATGAGAATCGGGTAGTTGGATCATTTTAAGCCTAGCTAGCTATTCAACTTTTTGAATGATTTGCTTGTTGATCATTCATAGGATCACTACTTGTGTTAGTGTATGTGACGTCTATTTTCTTTATTATTTATTTGATTTTTCAATTATTTTATCAGGGCTATTAAGAAATATCTCAAATATTATATTCTTCTCATTTATGCATAATTAAAGTGATGCAAGATAAATTATTGTTATTATTAGCATATTGCAGATTTGCAGTGTGTTCATTCTGGAATTGCCTTAATAAAATAAAGTTGTTTGTTTTTACGTACAATCATGAATCATGTGGTTGGCTAATTAATTCATGTATATTGATTTTTTATAAGGATTTTGGAATCTATAGCTTACACAATTATTTTTTAAATTTCAGAAATTTTGTGGGATCTAAAATATTTTTTCCTCAAAAACATCAAATTAAACACCTATTTTTTATTTTTTATATTATACTAAAAATCAATTTTACATTCAAAACATCACAATTCAAAATTTTTTACTATTTAAATCTCTAATCAAAATCCAAACCTCCAAACAAACACACCTAATGAGCAACACTTTCATTGAATTGATTGACAAAGTGTAGAAATGAGAGATGTTAAGAAGGAATAAAAGTCGTACTTTAAATTTGCCTTGCGTGGAAGAAATTGAATGTCTAATTAGCATTGCTTTTGAGTTACCTTTTTTTTGTGAAAAGAATTTTTAATTAGAGAAATAAGTGAATATATTAGGGAAAATTGCAAAAAATACATTTACGTATATCCAATTATCATTTTCGAATATATATATATTTTTGCAATTTAGGACATTACGTGTATTTCGGACATTTATGCCCTCTGGTGCTGGAAAAACGCACGTGACCGTCAGTATACGTGGACGCCGTCATTGCTATGTTGTCGTCCGCGTGGTCGTCGGACAGGTGACACGGAATTATTGTTCTTTCACTTTCGCAATTTAGAACATTATGTATATATCGGCTATTATTTTTGTCTTCCGGTGCCGAAAAAATAATTTGTTCTAAGGTTATTGGATAGGTAATGTGGAATTATTATTATTATTATTTTAAAAAATATATCTTTTAAAAATTTTAATTTGACCCGATTGGACTAAATTGCAAATAATCAATTGGACCAAATTGAAATAAAAAACTTAGAACAAATTATTTTTTCGGCATTGAATGAAAAAAATAATACCCAATGTACACATAATGTCCTAAATTGCGAAAGTGAAAGAACAATAATTCCACGTCATCTGTCCGACAACTACGCGGATGACAACATAGTAACGGCGGCGTCCACGTATGCCCCCTGCTATGCCACGAAGGCGCACGTGATGGTCAAGTGCGTTTTTTCGGTGCCGAGCAAAAATAATGTCTGGAGTACACATAGTATTTTAAATTGCGAAGGTGAAAAAAAAATATTCGAAAATGATAATAAAACTTATTAATTTGAATTTATTTATGCATTTTTCATAGACAAATAAAATGACAATTGTGACTCATTGCATGAGAAAATTTTGGTTAGTTCCTCTGTAAAATTGTCCCTTTTCAACCTTTTAATATGGGCATGTATATTTGTATTTATATATATATATATATATTTGTGTCTGAATAAATTTAGGGTATGGAATATTCTGCACTATAAGGCGCCTGCAAGATTCTGTGAATATGATTTATTTTTATTGTGTACACATTAATCTCCCCAACAAGATGAAAATAAAGTGGCTGGCTGACTTCACAAATGAAACATACACAAGTATATTCTTGTTTTATTTATTTATAACTCATATACCATAGATGTTTTTTATATGAATATAGTTGCTGAATGTAATCTGTTTTTAGAGAAAACATAAACGATTAAATAGTAAAAAACCACACAAACTATTTTATTATTTTTCTTATTGAACATAAATGAATAAATAAGAAAATTATGTATGTATATATATAAAAGTTGGTGGGATGATGAGTGCTTTCATGCTAAGACTCCAATGTTGCCTTGAGATATATATATATATATATATATAATGGTGGATTCCCACCTACACACTCGTATATGTGGTGGGATTATTGCACACACAAACAACAATGAATTAAATTGGCCACCAGAATTATGAATATTTGGTTCTATAATTAGTATTTTTATAAAAATAATTCTATCTTTTTAAAAGTGAACTATGTATAAAAATAATCTTGTATTTCTGCAGTGATAATATACATTGGAATTATTATATATATATATATATATAGAAAATGGCAATTTGAACATTCAAGATTATTTAATAAAAAACATATATACAAACAAGATAGATCATATAACCGGTGAATTTGTAACGGTAAAATTATATGATTAAAATAATCATTTAATTAATATAAGATTTAGATTATATGGTATATTTAAAGGCAGGGCTATCTATCTCTCTCTCTATATATATAACATGTATATGGTGAGTGAATCAGTGCATCGTCATCCATTCTTAATAGTAATCTTTCGTTTCATAGTGCACTAATTGATTTCACATTACTGTAAGCATTTCGAATATTATTATTATTATTATTATTATGGTAGTAATAGTGCTACACAACATTTATATATATATATATATACACTAGTGCTCTTCGCGTCGCTACACGACTGTGTAAAACAGGTTGAGGATTGTGAAGAAATGAGTTCAAGCTTTCCATTGCCGGCAAGATAAATCTACAATATTTGAAAAACAATTGTTGAAGGCATCTGCAGTCCTCAATCACTTCATATTAAACACATGATGTTACATTATAGATCTCTAACATAGTACAAACAATTATACTATTGTTACGTATAAAAAATAATAATAATAATAAATAATGGCAGTAGGATTCTGGATGGATTTGAATATAAGCCAAACGGCCCAGAAATCGGACAAAAGAAAGTCAGACAAGGAAAGGTGACGGCCAATACGAAGGTCGGGCAAGATGAGGTCGGTCACAACTAAAGTCGGGCGAAGAAATATGAGATGACAGACGCGGAGGTCGGTCAGGACGAAGAAGGGAAAAACAATACGTACTCAGGTCGGTGAGATAAGGTCGGGCACGGAGATCAGATAAGATAAGGTCGAGCACGGAGATCGGACGTGATAAGGTCGGGTACGGAAGTCGGACCTGATAAGGTCGGGCACTGAGGTCGGACGTGATGAGGTCGGGCTCGAAGGTCGGACAACATAAGATCAGACACGGAGGTCGGTTGACAGAGGAGTCAGGCGAAGAAGGACGACTGATACGGAGGTCGGTCGAAGAAGGACGGCTGATACAGAGGTTGGTCGAAAAAGGAGGTCGGACGAAGAAGGACGGCTGATACAGAGGTCGGTCGAAGAAGGAGGTCGGACGAAGAAGGACGGCTGATACAGAGGTCGGTCGAAAAAGGAGGTCGGGCGAAGAATGATGGCTGATACGGAGGTCGGTCGAAATAGGAAGTCGGGCGAAGAACAACGACTGATACTGAGGTCGGTCGAAATAGGAAGTCGGGCGAAGAACAACGACTGATACGGAGGTCGGTCGAAAAAAGATCTGTTAATTGGTCGCCTACTTAAGTAAACAATAGTTCAGTCGCTTGGTTGGGGCGACCATTGAATCGGTCGCCTGATTAGGCGAGCTGTTAATCATTTGAGTGAATGGTCGGTCGTTTGGTCAGACGGCGTTGCAGTCGTTTGAAAGATCGGTCGGTTGGTCGGTTGATGGGGCGATTAAATGAATCGTTTGGTCGACTGACAGGTCGGTCGTTTGGATGGACGGGTCTTCAGCCGTTTGAAGGGACTGGATGGGGGTCGCTTGATTGGGCGGTCATTTGGTTGCTTGATTGGGCGATCGATGAATCGTCTAGACGAATGGTTGTTTGGCCGTTTGAAGGGGCCGAATGGTGGTCGCTCGAGTGGGGGACTGATTAGTCGTTTGGTTTAACGACCAGTTAGTATCTGGATTGGTCGGTAGGTCAATCGTTGGATTATTCGTTAAGTCCATTTAAGGAGGTAAGGTCCCCAGTTGGGTTCTTTGGATAATTTTTTTTTATTTATTAAAAAATTATTTTCTACAAAATAATATATATACTGAATTGGTCAAATGAGAAGGAGGAGAACCGTATACTAGATTGTCGGTTGGGATAAAAAAATGAGAAATAAATATAATAAATTATATAAATATATATTTTTATTTCTGTGCAACAAGGAATTTTTTAAAAAATATTAAATTTTTTTAATGATTTTTTAATTATATTTTGAATTTGAGGGAATTGGTCGGTTACCATTTGAGACTGCCGAAAATCAGATGTCTTCTATTTCTGTAAGATCAGCCGTCCAGTCAGACAATTTTTTTTTGTTTTGCGTGCCCAACAAATTCAAAAACCCCTGCATTAGTTTCAAATGCATTTTTTTATATATATTGTAACTAAGTTATTGTATTAGAGAAAATATTACGATCTACAAAATGATATCCATATCAATATATTTTGTAAAAGTAAATTACTACAAAATAGCAAATGAAATTAAAAAAACACAACTCTAAAAAACATCCGATATCAATAACCAAAAGTACAAAATATAAGCAAAATGACACTCTAAGACTTCGAACACTTGCATTTTTACAACCCAACACAACAAAGCTAAACAATAAATAAATGAAAAAAAGGTATAAAAGTCATACCATCTAGGCATTCGTACAACTACTCATACGTATGTCTTTGATATATAAAAGTCATCAAATTGTATTTTCCCCACATAAATAATTAAATATTATATATACTTAGCTGATGTCCGTACGAATACAATGCATACGTCAGTTAATATATAATGAAATTATTGAATTGACTATAGCTAGAGGGATACAAAACATAGTGCACTTCCCTCTTAATTATTATACTAGTATTTCATTACACTAACAAAATACTAGTATTTGGTTTCTAATTATTATTATTATTATTATTTTTTGGTTTAAATAATAGTTTGAGATGATATTTTGTGATATAAGATAAGTACTAATAGTAAATAAACATAGTTATCAATTTTAATTGTGAAATATTTATAAATCTTAATAGAATTTAAATAATATCCATCTGTTCTCGCACAATCAACGTGCTTAGTTTCTAATTTTTGACATAATATTGAAGATAATAGAATTTAATGAGTTAATTACAATACAATAGATCATGATATTACTTTTTAATTTACTATTTTTTTTTTATTTTTTTTTTAATGTTAAACATAAGTTAATAGTATAAAAAATTGGAAGTTATAATGGAGGAAATAGATAGAATTAATAATGGGTTATTATATAATGTATATGTTATTCAATTGATTTATATTATTTTATTAAAAATAGATGGACAATAAAATGTCATAATCAATAAAAGAGTATTAACAATTTTAAAAATAATGGAGAATTTAACTTGAGGGGTTCAAATGGCTGGTGTGGCATCCACAATGAAAATAAATAAATAAAAGGCTGATCATTCTGAATTTCTAATTAATTACGTGCAATTGCAATTGCAATTGCTTTAACTGACAACAATTAATTAGTGGCTAAGTAATTAATCACCACACATACAAATACAAATACAAATATATATATATATATATGAATATAATGTTCTCATTCTTAATTAATGGAAACCTGATTTGGACATAACATTATCCCTTACATTTGGGGATAAAAAATATTAAATTAAATAGATGAATATATGATGAATTAATTCTTTTTCTTTATGTAGATACCATAATATATATATATACATATATTCTCTCTTAGTTCCCAAAATATAATATATTATGATGCTTCATACACACGATCCACATGCTGACGATGTGTGCTACACATTTCTCGAATATATGCTTTAATTTGCATTCATTATATTCTGCAATGCTGATATATATATATATTTTGGATATTTTTATTATTCTATTTTTGTTATTTGTGAAATTGCCTATTAAGGGTTAGTTTCTATGAATGTCTGTCTCAGTGACTATTTAATATTTTATTTTATTTGATTCTGCTGTTGTTTTTTTTTTTTTTCATAATAATTAGAGTATTGCATATATGTGCGTGTAATATTCTTTCTTTATATTGTCGAATCGGTATAATTAAGTCAATACTTTCTTGACGTTTATCTTAGCATTTGATTTTCAATAACTAAAGATTATTGAATTATTATAACTTAATAATTAGATTAGACCAAAAAACAACTCTTCAATGTAACTTTTCTATATTTTTTTATTTGTATTTTTATGGAAATTGTGAATGAAAAAAAATAAAAATAAAAATCTTTCTTTACTTTGGCATATAAACAATATTTACTTTCTTCATGCTGTAGCAAGTTATTTTTATTTCGAGCAAACATATGTTATAGAGAGTCAGCTACTGCAATCGTAAAGCAGACCGGTGTGTGGGTTTGTCTATCCTACCAAACCCTCACGAGAGACAAAATAGATGTTTATAGAAGGTTAAAATATATCAAATGCATAGATACTCACTTCACTCCATTTTAGTAAAAAGATAATTTATGAGGGATTTTACAAACCAAAACTACAGTAGTTGTATATAGAACTGGACATACTGCAAAATAGTTGTAAGTGAGTTTGAGAGTGTGTTTTACCGAGAGAAATATTGTGAGATTCATCTTGATTCTCCTAAGTTTAAATGATTGTTTAACATTAAAATCTGCAGTTTGAATTATTGTTTAGCACTAAAATCCGCAGGAGAGTTCGTCGAAGATCAAAGTTGAAGGAGTTCTAACTGGAGAAGATGATCAGGCTATGAACAGCTCCGCTATATGGTCGTTGTCGGTACGCGCGCTTGTGACAACAAAAACCTGTTGAGGTATTTTTCAAAGTAGGACATGATAGGAGTTTGAGTTGAAGGAGTTGTGATTGTTTATTGTTCTGTAGTCAACACTAATTAGTTGAACCTCTGCTGGATTGGAATTCCCCAGATATAAACTCAATTATAATCAAATCGGGTCAACATATACCTTGTCTTATTTGTTGTTTTGATATCTGCATTTTATTGGTGAATTGACCATATTTGAAGTGTTCGAAGGTGTATTGTTGATCCATCACTTTCCAACACAAATAATGATACGTTATTTTCCATATGAAAAATGAACATAGAAAGTTCATAATCTCTGCATAAGACTATCTAAACAACCAATCAAAATGATAAAGGATTCATTTACACTGCTAAATATCTGCCTTCTAATCACTTATAGATTAATTTTAATTTTAATTTTAATTTTTAGCTAATTAATGGATAGAATATGTTTATCAAGATATAAACAAAATAACAATCAAAATAGAATTTATACCCTTGTATCTTATTCACTTTTAATAAGTTCTAATATATATAGATCATCAAATGTATAGCACATATTATAAATAAGTCAAAAAGTAATGAGTAAAGATCACTTTTTGACTTTCATTACAATTTTTGTAGCATTTGTCCCAAAATGAAACAACTATACCTCATAGGGTAACAAACTCTCTACTACATTGATTTATGAAACAAAAAAATAATTAAACAAACAAATTTCTCCCACAATTAGTATGTCCAATGAAAATTTGCTCTCTTTTTCGTATTTCAAAATCAAGAAAAAAAAAGTGCTAAATCAATAATGTATTAGAATTAATACATTCCTTAGGTAAATTTTAAGCAGAAAAGTAATATTAATCCTGAAAAATCAAAAGGAAACACATACCAAAGGAATATCAATTTCACATTATTATTATTATTATTTTAAAAAGAACCAACTAAAAACAACCATGTGAAGAATCCAAACTTATTATTATTATTATTAGACATATCCAACATAAAATCAAATAAACTGAAAACAACCTATTAACAAGCAGAAATTTGGACCAGCATGTTACTCCCAATCATGGACTACTTCTCCAAAAACTTAACACATGTTATAGCTATCATTATAGATAATCAATCTATCGAGGAATCCTGAACTATCTAATAATAATTGAGGCTAAAGTTGGGAGCTATTTGGACAGCACTCAAAATTCTATATGATGGAAATGAGTCACTGAAACAGACAAGCATGTCATTCATCAGACCAAGCATATATACTTATTTTCTTCCAAATCAACTTCTTCTTGTTTCCCCCATTATTTTCCATTTCCTAAAAGAAATAAAGTAAATAAACAAATGGGACTACACCTGTTAATTTGCTACCCACAATCTATTTATCCTCACAACATCATAACCCCCACAAATGATTTGATTTCATAGAGCATCAAAGATGTGAAGAGCAATTGTGACCAAATATTAATCAAAATAACATATATATCATCATAGCATTTATTCTCTCATCCTATAGGGTAAAGAAGTAAGCAATATTTGTACATACATTTCATAGAGTTGAATTTGATGCAATAAGGAAGCGTAAGAAGCTTATTTAGTTCAATAATTTTTCATGGTATTAATAACTGGTTACAATAGATAACGAGTAATTAAGGCTAACCTGTGCAAAGGCCTAGATAAGTTTCCTCTGCCGGAAGTATCGTCTCAGAAACAAAACTTGAAGAACAGAGACCACAATGCAGATGGTTAGGGATATGATACTACATCGTGCCACTCTGGCATTTGTTTTTTCACTTACGCCCCTCATCTCCTCTTCCCTGCGACAATAAAAGAAAAAAAAATATTTTGTGAAATCCATTCATGGAAAAAGTAAGAAAATATGTTCACAAGATGATTGGCTCTGGTTTTAACCATTGTATCAGAGAATACAGGTTCTTGTGGATAGCTTCCACCGTGTCTTCAAGCCTTCTCAGCTCAAGTTCGAGTCCCTACAGTGGATACAGGCAAAATACATAAGGTTGAGTGAAAATTGAACTATAATGTCACTGAGGGCATCAATTAGTTACCTCAATCTTCTCCTTCTTAGCAATCGAATCCCAGTCTTTTGTTGCTATTCCTATTTTCCAGTCAATACCAACAACCACCCTTTTACCAACATTATGATCGTCAGCCCCTGTAAAGCATGCCAAGTAACTCCCACTTTCGGTTGTAGTGAATGAAAACTGACCATGCGACACTTTTTCTTGATGATGGAGAGTGTTTCCAAATGGTGATGTAACCTAAGACCGACAAAAAACCATACAATCTCCTTCAAAAATGGCCCTCTCACATACCAACATGAGATGATAGCTAACTAGCTAAGTGTTCAAAATGCATTTGCACACATGCAACATTCGACAAGGTGTACTGACGACGTCAAATCATGGCCATTTACCTAAAAGTTTTGCTACTTCATTGCTAGTAAGACATGAAAGTAGTCAAGATTTAAAAGGGTCCATATAAATTTTCTTGCAGGAAAGCCAAAAATGTTACAGGAACTCTGTGCTGTGTCTTCTTTAGTGTCACCATAATTTATCTAATGCAAAATCTGCATTGGAAATCAGACTCAAAATTTACACACCTAAACCTAATACTGAGATTCATATCCAAATCTGATTCATCATATCAATCACATGAATGAAAAACAACACATAGTTTGTGCAAGAGATGAAAATTGTAAACCCTCACCTATAGGCCAAAATTTCAAATGCAGAAAAAAAGTGCATTCATCATAACATAAAACAACAAAATTGAACTCCATCAGCATAGAAGTTCAATCACAAATTACTTGAGCCGACAATTACAAAATTCAATTGGATACAAGTGATTAAATTGATCAAAACACAGCACATTATATTAAGTTCTCCCTAAATGTAACTAACAGTTCCACGGTAACAATTTCCCAATCAATACTCATCAAATCAATAGAAATTTAAACTTTAAAAAGTAGAAACAGATCCTTCACCTTAGCGGAAATTGCCGGAGCTACAGTACTGTTGGCGTCGTAATCATCGCCGATAAAGGCGTAGTAATCCGCCAAAACCACGACGTTGTCGCGCAGTTCGTTCGACACACACTTCGTCCCCGAACTCGGCAAGTCAATCCACAACCCCCGCGCCGCAGGAATCACCCCTAATGCGATCACTACCACCACAGTCCACCACAAACGCGCCTCCGCAAGCTTCATGCCGATAATCGATCGACAATTTGGTTTCAGCATCAAGTTGGAAGTTGGGAGACGGAGTTATGGCGATGAATTGTTTTACTGCAGCATGGGAATTGGTAACTACGGGACGTGGCTACCACGCGCTCTATAATTGGACCACGGACCAGAACAAGCTGCGTGAAGGCGCGTGCAGGATGCGCGTGGGCTTTGTAACGCAGTCTTCGTGGCGCCACGCAGGTTTTGTTTCCTCCGGCCAATCAGATCTCTTTGATTCGTTGACTTTTTGCCCATCTTGAACGACCATTGTATTGACTTCACGCGCCTACTCGTAGACATGATTTGGGCTTATTACGAAATTGGGCCTATAAATATTGGGCCAATTGGCCCCAAAGTTCAAAGAGAAATTATATATTTAGTTAATTAATTAAATAAATTCAAATCTATTAGAACAAGGAACAGTCATATCATCTTCTCATTAAATTAATAAATTATAAACTACGAATCGGCGACACGACACCATTTTCGGCACCATTAACACAATTTTTTTCTTTTTACATTCAAAATATCACATCAATATTCATTTATTTATATAAGTAGTGATGTTTTGAAATGGACAAAATATATATTTATAAACAAAATTAAAATAAATTAATTTATAAAATATAGAGAATTTTAAATATTTGTAGGTATCTTTGTTTATTATTAAAAGAAAGACAGGAAAAAAAATACATGTGCTCACAACCTAAAAAAATATCGAAAAAATAAACAATTGAGGGCAAATGACAACAACAGGAGAGAAAATGAACATGGATAGAAAGGCGTGGTCTGAAAGCCATGCACGTTGAAAAAAGTCGCATGCACAGCACAGTACAGCATTAATTATTTAAAGGCTTACGTCGGCTCATATCATGCATGGCGCTACCACCTTTTCATCTTTATTTTATAATATATATATATATATATCTTATCACTTTAATTAATTTTCCCAAAAGCGTGTTTCTATGATTTTCCGACTTTATTTTTAATATTTAAACATATTATATAGATTGAATAAATATTTTTATTTAAAATATTATTAACTTAACACAATTGTTACAGCAACAGATTGAGATGCCATTTTTTTTTTTTTTTTTTTTTCAAATTTGGACCAATTTTTGAATGTGACAAGGAAGAATCATTATTCTAAAGCCATCTTTGTACAAATTTTTTTGGATAGAGAGAGAAACGCGTTTTTAGGGTTTTCATGCATGACAGAGAAAAACCAGCTGGTTTATATATATACGTACACATACATATATATATATATATATATATTTATGTTACTAGTAATTAACTTTTGGTTTTAAAATTTGAAAATTGGCCAGAATTAATAATTTGAATATAGACATCAGTACTGTCAGTGTATTTAATTTATATGTAACCGATAAGCATATATATTATAAATTAATAAATATTCAGAAGAACCCCTGGAAGCTCCTGCCATGTGCATGCCCTAATTAGTCACTCGATAGATGCTGCAGTTAGGGTTATATATTAATTAATTAATTAATTAATACTATACTTTTACTTCTTCCATTGCTGTATGTATATAATTTCAATAAATAATTTGACCTTTAATTAATTACATAGTTTGAATTCATTTTAGTCAACAATAATTAATTAATTAATTAATTTGTACTATTTTCTTTTAAGCCCTTATTTGGGGTTTCTCTGACCAAGAATATATAGATACACAATTCTTGCTGGAGTTTTGAAACTTGTGTGTATATATATATATATATATATGTTTGTTGTTAGTTTGCAGGTCAGAAGCAACATATGAAGTTTCTCTAATTTAATTTTTTGTATTTATCATTTTATTTTAATAATATATCAATTAATAGAATAATAGTTTAAATATAATGTTTTTGTAAAACAAAATTATATACTTTTATTAAAAAAATAATAATAAATTGTAAAATTTGCATAAGAAAAAAACACACAATCAAATCAAACTTGACTTATAAGTGTCCAATTTACTTGTATTCTTTTTTATTTTACATTGATATATTTGTAATATTTTATATATATAAAGGCTCCATTTATATTGATATTTTTTAAACTTCTACTTCTATTTAGTAATCATTTCAAAATTTTCATATTAAATATAATTTTTTTTTTCTATTCTCAATTTTTTTTAAAAAAAATTTTAAAGAAACTCTCTTTGTCTAAAAAAGAGCCAAATAATAATAATAACAATTATTATATAATGTGAAGAGAATATTTATGAAAAATAAAAAAGTTATGTCATGTGAAGCAATTAATTAACTTGTTATATATATATATAAAATAAAGGTCAAGAAAATTCTGGAAAACATCTGTCTCCCATATACATACACTATACATACACAAATACTTAATCTATAAGTAGTCTCGTCTCCATCCACACTCAAATTCATCAAAACCTGACCAGACAAATAATCGGACATCATATTATCATCGTCCCTTCCATTGTTTCAATTTAATAATTATTTATTTCTTAGCCATGGTGAAGAACAATACAGGTCGCCGGCAAACCTGTAAGAACATAGCATCGCCGTCGCCGGCGAGGAAGTTCAAGGGCGTTCGAATGAGGAGGTGGGGATCATGGGTGTCGGAAATCAGAGCTCCCAATCAGAAGACGAGAATCTGGCTGGGCTCCTATTCCACGGCGGAGGCCGCCGCCAGGGCGTACGACGCCGCCCTGTACTGTCTGAAAGGCTCATCCGCCATTCCCAATTTTCCAATTTCTTCAAAATCAGCACCAAACCCTAATTCCCAAATCATGTCCCCTAAATTAATCCAAAGAATTGCAGCTGAAGCTGCAGCTGCTGCTGGAGATAATTGCAATGGCGATGATTCTGGTTCAGATGATTTCAAAATTGGAAACCCTAATCGTGATTTGGGGATTATTGATTCCAGCTGTTCTTCTTCGTCGTCGTCGTCCGATGGCGGCGATTATGGGTTTTCGTTGGCGCCGGCGGCGGATGAGGCGGCCGGGATCTGCGCCGCCGCGTGGTACAACTTCGACTCCCCGAAGTACAACGACAGCATGGTGTTTGATTCTTATTATAATTACAATGTGGTGGAAGATTGCGGCTGCGAAGAGAGTGATATTCGTTTGTGGAGCTTCTGCTGATTGCCGGAATCCGCCATGGCCGTCGTCTCTGTGTTTCTGTTATTTATTTCATTATTTTTTAAATTCATTGGAGGATTAATTGGTGGGGATAGTGATCTTCATTTTCTAATTATTCCTCTGTATTGTTTCTAGAAGATAGACATATAGAAATTACAAAGAATAATAGTACTAATTTTATTACATGTTTCTTTGTTCGATTTTATATTTAATGAACTAATTTTGATAATATTAAATTAGTGAGTGAAATAATATTGGTGTACTTTAATTCAAGAAAATTATTTTATTAAGTGATATAAAAAGCTTGTTGAACGGCATGTCATATAAAATCTAACCTAAACACAAAATTAAAATTAAAATTTAGTGAATTTTAATATCGATATTTACAAACCTAAGTTATTATCTATTTATATTTATATTCTTTGTTGGTCTAATTATCATTTTTTTGAGTATTTTTCCATGATAAAATTGTTTAAAAATTGTAGAAATAAAGAGTGTTTTATTTGACTTTTTTAGTCATATGATTTGTCCAAAGTTTTAAATATTTATCATGTATTGTAATAATCTATTTAATACATGATAGATGTCATGATACAATATAAATATGTATAAAATAATGGTATATGATAATAATCTACGAAATATATATATATATATATCTCAATGTACGTAATATGTTCATAATATGTACATGAACACAATATATATTAGTTTGTAGATGTAAATATACACATATGTATATATATATATATTATTAAAATAATAATTTACAAATGATGGCATATTTGCATGTGATATTAAGCATCATTTATATTTCTACAAAAAATTCTTGACGAATTTTCAGACATGTCATGTGTGCATCTTTTGTTGTTCATGGAATCCTATGGTCCTTGCACGTGGCACCCCATAATAATAATAATAATAAATAAATAAATAAATTGGGCCACGAATTAATAAAATAGTTCATAAAGAGTATTTTAGGAAAAGCCCATAGGCCCATATTTTAATTTTGTGGGTCTTTAAGGCCAGCCCATGTTTTAGCATTCTTCTAGAAGAGATTTCTAAAAGTTAAAATTTGGGCCCTTAATGGGCATTTCCTAACACTGATTTGTTCGGGCCAATTAACAAAAATCGAATAAATTAAAATCAAGGGTTAAATAATTCTATAGAAGTCAATGATAATGATGGAATAATAAAAATAAATAAAGAGGTGTATAATTAATAGAAGAGACAGAGTCAAATTTGGGTCTAATTTTAGGTGGGAAGAAATGAGGAAATTTGAATTATTCCCAACAAACTAAATAATAAATATTTCAAAATAGGGAGAAGTGTGGGGTGGGCTTAGAATAAGTCCATAATTCATAACTAGCTAATTTAATTGTGACAATGATATGTGATTATTGATTTATACTAGCTCTAAATTATCAAATATTTATTTATTGAAATAATTAATTTATAGTTAAGATTCAGTCACAGTCTTAAGATTTTGGCCTGTCTTGTGTTTAATGAAGTATGAAAGTCAATTTAGTAGTTTGAATCAATTCATTATTGTGGGCACAGGTGCAATACCAAAGTTTGAAATTTTAGTACATTATTTAATAATACAATATAATTTTGACCCAATTCAATTATCACTTTTTTTAAATATATATATATATATATATGAAATTAAATACTTATTTTCTTACCAATTACTAAATCAAATAACTGTTTTTTTAAATATTTTAAAAATATTTAAAAACTTAAAAAAAAAAAAAAACATTGGTCGAATGTGAGTCTTGGTAGTTTTGACTTTGTAACACATATATACAGAGAGATTTCTTCTAACTTTTTATTTAGTTTTTTTTTTTAATATATAATATATATGTGTGTGTGTGTGTGGTGAATATGATTTTTGTAAGGGAATTACATACCCAAAAGGGATAAATACCACCACATATAATATATTATTTAATTATTTAGTGTTTCTAGATATAATAATAACTACACTTATAAACATATCATATTAAGATAAATTAAAGTGGCCCATAACACTTATAGTTTCAATTTAATGAAAAAAAATAAAATAATAAAATCAATCAATGAATATTTTTTCAATGTTTTCTGGAAATTTGCAATCTTTATCAAGCATATGATGTTTGTTCATAACTTTTATTCTATCTTTATTTTATCATCATAATTCGATTAAATTAAATTATTAATGATATTTATTCAAGACAATAATAATAATAATAATAATAATAATAATAATAATAATAATTGTAATTTTCTTGGCGGCTTCTTCTTATGAAAGTGAAATAACACATATGGGCAATTCAAAGAAATATTAAATAAATAAATAAAGAATGCTATAAATCTTAGTTTGACATTTACAAAACAGAAGTACAGAAATCATTTTGTTGGCTAAAGAAACAATCGAAAAAAGATGTCATCACTGATGACCTCTTCAAAAGTGATCTTAGTAGACCAACTTGAAATTCATAAATAAAATAAAATAAACTTTAAATTAAATTAAATATTCCAATCGAGGACATAGGTAATGTAGGGACAGCGTTGATTGTGGGAACTACTGTCACATTTAATTTAATTTAATTTAATTTAATTTGATACACTAAATATTAAATATAACATACATATATATATATTAAACGGCCAATGATGATATGTTTAATTATTATTTCATATGGTGCTGAATACAAAAATCCAAAAAGATTTTTAAATATATATAATATCAAAAATATATTAACAATTATAATTATATATTATAAGTATGTACTGAAACTCTAAGTTGGAGATGCATTAAATTAATTTTTTTAATTAGTCACAAATATATTGGGTACCTCGGAATTAGAAATGAATTTAATTAATGTGTCTCCACATATATTGAAAAAATAAAAATAAAAATTGCCTAAATATTATATATGTACATTATATTAATTGATGCAGATTAATTATTCAACTCTTGAATTTTGAGGTCTAGATTTTATTTTTATTTTTTTAATTTTAGAAGGAAAAAAAAAAAAAAACCCATAATTGGAATATGTCGAAAATTGACTACTAAAACAGTTTGAATTGAAATAAGTGGAAAATGTATGGTCATTTTAATTAGAATGATTAAAAATTATAATTTCAAAAATATTTGAAAATCTTATCTAGAGGCATAGTGTGACTTTTGAGATCTTGATGATATATATATATATATTTATCACTTTTGCATTTTATTATTTTTTAAAACATCATAAAATTAATTAATTATTAAATAAAATATTGTTCGAACATTATAATGAGACGTGCTACACGACATACACTACACTACACACAAAAACAATACACATAATATACACTGTTGTTTAATATGCCTTTTGTCTATAGGATGTCTTATTAGCTAGGGTTTTCATCATATTATATTTTTATATATTTGATATAATATATATGTATATATATATTTCTTCCCTTAACTACAAAACATCAATTATTGATGCATGCAAAGATTTCAGCTAGAGTTGTTATCCAAATCAAATTTATATATATTTTTTTATCATTATTATTTAACTCGATCGATGTATAATTGAGTTGGGATCCTTTAATGTGATTGATTAAGTAAATAAGTTCGAACTTAAATTTTTTTTTTTTTATTACAAAAATAGTACACATATATAACATACCCTTGAATAAATTCAATTTTTATGTTAAAAGGACAAATGTAATATTAATACAATGTGTGAAAATTTAATAGAAAAGTTTGTGATAGATACCATCAATTTATGAGTTTTAATTACAATGACATTTATATACATATAGAAAAGTTCTTCACCAACTTTCCTTAATAGCAATTCTATTAATTGCATTTAGGGAAGAAAAAAAAAAAAAAAAAAAACCTTAATAAATGGTTTCTTTAATAAAAATTAATAATAATAAAAAGAGTGCCAATATGTTATATAATTCACTCACTGCCATACTTTTGAATCAGCGATCAATGGTCAAAACATGCAGAATAAATAATCCAAAAAAATTAAAAAGGTTAACTTAAATAAATAAATATATATATATATATATTAAAATATACAGTAAAATAATATTAGTGAACAGTGCTTTAGGTGTGTGCATGCATTAGTATGAGCATCATGCATGTGAGATTTGTGATCTGTATGAAATAAAATATAATTTAGCAGCTTAATTGAATCTAGGGTTTTTGGATAAAAAGCAATTCTAGTGTAAGAAAAGAACAAGACAATCTAGACAGGCTTTGAATATAAAATTAATAATTTGCCATTTTATAAGTCCTTCACTAATTACATATATAAAAACCCTTAAAAAAACATAACAAATTAAATTAGTGTGATTGCAGAGAGAGAGAGAGAGATTGTGGATGAAGCATGCAATGAACAATGCTGAAAAAGTTGGGGAAATTTTTTGTAAGAAAACCCCACCACACAACCACTGCATGTGCACTGTGTTTCTATTGCAATATTATTGAACATTTTGATCATTACCATTATCAATCTCTCTCTCTCTCTCTATATATATACATATCACCCCACTTGGGGATGAAATTGAAAAGGCATGATGATGCACTACCTGATCCTGATAAATTGAATCAATTGCATGGGATGCCATCCAGATATATAATACCTGATCCAACAATTGAGAATTCAAGATTAATAATGATATATTACCAAACTCTTTCTTGCTCATTAAAATGTCTTTGTCAAAATTACAATATTTTGATATGTATTCAACTGCCTTCAATACCCAAAAGAGGAATTTAATTTGATGTGCATGAGAAAGAGATATATAATAAAATGGGTTGAATTTGGGACATATTATGAAATTGGCAAAATGTGTATTTTCCCCAAATTTGAAAAGCATAGACAAATCTAACACACTAATTACAAAAAAGGGCAAACAAACAATAGCACCATAGGCTTCAGATCATAATCATTTTTGCTGCTTCTTGAAGCTAATTAGCATTCATTCATTCATCAGTACAATAAATAAATAAATTAAATAAAGACAAGTAAAAGAATCGATGGATCATTCATTGGTAGCAGATAAGCAAATCAAATCGAAATCAATAATTAATTAATGGAGCCAATTAAGAAAAGAAAAGAGAAGGGTTGATTTGATCTTCTCTCTATCTATTTAGCCTTTGCTGAAAATTGAATTTCTCTCAACTGATTTCATAATACATACATAGAGCTAGCTAGCAGTGTATGTACAGCTTACTTCTATCTCTGGTTTATAACCTCTCAGCTTACTCTGCTAAAATAACATGATCTTGTCGGGAGTGCCCGAGCACTCCCACAAGTCCCTTTCCCCTTTTTGTTCATTGGGGTCAGGGCTAAGTAAAAAAATTTACAATTACCAGCAATGGATGTTAGCTTAACTGTTAGTATCGCAAAATTTGCCATCAATTCGATTCTGAACAGCTTTGACAGCCGCGACTCTGGCTGCAGTGGCAGCCCTGTTGGCGGCAGCCACTGCCTTGTTCACTTGTTCATCTACCCGCGAAAGGTTGATCGCTTTTTCAGCTGTTTTCCGAGCTGCCTGAATAAGGTGAGCATTTTGGTAAGATTTGAATCAATATATATATATATATATATGTGATGTTTTGAGTTAATTACCTGCACAGCTTGAAGGACTGCATCAGAATTAGGCAGGAGGCGGGTCTTGAGGCTTCCACCGTCCCATTCGCCACATCTGGTCTCGCCATTACGGAAAGTGTACATGCCACAGCCTTGCCTGCGCCCCTCGTGCCAAGACCCTTCGTAGTAATGGCCGTTGGCGAAGTGGTAGACACCAAAACCATGGATTTTATCTCCAAAATACTCACCGGCGTATCTGTCTCCATTCCTATTTACGCCACAGAATTGCATCAGCATTGCAAAAATGACTTAATGGGCAGATAATAGTGAATTAGGTGGCAGGTAAGAGTGACTGCATACATTCAACTCCATAATTCAACACACGAAAGAGCAATTACAAAAGATTACACTTTTTGGAATCGTTTTCAAAATCCAGATATTTTACTAGTCAACAATCAACAAATCAAGAACCACACCAAATCATGAATAAAAATAGCATTTGATTGTTCAGATCTAAACTAGTTTGAAACTCTCACATAATCTGTATAATAAACCCACAGATTCAGATTCAGACTCAAGTACTAAATGATTCTCCAACAGACCAAACTCATACTCAAAATTAGCATCAAATTCTTAGAAGTTCACTAAAAATCAATTCATCACTCACCTGAAATGGTAGCATCCAAGGCCATGTTTGACTCCACATTTGAACTCTCCAATGCAACAGCTTCCATCAGCGCAGGTCTGCACTCCTATGCCATGACTTTGCCCATTACACCACTCTCCAGCATAAGTATCCCCTGTATAAAACTTGTAAACTCCATACCCATGCCTCAAGCCCTGCCTATACTGCCCTCTATATCTGCTCCCTCTAGCCCAACTCTCAATCCCATAACCATCATATCTCCCATCAATCCAATCCCCTTCATACCTTCCATTCCCAAAGTAATTGTACACTCCACTGCCATTGCACCTCCCCTTGTGAAACTCACCTTCGTAGAAATCGCCATTGCTGTAAAACTCCACACCCTCCCTTATGATCTTTTTAGCTCTGCATTCCTTCCCGGTATGGTCTTTTCTATCTGTTTTGTCTAAATTGGACTCCCCAATGAACCATTCCACAGGCTTTGAATGAGTTTTGGAGTTCAAACAAAGAAGGCCTAATTTCTTCGCGTACACATCACACACTTGCTTACACAGGTAGAAATTGCGATTCACTAACGCCTTGTTTTTGGATACGAAGAAAAGCAAAACCGCTACGAAAATTAGAACTAAAAGGAAATTCTCCGAGGTGGATACATCGTCCCTGTTGAAAAAGGCAAAGAGCGTGTACACCGAGAGCAGCAGGATTGCAATAACCGGCGCCAAACGCGACGAACGGGATCTAACCGGCTCGGGAACGCGCCGCCTATGCGGCTTCTGCTCCTCGATATCGCTTGCCGCTTCGTGATCAGGCGCGATCTCGCTGACGGAAGACAAACTATGAATCGACGAGCGAATGGTGGGCGAAGAACGGAGGAGCGACGATTGCGTCCTTGTTAGCTTCCCCTGGCTTTTCTGACCGTCCATCTCCAACACTCAGCCTCTCCAATTCCAACCAACGCAACGCTGTCTTCAATCCTTCCCCCACCCCCACCCCCCCTCCGGCTAGCACCCGCAACAGCAGCAGCACCGCCCCAAATTTCTATACCTAGAGAGCCTTATCATGTGCTCCGACGCTGGTTTCATCTCCGGCAGCGACGCTCGCGTCAACAAACCAACCAATCAACCAAGCGCCCAGGTTTGAATTGAATTCCAGAATTACGAGGACAAAAAAGCAAATGAGTGTGTGCGTCTGTGTGAGAGAGAAAGACAGAGAGAGAAAGAGAAAGAAGGAAAGGAGAGAGAGAAACAGTTTCAGAATTGTTGAGAGTGGAGCGAGTTTGTTGTGGGGAAGAGAACTGCTCTGCAATTTATATGTTGGAAAAGCCCACCGTCTCGGGACCACCTCCACTTCATCTCCACCGTCCATCTCTCATCCCACGATCCACACCGCTCCGCTCTTCTCGTCCGTCGGATGCGGCCGTTGACGGAAAAGTACGGTCGTCCGATCTGACAAATATCTCCCCTGTTTCAGAAACCGTTATTTTGAACAGAAACCACATCAATAAATAACAAATCAAAATTTAATTATATTTACCACTAATAAAATAAAAATAATAAAAAAAAAAAACAGATTTTAGTAGTACCCTTAATATAAAATAATTAAGACCAATTTATTGCCCACACCCCAGCTAAGAAAAGAGATTATCAGCCCTAAAGCATTTATAAAATAGGTCTTCTCATTTCTGCCTACATTCTTTAATGTAACGCTCTTTTCCACAATTAGCAGCACAATAAATAAATTACAAATAAAACCGCCCATCGCCAATGTAATTTCACTGCCCATTAATTTATTAAATTGATAGAAAAATAATATGGGCTCAGGCAAAGTCCACTGGGAGCCCAATTTTAATATAAGCATTTTTATAAATGGGCCGGCCCAATAACACAGAAGAATAAACCTCTCTTCACTTCTTCAACAGCTGCTTCTTCATCCTTTCAACTGCACTTCTCAGAGTCCCTTCATCTTTACAAAATGTAAACCTCACAAGATTCTTACCATCTTCAGGGTTCAAATAGAACACGCTCGTCGGGATCGCCACGACCCCGACTTCCTTGATCAAATACTCGCAGAAGGCGACATCGTTTGGCTGCCCGAAAGGGGTGTGATCGACAACCACGAAGTAAGTCCCGCTTGACGGAAACACTGTGAATCCCACAGACTTCAAACCCTCCACCAGTATACTCTTCTTCGCGGCATAATCCTTTCTAAGCTCGTCGTAGTAAGAATCTGGCGCATTAAGAGCTGTTGCAGCTGCATACTGCATTGGAGTGGATGTGGCGAAGGTGAGGAATGAGTGCGCCTGCCTGACACCCCATGTCAAGTGTGGGGGAGCTATAGCCCACCCGATCTTCCACCCCGTCAGGGAGAATGTCTTCCCGAGAGAATTCATGGTCACTGTCCGATCATACATGCCGGGGAGTGAAGCAATGGAGATGTGATCCATTTCAAAAGATAATTTGTCATAGACTTCGTCAGAGAATACCAGTACGTCGTGCTTGATGCATAGCTCCGCTATGGCTTCAAGTTCTTCCCGGGTGAACATCTTCCCCGTTGGATTGTGTGGAGTGTTCATTAGGATCGCCCGCGTGTTGTCAGAGACAATTGGTTTCAGTTCATCTATGGGAATGGCGAAATCTGGGGGGCGCAATGTGACAGACCTTATTTTAGCCCCGGCCATGGAAAGTGTAGCTTCGTAGGAGTCGTAGAATGGGGCGAAGACAACTACTTCGTCACCCGGGTTTATTAGCCCTAACATTGTTGCAGCAATTGCTTCAGTGCAGCCAGAAGTGACTGTGACTTCCTTTTCGGGATCAACCACAAGACCAGTGTCTTTCTTGAATCGATCAGCCACAGCTGTGTTCAGGTCAGGAACTCCGTATCCACGAGCATACTGATTTTTACCTTCTTTGATGCCTTTGATCGCAGCTTCTTTGACGAACTCTGGTCCATCGAAGTTCGGAAAGCCCTGGCCGAGGTTAATTGCTCCATGCTTGATAGCAAGGCTGCTCATTTGTGTGAATATTGTAGTTTTGAACTTCTCCAACCTCTTTGCAACCTGAAAATGGATGTTGAACTTTTAATCGATAGCTCAAAAACAGCAGTCTCTAATCAATCAATATAGAGAACGTTCAAGATCAATGGAGATAGTTTGCAATAGATCCAGCAATGAGTACATGTTCTTGCATAAATAATTCATAGTAGAAAAGCTGTTTGGTGTAATTTCAGATGCGTTAGTTGAATCCTCCCAAAATTAAACTTCCCAACTAATGGATTCGAAAATGAAGACTCCTCCAATTATCCCGAACGTTAAAACAGTTACACAAATCAATCGGTTTCGATCTCGTTACCACCAAAACACCATTCCAACGATTTTTGTTTTTCATCAATACAACAGAATCCAAAGTTTAAAAAAAAGGAAGATGAAATGTAAAATTAATTCAGCTGAATCCAGTAAAAACCACAGGGCATACCTGAACAGGTGGAGGAGCGGAGCTATTCTGAGATGCCTCGTCCTTAGCCGGAACAGACTGACGCTGAGTCTCCAAGGCGCTGGACGCAGGAGATGAGGCCATGGTCGATGAAAACCTAGTGCTGATTCCAGTAACACTGCCAAATCTTCCGTAGCTACTTTCGGAAATGGCTCGAATGAATCTCAGGGATTTGGGGACGTAAGTTGGAGCGAGCGTTTCAGTTGATGGCGATGACGTCCAGGTGCATTGGGCATTAATGGTGGGCCGGAGCATAATTTGTCGAAATTAGGGCACGAGTCTATTTGGATGGGAATTGATTTGGGGACGAAAGTAGGTCGGGGAATGTGGAATCTTGAGAATGGTGTGAACGGAAATTGACATACGATTTGGCCGTTGATTTTGTTAAGTTTGATCCGACGGTTGAAATATGTTCTTGACTAATTGGGCCGCCCATTGCTCCGTAATTATGATGACTTTAATTGGCGAAAATTACTGTACAGTTACTGTACACAGTAATTTCTTACCAAACCCCTTCTGCCGACCTAAGCTGCATGCTGCATTTTAACCATTTCTTTCTTTTATAATTATTTTAATTGTAGGTAAACTATTTATTCATTTTAATTTTAATATATAATTATTTTTATTTAATATAATTTTAATTAATTACTAATTACACAATACATAAAATTCTGTGCTTAAATTAAAAAAAAACATTTTAACTAGGACACAGAGAATATTTGATTATTATATAATTTTAATTTAATAAAATATATACAATATATATGTCAATCTTATAAATAATACTCCCATTATTTATGAAAATAAGACTATTGTTTTGGAACAGACAAAACTGGTAAACAAAACTATTGTATGGAGACGAAAGGAGTATAATTTTAAATACTAGAATTTATCAAAAATACATGCCCGGGTTTGTTCACTTTTAACATTTTTTGCTGCAATGATTCCTTATGAATATTATTAGAAAAAATAAAATTTACACACAAAATAAATAATTCTAACATATAATATTAACTTTTTATAATACCAACACAAACACAAATTTTCATACATAACGTAGAAAATCCATCCACTAAAAAACACAGTGAACCAACCTATAGTTAATATTCTAATATATATATATAACAAATCCACAAACCAAAAAACATCCAATTGTCACAAAGTTGTTCAAACGATAATAAATTTCATTAATTTCAGAAACCGTAAGACATCATATTGGTGCATTCGGTCGTGCTATCATCCTCGTTATAAAACCATATAATCTAATATAAATTCATCTTAATGTTCATTCAAAACCATTTTATCTATCATCAAGCTCCAAACCTATTTTTCATATTAAAAATTCACAATCCAGAAGAAAGTAAACTCTTATCATCAAAGCTACAAATGCATCTTAAAATTAAAAGGAACCTTGGATGGCTTCTTCCACAGCTGCAACCGCGGTAACTCTCCTGTCAACGACTTTGTCAAGCTCCTGAACCTGCTCGGACAAAGAGGCTGCTCGGGAATTGGCTGAGTCGACCAATTTGTTCGCAGTTTCCAGCGCTGAACAAAGCTGGGGTACATTGCATCATCAAAAGCATCATCAGTTTAATCTGCTGTCCAATTCAGAGATGATTAGTGAAGATATTCTCTATGTTCAACAACTCAACTGATCCTCAAAGCTCATGAACAATAACAAAAACACAATAGCCAAAAAAGAGCAAATACATATATACATCAACTTACTTTAAGTGTAAGAGCTGTCCAACAGGGATCTGCGCCGTCGAGTGCCCTTTTCAGTTCATCAAAGTTTTGCTAAAACATGCAAGCAGCAATAAGTGTAATGAATTGGAATACAAAACAGAATGAGAAATTAGACACAGAGACAACAAATTCAGTAGATAACTGAGCCACAGAATTAACATTGATGAATTTCATTAGTGAAAGAGAATTCAAAACTAGGCAGTTGTTTCCAAAGATCATCGATCACAATCTAATGATGTCTCCCAAAGATTGAACAAAGATTGAACAAGAAACACAACAAATTCAATCATCAAAGTCTGAAACAATAAACTGTCTTCACCAAGCAGGTAAATTGAATCGACCAATTCAGCATTTCACTCAGAACCCTAGATCGAAAACTAACATTCAAAATCCAGAATAAAATCCTACAAACAGAATATTCAGCAATCAATTATCGATCAGCGTCGGGAAAATCCATTGTTTAAGATAAGTTACCTGGAATAGCCGGGGCAATTCACTCGCCGGCAAATCGGAAACTCCAGCAGCTCCTGGAGGCAGCCCGCGATCATCACCCACACCATTATTGTCTTCTCCGACGTCGCTTAGCAAATCGCTGATGCACAGCAACGGCCCCCCAACTCCCCTCATCATCTTTACCGGGCTAAGTATTCAAAAATCGAAATTGTACACCGTATCCGCCATATACTCGTATCTTTCTTCTTCAGCGTCCGTCGTCTTCGCAGCAGATACAGCGCTTTTTAAAGTCGCATAACCAAAGCCAACGCTTTTCCCTCAATTATTACAAACCCACAAATAAAATTAAAAACCCACTTTAAATTACCATCTGGTCCACTCCTGTTGATCGATTTTGCAAGTCTACACGATGCAATACATATTCCAATTCTTGATGCTTAAAAGGAAGATATACTAACAAAGATCTCTCATGCAATTCGTCTGAATGCAGGGAATGAGACAGACAGCATTTGCAGCCTCCCACATTCCCAATCTCTACGTGCATCAACCCATACTTTAAATTTCAAGGGGCTGTTCTTTCCATGCTTAAACAACAATTTCAACAGAATCAACCAAATTATGTAATAATTCGGCTCACTACTTCCTCTCCTTTTGTCCATAATTCCGAGATTCTTGCCGTCAATGCTCGACAAGGGACCATGATTCTTCTGGATTTTGTACGAGGAATACACCTTCTCAGCAGATACATTTCCAAACAACACTTCGGCAGCATTGTTGTCGACCAATACTGGGACATATTTCATGTCATCCCACACGTATAGCTACACAGAATATATAATCAAACAACTTAAAGTCGAAGGTGAGATGGATAAAACTTATGTAGAGAGTAATTTTTTTACCAAGAAGGGCCGGTATATGGATCCAACTGCGTGGAGGCGGTTTGAGCTTTTCTCACAGTACAAAGGGATTGAGTTTTTCTCCATGCTAGACCTGCAAGGATAAGGATTGTTGTCGAACAAGCTTTAGGAATCAACAAGGTAAAGCAGGACAAGACTGAATTCTTATCCCTACCCAAGTCCAGCATTCACAGGAGTGCCACATATCCGACAACCGGTGGTGATGAAATCATCAATCAGACTATTCCCACCTTGCATATGTAGCCTCCTGCTGATAAACATTCTTTCATTCTCAGCCTCCCGAAGATTCGTCCAAGTGATTGGTAGAAAGATTTCACCAATGGAAGCATGAAAGGTTGCCTTGCAAGAGTTCCTACATTCGCTTACATCGGACAGTGAGGAGCAATCTTGAGTAAGAATCTCCTCAGGCATTCTCCAATTAACTTGTACTTGGCTCATGTGCTGAGGGAAATGTATTAAATCAGTTGCAACAAATATTGTACACAAAGATAATAACTATTGGCAATGGCAAGTAGTCTTCATACAATAGAAAATGTGATGGAAAGCTTACTTCATAGTAATTCAATACACTGCCACAGTGAGCAAGTCTAGCTCGATTCAACCATCCCACAACTTTCTGAAGCTTCTCCCTTGCTGCAGTCCCCAAGCGACACTTCCCAATAGAGTCATCTAGACCTAAATAGGAAGTAAAACTGAAATGAGGCTCCAACCGTAGCTATAAGTCATATGTTGTGGGAATTCAAAGATTATCAGGATGAACTTAGCCCTTAAGAATAAAGAATTGAAAGCTCAACCAATAAAGTTTGCACAACATTAAATTGATAATGAAAACAAATGAAACAGTAAAGGAAAACAAACTCACAGGGGTCTTTGTGATTTCAAACTTATTTTGCATTATACAATCTACATCAAAATATTTTACCCCATTTAAAATATCAAATCCAATAGCTATTTTCAATTCAAAATGTAGATGCAAAATCTATTTTCAATAAAAATGTCGAAAACTTATTTTTCTTCCAAAAAGTTTCAACTCCCAAATCCAAATACAACCAAACACACCCAACTGGGAAGAGGCCAAGACTCAATAGTGGATTTCACTAGATGAAGAAGGAAAAACAATACAGAAATAACAATAAGCTGTTCTTTCTCACACTTTTACTATCTCAAAACTCCAGAACGTCCAATAAGAATAAAATCATAAAATATGTGGCGTTTGTGAACTGCATCATTCAATTTGAGTGTTGGTGGAGGGACAGAGAGGTTACCCTTGGAGGAAACAAAGTCATTTGGATGAAGTAAACATTGAAAAGATGAACAATGGAGAGCCCTGGCCTCAACCACATCTCCAAATCTCGAAATCTTAAGATCTGCTTATGATGATAAACCATTTGTGTGAGAACAACCCACGGAGAAATAGCAGAAGAACACTCACAATGCTTTGATAATGATCATTATAGCAACAAAGATAGTAATTGAGAAACACGCACAGACACACATCAACAAAAGATACAAGCAGCATACTCTGGAGGAGAAAAACATGGCCGGCCAAAACTTGGGTACTCATTTGCTTCTCCCAAATGGTCACCGGAAAGTACGACCGCGTTTCATCCCCCACCATAATGTCCATTCTCACAACCTCTCCTCCATTTTTGAATATTTTATACTGCACCAATCATTTAAGTAGCTTTGAACAAATGAACCATCACTGACCGCGAGTAATCGACTGATTAGATTCAATAATTTGAAGGCAGGGAGAAAATTGACCAAAAACCTGTACGGGAGTGGATCTATGGACGAAGACGAGAAGCTGCACGTAATCTCCAATGTGAGAAGATGCTCTGCAGAGATCAATTAGAGGTCCGTACCATCCGATCGTTGCCGCCATAGTTCCGGAGCTTCGACCGCGGACCGACTTCAAAATTAGGGCTTTGGCGCGTTCGTGTAAATATTTAAACAACAAATATACCATTTCCGTAGCACCTAAACTGTTCGTATTTTTATTTCAGGTTCTATTTTATTAAATAAATTATTAGTATATATTTAGTTATATTTTAAATTATATAATTTATAATTGTAAAAAATTAATTATTTTATGTAATTATTTTTATTCACAAAACTAAGCCTTTTTCAAAATCAAGTGTTTTTTTTAAAAAAAAAAAATTCTTTAAAATTTTTGATAATTTTTTATAAAATTAAACTATTTTCTTTTTTCTTAAAACAAACAAAATTTATGTTGGAGTGCAAACTCAGTCCTACTTTTGGAAAGTTGGACACCTTATAAGTTCCAAATGAATTTTTATTTAAACTTAAAAAAACAAATTTATGCTGAACTAGTATTGAGTTGGTCATCCCAGCAATTTAACATATATTATTTTATTTCCTCGATTTCATTTTGATACATAAGACATCAAATCAATGAAATTCAAAATATAGTAACAATCAATCAATAATTATCATCAACACGAAAATCAACTTGAAATTAAAGACATTTAGAGCCACCCTCCTTAGTCTTCCGGTCCCGGTAACACGGGCAAGTGTCTCTGCCCCCGAAAGTCTCCAGCGGCACTCAATGGCATTTGTTACAACACATATTGCATAACTCTTAGCAAGTTTGGTATTCCCGAGCCTTCAACCATCGACGGGTTCAATTTTCCGGGCAGAATTTGCCTCAATCTTGTGCTGCCGCCGGCATCACTGCCAATCTAAGACACATTACCACGAACGACGTCTTCATCATATTCTGTTTAATTCCTCGTACTATATATATATATATATATATATTTATAGAATCCTCGTACTATATTTGTATGTATGAATATTATATGTATTTGTGGTGTAGTGTTCGTATATTTATAGATAAATAATACGTTTATATCTCATATGTTGTCTTTAATTTTAGATGGGAGTATTGTTTCAAAATATTTGTAATGTTATTTGTGTATATATCATTTTTGTAATTTTATTTAGTTATATATAATCGGCTATTGTATTATAATAATAAGTTTGATAACATATCAAATATATACAAGAAATACATTATATATTAAACAATATAAATCTTTTAGAGTAAATTGTTTATTTACTCTCACAGTTAATACATTATCATTTTAAAATTTTAAATAAATTCTATATGAAAATGATTCTCCAACTAAATTTCTTTCATACAAATGGTCATCTGTCACGGGATTCGCCACGCTGGCTAACTAATGCTGAGTTGACGTTAACATGTCAGCTGCATCAACAAATATGATGACAGAAGACCATTTGTGTGAAAAGAGCAAAGTCGGAGGATCATTTCTATATAAGATCCATTTAGACACATAAAGAGATTATCTACGCGACTAAAAAATAATTCATTATAGTTCTGTAAAGGATGGTTTAATGATGTGGAGATGAGCTTGTGACCGTAAGATCATGAATTCACACTCCCATGCTTCCCGGTCAAATAGTTTGACTTGCTTTGTCGGTCCTAATTAATTTACAGGCTATATTAGATTCGACTAGGTTTATAATATGTCTTTTAAATTAACATTATATACAAATTAATATTATGTTATTGTTTTTAACTTTAAAATCTTATGGAATAATAAATATTTATTTATTTATATGATAAGTTTATTATTAAGCCACAATAATAAGTATGTAATTAATATCAACAGTTGGATATATATTAAAAATATAAAAATTATTCAAAATAATGTATTTTTTATTATTCAATAATAGATTTTTTATTTGTTCATTTTAGTCGTTTCAAATCAAAATTTCTTTTTTTTTTTTAAAGTAAAAATAGCATCAAATTAATTAAATATCAAAATACTTTTATTTTTACTTTTCACACTATTTTTCAAAAATAAAATAGAGATTATATTATTTTATTACACTACATATTTATAAAAAGATAAACGAAATATGCAGGTTAAAGATGTCATAAAACATAATAATCAATCAGTTATTTTCATTAACTCAAAAACCGATTCAGAACTATGGACATTTAGGGCCGCCCTCCTCAGTCTTCCAATCCCTATAACACGGGCAAGAATCTTTGTTCCCGTAAGTCCCCGGCGGGACACAGTGGCACTTAGCACAACACTTATTACACAATTCTAGGCAAGTTTGGTGCTCCCGTGCTAACGAGCATCGACTGTCGCAATTCTCCGAGCAAAATTGGCCCCAATCTTCTTCCGCCGCCGCCAGCACTACCACCAAAAGCGCCACCAATCCGAGACACATTATGACAACCGACGTCTTCATCGTACTCTGTTTATTTCTTCGTACTATATACGTATGTATGAATCTTGTATGTATTGGCGTGTAGTGTTTGTATATTTATAGAGAAATAATATCTTCATCCAAAATTTGCATTTAGTTCTAATTTGGAATTTTCTTAAAAGAAATAATTGTAGTTTTATTTATTTATATATGAATTTTCTTTTGTTACCTTTATAAGTGTATAGTTTACCAAATTATTTAAAAAAACCCATCATAATAGAAGTGTTTACTCCTGAGGTTTTAGTTTTGGGTTTTGATTTTAAATAGTAAAATTTTGAATTAAAATAATTGTTTGATGTGATATAAATATGTGTTGATGTGATGTTTTGAATGTAAAATTAAATTTTGGTGTAATAAAATAAATAAAAATTAGGCATTTGATTTGATATTTTTGAACAGAATAGTAAAATCAAGTGTAAAATCTGACAAGTAACACACTTAAAATAAAAAATTTCTTTAAAAATTTTAGAGAACATTTATTTTATTTTTTATATAGCAATAATAATCATTGTGGGCTATATATATAATGTTAGCAAGTGCATTTATGCTATGACTTAATTCTAATTTATTGATTTTGTCACCATATATATAGTTTATATATAAAGAATATCGCATTAATTAAATTCATTTTTAAGATTTAACCGTAGCTTTTTCATTTTTTTATTTTTTATTTTATTTTTTCTAAAAATATCATATTCAATATTATACCACTATCATGGCCTTAAAAGAATTTTAAGTGACTTTTTTTTTTTGAATTTTTAAATACATAGTATTTTACTATAATATTTTTATAAAAATAATATACTATATTTTTATTGACATTTTTTATTTAAATCAGACACAAAAGGCAATTTTCACAACCAAATAAACCTAATAATATTATTACCATAAGTAATAATATCATTGTATAAATATTTCTATTATTATTATTATTACACAAATAATACTATTTTTTATATTTAAATTAAAATACTTTTGCCATAACAAAAAAAAAAATAATAATAATAAAATAAAATCGTCTAACCAATATTGTATACCCACTAATAATATAATATTAAATATCCCTTAAATCTAGGGCTAAAAAATTATAAAACCCACTTGTCATATAGAGTATAAGATATTCTGTTTTGACATTGAGATTTAATAATCTAAAAATAATTAATTAAACAAAATTTATTTCCTTGCAAAACTTAAACATCGCTTTCTCCCGCCCAACCCAAACCTCTCTTTTTCTCTCTCTCTCTCTCTCTATATATATATTCTACATATTTTTCTTGAAGTTTTTGTATAGCTTTGATCAATATATATATAAATATATACAAAGCATAACACAATATATCATGGATGCTCCTCCAAATTCTTTGACAAATCGATCGTCGTCGTTGATCGAAACCGACGGATTCAACATCGCCGTAGTCATGCAACAATTGGATCGCCAGCTCCCTCTTCTCCGGAATGCGAATGTAGCATCCGAAATAAATATAGTGGCCTATCTTGGCGGCCACAATGATGTTGGTTTGTCCGATGAAACTATAAAGTTATATGTAAATACAAGAGGTTTCTTGCCGGAAATCGAGAATGAACAAGTCCAAATATGCGTTGTGTGTCGAGATGTTCTTTGGAAAAAAGACGAGACTTTGGAGATTGGAGAGCTTGGCTGCGGACACGCGTACCATGTCGATTGCATAATACGATGGCTCATACTCAATAATCGTTGCCCACTCTGCAGAGCCTCGTGTAGCGTTGAAACATCTGAAGGTATTGAAAATTTAAATTTGTAACTTTAATGTATAATTATATATATATATTTTTTTGCTGCTGTTATTGGTATTAGATAAACTTTCAATCGAACCTAATAATCTACAAATTAGGTACGATAAAATAAGTCAAATTAGGCAAACTATGTGTGGCATGACATTAATATCTTTTTGGCGGTCGTTGAGTGCGTATTGGGTAAACTTTCAGCCGAACCTAGTAATCTACAAATTAGGTTGATAAAACAAGTCGCACTAGGCAAAGTATGTGTGGCATGACATTAATATTTTTCTGGCAGCAGCCTTTGAGTGTTTAACTTTAGGGTAAGTATTGTGGATTGGATTTGTTTGTATAGTTTAGATTAGCTAATTATTCCTATTAATTTGGAATATGATAAATTTGGATTATAGTTACTTGCTCTTATTTATTTTAAAACCACAAATCAAACAAGATTAAAAATTGTAATCTCAAATAAATATGGATAAAATATATTCCCTCAGTCCCAATACAATAGTCTTGTGTATCATTTTTGTCCGTCTCAAAACAATAGTATCGTTTTCATAAATAATCATATAATCATATCACTGTGAAACTATTTTACTTTTTTATTATTATTACACAATTGTCACTGTTTTTTACACTAATACATTTACAAGGGCAAAAAATCTTTTACCAGTACCTTTTATCTACTACAAATATAATATCAATATTTCTTCAATCTAGTGTTAAACGCAACACAAACTATAATTTTGAGATGAAGAGAGTAGTATAATACTCTTTTTTGTTTTAATAATAATAATGTACAAAATACTTTATTTTATTAAATTAAAAGTATGCATATCCCAAATTTCATACAAATAAAAATGATAAAAATATATTAAATAGTATTTTTTAATAAAATAAATAAATAAATAATTTACCAATTTAATAGTTTTTTAGACTAGCTACTACATATTTTTTTTAAAAAAAAACAAATTAAAATATTTATTTATTCTATTCAAAGATATTTTATTTATTATTATTATTTTTGTATAAAATGTGTATTATTAAATGTGTTACAATGAAAGATTAATTTTAGATAAATAAAATATTTTGTGCATATTTTAATTTATAAAATAATATTTTCACGTAATAAATAAAACACAACTAGTATCGTGAATATAACCTCCATATATAGATCCTAATAAATGAATCAATAGAACAAAATCAAATAATAATCACCAACTAATAAATAAAAAATAAATCCAAAATCTCGACTCCTTAATAATTTCTAAGGGCATTTAGGGCCGCCCTTCGAGTTCTTGAAATCCCGATAACAAGGGCAAGCATCCTTATTCCCGAAGGTCCCCGGCGGCACGCAATGACACTTGTCGCAACAGATCCCGCAATACTGAAGGCACCGCTCCCGATATCCGGCATTGCTGCATCGCCGATCACAATTCTCGACACAATATTTCGACCAATCCATCACCGGCGGTTGCGCCGGAGCCATAGTCATAGCCTCCCACTCGTCAAACTCATCCACTGCCGCCGCCGCCGTGAGGAGGAGACACACCACTGCCGCCGCCGCCGCCGCTGCCTGTTTATGCATCTTCTATTATATGTATAGGTGTGTCTTTATATTGTATAGGTGTGTATATATATATATATATATATATAGTGTGTAAGGTTTTGGGCACGATCATATAATGGGTAACAACGTTATTGTTACAACTGTATGTGAGTTGTTACACATTAATTAGGATGTGTTGGATATGAGCGTGATGAGTAATTTTGAATTTTTAAAAAATTAGTAAAACAAAATATATATTGTCCAAACGTCCAGTTCGACCGCAACACAAAAAAATTGTATTTGGGTCTAAAAAATATGTCTGATGATTTTCAGACGAATATCCTCCGATGAAGCGAAATCGCTTACCATAATTTTCAGACAGTGTCTGTCCCGACACGCTAATGAATTGGGCTGTGTCCAAACTCATGAAGATCAGAGTGTGCCCGGCCCAATTTTTTAAATTAATATTTAAATTTTAAAAAAATTATATATATATATACATACATATTAATATTTTAAATAAATATCACAATTACAATATAGTTTAATGGTAAATACCTTAGTAAAATAATAATAATATTGATTTGAGTTTGAGTTTGAAGTAAAAATAATAATAATAATAATAAAAAAATTAGCATTTTTTTTTTTAAGAAAAATAAAAACTCAGAAATTTGGATCAACAAGTTGAATATAAGATTAAAATCAAATCAACATCACAACAGATGAATTAAATTTGTATCTTATCTAAAAATAAAATAAAAAATGATAAAAAGTGTTTCATTAGTGTTGCATTTCTAACGGTTCGAGCTTTTAGGTAAAATAATCATTCTGCATAATTAATATTATTCAGTCTTGTATATTACAAAGTGCATTGAGATGACATTTAAAAATAAATAAAAAATTACGGACACTTATGCCCACCCTTCGATGTCTTTAGATCTCGATAGCACGGACAGGTATTCCAATTATCGTAAGTCCCGGGTGGCACACAATGGCACTTGTCACAGCATAGGCCGCAATATTCTAAGCATCGTTCGTGCTTTCTTGCTTTGGCGCACCGCCGGTTGCAATTTTCCGAGCAATATTTGGCCCAATTCCCGGCCACCGGAGGTGGTGCCAGTGGCGGCATTGCAATAATCTCCGCCATAAGGAGGAGGAGCGCCGCCAGTAATACTCTGTGATGCATCGCCGACGATTTCTTCTTTTTATTTTATTTTATTTTATTTTTATATATGTGAATGAATTAAGGAAAGGTATGTATATATATATATGTATGTATATGTATTTGTTGGAACAAAGTTGGGAGTTAATTAAATTTGGTTGTGCGTGTACGTATGCCAATTCATGAAAATTTTGCCTCATGGATTGTTTGTTCCTTAATTTGATTGGTGTTTTCTAATATATATTTGGAAAAATTAATATTTTCATTCGAAACAATTAATGTATTTGGTCAATGATACGTATCTAAGAAAATATAATTTAATAAATTGATGATCTTACATTATGATATTATTTTTCTTTCCTCTGTCAACTCATATATTCATTTTACTATTTTTGACAAAGGGGTATAGAATCAAGTTCCTTTTCTTTTAAAGTATGTATTTTTTATTATATTAAAAATAACTATTACTTAAAATAGGAAACAAATAAAAAAGAAATAAAAAAATATTATTGAAAAAATAATTTAAAAAAAAAAGAGAAATATTGTTTGAAAAACTGTTTATCCTTAGATTAAGGGTATATATATATATTTTTTCAAATTTTATTATTTGAACTTTACAATTTTTTTAAAATATATATATATATATTTTTCTCTCACATCCAATCAAATATTATTTTCGTACCATAGAAAAACATCCCTAAAAAACAGGCAACAAAAATAATTTATACATATTGATAAAACCGCATATTTATTTTTGTTTTCACTTTGATATATAAAAGTAAAAGAAAATGTAACTTATATAAATTTATCTAACAAAATTAAAAATTACATAAATTTAAAATCTGTGTATAGTCACTAACGCATAAAAAAGACGAAAAAATAGTTTCCCAACTATGATAGTCACTCAAATATAAAAACTGTAAAAAAAAATAAAATAAAGTTTGAGAATGCAGGATAGATAGAATAATAAAAAAATATAGTAGTCTTTATGCAGGTTGTTGGTCAGTTACTCGTCGATTTTGGTCACCATGAATTGTGTGGCAGAACAAACCCTGCCACGTGTACGCTCGTTCTTGCCTTGAACGCCACAAATAGTTAAATAAAGCACTTTCGCCATTCTACAGTTTTTCACAACAATATTAAAAAATTAAAAAAATAAATAAATATATATATATAAAACAGAAATAGGATGAATTCCGTAGCAGCAATGGCAGCCTCCGACCTCCCGGAACTCCCGCCGGAATTCATCAGGCCGGAAAACGAGCAGCCGCGCTACACCACATTCAAGGGCGGCGCCGCCGAGGTTCCGGTCATCGACATGGCGGCGACGACCAACGCCGATCTCGTAAAAGCCGTTCACGACGCCGCCGCCGCCTGGGGAATCTTCCAGGTCCTCATTATATATTTACCTATATTTATTATTTATTTATTATTATTTTAGAAATTCTGTTAAAATATAATAAAAACAGGTGGTTAACCACGGAATTCCGGCCGTCGCAATCTCCGATCTGCAGCGCGTCGGCCGGGAATTCTTCAACCTGCCGGCGGAGGAGAAGAAAGCCTATGCGAAGGATCCGAATAGCAAGAGCCTCGACGGGTACGGGTCCCGCCTGCGAAACGGGTGGGTCGACCACCTCTTCAACAAGATCTGGCCGCCGGCGGTGGTCGACCACCGCTTCTGGCCGAAAACTCCGTCGGACTACCGGGAAGTGACGGAGGCGTACGGGAAGCAGCTGCATGTGGTGGAGAGCAAGTTGCTGGCGCTCCTCTCGGCGGGGCTCGGCCTGCCGGACGGCGACCTGAAGGCGGCGGTCGGCGGCGAGGACCTCGTGTACAATCTTAAGATCAATTACTATCCGCCGTGTCCTCAGCCGGACCTGGTCCTCGGGGTCCCGGCCCACACCGATCTCTCCGCCCTTACAATTCTCGTCCCCAACGAGGTCCAGGGCCTCCAGGTCCATAAAGAGGATTACTGGTACGACGTGGCCTACGTTCCCGATGCCTTGATCATCCACATCGGTGATCAAATTGAGGTATTATTAATTAATCTGTATAATCTTATTTATTTTTATTATATATTTAATTTTGATATAATTAATGTTAATGAACTAATTGTGTTAAAATTTAATTAGGCCCTTTAGACATTAACTTTTGAAATTTCGAAAAATTTTGCTTTGTGATAAAGTGTATATATATATATTAGATTACTATAAATGAATATCATCAAAATTTTCAAAATTATTTGTGTAAATAAAGCTTTAACATTTATGCCTTAATAATAGTAACCATAAATACAATTTTTTACCTGATTTTACTATTTTAATTTTTTTTTTCTTCAAAAGATTCATATCAAACACTCATTTTTTTATTTATTATTTTACCTAAAATGTAATTTTATATTCAAAATTCACATCAAACAATTATTTCAATTCAAAATTTTACTATTCAAAATCAAAACAAAATATAAAAATTTTACAAGTAAACACACCAGATCATGATTATTCAATTATTTAAAATAATAAGTAATATATATTCTATATTTGGTGAATATTTTTAGCTATTCAAAATTTGATCGTTTAACTGATATGTTAACTTTCGATCAGATAGTGAGCAACGGTGAGTACAAAGCAGTTTTGCATAGGTCAGTTGTGAATAGCGAAAAGACAAGAATATCGTGGCCGGTGTTCATGGAGCCGCCGCCGGAGCTCGAAGTGGGCCCACACCCGAAGCTCGTCGGCAACGACAATCCGGCCAAGTATAAGACCAAGAAATTTGAGGACTATGCTTATTGCAAGCTCAACAAAATTCCCCAGTAGATCTTTAATTAATTGCTTTCTCTATTATAAACCCAATTAATTAGTTATGGTTAATATCGAATTATTGTTGATTTTAAATCAATATATTTTGTGTCATTAATGTATTAATCCATCATAATTTGTAGATGTAATAGTTGTTTTTGGCGAACTGGACCAATGAATACACCCAAATATTACAAAAAAATGTATCGATTACACTGTAGTATTTTTCTATCGAGAAAGAGAGTGTCTAATTTTAGAAAATCGTATAAAATCCAATCAAAATATGCTTTAAAAACAGTAATTCAATGATTTAAATAACCGAAATAGCTTAAGATAATGTATACAAGTTATGAAATCGAATTTCAAGAAAAAAAAAAAAAAGAATTATATGAAAACTTACTTCAAAATCACCTCAAACTTGAGTAGGAGGGGATGAGTTGCGGCTAGGGTTTTACACGGATATTTGGAGGATGAAATGAAGGTAAAATATAAATGAAAAAGTGAAATTTTATATTCAAAAGTCGAGTTAAAATCGCTATGATATTTTTAAAAAATATTTTGTGTACACAACAGACATTTGACTGCTATTTTTTTTCATAACTCTTTCGTTTGAATTTGGATTACTTAATATATCAAAATGCGCTTAAATAAACACATCTTTTTAGTTTTTGTATTGAGATAATTTTCATTTACTTCAATTTGAATTATTTATAAGTCAATATAAATTTGAGCAACCAAATGAAACAAATATATATATATATATATACACAATATAATGTATTTATAACATAATATGCTTAATTTAATTATATATATATGCTGATTGATTGAGTGAAATAAAATCATATAACGCTCATATGTAACATGAATTGACGATCGATAGATAATATTAATTTTCTTTTTGTTTTATTTTAATTATTTTAAAATGCTAGAGATTAGGTGTACCTAAATATTTTTATATGTATATATATATATTTTTTACTGTACGTTAAAATGTTCGTCACGGCGGCTGACTTGAAATTTAGACAATAAATTTCTTTGACTGATCCAATCTTGCAAAAATATAGTAAAATAAATAAATAAAAATATTGCAAATTGCAGTGTGGGCTGTAACTAATTTATATTTGTCGTGCAAATTAATAGAATAATGAAGTATGGAACATATATTGTTCAATTATAAATTTACAGCTCCATCTCATGTGTCACGCACAAATATACTATTTGTATTATGTGTATTTATATATTTTTAACAAATCTTTAAAAAATAATATTCTCTATATTTGGTCAAAATTATTTTATTATTATTATTTACTTTTGTGTCAAATTATTTATAATTTATTTGAAATAAACAATTTTATTATTTATATTTTTCCAAAAGATAATCAATTTATCACTGATATTTCTATCCATTCCACCACTTTTTATCAATAATTTAACAAATTTGACGTGTATATATATATATAAATAACAATTTTAATTTTAAATTAATATTACTATTTTTCTTTGTACCTATAAAAACAAAAATATTTTATATATTTTTATTAATTAATAAAATATTACTGTTATTTTTTAATTCAATATTACAAACAGATAATAGTAATAAATTGAATTGACCGTTGATCTCTGCAAGTCACGTGATACAATTGCTCCCGTATTATTTTTATTATTTAATTGTGATTAAATAAATATAACAACTCCATCTTCTTCCTTTAACCTATCTTTGACAATCCGACTGCGCGTCTGCTAACTTTCCTACGAAAACTCTTTTTTTACTTTAAATAATTCCCAACTGGACAATCTAAATCAATACATACACTGCAGATATACATATATATATAGCTATATATGTACTTGTATAAACAGATATCATCAAATCAAATAAAAATTCTTCATTCTCTATCTCTCTGATCAATGGAAAACTCCATTGTTGCTCTGCAAAGCTCAGGTCTGATTCACGCGACCAGGAGATCTGAGCCTCTGAATTGGAACCCTATTGCAAGTCTCGGCAGATCAAACCAGAGCATCAATGTAATTGGAAGTAATTGGAACAGTAGTAATTCCAAAATTAGGGTTCATACTCATCCCAAAACCCTAAAAAGGTATGTATATAGCCCTAATATGTATCTCTCTATATATGCATACATACACCCCCCCCTCTCTCTCTCTCTCTCTCTATATATATATATATATATATAGATGTATGTTCGGGTTTTGGATATATTTTGAAATTTCTGAAAGTAAATGAATTCGATAATTTTTTTTAGAGAAAATAAAATTTTTGGGTTGTTTAGTTAGGTGATTTTCTTTTTAATTTTAGTTTTTGGTTTCAATATAAGGAAAGTTAATATACTTTTATAGAAAAATAAATTAATTGAATTGTAGAATAAAGTGGAAAAAATTAAATTGTGATTCGATAATATGCATGAAGAATGATGACAATATTTCTTGTCTTGTTAATTCAGAAACTTGTTCGTCGTAAACGCTAATGTTGTTCCCGGAGCTCCAGTGCCGGCGCCTCCGATGCCTTCTGGACCACCTTCTTGTAATAATCCCATGTGAGTATATATATATATTTTTTTTCGCACTTTAAACTTTTAAATAAATCGATTATTATTTAATCGATCTTACTAAAAATTCTAATCATTTTTAATTTTGTGTTATAGGAGTTGGGTTCTTGGATTTGTGGTGTCAATCATCCTCCCATTTTTCACCAACAAATGGGGTCCACTGTGGGTTGTCAAAAGTAAGACATCAAACCCTAATTCAAGAAATCAAGAACCCTAGCTATCTCTCCATTTAATTAAAATTAAATTAGCCTAATTAATTAATTAATTGATTGATTATTTATTCAATAACATTTTTGCAGATAGGATCGAAAATGCAGTTCAAACTGTCGAAAATATTGTAGAGGCGGTCGAAAAAGTGGCGGAAGAAGTCGACAAGATTGCAGAAGATATCGCCGAAGATCTCCCACAGGGCAAGCTGAGAGATCTTGTCGAGATGGTCGAACATGTGGCCGAGAAAACGGCAAAGACTGCCGATTGCCTCGACAATGTCATCGATAAGGTATTAATTTAATTTCTTAACAATCTTCTATTTCAATTTTTTTTTTTCTTGAAATTTTATAGCATGTTTATCAAAGAAAAAAAAATTATCATTTTTTATTGAATATCACAAGAATTATGTACTTTAAAAAAAAAAAAAAAAAAAGAGACTAGTTATAAAAAATAAAATAAAAATACAATTGCTTGAAAAAATAATACAAATGGCCTAACTGTGTGAAATCATATAGCTAAATAAATAAATAATTATGTGTATAAACTTATGCAAGTTGGTAGGCATGCATGTGATCATCCTTGAAGCTTCATGGATACTTATTAAATAATTAATTAAAATTAATTTACTCAACCATGTACAGCTTGACTTTTAGCTATTGGCTACATTCAATTAATAATTGATAAATTATATAGAGCCTATGTATTATTATTTTTTTATTTTTTTAATGCATTAATCATTACTGAAATAATTATAATAAAATTTTATTTTTATAATGCAGGTTCAGGAAGATGTGGAAAATGTGGAAGACGTGGTTGAGTCTATAGCTAATAAACCTAAGCAAAATATGGTTGAATCTATAGACAAACCTAAATATGAGTAATTATTTTATTGTTTTAATAATATATATATATATATATATATATATATTTCCAACATTTTAACTTTCATTGTAGAGTAGTTATAATAATTTGTTTATCCATAAATTGGTTCACACTTACCATTTGTAAATTGAAATATTCTTTTGCTAGCTAGCATCATCATTATATATAAATATATTGTAATATTTTTCGACTTAATTAATCTTTTTTATAATATACTGTGTTGTTGTAAAAAAATCGCCACCGACGGCTTAATCGAAAAAGCCTATTGGAATTGATTTAATTGTAGGATTCCCCGGCCTCTTCAAGAAAGGATACGAGCTATCTCGCGATAACCGAAAAATTGATGAAAAAAGAAGGTAAAATAAACAAGAACGAAGCTGAAAATTAAATTGGAGTTAAATTTCTATTCGATATGCTCTATTTATTTGTTTATTTTGAATCATGTTTGGATAAGATATTATTCATAATTATTCTCAACAATTCCAATCACCTTCATTTTCATATTCTTCTTTTATCTGTTGACTGCTTCAAATGCCCTGTAGGTGAATCATATAGAGCAGGTGACCCAAGCCATCGAGGTTTGAACCCATCACCTGAGGCGTCCAAAATTTGAATCCATAACCTTACTGTCATTGTCCCGTCCCTTATGGGACAACAATAGTGCATTCTTGGAACCTCAACAAATGAGTATTTAAAGAACCACGAATAAATAAATACATAAATAATTAATGGAGCTCAATCCGAGCCCAAAATTATTATAGCGTTAGTTTCAATGGGCTGAGCCAAGATGGCCCATTAACCAGACCTTTAATAGTCCTCCAAAACATATATTTATATAATGCTTAATAATTTCATTATTAATATTTGATATTTATTATCAAATAAAATATATAATACTTATTTGTTATAATAGTTTTTTTTTATGAAGTATACTTAATTTAAAAAATATATATATATAAAATACAATTTATTTATTTATTTTATTTAAATAAAAATATTTAAGATATTTTAAATATTTTATTTGTATAATACTTACAAGCAGAATTAAGTAAGTATGTATTTACCATCTTAACGTTAATTTAGAAGGAAAAACTTGTTTTATGCATATTTAAATGTAACACAATTTTTTTTGATAATAATAAATAAATAAGCTGCAAGATATTCTATATATTTGTATTAAAAATAAATATGTTTTATGCAATTTATTTTTTACTATTCACTCCGTCCCGAATATTTTGTCCGCTTCACCGTAGACACGAGAATTTAGGAGAGATATAATTAGTAAATAATTAAAAATATATTAGTGAAAATAATTATTGTATAATAAAAATAATTATAGATTAAGATTAAGTTAAGATAATTTATTAGTATAATTAAAATAAAAAATTTTATAAACTAATTTTTTTAAAATAAGATCAAAGTATATAATTTTATATAATTCTTTTTTAAATTTTATAATTCAGAAATGAAAAGGTGGACACTAGATGTGGGAGGGAGAGAGTATAAAATAGATTATATTTGTATAATTTTATTTATTTATATTGTATGCTGAGAAATATTTAGGACATTTTTTATTTTGAAAAATAAAAGATTACTTTTGTTTGTTTTTATTTTTTAATAAAAAACAATTTTATTGAACCAACACATAAAAATTTAGAATTTAATATTATATTTTGTGAGAAAAGTTAATATGTTATGTAATATTTTTTTAAAAAAATTATTAATAAATAAATAATATAAAACTTTTATTTTATTTTATCTTTTTTTTTTATGTAAATAGAGCAAAAAAATAAAATAAAAAAAAAATTCAATTTTAAATATAAATCAAACAATTCCAAAAAGTATGTTATAATTAAGAAATTTGTGTCACTATTAGAATTGCTTTGAAATCAAGACAAACGATAATGGTGGTGGCGGGCTAATAATAACGGCTTGTCGTCTCAGCGAAGTCTAAAAACGTGTTTTACTCCTCGCTAAAAAATCGCTATTGCGACTATACTGCTGTACGGACTGGTGGTAACCGGAGAAATTCAGCGGCGCAGCACCCTCGCCGTTAAAACACGCGTTTTTTTAAGATCTCCGGCGTCGTCTGGCCAATGGTGGTGAGAGGTGAAAGTTGAAGTTGAAGCCGAATTGCTGGCCTCATATTCGGAGCGGTGGTTTAGGTGCGCGAATTCAGATCTTCCATGGCCGTTCCAGTGGAGGAAGCCATTGCGGCGCTGTCCACATTTTCGTTGGAGGTGATTTTGCGCAATTGGTTTATAAGAGTTCAGTTCAATTAATCTTGACTTAATTCAGTGAGATGTAAGGCGATATTGACATGGAATGGTTTTTTAGGATGATCAACCAGAAATTCAGGGGCCAGGGTTTTGGGTTTCAGCTGAAAGAGGCGCGACGACGAGCCCCATCGGCAAGTGTTTTCAATCGTTAAATTTTATTTATGATCTTTATGCACATTCAATTAGTCTGAGGTTTTTTTTTCTTCCATGGAGTTGCATTCATTTCGACTTCCATTTCTACTCTGGTGTTGGTAGAATTTTAAGAACTTCTTACGGGTTTTGAAATATATCATTAATTTATGTTATTGGCTGAAGTTCCACATAATTTCAGAATTGATTAAATCTTTTGGTTTGAGCTCCAAATAATTGTGGATTCAGTGAAATCTTTGAGTTTATTTCCTATTTTAAGTTCCAAAGAAATACGAGTTCGCTTCGGAGTTCCACAGGAGCCATACAGCAAGTAAGAACTAAGAATGGAGTCATTAATTGATGAATCTGTAAGAATCCAGCAAAAGGATGCTCAATGGAACATTTGATGTACGGTGTCGAGAAATAAAATTATAATTCATTTAGACAGTCTACACTGTGAATAATAATTAGTTTGGGTATATTGCATTTTTCCTTATTGTTTTTTCTTATTGTAATCATAACAAAATTCCATACATAACAACTTATGCTTGGGGGGTTTTGCTTAACTGTTTTTTTATTTTATTTTATTTTATTTTATTTTTTGTGATTAAGTTTTAAGGTATTTTTTGGCCTTTTAATGGGTATAATGCTATCAAAAGCAGAAATATGTTCATATACGTTAAAAAGTAGAGCCCAGAGGGATATTTCAATAATTGTGTGCTTCAACAAAGGCTTTGAGTTCTCTTATAAAACAATGTTTTTTGCAGTATCAGGTCTTCTCATGCTTCTGCAATTTATACAGAGCTTTGAACATTTGTCAATCAAATTTCTGTTTCATTGGTTTCTTTTTTTTTTTTTGTTATTGCAGAGTATAGTGATGTGGCTGCCTACCGATTATCTTTGTCCGAGGACACAAAATCCATAAATCAACTGGTATAATCCCATCACTTAAAAGTATTAATCCACAATTTTTTTAATTTATTTTTTCTATAGTTCCTCATTTTGATCTGGTCTCATTTTTCTGTTCATTTTGAATGAATACAAGTGGACATACTGATAGGAAATATTCAAATGTTGTTGCAGAATCTGCTTATACGAGAGGGCAAGGAAATGGGTTCAGTGCTCTACACATATAGGAGTTGCGTTAAAGCACTTCCTCAGGTGTTAGAGAATGGGTTCATTTCCTCTTGGAGAAACAAAAAGTGCATATGTTTTAGTTAGTTGTTTAAATGAAATCGCAATGCCTGTCTCACTGCAGCTTCCAGATTCTATGAAACAAAGTCAGGCAGACTTGTATCTAGAAACTTACCAAGTTTTAGACCTAGAGATGAGTCGCTTGCGGGAAATCCAGCGGTGGCAAGCATCAGCTGCATCGAAAGTATGAGTTGCCTCCTCATTTTTTTAACTATATATATTATCCAGTTCTGTTCTGACCAGGGGGATGATTACCTAGTACAGCTAGCAGCTGATATGCAGCGGTTTTCGAGGCCAGAGCGGCGCATCAATGGTCCTACTATAACACATCTATGGTCTACTGCTATCACCTTCTCTTTGTTCTTAAGTTTTGAGCTTGGTTTACTATATGGTTGTAGTAAAGTTGAAGGCTACTGTAGATCTGTTACAGAATTAAAATTTAGCTTTTCAACTGTTAAAATGTGAATGATAGTTAAGCTCTTATCTGAAAAGGTTATGCTTTGCACAATTTATTTCAGGTCCATGTTGAAGTTGCTAGATGTATTAGTACAGCTTGATCATCTAAAAAATGCCAAGGCTAGCATTCCTAATGATTTTTCTTGGTACAAACGGTATGTATGGTACTCATTATAATGAACTGCTTGTAAAATTGCTGTAATGATTTGTTGATGTTCTGTTTTGTTTCTTGTCTTGGTGCAACCTATGCTAATGACAATGAGGGGTCTTATCCTGTCTGACTCATGAATTAGATTCTCTTGCAGTACTCTAGCTAATGATAATTAAGTTAAGATGTGATTATAACTCAAGTTTTATCATGTAATGATTGCAGAGACTTTTAAGCACATCATTTTGTTGCAATTATCATGTAGTTCTTGTAAGTTAAAACAATGGCTGCAAAGGTGATTAGGATGCAACTTTGTACATCAACTTTTAGATGCAGTACCTTATACAACTTGTTTGTGATATGCATCTCATTCTGTTATCAGATAGTTCTATGTGCATCAGAGATCTTTATCATCTGTCTTGGAGCCAATTTAGTTATCATAATATAATACAACCTGAGGTGATGCCCCTCCCCAAAAAGATGGGGGGTGGGGGGGGGGGGAGAGATGGATCTTATATGGCTCTACTGAGGATCAAATGTAATATGTACTACATTTCTGATGATAGCTTTAGCTTTGACTCTCACTTTATCTTATATGAAGTTCTTTCATAATGTTCTATCACTCACTTGTCATAGCTCTTTTCATGTGCTTATCTATAGCTTCAAATCTTTCATAAGACTCAGTAGCATCTTAACCTGTAAATTATGTAATAACCAGGACATTTACACAAGTCAGTGTTCAGTGGCAAGATACTGATTCAATGAGAGAAGAACTAGATGATTTGCAGGTCAAAAGGCACTCTTTATATATATATATATATATATCTATCTTCTGAATCATTATATCGATTGTGGAATATCTGTGGATGACCGCTTTCAGTTAAAAATTTTCTATTTCACTTGAATGTTACATCGTTGTCCATCTTGACAGATCTTTTTGAGCACAAGGTGGGCTATTTTGTTGAATTTGCATGTGGAAATGTTTCGGTTCAACAAGTATCCTTCATGCCGAATGGTGTTTCTATAAGCATACTGCTCATTACCTTAAACTTATCATTATTATTGTCTAGCTTAAACTCTGTTTCAGTATGTATGTGACAGTATGGTCTTTGAGGGCACTGAAAATTGCGATTAGGGGATTAAAGTAGACTCTTTTTTCCATTTAAAGATAATATACAAGAATCAGCAGTAAACCTTCATACAGATTCTTGAATTCATGTGGTATAAGGAAGTACTTTTTCTAGTTTATCTAGTATCTAAGGTTTTGACATGGGTTACAACTAAATTTAATGTAAAGTATCATTGAAACAAATACGAAAACATCATGAATGAATTGGTCAATTAGTGCCTTATTCTATTTCAAAATCATCTCTAAAATGGAGAAAAGGGGAATAGATGTTTGCAGCTCTATATACAGTTCTATTGTCACAATTTTCTTCATTTTTCCATTTGATATTCTAAAAAAATTTGAATCTTCATATTTAATAAGTATTATATTATCTTTTCGAAAACGCGTATATAAATGAAGATGAGGAAATGAAGATTTTGCTGTTTCTTTGTTCAAAAGCTTAACCATCTTGATTTAAACTTCTACTGTATATGAAATAGTATTAAATGTTAATTTATTATCTAGTGCCTGTCAACACTCAATAAAACTTTACTTCTATATTTTTTTGTTCATTTATTATATATTGATTCTATATGATATAGCATTTAAACTCCTTAACATTCAAAAGTGTTGAAGACATTCTCCAAGTTCTCATAGTGTTTGCTGTTGAGTCCCTGGAGTTAAATTTTGCTCTTCTCTTCTCCGAGCGCCACATTCTTCTTCGTGTTTTGCCTGTTCTTGTTGTCTTGGCAGCTTCATCAGAGAAAGATAGCGAATCGCTGTACAAGCGAGTAAAAATTCACAGATTGATTAATATATTTAAGGTACATTACAGGTGCCTATTGAGTCTGTAAATGTGGGATCCTCCAAACAAGGTTCCTAGTTCCTTTGTATATTTAATGTAACTTATAGTGATTTAATTGTACCTGTGCAGAATGATCCTGTCATCCCTGCATTTCCAGACCTTCACCTTTCTCCTGCGGCAATACTGAAAGAGCTATCATCATACTTTCCAAAATTTTCTGCACAAACTCGTCTACTTGGTCTTCCTTCACCACATGAGTTGCCACCTCGGGAGGCACAAGAATATCCTTGAATTGTTTACATTCATATATGATTGTTTCTTTTTTCAGTTATCTATTCAATATTGGTCTATTTTATTTTCATCTATGAGATCTTTTCATTCAGCCTTACATTCAGGATGCATTGATGGATGAATTCATATAAAACGTTGATTAACATTCATTCATATTTTTAACCTACTTAGAGAAAGTAAATGCACTAAACTATTATCATTTGTTACCTTGATTTTGTTTACTTATCAGCGTCATTATTTGATTGTCAATCACATTGGGGCAATTCGTGCTGAACATGATGACTTCTCAATTCGCTTTGCTTCTGCCATGAATCAGGTATTCCCTCTCTCCCTATCTCTAAGCACACTCTTCATGATTTCGTCCTGTTGTCTATGTTCATATGCTTGTATTTTGACAAGCTATAGCAACTTACTGGCAGTCTATTCTACGCTATTAATTTAATTTATTCTGATGTGAGAATACAGAGGGAGTGTAATTGCCATGCTTATTTATTTAGTGTTTACAGTGGTCTGTCCCTGACATCAATAGTTAATTTTATTTGTGGTTTGTTGACTTGCTGAGACAACTACTATTTAATATTTTTTTTCAGCTTGGACTATTGAGGTCAATGGAAAGTGCAGATTTGGAGTGGGCAAAGGAAGTCAAAGGAAACGTCTATGATATGGTTGTTGAGGGCTTGCAGCTTTTAAGTAGATGGACTACACGTGTATGGGAGCAATGTGCATGGAAATTTTCACGCCCATGCAAAGATCCCATTTCTACAGAGTCAACTGAAACAACAGCGACATACTCAGACTATGAGAAGGTCTTGTTAACTTTTTATTTTCATTATTTATCTGGATGATGCCAGTGTCTAGTTATCTGCATACATCCTAGTTCATAGCTTTTGCAGATACCTGATGCTATGAATCTTCTGGATTTACCATATATAGACTTATATTTCTTGTTTGCAGAATTCTGGGTGGAACGTAATTCTTCTCTATTATCTGATAATGAGCTATTATAGAACCTCTAAATTATGCTGCAGGTGGTACGATATAATTACAGTGCTGAGGAAAGAAAAGCCTTGGTAGAACTTGTAAGCTACATCAAAGGAATCGGAACTTTAATGCAAAAATCAGATACATTGGTGGCAGATGCCTTGTGGGAGACTGTTCATGCGGAGGTCCAAGATTTTGTACAAAATATACTGGCTACTATGCTGAGAACAACCTTCCGAAAGAAGAAAGACCTTTCGAGGTAGATAATAATGTTTAGTTGTGCACACATTATATAAAATTCAGAATCCCAGTATCTTACTTGATGTTTGACTAAAGTTTTGATTCATTATATGTGACTGTCTTGGCCTGATATTCTTCACTTGTGATTTTCTTAGATTCAGCAATAGCCTGTTAAAACAATGGTCACCTGGTGCTGTGGTGCATAGTACATTTTTTTATCCGATTAACTAATGAGTTTTTGAAAGCTCTATTTATGACTTCGTAAGAACTTAACTGATGCTTGGATGTAGAGCTGACCATGTGAACAGTGATTTTACACAATAATCTGATACAAAGCAAGCTAAAAAATAGGTTTTAGAGATGACCAGGTATTGCTAAATGCTGCAATCATATCAAATAAACCAATAGGCCAAACCACCCAGTATTTGCTCTACTTTTAGTCTCAGCTCTCCTGTATTAAGTTTGCTGCAATTCACTTTTACTTTGATGAAATTGTTTATTTCATTTTATAATTTTCCGTATACCATAAACCCTGGTTTTATTATCCCCAAAGCAACTTTCATTGTTTGTTGAGCCCATCAATTTGCTATTTGCAGGATTCTGTCTGATATGCGGACACTTTCAGCAGATTGGATGGCAAATACAAGCAGGCCTGATTCTGAAATGCAGTCATTTCCGCAAGGAGGTGAAGAAAATAGAGGGAACTTCTTTTATCCAAGAGCAGTAGCTCCAACAGCCGCTCAGGTTAGTCTCTCACTCTCTTGTGATTATTTGTTTGCAGAAATCTTGTCAGTTTTATCTGCTTATCTCAAGCTTTCTTTTTTGGTCCCTTCAATACCAAATACTACTACTTCTATCAACTATTTTCTTGTTCATGTTGGCACCCATCTACCTTTTCCCTTGTAACCCACTGTTCTCATGAAAATTGTGTAATACTCTACTCATGTATTTTAAATAAATGAGGAGAAGTTCCTCTTAAATGATTCACACACTTGCTTAGTGACCTTGCTGGTGTTAAGTGTTCTCCATCTGATATAAAAGACTGGAAAAACATTTATTGTTTAACAATTTAAATTGTAGTTTTTGAAAATTGTACCCTAGATTGCACCAGACAAAATGTTTGTGTTAGAGGAAATAAATGAGAAAGGTGAATTTAGTTCCATGCATAAAACTAAGGTTGTTAACCCATACAGCCAAACCCCTGTAGCTGGTCTTATTCCACGGGCTTAAGTTGCTTTGCATTTCCTAGCAATCTATACCTTCTGAATGCCAGCTTTAGCTTTATTAATTGGAAACAGTGCCACACATAAAACTTTTCTCATTTGAACCTAACTGCTTTTTTGCTTAGGTCCATTGCCTGCAATTTTTGATTTATGAGGTGGTTTCTGGAGGCAACATGAGGAAGCCTGGTGGCCTTTTTGGCAATACTGGATCTGACATTCCAGTCAATGATTTGAAACAGCTGGAAATCTTCTTCTACAAGCTTGGATTTTTCTTAAATGTACTGGATTATACAGGTTTGACAAAGATTTCCTTTAACTGCTTTCTGAGCTTCTCCATATAAGAATATGGGTTTATTTGTTTGGAGCCTCAATGGGTTTCTTCGCACTATGCATCATATTTCTTCCCCTAATACCCTCACATCAAACACCTATTTTTCATTCTTACATTTTTTTTTTTTCATCCAACACCTCACAAACCTATTTACATAACATCAGAGGCCTAGGGTTTGTTTACTTTTGTTTCTGTTTTTTTTTGTCCTTTTCTTTTAAAGGTGAAATAGTCATTATATGTGATATGTTGAATGGAAAATAGGTGTTGAATTTGATGTTTCTGGAGAGTATTGGTAGATTGAACAATAGACAAGTAAACAAGCCTCTATGTCAATTCAAATTGTATTGGAAGAGTTCATTCTTGTATTACTTTTTTATTCAAATCATAAACAAGACTATGCTAATATAATCAGGAATATGTAGCTAAAATTATTGCTATTTACTTTGGAGGGAGTTTAAGGCACATGACACAATCAACCTGGTCAGTTTATAAATAATTTTTTTAGTACTAATACTCCAGTTTACAAACCATCCTATTCTGGCCTTTTGAAAGATATACATGTATAGTATGTGTCTACCTAATGCAACTTTTCTGTAGTTGATATTACCGTGCCATTATACTTTGTGCAGCCACAGTTGCGAATTTGACAGATCTTGGTTTCTTATGGTTCAGAGAGTTTTACTTGGAATCTTCTCGAGTAATACAGGTATTGACATAATGCTAGTCATCTTGAGGAAGTTTGATAAATGCCTATATGTTGTCTTCGCATCAAGCTTGAAGTATGATATGCCCCATTAGAATGAGTATCTTTATCATCTGGTTTGTGTAGAAACTACAGAATTTTGTCTCAAATTACTTCATCATCATTATTATATTTTCTATGGCTCCCTTGTTTCCTACCCTCTCTAATGTTAACAGCATCCTTGTCTCTCCTTGCCTACAGTTTCCTATTGAGTGCTCACTTCCGTGGATTCTAGTGGACCATGTGTTAGAATCTCAAAATGCAGGCCTTCTTGAGAGTGTCTTGATGCCCTTTGACATCTATAACGATGCTGCTCAACAGGCCCTGGTGGTGTATAAGCAGCGATTCCTTTATGATGAAGTTGAAGCAGAGGTAATTAGTCTCTAACCTATAAAATTGCCATTGCAAATATTTCTACACAGACGTACTGTGGTGACTGTGTGAAGTCCCCAAGTATCTATTTTAAAGTTATTTGATGCTGCCTAGAGATGCTAATAGCAACTTGGAGATGCCATTTCAACTCCTTTTAGATCATAGTACTTGTTTGTTCTCTTAATATTTATGCTAAAGAAGAATATATGTGTATCTGTTTCAGGCAGACAATTGTTTTGACATATTTATATCAAAATTATGTGATACTATTTTCACATACTACAAGAGCTGGGCAGCAAGGTATGCTCCTTAAAAGTGTTTTTATACTTAATTCCAACATCATTCTGAATAATCCACTTTGAGAAATTCTTAAATGTATTCTCAACTTGTCCAACTCCTCAGTGAATTATTGGATCCATCGTTCCTCTTTGCCTTAGACATTGGCGAGAAGTTTTCGGTCAAACCAAAGAGATTCACTACACTATTTAAGCTGACAAGAGTGAAGGTAAGAACTTTCCATTTTCTTCGTTATTATGTAACCCCTTTTTCTTTTTAACGATCCATCAGTGTGGTCTTTGTTTCCTTCAAAGGAACCTTTTTCTGTTTATGCATACAAACATTAGTGATTTAATTCCCAAGAGTGATAATATTTTTAATTCTACTAATTTAAATAAGTTTGCGTAATATTATCAAGTCCGTAATCAGTCAATTCTATGCATCTAGAGTTTGCTAAAAATAGAAATTAAGGGCAATTTAATTATAAAAGTTCAATTAAAAGTGATAGTAATATAGGGCTAGGACATACCTAAGGAAATGATCATGTGCATATGCATGCGGTAAAAATTTTTATATGAACATGTATAATCATTCCCACCAGATGACTTTTTTCTAGAGTGTACTTTTCCAAAGACCCACCTTTCTACAATTGGCATGCAGATGGCCCATATGTATATAAGGTAGATGGTTCTCCATGCTTAGTTGTTAATAATCTGTTTTACATTAACAGATATCTTGCAACTTCTAGAAGAGGATGCACAAGTAATTTGGATGTAAAATCATGAATTGAGTATTTTTTGTTCCACATGTTGACTTGTGTAATACTTTTTGTTGTATAAGTTGTTTGGTGAAACACAAATTAAAAGTTAAGATATAAGATACATATATGTGCGTATCCATGTAAAAAATTCTTATGCAATTAGTCTTTCCATTGTTATAATATGTGTATTCCCCTTAGATAATCCTGTTCGGTCATCTTTATCAAAATTTCATTGGAAATCTAATGAACAGTTTTTGGCCTGTAGTTACTTGGGCGGTCTATCAACTTGAGAAGTTTGATATCTGAGAGGATAAATAAAGTATGCCGGGAGAACATTGAATTTTTGTTTGATCGATTTGAATCTCAGGATCTATGTTCTATTGTGGTAAGTTACTTTGCAGCAGTTTACAGTTGTCTTATCTCAGTTCTTCCTTTCCTAATAACAAATTTAATTTCAGGAACTAGAAAAGCTTCTTGAAATTCTGCGGCTTGCGCATGAATTACTATCCAAAGAGTTGAACCTTGATTCATTTAGCCTCATGTTGAGTGAAATGCAAGAGAATGTGTCACTTGTTTCATATTCTAGCAGACTTGCTTCTCAGGTAACTTAATTTTTTTGCTGTACAATTATAGATCAGGGAGGCAATGGAAGCAAAAATTAAGATGTACAAGAATACTACAATCTCTACAAGTGTACCTATATGCAGCTTAGAATTTATGTTAATGCATCATTGTTTACAGTGTGATTTCTGGGTTATTGATTCTTTTCCTTTACATATTAATACACAATATCTCTTGAAGCTGTCTGCCCAGTGTTTGATTAAGTTCTTAATCTTAAATTTTGCAGATTTGGACAGAGATGCAAAATGACTTTTTGCCTAATTTTATCCTGTGTAATACAACTCAGCGATTTGTTAGATCATCAAGAGTGCCTCCTGTACCTCTTCAGAAGCCATCAGTTCCACATGCAAAGCCAAACTTCTATTGTGGTACCCAAGTAAGAATCACCTCGTTCTATGCCAACCAATTGGAACACCTAATTTATAACCACCCTCAACCAATGTCACATATAGTTATGATGGAATTCAGTCAAACTTAGAGAATTGCTTGTACACACTAGCGTAAATTTTCATATCAGCATAACTGTGTGATTTTTCATACATACTAGGGTGGTCGGCATTAATATACTGTAGAGTCATACAATATCAGCCAACAGAATTGGTTCTGTAGTTTTATCTTGACTTATTTATTCAGTTGTTTCCTCGAACTGATGAGAGTTAAGAAGCTTGAATGTGTCATACAATGTTGTAACTGATAATATTCAGTCAAATGCCAGCACCTTGCCTTCTAAGCTATGGTAACATAAGCACAGGAGGATTCTTAGTTACTATTGAAGGCCCTAGGATAGGCTGAATAACAAGAAGAGGACTAGCAAACTGAAGTCAATAAAATATCAAGTGGGATATGAACTATTTTTGTATCTTGACATGCAATAGTAAATTTTAATATTTTCTTGGTTTTATATCATCTATTGAAGATTTATATATATTTTCCTGGATGTTATGATCAATTTATATCTTAAATGAATTGAGAATTTGATAAATGACTGAAGCTATATATTCCTTTATGTTTCAACCACTTAATTTCCACTTCCTCGACTGCCTATGAATGTAGGAACTGAATTCTGCATACCAGAGCTTCGCCAGATTACACAGTGCATTTTTTGGTATTCCTCACATGTACTCCATTGTGAGACTTCTGGGTTCCAGATCATTGCCATGGCTCATTCGAGCTCTATTAGATCATTTATCAAACAAGGTATATTTTTCATCTATGTTTGTTTTCTAGACATAAATAGGTTATAAGCATTCATTATTCCCGTTCATACGTACACAAGGTTGATAGAAGATCTTTACCTTTTTGTTCTCATTTGCAGTATGTATTTTTATTTTGTCACTTTTTCTTAGTAAAATGCCAATGCAACATAAATTAGGATTATTCATGGTAGCCTTTTTACAAAGTTAGTGCTGCTGCATTAGCTTACCTGTATCATATGATTATAGTTAACTGTATTGATTTTATGCTAGATTTTGAAGTCTGCATCATGGGATTTATGTTACAGTTTTCTGCTGTTTCATAATTGCATGTTTCATATCTTCCTATCACTGTTTCAGATTACAACCCTTGAACCATTGATCACAGCACTGCAAGAGGCTTTACCCAAATCTATTGGATTGCTTCCTTTCGATGGAGGCGTGTCAGGTACTGATGTCCAACTAGTCAGTGTGAAAGTTTCCTTCTAAGTGCATTCATTACATATTTAGGTTTCTGGAAGAACAGACTTTTCTTTTCTTTTCTTTTTTATTTGTTCTTTAAAACAATAAATCATTTATGACCTATTATTTTAAATTTTCATGTGCATAGGTTGTGTAAGGGTCGTCCAGGAACATCTTAACTGCTGGCAGTCAAAATTGGACGTGAAAATTGAGGCTCTCCGAGGAATAAAGGAAATTGGAAGCATTCTATACTGGATGAGTTTGCTTGATATTGTTTTGGTGAGTGTCGAACTTTCGTTCTTGCTTTATCAAACATGGTAGATAGTTTTAAGAAATTAGGAAGAGCAAGTACAAGCTGATGGGTGTAGTAACTCATGAAAATCAAATATGTTAAGGCATAAAATGATGTCTTGTTCTCATACTCTTGCACATTGGCCTCTAGATATAGTATATGTCCAAGATCTAAAGCTCTTCGGGATTTTTAATTTTAGTCTTTTTGGATTTGAGGAGCTGAAGCAAAATTATGATATCTTTCCATGATTTTAGTAGACCACAACACTGAACTGGAATCATAATATATATTCATCAGTAACTTATTTTTAACCATACTAAAAAAACATCACATCAAACACCTCATTTTCATTTAAAATGTTACATATAAAATATTATGGCCAGTCAGAATATCATATTAAATAACTATTTTTATTCAAAATTTAACAATTCTAAAAACAAATCAAACCAAAGCACAACTAGTTTTGGAAATTTGAGGAGCTGAAGCGAAATCCTGATCTCCCTCCTTGTTTAATGACCAAGCAGAATTATGTTACTGAAGCATGATTTTGCCGATTTTTACTTTCAAGTTTGCTGAAATATGTTTTTGAAGATTGAAAGATGAAACAGTAGAGAAAGTCAATCTTGGTTTATATTGTTCTTTTTGGTGGTTAGGATGAATTTATCAATGTTGATTGTCATATATATGAACTTTCGATTGGCAGAGAGAAGTCGACACTAGCCAATTCATGCAAACTGCCCCTTGGCTAGGCCTAATTCCCGGTGGCGACGGACAAATTGTGCAATACCAGGACGGGGAAGACAGCCCCATCATCAGTCTATTCAAATCTGTAGCTGCCGCCATTGCATCAAATCCAGGCATCTCAAATCCATTATCATTCCGCGTCTTGTCAAGGCAGGCAGAAGCTGCTGGTATTTATTTCTTTGTCATCATCAACTGTTACCTGCTGTGAAGAGAATTTGCCCAAAAATATCTATGGGTGGACTATGCTACACCTCATCTGGTCTCCCAATTCCTACATTTTCACTTTATTCTACATTTTTGTGCCAATTTTGTTTTCAGATCTGCTGTACAAGTCAAACATCAATGCTGGAAGCGTCCTCGAATACTCACTAGCCTTCACAAGTGCTGCGATGGATAAATATTGTAGCAAATGGAGCGTGATTCCCAAGACAGGGTTTGTCGACATCACAACCTCCAAGGATTTCTACAGGATATATAGTGGCCTCCAAATCGTAAGTAACTGATTATTATTATTATTATTATTATTATTATTATTCATTTTTCAAGAGCAGCTGAATCAGGTTTCTTTGCTTGATCTCTCTATAATACCCTTTATGGAAACAGATCGAGTTGAATTGCTTATTAATTACATTAAACAAGTCAACCTAATCTTGAAAAACTCGGTTGTTAATTTATCATAGTGAAACTAACTGAGCAACTTGTGAAACCTTATTTGATTGAAGGTTTTTTGTTTAACCTCATTTGATATAGAAATTTGGATCGAGCAAATGATTTGTTTATCAAGTTGAACTCAAGCTTGGCTTGATAAAGATTCAAGTCGAGTTTCAAAGTGGAAAGTTTGTCTTGGCTGAGTAACAGCTCTACATATCCGAAAAGTACACTTCATTTATCTTTCTACCGGCTTTCATTCCGATTTCATTTTTGTTTCTTCAACTGCAGGAATATCTACAGGAATCGGTTCAGTCACAGGCAAGCCACCACGGCGCACCGGGAGACTCCATTGCTTGGGGCGCCTGCACAATCATATATTTACTCGGCCAGCAATTGCATTTCGAACTGTTCGACTTCTCCCATCAGGTCCTCAACATTGCGGAGGTTGAAGCTGCCGCAAACTCATCAGCCCACCGGAATTCCCAATTATCTCAGGTGAAATAAAATATCGAACAAACAAAATTCCTTGCAGCTCCATTACTCTTCCTTCCCATTTCTAAACCAGTGATCGAACACACAGGGCTCGGAAATCCTGCTGGAGGCCATGAAGAAAGCCCGGAGGCTGAACAACCACGTCTTCTCGATGCTGAAAGCACGGTGCCCCTTGGAGGACAAGCAGGCCTGCGCTATAAAGCAGAGCGGCGCGCCATTGCATCGGATCAAGTTTGAGAATACTGTGTCGGCGTTCGAAACTCTACCGCAGAAAGGCCTCTGAGCTGATATTGTTTGTGCAACAGGTTTGTTGCGTTCATCGGTTTATGTCTCCCTTTTGTAATATTTGATGTGTTGTTTTTCGACAATTTGGAAGCTGTAGTGTTCTTGTGATATTTTTCCATATTTTGCAAAGTTTGGTTTTCAATTCTTTGGAGAAGCATGGTAGCGAATGATCCTCACGAAAATAGTAATGTAGTTCACTAAAATTTAGTGAAATAATTTATTTTTTCCCTAATATTACAGACAGTAAATAATAAATTAGTAGATTGAACATAAAAAGCTAAACAAATTTGTTGTTTTTTAGGCAAAATTTGTTATTTATCTTTGTGAAAACTGTATGAGATTTTTTTTGAATTTCAAAAATATTGTACAGTTGTTTTAGAAAAATATAAATAGGGCTAAGATTTTTTGGTATTTTCAAAATTATTGCATAGAAAAACTTAAAAATTATTATGTGCTACATCTTTTTAAAATAGTTTTTAAATTTTCAAACAATCGGACTAGGAGTAATTTTGTCATTTTAAAATCGCAAATTTTTATTACAAAATTACCCCTGAACGTTCATTACACGTGGCCAAATATAATTGGCTAGGGAGGCGTGCGTACTGATTACGCTATTTCGTGTTCATATACGAAATCTGCCGGATTTTTGTTTCTATTAATAAAATGAAATACTGAATAAAAGGAAAAATAAAGCTGGTAAAAATTGTATCGGACTGCAATGGCGAGCGGCGGCGGCGGCGGCGGCGGTGGTGGAAAGGTGTCGTTCAAAGTCACGCTTACTTCCGATCCAAAACTTCCTTTCAAAGTGTACGGATTTTCTGAACTATTCGTCTGTCTGTGTCCGGTGAAGAGTGGTTTGATTTATATATGCTTATTGTTGGTGATGATTGGAAAACAGATTTAGCGTTCCAGAGGCAGCCCCGTTCACCGCAGTTCTGAAATTTGCAGCGGAGGAATTCAAAGTGCCTCCCCAAACCAGTGCCATCATCACGAACGGTAGGTTTTCGTTTTGGCTATTGTCAAATTCACGGAAGCTTTTTTCCCCGCAGATAGAGTTACTATTTGCGATCAATGCCCTTTTAAGTTTGAAACTTGATATTTGTTAAATGTGTACACCTTTCTTTTTTCTTTTTTCTTTTTTTCTTTTTTTTTTTTAATTCTTTATTTTGTTGAAGCATATTAACCAGATTGTAATTAGGATCACTAATATGTGTTTTGTATCAAATATACTCGTTTAGGGTTTTGTCTTGCTTCTTTGAATTCTATGAAGTGTAAATATTTACTTTATTTGACTCGAGTTCGATCATCTGTTTATGCAGATGGAGTAGGAATTAATCCGCAGCAGAGTGCAGGTATCTTAATTCTACGTACTTAATTGCTCTTTGAATTTCTTTTCTTATTTCTTGCTGAATTGTTTTGCTCTCTGTTGATGTGGGAGAAGTCTTTTGAGGGTTTTATTTCATCTTAAAATTATATTAAGATCGATGCTGATTGTAGTGTTAATACTTCACCTTTTCTTCGTTGTCCTTTCCTAGATACCATTTTTCCCCCTTTGTGAGAAACAAACTTCTTTTTTTCCTTTTTCACGATTCAAATGAAGACAATTTCATACCATTTACGGCTCTAGGTCTACTTTGTTTGCTTCCATGATGCTTTTTCACCTCCTGTTTTGCCATTGATCACATGGGTGTAAGTATAAGCAATTGCTACAGGAATTTCTACTCTTCCATTCTTGATTGCGCCCCCCACTATCCCTTTTTAAAACCAATAAAGCTCAACCTACCGAACATGATCAATTCAGATCTGCTAGCTATCAATATTGACCCTGTAGGTTGTAATTTTACCTATTTTGAATCTAAACTAGCTAGCTATTTTTTGTTTTCTGGATTAAGGTTGGGTTTGTTTTTCTACATATGCAAGTACTCTGAAATGAGGAATTTCCTTGCTTTGTATCCTATTAACAGTTTTCGAATATTTGGATGTTTAAGCTGAGATAAAAAAAAAAAACTATTGGGCATGTTTATTATTTAATAAGTGGTCCTGTTATATGGTGCATTGTTTTCAAATGTTAATGCACTTCCATTCCTTTAGAAGCTGAAATGCAACGTCCTTTGTTCATTTTGATTATTATGCCTGTCCGATTTCAGATTTAACATGAATGAATTTAATGGTTTTCAGGGAATGTCTTTCTTAAACATGGTTCAGAACTGCGCTTGATTCCTCGGGACAGAGTTGGTGCTTCGATGTCAACCTAATATCAGATTCATAGATGGATTTCCCCACCTACATATGCAATATGCTAAAAAAACCTTGGATTAGTTCTGCGACCTGATGGCTCTGTGATAAACTTTATCTGAAAATAAATAGCAAGAAATGCTGTTGTAGTGAATTTATCTTTGATTAGTAAAGATGAAAGTTCTTGACTCATTTTCAATGCAAGAACTTGAACTGTTGTCTTAATTTTATTATTCTTATTTCTTTTTTAACTGTGTATCTTCTCCATTTGCAATCTCTTCATATTTGCATATCTGTTGGTTCCCTAAAGTTAATCCAAACTGAATTGACCTCAGCAGAAGTGAAAGCCTCTGATGCATCAACTCAACTGACAAACCTCTATTTAGTGTCTTCTGTACTACTGTGGTATTAATCTAAATTTGTGGTGTGTGGATGAACTTGTGGTTTGAGATTTCCTTGCTTGGACTTTTCCTTAACTGATTAGAAACTTAAATTTTCTGTTTAGCCACTGGCCACATTATTATTTAAGTTATGGACATTTATGTAGGCTGCCTCCTTGCATGTGTTGTACTATGTATTCTCCAGGAGCTTGATTTTTTCCCATTTTGTCATATAGTGTTTGCTAAAGCCATTTTTCCATATGATCTTGCTGGAAGAAAATCATTCAGTCACTAGTGTTGTCTGTGATGTTCGCCACTGCTCTATTCAGGTCTAGCGTCGATCATTCCTATGTTATCTACAGGATAACTTAAATCCAAACTTAGTTAGCGCCATGCGCCGTGTGGCTTTAAGGGAGTATTCTATGTATGGCACTATTATACTAAGAACTATGGTGCCAAACAGGCTATGGTAGGATCTTTTATGTGTCCAGTTGAGAAGGGTTCTTGGAGGATGGAGCATGGGACAAAGTTTGTGGGGTGTTTAAAACCCCAACGAATAGCTTATTTAAAGCCATTGAAAGATGATCAGTGAGGTGAAGGTCCACTCTCTAGGCTCCACAACCACTACGTGTCGGTTGGTATCAATAAGGTATGACAGTTGCTTTCAGATTTAAATCTCTCTCTGCCTTCTTATCTCAGCACTTCAATGCTTTTTACAGCTTCTAGATCTCATTTCTGCACCACGTGTTTTGCCATTGCTTGGATATAGTTAAGGTAGCTTGAAGGTATTGTTCTTTGAATATACTATATCAATATTGAATGGATTACAACTTGGCCGTGGAAAACCACAGTTTTAGTATAGAAAATTGCAAGGTGTTTTTATATTAGCTTATTTTTGTAACACAACTTAGTTGCAGCACACAAAAATCACACGAACACATTCACAGACCTCTTGTGTAATATATGAATTAATGATTGGTTACAATGGTCCAGTCCCCATTGAATACCAAAAAGTGGAAACATCATATATGTATATATACATAAATACACACCAAACACCCTAAAGATCTTTTAATCACTTGCACAGTGGTTCCAAAGGGCACCAAAGACGTGGGACTAAGTATCCTTATTTATTTATTAATTCTCAGAATGTGGAGCTGAGTGTTTTGATTTAGTTTTCTTACAGTATGTGGGGACTCGTTACTTTTAAAAGGGTTGATGAGAAATTAATTGTGATCACTTTCTTCTAGCAGCTGGCTTTGGCTTTTTTAGGGTCTCCATTTAAAAAAAGAGGCAGTCAAACCATGGAACATCTCCTATAGAAATAGAATAATGTTAAGCTAAAAGACAACATGTCGTGGAGTAGCTAAATTTTGATACAAAGGTTTAAATATTTGCTGATATGAGGTGCTTTCTCTGCTGCTTTGTGACAGGTAAGATCTAACTCTCCCTCCCGCCGTGGATTCCGCCACTAAGTGGAAGCCCCCACATGGAAAGAATAAACCTTTATTATGTGCCAAATAATTTCCAGTTTCAGCGAGTTGAAGTCCAGGGAGCTCCCAAGAGTGAGACTTTATAGTTTCTTTGTCATCAGTGCTGAGGTATAAAAGTGCAAGTAGTGGTAACCTTCAATTACTGTGCTCCCTCCAATGTGCATTTGATATCATATGCCTAAATATCTCTTTCCTATCCTAAAAAAGGACAAGAAAATGAAAAATCAGAAAATCTAAAGAAATATCATTGTTCCCCACTTTCCTCCTTCCATCTCTGTACTGCTTCTTGGCTCCTGGAGGTCGCACCAGGCCTGCCCTGTTTCCTCTCCCCAATTCCCAAACGACACCGAATCATCTCTAACATCTCAACCCAACCCTTTTTCTCCAAAAGATCAGGCAGAGAGATAGCCACATTGCTGCATTCCTTGAGAAAAATTCAGTCTTTGGGATCACAGTTGCTGGGACTGAGTTAATCTTGCATGGTCATGACGTACGCCACTGAGCCGACCCCCACCGCCGCCACTCTACGGCGGAGGCTTCACCTCCATTGCAAGCACCGGCGGCGTGGGGTCATCTATTTATTTACTGGTGTACTACAGAAGAGGTACCTTTTTTTCTTGACTGTCCTCTATATTGGGGGCTTGATCACCTGTGCAGGACCCTTGTTGACCATCCTGCACCCGCCGCCTCCGCCGCCGCCGGGATCATTCTACCGCAGCCAGGAGGTGTTTGTGGAGCTGTGGCCTGAAATTCAGGCGGATAATGCTTCCACTGCTGAGGTTTCCACTTGGGTTTTCTTCTCTTGAAACTTCTAGGAATTTAATGTTCTGATTTTTTTAACTTGGTCAAGATTTGTTTTCTTTGATTTCCCTTGAATTGTTTTCACTTTTCACTTTGTTGGTGACAGTCTTGCAGTTTCTGCTTGATCAATTCTAAAAGCTTGATCCATAGGAGTTTCTTCTCAAGATCTGCTATCTTTGCTTTAGTTTTTTCAAATTTGGCAGTAGAGAATCAGCTGAGATGCACATTGTTAGGACTTGGGATAATAATTTGAGAACATTGATAGCCTGACATCCTCAATTCTCAACTTTAATATTTAATGTTGTGTCATAATCATTCTTTGTAGAATCATTCTTGTATTATTGGTATAAAATTGCTTTAATAATGGAAAACTCTGTGCTGTAGTTGGGTAATGTCTGGAGATACAGAAGAAAGCTGAAAGAGATACGTTCTTGTTTGAATGCTAATGCTTATCTGCAACCCGGTACGAGCATTTTGTTTCGTATGCTTGGTCTGTTGTGTTGCCTGAACCATAATTCCTTATGTGTTCATGTAATTGAGCTGTCTCAACTTTTGTCTTTACATTTTCAGTCTCCCAAAGGTTTCAGCGCTACCTAATTGTAGAGGCTAATGGCGGTCTAAACCAACAACGATCCTCGGTATGCAATTCAGACTTGATCTAATCAGCTCCTAATTATGATTGTTGATATGCATGATTAGATTATCTAGAGCATGTTCATTCTAAACATGAACCTTCATTAGTTGAAATTGGAATTTTCGAAAAGGATAAACATTATTCCCAAGCCATAGCATCAGTTTTGTTCTGAATCATTGGAGTCTGTGGAGTTACTGAAGATTTCTACCAGCCTGATTTATTCAGTGTTACTGCACGTGCAGATATGCAACGCTGTGGCTGTGGCTGGCCTGTTGAATGCTACCCTCGTCATCCCTCGATTTGATCTTCACAACGTTTGGAAGGACCCAAGGCAAGCTCCGTATTCATCAGTCCACTTTTTGTAAATAGTTAAAAATCATAGAGCTGCTAAATGAGTAAATCACTATCGTATCGACTTTATGCCACTTGGTTACTTCTATGGCATCCATCATATACAACTGCAAGGAAACAAGAGAACTTGATGAATTCATTTTTTATGCATAATTATTTTACTCGGAGCATAATGCATCGGTAAACTTGTTTCTTCTATGGGCTGGGGCTATTCGATTATGCTCAAATATTAGATTAAAAGTCCAGATTTCAGGTTACTTCTGAATTTATTGTTTAACTTACACCTCATGTGGTACCTTGCAGCGAGTTTGCTGATATATACGACGAGGATCATTTTATATCCTCCCTTAAAGATTATGTTACGGTGGTCCATGACCTGCCTAATGAATTGATGGAGAGCTATAATCATAGCATCAGCAACATTCCCAGCATTAGAATCCATGCTTGGGCCTCTGCTCGTTATTACCTGGACGAGGTTTATCCGATTTTGCAAGAAACAAGGTACACGGTAACGACCTATTTCTCTTTCAGTTATCATTCTTACCATAACCTGAACCTCTTATTGTCTTTACATTTTCGTATAGGGTTATTCGTGTGTCTCCCTTTGCAAATAGATTGGCGACGAGCATTCCTCCACACATTCAATTTTTAAGATGTCTAGCCAACTATAAAGCACTCAAGTTCTCTTCACCAATAATGAATCTTGCGAAAATGATCGTCAGCCGAATGGTTCGTAAGAGCTTGAATTCTGGTGGGAAGTACATTGCAGTTCATCTTCGATTTGAAGAGGTAAATATTTTCCCCGAGTACCATTAATGTATGCATCATGTTATTACTTACTTTTCACAGCTCGGTTATGTCTTCCTCTGCAGGATATGGTGGCATTCTCTTGCTGTGTATACGATGGAGACAAGACGGAAACATCAGAAATGAACGAAATGCGCCTAAAGGGTTGGGGAAAGAAGTTCACTCACAAAAGTCGCGTCACTGCTGCTGGACTTAATCGAGTAAACGGGAGATGTCCAATGACCCCTGTGGAGGTTAGTTTTCTGAGCTGCCATCCAACAACACTCTGCAATTCGATTTCATATTTCTGTTAAAATCCATCGATGTTTGAAAAAAAAAAAAAAAAATGCTCGTAGCCGTTTTGCAGGCAGTAACGCTTCGTTTCTGTCTTGATACTTCTCTGTCAGCATAGGTTGGTATGATGCTAAGAGGTATGGGATTCTCCAACGACACGGCCATTTATTTGGCGTCGGGCAAGATTTACAAGGAGGAACGATACTTAGAGCCTCTTCAGAAGATGTTCCCGTTTTTATATACCAAGGAATCGCTCGCTACCGAGGATGAACTTGCTCCGATCCAGGTATACTCTACATTACAAAAATACAGCTACAATTCGTAACTGATCGGATGTTGTTTCCGCATATCCTTTCGATTTACAGGGATTTTCGTCGAGACAAGCTGCCTTGGACTACATGGTGTGCTTGTATAGCGAAGTATTCGTGACGACACAAGGCGGGAACTTCCCTCACTTTCTTATGGGACATCGAAGATTTCTATACAACGGGCACGCCAAGACCATCATCCCCGACAAAACCAAGCTTGTAGTGTTGTTGCACGATAAAAACATAAGGTAATCGAACCGCATATCTATTAAATTAAGTTGTTATTATTTTGGTCGAACTGTATTTTCTCTAAACAATTACGACACATGATTTCACATTGTTGTTGTGCAGTTGGAGTTCGTTCAAGGATGAGATGGAGTCGATGCTGATTGAAAGCGACCGGAAAAGTATAATGGTGCCGAGAGTGAAGAAGTCGACCCGAAAAGGCTCGATATATTTGAACCCTTTGCCGGAATGCCGGTGCCTCTGGGAATCGCAGAACTCTACCTCGCCCTCGGATTACTATTACTTCTAAGGCATTTCGGGGAACTTGCTCGTCCCTTTTTTATTCGATTCGATCCGATTTTTCGGCACAGCAGATAGCCCGGAGATTTTCTTTGAGACGGGTCAATGGTAAGTTACAAGTGTGTTCTATAATAGAAATGGTAGCATTATGTTGTGTGTGTGTGCGCGCTATGCATCAAATTTTTGTTTTTGTTTGTGTTTTTTTGGCTGTAATGTAAGTGCATAGTTTTTTTTTTTTTTTTTTTTTTTTTTCTAATCATATTTTTTAAATTAAAAAAGAGTAGTTAGATAAGGAGATATATAATTTTAAAATAAAAAATATAATTAAAAATATTTAATAAATAGAACGAAAAAAAACCTTATGTTGATCCATTCTCAATTTCCAAAGGCACATATATAACCTATTTCTGTATTTATCTGATTGTAACTGAGTTATATGCCAAGTGGTGCTTAGCACTAAATATTATTTCGTCGTTACTATTGTCAACTTAGGTTACTATTTTATAAAATGTTTTTTAAATAGTTGTCGGATGAAATATAAGTAAAAATTAATGTGATATTTTAAATTTAAAATTAATTTATAATATAATAAAAAAAATAAAAATGAATATTATCTTTGCTTATTTAAAAAATTATTATTTATTTTATGTATGTAATTTAATAGATATTGGATGAATTCAAATATGTGGTGAGATTTATCCAAACTAAACAAATAAATAATTTGTATTTAGACAGTAAAAATATTTATTTAATGTTTTTTGAAAAAAAAATGTGAATAATGTAAATTAATAAATTAGCAAACAAACACATAAGTGGCCTTTGATTTAGTGGAATCAAGATTAAAATGTGTTACAATATTTAAATAAACAAAAACAGGAGATAAACATATATTGTCAATTAAATACGAAATATAGCATTATAAATAAAAATAAGTGATTTAAATTTAGAGGACAAGTGAAATTATTCGTATAAAAACATAGGAAGGATCGATACATTTAAACATTAAATTAAAATTTGGAGCGGCAGGGGCAAAAGTGTAATTTAAGAAAGGGCTCAGATTCAGCGAATTAAACGGGAGCAATAATTCGGATGACCGCACCGTTTTCAGTCTGACTACAAAATTCCAAAATGAGCGGCCCAACTTCCGACGCCCTTTTTCTGATTCCTGACATTTTTGCCCTTTCCTTCACTCTTCACCATCATCAATTTCTGTAGCCATCCGAAAATACAATACTACCCCTCCTTCATTGCCTGCCTCTTCATTTTTACCCTCTGTAGCTCCACTCTTTCACTTCCCTCTCACTGTCTATTTCGTGTAAAGTATTTAATTTTAATAAATGAATAAATAAATAAATTGTTGCCAAAAATATGAATGAATGATTCTGATGAGGAATGACAATAATTATTGGTGAAATAAAAAATGTAACAATAACAGTGGCCCCTTGTCCTATCCCATCCCATCTTTATCTTGTGAACTCTTCTTCTGCAACTTCTGCAGTATACATACATACCTATGTGTATATATATATATTCAACAGAATCTGGTGATCCATTCCGTGACATATTATCAGAGGCTTTTTAATAAAATTTAAATTTGAGATTAATAATCATGAACAAACAATTCTGCCCACCATCAATCATCATCCCATGCCAGTCAGTACAAATAAATAAGTTTAGAGAGAGAGAAGAGAGAGAGGGGCTATGGGTGTATGAATGTACAATCTAAGAATCAAAAGAGAGTGGCAAAGCAAATCTGATCTGACTCATAACATTGAATTTTTTATTATATATAAATGTTCTTGATTTCTTTCTTGTGACCTTTTGAAAAATGGATGAATATATTCCATATTGTAGAGATATATTTATTTATATATATATACTGCATTGTAATTTACATATATATATATATTTTAAAATCTGTATTCCACCATTCAAGTTTTGTCCTTTCCCACAATAACAATAATTTCTCTCTCTCTCACACAGAGATAGTGTGAATCGCTTAAATGCACAACACTGCAACTAAATGTCGTCATACACAAAATAAAAGGAGAGAGAGAGAGAGAAACAGAGTAGTGTGTGTATGAGAGAGAAAATAATATTCTACATCAAGAACTCAAAGAGGGGGCATCTTCAATCTTCCTTCTCCAATCTCCAGTGGAGAAATAAACAGCATTGGCAATGGCAGGTTCATCTTCATCATCATTATCATCAGAGTCATTTCTGAGGCAGCTGAGCAGCAAAGAAGGATGGAAATCAGCATCAAGAAGATGGGGTATGGGCAACAATGGCAGCAGCAGCAGCAGCTTGAAGCAGCAAATGGAGGGGATGATGATGAATGGCAATGGAGGAATGTTTGTGATGAAGAAGAGGGTAATGGTGGTTGTGGATCAATCCTCTCACTCTAAACATGCCATGATGTGGGCTCTCACTCATGTCACCAACAAAGGGGATATCCTAACCCTCCTCCACATCCTCCCTTCTCACTCTAACTCTCACTCTCAAGATTCTTCTTCTTGCCTTGCTTCCTCACTTGCCTCTCTCTGCAAAGCCTGCAAGCCTGAGGTATACAATATTATATACACGTATGTATATATATTAAATCTCTCTCTCTCTTCTTCTTCTTCTTCACAAACAGATCTGCAGCCGCCATTGCCAAGATGTTCTAACTAATTCACTTGTTGACCTTCCTTTAATTAAATTATTGATTATTGTTGTTGATGGGATTGTGGGTCAGGTTGAAGTGGAAGCACTGGTGATTCAAGGTCCTAAAATGGCGACAGTGATGAGCCAGGTGAAGAAGCTTGAGGTCTCTGTCTTAGTTTTAGGTCAGAAGAAGCCCTCCCCATTCCTCAACAACTTCTGGTCAGTATATCCACATACATAATACTACTAAAATTCAACAACCCTATTATTAATTTAATTTAATTTCCATTAAATCTCTCTCTCTCTCTCTCTCTCTCTCTCTCTCTCTCTCTCTCTCTCTCTCTCTATCAGCCTGTGTGTGAAAGGCAGCAGTGAAGAACTTGTAGATGAGTGTATTAGCAGCCTGGAGTGTTGTTTGACCATTGGGGTGAGAAAACAGAGCAATGGTGTTGGTGGCTATCTCATCACTACCAGATGGCACAAGAACTTCTGGCTCTTGGCCTAATCTCTCTCTCTCTCCTGTCTTTATTTTAATAAAATCCAAATTCATATCTTGTAATGATACTTCAGATCTTCCTAAGTAGTAGTAGTAGTAAGTGCCTATTTCTTCACTGTCATAACTCAACAACATAAATCAGTTCAGCAAAAGAATCAAACTTTGAAAAGATATATATATATATATATATATATGGGCAGAAGCCCCAAAACATGTTTGCCATTTCCCAATTGGATTTTTACTCATATATGTTCCTACACTTTTTCTCATATTTTCATACACTAGGAAGAATAGAATAGAGATTCATTGCAGTAATAATATTGCATTCGAGAGAGACAAAGGCTAGAAGAAATTTTTGTCTTTGTAATGATTTACACGACTTTTTGGCTTTGGCTAGACTTTGTCGTCGAGTTTATCGTTCACCAGCGGGATTGACTCCATCGTCACGCCACGAGGGGTTCGTGGTGTGCCCGGCATTTGATTCGACAGCATGTGCCGGATGTATCCGTAGAACGTGCACCCTACGAGGGTTACCGAGCATCCGAACGCATTCATTATCGAGATCGGGTTGCGGAAGATGAGCCACGAGCACGTCACCGCGACTGCAACCTGAGGCGCGATAAAAGAGTTCGGACAATTAGCGATTTACATTAAGAGTTCGTAGATTTTAAGAATAGAATGTCAAGTTCAAACCTTGAGATTTCCTGCGACATTGAAGGTCACCGCTGTTGTGGAGTGGATGACGTAGAAGATAGAGAAGTTGAGACAAAAGGCGAGCACCCCCGACCCGAAGATGATTACGAGGGACGAAAAAAGCGACGGGCATGTGTAAATCCACGCCACGACTCCCGGCCCCTCGAGCAGCAACGCCGGTACTGCCAAAATCATCGTCGCAAACGGCGCCATGTAGAACACCGTGTTTATGCTGCAACACATCAAAATTAATTGTAACTTATCATCAATGAATTCTTGCAAATCTAAAAGGGCTATCGATCATGTTTAACTGATGTTCGATCTCACAATAAACAAACATAACAAGTAAGGACAGCATTACCTGTCGAATTTGTAACCGTGCAACAAAGACTCGGCTAAAATGGTTTTAGTCGAAGTTGCAAGACAGCCAAACAAGGCAGCGCAGAACCCGAGCAGGTTGAAACTAAGCTCCGTGACGGACGTGAGCAGAATGCCGCCAACAATTGGCACCAGAGAAGCCCAAATTCGCCAGTCGAAATACTTTTTCCAGATCAGCCACTGCAAGAAAACTTTTTTCCGAGAGCAAACACAAGAGGTTCAGTGTCACATTTTCTTCGATAGGATCTTATTCATAAACTGAAAAAATTAAGGCAAGAAACTCACCAGTCGTCGCAGGGGTGAAAGACTTAATGGTTTGCATAAAGGAAACAGGAATGTACCGGAGGCTAACATTTCCCAAAACTATGTTCAAACAGAATATAAACGACATGGGGAAAATCCGGCGCCAGCGATCTTCAGGATCGACGTGAATAAGAGGCTTCACTTTCAGCACCTTAATCGCTAAATAAGCACCAATGGACGACGAAATGAAATGAATACAAGAAACTGATAGCGGGAACTTGAAATCCAGTTTCTGCCAAGGGAAAATCAGCTAAACGTGAGCAATAATCAAATTCCCTAGAAAAATTTTCTACGGAACCAAAGCACCATTGAAATGGCAGTATCGTTTGATGAACTCGAATGTTCAAAAACAACTACAGTCTAATAATGCAACAAGATCTACAGAACTTAGAATGATAACAGGGGGCTTATATATACAGAAGTATACATATGAAAAACTAATCTATAAGTCCTGTAAGAAAAAAAGAAATCTGAAAATTCAAGAACAATTAAGCACACAACAAGAACCAGTTTGATTCTTATTATTATTATTAGGATTCAAAGTGGCAATGATAATTGATAATCAAATTATCTGAGCACAGAAATGTTGAAGAACACTTTGAAGCAAAGCACAAAAAAGGGCAAACAGCACTAAATCAATCGCCATAAACCCTAGATTTTCCAAATACAGAAATTAGCATCATTATCCACAATCAAATAAAACAAAATTCAAAGCAAAAATCAACATCGAACACAATTCAATATCGAAAAGCCCTACAAGGAACACTCCAAAAACAAAAACAAATCAATAAAACAGGAAGAACACTCTCAGAAACGCCAATTCCATCTAAAATATACATTTCTGAGCACAACAATCCCAACCTGAAAGATCCATTTGTTCATGATGATAACAGTGACATTGAAACCCCACCACTGGATTATAGCCAGCACAGATCGAATTGTACTCCACTGGCACAAAAAACTCTCCTCCATAGATCAACCAAAATTAACAACACAAGTATTAAAATCAAAATCCCCAAACTTGCCGCGAAACAGAGCACCCGAATCCAACCCTAAAACAAACAATCTAGGGCGAAAAAGAAAAGGCACCGCCGAGAAATTCCACCAGCTATGGCGCCGCGGCGAGGCAGGGTGTGGATAGCCTGTGCTGTCTGTCAGAATTCCCCCATATGCGCTTCGAGCTGATTTTTAATTTATTATCGGAAATGAAAAAGGCAGGAGCTTTCTGTCTCTTTTGTTTTCTTTCGATTCGAATTCCTGCAATTTAGGTCTCAAATGCAATACATGAGCTATGAAAGTAGATATACATATATATATACACACACACACATACAGTACGCCTGGTTGGTTTGGGGTAGGTATTACGTATTATTATACGCGTATAAAAATACGTATAAGTTGTTTCCATTACATCGCGTACTACGTATTTTGGATTTTAGGACAGGGCTTTATTTGATTTTTAAAAGTAAATAAATGAGGGGCTATTGTCGTGTGGTTTATCTACTTTGCCATAATTAAATCATAATTCCAATTATAAATTTATTACAGTTTGAAATTATTATTAATAAAGTGGAAATTATATTTATTGCTGGGTTGAAGTATTTTAACAATGAAATAGACATGTTACCATATAAAAAAGTAATCGGCAATTTTTTGTGTCGAAATTGGTATTGCATTGCATTTTTCTGATTTTATTTTCTTATGATTCTTTTTGCTAAAAAATTGGATGTGACAATTACTTACTGACAAAAATTAAATAATAGTATCAAATTTTTATCTAAGGTCTAAAATATCAATTTTGGAAAATACGACTGTGGGCCCTATAGGAAGAATTTGCATATAAAGGGTCAATATTCGTCAGATTCTTTTAGGTCAAAATTAATGCACAGACAGTTACCAATTTTAATTCAAATCAACATTAATATTTTGCAGACTCGGTCCCCAAACTCTATTTATCTTTTTACTGTTTTTATTATATTTGTTGTACAAAATAAAACTTATCAATTTAGGCTCGTTTATACCAGAGTTTTTTTTTTTTTTTTTTTTGCGATTTTTGGCATTATGAAAATATGAAAAAATAAAAATAAAAAACTAATATTTAATTTAATATTTTGTAAAAAAAAAAAATATTTGATGTAATATTTTAAAAAAAATGAATAATGCTAAATAAATAAAAATTTGTTTGCACATACAAAGCATTAAAGTATTTGCCACTTAACCAAATGGCAATAATTTGTTTTATACAGTGACACAAGACATTGACAAATAGCAATTGTACATTCTATATATATATATATATATATTAAATTTAATATCACTATTTTATTTTTATTTTTTTCTTAAAGCCAAAAATAACTCTGGTGCCCAAAATCATCACTGAAAATGAAGCAATTATTTAAATTAAAATGGCAATACCTGTAATTTAGATCACGCGTAATATATTCCTGAAAGATGCCATTGAAAATTTCAAAGTCCTTTTGCCCTAGATAATCCTCTAAGCAAAGTGGCCGGGCCACATGGTTACGTGCTACAGATGATACCTGTACAAGGGATTATCTATCAGCCCTATTAAAAATAAATAAATAAATATATATTATATATATATATTATATATATATATATAATCGATTTTTTGTCTGGGCTAGTAGTTCAATCACCAGTAATGAACTGTGGAATCACAATAATACAACATATTATAAAGTTGAATGAATTATGTACATTTAATTTAAACAACTATGGATCAAGCTGGCAAACGTCTTCATAACTCTGAATTATTGAAGTAAATTTGTGTGTTCATTTTGAAGTTTGGATTTTGAATTCGGATCTAAATAGTAAAAAGTTTGAATTTGAATAGTTGTATGACCACAATATAAATAGATGTTGATGTGATATTTTGAATGTAAAATTGATTGTTATTATAATATAAAAAATAAAAAATAAGTATTTGATTTGATATTTTTTGGGAAAAAAATGAGATAGAACATTGAATTTAAAATTCAATCCCCAACCAATAAACTTGCAGGGTACGCGACTTTGAATAAATCGCACTTCGGGAAACACGACTTAGTTTAGTCTGCAAATTGCAGTTTGGTCAAGTATGTAAAAGATATTATTGGAGTCAAGGTGAAGCAACCGGAAAAGAATCAGCAAATACTGTGGGGTTAAAAGGCACATGTTGCCAAATACATGGACCAGCCAAGCTTGTTCAGATCTATCTATTTATTATCAGAAAAAAGAAAAAGAAAAAACATGTCTACAGTACGTATTTAGAATTGAAATATTACCTTCATATTAACCAAAGTAATGAGCTTGTTCAGATCTATCTATTTATTATCAGAAAAAAAAAAGAAAAGAAAAAACATGTCTACAGTACGTATTTAGAATTGAAAGATTACCTTCATATTAACCAAAGTAATGCCTAAGATTCCCATAGGATTAGGTGCACATTTGTCCTTAATATTATTGTTCACCATTGTTATTGTGAAGGATAGTCAGCATTTAAAAATATGTAAGGACCTAAGAAGGCAAGAGGTAACAGCCAGCAGCAATGAGTCTGGACAACTATTCAAAAGAAGATGAATTATGCTAATTGTTTCGCATATATGGTAAGAGGATAGAAGGGCCTACTCGCTTTTGTGACGCTTTCTCCCAAGTTTGAAGCCAATTGTGATATTTTAGTTGAATACTTGGGAAGCCAGGAATGAACTGTTTTGTGGATCACAGGATCACGAGCGGTTTCCCATCTTGCTTAGCATCGTTGCCTGCAGCACAAAATAAAAGTTTTAGCGGTAAGTTGGAAACATAAGGCTTCAAATAGCCTATGAAGATGTACCTTTTTTTTGGTCAAAAGAAAATCATCTTGAAAGGATATGCACAAGGCAACTTATCTAGTTTGTTAAACGGCATTGCCCTCATCTTAAACAGGTGAGTAGACAAGTATTCAATCACAACTTTTAATAACATGGTCAGCTCCAGAGCTACATCATGAATAGCAATAGAAATATTGAATATATGCGTGTTTGTAAACATTGGGAGCAGCATAAAAAGGCAACCGGTCCGTCAATACTGGCAAGATAAACTAATAAGTAGCTGTTCACATAATATTTTTGGAGTACAAGATGCAACCTAAGTAACAAGATTATGAGTTCTTTTTATTTTTATATGCCTCCATCTTGCAAGCTGACGAAGCCCTTAAGAAGAGCTCCTGAGAATCCAACTATACAATCCAAACGAATATGTGATGTGTTTAACATTTAGGTTACACTGTACACTGCAAACTGTCATAAAAAAAAATGCATAATCACAAAGCTTGTGGGATTAAGGTTAACATAATGCAGGACGTAGGAGTTTCCTACCAGCTTTGGTTTAACAGCTCAAAGATAAGAATTTGGAAGTGTAAATACAACAGCAACAAACAAAGGATGTAAGTCTATGCCTCTCTCATTTTAAATGTGTAGAAAATAATAATAGACCTTAGAAGGGCTTAACAGGTAGGTTAAATAACCAATATTGAAACAGCACAGAGATTCAGATACTAATGCTTACCCAGGTGACAACAAAAGGGAAGTAAATCGCTACAGAAAAGAAATACAAGAAAAAAACCTTAAGAAAATTACATTTGTATGGATTTACACAGAGCTAAGGCATTGTCATATGCTCACTTGATCAGATAGGAACGCAGTATCACCATTTCCGTAGTAAATGACATTGGAAACTAAATGTGATAAAAATAAGAAATATTCAGCAGAGCCACACAATTTTGAAAGACTGATTCAATTCTTCAAACACCAAATCCTAATAAAGGTTTCCCACCACTTTGATGTAGACTACGTTGTAAAATAAAGACATTTGATTTGGGTGGTCATCATTACATGAACATACCTAGCGACATGAAATTAGCAATGGAAAGGTTCCCAACTACAATCCAGATTTCAAAATCATGTATTCGCCACTATACATACATATCTGCAGATACCAATGGTTTCTTAATATTTGAGTCCTACTGCAAAGTCCATATAAAAACAAATTGCTTCGGTCGGTCTCCTCAATTGACTTCTTTAATTCACACACAAAAAAGAAGCGAAATTACCGGAAACAGAAGGCGGTTTAGCTGTAGCAGCGGCAACTTCGCCGTAAATAGACCTGAGGTTGGCAAGGGGAACAAGTGCTTCCTGCGGATTGGCTTCCGCCTCTGCGTAGAGCGTCTGCTTGGATTCCCAAATGGTTCGTTTAAGACCCTTGTTTGTTTTGAGCAGCGAGTCTTTCTCCACTTCCAGCGCCTTGATTGTATGCTCCTGCACCAGCGACCTCGCCGCGAGGGCTCCGAACGCCCCGATTAGCAGCGTGTTGAGGACGGCGTTGCTGTTCGCCACTCGGTTCAGCGCGCCGATGACTTGTTCCATTTCCTCCGATTTCCCAATGCAACTGCCCTTCCCTTCCCTTTCTCTGCTGTGGAATTTTTTTACTGTGGATTTTGTGTGAAAGGACACGACGATCGCCCAACCGGTTCGCTGGTTGCAAACCGGAACCGCCATACCTTGAACCGCAGTTTTCATTTTTTTCCAACGAATCAAAGATACTCATGAGCTTCTATTTCCATTTTCGTCGATGTCACATATTTTACGTCATCTTTTAATTTTTAAAAATATTTTATATTTTAATTATATTTTAAATTTTATAATTTATAATTTATATTAAATTAATTATTTATTTATTTTTATATATAATTTATTAATTATTCTTTTATAAATAATAATCGGAACATAGGGAGTAATATTATTTATTTATTTATTTTACTTATATAAAGAAACTATGATGTGTTTGTTTGGGGATTTGGATTTTGAGTTTGGATTTGAACAGTAAAAATTTTGAATTTGAATAGTTGTATGATGTGATATAAATAAGTGTTGTTATGATGTTTTGAATATAAAATTAATTTTTAGTATAATATAAAAAATAAAAAATAGATGTTTGATTTGATATTTTTGAAAAAAAAAAAAGGGATGAATAGTGAAAATCTAATAGAATCCCCCCAAACAAACACATCCCTACTTTTCTTCTTGACAAGAGCCAAAAGTTTTGGTAAAAGCCAATTTAAACGGATTATTGGTAGAAATCTTAAGAATAAAACCCAAACAAACACAATATAATTTATATTTCAAATAAAGTATATCATTTTTTTTCAATAAAAAATATTCATTTCTTCGCATTTTAATTGACATATTTTTTTATCCGTCAAAATTGCTAAATTAATATATATTTAAAATATATAAATTAATTTATTAATTATACATAACATATTACGGTATAGATTAAAATTCATTCAAAACTTTTTATATATTTAAAATTATATTTATTTGATAAAATTAATTTAGATTAATTATAAATAAATAAATATATTACTTTCTCTAATTAGAGCAAAGAGATAAGGTTTGTTTCTTTTGCTTTGAATTCACATTAAAAATTTTTTTTCACAAAATATTATTATTATATATTATTTTAATATCAACTCAAAACTAAAATTTTTAATTCATAAAAAAAAAAAAACATAGCCTATATTGTTACATGATTCCCGATATGCCCATATCTATATACAAAGGGTGTGTTTGTTTGGAGATTTTTTCTTAAATACATTATTCATTTAATTTTTTTTCAAAAAAATTAAATAAAATATATATATCTTTTTATATTATACTAAAAATTAATTTTACATTTAAAACATCACATCAACATATTTATATCTAATCATACAACAATTTAAATTCAAAAATTTTACAACTCAAAATCTAAATCCCGTACAGGTCATTAAAATCCAAAATAACTATTGTTGATGCGAAGTTACCAATGTACCCTTCATCTTTTCGTCCAACCGCCTCTGGCAAAATCTTGCAGGCGGGAATACGCCTTCTTGGAATATCATACAATCCTCACTCTCTTCCCTTTAATGCCTCTCAGACAGACGAACGAACTCACGCAATTTTCTCCCAGAGGAAAAACACATGAGACTGTGTGGGTAGTAGTAGCAAAGGGAAAAGAAAGTAGTGGACATGGCGGAATCCAGGAAGAAGCAGCCGGAGGAGGAGGAGGCCGAGCGAACGGTTGCACAAATCGGCAAAGAGTTATCCGCTTTCAAAACTTGCCCAAACAAAGACACTCTAATTAAATTACTCAAGGTAAACAAGAAAACAAGATCTGTTTGATTTTACTTCAAGCTTCGCCGATTCATAACCTAATTTTTTATTCAATTTCGTGCTTAGTGTTGGCTTATTGATTTATTTTAGTTCTATGCTTTCTTTCATCCGTTCTTAATGCTTGTATCGACATATTCGAATTTTGGGTTATAATTCTAATATACTGCGCAGCAAGCTACGAATGCTCTCCCAGTTTTAGATCAGTCGGAAGAACTAAAAGCTTCAGTCAAGCCGTTGAGAAATTCTCTTTTTAGGCATGGCTTACTTGATCATAAAGATAAAGACGTGAGGATCTTGGTTGGTTCCTGTCTCTGCGAATTGATAAGGATCCTGGCATCAAATCCTGATTTCAGAAATTCAGAATTAAAGGTAAATTGCTTTGTTTATCAGCTCTGTTTAGCTATTGTTTTTGTCAATAATGTTGGCATTTTACAGATACAGCCTTCTGGCACTCTCTATGTTAAGTTAATACTACTTTTGTACAGGGCATTTTTAAATTTCTTTTAAGTATTGTTGGGGAGCTAGATGACACTGCAAACCCATACTTCTCGAGGAAGGTCAAACTGTTGGAGACTATTGCTAGACTGAATTTTTGTGTGGTTATGCTAGACATTGGACATGATTTGGTTCTCAAAATGTTCAAAATCTTCTTCAATGTTGCAAGGTTTACTCTCTTTAGATTTTCTTATGTCTCAGCCTATATAAGTTTTCTTACTTTCTCTTTCATGAACTCCTTTCCTGTTCTTAATTGCTCCTTTAGTGATAATTTAAAAAACAAGTTATAGTGCGATACATGCATAGAAACTAACAAATGCAACATATATCCTGAAAAAGAAATTTTATCTGAAGTATGATGTATGAGTTACCATAGTTCTGGTTCTTGCTATTTGCTTAAGAACTGCCGAAAGTGATAATGTAGCTTGACTATGGTGCATAGTTACTAATAAAATTTCCGTCTCACTATCAGCTCTCCCCAGTCACTTGTGGTATTTTAAATAACACACCCAGTTATTGCTTCCAGAGGCAACTCAGAATCTGCCATAGGCTTCTAGCTTTATAGAAATGATACACAACATTCCATGAAGTTTTAACTATTATATCTTTGACCAATCAGCACTTCATGTACTGATTTATATCCCATGAGGTAACCTTTTTGGAAGATCCAAATTTGATTAAATGTTAGAGCATTTTTATAACTAATTTATGGGTACATAAGATGTATAGTGCATTGTTTAGTTACATTTTGTTGCAAGAACTTTTCTTTTGCTGACATTTATTTTTAGGTCTCACAAAGAAGCTGGTTTGACTTGAATGTTTTTTCATTTGTAGGGATGATCATCCTCAGTGTTTAACTAATTCTATTGCATCAATAATAGCAAGCATACTGGAGCAGAGTACTTCCCAGCCGCTTTTAGATTTGATATTCCAGAATCTTATTAACGAGAGAGAGGTGGTGTACTGGAAAGTTCCAGATTTAATTTGTGTTATGAAAAACAAGAAGTAGCTTCTTTTGTAACTAAAATCTTTGCTTATAAACATCAACATAATAATTGACTAACATTTTTAGGACTAGTTATCTTCCGATAAAATTGAATCTTCTGCACTAACTGTTTTTCTACTCTTATGCTTTCCAGGGTGTAGGCAATGCTTCTTCCAAAGTAGCTGTTTCGGTCATAAAAAATTGTGGTGTTAATCTGGAGCACCGTATAAGCCAGTTCCTGACATCTTGTATTTTGAATAGAGATTCTGTTGAGAGTGCAATCAAAGAATCTTACCATGAAATTATACATAAATTATTTGAAATAGCTCCTCAAATGCTTCTTTCCGCCATACCTAATTTGATCAATGAGCTACTGGTTTGTAATCTCCTTGCTATACATTCTTACCTTGCTTATGTAATCCTGCTCTGTAATTCCAACTTTGGAGATTAATCTTGATACTTCTTTTCAAAGATAACTATTGTTTCTGTTCTATAATGCTATATCCATCTTTCATGTTTAGGTTGTCTTGTTATTTTTATTCTGGCTTCTTGGGGTAATTTGAAGTTTTATGGAACTTGCAGACTGATCAGGTTGATGTCCGAATTAAAGCTCTTAATTTAATTAAAAAGCTGATAGCATTGCGAGGCCTGCATGTTGTACGAGAATATACGCTCATATTTGTCGAGTTGCTCAATAGATTCTCAGACAAGTCTGCTGAAGTGAGACTTGTTGTTCTTTCTTGTGCTAAAACTCTCTACATGACTAATCCATCAGGGCAAGAATCACATGTGATCCTCTGTAAGCTGTTAATAGTGTTCATATGTATCTGAACCATTGCTTAGTTCTGTTAGTTTCTCCAACATTGGCGTTCTCTCATCCATGTTCTTATATTTTGTATGTGATTTGTGAGCTTCCAGCTGCCATTCAGGGCCGACTGTTAGACCACGATGATAAAGTAAGAGTTGAAGCAGTTAATGCGGTTTGTGATTTATCAAAGACTAACTTAAATGTTGAATCCTCTGATTTAGTTACTCTAGCAGCTGAAAGGCTCCGTGATAAGAAGGTTCATTATTTCTATCTCATTGAGCTCTACAATTTTCGTTTGCCCTTCCAAGCCTCATGTCATTTACATCAAAATTTCAGGCTTCAGTCCGTTCAAAAGCCTTAAAAAAGTTGTTAGACCTATACCATGACTACTGTACAAGGTGTGCAGCAGACATCACTTTGCACAATGATAGTGTTGAGGAGATCCCATGCAAAGTTTTGATGCTTTGTTATGAGAAGGACTGTCCAGAGTTTAGGTATATTTTTGGCAACTCAAAAAAAGAAAAAAAAAAAAGTTTCATCAATTGAGTGTCGCATTTGCATGCAATATAATATGGTGATTTCATTTGATTTCCAGGCCTCAGAGCTTGGAGCTTGTCCTAGCTGATTTATTCCCTGCTGTTCTATCAATTGAAGAAAGGATGAAGCACTGGGAATTTATGTTTTCTCTTTTCAAACCACCTCATATTAAGGCACTGAAAACTATTTTGTTTCAAAAAAGGAGGTTAGCTTGTTGAACTGTTTATCGCTTTACTTTAGTCAATATCTGTTTGAACTGTTTGGTTTGGTTGCAGGCTGCGAGACGGGCTTAAAGAATACTTGGATCTCCTCACTAGAGTGCATGTATGGCTGAGACAACAGTCCTTTTTCGGTCTTTTCCCTTCTTTTGTTTTAGAAATGATGCTTTTGTTATTTGAGACATGTTGGTAATTTGTATAGCTTTGTGAATAGAGCACTTTGGCTGAGTTTAAATATTTGCCCTCAAAACATTGAACATCATCTGGTTTTTGTGGTTTGGGATGTGCTGATTCCAGAATCATTTGGAACGCTGTTTCTAGTGATTTTTTCAGCAAGCCACCAAACACATGGGATTACTGTGGAGTGCTTACACTCAGCTATTCTTTTATGTTGATGGCGTGTAGATATGTATTTGTTTTACTGAAATAATAGGATGGTGCTCTTTGTTCTTATCTAGAGGTCATATGTTTTTCTATATAAACTAGTTTGCAGTATTTACATTTGTGTGTTTTCTTTTATTCACCAGAACAATTTCAATGGAAGTTATCTTTATCATGTATCATGCAACTGTGCTTTGTTAAGAAGTATACATGCTTTGCATATCAAAGAATTGCGAAAATGCTTCCAGCAATCTATGAATCACACCCTAAACTATTCTGCATTACTCAATAATAATTTGCCTCAATGTTATGATGGAGATGCTATTCTTTCAAAGGAGCAATAATAGTGGAGCTTGCCTGCAATATATGATGGTGATAGGTCTATGTTTCTTTCCTTCTGTTGCAGACAAATGGATATAGAGAAGGAGAAACAGAATTGTCAGCATTAATTGGTAAAATGTCTTTATGCTTTCCCGATCCCGCTAAAGCGAAAGATTGCTTTCAGAGATTAAATGAAGTAAAAGATAGTGAAATAGTGAGACTTCTACAGAGGAACTTAAGTGAAGAGATAGAACTTGATTATGAGACCATTAAGGTAAGTTTTAAAGTTTCAATCACCTTAATTATGTTAATGTTACCACATATTCTGTAATGAGTTAATATATTATCATGTAAATAACTCCATCTGATCTTCTATATATCCTGGGTCCTTGCATATAGGCATATGAGAAGTATATATATTTTCACCACAATGTATTGAATTTTAAATTCACATGCCAATATGCAAATAACAGATCAATTAACAAAGTCTTGAGCTATCCTAGTTCATGTAAACATGTACCGATAATATGTGCTTACTGTGTAAATTGTGACTTCTTGTGATGATTTATTCAAAGCAGGGGATTACTTTCTACTCGGATATATTAAATTTTGAAGTGACCATCTCTTTGACTTTCCATTATCTTTAAGTTTATGCAGGGTCAATTTACTAACTCTCTGTTGCTTCCTTTGATCAGGATCTGTGTAAAAGAGAACTTGGTGATCATAGATTACTTCTTCATTTCCTCGAGCAACTTTCTGGAAAATGCTCTTTTAATATATTTGGCTCTGAGCACGTCCAATATATTCTTGGTCGTCTTTCTAGTGATGAAGCTTCAGAACAGCACCTGAAAGATTATCAAGTGCAACTTTTTCTGGTAAGAGATGCGTCTCTAAAGGTTAAATTTGCCAAATCATTCTTATTCTTTGTTCATCTCTTGTATAGCTATGTATGAATCTATTTAAGACACCTCCTCTGTATCTTTTCTTTTTCATTCATAATGTTTCTGTTTAATTATTTGTCTCCTTCAGACTATTATTAGTATCTTTCCCTCGCTCCTTAGAGGCTCAGAGAAGAAGTTCCAGCTTTTGTTATTTGAAAGGAAGATTCCTATTAATGAGCCGTTGATTGAGATTTTAGCTCGGGAGGGACGGAATATGGCTATTAAACTCAGGTGAACAGATGAAGTAAACTTCATGTTTGGAAAGTGATCATTGGGCATCACCTACTTTTTACATCTTTGAATGGGTTAATGGCTATTAAAGATTCAATAGGAAACTTGAATTATGAGAAAAATATATGAGACAGAAACTATTGCATGTAATATTAACCTGGTATCATAGTGTCTTTTAAGGATGTAGATTGATTAAAACTTCTATTTTATTCTCTGTCCGTCAATGTGCTAAGTTATTACTGTCTAATCTTTTATGTGCAGTGATGTTTACTCATTCCTGGAGAAAATATGTTTGGAAGGAACTCGTGTGCAGTCAAAAATTGCTATCTCTGCAATTGCTTCATTAGCTGATACCTCTGAGCAGCTCGTTTTTCCACAGCTTTGTGAGGTTATTTACTTACTATGTGTATTTGTGTGCATGTATGCTGTGAAGCACTACTTTTCATTCCAAAGATTTATGTTGACTGAAATGGATTTGTTACAAATATTTAGATTTTATATTTATAGGGTTAAATTTTAGATTGTCTTGTTACTGACTGAACTTGGCTCTAATGATTGACGAAACTAACCCTTTGTGGGGACATATTACTTAAAAAAGAAAAAAGAAAAAATGAGAAAAAGAAGAAGATAGGAAAGGGAAAAGGAATAACAGGATATCCTGCCAACTGCCTAATGCTCAAAATATTCTGCAAAAGCATGAGAAACCTAATAATCCTTAACCAACTAATATAAGGAGCAGCTCATAGGGTTAGTCCATGATAAAGATAAAACCCTAGACAGAATTCAGCTCCACTTATTTTTCTCCTTCATTCAATCTTGATTTTAGTTGGTAATTTACTCATCACAATGTATTTAGTGGAGTTCTCTGGACCACTCACTTTTTGTTATGCTTAATTCGCCTCTTATCTCTTGAATGAATATTCATCTTTCAATTTCATGCTTGTTTAACTAGGCACTGATGGAATCTCTACACAATGGATGCAATATTCCAACTGTGTTGCAGTCCATAGGCTGTATGGCACAGCACTCCATTCCTGCATTTGAAGCCCAAGAAAAAGCAATTAGAGATTACATTGTTGAGGAAATGATTCATCAAAATGATGTGATTTTCTACCATCTTTTATCCCTTCTCACTTTACCCTAAACTTATCATGGAACCCTGTTGATTTTATTTGGTTCTTCAAGTTCTTAACTCGTGGAGGTTTTGTGACTAGGTTCCTGCTTCAAGGGATTTTGATTTGTCTGATGAGGCTTCTGACTGTTGCTCTTCCTGTAAACTAAAGGTTAGAATGTTTTTCAAGAGTTCATCTACAGAAGTTATTGGAAGAATTTGACCATGATTGGTTATATTGAATTAGCCCTTATTCTGCCATCATAAATTAATTGGTGTCGAACTAGCTACTTTCCATGGTTAAACTCCTTCACAAATGATGTTGTGTATGGTGTGGTTGTTTCTGGTAAGGATCATGTTCTCTCTTCTCAAGGATAACTCATTATGTAGCTTGAAAATCACTAAAATACCTTTTCACATTAATTTAATGAAATTTTCTCTTAATCTCATTGTTTTGCTCTCTTCTGACTTTTGCCACAATAGAATTCATTTTGTTCAATAATTCTGTGCAGATATTTGCACTTAAAGCTCTAGTCAGAAGCTTCTTGCCACATAAACAGCGACCTCTCAGTCATCCAATTAAGTTTCTGCTGGATATTGTTCATCAGATGCTACAACATCATGTGTTTTCTTCTGGTAACAGGCAATGGTAAGGAGATTCTAATTGCTTAGGAATTTATCTAGGTGCTTTAGCAAATTGCTTTATTATATTGCTCAGGCTGTAAATTTTTTGACAAGTTGGTTCCTTCTTGAGCATTAGATATTTGGGGATGGGTTTAATTACATTGGCCTATAAGCAACTTTGTAACAACCATCACTACACTCAAGCTTTTTTACCTCCTCAGCATCTTTTTGTGCTGTCCTTTTATAAAGCATTATTAACACATAGATACAACATTTGTATTTTCCTTTCCATTAGATGCCTGAAATTTGAAAAGGTGAAACTATTAAGTGTTACCCGTTTGAATCCACCTTTATTTTTTAAACAAGCAGATTCTTCGTTAAATCTTATATTTCTCATTCTTCAATAATATGTTTGCTATTAAATTTGATTAACTATCATTTACCATATACATGGGATAGAGAGCTATAGGTAATAGGCCAGTCATTTCTTTTTCTCCTATTGGGAATTATTATTGGTCACTGTAAGGGAATTACCTTGAGAGCCATCAGCATCTCTTTGCTTCTGGATCCTGCAGTTGATAGGTCACATTATTTTGTTAGGATATTTGTACCATGAAAAATTTTCTACAAATTATACAATATATATAATATCTCTGGCTATTTGGACTGAATACGTGAAACGTGATGCAACCAATTTTTAAATAAAATTTCACGTTCAAGTTCTTTGTTAAGTACTTAAGTACGCTAAATATGTCATTTGCTTTTCTTTTTTCAGTGAAGATGATGCATTCATTCGATTAGCTGCAGCTAAGTCCATCCTAAGGGTTTCAAGAAAATGGGATTTGCATATTTCTCCAGAGATATTCCGCTTAACAATCTTAACTGCAAAGGTTGGGTTTACTTGATTATGTTTTATGATGAAAGCCTGCACTGGCAGATTGTTATTAGTGTATATTGTATACATTAATGATTGATTTTTACTTGATAATATATCCATAGGAGGGTTAGTAGATTAATTCTGGGTTATGGTGAGTGATAGTTTTCACCAGTTTTTATTGCAGTATGAGCCCAAATTGGAACACCTATTAATATAGGATATTAATGAGATCACTTTCCCCATCTTTGGGATGGTGTCCATGAACTTTCTCAGAGGCTCTTCCGTTTATCTGGAAGAAGAATTATAGTTGGTTATACATGCATCCTTGTCTGTATCCATATCACACACCTGGCTGTGCTATAGACTCTTAGCAAGCACTAGTAAGGTTGAATTTAAGCAGTTATCAAGATCCATTATGGGGATAGTTTGTTGATTTGCAAGGGATTATGTATACAGGTTTTACATAATAAACTTTCATATCTTTGATTTTTCCAGGATCATTCTCCTGAGGTTCGTAAATCATTTGCCAGGAAAATACACAAGTTGTTGCGTAATTACACCTTGCCCAGTAGATATGCATGTGCATTTGCATTTGCTGCTCTAGATTCTATCAAAGATCAGCGGATTGATGTAGGTTTATTTCTTTATTTTTATTACTATCATTTTTCCGTATTCTAATTTTCTGCAGCACTAAGTATTTGGTTTCTGAACAAAAACTTTCAGGCACTGAAATACTTGGAGGACTTCATTCGAGAATATGACAGAGGAGCTCAAACACAGGAAACCATGATTATACAAGGACCAACAAATCACCCTGTATATATAACTGTGTTCTTGATCCATGTTCTTGCACATGACCAAAATTTTCCTGCTCTTGATAGTCGAGATGAAAAGCTGTTTGCTCAGTTTCTGAGGTATTATTTCCTTTATTGGTTATATAGTAACTTCCGGTCCTCATAACTCATATTTTCACCAAGTTGACCATCTTCATTTATTTGTGACAATCTTTATACTTCTTTCCTTCTAATTCCCAGTTCTTATTCTCTGTGCAGTCCACTTTTTGTCATGGTGCAGACATTAGTAAACAAAAGTTTAGTTGATGCAAATTCAAGTCAAATATCTAATTCTTCTGCTTACTTGCGATGCATATTCAATGCTATAAAAAAGGCAGAGGATGCTGTTGATTCTCAGATGACTCCAGTAAGATTTAAATTAAAGATGCCAATACTTTTATATTAGAGATTCTTAGAGACATTAGCACCAAATCTATTTTATGCTACCTAACCTCCTATATTTTCTCTTGTTACTAAAATTGTAGAAGCTACACTTTTTGGCCGAAGTTGGGATTTCAATTTTAGATTCTCTAAATACCATCAAAACTGGAGTCTCACATACTCCCGGGGTAATTCTGCTCCCATCGTCGCTCTATAAAAGTATTGCTTCTGAAATGAAAAAGGCAAGTTCCTTCTCTGCTACAATCTTTTACTGCACAATGTCATTTGTTCCATCTCTCCGACATGGTAATCGCTGTTATTTCTTTTACAGGCTAATGCTTGTATAGAAGATGCAAACTTTCTTAAGAACTTGGTATCTCAGCTCAAAGCTGAAGTTTCAAGGGTGTGTGTTTGCGTTACTTCTTTTTTCAAGATGCCTATTCAATATTTTGGTATAGTAAATTTTATTTTTTGTCCTTCAGATTAATGGCACTGGCATTGAACTCGGCCAACAATGTGTTGAAAATTCGTTACGAACAAGTGGCACAAGGCATGCCAGATCAAAATCAAAATCGGGCCATACAAATAAAAATGATTCATCAAAGAACAAAACTAAGAATCGGACTGATGATCTCCATGCAAAAGAAATGGAGCAGCTAGATCCTTCCATCAGTGTGAGTGATGTTAGCAGACAACGTAATGAGGCGAAATCATCGAACTTTGGTTCAGTTGTACTTCATGAAAACTCTTCTGCTGAAAATGGACCCAAAGTAGATGATGAAAATGGAACAATACCACCATCATTATATCAACAAGAAACTGTTTCAAGTAGTTCCAAGGAAGAAGTTCAAGTGCAAAGAACCACCGGCGTCAGAAAGAACACTCAAGCTGGTAAAAGTTATAAGCTTCATTACCTATATTTAAAGAGTTTATTTATTTATTTTTTTCTCGGAGCAGCAAAGAAGAGGATGAGGACAAAGGGAGGGGAAGATGTTGCTGCTATCGACACACCCACATCGGCCGTCACTAATCTCAGTGACGATCGTGTAAGAGTGTATTGAAGTGTAGAAAACTTTTAAATTACAAAATTTACTGCAATGTATTGAGTTCTTTTGTTGGCTGTATTCATGCAAATGTTTTTCTTTTTTCAGGTGGCCCGGAGGACTCGGAGACAAAAAGTAATGTAATGTCTGTGAGCATGTGTGATCACTATTATTCAGAAAAGTGATGTTATTCTTCATTGCAGCAGGTATATTGTGATTTGGTATATATATATATATATATGTATGTTTGTGATTACTATTATAAAGAAGGTGAAGTTGCCCCTCCAGTAAAATTAATATTTGTGTTTATTAATAGAAATGAAGAAATATAAAAAATAATATATTTTTTTATCTATTTTAATTATTCGGTAATATTTTTAAAATAAAAAATAATTAGAAATATATTTAATTCTTATTTTATATTTTATTTTATCATAATTTTCAAATAAAAAATAATTTAGAAAATAATTACACATTTTAATCTCATTTGAAATTTTTTTATTTATTTTTTTATAATTTTAATATTATTATATCATTTAATTTATAAATTATTATATTTAATACTTTAGCAAAAATAAATGTTAGCACACGTTTGGGATAGAAGGGGTATTATTTAAATATTATTTAAATCTAAAATTAAATAAAAACCTTTACTATCGAGTACAAACAAAGCAAGCCCACGCTCAAAATGCATCACGTGATGAAAACCAACAATACAATTTGAAGTAATTTTTATCATTTACGTTGTTACATTTATAGCCAATCATTTAAGTCAGATCTAATTAATGATGTAATAAATACCCACGTTATTTAAATTAATTACTTTCCTAACATAATTATTATTCCCCAGTGTGGAGAACACTTACCATAAGACAAATAAACTAATTAAGTAATATTTTCTTCGATCAAATATATAAGTATTATTTTTATTTTTTAATATAAAATAATTTATTTCTATTTATAACAAAAAAAAATTAATACATATTTTTAGCATGTACCTTTTAATATTACGGAGTGTGTTTGTTTTGACAATTTTATTTAATTTTTATAATTTATAATTAATTTTTTTTAAAAAATATCAAATTAAAAATTTATTTTTTTATTTTTTATATTATATTTGAATATCAAATTCAAAACAAAATATTAATGACAACTATTCAAATGAAAACTCAAAACCAAAATTTCAAACAAACCCACTATATATTTATTTACAAATGGGAGAATCACTTTTGCATTCAATTTCTATCAAAAAATAAAAAATAAAAATCTTTTAAGATATTTTATTTTTACTACAATCAATCAATCAATACAATACATTTATGTACAATTTGAAAATATATGTTTACTTTTGGCATAATCTAAGAAATAATAGATGTTAAGATAATTTTGTTATTATTTTTTTTATAAAAATAATAATGTGATAGTAAAATAAAATATTTTTGAAAAAAATTCCTGTATTTTACATAATATTTAGAAACAATGCTATTAAAAAGTAGATGGATTTGAAGATAAAATTGTCTTTTTATCCTTCTATGTTAATATTAACTACTGCCTATGTATAAAGAATAAAATACAAATAATAAAATTTAAGTTTAAGTTAAAAGTATATATATTATATAAAAAGAATTATTTTATATTAAAAATGTTACATTAATGACTATTTATTAACAATTATTTGAATTTAAAATTTGACTATCAAAACCCCGACCAAACGCAACGAACACACCCTATGTAATAATTAAGGATTATATTTCTAATTACGTCATGATCTCCTACTTAGCGATAAAAGTCAATCGAGAGTCGGTTCGCACGCACATTTGGCTGAGGGACTGTGCATTGGTTCGTCCGATTCTTCGCTTCCGCTCTGGAATTTGTTGCAGAAATGTCGATTATTCACCACAATCCGCTCTACGTTCCTCCGCCGCGGTCTCGGTATTCGTCGCTTGGCGGAAATCAATTCAGAAATTTGCTGCCGAGATGCGCGACGAAGAATGGAAAATTTCACGCATCTGTCGAAGTCAAGGTTTCGAATTTGCTGCCGTTCGCTTTGCCGAATTCGAGCGGCGACGGATTCTCTACGTCTTCTTTTAATCAGGTGAAATAAATGATGTGCAGGTTTATTTTCATGATTTATTTTTTATTTTATTATTATTTTTTATATTCAGATAAATCAATTCGTCTTCGAGGTTTGATTGTGCTAAGATTTTTGTTTTCTGTTTTTTGATGAGTTGCAGTTGCTTGAGGCTTTGATAAGCGGGAAAAATTTATCGGAAGCTGAAGCTGAGGCTTCTCTCGATTTCTTGTTGGATGGCGCTGATGAGGCTTTGATCAGCGCTTTTTTGGTGCTTTTGAGAGCTAAAGGAGAAACTGATGAAGAAGTAAGTGAATTTACATATAACGAAGAATAGAAAATGTGCAAATATTTTATTCTGTACGTGTTTTCCTAAATTTGGTAGTTTGAATTCTACCTACCATCTGAGAGCATTTACACAACTCATATGGTAGCATTTGATATTGCTTTGGCGATTATCTTGTTGTCGTTTTCATCCATGTAATCAATCAGTATGGCACTATCAAAAAATTAGGAAAATCAAAAAAAAAATGGAATTCGAAGAAAGTGAAATTGGTGAGGAGTGAGGCTCATAATTGTTGGAAAATCAATCAGTATGGCACTCACCCAAAATTAGATAAATCAAAATGAAAAATGGAATTCAAATTCGAATTTGAATTCAAATTGTTGGAAGACAGTGAAATTGGTGTATTTATTCAGAATTGGTGAGGTACTGAGGCTCATAATTGTTAGAAACAAGTGGAATAAATGCTGCTGAATATTAAATAGGTAGCTGGGCTGGCAAGAGCAATGCTACTGCACTGCAGGAAAGTCGAGGGAGTGACTGATGCAGTCGATATTGTCGGGACAGGTGGGGATGGTGCAAATACAGTGAACATTTCTACAGGGGCTTCAATTCTAGCAGCAGCTTGTGGGGCAAAAGTTGCTAAGGTGAGCTGTTATTCATACTTTTCAGATGGTAATTTTCTTTCCAATTCATTAGGTTTTCACTGTTTGTTTAAACTGATTTTCAAATTGACGATTGCTATACAGCAAGGGAATCGGTCGAGTTCATCTGCTTGTGGTAGTGCTGATGTTCTCGAACAATTGGGAGTTGAAATTAACTTGGGACCAGAGGTATGAGCAGTTAATGGTATCTTTGTTTTGTTCTATCGAATTTGATGTACATATTCTCTGCAATCCCCTTCGATGAATAGTTTTCTGCTGATTAAAGCCATAGCCAGGCACTTATAGATACTCTGAATACAAATTGAAGTAAAGAGTGAGTTGCTAATTAATTAGTAACCCGTAACATGGATCACTTAAACATTGACATTCATGATCATACTGTAGAAATTAAGAATGTGTATATTCGGAATAATGCTTGATTTTGAGAGAGATGGATTATAGATCTATTTTTAGCTTTAGTTGTTTTCTCTCATGCTGTTTACTTCCCATATGCCTTTTGTTTGTTCGAGAGGTGATTGCTTCTACCACAATCCCTGTCCTTTCGTAGAATCTTTCGAGGATTTCTTTCCCTTCTCTTTCTAAAGTTCTATTCTTCAGAAAACTGTGACAGCCAGTTATATAAAATCTATGTGTATGCTTTGGCCCATGACGACGATTAACTTTTGTGGGTATATATATGTATTTATATATTCGCATCACTAACTAAATTTTAACGATTATTATTGCATAGGGGATTGCAGAGTGCATAAACGAAGTGGGAATTGGCTTCATGCTGTCTCCAATTTATCATCCAGCAATGCAAATTGTTAGGCCAGTTAGGAAAAAGCTTAAAATAAAGACCGTGTTCAATATCTTGGGCCCCATGCTGAATCCGGCACGAGTTCCTTTCGCTGTTGTTGGAGTATACCATGAGGAGCTGGTACGTCGACTGCCAATGTTTATGTTTTCTTAAGCCCTGCTTCTACTTTTGAATGTTAACTGCGAGAAAGATTGGACACTTTCTGATAAGTTTGTCGAAGAAGTTACCCAATATAATTTGTAACAATTGTAACTTTTGCTAGGTGCATAAAATGGCGAGTGCTCTTCAAAGGTTCGGCATGAAAAGAGCATTGATTGTCCATTCCGAGGGATTGGACGAGATGAGTCCTCTTGGTAAGGTGCATCTTACATTTTACGAGCAGAAATTAGTATTATATCGCATCAAATCTCACTTTTTCTTGCATATCCTATTCATTCCATCGAATTTTAATCAAAACTTTCAATCACTTAAACAGGGCCTGGATTAGTCCTCGATGTCACTCCAGATAAGATAGAAAAGTTCGCATTTGATCCGCGTAAGCAGCTTTCTACTACCTTAACAATATATATATGTATGTATATATATTTGTCGAATAAGCTTCTTTCATTTCTATTTATTGCTTCTTTTTGCAGTGGACTTTGGGATCCCTCGGTGCACTGTTGAGGATTTGTGCGGCGGAGATCCAAAGCACAATGCGGATGCACTTAGACGTGTACTGGCTGGAGAAAAGGGGTCAATTGCTGATTCCTTGGTAATTAATCTGCATTTCTTTCGAACCAAAACTTCGATTCGCTACCTTCATCTTAGGATGCGTAAAATTTTGATTATCCTAAGAAAAGAGACGAGTTCATTACATTATTGGATAAAATGCATTATTCCACCTTAGGTGCTGAATGCAGCAGCCGCCCTTTTGGTCAGCGGCCGTGTAAGCAAACTTGCCGAGGGAGTGAATCTTGCCCGCGCCATTCATCAGTCGGGCAAAGCTCTCAAGACACTTGATTTGTGGATCGAAAAATCTAATGTAAGGAGATAAGAAGCCAATCGGTAATATTTATTTATTTATTAATGATTATTGTTATTTTTTCGGCGAGGTTAATTGTTTGCAGTTGTGCATTTTTCAGAAAGCGAAATCAGCAGCTGCTAATGAGGTTCCGGTTCTCCAATCGTAGTTTCCGTTTCGACGGCCGTGCGCCCCGTCGTCTTGTCTCGACTAATTGTAAGTAGATCGAATCGAATATTTATGATATCGCCGGCTGTAGGAACTACATGCCTGAGATAACTTAAATGTTGAAAAGGGATTGTAATGTCTGTTCTTGTCATGTTTTGGGGGTAGATTTGTTGGAATTTGTCTTTGTTCTTTGAATGGTTATAAAATCATGTAAGAAGGAATTTTGTTTTTGTGCTCATTGATCTTGGAATAGGATTGGATTACATGTGTGAACTTTACTTATCATCTAATTCTTCCACGACGAAACATTTGGGTCCAAAAATCTTTGGGTCTCTAAAACTATGTTTCAAAATTTTTGGGCCGTAATTGGCCCAGTATGCTAATGAACTGTCGTATGGACTCATAAAGGTCAGGCCCGTTTTGCGCCAGTTCGTCGGCCTGGCCTGATCCGATTTTTAAAATTAATATTTATATTTTGCTAAATTTAAATAAAGACAAAATTTATAATTATTCTGGTGATATCATTTATATTATTATTTAAAAAAATTTTGAAAATATTATAAAAATATTAAAAATAATGATTTTATATATACATATATATTATTTCACATATAAATATAAACTAAATTGTGGACTCCAAAAACATATATTTTTAATATAATTTCACATATAATTATAATAGTTTTAGTATAGACGAAAAGGGCGAGCGGAAGTATAAGTGGATAACGGAAAGCCACCGGACATGAGAAAAAGAAACCACACAACTAAGCAAACAAACTTCCTCTGACGCCCAACCACGTCGTTTTCGAGCCTTGCCTTCAGACTTTCCGCTTCTTCCGCCGCCATGGAGTGGCAATTCTCGCAAGTCTTCGGCGATAAGCTCCCCGGAGAAGATGTTCAGGACGGTAATTTTGTTTTATCTTAGCTAAAGTGGTGCAGTTTAGGATCGACACTGATTGAATTTTATATGGCCTTTTTCGTGCATGCAGTTGACATTATTTCCGCAATAGAATTCGATAAGACTGGCGATCATTTGGCTGTAGGCGATAGAGGTGGCCGCGTCGTCATTTTCTCGAGCGATGGTGGTAAAGATGTGCGGAATTGCGTCTTTCCTTTATTTATTTATTTATTATTTCTCGTTTGAATTTCTATCAGTGAATTGGTGGTTAATGCTAACGAACTGTATAGTTGTGGAGTTTAATTTGGTTGCTTTTAGGGGATTTTATTGTTGGTTGTGTTGATTGATGATAATTAGTTCATAAGCATCTTTTGTAGGACTTGGATGATTTCGTGTCCCGAAGTGAGTTGGAGAGACTTGATAGTGTTGTTTCGAAGCATCCGAAGTTTCGATACAAAACTGAGTTCCAAAGCCATGAGCCTGAGGTATGCTCTCTAGTTTGTAGCTTTTTCATATATATATTTGAAAGTATTGATACATGTGGAGGATCTTATCAAGAAATTGTTGTAGTATTAGAGTGTTGATAGTGCATTTCTTCATTTCCCCCCAAATTTTCACAGTTTGATTATCTGAAGAGCATTGAAATTGGAGAGAAGGTGAATAAAATCAGATGGTGTGCTAAACCAAACGGGTCATTGCTCATTCTCTCAGCAAATGATAGGACTGTGAAATTGTGGAAGGTAAAAGAACTGTTAGCATATTTTTTGTTTTGATACACAGTGATGAAAGAGATTGTAGATTTTGTCTGCTATTTTCATTATATTTTGTATATGTGGACTTGTGATAAGTGATTAACTTTTGAATGTTTATATATATAATTCCTATGTTTCAAATTTGATTTCTCTTGATAGTTAGGTCTAGAGTTATGGTTAAACTGCAGTACTTGTATTGTTCTACACCATAATAGTAACAAGCGATGATTGCAGATTAAGGACCATAAAGTTAAGAAAGTCGTGGAAATGGCTATAGGCCAGTTGGTATTTTCAGAGAATTCTTTATTAGGGGAAAGGAGTTTTGTTGGTGGGCAAGGATTATATACTGCCAATGGTCATTCGTTCGAAAATGGAGTATCATACTATAGGGGAAGACACAACACGGTATATGAAGTTTTTACCATCTTAAATCTTTAGCAAGGAGGCATGCACCTCAATTGCCTGTGCATTTAATTAAATATTCCCTTTTTTTTTTTTTTCTTTTCATTTTTTCCAGATGACGGATTTTGAAGATTCTACTTCTGCAAAATGTCGAAGGATCTATGCACGTGCTCATGATTTCACTATCAATTCCATCTCAATTAACAGGTGCAGTGTTGGGGGCTTTTCTCCTGGTTCTATCATTAGTTGAATTGAGTACTTATATATAAGTTGAAGCTGGTTTTATTGATGCGATTGGAGTGTTCTCTCGTTAAATCCTGAACTTTTATAAAATCTTATAAGAACTAGTGACATTAGCATTCTGATGTACACATAATAGCTCTTTTTCCCAGATTTTCATCAATCAAATTTTGTTACAAAGTTTCATTGAGGAACTCGATAATTAAATGCATTTAAACTATTTATCTTAGATTTTATAGAATTTGTTTGCAGTGACTGTGAGACATTTCTTTCTGGAGATGACCTAAGAATAAATTTGTGGAATCTTGAAGTCAGTGATCAATGTTTTAATATCATTGACATGAAGCCTGAAAATATGGAAGATCTTATAGGTATTTTCTTTTGCATATTTTTTATGTGCAAGTTCATTGTCATGCCAAATAAATTCACATTCTGCACCAGTATTCAGTACTTGTTGCAATGACTATGGGTCGGAAATTGCTTCCTTTCTCTAACACACACAGACACCATAACTAAAGTACTTGTGAAAAATGCACTGGGAGGAGTCATATGTAGTAATATTACCCTAGCATTCTGCCATCATTTTCCCAATGAAAATAAAATAAATGACTGAAAGTCTATGAAATTTGTTCAGAAGTGATTACAGCCGCAGAATTTCATCCATTTAATTGTAACTTGCTGGGCTACAGCAGTTCAATGGGATATATTCGGCTCGTGGACATGAGGCAATCAGCTTTGTGTGATCACAATGCAAGGATGTATGTTAGCTCTTTTTTCCACCTTAATTTTAAATTCCTCTCTTTTCTCATGTTTACACGTCCATTTTCATGACATCAGTAAGATTTAATATACAGATTAAAAGATGAGGGATCACATGGACCAAAATCATTCTTCTCTGAGATCATTTCGTCAATAACTGATATGAAGTTTGCAAATGATGGAAGACATATATTAAGCCGTGATTATATGAATTTGAAGGTCTATCAGCCACTCTTTTATCATTTCAAATAAGTATGTTCCTCAGTCGGGCCTTTGATTATGCATATTGGCTTCTTTTGCCTCATTCCTCGTAGTCTAGATTGAACACTAAGGGCAATTCTGTTTCACACTTATACATAAGTTCCTCCTTTTCTCATCAGAAGCCTAATTTTCCAACACTCTGCCTTTCAATATTTAGTATTGACTCACTTGATCAAGTTGAAATGCTTAAATTGTAGCTTTCACGTCGCTACCTAACTTGTTATTTTTATTCGGGTTGCATATATATCCCAACATTTGTCATCGATCTATATTTTATTGAATTGTATTCTTTTGTTTCTCAGCTTTGGGATATGCATATGGATTCACATCCTGTTGCAACTTTTAGGATTCATGAAAATCTACGGCCTAAGGTGAGAATGCCGATTGCCACAAGATTCAGACCAGCATTATTATCACAACAATACAATACACATGGCTAACACCCTACTTTATACTGCACCAGTTGTGTGATTTGTACAACAACGATGCAATATTTGACAAGTTTGAATGCTGCCTTGCCAAAGATCGCCTTAGTTTTGCAACAGGCTCTTACAAGTTAGTCGCATCAGTGGAATTATTTGTTCACGCCTTTTGTCTTCCTGTCACACTTAATTAGTTATCCTATGCTTCTTCCATCAGCAATCTCTTCACTGTATTTTCTTATGGAAGTGGGAGTGAAGATCCAGTAACCATCGAAGCCTGCGGAAATTCAAACAGGTAACCATTAATTTTATTAACTTCAATTGTCTATAAGTCCTTGTACATGTATAGTCTGCTATTTGATCAAATGGTCGCCTACAAGTGCTTATGTTTTTCCTTTTTAGTTCGAAAGATCATCTTACTTATGCACTAACTTTTAGTTAATATATCATACTATAAAATAGTTCAACAAAAAAATTGCAAAAATTATTCTCACGGTATACCGTATTATCACTTTTGTCCTGTATTTATTTCTGTCAAAGTATATTTTATATGTTTGCAAAAATCGCTATTTCTGTCATTTGGCCATGACTTTCACACCACGCACGATCATGCGACGGCCAAATGATAAAAATAACGACATTTGCAAACATGTTGGATATATTTTGTCAATAAAATAAATACATGACAAAAGTGATAATTGATATATATGTGAGATATTTTTTGCAATTTTTTCCAACACATTACAAAGCACATGCTGTCAAATAAAAACATATAATTGTGGATTGGACGTGTGACCGTGAGGTCACCGGTTCAAACCCCCGACGCCTCAGGTTACCTGCCACACATGGTTCGCGTAGTGTGACTTGTCTGTCGGGCCTAGTTTGCAGGGTATTAGATTTGACTGGAGGTTTACCCAATGCGCACTTTCGGGTAACGACTGCGGGTTCCTACATCAAAAAGAAAAAAAAAAAAAAAACATATAATTGTGTTGATATCAATTGTAGTATGTACTTGTGAGCGTATATTATGGGTGTGTTTGTTTGGGGGTTTGGATTTTGAGTTGGAATTTGAATAGTAAAAATTTTAAATTTGAATAGTTGTATGATGTGATATAAATAAGGTTTGATGTGATGTTTTGAATGTAAAATTGATTTTTAGTATAATATAAAAAATAAAAAATAGGTGTTTGATTTGATGTTTTTGGGGGGAAAAAATTGGATGAATAGTGGAAATCCACCAAAATCCTTCAAACAAACTGTGAGCGTATATGTTGACAGTTTATATGCTGCCTAATGTATAATTCTATGTCTCTTTATCGTGTATTATATGTTGTTACATTGTGTGTTGCAATTATTGTGCTGAATTTTATATCCCGGCACAGTAACTTCCGCATACTATCTCGGCTTCTACTTACTCTCTACTTCCTGTTGTTGCCAACATTCGATTCTAGGAAGCAACATAGCCAGCTGACACCAAGATCACGACGGTCATCTTTGAGCAATCTGGCTAGGGGATTTTACAGACAAGGTTGTCGTATTTTCGACTTCCCTCATTGTTTCTCTTCATGTGATTGACTTCCCGTCCTCGGCTCCATTTGTAGCTTCAGGACGTGACAATCACAGCCCCGGTGGTAATGAACTCTCCTGTGATCTCAATTCCAAGCTGCTGCACCTTGCCTGGCATCCGACAACCAATCTGATTGCCGGCGCTGCTCGAAACAGCTTATTCATGTACTCTGCTTGAGGTAAATACCGGTAAACAATCTTACCTCACTTAGTTTCATTTGGTGCACTATATTGCTTGGCAATGGCATTCATTCACTATTAAAAAAAAATAAAATAAAATTGGCGATTCGATTTAGTTTGGGTGGACAAATATTCCGATACCTCAATAAAATTTGTTCGAAACAATTGGTGTTAGGGATCTAGTTATTTTTTAATCAACTTTCTATGATTTGTATAAACAACTAAATTTCACTCATTTCACATATATATATATATATATTTATATTTTCTTTTCATAAAATCTCAAATCAATTTTTTTGTTTGTTTTTTATTTCAAATTTTCAAAATTATAAAAATTTTCAAAAACTTTTGTCTAAAAATTGCTCCATCAATAAAATATAGTAGGAGTATTACAAAAATCAAAGATAGGCAATTATTTTACACAATTAATAAAATAATATTACTTTTTAATTTAGTATAAAATTTCAAAAAAAAATCTTTAAATTGAGATAAAGCAATTATTATTTTAGAATTAAAATTAGACTATGTATTTCACAATATTTTGACCAAAAGTCAAAATAATCCTTGTTCGTCTTCTTAATGCAGGCGGCGCCGATAGAGGTCATCATCTGCTCCGATCCGGCGCCAATCCGTCTTCATCACATTCTCTTCTGACTTAGATCCATCAGCCTTCAAAAACTGCTCTATCCTATCCTATCCTATCGGTAAAAACTCATTCCTCGCCTTCTCGTCTCGAAACCCTAAGAAAGAAATGGAGAATCCACATCATTCAAACTGCAAAACAATTACGAAATTGGGCGAAAAAAAAAAAAACCAGACAGTCAATTGTGGCTCATTTCCTCGCACCGCGCCTTGCCACGCGACGACCGACCTCAGGCGCGTACGTTTAAAAGGAGTTGGAGGAGGTGGGTTTGTATGATTTTGACTTTTGGTCCAAATAAGAAATTTTACTTAACTTTTAGATAATTTGAGTGCATTAATATGAATACGAGTATTTGGTTAAAATATAATTAATAAATAAAAATTATTATTATATAATTAAAATAATTATAACTTATAATTAAAATAAGTAAATATTTTAATAAGTAGAATTTTAATTGTTAATAATAATAATACTCCCTCCGCTCAGGTGCAAAGTTGTCATTTACTTTTTTTACTTTTTCATATAGATTTTTAAATTTTAGTATTATAGTAAGTTATAGTGAAAAGGACGAAAATATCCCTATTAGTATTGTGTAATATAAAAGTAATGGTATTTCTGTAATATAGTATAAGTTGTAAAGGGTATTTATTCTATTAGGTAGGTAGTACAATTATTAAATTAGAAAATTATAACTTTGTTTGGGATTGACGAAAATGAAAAATTATAACCTTTCAATGGGACGGAAAATATAAAATAAAGTGTCAGTAGGTGTGCGCGATATTTGCACAATATGTCGAATTCGGTGCCGAAGGACCTTTTATGCGAGGGACAGTTTTCATATAAGATTCGAGGCGAGCAGCAGATGGCGGTTAAAATGCAGATGGGGTCGAATCAACACTATGTTGATTTTATCAAATTAGCACTCTAATTTGAAGCAATTAGCACTTTATTATAAAATATATAACATATTGTCAATTTAGCACGTGAAGCAATTAGTATTTTTTCATTTATTGAGTTATATAGAAATATATGTTATGTGAGTTATATATTTGACTGAAATTAATATATTGTTTTACATTGAATTATATAATGTATTATATTATATTTTCTCTGTCCTAAAAGATATGTCTTATTGGGAGTAGACACGAATTTAAGTAATAATAGTACTCCATTCGTCTCATATTTATATATCTTTTTTTTTTTACATAGAATTTTAGAATTATTAGTATTATATTGAGATACATTAGAAATAAAGATAAAAAGACTAAATTACCCATATTATTATTGTATGATATAAAGGTAATGACATTTGTGTAATATATTGTAAATTGGAAGGGTATTTGTAATGTTAGGTAGATGGTACAATTACTAAAAAAAGGAAATAGATACTTTGTTATGGGACTGGCGAAAATGAAAAAATAAATAGATTGTTAAGGGACGAAGAGAATATTAAATTGAAATTTATTATAAAATAGAATGTAAATGACCAAAATGCTTTTACTTTACGAAGAGTTGAAAAAATAGGTTAAAGTGGTAATCATATTGATATTTGTGTAAATATTAGATTAAAGTGGTAATCATATTGATATTTGTGTAAATATTGTATAAAAACAAAGATAGTTTTGTTGTACAGTGGAGATTATGATTACTAAATAAAGAAATATGACAATTGTTTTGAGATATACGAAAATAGAAAACAAAAAAACTCTTTTGGGACGGATATAATATATCATATTAACATTTATTGTGTGACTGATATATTCTATTGTGTTAGTATAATTGATTTGTTACGTTGAAATCATAATATATTGTGATATAGTCATAATATTACTATATGTAATTCTATAATGTACTATTAAAATATATTATACCCTCTCCGTCTCATATCTATATATCAATTTACTTTATGCACGGAATTTTAGGATTATTAGTATTATATTGGAATGTAGTATAAGTAAATGTAAAAAGACTAAATTACCCTTATTAGTATTGTATGATATAAAGGTAATGACATTCATGTAATATATTGTAAATTGGAAGAGTATTTGTAATATTAAGTAGATAGTACAGTTACTAAAAAAAATGAATACTTTGTTATGGAACAGACGAAAATAAAAAAAATGAATAAATTGTTAAAAGTCAGAGGAAATATATATTATTTTCTTTATAAATATACATTGATTGAGTTGAGCGTAATACAATTATAATCATAAGATAATAAGAGGGGCAATGGAAAAAATTTATCACATATTTATTTCATAAGATGATATGCTAATAGTACGTTTGTTTGACAGATTTATTAGGATTTCTATTATTTATTAGTCTCTTCATTCCAATACAATAGTCTTATTTATCATTTTTGTCCGTAAAAAAACAATAGTCTCATTTTCATAAATAATCATATCACCATAAAACTATCCCTATTTTTTTATTATTATTACAAAATTGTCACTACTTTTTACAGTAATATACTCACAATGGCAAAAAAGTCATTTGTCCATACTTTTTACCGACTACCAATATAATATCAATATTCCTTAAATCATGTGTACAACACAATAAGACTATACTTTTGGGACGGAGGGAGTATTTTTTTTTTCAAAAAAATATCAAATAAAATACATACATTTATGTTATACTAAAAATTAATTTTACATTCACAATATCAAATCAACACCTATTTATATCACATTATACAACCATTTTAATTCAAAATTTTTACTATTCAAGTTTCAACTTAAAATTCAAACTCCCAAACAAATACACCATAATTGTAAGTCCTATAAATTGACCTGTTGATGTTGAAATAAATTTGTGAGTAATCAAGAGTTCCAACCCTTTCGAAGTTTATACCGTACATAAGAGTAGCTACATCGGTTTTTGTTTAGCCGACTTCCCCCGGTATCTATACCATATTCCCTGCGCTTCTATCACTACAAAAAAATATTCATTTTGTAACAAGATTTTTTCGTTGTTAAATCTATTTTTTCCGTTACTAATGATATTAGAGACGAAATTTGAGATGGAATTACGTTAGCTACGTGAACTTTAGGAACGAAATTCCGTTACAAATATATTATTTTTTTGTAGTGTATGCTAATATTTTGATTCAACTTGGAAAAGCCTTGGTGCAAAAGATGCCGCATCAAATCACTTTTTATTCTTATTTATTCCTTATCTCAACCTCTTATCTCTCAACCTCCATAAACTCATTTGGATCGACATTGTTTGCACTTACCAAAAGGATTTCACTCTTTCTTTGCTTTCTTTCTAAATCGACATTTTTCAAAAAATAATTTATGCAGATTTATAATGAAAAACCACTTCACTTTGCTCTCCACCAACCATCAATATCGGCATTCAATCGAGCAATTTTGCTATGTAATAAATAGCTATTGACGTTTCTCATCACTCGGTTTTGCATTTAATTATTTTTAAACTATTATTCAAGCTCCATCACTGCAATCTGATTGGAAAAAAAAAGTTTGATAAAAGATAAATGAGATGACCCATTGTGGATGATTCATCAAATGGAGTAAAAATAGGATTGAATGAGGTGAAACACGTTGAATACACGTGTGTAACAAAACTTTTTTGATCTATTATCATTGTATGTGCGTTAAATCATGGATATTGACACATTTTTACATGGCCAATGACTCACAAATCTCATAAAAGATAAAATTTTAAATTATCTTTCGTTCAATTATTAAATTATATATTTTAAAATAATTTCAATAATAACAAATTTTTATTTAATATACAAGTTTATTATTTCCTTTGTTGATGTTACAAATACTATAAATTTGAAAATTGAAAAAACATAGTTAGTAAATATAAGTATAAGATTAATAAATGTATTAAAGAAAAAAAGTAGGTACAATACAAAAAGTAAAATAAATATGCTATTGTCAAATCATAAACATGAACAATAGATATATATTTTTGTATATATATTAAACATGACACTTTTATATACATTGATAATAAGATATACATATATTTTAAAATTGTAAGAATTTATAGAAAGAGAAATTTTGTACAATATATATATATATATGTATAAATATTTTAATTTTGATAATATTTATTACTTTTTATATGTGTAGTATTGTTGGTATTTTCAATATTTTTAGAATTATATTTCAATAAAATATATGCAATACGGTTATCATTTTGTAGACAATAAAATTTTATATAATACAAATGAATAAAAAAAATATATATTTATTTATTCTTACCATAAATTAATTTTATAAAAAATGAGAAGTTTTAAAGATAAATAAAAATATTTGTTAATTGAGAAGAGAGATAGAAATAAAGGGATTTTAAGTGGTCCTACATGTAAAATATTAGAAGTTTAATTAAATTGATTTATATTTGTTAAATATATTTAAAATTGATAAATTTACCAAAAATTAAAAAAAATCATCTTTGTACCAATAAAAGAATAGGATCATCTGTGACGAAACGAAAAAAGTATTACACTTTATCTACTAAAAAAATAATAATTTAATATAAAATACTCCTCCCGTTTCATAAGTAAATATATTTGTTTATTGCACGTAATTTTAGAAATATTAGTATTATATTGAAATATAGTATGAATAAAATAGAAATGACTAAAATAACTTTATTGGCACGTGTGATATAAATGTAATGACATTTGTATAATATATTGTAAATTATAAGGGTATTTGTAATGTTAGGCAGATAATACAATTATTAAAAAATAAAATAAATACTTTATTATGAGACAAATTAAAATAAAAAATAAATATTTTATTATAGAATGAAGATAGTATTATTTTTTATATTATCAATATAATTCTTTATATAGAGCATATATAATCTTGAATAATAATTTGAATTTAAAATAAAAAATCAAGCTCATCCCAACTACTTTTTATAAATTCTAGAGTTTCTGTACAGCTGTCTTCCACAGAATCAATTATTCTGGGCCCACTGATCTTTTCCTCCCTCTTTTATCCTTAGTTGAATGGTGTAGATTTATGATTATTTTTATTATTAAGGTTACATTTGTATTTTCACTTATCAAAAATTTATCTTTTATCAAAATTTTTAATTCATCCTATTTAATGCTCAGTTTTCCATCACTATCAATTTCCAAAGCCAAAACCTATGAACAGTTTTAGGGTTTCAGTTGGAGAAGAAATTGGATTATTGGAAGCCTACCGCTCACTGAATTTGCGAAGATCAATACACAGGTATGGTTGAAGCTTAGCGCATGGGTTGCTGGGTTAGGGTTTGTGTTTGCTTGAATTTCAGAAACCAGAATTTAAAGAAGAAAAGATATATATATATTGTGTCTTTCTTTTTTATTTTTATGGTTTTTTGTTATGAACAGAACAGCAGTTCTGTGTTGAGCAGATTCAAAGATAGTAAGGTGGACACATTGTGTATTTATTTGAGGTTGAGATTGTTTTGTTCATTTATTTCTATTTTGATAGCTTTTCATAGTTATCTTTTTACTTTAGTTTAGTTGTTTATTCACAAGATAAGTGGGATCTTCTTCTAGTCTTAGTTTGGTAATATTTGATCTGTAGGAGAGAGAAAGTAATGTGTAGGAGAGAGAAAGTTACTTTTGGAAAAAAGAGAAAGAAAATAAAAGTTATGTGTTTGGTTATCTTGTGTTTTTGTTGGTTTAAATGCTTTAGATCTGAACATTTATGTGTTGGTTTTCTTGTGATTTGATTTTGTTTAAATGCTTTAGATCTTAGAATAATTGTTTGATTTGATAAGGTGAATTAGCTGACAATCTTCCGGAATTTCAATCCATGACTTTATGGTTGTGGATTCACGCTATGGTTTCGTTTGTACATGGGATGTTGTAGGGGTGTTTTTGACTCCAACCTCACTATTTTTTAGCTATGAGTTCGCCCCACATGTCATTAATAATTTTGGCCGAACTTATTAACCTGCAAACTAGGCCCGGCAAGGCCAGTCATACTAACCAAATTATACGTGACAGACAAGATGTGAAGGCGTTGTAGTTTGAATCCATGACCTCTCGATCACAAGTCCATTCCCACAACATCAGTCCATCCCTTACGGGACAGGGACGAGTTTCTTTTTTTACATGGGATGTTGTATGGGGTGTTTTTTACTCCCAACATTACTATTTTCTAATACCCCCCGTCTTTTTTTACATGGGATGTAAGAAAAAGTGTTTTTGACTCCAATCTTACTAATTTTTTAATGCCCTTATGTACGGGATACTTATCCCATTTTTATTGGATATATTCTAATATAAAAATAAAGTGGTAAAAAGTGAAGTCCCGTATTATTGAAAATTTACTAAGAATTTGTTAAAAAAATAGTGAGGTGAATAGAAAAAATAGTGACAAAATTGTTATTATTTGTTAAAATAGGGTTGATAAAACGGTGAGTAGATTTAACTTTGTACTATAAATTGATTATGCATAAGTTCATAGTAGACAATAAAAAAGAAAAACTGGTATAATTATTCCGAATGGAGAGAGTGTTACAATAAACACTTTTAGGGTGTTCTTAGTTTGGTCCGTTAGGATTTTTTTGAAAATTTTTTACTATTCATTATTTTTTCCCTAAATATATTAAATCTAATATATATTTTTATTTTTTTATATTACCTTACTAATCACTATTATATTAAAAACAACACACCGATATGTATTTATATCGCATGAAACAATTATTCAAAAATAAAATTTACTATCCAAAATTCAATACAAAACCAAAACCCTAAACAAACATATATGTTCTTTTACCATTTCAATCCAAAATCAATACTATTCACAAAATACTATTTAAATAAAAACTCAAATCAAAACTTTATTTCAAATCATAATTGTTTTTAGTTTTTGGTGTTAAGTTTGAGGAAACACGTAGATGATATAAAAAATGATATTTTGTGTTGAATTGTTAATTATTGTGTGTGGGCAAAGTACATGTTATATATAACTCAAAAGTTTTAGTGCTTAACTTCTTACACCACATCCAACACATTCTTTAGGTGTTTTGAATTTCAAATTAGTTGGATGTATTTTAATAATAAGTGAATGTATGATGTGATTCAAGGGGAATTTACTTGACATGAATGTATGGTTTGTTTATTCATTTTTAAAATGTAAAATAGTTATTGGATATGGATATCATATTCAAATATATTGAAGGGTAAATTATACAACACTTTCTTGTGTTTTAGTAAAAATACACAAAACACCTCGTATTTATTTATTGCGTGAAATCCCCTTGTGTTTTAAATTTTGCACAAAAAACCCTTTTCGTCCAAAGTTGATGTTTGAGTGTAAAATCAAATCTAATTATGCAAGTTTTATACAAATAAAAGAGGTAAAATATCTTAAATAGTCCTTTTTTTTTTAATTAAATAAATAAATAAAAAATTGATTGATCCCTTATTTTTATAGTTTTTGCAAAATCGAGATAACAGTTTATCTAAAAAAAATTATAAAATGAAAGATTAATCAATTATTTATTTATTTATTTTATTAGAAAAAGACTATTTAATATATTTACCTCTTTTATCTTTATAAAATTTGCATAATTAACTTTGTATTTACATTCATCAGTTTTGGACGAAAAAAGGTGTTTTGTGCACACTTTAATTTAACACAATGGGTTTCACACAATAAATAAAATACAAGTTTTTTTGTGCATTTTATTAAAACACAAGTGTTGTTGTAAAAAAAAAAAATGAAAACATGCCAAGTAAACACACCTTACGGCTTAGGCTTTGTTATCTTCAATACTTATTATATTTTCCAAAAAAATTTTACTATGCAATTTCTAGAGTTCCATATAACTAAGATATTTTTTTAATTTTTATTTATTTATTTATAAAACATCACATTCATATTATGTTTAATTACAAAACACAATACCCCCTTAGTTTTTGTGTTTTGGGGTTGATTTTTTATTTTTTCCTTAAATTTGATGTAGGGGTTAATTTTGTGTTAGAATAACTAGGGGATGTGATAGTTTGAATAGAAACTTGATATTAAATACTCTTTCCGACTTGAAAAATATGCTCATACTTTTTATTATGGGTTTTAGTGTGAGTGTGTACTTTCAGTTATTTTTTGTTTTTTATAGCAAAAGTACTCTTTTTGTCTTAGATATGGTATCATGGTTATTGTAGACACGAAAATTAATGAGAGTTATAACTAGTAAATAATTAAAAATGTATTAGTAAAAGTAATTAAAATACAATATAAATAATAGATTAAAATTAAGATAACTAATTAGTTTAATTAAAATTATAAATTAGAAAATTTAAAATGTGATTAAAGTTTGTAATTTTTTTTTTAAAAAGAAATGTGACATTAAATGTAGAACGTGCAGAAACGGAAACGTGGATACGATACGTTTGTGGAACATAGAAAGTACAAAAAGTTTGTATAATTGTTTATTAAATAAGAAAATAAAAACATTTTTAGAAAATGGACAAAAAGAACTAAGCATAATTTTAGAAGACAAGAGGAGTATGATATTTTTAGAGAAAAATCAGAATATTGAATAGAAAAACATCATAGGAAATATACAAGTAAACAAACCATGTATATGCCATCAATGTAACACATTTTGAAGGGTGTTTAGAACGAGAGATTATGGGGCTTGTTTGGTTTTGATTTGAGTTTGGGATTTTGATTTGAAAATGTTAGTTTAAATATCTTGGTATGATAGCTTTGTGAAAAAATTAGTATATTTTTATTAGAAACCGTGCTAGTTGAATAGTGTTGATTTGGATTTGAAATCCAAACCAATGGTTGATAGAGGCATTTTCTCTATTATAATAATATATTTGGTTCATAATATACTTAACTATGTTACCATATCCAATCTAATATATGGGATAAAATAATTCTTAAGATTATAGTAAATAATAAACCCATATTAGTAGTTGACACATCGTTTAATGACGGGAAAAAAATCAAGCATCGTAATATATATATATATATACACATATAGAAGAACCAATAGTTGCCTTAAAATCTAACATATAGTATCAAATCACAAACTTCTTCATCATCTAGGTCAATGACCATAAGGTCGTTTTGATGGCTATCAATGGATGACGTATACATCTAAGAAATGACCATGTAGAAGTTAAAAGAGCCATCAAAGTTAACCAATGTGCCAAGTTAGCTCACATCCCACCATTTATGGGTTTGAGTAGGCTAACATATGTTGGTTTCAGGCTTTTTTTTTTTTTTTTTTTTTTTTTTTTTTTTGGTTCTATATACAAAAATTATTGAAATTATCATTATCTTACTTTTAGATATTAACCAATATGTTCTATAGGTCAAATTAATAGTCTAACATGTAGTAACAAATGTTGAAGTTGTGGACTTTAAAAATTGTAATATATACAACTCAAAAGGTGTCGATTTTTAATGACTAGACTACCAAAGAAGAATGAGAGAGTTATGCTTAGACATAAGAAACAAAAGAGTTTAACTATTAGCAAAATAAACGAATAATTTTGGGTGTGTTCCTTTTCGTGTTCCCAAAAAATTATTATATTACACACTCATTATTTTTATATTATCTACACAATTTCCTATATTTCATATAAAAAATTTACCCTTCAAAGCGAAACACAAAACAAAAAAACCCTTTATATTTGTAACTTTTTGGTCAACGTCTAGTCAATAAAAGATGAAGTCAAAGTCAAAGAACCCGAGTTGAAGCTAAAGAAGAAGTAGCATTTTACAAGAAGAGAATTGGATGTGGTTTTATTAAATTAGAATTTATAGCTCTGTTTAAATAGAAGTTTTTAGAGTTTTAAAAAAATTTAGAAATTGTAAAAAATTCGATATTTGATGTGAGGTTATGCAGATGAAATAGATATGTGATGTTATGTTTTTTGAAAAAGCTACTGTTGATGAATAGTGTTAAAATCTACAAAAGTACGTAAGTAAATAGAGCCTATATGTTTGGACTTAGGCCAACCCACTTAGGAATTTATAATGTGATGAAAATTGGATATCCCTACCTTTCTTTTAGGTGTAGTGGGGTGGGGCGAAGCAGCCTGGTGGCCCTAATTTATTGTGATAGGTTTGTTGAACGGTTGAAAGCTGAATCACCCCCACACAAGCATCTTCCCTGTTCGCCTTTCCCGCTACAACTACATTTTTTCAAGGGTAAAATAGTAGTGTTAGGTTAGAAAGTTAAATTAATTAGTTAGATATCATGTGTTGCTGCCTTGCTTCTGTCATTCATTGCCATCTTTTTCTTTTCTTTTTTTTTTTTTTCTTTTTATGATTTTCATCTTATTAGGTGATCATTTATCTTCTTCATATGTCTTGCTGCCGTAAGTATTGTGTTCTATAGCTAGATAACCCTACCACCCCCTTCATGAGTGTCTGAACAAAAATTTATGTTCAATATTAATGGTTGAAGGCTTGCCCTTTGGATAGAGAACCTTAGGATGTGGAGGACAATACATTTGATTCATTAGAACATGGGTCTGTTGACAAGGAGGTAACAACATTGGATGGGGATGACCAACTTAGCTGCTTTAATTCCTCATTTTGGCCTTGTAAGTTGTTATGAAGCACATTACTAGGAGAAAAAAGTCGAAGATTTGTAATATTCTAAATGGCTAAAGATATCTTTGGAGTTAGGTTTCCATGCTTGGTAGTAGTCCTTTAAGGTAAGTTATCATTATTTATTAATACTTGTCAGAATTTCATTCTCATATCTAGAAAACAGTTTCTATTTTGGCTTTCAGCTTGGGACAAGGTTACCACTTTAGTTCGTTGACTTATTTCGTTTACTGATAGAAATTAAGTTTCATACCATATTAGAAGTTTTATGGTTTGCTTTTCTATTTTGTGTCTGAACCCTGTTTTGTCTATTCAAAGTGAGATTACAGTTCTCATTATTTATTTAGTGGCTAATATCTTATGTTCTACTTTTCCAGTCGTTAAGATGAGTTTTAACAACTTAAGTAGCAACCATGGTCTTCAAGAGCTTGGTACAAAGGCTGTAAAGTTGGAGCAACATTTCGTCAGAGGATCACAACAAAATGTGTACCCCCAAATCTATTTTTCTAGGTCTGAAGAATCCAAATCCCTTTCTAGGGGGCATTGCATTGAGGAAAATATGTCTGCCTCTTTAAATGTGCCAAACATTGGTGCAAGTGTTGCAAATCGAGGCGGGCCTTCAGTTGATAATTCTACCCTTTGTTCTACATCATCAATATCTCCTGCCCCCATTTGTCGTCAGTTTTGGAAAGCTGGGAATTACAATGACAGGCTCATTTCTAAGCCACCCAGCCTAAGTAATGCTCTCTGATAGTCAAAGACTATCTCGTTAAGACATTATCTAAACTTTCTGAAAAATCAAGTTTCATGTTATGGAAGAGTTTATTTGCTTACATCTGTTGCTCCATGTTTTCAGTGCCAGATTTATCTGATTTGATTCTTAATGTTTGCCTGTTTGATTGGCAGATGGCACAGGTCATGTTCATATCCATCCCAAATTTCTTCATTCCAATGCCACTTCACATAAATGGGCCTTCGGCGGTATGTGATGTTGAATGGAGTTTCATGTTTCAACTTGGGTATATTGTATTAGATGCCGGTACTTAATGCATTCTCATCTCACATCTCCTCACTGTTGTTGCAGCCATAGCAGAACTGGTTGATAATGCTGTTGATGAGGTAATTGTTCTTGCAATCAATTTCTCATTTTTGTTAGTTCATATTTTGATCATGATGCCATCAACAACTAGACAGCTTCTTATTATGCTTGGTTTTTTTTTTTTTTGTTTTTTTTGTTTATTTATATTTTTTATTGGTTGCTTGTGCTGAGTATGTAAAGTTTTGACCCTGGCCTTGGAGTTACTTTAATCTCTCATTTTTAACTGGTTACATCATATACTACAATAGTACAATGTGATTCATTTTCGTATTTCCTTTCAACAAGTATTATCTGTTTTCAAATCAGACAAGGTACCAATAGCTTTGGTGCATGTTTTTCTTTCCTCTTATGATCTTCTTCTATTTTAGCAAAAGTTTTACGATTATGCGCAAATTATTGTAAATGAAAATACAGAAAGTGTGCACTTTAGATCCATAAATGAGTAGTTCATTATATTTGTATTTAATATCTATTTAATTAGTAGATACGAAATGGAGCTGCCACCTTTGTTAATGTAGATAAAACTGCAAATCCCAGGGATGGAAATACTGCTCTGTTAATTCAAGGTATTTAACTTTTTTTGGCTTACAATGACAAGTATAAATTTCTTGGCTTTTATCCTTCATACACTCGAAAGTTTATAAGTGTTCTCTTTACTGTCTTCTATAAGATGATGGTGGTGGAATGACTCCTGAAGCTATGCGGTGCTGCCTTAGTTTCGGGTTTTCTGATAAGAAGTCAAAAAATGCAATAGGGCAATGTAAGTAAGAAAACATTAACAAACAAGGGTAATGTTTTGTTATAGGAAACTTTGTATTTCTAACTTGCTGCATTTCAGATGGAAATGGCTTCAAGACCAGCTCTATGAGACTTGGGGCTGATGTCATTGTCTTCAGCCGTAGCAAGAGGAACAGGTTACCTTACTTTCTTTGTTTGTGGAAGTCTACTCGGCTACCCTCTTAAGTTTGGTTGTTATTTTTGGGTAGATTGTGTTACGATTTGCTTCCTTGCCTAACACATTTTATATATTGTTGCATTTACGTTTCTCTAAAAACCTAAAATTGAAACACAAACTCCTTTAATGACTGAGGAAACACTCTTCTCTTGAAACACGGTGGCCATGTTTGGATACATTTTGGGTGCCCCTTAATCCCTCACTCAGGAAAAAAAAATCCTTTGTATTTAATGTAACTGAAAATCTTTTTATTTCAACTATTTTTATTTTATTCATTATTTGTATCTAGATGTAATCTGTCTTATGCTTTTTGCTCAAGAAAGAGCATAGGCATTGTTTAGTTTAAGTAACTGTGCTGCCAGAAAAAGGAGAGTTGTTAATGTATACCTTCTTCCGAAGCTTTGGTGATCTGTATGCTTTGTGCTCCTTTTTGCCTTCTGCTCATGAATGTTCTTTGGGCAGATTATTGATTAGAAGTTATATCAACATTGTAGATAATAGTTAAGGATTGTAAAGAAAAATATGGTAGAAGAACCTGGAATACCTTTTGCACACATTTTAGTGTACTCATTTTTTTATTTTTTTTTTCCTATCATATGCCTTATTCATTTGTTCGAAGAATCAGGGCTTGATAGATCCCTAGATAGTTATCTCATTGATGATAATAATTTGATGATATCGTAACTGATGTTTCCCTACTTATATCCATTAATTTGTTATGTGTCCAGTCTTTTATCCAATTAAGTGAGATTAATGAAGAGTTGCATTTTTGGGGCATTAAATTTGTAGATGCAAGCTTACATCTTTGTTACATTGCTTATCTCTATGGTAACTTGATGGGAGTGTCAATAATACATACTTGATATTACCATGGCTAAAATGACTAGAATATTCAGTCAGAATATTATAAAATTGTAACAAATATCTTCCTTATTATCACTCTAGTCAAGGTGCTCGTTATATATTGAATAAGGTCGGTTTGATGATATGAGTTGGCCCCTTTTTGTGCATTTTGTTTTTGGATGTAGTGATAAAAAAATTGAAACCACATTATCTCACCTTTCTAACATGTTTTACTATTCTTTTTTCTCTTAATCAGGAAGTCGACCCAAAGTGTCGGTCTACTATCTTATACATTTTTAATGCAAACAAGACAGGATAGAATATTGGTTCCAATGGTCAGTTTCTTGTTCTGGTCTAATTTTATATCCAATTGAAGGGATAAGGTGATTAAATGAGTGTGGCTTGTTGTAAAAAAATGAAAATTGCGAACTCTATGTCACCGAGGAACTTCATTTTCTTGGTTCTAATTGTTGTTGCAATGCTAAAACACTATCCATTAATGACTATTGTTCTTCAAAGACATCATTGCCATAAACTATTATGAGATTCTTGTGGATCTCTGACTTCAGCTTCTTGATTTTCATATGAAAGCGCTAAGTAGAGAAGTCTACGAGGGTTATCATATTGTGTTCTTTAGCCTCAAAGGTGAATGGAACATGCATCTACATATTAATGTTTTATTAATGCTTAAGAATTCCCTCATTTGTATTTTCAGGATTTTCTTATTGTAGACAGTGACATTTTGCCTAATTTTTATACTTACTGATCTGATGTATGAGTGCTCTCTCTGTTTCTTTGAACTCTCTTCTCATGACCAATTAACTTTGTTGTGATGCAGTGCATGTTGGTATTCGTGAATTCAATTTTGGTATATGCTGAGCTTTCCTTGAAAGATTTTTACTTTGTGTTTACACAGGTTGATTACCAGTTTGATTCACACAGTGGCAAATGGACTCCAATACACAGTGAAGAACAACACAATAGCAATCTGTCCATCTTGTTACAATGGTCTCCATTTGCTACAACTGCTGAACTTCTGAAACAAGTGTGTATAACTTCCGGGCCAATAATTGCATTTTTTTTTTTCTTACAACTGATAATGTCAGCTTTCATACTTAATTTATCCTTTATGTTTGATAATGCAGTGTGATGAAACCCGTGATCATGGTACAAGGATAATCATCTATAATTTATGGCATGATGATGTAGGAAAGTTGGAACTTGATTTCGAATCAGATCCTGGGGTATGGATTTGTTTATTATATCCACGACCACTGATTTTCACTGCAATGATTTATTTTTTCCTAGGTAGAGATCTGACTAGCATCCGCATATAAAATTTTGTATCAGGATATCTGTATATCCAAGGGAAACAATAATCAGAAAGTTTCTTCCAAGAAGGAAACAACTGAACATCTTGCTTTCCGCATTCACTATTCACTTCGTGTAAGTTTGTGCCATATATGTTAAATCATTGGATAAAAATCATTCTGCTATATATCATAGTAATGTCTAGTCTTCACATTTGTGCAGGCATATTTGTCTATTCTTTACTTGAAAATTGAGGACAACTTCTGCATAATATTGCGTGGACAAGTTGTTGAGTTTCATAGCATAGCTAATGATCTCAAATTCCCTGAATTCATTTTGTACCGGCCACATAATGCCGAGGTGAGGATTTGTTTATTCAAATTCCTACAAACACACAATAGATAGATAAAAACACATGTCAAATGCTGATGCGCATACTTAAATGCATGCATAAATATTGCTCAAGTGGATTGATATTGAATGTAGTAATTGAGAAAGCGCACCTAATGATATACTGTTCTCACAGGAATAAACTGTTTTTGAATAAATTCAAACCTCAAAAATTAGTCTTAATACTTCAATTTGCATTGGTCCGGCGGATAGATGACTTAAATTCACATCTTTGTATACTTTGTGAATCTGCTCTAAATTTAGTGAATATATGATTATAAATCTATATGTGTTCTTACTATAAAGATCTTCTCTTATGGTTTTCAGTTGCTTGTCGGACCATTCTCTTGGACATTTATTTTGCTACTCCCTTTGTTGATTGCAGGGTCAAATACTCACAACCATTGGGTTTGTTAAGGAAGCTCCAGATGTCAACGTGCATGGTTTTAATGTCTACCACAAGAATAGATTAATACTGGTGAGTACTTCTACTTCATCTATATGCATCTATATTATTCATTGTTTTAAATTGTTACGGTTTTGTTTGGATTAGTCATGATAAATAGTATGCGAATGTGGTGAGATTGAATGGTAATAACTGGAATTGATTTTTCTTTTGTAATTTCTTGTATACAAAATGTGTCAATTGTATGATGCGATAGAGTAAATGAGCAATGGCTAGATTTTGGGTGTGGATTAGAAAATTTTTGTGTGAAAATTATAAATGAATTTGGATACTGGACAAAGATTTTCATTCACTGAAATTTTTGCACTTTTGATTTTCTTATATTATGTCAGAATTATCTTAACTGAAGTTATTGTTGGCGGATTACGTATTTATGCAAGTGATTTTGATGGTAGATTTGATACCAAAGTGTATAGTTGTGTTCAAAAGTCACTTAAGCTCTTGATAACTGTAACATTTCTCTTAACTAATTTCAAAATTATCAGAACCACCTATTGGGATTGGGAAAGCCATATTCACATGTTCCGATGTATGGGTTTGTAATACTAAGTACGAATTAGTTAGAAGATTATCATTATCTTGCCAGCAACGTACGGACATTCTATTTTAGTTTGGTCCTAATGGCAAAAGATATCTTTTTATATTAAGATAATTACGTACACCTTGAAGAGTAAGGATAAAATGTGTTACTTCCCTTTTATCTCGTTACTGATCTTTATCATACAACCATGTCTGTCCTCTCTTCTTTCTGCAGCCATTTTGGCACGTCGTAGCCTACTCAACAAACCGAGGTAGAGGCGTTGTGGGTAAGATTTTCAGTTTCTGGTGTATCTCCAATAATCTATGTATCTTTTCCCTGATTTATATAAGTCGTGGGCCATTGTTGCGCAGGGGTTTTAGAAGCTAATTTTATTCAGCCAACACATAACAAGCAAGATTTCGAAAAAACTCCAGTTTTTCTGAAGCTTGCAGCCCGGCTCAAAGAAATGACACTCGAATACTGGTTTGTGATTCCTCGACAAATATAGATCAAACCAAATACTTCTCAATAATTTGTAGCAAATGTATATTTACAGTGAATTCTGGTTGTTTGTGCCGAGGAATTGATGTCATTTTGAAAACTGATTCATAAATTTGGCAGGGATTACCATTGTGGACTTATTGGTTATCAGGTTACAAAAAATCCTCGACCGAACACAACCTCTTATGCTCAAATTCCGGCTCCATCCAGGCAACCAAATGCTCAAATTCCGGCCCCATCCAGGCAATCAAATGCTCAAATTCCGGCCCCATCCAAGCAGCCAAATAGTATATTCAAGCCTGTTGTGCTGACTAAAAATCCGTCCGACCATGTTGTTGGTGCTAAAGCACCTTCTGCAGTCAGTTCCAGTCGACATCAAGTACGATCAAATCAGGCCACCAAAGAATACAGTAACCCAATGGGGGCACTTATTGAACAATTTTTAGAGGGTAAGAAATTGATTTTTGTTTCAATTACAACACTTGTCCGTAATAATGCGGGATTAAACCTCAGTCTCTGTTGAGGTGATAAGTACTTAAAGCGATTAGGATTTTGTTTGGTTTTGATATGAATTTGATCCTATTCATATCAATTTTAATTTAAATAGTATTTTGACGCGATGTTTTATTAGAGAAAATAACATTTTTTTTATTGGGAACCGTGCAGACGGTATACACTTTCAAAATCTTCCTTGAGCTTTCAAATCCTTAAAACTTATAGATTTCCTTTTGCATTTCTTCTTGCAGGGCCACCTTCAAAGCGAAAAGCGCATGCCCAGAGTGCTGAACCCAAGAAAATTAGAAGGACTGAAACTACGGCGACTCCAGCCAATAATTCTGATGGTGGAGTTGTAGAGGTGATTGATTATACAAGAAAACTGCTGTTCTAATTTCAATATTTTCTTCGTTTTGTTCTTTTTGGAATTCGACCATTCATTGATGGATTCTTCGATGCACTCCCATTACTGATATTCCCCCTTTGATGGAGCAGGTGGTTGGTACTGTAAATCAAGACGCGGCTGCCATAATTCAAGAAAACAAAAGGCTCAAGGCTCAGTAAGTCTTACTTCATCACCTCTCTTTTCCATTGCATTCGATCATCTCATGATATACTATGTATTTTTTATTTAATATATTACACCCAAAATTTAGTTTTCATTCAAAACATCTACAACGTCAAGCACATTTTTAATTCAAAACTTCTACTATTCCAAAAAACACAACCAAAGATATTTGAATTCTATTATATTTTTATTCAGATGCGAAGAGTACGAGAAACAAGACGAAGAGCTCAATCAGAAGGTATTTCAAGTCCTTTCCCTCGGCTCTCAGCAATTTACATTACATGTGAAAATTGCCGGGGAAGGGGCTGTGATGACATTCAATAACAGTAGGAGTCCGTCGACAACATCTGATTTTGTATCCCATGTTAATTATAATTGTTTCTCATGTTCGTCCAGGTAACACGACTAACAGAAGAAGTAAAAGGAGCGCAGCGGGAGTACGCCCGTTTGCTGCTAGAATCGAAAATCTTGGAGAGAGTTGAGCAGAACAATAGAGGGATCAAATCTGTCTAAATTTTCTCCTATTTTTTTGGTTTTTTGCCTTGCTGTGAAAATGCAAATTTTCCGAGCTTAAGGTGTCGGGTTTTCCCTTCATTGTTCTTGTATGTATTTTGCTTTGGTTTTTCAAGTATAAACTTTTGTTGATGCAAGAAAGCTTGCATTTTGGCATTGTTGAAGCAAGCTGCTTTTTGTATGGCATCGCCTTTAAGCAATCAATGTATCTATGTGTTCCAAAATTACTATTCATCTTCCTTTTCCATTTATCCATCTTCATAAATTTTTAATTTTTGCTTAAATGATGAATTGAATGTGACATTTTACAACAAGATATAGTGTATTAGAATTGTATAGTTAAAATAATAATAATAATAATAATAATAATAAATCTCAAATAAATAAAAAAAATCACATCGATTAAGTTCAGAAATAAGATAAAATCAAAATGAAGTTCAGAAAGAACAACAGAATCATGCTGTCAAAACTTTCAACAATAATTCAGTACCAACCAAAAAAGTTCACAAGTATTCATTCAACTGAAAATAAAAAAATTTTGACTAACCACGAATTCCCCGGTTGAGGCTGACCATCCGGGTCGACCCATCCGCCTGCCCGCCCCGGCCCGACGATCCCGTCGGAAAGGCACGATAACCTCCCGACTGCCCTGACCGGTCCCTGTTGAATCCCGACGCCCTTCCGCCGCCGCCATATCCACCCCTACCACCGCTGCTGCCTTGTCGACCCTGACCGGAGAAGTCCTGCCACCTGCCGCCGCCGCCAGAAGCGGCGGCAGCCGCATAATCCTGCCCGTCTTTCCGCCTGAGCGGGAGGCCGTCGAGGCCACCACCGCCAATCCGCGCTTCTATAGCTCTTTCGTTAGATTCGGCGAGGATCGACACTTTATCCGCCAGCTGGAATGCAAGAGCCTGGAGCCGGGTATGCGCGACATCGTGGAAGACGATGCATTGGGTCGGCTGGTCCCAGCTGGCGTCGAGCTCCTCGTTGATCATCATACGGCTGACGATGCTGTGGGTCTGGCCGTCGGAGAGGTCAAACATTTTCGACAGGTGGTCGAGGCTCACGGATTCGTACGACGACGAATACGTGAAAAGGTAGGTTCTTAAAGCCTCTTCCTTGATTTTAGCTCTCACCATTCCGAGAACGCTGTCTTTGTTGCGAAGAAGGCGCCATACGTCGAGGGAGTTGACGACGGCAAATGCTTTCTCGTGGTCGCCCTGCCGGAGGGCTCGAGTGGCGGCCATCACATGGTCGCGGACATTTTCGGGAGGGCCGATGAACGTCTGTCGTTCGCTGGCTTCCAGAAGCCTCCGGAAATTTTTGCTAATGACCTTTCGTCTAGCGTCGTGGACGTTGGCTGCCATGTTCGGGACCTCTAGCAGCATGGCGCAGATCAGATGTACAGCCTCGAGAAGCTCGAGATTTATGTGCATGTGGTAGGGCATCTGCCGCCGTCTCTCGAGGCGTTCCTGCAAAAAATTCGAATAATTTAAAAGCCCGTTAGAACCGATGACCAATAGAAACTCTAATTAAGTTAAACAGCGACCTGTTCGGGTGTCTTGTCGTGATATCGACTTTGGGAGACGCCCTGCGCCAGCAGTTCTTTCACTCGGCCAGCAGTGTAGAGTTCAGAAAGGCAACCATGGCTTTCGGGGACATGTCCCGACCGGAATGCGCACAGGCCAAGTTGCGCCATAGCTCGGTTGAAAAGAATCTGAGTAGAAATATCCATGTGGTGAATATTGTCCTGGAGACGACTCATGAGCAACAAATCGCGGGACGTCGAAAACTGGTCGAGAATAGCGTGATGGTATATGTCGCAAAGCATTGCTCGAGCCTTTGTCCTTTCGTCGCCGTTCTTGTAAATGTGGGAAACCAGGGTGTCCATCAATGCTCGGCTGCTCTCCGGGAAAGAAGGTTTCCGGGGCACCAGTTCAGGGACCGACACAAATGCCGCTGGCGCTTTAACTTCTGCTTCTTCCCCAGATTCTGCTTCCTGCTCGGCTAATTTCTTCATTGCATCATATACCTCTTGAGGCTTGTAATAAATGAGCTCGACCCGTCTAAGAGCAACCTTTGCAGAGCCCCTGTTATCGCCCATCTTGTCCAAATATTCCTGGACATTCTGTGAGAGAACTGAAAGCATGGGCTCGTCTCTAAGCCGCTCGACGTACTCACGGGTGTGGGGATCGATAACCTGAAGGCTCTTGAAGAACTCAACGTCCACTCGTTCGACAAATGCGCCTAAATTTCCCCAAATCCGAATGGTACCAGTGTAGTCGGCCCCTTTTTGGGTTTCGTTCTCTTCAACCTCCCCACTGTCATCAACCACGATATTTGAGTATTGTGTTAATATGTCGAGGATCGTGAGCAAATTCTGCACGCATTGCTTCCACACGTTGATCGGCATGTGACCGCTCAGACTTGTATTAACATCAAACTGGGCTGAGACGACGCTGAAAAGAATCTCCAGCCTCTGAGCAGGAGTCTTGGCAACCCTCGTCAAGAAAGTCAGCTGCTCGACTAATTCCATTCTGCCCGTCCCCTTCCTGCCTCTAGCAGCAACAATTTCCCTAAACTTCTTGTTGACGGTATCCCAAGTGATTTGGCTAGGATCCTTGAACTGCTTATCCATCATCTTGTCTTTCTTGCTCAACATCTTCTCCCAGCCAGGTCCGCCACTCTCAGCAGCATCATTCCCTGCCTCTTCCTCATCCTCGCTTCCCTCAGATTCGAGAGTTTCGGGATCCTCATCAAAATCATCATCCTCATCTTCTTCCTCATCATCATCCTCAGCTTCATCCTCATCTTCTGCCTTCTCTTCGAAGAGCTCGGGCTTCTCCCTGCACTGGTTAATCATTTCCTCATACTCTTTATTGTTCTTCTTTACTTTCTGCTTCATCGAGTTCAGTGCTTTCGCATTGCTACTACTCATTTTCTTTTTGGCCTCCTTATTGGCCAAGGCCTGGTTCAAGAAATCTTCCAACATCACGAGAGCCTTTATGTAAAGATTTGGAGGTTTATCGGATTCTGTAACCCTCATGACCTTTCCCAACTGCTTGTTAATCTTTTCAAAATTCTCCTGCAAACTGACCCAGTCATTGATTTTCATTGCATTTTTCATCTGATCAACAGTAGCAGCCATCTCATCAAACCGTTTGTCCTTGATGCGACGGACGACACGCTTCTGCCCGTCAGAGTCATCACTGTCGCTCGCATTTGCAGAATAGTATCTGCTAGCAGCAGTGGCTGCAGCTGTTTCAACCTGAACGCTCTCTTCCTCCTCCTCGCCATAATCACTCTCTTCCTCCTCGGTATCACTGTCACCCTGCCACAATCAATTTTTCCTTAGTTACAAGTAAAATACAATATATAGCTTTACGGCAGTAGAAGCAAACAAAAAATGCCTTTTACTCCATGAATCCATTTGTAGGATGAAGTGTTAAGACTGTGAAGAGAAAGCCTAATGCATAGCTTAGCTTCTATAAGATTTCAGTCAAAATTCTCTATGCACTTCATTTCAATTCTTTTACCACCGGTGTTAATAACAAGACAATACATCCTTTCAAAACATTAAATCAAAATAATGTTTAAACCAAAACTCAAAACACAAAATCAAACTCAAGTGCAAAAATAACAATCATAACGACAACGTTTTTACACTATTAACACAGGCTGCAATTGTGTTACCATATATTGTATGAATGAGCAGAAAACTTCACAAACCAGATTCTAACAAAATAAACAATTTCGCGTAACCAGTACAATACATAATCCATTCGATTGTCGGAGAACTACTACGAATAATTCATAATCTCATTAGCTCTTTTTAGAACGTTGTGTGAATCTGGACGACCAGACTTCAAACTAACCTGAGTCCAGAATCTCGATGCCATTGTTTCCGATACGTCAAAGAACTCTACAGCCTCCCGAAGATCAAATCTGCACCCAATCAATAAAAACAATAACTTTCAGATAGAAAGAAAGCATACCCTACCGAGCCGGACCTAAAAGCCTAAAATTCCAATCCGAATGGACAAACTTTCATCAAAATTCATAGAAGAGAAATCTAGAGCGTAAATAAATAAATAAAAAAAAAAACGATTCTGCAATTCACATCACAAATCGATTAAAAAAAAACGTAAAAGAGAAAACCTACCTCACTATCGCCGCGGATGCCGAACAGCGGAGCGGAGGCAAAGTGCACGAAGGAAATGAAACCCTAACACCTAAATCGACAACCAGCGGGCGGCGGCGACTATGTATAGTGCGGGCTGTGGGCTGACTATATGTGGTCCTTTATGGGCCCAATATTAAGATATTGGGCTTCATGTATTATACTCCTAACAAGCCCAATTCTAAAGTTGGGCTTATAGACAATATAAAAGTAGGATTTTGTATGGTTTGAAATATATGTTTTTTCCAAATTCGTATTAATAATATAAAAATATAAAAAATTATTTTATTAATATACATATAGTCCGTACTTCAATTTTCCAGTAATACAAGAAACATGTGTATATTAGGGGAATTTGCAGGCTGCACTCAACACAAGTCATTTGACTCCGACTCCAGCAGTAGAGCAGTTAGCAGCAAATCCTATCCATGGCCAATCTCAGAACAGACTCCCCTCTCTCCCGCCGCATCGCCACTTCTTTCCTCCAATTCCTCGATTCCGGTAATCTTTCTTTCCGATCCTCTGTTTATACTTGTTCTGCTTTTCAATCGAATCCCCTACTCACTGCCGCATTGGTAAAAAAGCACTATGGGCGATACTTAGGGTTTTCAAATTCACTGGCAAATTTGATTAATTCTTGCGGTGTTGTGACGCATTATACCTGCAGGAAGATTGATTGAATGATTTTTATTTTTTATATTGTCTGCGTGCAGTCGAACCTTCCGCTGGCGTTGATAGTGAAGCGCTTGAGGTTGCCAAGGAATGTTTGGCAGAGGTTTTTAAGGTTGATCGTTCTTCAATTGGTAGTCAGTCGAATTGTGAATCGTTAGTTGATATGTTTACCTCTCGTGAGGCAATTTCGAGTGGTAATGAGGGAGGTTTGGATGCACCGAGTTCATCTTCTGGAAAGAATCCCCAAGTTATGGAGGTATCCCCTTTTCTTCCGCCCCTTATTGCTCTTACCATTATTTCTTGTTGATTATCCCAAGTTATGGAGGTATCCCAAGTTGATTATCTTTCCTTGTTTCCCATATTATTGGTAATTTTAAACCTTTTGACTGGTCTGTATTTCTTTTTGGAGTCTGGTTTTCGGTTTTTGACTTGAATAGTAGTTTGGATATAATGTTTTGTAAGATTGGAATAATGTGTTTTTATGGAGGAGTGTGGGGACATCAAAGTAAAAAAACCGAAACCAAACTCCAAAAGAATATAGCAGAAGAGGCGTTATTATGGTTTTAAGGCATTATTATTTAAATATATATTTCTTCCCTTCTGACTGACGCGTGGCTGGAATGATTTGAGGGGTTTCTATGTTGTTGTTGTGTATTCTTGCCCGTTGATGGGATTAAGTACATTATACTGATCTGTATCAGGGCAAGGACAGGAAGAGAGAGCTTCATTTGCCAGGTGAGGATATAAACTTTTCCGACGTGTTCTTGTTTGGGTTCATTGAAAGGGATTTGAGCCCTTCTCTTATTGTTCTTATTTGCAAAGAATTATTATGCTTTATTAGTTCCTCCACTGTAGTAACTATGAATCTATCTGCAGATCTTTACTTTAAAGAACACTTCTCTATAATATATTGGATATATTCCTTGCTTCTTTCAGCAGCATTTCTTTGCAGTTAGTCTATAACTTGGTCCTGAATTACCGCCTCCATCTTTTATAGCAGTATTGAATAGCCAAACTTATCCAGTTGAAAACATTATCAAAGAAAAGTATAATTCCTGGACTTGGGGAAGTTTCCTGGAAAGCTGAATATTAACCTTGTTATTATATATATAAACTAATAAATCGATTTTTTCAAATTCATTCCTTTGGAGTAATGAAAAGATCTTAGCAAAATTGCCACATATGAAATTGAGCACAGTTTTGCAAATTGAGCATACTTTTGCGAAGAAATAGCCCACTTGTTTTTCCAGAGGAGATGGGAAACATGCTGAATATCATATATCAATTCTAACCATTATAGAGCAAATGACTAGCCAAATTAGAAACATAATATTTATCGAGTCTGAAACTGAAAGCTAAGAGAAACTTTCGTCTTCAATACTCAAAACCTTACCAATTCAACCATGACTTGCTGGTTTTTATGAAAGGTTGGGGGGCGGTGAGAGTAATGGAAATTGTCTTTTTTCACATGAGTTTCCTATTATATTTTTCAGCTGATTAGATCTTGGCTCAACGAGTATTTGAAAAGGCTAATAATAGCAACCCATTAATATTCTGTGTTATGTATCTTATTGTTGAAAGGTTTAACATTGTCTTAACTCGTACATTAACAGGGGAAGATGAACTTTTTGGGAATTTTTTTGGTGGTCTTGAAAGGATTCATTATTTCAGAAGAATGCCTGATGGATCTGATGATCAAACCCAACTTGATAGAGCATCATCTTTGTTTCATAAAGCTGTTGAGGTACGAAGCATATCTTTCTAATGAGCATGGGTAACTTGCACATATATCTTGTGTAATTTCTTGTTACATAAATCTGAACTAAAATAATTCAACCTCATCCACTAAAGTAAATATGATTTGCCCCTGTTTCTTTATCCAATAATTGTGATGGATTTCTTATCTGAAGTAAAAGGGGATATTTGCTGGATATTAATATTCAGTGGTGAAGCATAACTATTGACTTTTTTATTTTACCAGATTGGATATTGTTTGTTTTACTTATATACAAATTGTGTTTTTATGTTTTCGTATTTATGAACTGTAAAACAATGGTAACAGGAAATGCAAATGTCAGGTTGTCAAACATTCGACCCGAAAACCCTGGCAGAGAACTTCAAATCACAAGGTATCTTTTTCTAACTTGAAGCTGTGCCTTATTTCTTTGGTTTATGTGTAATTTGTTGAGCACAAGAAAGTTTCCCTCCAACCCTCTTCTTTTTTTTTTTAATTCTTATATAGAAATATGATCATAGATTGTTAATTTTGAAATCTCCAGTACTTTGAAACTTTCCTAAATCCATGCTTCATCTTCATTCTTTTGGCAGGTAACAAGGCCATGCAATCTAAACACTATCTAGAGGCAATTGAGCTGTACACATTTGCCATTGCTTTATCCGAGCACAATGCTGTCTACTATTGCAACAGGTCTGCAACATGTTGATACTATTTTATGGTGTTTGTCATTTTATATTTCAATACCTTAAAACTCTTCATGAAATCCTTATTAAAAGTTTGTTCAGTTTTTATGGCATATGTCCTCAGGACAAAGCCAAGAAAGAATACATGAAATTTCACCATATATATATAATATATATTCGAGTTGGTATATTTTACATTTTGCTTGAATTTGACAGAGCAGCTGCATACACGCAAATTCACCAATATGATGAAGCAATTAAAGATTGCCTCAAATCCATAGAGATCAATCCAAATTACAGCAAGGCATATAGTCGCTTGGGATTTGCTTACTATGCACAAGGGAGGTACAGGGATGCAATCGATAAAGGATTTATAAAAGGTTGGTGTTTTTTGCATTTTCCTGACGAGGATTCATGATTCATGTCAAGTTGGTGCCGCAACATAAGTATTTATTAGGCAATGTGACAATAACTCCATTGAGATTTTTCTGACATCTGATCTTGGGCTAACAACAATGTCAGCTGTCGTATCCTGTGTGTAGAGAATCAGAAATTTGAACTACTACTAAACCCTAAATAGTTAGGAAATTGTTGGTTCGTTTTCATTCATGCCGCTATGTTCATAAAAAAATATGAATATTATATCACTTGAGCTAACAAATGAAAGCTGAATCTGTTAGCATCACTAATCATTGTAATTAGTAAATTTATTGTATTTTTTACAGCCTTGCAGCTGGACCCTAATAATGCATCAGTGAAAGAAAATATACAGGTTCCTCTATCAATCTTAATCTTTGAAAGTCTTACCGGTGCTATTTGGAATTTATACGTAACTATCTTTTGGTACTCCTCAGGTGGCTGAACAGAAACTGAGAGAAGAGCAACAAAGGGAAGCAACCGGTCAGGTAATCTTTACTATCTCTTACGACATAATAACCGTTTCCATTCACCGTCAAAATTTGAAACTAAATTTGCTGAGTATTTTTCCATTTTACAGCAAGATGAGGATTTTTGGTTGTTCTTATCATCATTAACTCTTTGAACATCGCAGCTCGACAGTGCTCTAATTTCGTCGCCATTTCTTTAACCAGACTCTTACACTGTTTTGGTTCTTGCATTACCAGAGTTCGACATCCACCAGTCACGGTCAATTCAACCACCAATTTGGAGGCGGCACTTTTGCAGCACCTCCCCCGCTCAACACCCTCCCTTTCAACATCAACGCACTTTCTCCCGATATCAGCAGCTTTCTGGCGAACATGTCCGGCAACGCCTTCCACGGACAGCAGCCATTTCAAAATGGATCAGGAGAACCAAATGAACCCAGCGATCCCGGGGGCAGCCCATTTGGCGCCAACATAAACCTCAACGTCAACGATCTGCCTCAGGAGTTGTCGGGAGCTTTTAGGTCGATGATGGGAATGTTCTCTGGAGGCGCAGCGCCGAACCCTGAGGATGGGGAGGATCGAAGACCGGATTCGAGCAGCAGCTGAGAAGGGATTGCTGAATGATCTGTGGATTCTTTCTATACAACAGTATGTATATTTGTGGGAATAACATCATTGCTGAATACTCGCACTCTTGGCTGTCTTTCTCGTAGGTTTTTCTTCAAGATTTTCTTACATTTGCCTTTTCTTCGGTAACCTAACCTGCAATGGTGTTCTTCCTTTGTTCTGCCCCTTGATGATTATATCTGATCTTTAGCTAACTGATTCAGTGCCTTGCTGCTATTCATGCTTTGTTATTATTACTACAAATTTTTTATCTATATAATTTTCGGTATATATATATATATATATATAATATTCCTTTGTTCCAAATAATTTAGGTAAAATATAATTAATAAGTAATTAAAAAGTATATTAGTAAAAATAATTATTATTTAATAAAAATAATTATAGATTAAGATAAAGATAAATAAATAGTTTAATTAAAATTAAAATATATATATAAAATTTAAAATGTGATTAAAGTGCTAAGTTACGTGGACGGACAAAAAAATGATAAAAATAATATAAAATCTATTGATAAAAACTACTATATTTATTAGTTATTTTTTAGGTCACATTTATCGTTTAACATTAAAAATATTTTTATATTTGTATAATTTTATTTTTATTTTTTTTACAAATATCTTTATATTAGTATTACAAATACTAATATTTCGATATAATAATGTGTACTACATTTTGTCACATTTACCTTTTGTATTTTTGCAATATTTTTTAATTTGTACTATATTTTAATATAATAATTAATATTCAAATATCAACTTGCAAGAAAGTAAATGAGATTATTAGGGTTGGACAAAAATAGTATTATTAATTTTATTTCGATTAGGGTGGTGATTTGATCAATCTAACATATATTTATCAAACATGTAGGTGGAAGAGTCCCTAATTTTTATTTTATTTATACTTAAATATCAGAATATTTTTAAATTTTACAATAGTATTAATTGTCTTCTATACTTGTGAGAGTAAAATTCTCACAATTATTTTATACAAATTAATAAAATACTAATACCTTTTAATCTATTACAAAATAAAAAAATAAAAAATCAAAGAAGTACTTTAAATCCCAATATAAGAATTATTATATATTTTTCTAAATAATATTTTTGATAATAACAATTTTTTTTTAATACATTTGTTAGTATTATAATATTATAAATATTAATATTTCTAATTATAAGAAATTTAAACTCATTCTAAAAAATAAATACAAATCATATACTATATGCTTAACGGTATTTTAAAGGATCTAAGCACAATTTGATTTCGTAGATACAAACTATGTTTAACGGTCACAAACAGTTTTAGATTTAAAATCTGATCACCGACTCATCTCTCCGTTGTATACATAGCTTGATGGATAATTGGATTGGACGAAAAGAAAGAATGAAAGAAAGGGAGACAGAGCCAGAGATGGAGAGAAGAGAAGAGGAGAGAGAGCCGACGAGAGAGAAGAGGGAAGAAGATATTCTGTTTCGTCTACCCCGTCGGCCGCCATTAGAAGTATGTTCCTGTTCCTAATCATCTTCTAGGGTTTTCGTTTTCCATTTTCCGTTCAATCGGTCCTTTTTTCAACTTCTTTCACTCGAATTTTCAATTACCTTCAATCGGTCCGATTTTACAGCTTTCTTTATTCGATGGCACAATTTTGAACTTGTAAATGTACATTTCTCCCTCGTGCAGTCCAAGTTTTCGATGCAAATAATTTTCAAATCCCCAAATGAGCAATTTTAACATGCATCCATCATTTCAACTTTAGCTTCCATTTTTGCGTAGTGTCTGGTGAAACTTTTGACCTAAAAGCGTTTCAGAGCCGAATTCTTTACAGCATTAAAAAGGCGAACTGCAGGGTTGATAACCGGAGAGGAAGCGGGGTGAGCGGGAGCCATGGCCCGTGGACTATGCGGGTTACCCTTTTAAAGAAACGGATGACCCGTTGAAAATGGATCGGGCTACAAAGTGGGCCCCAACCCATTCTAATCATCTCATCGGTCTACGTTTCCCAGCGGATTTTCAGACCGCAGGAAGATCGATTCATCGCCGCCTCCTTTTTTGTCTGTCCTTTTACCAATCTCCGACGAATTCGCGGCTCTGTTGTACCTGAGGATACGGAAGCGGAAATCCTGTAGACCTTCTTGGATGACGTCAGGTGAGAAGAATTTCCCCTCATTTTTGTATGATTCAGCTTCTTTGCGAAGAAATAGGAATGAACCCTCATTTTTGTATGATTCGGCTTCTTTGCGAAGAAATAGGAATGACCTTGATTTGAGATAATCGAAAAATTACGCATCGTCACTTCTTTCAATCACGCAGTTTTTTCGATTCGCTTTGCGTGAAGATTCTTATCATTTGTGTTAATTTTGAGTGGTTTTGTAAGTAAAGAGGTAGATGTATCGCTGAACAGAAGAGATACATAACCGCCTTAGTTTTATGTAATTTTTTGGGGATTTACTGAGAAATCTGGAAATTTAACCCAATTTATCATGGACCAATGCTGAATTGTGCGTATATATACGTGTTTATAGATTTTGTCTAATGTTCGAAGTTGCCCTAGAATTAATTTTGCTTTACGGATATAGCTAAGTTTAGGTTGGCTTGGTTGTTCATGATTGTCAGATTATGGATTGAATATTGCAGCGGAGCTTGAATCAGCTTCGCGGCTGAGAGCTACTCAATATTTTGTGACGCAGAGGCCATGGCTTGGTAATTAATTGTTATCAGTTCATCTTACAATTCACAATTCAAGTTACACCTTAATTCTGTAATATGCTTTTCTGTTGCATTTTATCCAGATCTTTACGGGGTTAATGTGAGGCCTGTTGCTCCCTTCAGTAGTTTGCGCAGCAAGCAGCTTGTCGACACTGCTCTTATACATCGTTGCTTGCCAGATGAGTTACTTTTCGAGGTACCGTATGTTAGTGTATGTATCATTTCTTGTTGGCATGAATGTGGAAATTGTTGTTCTGATTTAGGTTTTTGTAGATATTCTCGAAAATGTCTCCATACACTCTGGGGAGGGCAGCTTGTGTTTGTCGGAAATGGAGATACACTATTCGTAATCCGGTGTTTTGGCGCAATGCTTGCCTAAGGGCTTGGCAGGTCGACACTATAATGCCTCTCTATTGTTTCTGTGTGCAGTTTCTTTTCTGAAATTTAAAGGCTTCCCTGTAGATAAACGGCGTGGCAGAAAATTATAAGATCTTGCAATCAATATATGACGGGTCGTGGAGAAAAATGTGGCTTTTAAGGCCGCGAATTCGAACTGATGGTAAGATTGTTCTTGCTTGTTTGCATCATATTACCTGTTGCTTGATTGTTTACTCCCGGCATTTGATAGTTAGTTCTTTGTTTGGGGGTTTGGATTTTGAGTTTGTGTTTTGAATAATAAAATTTTGAATTAGAATAATTGTTTGATGCAATGTAAATAAGTGGTAATGTAACATTTTTAATGAAAAATTAACAGGTGTTTGATATGATATGTTTTGGGGGGGAAATTTTGGAGGAATAGTAAAAATTCTCCAAAATCCCCCAAACAAACACACCTGAGTCGAAAATTTGTGCCTTCGTTCAGAATGTTCTTTTACAGCTCCGGGGGAATTATTTAGTACTAGTACTTTCTTTGTAGTTTTCTTCTCGGCTGTGTTAATGGTTACTGGGTTGCAGTTTGCGATAATTCAATAAGATCTTTCTCCTAGTATTATTGCCATTTTGTTTGAGCTCCGTGAAGTGTAAAATTAATTACAATATACCTTGTATCTTCTGTTTGAGATTGCCGGTGTTGTTCGGATGCTAAACTTGTGCTTTTAATTTCTAGGCCTTTATGTGAGCCGGAACACCTATATTCGCGCCGGAGTGGCAGAATGGAAGATTACCAACCCTGTTCATATTGTGCGTACTTTGTCTTAATTCATATGCACACTATAGCTTTCTGTGAATACAATGTTATCGAATATACTTAAGCTACGTCCGAAAAATGAAATTTACAATCTTGTATGTGTTCTGTTAGGCTGAAATAAAAATGCAAATTAGGATAAACGCTCTGGCTCTTGTAATGTACTTCTTTTGTGCTGCAGGTTTGCTATTTCCGGTACTTGCGGTTTTTTCCTTCCGGTAGATTTCTGTACAAGGTAATAATTGTCGACTAGTTTTTCTAACATGTAGCATTTGAAACCGTATATCCGGAGGATGTTTTAATGCTACAATTTCACTGTGGCAGAATTCATCCCAAAAGGTTAAAGACGTGGTGAAATTTCTGAACTTCCGATCCGCAAAAACTGATTGTGTCTTCGCCGGGCAATACACTCTCTCTGAAGATAAGGTTGGATTCTAACATTACCCCCATGGTCTTTTTTTCCAATCTTATTTTTCGCAAACGATCTTTAAGACTGGAAAAATGTGATACGATTCGATCATACCTCTTTCAGGTTGAAGGTGCTCTCCTGTATCCCGGCTTGCGCCCAACTGTGTTGAGACTTCGATTGAGGTATTACCAAGAGACCTCATTTTGTATAATTCAACGATAACGCCCCAAATATTCAATAGTTAGAAAATTTACCTAAGTTATACATAATAGTTGTAATGTTTGTTATTGATAGGTTGAGAGGGACGATGCCCGGCGCCAACAATAGAATGGATCTCATCTCCCTCGTTACAAGCGGCGTGAACGATGCCGAGGCCAGTGGTCCCGCCGACGACATTCTTGGCGTAGTCGAAGGCTGGCAAGAAGATGAAACACATAACCCCGACGTCCCTGCAATCTCCCACAAGAGAGGTTTGACACCCTTCGTCTTCGTCCAGTTCGATGAGGTACCCACACATTTATTCCCTTCCTCCCATCGATCGTACTACGAGCAAATAATGATCCTCAACGCATTGTTACAGGTCGAAACATCGGTGCTGAATCTGCCCGTAGACAAGATGGATTACTTCGTCACCGGTTGAGATCCTCCTTCCCAGCTGTCTCTGTATATACAAAACATAGCTTGTTGTGTATTGCTTGTTTATGTGACCGTTCTGCTTTGCTTGAATGTGACTATGGAATAAAAGCTGCTTGTTGTTTGTTGTGTTCATGGATGAGTCATGTTTGGATAGTCGGAAACAGGTCTTTGTTATATTAAGGAAACATTTGATATTCAAAGACAGCAGGTAATAGAGTGCAGTATGAAAAATTACAGGCAGCCAAACATGGCCTTTCTTGGAATACATTCAAATGGTGGATGATGATCCACCGTCTTCCTTGTGCACAATGGAGTTCCAATCTGGATTCCGTGGAAGAAATGTGTCCTGCAGAGAATTCGTGGAGGGAATTGATATATTCTGATGCTGAATTTTTTAATTTTTATTTTTAGAAAAAAAAGCCCTAATTCCTCTTTCGTGTTCCTCGTGGAGAATTGAAGGAGATGAAAAATTAGGGCAGGAAAACTCACGGAGACGTAGGAGCAAGTGGGGACGACGGAGCAGGAGTGATTCCGAGCGTGCGTAAAGGCGGCGACGCAGAGATGCGCGGCGAGGCCGAGGCCGCGCTTGCTCGGAGGCACGTAGGTGTGTGTTATGTCCATGACTTTGCCGCCGTCGCCTCTCATCTCGTACTCCAGGTACGCTTCCTTGTCCTCCGTCTCGAATTTCCTGTCCTTTTCATTCCACACTATTTTATTCTTCCCATCCGCCATTGTTGCTTTGCCCTATCCTCTCCTCTAAAGTCTAAATGGATGACGACGCATCAGTCTGCCTTTATATATAAGCCGTGAGGACAACTTTTACTTTTTACTATTGTTCATGAATCACACCTAAGATCTTAGCTATTGACGCTTTCAACTGTAAAAAGGATAATCCTAACCTGCATTTTCTTTCTACATTTGATGAAATATGACAGAATTTCTCTGTTATTATCTGTCACTGACTTTGATCAATCTGTTCTAACACTATAGTTCATACTAAGCTCTATCATCTGCTTAGGAACTTGCGTTATGTTCTTCGCTCGATTGAATCTCTCCACAGCCGATACCGTATTCCCAGCTTGTCGTATGGCACTGGCGAGTTCCATACATTGGCACCGTTTAGCATCCGTTTCTGTTGTCCGATCACAAGCCGTAGATCCTCATTCAATACCTGTTTGCAGTTTGCAGACAAACTTTGAATGGTTAGAAGCAGAACATAGAAACTTAATACAGCTAAGAATTAGGACTCTTAACCTTTTCCGCGAAATGTCTCCACAGGTGTTGGATAAACGGGATGTGCTTGAGTATAGGAGCGAAGTCGAGCGACAATCTGTACATCAACCTCGTCGTCTGTCGAGAAGATGGCAAGCAGACATGGAGCTGGTGTAGATGTGTCGCGCAATCCTTCGTGCTCTGCCCTTGTAGTTTCCCGGACTTTGAGATTCCGATGGTCGACAGCGCCATACAAGGAGGTCGGAATTCCAGGTCGATAGGGTACGGTTCCCAGTATCCTTGCAGCCCCGAGACTGGTGTTAAGAACTTCACCAAGCTGAGATTAAGACAACGACAAGCGTTAGAGATACAGATGCCATTTCATTCGAGACTAAGTTGTAATGAAGCGTCTGATGCCTTCGACAAACCTGGGAACGCTCCACCCCTTAGCAAAAGTCGAGGTATGGGTGAACGGCGCGTGCGCAAGATCCAAAAGGTTGTCCAGAAGCAAGCCGTGCTCGACGGGGACTTCCATGACCATCTGCTCTAACGAAAAACATCAGAAATCATCGGTACAATCAATCTTCTTTTCTCGTTTTTAACTGAAATAGCTTATGGTTACCTCAGCATGGATTTGAAACTCCGACGGCGGCGACAATGAAGGAAGATTCAGCGACGGAGGATCGCTGCCGGGCCAAATCCAGATCATACCGTCTTTCTCCGAGCACGGTAAAGCCCTGATCTTTACATTAAGTAGTAGTCTCGTTGACGGCATTTTCGTGCATTTACCGTCTGTAGAATATTCCCATCCTGCGGTCCAGATTTGATCGGAAGATAATCAGTGATTCTTCTTGATTAGTTTAAACAACCCCGGCAAGGTTCTCGTAACTTTACCATGGTAAGGACACTGTACCCGACCCCCTCGAACCGAGCCGAGCTCCAACGGGCACGCCCTGTGAGCGCAAGTGTTGTGTATGCACCCGGGCCTCCCGTCATCTCCGCGGAAGAGAACCCAAGATTCTTCGAAGCAATCTATGGGGACCTGAGGATCAAAATTGAGTTATTACAGCCGCCGGAGAAGGTAAGGGTACGGACATATATAGATAGGCTCGCTAACCATGGTGTTATCCTTGAGGTCTGCAGAGAAAGCTACAGGGTACCAGAAATTCTTCAGACAGGCGTCGTAAGGCTGAACGGGACCGGACACATTGAGCCCCTTGCGCAATGTCTCGATCTTTCTCTCGGAGTCCGTTGTAACGGGGAGCGACAGGTTAGCTTTCGCCGCATTCTTGTGTTGTAGTATTTTATCGTTAGTTAGCGCTGCGGAAATCCATGTAAGATTCGGACATAGTTCGAGATTCTTACATACCTGTAAGCCTTCGGGATCTTTCCTGGCTGCCCAGTTCGACTTCAATCGGGGGCTCACCACTTCCACGACCTGCGTGCAATGAATGTTCGATTTGAGAATCCCGGATAGCCGGGAAATGGTAAGGGAGGAAACGGGCAACCTTATTGTGGATAAGCGCGATTGTAAGAACATCTTGTCGAGCTTTCTTAATGCAATACTGAACGTCAGATCGCGTGATCTCCAAAATTCGATTCCAATCGGGACATTTGTTCCGTCGCCCCTCCAAAGGGGCTTTAGGCTGCCCTTCTTCCCCGACTATTGCGACGACCCGTAACCCTTCGCGGACCTGGAGACGATTATTCGATACTTATTCTTACATCCATGCATATGCATGTATGTATTAATTAGGACACCAATGTAGGCAAATCCCGACGTTGAAAGACATATATAGTTAAAGAAAATACCCTTTTCTGAGTTATGTTTTTGGAACGCGACAGAGAAGCAGGAGCTAGAAGAGCAGCAGCAATGGCGGACATGGTCGGATTCGGGTAGGGTCGTCGGATCCGGTACTGTGTCTGTTATATGATTGGTTTGTCCTCCGTTGTCGGCAGTCGGCGTTAAATTTGTTCATCTACTTGCTCCTTTTGTCTGTATTTATACATTCCAAGAAGTAGAGCAATGTACCTAAAATGAAAAATATCACAAGAAAATAGATTTATACAATACGTAAATTATATTAATGAGTATGTGACAAGTTTCCTAAATTTAGCATAATATTGATTTGTTCGGCCAGATTATTTTTATTTTCTATGTTCTATTTTTGTAGTGATTAATAAATAATCTGGATATTCATCGAGATATTTTGTATTTTTGTAGTAGGAATGAGGTAGAAATAACTAAAATAATATTTTAAAAGAATATATTTTTTTTTAAATCAAACAAAAATTTTTTCAAACCTATGAAAAGATATGCCCACTTTGAATTTGTTGTATATGCGTATATAATGTGCAACACAAGCATTTCTTACAGAGATGCCCACTTTGAATTTGTTACACATTCTAAATACATATATAAACACAGATATATATATAGAAATCTTGACTTATCGCCACTTACTTCAGTTAATTCACCATAAAAAAAAAAAATATTTATTTAGAAAGATAGACATTGTCAGTTGTTGTTTGACCCATTAACCAGTTGGGTTGATGAGAGTGTATTCTTGTAAGAGAAGAATTCCTTATCTTACTAATTACTATACATTTTAATAAAAATATATTAATTTATGAACAACATTTAAATATTATTCTATAAAAAAAATAACAACACTCAAAATTTATTACACACAAACCAAACAAACTCTATGTGAAGGGAAGAATAAAATAGTAGTGGATTTATTTATTCAGTGGCTATTTTTTAGTGCATTCACCATTATTGGTCTTTCAACAATCCCTCCCCTTATTCCACCATTATTGGCCATTCTTCCAATATACTATAGGCTCCGTTTAAACAATAAATTTTTGGAATTTTAAAATTTCAAAGATTTAAAAAAAATTCTAAAATTTTGATAATAGTAAATAGTTGGTATTTTATAATATAATATTATGTTACAAAAAATATATATTTAATGTGATTTTAAAAAATAAAAAATGAATAGTAGAAAAATTCCAGAAATGTTATATAAACAAAGCCCGGGTGCCAAAGCATTTTTGAAATAATCAAAATTTGATAATAATAAAAATTGAATCTAATATAAATAAAAGTTAAATATGATATTTTAAATTAAATTTTTTTATATAATATTTTTAATACAAATATATTTGAATTATAATACTTTAAAATATGTGTTGATGGTAAATAATATGAGAAGTAATTCAAAAACTTAAACAATGACATTCAATACTACATCTTTTAAACTTGATTATTATTATTATTATTATTATTATTATTATTATTAATTAATTAATTAATTAATTCGCTCGCATTGAATCATAACATGATTGAATGCACATTGTGAGTAGGATTGTGAAAGGAAGAGTTGCAACAATTAGAATGGTATGGTAGTGTGCTGACTGACTCACTAATTGTTGTTGGGGATAAGGTCTTCCAATTGCAGACTTTGTTTACTTTTCACTATATTCACTTTTGTTTTATACATGTATAATTTTTCAAAATTATTATTTAAAAAAAAAAATACAATATATAAATATAAAAAAAAAAACACAAAATACTGTTTAATATAATATTTCTACAATTTCATATACTTCACAATACATAAATAATAAATAAATATACATTTTGTTTTTGTATTCTTTTATTCAACAATATTTGAATATGATATATATTTTAATAAAAAATAATATATATTTATAAATATCACAAACAATTACACCAAATGCCTCCTTTTGATGCATTTTAGAAAAGAATGATAATTTTAATAATAAAATTCGATATAAAAAAATACATAAGTAAGCATATCTGATTTGTTGAATGTGTTATTTTTTTAAAAATATAATATATTTATTAAATATAATGTTTTTAAGAAAACAAATGTCTCATGATCACTAAATTGTTGCCTTTTGCTTTATTTGGTTCGTTATCACACATTAAAATCTAATTGGTGTCTTGATTAATAAAATAAAAGTATATATATATATATTGAATAATAAGATGAATGTTTTATCAAAAATATTAAAATTTTATCGAGCTATTGTTTTTGTTAGTATTCTATTGTCAATTTTATAAACACATGCGAATACGGCCCACAATTTCTTCGACCCGAATAAAGGCATATGAATTGGGCCAAACCCAACAATTTGGGCCGTAGCCCATTTCAGTACAGTGAATATAATATAGTGTATGTGAAATTTAATTAGAGAAGATAAAGCTTGAAATAATAAATATAAATTAAAATAATATAAAAAAAAAAGGGAAATAAAATGTATGGACATTATTAAAAAAAATACTCAATGGATTCTTTAGACTAATTTTTGTCGAGTGGGAATATGAAATTCAACTCTTAGCCATACAAATTTTATTAAGTGGAGCACTGAGAGCAGCAACTTAGTGCCAATTCAAATCATTTTAATTCTTAAATTAATCAAACAAATAATAATAATAATAATAATAATAATAAAGTGATCCAAAAAAATCCTTAAACTTCTGCCGGAATTAAATTTAAAAACGTGCTTATGAAATATTTGGTATCGCTTTTCTTCTAGAAACGCTATATTGTGAAATCACGACTTTAGTTAGAGTCGTGTTTCTGGACAATTGACTGACCCAAAACCAATAGCGTGTTTCTGGTTGTCACGACTATATTTTGAAAAGACGTTTTTAGTCACATGGTTCAAATCCTATCCTTTCGAGAAAAACGCCAATTAAAATTGAATTTGGACTTATTTGTTGACTTTATTACCAAAAACAGTACACATTTCATGTCACATTTGCTTTATATATTGGAAATTAAATTAAATTTTATTTTCATGTCCCCTCAAAATACGATAAGTATTTATAGCCATGCCGATAAGTTTCAAATAAGTGACCTTAAATCAATTCGGCTATTTCTTACAGATATGAATAATATATATTTGAAATGTCTTATTTCGATATTCGAAAATTAAAGAAAATTATTAATTCAAAGACATATATATATATATATAGTAGTGATATTTATTTATGCGTATATTTGGAAATGATAAATTTATTCTATTTTTGGAGAAGGTATTTATTTTAGTCACGTTGGTAAATATTGCAAATTAATGGCGACATACTGACAATCTTTGTCCAAACGTAACCATGTTGGGTCAATTCTGCAGCCGTAGTAAATATTTAAAATATAATAAAATTATTTTCCCTTTTTTTTTTTTTTTTCTTTATATATGTTCTATTTTTGTCATACATTTATTTATATATATTTATTTAAGTTTACGAGACATGTATTTTAATATAGAAATGTGAAAGTTATTGTTAATATTTATTGAATAAGTTGTACAAGTTCTAATAAAATTAATGCATAAAATATCTGTGGTTCTATTCATTTGAATTTTATTAAATTTTTTATTCTACAATTGTTACCATTTTTTAATAAAACCCCTCACAATATCATGTACAATTATTATTTGAACACAAAATAAAAATATATAAAGTTTTGGTAAACAAAATCTTTACTATATAATAATGACAATTTGTACATATTATTTGCCAAAATAAATATAAATTATATAATAATATACTTTACGTAAAAATGTTTTTTATATATTTATATCTAGAGAAAGTTAAAGTACTCCTAGGGTGTGTTTGTTTGGGAGTTTGGATTTTGGATTGGGATTTGAATAGTAAAAATTTTGAATTTGAATAGTTGTATGATGTGATATAAATAGGGTTTGATGTGATGTTTTGAATGTAAAATTGATTTTTAGTATAATATAAAAAATGGAAAATAGGTGTTTGATGTGATGTTTTTGGGGAAAAAAAATTGGATGAATAGTAGAAATCCTTCAAAATCCTTCAAACAAACACACCCCTAGTTTCTTCGTAGAGAGAAACTCAGGAACAATTCATTTTTTTAATATAATTATTACTTATTATATTTATTTTAGATTTTTTTTATTATATAAAATTTTACTACTCCCTCCGTCTCACATACCATGTCCACGTTGCCGTTTCTGTCCGTCCCACATATCATGTCACTTTTCTTTTTTGGAAAATGATTATACACTTTAATTTCATTTAAAATTTTTTAATTTTTTTTTTTTTTAAATTTTAATTAAACTAATTAGTTATCTTAATCTTAATTTAAAATTATTTATATTATAGAATAATTATTTTCGCTAATACATTCTTAATTATCTACTAATTATACTCCTTAGAATACCGTGTTTACAGTATAGCAGACACAGTATGTCGGTAGTATTATTTACATAGTGCTTTTATTTTTTGTTGATGTAGAATAAAAAAAATAAATGACGTTGCAAGAAACCTTCGGTTTTGGCTCCATTTATTTATATAATCAACTTTTATTAATTTGGTAATATTTAAAAAAAAAAAAAAATTCATATCAATTGTATATTTTTTTTACAAAATATCAAATCAATATTAATATATTAATTTTTTTAAAAAAATTAAAAATTTCGAAAGTCTTTTACAAATCTCTATCTAAACAGGGTCATTGCTCTTTAATTATATGATATACTAATTCGAATTAATTAGTGACTGTCACGTTTATGATCATCACACGTCAATTCAATTCAAAACATTGATGTGTAATCGGGAAATAAATATCTTATAAATAGTCAACGAAGAATAGTTCTATAAATTTATTAGTGTACTTATGGGTTTCTTTAATTAAAATAGAATAATAATAATAATAATAATTATTAGAATGTTTTAGAAGTCAAGAAGAGCTCTCTAATTCTAACAATATTTTTTATTATTTATATTTTTATACATGAAAATTTGCATTATTACTTTTCGAGTGGATACTAAATAAACTCTGGTCCAATCTAATAGCCTTAGTTTAACTTAATCTGATTAATTGATCCTTTAAATGCACTCCACAATAAAAAATAAAATTCATAAAATAAATAGTAGTATTGGAAATATTGTACCATTTATATTACATTA